AGAACTATAACTATAAAACTTAATATTTTTTAATTTTTATAATTATTTATTTTAATTATTTACTTAATTTTTATTTAATTTACATATTCTATTATACTACTTAATAAAATGCGCAAAAATATACTAAATTATTATTAAAAACTAGGTTATATTATATAATACTAGTAATATACTACTACTAATAAGGAAAAAAGTATATAAAAACAATATAGCAGCGCTATTAAAAAATTAAAAAAAAAGTAGCTATAAGCTTATAATATACTAAATAATCTTAATATTAATTTAGTTTTAGCTAGATATATTTTAAAAATTATACTAAGTATTTTAAAAAATATATACTAAGAACTTTAGCAAGCAAAAAGTAAAAAATTTTTAAAATATCTAAGTTTTATAAATGCTTATATTGTATAATTAGTTATTAGTATTTATAAACTATATAATACTTTTAATACTTTTTAAGCCGACTTTTTTAAGAAAATAATATAAAAAAGTTAAAAAAAATAGAGTTAACTATAAAAATAGCTATCTTAGAAAAAAATTGTAAAAAAAGTATAAAAAAAATAAACTAAAATTAATAAAAAAGCGTTAGAGCAGGCAAAAGCTGAATATATTTATAATTTTAATAATATTTTTTTATACTAAATTAGTTTAGCAATAAAAGTATATAATATAGACCTAAAAATTGCATTTAAATATTATAGGCTATACTACTAGCTATAGCTATAAGATAAAGAAAAAAAAAATAATAATATAATAAAATAAATAAAAATAATACTTTATATATACTATAATACCTGCTTAATTATTTTATAAATATTTGCATTTTTATTCCTACAAGTAGAATAAGATACTAATAAATATTTTTTTATAATATTTACAGTAGTTCCCTAATATTTCTAGGAGTTTATAACTATAATATAGCTTTTATTTACTTTATATAGAAATTTTAAAAATATAAAACTTTTTTTTAATTTTTTACTTAAAATTAAAACTTTAAATATTAAAAAAAATTGCTGTATTATAATATTTTATATAGATACTGTATAAATTAAAATAAAAAATGTAATTAATTAAAAAAATAAACTTAGTATATTAAAAAATTAATATTTTTAATTTAATTTAGAAGAAAAAATAGTTTAAGTAATATATATTAAAAATTTAAAATTATAGTAAAATTCCTTAGTATAACTATGCTTATATTTTTATTTTATTAAATATATTATATTTTTTACTTTAATAGTATATATTTTATTAAAGCTAAGTTAGAGCTATTAAATTTTTATGCTTATAGCGCTTAATATTTTTAAAGTTATAGAAATAAACTTTAAAAATTATACTATAGTATTTAGGATTTAGACTCTATTTTATATAAAATATTATTTTTTTAAGCTTTAAGCATTTAATTGTTTTTTTTTATATATTATTTATATTTACTAAGGCCTAGCTAAATATCTAGAGTAATACTTTATAACTAATTTTTTAGTATTTCTGTCTATGCGCTCTGCAGCTTTTAGGCTATTTTATTAGTTTATATAATTTTAAGCTTTAGCGTTGCTTTTTTGTTTATTTATAAAAAATATTTTAGTATAACTAAAGTACTTAGTATAATATATAAAAATACTAAATATTTACTTTACTATACTTAGTAGTTAGTATAAGTTAATATATATACTTTATTACTATCTTTTTATAATACAAAAGTTTTATTATATTAAAATAATATATTTATAAATTTAAATATTTTAGTAGAAAAATATAAAATATATTTATAAATTAAATTAGAACTTTATATATTAGCAAGTATATTTTAATTTAACTTTATTATTTACAGTAATATATAATAAAATATAGTTTATACTTATACAACTATTCTGCAATTTAAAGAAGGATAAGTTAGAAAAAGTAGGCAATTTATAATATAAAATAATTATAGATATTATTTATAAAGCTTGTTATTACTTAGCTATATATATAAATAATACTAAAAAAAATAACTATGTAAAGCTTTATTAGAACTAGGTATTATTTATTTTAATAATTTTAAAAGAAATTTTAGATACTATTTTTTTTATATTAAAGCCTAAAGAATATTAAAAAAAATAAAAAATTTATTTATTATTACTATAAAAAATATACATTGCTAGCTTAATTATTTATATTTTTTTATTTTTAAGCTTTGCAAAAAGTACTAGGCCTAGTAAAGCTATTTTTAGCTAATTTTGCTTTTTTAATTTTACGCAGACGCTTAGCCTTACTTTTAACTTTAAAAAGCAGCTTAAAGTTAAAATTTATAAAAAGTTAGTTAAGTACTAGTTTAAATATTAAAAAAATTAAAAATATTTATTTAAAATAGCGCTTTTTACTTTATAAGCTTTAATTTGCGTTTTTACAGCTTTAGCTTTTTTATTGCTAATATTAAATATTTATATTTTACTTTTATATTAGCTATAATTTTAGAATATACTAATAATATTAAAAAGATATACTTTCTTAAATAATTAAAAGCTAAATTTTATTTTTTAAACTTATATAATTATTTAGGCAGACACACTAAAGTTTAAGGGACTAAATATAGTATATTAAATAATAAATTTACTATATTAAAGTTTTAATTTCTATATATATAATTAGCTAAAAATTAAAAAAAAAAAATTTAGAATTAATTACTTTTTAAAGCCTAAGTATTATATAGTAAAACTTAAAGCAGGTAGCCTAATATTAGAATTATTAGCTTCTATTTTAATAAATATTAAAAATTTTAAAAAAAAAATTTATAGTATAATTATAGCTATAAAGCGCAAGTAGGCAGACTTTAGTACTATTTAAAATATTATTAAAGTTTAATATTAATTAAATTTAATTAAAAAAGTTCTAAATTATTTAAATTTTTTTTTAAGAATACTTATAATTTATATTATTTTTTTTATAATAAATATAATAGCGCAGCTTAAAGTTTTTTTTGCTAGCATTATAAAACTTATTACTAAAAAATATAGTACTATAATATAGTAAAATTAGTAATGCCTGTCTGCAAAGCTTATAAGTACTAAAATTTTAAAATAAAAAAATATTAAGCTAAAAAAAGTAAGTAAAAAAAAAGCAATCCTATAAAGTAAGTTAATATAATTAAAAATAAAAAAGGCAAAAAATTATAAAAAATTTAAATATACTTACTAAATATAATTTTTAAATAGTTTATTTTAGAATATATTAGCTAAAGCTTAAAAAAAATAAAATTGCTAAAAAAAAAAATTTAAATTTATACTTTTAAAAAATTTTAGTTTTTTAGCTTATATAATTATATACTTGCTTTTTACTTTACTATGCGCTATATTAAAGTAGCTTACTATACTTAAGTATTTTAAAAAAAGTAAAATATTTTTTTTTTTTTTTTTATTAGTATAAGTATTAGGGGCGGGGGCAGCAAAGCTTTAGAATTTTTAATATTTTTATTTTTATTTTTATTTATTATGCGCTTGCTTTTGCTTTTATTTTTTTTAATAGCTATTTTTTTTATTGCTTTTTTTTTAGCGCCTTTTTTTACAAATTTACTAAATTTGTTAAAAGGCTTAAAAGTACTACTATTTAATACTTTTTTTTTAATATTATTAATATTATTAAGTTTTTTTTTAAATTTAGTACTTTACGTATTAAAAAGCTTAAGCTAAAAAAAGCTAGCATTTTGCACTTTTATTTTAAAAATATTAATATTACTAAGCTTTTGCTTTTACTTAAAAACTAAAAAGTTAAAAAACTAAAATTTAAAAAAACTAATATTTTACAATTTTTAATTAAAATTATTAATATTGCTAAGCTTTTTTTTAGGCTTAGTAAGTTGCAAGTAAAAAAGCGTAAGTTTAAAAAAATTAATATTTTATATTTTTTAAATAAAATTATTAATATTATAAAGTTTTTGTGCAGGCTTAAAAACTATTAGGCTAAAAAGTAAAAATTTAAAAAAACTAATATTTTATGCTTTTTAAGTAGAATTATTAATATTTAAAAAAATTTTGTTAATTTTTGTAGTAAACTATAGGCAGCAGAATAAAAATTTAAAAAAATTATTATTCTACGCTTTTTAATTAATAATATTAATATTTATAGTACTTATTATAGTCTAAATAGCAAACTGCAAAAACTAAAAAGAAAGTAAAAAAAAAATAATGCTAAAAGTAAAAATAAGTTAGTAAAAATTTTAAAAAAAGCTAAAAAGTAAAAAAAAAAAGCTTAAAATATTTAAAAATAAAGTAAAAAATTTTAAGTATAAATAATAAATAGTACTTATATTACTACTATAAATACTTAATATAAAGCTTTAAATAAAAGCAAAGGCTAAAATAAAAAACTTTAATAATATAAAAAATTTACTAAAAAAAAGCAAAATAAGTGCTTTGCGCCTAGTATATTTTATATACTTTTAAAATTTTTAAATTTTTAAATTAAAATTATAAAATACGCAAATATAGTACTTATTTTTTAAATATATTAAAGTTACTAAAGCTAAAGCTGCTTATGCTTAAAAATATAGTATAATAAATATAAAAAATTAGCATATTGCTAAAATTGTAGTAAAAATATATTAGTTTTATAAAAATTTTTAACAAATTTTTTTAAAATTGCAGGCATACTAAGCTAAAAATTAAATAAAATAAAAAAGCTTTTGCGCAAAGTGCGCAAGATTTATAATAATTATAATAAAATAATTAAAAATATTTTAGTAGTAGTAGTAGTAGTAATAGTAGTAATTTAATAATAGTATATTTATAAAAAGCTTAATATAAGCTTATTATATTAATAATATATTTTTTACTATTAATAAAAAGTAAAGTGCAAAATAACGTTAGTAATATTAGCGTTTAGGGCTACTATTTACTGTAAAGCGCGCCTAGAGCCTTACCCCCGCTCTCTAAGCAGGTTCTACGACTATTTCCCCGTGCGGAGAAGCCTGTACCTTGTCTAAGGTGTATAAATCTACCCACTTCCCCAGATCTCTGTAGATCAGCGCATATTGGCTTGAGGAAATTGTTTCCACGGGTCCATTCTATTACTAGCTTCCCATTTGGTTTCACTGGTCATCTCGTACATCACAATGGCGGAGAAGAAGGACGAGATGGGCGCTGTGACGCAACAGTTGAGCGCAGTTGATGATGATATGCACAAGTCAGGGATTGTGAAGGAGGCGAATGTTGCCTCAGTTGCTCTGGGTAAGCTTCTCTATCTTGAAGACGGGCTAATTGAGCTCCAATCTTGAACTGCGACGCTGATGATGATTAGCTGCCGCTGTCGAGGCTCAAAGGCCGAAGTTGTGGTCTCGAAGCATGATCCAGCTCTACGGTATCATGGGCGTCGGCTATCTTGTCTCAACACTCAACGGGTTTGACTCATCTCTTATGGGTTCAATCAATGCCATGAAGGCTTATCAAAATACCTTCGGTCTGACTGGCGAGGGTTCCTCCACGGGAATCATCTTCATCATCTACAATTTAGGTCAGATCGCTGCGTTTCCGTTCTGTGGCTTCTTCGCCGATGGCTACGGCCGCCGGGTCTGCATCTTAGTCGGCTGTGTGCTCGTCCTCCTCGGCACTGCTATCCAGGCATCAGCTCACGGCATGGGTCAGTTCATTGCAGGCCGTTTTTTGCTTGGTTTTGGTGCTTCAATTGCCTCTGCCGCAGGCCCTGCCTATACTGTTGAGTTGGCGCATCCTGCGTATAGGGGGACGATGGCCGGAATGTACAACAACTTCTGGTGGGTAGGTAACATTCTCGCTGGATGGACAACCTACGGCACCAATCTCCACCTAAGCAACTCCTCTTGGGCCTGGAGACTCCCCACCGCTGTTCAATGCATCCTCCCAAGTATCGTTATGGGACTGATCATGTTCTTCCCCGAAACTCCCAGGTAAACAAAGTAGTCATGTGTGGTCGAAAGCAACAGCTAAGAACATTAGATGGCTACTAGCCCATGACCGTAGGGAAGAAGCTATTGCAATCATGGCTAAGTACCATGGCGATGGCAATCCGAATGCTCCTATCGTACAACTCCAGCTCCGCGAGATCACTGAGGACTTCGCTGTAACGCGGAACGACAACCCATGGTGGGACTTCCGCGAGCTTGGCAATACCCGCGCTGCCAGATACCGGTTGGCAATGGTCATCGCAATGGCCTTCTTTGGACAATGGTCTGGCAACAACGTCGTAAGCTATTTTATGCCGTCCATGGTAAAGCAGGCCGGTATTACAGATCCCAACAAACAGCTTCTGATCAACGCTATCAACCCAATCTTCTCTATGCTTGCAGCCATCTATGGCGCGACATTACTAGATAGCCTCGGTCGTCGCAAGATGCTCATGGGCGGCTTAACGGGCGGCCTATTCGCCTACGTCCTCTTGACTGCTTTCACAGCTACCGCCACGCCTGAAAACAACCTTGCGTATGGAACTATCGTTTCGATCTATGTCTTCGGCATCTGCTTCGCATGGGGTTGGACACCACTTCAAACTCTCTACGCCGTCGAGTGCCTTGAGAACCGTACACGTGCGAAGGGCTCTGGTGTCAACTTCCTCTTCCTCAACGTCGCCATGGTCGTCAATACATACGGTATTTCAGTCGGTATGGAGAAGATTGGATGGAAGCTGTACTTGGTGTATATTGGGTGGATCTGTGTTGAGCTCGTAGTCATCTTCTTCTTCTTTGTTGAGACGGCTGGGAAGACGCTAGAAGAGCTGAAGGAAATCTTCGATGCGCCGAACCCAAGGAATGCATCACTAAAGCGTGCAAAAGTTGAGATTGATGAGCGTGGCCAGGTTCTCAACGTTCATGAGTCATGAGGACAATTGGTGGCCTAGGTCGGGACGGTTCTTGTACAAAGATCGAGGCTTCTAGCGTTCCGTAAGCGTTGTATACGATCCTACCCCTACAATCAATCATTCACTCTCTGAATCTCTGTGTATGAGTCTTATACGCATTGAAACTATGTGAACTCCATTGGGTCCTGACTCTCCCCTGTCTTACTTTGATCCAGCCACTAGTCTAGCACTGGCCATATACATCCCCGTCCCAGATAGCTGATTCTCATTGACTCTGATTTATGGGTCTGATGCTTTGGTTTTGTTTCGGCATACCACGTCTCCTTTGTCAAAATTAGAGCTTGGGTGCACACAGGAACCACTGCACAGCGCCATGGGGACGCGAGAGAGGGGGAGTTGCTCCATCTGCTCACCAATTGGGCTAAGCTCTGAGAATACATTGTGCGAAGACTCTTCCACGGCCTTTGGCCGGAACAGCGATGAATCAGACAATACTCATCGAAATCAGGGGATGTCTTGAGTGCTGTTCCTGCCAGCCCATACTTGTCGACGCCAGATCCATGTCTCTACTTTCGGTGCTTGCTTTTGCGAGCGTACAAAAGACAATGCAGTATATATTGTGGCGGTCGGAAGCTCACTGAAATCAGATTGGTCACACATGCAAACATCTGGCGGGTTTCTGATAACAGCTCCATATTCTTCCCACCTCTATCCAATATGCCACCAGCCCGCCCAAGACCCAGTTCCCTCACCATACCCACTCCTTCAACGGCATTATGGCGTGCACCCCGTCCTCCGACGCCTCGACGAGCAACCTTCCCGCCACCTGGGATCACTTCGACCTCTCCTCTTAGGTCTATCTCTCTCAACGCTCCTCCTGTTCCACCACTGTCGTTCTGGGACCCCGAGACTCCGACACCTAATACCGCTACGATGTCACCTCGCAACCCTTTCCTCTCACCGCCACCGCCAATTCTCGAATTCAGCCCCCACACTCTCTTCCCTATGGCATCGCCCCTGCTGCCGGCTTCGCCACTGTCTATATTTGACTGTGCCGTGTCGCCTAGAATGGGTACCTTCCTTCTTTCGCGCACTCCTTCGCCTACGAAGGCAACGTTTCTACATCCAGCAACACCAGCGTCACCGTTAACACCTCGCTTCTTGTTTCCACGAACACCGCCCTATCCACCTAGGGTGAATTCTCGACAACGGCCTGCTTCTTATGACGCCGTGATGAGGGTCTTGAAGACGAGGCGCTCTGGCACTAGCCTGATGGAGAGTGGTGGAGAAGACGAGGTAGGTAAAGGGAGGGAGAATCTGAAGTGGAATTTTTACCACTTCGTTGCTGCTAGGAAGTTGAGGGAGATGGGGACGGGGAGAGATAAGATGAAGCTGAACAAGAAGAATGGAACCAGGAGCGGTTCGAAGGTGCGGTTGCCGTGGACGAAGAGAGGGGACAAAACAAAAGAAAGGGGGTCGACGGCACCAGTCAAACATCGACACTTCCACGCGGTGTGGTGTAGCTGATCTATGCGTATGAGTGACGGCCGGCACCAAACCGTTAGCAATAACCATGGTAGGGGTTTCCGGGAAACTCTCGGGATTCAGCATCCTTTTGGAGGTAATATTTGTTGGAGTTAACATTACATATTGTCAAATTTATCGTCATATGGCAACATAATAGCACACCTCTGCCTGCTTTTTCACTGTTGTTGAGGCGAGGGGGATGTGTTGACGTTAACGCCGACGCACGGACACAATGTACAAGCCGAGATTTGTTCCAACCTCTCCCCTCAGCTTCCTACATCATCACATCCAACTCATGCGCTGCTTGGCGACTCGCGATATGATCTGAAGGCACACGCGTGTAAATTTCGCTCAGCTTCAAAGTTATAGTATCGCCCTGGCGCAACGAGGCAGATCCATTAACGGGCTGAACAGCTACACAGCGACTCCTTCGAATCAACACACTCAAAACAACCCAGGAGAGCAACCTCTCGCTCTCTGATCGCAAAGGAACTATGTGATTATAAAATATGTAATAATGGTCTTGAAGCTTGCCAGTTTCACTTTCAAAGGATGATATAAAGGCATTTTCGAGACATACCTTGGCCTTTTTGTTTGTTGCTTCCACTCATAGCCTTCCAAAGGCAACAGACAGCTTCTAGTCCTCTTCTCGATTACTTTGTGATATTCGATACTATCTAGGCACCACGAAGTCCCGAGCACACCGTGTGCAAGCATGAGCTGCATGTATAGCAAACAAAGTATAAACTCAAGGTGACTGGCTGTTTGCCTTGGCTTTCACCTTCACCTTCACCTCCGCACGCATATCGCTATCCGGTTGCGCCTCTCCCGTGTTTACATTGTTGTTAACCGTCCAGCCTCGCACTTTCTAGAACACCAACAGCAGCCGCCTCGCCCAAGTTACCATTCAACTGCAATAGTCGCGCCGTCTTCATTTCGATCTGAATGCCGCCTTTCGGCCTCTACACGGTGGCACGACATCACCAGTATGGTGGGTCGGCACCACTGGCGCGTCCCGTGTTCAATAGCATGGACTTCCAAGATACGTCTCCGGGGCCAGCAGCGACTGTCGACAGTGACGCGGTCCAGCCGGTGAATGAGACCGAGCGTGGAGACGACAAGATGCGTGAAAAGAAGGAGAAGAAGAAAAAGAAACACTCTCTCAATGCGGAGGGCGAGAAGGTCACGAAGAAGTCGACGGTGCCTACAGCTCCCGCGAGTGCGACGCCTGCTCCATCCAGCTCCAAGAGCACAAAAGACAAGGATGGGAAGAAAGAGAGCAGCACAAATGACGCGCACGCGTCTGAGAAGAAGCGCAAGAGAGAGAGCAAAGTACACGCAGACACGCCGACTACTGCACGTGGTGAACTGGTCAATGCCGGCTCTGTTCTCGGTGGCGCTTTCTTGCAGGGCTTGAAGTCGTCCATGGGTGATCTCTCGGCCAGTTTTGGCCATCCAGCTCAGCCGGTCCAGACTGATGAAAAGCCATCGAAGAAGAGGAAGTCGAGCAGCAAGGCCGAGCAGGGAAAAACCATCGACAAGATCAGCGAAGCAGCTCCAAATGGCACGAATAACGGCATCCCCCCTGGCGAGAGTGTCAAGAAGAAGCTGGGCAGACCTCGTAAGAGTACGCTCACACAGGCTTCTGACAGCCCAGCTAAGGCTCCAGCACCGTCAGTCACGTCTCCCTATGTATCCGAGCCAAAGCACACGCCCATTCCGCTTCCGCAGAAGTCGCCCTCTCGACTTGCTACTGTTGCCACTGAGACGAGGCAAAAGCAGGCAAAGCCCAGTCGTCAGGACTCCGAGATTCTCGTCGCCGAGACGCCGCCATCTCAGCTACCCAGGACGCCGTCTGGCTTTCTCAGCTCACCCGTTCCATTCAGTCTCTCCAAACCCGCGACGAGTGGGCGTAGCAAGTCCAAGAAAGGTCCCACCGTCCACCTCTCTCCATCAACATCGGAAGAAGGTCTCTCGAAAGGCACAAATGTCAGCAGTGGAAACCACGCCTCCCTCACCTCGTCGAACCTCCTCCGCTACACACAGCCGCTGAACGATGAGCCCAAGCCCCGCCCTCGCGGCCGCGCTGCATCCGTCGCTACCTCCACCACGTCGAGCGCATCGTCCATGAGCATCGTCGAAGCCCCCCGCGTCACAAAGCCGTACTCGCGCTCCGGCGCCGAAATCGACCCCTTCACCGAGCCTGAAGCCACGAAGAAGAAGAAAACGAAGCACCGCGAAACGCACGACGAAGCCACCACGCAGGAGTTCACCGCCAAGTTCAAAGCCAGCCAGCACACGGTCAACTTCACCGACGAGCACGACTACGCGACAACGTACCTCACCTGGCGCGCGCAAAGCGCCGCCTCCGCCCCGCTGCCCTGCCTCAACAAGGCAACAGGCTGCAACGCCAAGCGCGAGCAAATGCTGCGTCTGAGCCGCGAAGACAGTGCATCGTCGCACCTGCTCTCGCTCCTCGTCGCGACAGACACGCACGCGCGCGCCCTCGCCGACGCATCCGCGCGCTGCGCAAAGGCAGACGACCTCCTCGCCCTCGCCCTCGCAGCGCGCGTGCCCGTCCCACTCGGCAGAATCGAGGGCACATGGCGCCTGTTCTGCCCGCAGTACAGCGCGACGCACGAGGACAAGTACGGCTTCGGGCAGCGCACGCTGGCCATCTCGCCCATCGCAGGCTCCCCAGACACAGCGACGACGTGCACGGCGCGCCTGCGCATCCCCCCGCGCTCCATGGCGTACGCGATTCTGCCGTTCCGCGCGCCGCCCCACGCGAGTTTCCGGTCTACTACGCTCACCACGAGCGTCGAGGGGTACAAGGTCGACGTCGTGTTTCTCGGAAACGGGTATCTCCGGCTCAGGATGGATCTGCACTTGTTGCTGCTGGGCAAGCCGATGGAGGGCGGTCCCGGGGGGCAGGCTAGGTTCATGGAGTTTGTTGGCGTGCATGATCGCGCGGTGCGGTGGGCGGAGGAGAAGGATGAGTTGGAGGAGGAGGGACGCAGGCTGTTTGCTAAGTATGATGGGGGCGTTGTGGAGGACTGAGAAGGGAGCTGCTCTACCGCTTTGAATGTTCAGTGAGTGAAGTGATTGAATGGTTGAAGGAGATTGACTTGGACTTGGATCTTGGATCTTGGATATATCCGAGCTCACACCTATCTGTTGCATTTCCGGTTCAGCTCAGTCCAGCTCAGCTCAGCTCAGACCGGTCGGTCGTTCGTTCGAGCAGCCGTTGACAAACATACTTCCATAACAAACATTACATACGCGCGCTAGTAGAGGGAGTCAAACGACACCGACTACTCCATTCGCGCCCGACTCCCTCTAGCGGATTATATGCAACCCACACGATGCAATTGCTTTAGTAATTAAACTACTTAAAATCATGCCGACTGGACGGACTGGTAATTCGCCGTGATGACAGGTGATATCTTTATCTGTACCCTGCAACCGGGGAGAGGAACATGCCATACAGCGGAGACAGTGAGAACTAGTAGAGTATAGGTATTACTGCTTTGTTTGAAGAGTATAGGTAACGCTAGAGCGGATTCTACAAACACAGTAGTAGGAGAAATCAGTATAAAATCACAGTTCAGGTGCTATATCCAGCACCTTAACACAGTGAGTATAGGTATTACACATTTACTCTCCTCTTCTCCTCTCTCCTCTTCTCTCCTTTCCATTCTAAACTCTTCTTATGCAAAATGTGATCTTCTATATTTTATTCTTTCAGCCCTTTCAACGGTCTAGATGCAGTGCAATGTCACCTCTACTTAACTCTACTCTACTCTCTTATGAACGCATGTTATAAACTCTCGCAAGCAAGCAAGCAAGCAAGCAAGCAAGCAAGCCAGCCAGCCATCTAATACCTACATCTCCCCAACCAACCAACCAGCCGCCCAACCACCCACGCGTAAAGAAACATGCGTCTATACCCACGCCAACACAAACGCGAAACATCTTCTACTCTACTCTTTCTTCGGCCGGCCATTCTGCTCCACAGCCGCAGCCTTCTTCTCATCCAACTCCAACTTCTCATTGCCCTTCTGAATGAAGAACTGACGCTCGAAGAACTTGAGCACCTCATCGATCACACTGCATGTCGTTAGCAAAAAGGCCCTTCACAAACTACGATAGGGTACTCACATAATCGGCGCACTAATCCACAGCACAGCGCGCCACTCATGCGCGGAGAGCGGGACAACGCTGAACAGGCCTTGCAGGAAGGGGAGGTATACGAGAGCAAAGTGCAGCGCCATGGAGAGACAAATAGCATACACAAGCATCATGTTCTTCCACAGCGGGAGGGTAACCAAGCTCTCGGAGCTCGACAGCGCATTCATCGCATTGAGCATCTCAATAACGACAAGGATACTCAGCGAGACAGTCGACGCCGCCTGCGCCTTCTCATTGGCGAAAATCTCGCACCCAATCTCCGGGAACTGTGCGGCGCAGCTGTGGAAGTTGCGGAGCTGGTAGAAGGAAATCTGCGGCCCGGCGGAGTTGAACAGGAACCACCATGCGTATCCGAAGACGGTGGCGGCGCCGACGTAGGTCCCGATGACCATGTAGCGGAAAAACAGCCATCCCGAGATGAGCGGTTCGTCGCGCTTGCGGGGCTGGCGCTTCATCACGTCGTTGTCGGGCGGGTTGAAGGACAGGGCGGTGGCGGGCAGGCCGTCGGTGACGAGGTTGACCCAGAGGAGCTGGACGGGGATGAGGGCTTCGGGCATGCCCATTGCGGCCGTGAGGAAGATGCTGACGACCTCGCCGATGTTGGACGAGATGAGGTAGCGGATGAATTGCTGCGTGTTGTTGTAGATGGACCGGCCTTCCTCGACGGCGCCTTCGATGGTCGCGAAGTTGTCGTCTACGAGCACCATGTCGGCGGCGAGCTTGGCCACGTCGGTGCCTGAGCCCATGGCGACGCCAATGTCGGCTTTTTTCAGGGCCGGCGCGTCGTTGACACCGTCGCCTGTCATGGCGACTACTTCGCCTGCCTGCTGGAGGAGATCCACGAGCTTGGACTTGTGCGTGGGCTCGGTGCGGGAGAACAGGGAAGCGTGCTTGGCAGCGTGCATCTTCTCAGCGTCGCTGAGGTCGTCGAACTGGCGGCCAGTATACGATTTGCCAGTGAGGTCTTCATTGGGACCGAAGACGCCGATTTGGCGGCAAATGGCCTCGGCCGTGTTCTGGTTGTCGCCGGTAATGACGACCACGCGGATTCCAGCAGAGCGGCACTTTGCAATCGAGGCGCGCACTTCAGGACGGGGAGGATCCAGCATGCCACAGAGACCGATGAGGGTCATCTTCTGCTCGAGCTGCGTGTACTCCTGGGTCGTCTTGGCCGTGGAAAGGAGCGGGTTCGATCCAACATCCTCGACCGAAGCCAACGCGATGACGCGAAGACCGCGGTTACCGTACTCGATGATTTCCTTGTTGATGAGGCTGGCGAGCTGCTTGTTGAGCGGCACCTTCTTGCCGTCCTTGCCGACGATGACGCTGGTGCAGCGGTCGAGGATGGACTCGGGCGCGCCCTTGACGAGGAGTTTCTGCGAGTTTGCGTTCTTGACCAGGACGGACATGCTCTTGCGGTCGCGCGAGAACTCATACGTAGCAAGGCGCGAGTATTGGCTTTCGTAGTGCTTGGTCGAGAAGTCGAGGCGTTCCTCGGGGGAAGCGCTCGCGCGACTTGCGTTGACCCTCGCATCAGCAGTTCCGACCTTCTCCACCAAGACGACGAGCGCGCCCTCAGTAGGCTCGCCCACAAGGCTGTACGTTCCGTTCTTGGCGTCGTAGGACAGCGCAGCCTCGTTGCACAGCGCAGTAACCTCGCAGATCTGGCGGACCGTCTCGGACGAAGCCGCGAGATTCTGCACCGGCTTGCCTTGGAACGAGACCTGGCCCTCGGGCGCGAAGCTGGTGCCCTCGACATCAAATTCTTCAAGCCCGTTGCCGGCATCGTTGATGAAGACCAGCTTGTTGACGCTCATCTGGTTGGTGGTCAGGGTGCCCGTCTTGTCGGAGCAAATAACGCTGCAGCTGCCCAGTGTCTCCACGGACGGCAGACTCCTCACAACCGCGTTCCTCGCCGCCATCTTGCGCGTACCTAGCGCTAGACAAGTCGTAATGACAACCGCCAGACCCTCCGGAATCGCAGCCACACCGAGCGAAACAGCAATCTTGAGGTAGTAAATGGCACCCTTGGTAAAGCTGCCATGGCTCGGGTCGCTAAAGTTGCGGATATTGATGAGCCAGACCAGGATGCAGATGGCAGTAATCACCTTGGCAAGCTGGTCGCCAAAGTCGTTGAGCTTCTCCTTGAGCGGCGTGGGCGCCGAGATCTGCGCCGTGATGCTCTCGTGGATGTCGCCAATCGCCGTGCTGCCACCGGTCAAGACAACCAGCGCAGTCGCATGGCCCGTGACCACCGTGGTGCCGGAGAAGAGCATGTTGATCTGGTCCTGCTTGACGGCATTTGCGTCCTTGACAGCCCGGGTATCCTTGGACACGCTCTCGCTCTCACCCGTCAGGATGGACTGGTCGATGTTGAAGCTGTTGCTCTGGATGGACAGGATCCTGCAGTCGGCGGGTATCCTGTCGCCAATGGTGACGGAGATGACATCGCCAGGGACCAAGTCGTCGGCCTTGATGCGGGTAATGTGTCCGTCGCGAACGACCTTGGCCTCGTTGGCCGAGTATTCCTGGAGCGCGGCGATGGCTTTTTCGGCGCTGGTCTCTTGCGAGACACCGACGACGGCGTTCAGGATGAGGATGGTGAGGATCTGTAGAGCATACTGTGAGCGCAAGCTATCAAGACTTTTTTTTAGAAGATACGTACAACTGCCGGGTCCACGAAAGCGGTCCAGCCCTCGTCGTCCTCGAGGAGCGCGAGCACAAACGACACTGCGGCCGAGCCGAGCAGGATAATGACGAGCTGGTCCTTGAACTGCTCGAGTATGAGCTCCCAGATGGGCGTTGGGGGGTCTTCTGGCAGCGCTGTTCCCTTGCGTTAGCTTACCCTCTCCCAGCTTTCCAATGCGACTTACCATTCTTGCCATGCTTCTCTCTCGAGCTCCTGACCTGCTGCTCTGAAAGGCCTCCTTCCTCTGTTACCTGGAACTGCCTGAGCGCCTCAGCGGGCGACTTTGTGTACGCATTCTCCATGCCTCCCACACGCTTCCCCGTCAAGTAATCCTCAAGTCTGATCTCGTGCGCGTTGGACGTTGTATCGCGCGTCAATCGGTGTGCGCGTTGGTCGTCTTGTCTTGGTACGGGGCGCAGAAGTACAGCAGCAGATAGCGATACGACCAGAAATCTGCAGTCGCAGGGGGGGTTTGTAGAATTTCAAGAGAAGGTACAGTCTCTGAAGCCAGGCCGCAGAAACAACAGCTTTATTATATTAGAAAGATTATTCCAAGTGTGTTTGGCGCAAAGCTTTCGCAAAACTTGGGCTCGTCGAGAGAAAACGTCCCCAAAGAAATCTGTCCTCTCACTCTCTCTCGCCCGCCCGCCGCGCTAAGCCACATGCACCCACCACCCAGACGGGGAAACGCCCAGACAGTCCAGCCATCCCGCCGCATCTGCGCACGTTGTACCAGATCACCCAGGATTCGCTAGTAACCAGACCAGAGACTTTGCACCATGTTGCTTGCTGTTATTTCATTATTATTCTCGACTGCTGTTGTGCTTGGCTGTTTGTTCGTAGGTGAGACGGGCATGGGCGCGATTCCGACGCTGCGCCGCCTTCGGAATCGTATCTGCCCCGCGATTCAGGTACCCCCACTTCGCTGCAAGCCATCACCTCTGCTGCAGGGTAGAAAGAAGCTGGGATTAATATATAGCAAGCCTCGTCTGTTTCTAGTCTTGGAACAAACACTTGGGTTATTACATAGTGTATCCATGTATTCACGAGTTACCACTTGGCAACCACCTACTACGCTATCTATCATTACCTACTATATGACCGTCGTCAACAGGGTATTAAACGTGGCGCGGCCTATGAACCGTCGTCCAAACGCCGAGCATGAGCTATACGCTCTATAAATGCTGTCATCATCATAACCATGCAAAGCCCAGCTTCTACATGTCCCAAAATACTATGCATCAGAATACCATATATACTTGTGAATATACCACCGCAAACCTCTTGCGCTGGGAGAAGTGAAGGGAAGTGAAGGAGCGCATCATCGACTCGCACAGTACGACCGGATCAACCGGGCAATGTCTCGGGTGACAAAGGGCTTGGTGATGAAGCCCTTCATCCCGCTCTTGACCGCCTTTTCAAGAGCCGCATCCGTAATGTCCGCGCTGACGGCCAGAATCGTAGGCCTGCGCTCGTGCGCAAACTCGGGCATCGACAGAATCGTCTCAGACGCCTGGAACCCGTCCAGCAGCGGCATCCAGAGATCCATGAGCACCACATCGATGGCTGCCGAGGCGGGGCCTTGGGCGTTGCGGCGCATGCACTCGACTGCGTCGTTGCCGTTGAAGGCTGTTGTGACGTTCTTGTAGCCCAGTCGCGCTAGCATGTTGACCAGAACCTTGCGGTTGATGGCGTTGTCATCGACGACGAGAAAGTTTAGAGGCAACTGTTGGGCGAGGTCTGCGGGTATGGCATCTGGCTCAGAAGAAGCAGCACGTTTCTTGGACGGACGAGGTGGCGACGAGGTGTATCGTGGTGTCATCATACCAAGGGCTTCTGGTGGAGTCCCGCTATGGATGGTGATCAAGGGTGTATCTGGTGCCGTGATCGGTGCCCGGCGCTCACCCTCAGTTTTGAACGAGTCCGACGACAGAGGAGGCGTCACGGGCTCATGGTGGAAGTCGGGGCGAGCTACCTCAGGATCCACCGACATGCGAGACTTGACCGAAGGGCTGGGCGATCCGAACGGGGTTGAAGGACGACTGCAGAGCTCGCCTGGGCTGAGAGGAACACGCATCTCGAATTCCGACCCCTTTCCTGGCCCTGAAACATGCGAGCGCACGCACAAGAGGTCGCCACCGAGCTTCCTGGCAATGCCCTTTGCCACCATCAGACCCAGGCCGAGGCCTTCGCTTTGGCGTGTCGTCGAGTCGTCTTCGCGCGCAAAGGGCTTGAAGAGATTCGGCAAAAAAGCTGGCGGAATCCCCGAGCCAGTGTCTGTGATGTTGATGACAATGTAGCGGCTTTTGGCACTAAGCGACGCTTGCAGTGTGATGGACCCGTCATGGGTGAACTTGATGGCATTCAGAGCCAGGCACGACACCATCTTGGCAAGATCCCTCTCATCGATGAGAATCGTCTCTGGCACGTCAGGAGACACGGTCCACTCGATCCACTTAGTGTGTACATCGCCATTGGACCCACGTGTCCGGACCTCGATTCTCTCTCCTGTATCCGTGGCTTCTGCGATGGCAGAATCTGGCCTCCCCCCTACTTTGAGAGCATCGTTGATGACGTACTGGAGCACTTCTCGCACATTGGTATGTCGGAGTCCGGGTACCTTGGAATGCTCGGACGCGAACATGGGCGAGCTGATCGAGTCACATCGGTCTGTCATGGTTCCATGAGAACAGGCATTTTCTAACCGATCCATGTCCAGGTCCGGCGGACAGGACAGTGAACCAGAAATTCGAGCTTCGTCAGAATAGACGCCTCGAATTCGAACGCGAGCCTGGCGTGATACACGTGCTTTGGAGCTGACGTCTGCCCAGGACACCTCGTCTCTCCGTCTCTTGATTCCGCGAAATGGCCTTGGCATGCCGTTGCCGGTGATCATGAGATCAGGTCGCATTTCGTGCCAGAAGGCGTTCCACTGCTCAGGGGTTTTGTCCAGGGGGGAGAGTGGCGTTTCTGGGACGCCCATGTTCATGTCGTAGGCATGGACGACGTTGTCGGCTGCCTCGACTGCGCGCCTTGAGCTATCTGTAGTAGGTTAGTACATTGTATCAAGAAGCGTCAAGGGTGCACTACAAACCTTGAACGGCCTCAATGTTATCTTTCAATGTTTCCAGAATTTGGCGAGTCCTCGGATCGATCTGCAACGTTTCGGATGCTTCCTTCACATTGGCCATCATGACGTCCAGCATGCCAACGACGCCCTGCATGGGCGTCCTGAGCTCGTGCGAAAGGCTCCTGGCGTAGGGCTTGAGCGACTGAGCGACGGACACTGCTTCGTGTGGCACGAGCACAGGCTGCTGGCTTCGCACGGGCTGTGCTGAACTTGCAAAGTCGCTCCCTCCCAGTACGCGCTCCAGAATCAGGTCCTCGAGGCCGTGGAACAGCATTTCGAGAAAGCCCCAGCCCAATACACGGCGTGCAGCGCCCTCTTTGCCCCACATGACACCAAAATGGGCAAAACATTTGCCTTCAGCAAACAGTGGGATCCCCAGATAGGCCTCTCCAGGAATAATGAGATCGTTGGGATTGTTGACAATAAAGTCGTTTAGTCTTTCCGGGATGACGAGGATCTTGTCGTGTTTCATGTAGGCGCAGGGACACGAGTAGGCGTGGTATTTGAAGTTGCGCAGGTGGCCGGGGCCGTTATTATGGTCATCATTGATGTAGAAAGCCTCGCCCATGAGGCAAGCGCCAGGCTCTCCGATGGGCGGCAGTTCGACGGCGACGTCCTTGTCGTCGACCAGAATTCTCTTCGAGACGAAAGCATACTGCGCATCGGCGATGCTGGCGAGGCCTTTGGTGAGCAGGCCCCAAAAACTCTCCGTGTCGGCTTTGCGCAGCGTGTCCTTGAGCTGGACGAATTGCTCGGCCGCGTTGCTTTCTGCCGAGTCGTAGATGCGGGAGAGCTCTTCCTTGAAGCCGGACTCGCCCTGCTGCACGACCATGCCTGGCATTGGGCGGGAGAAGCAGAGCGACTGGCGTTCGATTATATCAGGTGGGATGGCGGTAGAGGCGGCCATGGTCAAAATTCCATCCGGACAGCAGGTGACGGGGCGCCGGAGAGATGGGTGCCGGGGGGTGGTAGTTCAGATATGGCCAGCAGGTGGGATACCGAGACTGAGGGTGGATGACTGAGGTGGGATGCAAGGCCGGGCTGGGATGGTAGGCGACACGAGAAGGTGAACAACGACACACGAGCAAACAAAGTTGTAGATCGCTTGCGGAAGCGAATGACGAGTGGGCAGTCAGTGGAGGAGTTTGGATTGGGACAGCAGGATGGGAGGGCAGGGTGAGGAATGCGGGTTGAGTGCGGACGAAGAGAGAAAGGTGAGGAATGGGGCGGCGACGACATGGTTGGTTTGGCAGCAGACGCTGGACGGACAGGCCTGGGGCTGCTGCTTGTGCTTGGAGAGTTTGCACGTAAGAGGGCGGCGGGCGGCAGGTCTGCGCCCAGGAGCATCTAGAACATGTCCCGATGCTGTGGAGGCCTTTGCGTGTCCATGTCCATGTAGCTGCTCCGAGCGTCCGCCTGGATGGATGGACGCATCTGGGGCGCGATAGCTGCTTCACCCAGCCCAGCTAGCCACATTGAGCGGGTAGCATGTTGCACCCATCTGATGCGGCGCCGAGCTATGGCACGCTGCTGGTTTGGCTGCTGGCTTGACTGCTGGCTTGTTGGCGGCTGGCTTGCTTTGACTGCTGGTTTGGCTTGATGTGCTGCTGCTGATGGCTGATGGCTGATGGCTGATGGGCGGCGGTGGGGAGCTGAGCAGGGAGCCCTGGCAGGCGTCGAGTGGGTCGCACCTGCTGGAACAGTCTGGCCGCGCTCGGCTCTTGCGCGATTTGCAACACTAGCCGGCAGCTCCTTCCTGCTCGGCCCCCAGCCTGGCCGCGTTGCCGACAAACGATGGATGGTGATTTATGCCTGGTCCAGTCTAATAGTTAATAGTTCAGTAGTCATAGTATTCTAATAGTACGGTGTACTGTTAGAACTCAGGACGCAGCTGCTTACAATAGACCTATCCATGGCCATCGCAAGTCAGTCTTGTAGCCGTACGACGGGTTCGACATGGCTGGCGCCTTGTCCTACAGCATCGACCATCGATAGCCACCCCAGACCATGTGCATGTAGTTGTATGTGTGCCTGCGCTGCGCTCGAGCTGCTCGAGCCCTTGATGGAACCGCGTCGCTGAGAATGGCTTCTTCATCAAGACGCCGCACTCCACAGTCCATCTCGATGGCGAGTTTCAAACCTGTCATGTCATGCCGTCGCCTGGCATAAAGTTTGGCGTCTAGGCCATGCGGCTCTTATTCCCGTCGTCTCTTCATTGGGGAACAAGCCAACACTCGCTTTGGCCAGGCGAATCATCCGCACGCCCTCCCGTCGCGCCTCCTTTGAACGGCCGTTTGCTCCACGCTTCTTCATTGCTCCATGCTTTTCAAAGCCTGTCCTCGAGAGTAACGTTACATGGTCTTGCTCGCTGGTAGAGACGCTGCCAGTCTCCAGCCACGGCTTTGCTCGCTCTTCTACTGACACATGATTCAGCAGCGAGTCCAAGGGCTGCTCTACCTGTCTACCATGTCATGCGTCTGTGTGCGGGTGGGCGTCGCTCCCCCAAGGATCGGCAGGGACGAAGAACACCACCCCGCCCTGTTCACCTACTCTTGGCCTCCCCAAAGCTTCAACCCCTACACATCACGTCAAGCTGCCACTACCCGCTCTCTCAGATGCGCATCCAAAAGACATGATATCCATCTGCAACGCCTCCATATGCCGTGACCCGTGGCCAACTTGAAACTTGGCCAGCCTGAGCATCTAGACCGGCCGAGGCGCTACCAACTCGACACATCCTTCCACCTCCAAACGCTGACCCAAATGCAAATATTGACCAACAAATGCCATCGAGTCTATGATTCCGGTACGGGTTGGACAGATCGCAACGTCGTCGTTCCGCTGCCTGCTTTCTCTCAGAGCCCCAACCGCACATGCGCGGTAGCTCTTACTCTGCGTATACACGCTTAAAAGCCTGCCACTCTCCAGACCACTAGCGAAAACTTAGCAAGATTAGCGAAACGATCCTGACGATGACTGGCCCTTGCATCAATTCACTCTGCTGTCTTGCCAGCCTGGTGCACACCACGACCATGAGGGCGCCTTTGCAGTAGCTTCCTCGCACACCACCTACATCCTCACCCAGACGATCCATGACGCTGACGATGGGAGCCCATGTCGACTGCAGTTCTGTTCGATATAGACCTAGATCCTTGGCAACGGTCTGGGCCATACCTATACTAGACCCCTTGTCTACCCGTGGACCTACCATCACAGCAGGGACCTTACCAGCGTCGACATGGGAGGCTGCATCGGGCACTGACAGCACCTGCCTGCCTACCTCATTAGCATTCGCAAACAAGGCGGCCGTCCACGGTCTAGATCCACATTCCAAACGGTGAAAACGCCTACACAATCAGCAGCAGGCATCCTTCGTGAATCAATCGTGTCTCATCCAAGAGGAACAGGGCTGACGGCGGCAGTCGACGACACTCGGTCCTGACGCGTCCATACCACCAGTTCGTGGCACTGACGCTTGCACATGCGTGCTGGCCACCAATACAGACGCGCACATCATCAATCATCCAGACCCCAGCTTATTGCCGTTCCTCCTTTTCGTGCCCCCTTTGCCACGTTCGAAGCTCCCCCACGAGGCCCCAGCGCGCTCACTATCCGTGGAGTAAAATCAAACTCTGTCCACCCGGACTCTGGCACCCAGTCAAGGAATGGCTTGTAGACTGCTCTAGATCAAGCCTCTAGCCGTCCTAGCCGTCCCTTCAGCCACCTACCTCCGTCATAGAAGATAGTCAAACTCTCGGGCATGGACAGCTTCTTTGTATAGAACAGCTATTGACCGCTTGGACACTGTGGCTTGAGGGTGGATCGAGATACTGGGCGTCCAGTCTAGTGCTTCAGATTGCATAGTTGGTTGCGCAGAGGCTCTAGACCGCCTGGGTCGAGGGATCGCGCGTCTCGATCTGTAGACTCGGTCTGGAGTTCGCACAACCTCGGACAAGAGGAGTAGGCCGATATGCGTGCAGGTGGCTTGCAGTGTACATGCGGAACAGAACGCTATTCCTAATCTGTTCATTCCGGATTAGGTTCGCACTTGCTCTCGATAGAGGTCTCCTATGACGCTCAGCGCACCTTCTCGGTTACAACTTTGGCAATAAATCGATGTGTTGTCTTGTCGTGTTAAGTTGTTTCTGCTTTTAGTATGACTGTTCGCTCTACTCCCGAGGTTTAGCAACATTCGCAGTGCACTTGGATTAGCGCTAACTTCACCCACTGTCGATATACTTGGTGCTGAACTTGGCTGTTAACCTTGGAAGAACAGCATTTTGAGAGCACCTGGGAAGAAGCGCTCGTATCAGTGACGCGTCTCGAGTTGATCTCTACAGCTTAGCCTTTCCTTCCGTCTTCAGCCGCGCATGATATCGATCCCGCATCTCTCTTCTCAACATCTTGCCTGATGGCGTCCTGGGGATCTGGTCTGCGTTAGCATCAACTACCTCACGTTCACGTCAGATACGTACCGAATCCACCACCTCAACACCGCCAGTCAGCCACTTATGCTTGCTCAACCTACTCTGAACCCACTCATCCAATTTCCTCGCCAGTGCATCTTCGCCCAACTTCTTGCCCGCAGCCGTGAGAACAACCCACGCCCGAACGAACAGCGACCCATCGCCCCTTCCATTGTCCACGCCAGCAACACATGCATCGCGCACAAGCCCCGCCGGGTGCTCAAGCAGCATGTCCTCGACCTCCGTAGCAGCGACCTGCAAGCCTTTGACTTTAATCATCTCCTTCAAGCGATCAAGGTAATGAAGCCGGTCCTGCTCATCGCGCAAGACAAGATCGCCCGTGCGCAACCACCCAGCCTCTGTAAAAATCTCCGCCGTCGCTTGCGCATCTTTGAAATACCCCGGACAAACAACAGGGCCGCGGGTCCACATCTCGCCTTTCTCTCCCTTCGGCACGTCGCGCAGCGTCTCTGGGTCTACGACTCGGCCCTCCATGCCGGGTAGTAGATACCCAATCGTGCCGGGCGGCGAGGGCGCGAGGCCGAAGAGGCCTGCCGCAGGCGGGCTGGCAATGCTGGCTGCTTCGCTCAGGCCGTAGCCGCTGGGGATCGGGGCGGCGGCGCCTTGCGGCAGCTTCTGGGCCAGTTGGTAGGCGACGTCTGCGGGCAGGTATGCGGCGCCGCTCATGGCGGCTAGCACCGAGGTCAAGTTGTATTTTTGTGTTAGTGGGGATTGGGCTAGTTGGCGGACGAGAGGGGGGACGAGGGGCAGGTGGGTTATCTTGTACTTTTCGATGGTTTGGAGTGCGAGTTCAATGTCCCATTTTGGTAGGAGGATGGTGGTGGTTTTGGTGAGGTTTATACGCAGGATCCACAGGATCATGCCGTAGGAGTGGTACATTGGGATCACGCCGAGGATGGTTGATGGCGGTAGTGGTTCGACGCCCAAGTATCGTGCGGTTTGGACCGCGGTGATGAGCAGTTGTATGCCTGAGTGGTAGCCGTTCTTGTGCGAGATCATCATCGCCTGCGTATGTTAGCTGACTTGCAGGCCAACACGGTGTAAACTCACCTTACCTTTGGCAGCCCAGACGTCCCTGACGACTGAAATAGATACGCCATACGCTCTCCCCCAAGCAGTTTGCGCGGTCTCTCAGGAAGCCTCTCACCTTCTCTCACCAGCGACTCAATCGTCCGATGCCCAGCGACACTGTCCAACCGTCCATCATCACTCAGCACAACCACCTTCTCCAGATCCAAAACAAGCTTAAGCGGCAAATCATCGCCCTCTCCCCGCCCCAACTTCACCGCCTCCCGCAGCACAGGAAGTAACGCCTCATGGCACATCAGACTCGTAATCTGCATCTTGCGCAGAATCCACCAAAGCTCATACGCCGTGCTCTCTGGACTAATCCCGCCAAACACTAGTTCAGACCGGAAACACGCATGCGCCACCATCGGATAGTGAATATGATTCTTCGAGAAAAGACCCAGAATCTCGCCTTGCTCTGCGTCATTCACCGGGCTCTTACCCAAACGCAGTGGATTCGGGCCATCGTAGCGCAGAGCCCGGGACAGTGCGCAGACGCGTGCGTAGAAGCTGTGCAGCGTGACGGTTTCTTGCGTTACCGCGTTGATGAACAGCGGGTAGTCGTCTGGTAGCGGGTTGCCGGGCGGGAAACACAGGTCATGGATGTTGAGATCTGATGGCGTAGGCGGGAACGCGCCGAATGGCGAGGCGAAGATGGGCTTGTCGTGGGGTGTGTATTTGGCTGTGTGGGGATCGGGGGCGTTGGGAGCTACGAATCTGGACCAGTGGGGCGTGAAGATGTTGTGCTGGGTCGTCATGTTGAAGCCAGAACGCAAATCTTAGGCACTTGTAGGCCTTGCAGAATAGTAGACTATGCACTTATATTATAGCTAGCAACGAGGCGTCGTATATGCTTATGGTGGTCGAAAAGCTCATCGTTTACGCGTTCCGAGGTACTGGTTTCACCCCGCGGTTATGGACTTCTGGCGTTCTTCTGACATTTCGCACGCGAGTAAGCCCGCCGACGTCATTTCGGGGCTTATAGGCTGTATGAGCTTCAGCTTTGGAGTCGTGTTTATAGATGACAATCAGATGAGTTAGGGAAGCTGCGACGACTCCACTTGGGCAGTCGAGCTTAGTCAGCAGCCGTCAATGGGTTGGTGTGTTGGTCTACCTTATGTTGGTACTTTGCTAATTTCTTCTCTCAAGGACGACAGATGCCAACGATATAGACCCACCACAGTCCAACGAACGAGAGAAAACAGCTTGAGCTGAACAAGCGCCTACGTTACGTTAGATACTCCATTTGGTTTTGCTATTGGAGGCCTGGTTTCATGTCTAGCCTAAAATGTGGAACCTTGACCGACCCAGACACGAACATTGCTCTGGCACAACCGCGTCATCTCTACCATTTTTTCTCCATCTTTGAAGATTCCATACTTCGAACATGATACTTCTGAGCGCATTAGTTTCATTGGGCGCCGGGCTTATTAGTGGCATTGCGGGCGCTACACTGCGGCAATAGCGGGAGTTTAGGGCCGTGGAGACGATCCTGGGAGCTTCAGCCTCAGCCTTCCCCGTGCTGTTTTAGCCCCCAACCACGCCCCATAGCCTGACTACTATGGGTATATAGACCGCCTGTGTCCTCGTCTTTCCTATCATGTTTGCATATGCGGTAACACGCACAATACCAAAAAGAAGTTGAGAGAGCGGGCTGATGCCATGTCATCTGATTCTACAAAGCGCCAGGCCACGCCGCCCGCTAAGGCGATCGCGATAGACTTACCGCCCGCGCTATGGTCAGCCAAAAAAATACCGCATACGCCCGAGTTTGGTGACCCATACAAACTGATAGGAGACTGCTATGAACGACCCTCGGTAGCGGATGAATGGGAGATACCAGATCCGTGAGTAAAGTGCCACGATCTTCCTGGGTATATGCTCACGTAGTACAGGAGGAGCGAAAGACTACCATATCTTGCGCACATAAAATCTCTCTCGACGACATGGAAAACTTTGCGTCATCTAGCGGACTGGATGCAAGTCGGAACTACGCCATTGCGTTGGAATGAACTGAAGAACCAACCAAAGGAGCGGGAGCGCCGTGCGAACAAGACCAATATCACGTTTATTGAATATAAACCGGCCACGATGCCGACGACTACACCCATCACTACATCAATAGCGCTCAAAGAGACCCTACATGCGCTTGCACACGACAATTCCAAGGAACTCCCTCTCAGATTGTTCGTCGTGGAAGACCTCTCGCAGCAAGTCATTGAGCTTCTGGGGTCACGATTTGACATCGACCCACTTTTCTTCCGCGAGCAAATCGACGACTACGTGTGGCATAATACCCGCGATCCCTGGGCTCAGCCGCCAAGTCTCAAATCGAATATGAAGCATCGCCAGTGGTTTCGGATGCGGAACATGCGGCTACGATACCTCACCTCCAAGGAAATATTCAAGCAATCGCGACTAGAGGCGAACAGCTGGAATGTCCTTCGCCGACCAGATAATGATGAAAACCACTGGCACTATCAAGATAGAGAGGGTGCGGTTGTGTCCATCATGCGCACACGCACCACGGTGTGGATTGGAAAGGATAAGAAGTGTGGCAACGGGACTGTCGGTATCGTCCTTTTAGATCCAACCGTCTCGCAGGGTCAGCCACTCTGGTACGATCGCACCAATTGGCTTCCCACGCCCAAAATGAACACCAAGTCGATTCCTTCCATAAAATCCTCCGTGTCCTGGTACGAAGACATTGTCCAAATGACAGCCGCGTTCCCTTGGTTTGAAGTTACCGAAGGACACGAGATCAACGCTCAGGTTCTTGCTAAGCCGACGATATACACCATCTGCGCCGAATGGCTCATTGTGTGCGACTACGTCAAAGCTCGACTCAGTCAGATCGAATGGGAACTCGAGATGCCGCGACTCTTCCGCTCAAAAGGCGACGCGATTGACACCTCGCTCAGACGTCTTCATACCTGGCGCCGCCAAATCCCGGTGTTCAGAGAAATGGTCACCGAGACGATTGAACAAGCCCTCCCAACTGCAGCGCGACTGACCTCCCCATCATCTCATTCTTCCGCCGCGCCAATTTCACCAACATATTCAACCCGCACAACATGGTCCGCCCCCGTGGTAATCAACTTCGACAGCGTAGACGGCTTCGAAGACATCATCCCCGATTTCCGCCGCGTTCTGGCCATCGTCAATGAACTGCAGGAGCGCGTCGATCGCCTCACGAGTATCGTGACGTCTGAAATATCCATCGAGGACTCTCGGCGCGGCCTAGAAGAGAACCACAACATGGCGCGCATAACCTGGCTGGCAACGATTTTCATTCCACTGACATTTGTGTCGGGCTTGTATAGTATGAACGAGAGTATTTCGGCGCTGAAGTCGACCTACGGATGGTACTTTTTGACTGCGATTCCGTTCACGTTGATTGTCATGGCGATTGGATGGGTTGCGGGAGGTGGGAGTTTGGCACCGTGGCGATTGCAGAATACGAAACAAAAGGGGATGATCGGGGGGCGAGATAACAAGAAGGCAAAATGATGAGAAGAAGAAGTTGTAAAGCTCGGAGAGCTTTCTACAAATCGTAAAAGCGGTGTTGCAACACAATGCAAAGTGATGGAGAAGTTGCATTTGCAATGCCAGAGTCTATTCACAATCTGTCAAGCTACGTTCAGAATGAACGCTTTACAGGGTATATCTAAAACTAGGATGGCGATGTCCAAGCTGCCCAACGTTCTCCTGCAGCAGCCTGTCGTCTCGTTCTCCTCTATCTCGCTTTTTATTCTCCCAGTTCAGATACATGATCTGTGCCAAAGCAAGGACAAGCGTCAGGACCAGCGCACCGAGGCTGACCGAATGACCCAGTGCGTACTTTGGCGAATCGCGTTGGAGGTATATGAAAGTGCCAATAAACGCAGAGCAGTTGGCGATCGAAATCACAATACCGATACCGACTGCTCTCACATAATGAGGCGCGAGGTTGTTTGAAGCCCAGCCCTGCATTTAGTTCAGTGTGAGACTCGTAATCTGTGAATAGAGCCTTACCATGACCATGGGTGAGCCTTGGAAAACACCAATTGCGACGAGGAACGTCCCAGCGTATCGTACGGCATTGTTCTTTGCAACAAGCATCATGATATACCCACATATGCCGAGTACTGACCCCCCAACGATGAAGTAACCACGGTTCTTGACCTTGTCCGAGCAATATGCTGTCAGTAGAACTGTGAAGAATGCTGCCATATTCGGCGGAACGGTGAAAAGTTGCGCAGTAGTCGATTGATAACCCATGCCCCTGATAATTGAGGGGAGGAAGAGAGAAAAGCTCTGCTTGAGGTGAGTATGACGAAATCAGATCGATGGTTCAGACTTACGTAGAGTGGCACCAGAAGGAAGAACCAAATGATTGAGCAAAAGTACGTCTGCGGAGCCGTGAGCGCCATCTTCATCCAATACCAGCTGAACCTCTCGTCATCAACAGCCACGACGGCGGAGGACCCGTGAGCGTCAAGCCTCATACGTCGCAGCGCCCATTCTTTCTCTTCGTCGTTGAGAAAATGTGCAGCGGCAGGTGTGTCCGGCATGAAGAAGAAGCAGACGATGCCAAAGACTACCGTTACTGCGCCTTCGACTGAACATGACGTTAGCTCGAGTTCGGTATGTATGCGTTGGATTTGGCTTACTGAAGAAGATCCACGGCCACTTGTTATACCCACCAACCTCAATTCGCGCCAAGCCCGACGCAAGGAGCCCTCCAAAAGCTCCGCTGAGCGGCGCAGCGCAGTAAAACAACCCGCTTCTCAGAAGCATCTCATGTCTACGATAGAACATTGCTAGATAGATGATAACGCCGCCTAGGATGCCGCCCTCAAACAAGCCCAGCAAAAGGCGACAAACGACCAATCCCGCGAATGACTGAACGAAGCCCATGAACGTGCATACCAGCCCCCATGCCGTTATCAGAGTCGGCAAGTACACTCCTGCCCGCAGTTTCTTGACGAGAAGGTTTGAAGGAACGTCGACGAGGATGTAAGGTATGTAGAAAACGAGGAGCGCAACGTTGAAGGATGTGCCGTGGGTTATGTGCAGTTCTTCAGCTAGGCCTGCAATTCGAGCGTTTCCTATGTTGCTGCGGTCTATGAAGGAGAAAAGCCTGACGCAGTCGTTAGGTAAGTTACGGAGTTGAATCGAGAGGTGTGTTGTACCATATTCCAAACAGCCATGGCAAGATGTGGACGTCGAATTTGCGGTTTAGCCGCTTATCGAGCTGGAGATTGACAATGGCGTCGTCGGAATTGGTTGCCTTTTCTATATGTGCAGCATCCGGCGTAAATTTCTCCATGTCGGCTGTTGTGGTGGTTAAAATCAACTACGATCAGTTGCCATTACACAACTCCGCTTCAGAATGAGCCAGATAAATAAAATTAACCAGGAAGCCAGACAGAAACGGACTCTTATGCATTATTCGCTATGTCGGCTACTTGTACAATTACCGGCATGCGGGGAAAAGATCGCCAATACTTTGCGGGGGCATGCCACATCAGGCAGCCCGGGACTATGAACCCATGCCGTCGACAGGACGTCAGCGGGATAACTCTAGGAAACGCCCTCCACCCTGGCCAAATCGACCAATTATATACGTAGGGCAATGAACACAGCACGAGGTATGCTAGCCGCATGTCAAAAACGTGGCAGTCCGGGTTGCTGAGCTTCTCGGTCCCTGCACTCCTTATTTCGTCATCCATGTCCAGAAAATTCTTGCTAGAACTACACTCGGGAGATCAACGAGGCGGTAGAAGACTTCCGACGCTAGCGCGACTAATGGCGCGCAGACGCAGAAGCATGCAAAGTTATTTACGGCGTCGCCTGTACCAGTGGCTTTGATGTGGAGGAACAACTTGATGCCGGCTGTGTAGACGATAATAGATTGGACGAGAAAGAAACCTAGTGCTGGTTAGAATGGACTCCAACAATACTACGTTGTCAGCTGACTTACTGAAGCTTCGCCTGCCCAACGCGACGAAAGGCTTGTACCGAAGCACTTTCTGCGGCCAACTGAACGTTTCGACCAGGAGCATGACACCCAAGATGATAAGGTAACTGTCTACTCTCGCTAGTGGCTGATCCACATCCAGGTTCTCGTTCAGCACGCCGGTCTCATATAACCCAGTATGTCCATACAGCTCGTGGTCCCGCATCTTTGGGTTCCAGGAGATGAATAGGTACTGGAGCACCACACCCGTGACGACCATGGCAATGTACAACGGCCAGATGGGAACTCGGAACTTCCTCACCCGCAAACCGGCACGCGACCTAGACCGAAAGTCCATGTTGAAGACCGCATCCGCGATGAGCAGACCGGTAATGCTGTACCAGGCCCAACTCTGCACCCAGAAAGCTGCCACGATGAACACGAGCAGTGCCTTGACGCGCCAGGATACGCGTGTGTAGGGGACGATCGTCATCGTCATGTAGACTGTATAGCTTTGCTGGAAGAGGACGGATACAATCCAAAGAGTACCAGAGGGGAAGACTTTAGCTGCAGCTTGATTGCTGTAGTATTTATTGAGCCAGAAGACCTCGAAAAGCGAGTTGAAGTACACCAGGAAGTTTCGGAGTCGCATTGGCGTATTTGTCGAGACATTGCCAGTGACATGTAGGAATTCGGAGATGTAGTCGGTGGACGCGATGCTGAATGCCGCAGCTGCGAGCGAGTACGCGACAAATGTTGGAATCCATAGTCTGATGCAGCGACGGAAGACGCTGGATGCGCAGACTCCGCGAGCGTTGTCTACGAGGTACGGTACGCAGATCGTGCGCGCTGAGAGGAAGATGAACCACGAGTAGATCAATGATTCGTTACAAAACAGTACCGAAAAAGACTTCCGAAGGACAATCTGGTAAAGCGGACCGTTTGTATTTTTCGAGTCTGGTACCGCCGATGGAAGGAACGTCTGGAAGAAGACGAACAGGAACGACTGAACTACGAGAAGGCTACGGAGCCCGATGAGGTAGTCTTGGTCGGTAGTCGTAGTCGGCGAACGAAGATTCGAGGAAGATAATACTGATGCAAAACGAGAGGCTAGAAGTCGGGACTTCATAGTAACAACGATACTACTCGAACTCATAAGTATTATATCTCCACTGAGGCTTGAGGCGTTGTAAACTCACATCAAAAGAATAGTCTGTCTAGAATGAAGAATGTCCTCCTCTGCTTCTACGACAAGTGCGACCCAAACACGTGCTCGAACGGTGCAAATCCGCGTCTACAATTTTCCGTGGGGAGACCCGAAATAATTTCACGTCTTGGTAGCCAGCGTATGTTCTGGGGCCACCGGTCTCTCCGGTCCCTGGTCTTGTTGCACAACAGACTTTAGATTATAGATACTACCTCAAATTTCAGCTACGGTCCGAGACATTCAGCTTGTATGCGCCCAGAAATTGCGTATGTGATAAAGCGTAGATTCCGTTGCCCCACTGGGGCTCAGTGTTAGATTTGGCTAGTTACCGTAGTGAACGCCATGACTGCATTAGCGTTGACGGGAATTTGAACCGACCGTATAGTCAAATTTCCCTATCTTGTGGCGTCAATGTTACAATGTGCAGGGTTCATCCTGTTTGTCGTCCGTCGTGACGTGCTCGATGAACACGTGGTGTCTTTGATCTTTTTAAAAGTGCCCGTGGAAAGTATTGTGGGAGCATAGACCACAAATCTCTCTCGTCATATTGGTGGTAGTTTATGAGGCTAGTATTATTACAGGATGGGTACTATATCTGAGAGATGGCGGAACTGCTGCAAGGGGCTTCTCAGGGGTTGCATCTCCGGCTTGTTCCTGCAGTTTGTTTACCAAGGGATCATCCGCGTTGGGGCCAAGCTTTCGGGCGCTGCCGTCTGCTAACCATGTGGGCTTCCCGAGAACGCATGTCGTGTCTACCTCCTGCGTTTCACACTTCAGGCAGTAGACTTCATGGATGAATCTCGGCAGGATTGCACTATCCAATAACTTTGTGCTGCGAAAGCTTGTGACATCCATGGCTTCACGAGAAACAGGATTAAGCGATGCGTCGATCCGTTATAACCTACCGTGAACAGGCTCGTCACATCATAGCGCCTGTATTTTGTTGAAAGCCAAGAGACGTTATGCAACCTGCCAGCTTGAGACAGCAGGTGGCGATACATGGAGAAATTGAAAAATTCGCTGTGCATCAAATGCATGCATGCGGGCAAGAGAAAGCAGCACCATGTCCTGGGATGCATCTTGTAACCAGATTCTGACCATCCCGATGTCCTAGTGATATGTACCCCTGCAGAAACTTGCATGTCTACGACATTCAAAATACAGGTTTGTGCGCATTAACATTTACAATTGCTTCTTCTACTATTTCATGTGACATTTAAGTTGACATGCAATCAGATACCGTTCTACCCTATCCTGATGTTGGCCTAATCGCAACGATCGGACGTATGCCTGACTCCCAGAGAATCCACAGTGCACCCTTGGTGATACGTTACTTCCTCGCAGTCGGGTTCCAGGAGCTATACCTGACAAGCTGCCGTGCATGTCCGTACAACCCAATAGTCGCATTGACCATAAGGTAGAAGGGGTAAAGAACCGAGAAGAGAATAATCATCCTCCTCGAGACGAACTCGGATTTGACCTGGTTTGTGATCCAAAGTGTGGCAATTAGACAAGTGATGCTGTTAAAAACTCTGTTAGCGAGATGCGTGCAGGCTGAAACGTGGTGTTGTGGTACGAACCTGATGATAAAAAGCCACTGTGACACGGGGTACTGGAAATAGACTAGCCCCCACAGTTCCTCGCCCGACGACGGGAATTTGACGATAAGAAACGATAATACCAGACACGCGTACTGCGTCACTAGGTAATAGGACGATTCGCGGATGAGTAGAAGCGAGAGTACACCGAACCGAGCCGTGAAGTTGCGCTTCGAGTGCGCCTCATGTAACGGGTCCTGGACGCCATTGTAGACCATCTTGAGGTGTCGCATGCTTGCCTGTGCCCAGCCCTGAGCCCATCGAAGGCGCTGCTTCCAGAATGCACTGAAGGTTGTAGGTGCGAGTTCGTAGGAGGTGACGTTGAGATCATGAACCGTCTTGCAGCCGCGTGAGAAGGCGCGCAATGCAGAATCAATGTCTTCGGTCAACATGGAACCGTCCATCCTCAGTTCGCGAAGCACTGAAGTTCGCCAATAGCCATTGGAACCGCAAAAGAGTCCAAACCCCCACATCGTAGAGCGTCCAGGATGTGAAACTGCATATATCTTGTCGAACTCAACTGCGATCATGCTGGTGAGGAAGGTGTCGGTGGAATTGAACACGATGCACCGTCCCTGAACGATGTCGACCTCTGGATCAGCCATGAACCGTTCGGCTGCCCATCTCGGGCTATTAGGGTGCGGGTAGTGGTCACAATCGTAGATGGCTATGAGATCTGACCCAGTGTCCAAAGTGAAGAAGTAGTTGAGATTGTCCGCTTTGGAGGTCGAGTTAGGAACCTTGATAATCCTAGCATGGGGGTATCGCAGAGGCAGTTGGTGTAGGTCGGTCTCCAATGGTTCAATTGATTTTGGTGTGTTATAAACGATGTTGATGCGAATCCGTTCCTTGGGATAGTCGAGTTGCTCGAGAGCGTATATGGCGCGGTCCATGATAATATCTTGCTCATTCGGAAGGTATGCCACAATGATGAGATCCAGAATCGGGAGATTGCTATTCGCTGTCGGAAAGAGCCATTCTTTGTCTTGAGCCTGCGTGACAATCTTCCTCGCCTCTCGACAGGGAGTGATGCTGAAAAACGCCTCCAAGACAGTTGTTCCGGCAATGTAGAAGTTTGTGCACATATAAATGAACCAGAAGATTGCGATCAAGCCCTCGCTGCAGTACATGTAGAGACATGTTGAGAAGACGTAGTATGAAGCGACAAGACCAAACGGTGTCCAATCCGAAATAAATGCCGACACGCTCTCTACAACGTTGGAGGCTGTCCAATTATCCTTGATGGGTACTTTTTCATCGAGTTCAATAGAGTTCGTCTCTCCAATTTCGATGATGTAGTCCTTCGAATCCGACATAGTGTAGTAAGCGAGTTGATAGAACAGGGGTGCTTTGATTTTGATGGCACGTTAACGAGCGGATAGGCGGGGAAAATGAGTGACCACCACAGCTGAGCTTAAACGAGTGAATGTAAAGTCAAGAAGAAAAATGAGACCAGCCCTTCGTTCGGCGCAACACGCGGAGAGCGATTAATGAGGAGCGTAGCGGACAATGAGAGACTGAAGAGATATACTCATGAAGGGAATATGCTGTACAATCACAACATTTCAAGATAAACCATTGGACCAACCACAAACTAGTTTTTCGTACTGCGTGCAGGACCAGCAATAGTAAGGCGTGTTTCCGGACCATGAGGACGAGATCGTAGTGGGTCTGCCCTGAAACCTCATCATGTCTATCCTTGTACATTCTTGCATGCACGAGAATGTTTAAAGCGCCGAATAGATAGCCTTGAAACGCCGTCAGTCCGTTCAACAAGATGATCTATCGCAATCTGTGATTGTCGTCAACGAGAACACTTGTCGATTATGAAACCAGGTTCTGGAGGGGATGCCGGGAAGAACACTAGTTGACAGATCATTCGCTATCTTCCTCTCTTTGGCCTGGTCTTCAGTAGAACTAGTGTAACGGAAGCCGTGCCCGCTGAGAAAAAAGCACTCTTTCTCAACCTTAAGCGGCACCATGTCTCCACATCAGCAACGCAAATGTGCAGACAGCTGGACCGTGGAAGGGGCCAGTGTAACGAACTTCATAGCACTATCAGGCGGTGCCGAGATGAAGAGATGAAGGCTGGAATCATTCATCTCCAATCACGTAGATGAGGACTAGGATGCAGTAGTGGGCTGAGCAGATGCGGGATGGGAAGAAAGGTGGGCCCGTGCTAGCCGTTTTCGCTTCCGGCTCCCGTCAACGAGAGCACAACGTCTCGACATGCTTCTGTCGCCTCACACAACGGCAACCTGCCCACAGGTTACAACGCATGCCGTTACCTTCAAAAAGAAATAGATTTGCCAAGGATTTTTACTAGGGTTTCGGCCCTTTATCCCAAGTCACTGTACAGCATGTGGCTGAGTATGGCTCCGAGTATGACCTCAAGAACCAGGTAACAGGCCTTGTAAATGATAGGGGTATTCTCGAGGCTGAAGCTTCCAACCCCTCGTCATGACGATCCAAACAACAGAGCGGCTCCACTCACGCCAGGAAGATTCACAACGCCCCCACGGTCACAGTGGTCCTCAATTCTCCGGGGGAATCTGTCATTTTCTGTGAACAGTCGCCTGTAGCTGGGAAACTAACCGTTCTGAGACTGAGACGTCCTCATTCTTTCGCACTTTCCATTCCCTCGCTCGTTCATCATCATGTTATCCTTCACTCCCTCCCTTTCCGCCCTTTGGTGGGCGCTGACTACGTCCGCGCAAGTTTTGAGTGAGAAGAAGAATTGTACCTGCGGATTTTACAATGGACAGACCAACGATTTTTTCACCGATTCCATCATTGTCTACTTCAACGAAACGAGTAGCTTACCAAAAGACTTCATCGCTGAAGACTACGCCCAAAAGTACGAGAAGGATTGGAACGCCATATACCGGCAAGGTGCAGACTCTTCAAACATCCGGCTTAACAACTCTGAGTCCCTTCAACTCTTTGTGCAACCCCCTAACAACGAACATCTGGTGAAAGGCGGTGGTATTCGAACGACAAGACGCGATATCCAGCATGGTTCTTTCCGCACCCTCATCAAGTCACCCGGACAGACGACGAGCGGCTCTTCCATGTCCATGATGTGGAAGTACAACGAGACGGAAGTCGCAGAGCTCTCTGTAATGAACAGAAACAATCATTCGGATGCTTGGGTGGGCACCTTTGTCAACAATGAGTTCACGACGCGCGATCTGGGAGTCAACTTTACTCAACTCCTCGAACAACCAGCGGCGAATCGTAATTATACCACACTGGGTGGAGGACTCGGCAACGGCAGCGTCAGCCCATGGGATTATATTGAATATCGGATCGACTGGACCCCGGACTATATCAACTTTTACATTGGTGGTAATCTGACTAGACAAGTGTTGCATGTAAAGAACAAAGGCATGCCGTCGGTGCCGTCTGCTCTTTTCTTCAAGCACTGGTCTACGGGCAACAGCTTCTCGATGGAGGGACCACCAGATCGAGAGTCGGTTGCTAATATTGGCTGGATCCGTATGTTCTTCAACTCCGTTTCGACGAGTGAGCCTGTCCGTGAGGATTTCGCTGCTCGCTGTGGGTTTAGCGATGCCTGTTCAATGGATGACGTTACACTGCGAGGGTCGACTCCATTCACTGAAGAGGCAACGAAAAAGTGGAAACAGGACCCCTACAAGAGCATCAAGCGGATGCCGGCGTTATGGATCTCGGTCGCTTGTATAGCGTTTTCGACACTCTTACTCACCCATACGTTCATTCGCCGCGTGACACAATCAAAATCCAATGGCCATGGTTCGCCTACGAAATCCTCTGCCGTCGATGAGGTGGATAGGAATGCTCTTGCCGTGAGAGAGCACGAGGCGAATAATCATTCTGGCTCTCTCCAAAACTCTTCCCTGGCAAGCCGACCTCCATCATCCAAGTACGAGTTCACAGACGATCTTGCTATAGAAAAGCTTGGCCCCAGTCAATGCTCCTCAGTCCTAGGAGGCTCGACTCCCAAAACCGGACCATCGCCACATAACTCTGTACGTTTTGACAGTCGTGGGACAACGCCTCATATCTTGTCGCCCCGCACTAGTAACTTGAACACTACGAAAGAAGATTTAGCTGCGTTCAAATTCCCCGGTAAAGATTCAGAGTCGACGCTTATCTCGCCACAAACTCCCCACACCTCAAACGACAAGATCCAAATGGAGACCGTCACCGAGTCTGCGCTACCAGCACCTCGCATGAGATCTCAGCCGCCCCCGCCACGACAACGCATCGACCATCTTGCCGGGCTGACGGCATTATGCTCCGTTCTCGTAACAGTCATGCACTTTGGCCTCACCTTCGTGCCCGCCATGGTCATCCCTGGCGCACCTCAACACAACAGATCGGAGTACTGGGCACAAAAGATCATTGCGCCCTTTCTGCTGAACCAAATGTGGCTCGGTGTCTTCTTTACAACTTCCGTGCGCTTTCTCACTGCACCATACCTACGCAAAGGCAAGGTGGAGGACATCGCCCGGGCGGCCGTGCGGCGGACACCGAGGCTCATGATACCAGTTGCCAGCATAGCGTTGTTGGAGTATTTCCTCATTGACGTGGGCACTACGACATATCTGCGGTATATACCCAGCTTGACATGGTCGACGTGGCCGTACGTGACGCGTTACGCAAACCCAGGGCAATACGTATCTGAAGTGCTCGAATTGATCTTTTTGATCCCGAATGCGGTGCCGAATATTACACTGCATTACTGCACGGGTGTGCTATGGACTATTGCCGTGCAGCTGCAAGGCACCTGGCTAGTCCTACTCGGTGCCATGGTCGTGTACGAGATCAAGAGTCCGTGGAAAAGAATGGGCTTTTACTTCTTCTGCTTCGTCAATCACTGGTATGCGCAGAGTTGGGGTTCGTATCTGTGGCTCGGCTTGCTCCTCACTGATCTCGATGTTACGTTCAAGTGGAAGACGTACCTGTCCACTCGGCCAGCGGCGTACTATCCGCTCATGGTCTTCTGTTGGATCTGTGTCGGTGCTGGCTTCGCTGCTAATTTGATTCCGAACTGGGTGCCGGGAAATTTCAACTTTGCTATTTCAGAGCGCAATATCCATCCGGATGTTGCTACTGGCGAAGCGCTTCTCAATACTGACCGCGCGGGGTATGTACAAACACAGTGTCCAGGCTGAATATAAGACAAGTACTGACACTTCGTTCTTCCCCTAGATACCCAGCGTACTACACGCCCCGCCTCAACGGCCTTCTCTTCGCAGGCGGCATGCAAGCCATTGTAGAACTATCCTCGACCGTACAATGGCTCCTCTCCACACGCCCCTTCCTCCTCCTCTTCCCCCACATTTTCACCATCTACCTCCTGCACGGCCTTGTATTTTGGACCTGGGGAAGCTGGCTGCTCGTCTTCCTTGCAGCACGGGACTTCAGCTACGGCATCAACGTCGCGATTGTGGGCGTGACGTCGTATGTTTTGCTATTCCTCAGCTTGCCGATTGTTACGCCTGTGCTGGAGGCGCTGGGCAAAGATGTCACGGCGTTGGTGTGGATGACTGCACAGGAAAAGAGTCCGCCAAGGCGTAGGACGCTGTTTCCGTTTCCTGCGGATGTTTTCACTGGACGGCCGGTCAATTTGAAGGACGGCGCGCAGGTGGATGTCGAGGGCGGGGCTGGAGATCGTAGTTCTGCGCCGACGACGCTGCAGAGTGGTGATGCTAGCTCCAAGGACAAATCGGGTGCCAAGGTGGAATCACATGAGTTGTAGAATCGTGGGTGGCGGCGCAGGAGGTGCGTCAGCCGAGTTCTCAAACGCGAGGCCATCGTCTTCCTCGTCTTCCTCCTCCTCCACCTCCTCCTGCTTGCTTATCCGCTTGTCCATAGGCGCATATTCAGCTTTACGTTGATCCCACATATTAGATATATACGAGTGTGCAATGGCTGCGTTGGTTATATTCTGTACATCATATTATATTCGGGGACAAGTGCTTTGAGAGTTCAAGGAGGAAGTTTATTTCATGTTTGCGTAGAGTTTATGAGAAAACATGGTGCACCATTCCATGCACACTCCCCCGCCTTCTTGACTCACTAGAACAATTTGTCACTCCCACACATCTACTTCTTCTCGCTGCCCCCCAAGCTTGAAGTCCTAATATACGGCTCCAACGGGAAAACCTGATTCTCCGCACTCACCCCAGCATACACCTTATCCCACCGCTCCTGTAGTATCTCCGGGGTCTTCCACGCGTTCTCTGGATCCCTGAGCCACAGTCTAACGAGATGTCTCTGTTTCTCAGCTGTATTGGTGAAGCCATCGCGTGCGTGAAACACGGAAAGGTTATTGACAAACTGTACGTCGCCCTGCTTGAACTCCAGCCCCAGTGCGTATTTTTCCGCGAGGAAATGTAGCGTGTCGAGGGCTTCAGCTTGCGCTTCGGTTATGGGCGGGATATTTGCTGAGCGCGGGAGGCCTTGGAAGCCAGTGAAAGTTCGGCGGGCGTACTGGATGATCAGGCGCTCCGGTTCTGTGTAGAACTGAAGAAAGGTAATTGTATTAATAATATTCTTTGTGTAGGGGAAGCTATATTTATATATAAAAAAGAGTAAAACTAAAGTAGGCTAGTCTATATATAGGCTAGCGTATTAGGCATATAATAAATTATATATTAAGAATTTAAACTAACAGCCCCCCTAAATTCTAATATAAAATAAAATAAAAAAGAATAATAGCATTATAGTATTATACTATAATAAGAGTATTTTATATTAAAATTATAGTTTATACGCTGTTTGCTATAGTAAAGTTATACAAAATTATAATTATACGCCTTTTTTTTATAATTGCAATAGTTATAAATTTTAATATAATTAAATTATACATTTGTACAATCTTTTATAATGCTATAAATAATATAAAGTTATTTAAGCTTTAGAATTTAAATGCGCTTAGTATTTACTTTAATTTATTTTTACTATAATATATAAATAAAAAAATATTGCTCTGCTTTGTAGAGCTAGTAGTTATAAATAATAATATTATTTATATTTATATTTAGTAGGTTAGAAATAGTATTTATAGCAAGTGCCTAGCTAATAAAACTAATATTTTAGTAAACTATTTTAAATTTAATAGGGTCTAGAGCTTTTGTAAGTATATTAATAAAATTTTTTTTACTACTAATTTATTTAACTATAATAAAGCTTTTATAAACATAGTTATAGAAAAAATAATAATAAATATTAATATGCTTAGTTTGTTAGTAAAATTCTAAATTTTTAGCTAGCTTAATAACTAACTAATTATTAATATATATAAGTATAGTATTAAAGTAAATATTAATGCATAAGTTATTAATAAATAACTTAATTTATATAATTTTTTTTATAGCTTTGCTAAAAACTATATATTCTGCTTTATATATAAACTAGGCTACAACTTTCTATATAGCAGATAACTATAAAATAGGCCTTTTAGTAAAAATAAATATATAGCTAGTAGTAGAGCGTTAAAAGTTTAGACATTTAGCTTAGTTAGTATTAATATAGCTTAAGAGCTAAAGTTTTTACTTTTTATATATAATACTAATTTTGTAAGTACTATTTATATAAGCATATACTCTAATTATTGCATTTATATAATACTATATTAAATTACTATTAAAGTATTTATAGAGCAAAGCAGCGTAGGCTAGGTTAATATATATTATAACTAGTAAGTAGTTAAAAAAATTAAACTTTTAAAAATATTTTTTTTTAAAAGTAAAAATAATAATATTATTATTATTTTACTTTAACTTAACACAATAATTACATAAAATTTTAGTAATAGCTATATTGCTAAAGTTATAGTAATTAAAAAATTGCTAAATATATTTAGCTTAGTAAATTTTTATTATATCTGTGCTTTATTTAATGTGTATTTTTAAATACAGAGTATTAGAATTTTCTAATATAATAGTAAAAGTATTAGAAAGTTTATTTTTAAATATATTAATGCTATTTTAGTATAAAGCATAAATGCAAATATTATTAATATAAACTAAAATAATTAGCTTTTGCGTAATATATATATAAATGCAGCTATTATAAAGTAAAATATAAAAGCTTATTTATATAAATTTTATAGTAAGTATTTTGTACTATACGCAAGGCGCCTATACAAGCCTATAAAAAAACTTAAGTAGTAGCTATATATAGCTAGGAGGTAGCGTAACTAGAAGTAGCAGTATATAATAAACTATTTTTTAAAGTATAGTATTAAAAAAAGCAATAATAATATTAATTTATATACTTATTTATTTAAATAGTATATAAATAGCAAGTAGCGTGCGTATTAATATAAAGCAAGCTATAAAAAAAAAATTTTTAATATAATTAATACTAAAGTACTATTAAAAACTACAAGCAATAAAGCAAGTTTTAAACTTAATAATTTTGCTAATTAGTATAAGCTTAATTTTATAAATTATTTTAGTAAAAATAGTTTTTTTACTTTTAAATAATAAAACTGTTTTATAAACGCTTTTTTTAAAAAGCAAATTAAGCTTTTTTATTATTATATCGCGCTATACTTTTACTTTAAATATAATTATAGCTTTTTTGTAGTTATATAGCATGCAAATAAAAAATGCTATAATAGCAGTAAAAGCAAGCTAATTATATATATTTTAAAAATTTTTATTAAGTAATATATTATTTTTTATAATAAATAAGTTTGCAAGATTACTATTAAAGTAGTTATTAATAGTAATAGTTATATCTAAAACTTGCCTAAAGTTGTATGCAAAAAAAGCAAACTAATTAATTTAAAAAAATTTTTTATTAAAAATATTTTTATTAAATATATTATTATTATTACTGTTACAAAGTCCTATAAGACGACTATTTTTTATAAGTACTTAAAATATAAATTTATGTTTTTTATATTTTAAATTATAAGTAATAATAAGTATTGTATAACTATAGTTATTAGGCTTTTTATAAACTATATATACAGCTTTTTTTTTAGCAATAAAAATATTATCTTTTATTTTTATTATATATGTCTGTTAGCGTTTATACAAATGTAAATATTTTATTATTATATATTATAAGTATAGGTAACTTTTTGCGCAGCTTTATTTAGTGTATTTATAAACTATATAAATACTAAATTTAAAGTAATTAAGTTTTCTATTAAAGTAGTAGGCTATTTATATAGTATTATTATTACTATAGCATTTATATAGAACGCTACTATTTATGCAATATAAGTAAAAAATAGCTTAGTTATACTTAAAGTTTATTCTAATATAGTAGTTGCAGAAATTATTATTTTTATTAGCAAAAGCTGTATATGTATTACTATTTATAATATATATATTATATAAATATTAACTATTATATTATAATAGCCTAAGTATCTAGTAAAAGTTGCAGGATTATTTTTTATAATTTTAATATATAGCGCATTATTACTTTTTAAGTAGTATTTGCTATATATGTGTTTGCACTAGTATATAGTTTAAATATTTATTAATTGCAGTATAATAATTATATAAAAATTTTGTGCATGTAAAAGCCTTTGCAGTTTTTTTATATTATTTATAGTAATTTTAAATATACTGCTATTTTTCTATTATAAATAGAATGCACTTAGTATTTTTTTTAGTATACTAATTATATTTTATATTATTGCTTAAGGTTAAGCATTTCTTTTATTATATAAAATAGTAAGTGCAGATATTATTAATAGGCTTAGTAATTTTAAGTAGCTTAAATAAGTTAAATTTTCTATTATTGCTACTACTTACTAAGCTATAACTATTTTTATTTAAGAATTATTGTAGTTTTAGAAATATTTTTTAAAATATAAAATTAATAAGTAGTTTATAACTAGCTATAGCAGTATTACTATTACTAAGCTAAAGTTATAAATTAAAAATAATATTTTTAAGCAAAGTATTATTGCTATTATTAAAAAAGCTAGATAAGCTATTTTTATTACTTTTATTAATAAAATTAATAGTTGCATCTTTGTTTTAAGAAGTGCTATTATTTTTATTAGTAAAATTAATAATTATATATATTTATATAAGTGTATTTAATAACTATATAGTACTATTAAAATATTATATAATTAGTTGCAAGTTAAATATAATATTATAAAGTAGTTAGTTTATAAAGTAATTTTTAAAAGTGTGTATTTCTAAAATTTAAAAAAAATTTATTTATTTATTTAAAAAATAAAATTTTATAATTTAAGTAAATTTAAAGCATAAGTTTATACTTAGCAGCTACTTTTTTTTTACTTAAAATTAAATTGCCTATTAGTAATTAGGCGTATAAAAGTAAGGTAAAATAATAGCAAAAATAAAAAGTAGTATATTTAAATATTATTAGTATACTATTTTTTTAAACTATATTAATAGTGCTAGTATATATATTAGTAATAGGTTTAGTTTTTTTAAAAAATAATTTTAGCATTACTAGTAGTAATAGTTAGTTTAAGCAATACGCGTAAAGTTTTATATATATATTATTTTTTATATTTATTTTGCAAAGTTTTTATTATTAAAAAATTTATTTATAAAAGTAGATAGCGCAAAAAAATAGCTATTAAAAGCAAATATAGTATTATTATTACTATTGCTGTTATTGTTGCTATCTAAGTTAAGTATTATATTTAGTACCTAAATAGGTTTTTATAGTACGCAGTTATTAATATACTAATTATAAAAATAAATATTATTTATACTAATTATATTATTAACGCAAGCTATAAAAATACACTTAACTTATTTAATATTAAAGCACTAAACTTAGTAAATATTTTTACTATTTATATATAAAAAATATGTAATATATTTTTATAAAAAATAAAGCTTTTATTAGCTAATAGCGACGCGGAGTTTAGGAAGCGTAGTAATATAAATTTATACTTTTTATGCATTATTTTTGCTAAAATTAGGCTTTTTACTATAAAAAGCTTTATAAAAAGTTTTCTTATTTAGCAGTACTTTTATAAAAGCTTAGTTTTTTTTATTAATAGCTTTTTAAATAGTATATATTTAAAAACTTTTTAGTAATATAGCACTGCGCAGTATTTTTTTAATGCAGTTAATAATAAATTTAGTTATATTAAAAAAAAGCATAAAATTTTTAATTATAGCTAAAAAGTATTCGCGTATAGTTTAATAAAAGTATTTAATTATATTAATTATATAGTAAGTATATAAAATACTAAATTTAATAGTAATACCTTTACTATTGCAAAAAGCCTAAATAAAGTATTATAAAAACTTATTATTACATTATATGCAAATAATAAGTTTGCTATATTTTATAAATATATATATAATAAGCATAGTAAAAAACTTTGCAATTTTATTTTTAGTAATAAATAAAATAACCTAAGTAAATTAAGTGGCGTTATTAATAAAAAATGTTATAGACTAGCCTTAGGATTGTTCTATTCTAAGCGTAAATAATAGTATTATATACTTTAAAAAAGTACAGAAATTTCTAGCTACTTATATAAAAATTTATTGCTAAAGTTTACTAAAGTTTTTAGTCCGCGAATACTAGAGCTTAAACTAAAGCCTAAGCTATAATATACTTTTTTATTTTTAAAAAAAGTTTTCTTTTTTTTTTAGGCCTTAGGCCAGTTGCAATATTATTAAATTTTTATAGTACTTTTAGTATAGTTCTTTTTTAAAGAAATTTTAAGTAGTTTTAAGAATTATTAGTTTTTGCGCACTTATAATAGTAGCTTATACTAAATTTAAATAAATTTTTTAAGCAAAAACTTATAACTTTTTTTTTTTAATTATTTTTTTTTAAAACTATTTTTATACGCTTTTTTTTTACTTTTTTTTATACTTTTATTTTATAAGCTTCCTTTTCTATATTAGCTTTATAGTACTGCTTATTTTTTTACTATAGCAATTTGCAACCTTGTTTCTAGCTTTTAATTTTCTACTTTAAGCAGTAGTAGTAGCCTACTTAGTAGTAATTATAGTAGTTTTAGCAGCTATTACTAAAATATATGCTATTTTTTTATATAGCGCTATAGTAAAGCTAATTTTTTTTTAATTAAGTACTTTAGCTAAGCTAGTATGCAAATCTAGGCAGTATATTACTAAAAGCAATTTTAATAATAAAAAACTTAAAGCAATATTTACTTAAAGCTAAATATATACTAAGTATATTAGTATTATAAAAAAATTTAATTATATTAAATACTAAAATAAGCTTAATTAGTTATGCTTTGCTTGCTACTAAAGTAAAAAAATATATAAATATAAAAATACTTTTTTTGCTATATATTTTAATTTTCGCTAGGCCTTCTAAGCTTAGTAAAACTACTATAATAAGTCTAATTTTAATAATAATTCGCATATTATTATTTAAAGCACTTATAGCACTAATTTAATACATTATATAGCTAGTATGCACTACTAGTTTAATCTATAATTTTATATACTGCGCTATTATTATAAGGATGTCTGCAACACTGTTATTTATAATATTATTACTTTATTTCTGTTTTAGACTGCCTATAGCTTTAAATAGGCTATAAGTAATTCCCCCTGCACTACTATAAAAGAAGCTTTAGCTATTATTTTTTATACTTTATTTTATAATTATACTAGTTAAGGACTTAATGCGTATATAAATAGTATAATAAATATTATAAATTAGGCTATTAATTTAATTTATACTTATATTAGGGGCTAAAATGCTTATTTTAACGCCTTTTAGGCTTTTATAAATATATTACTTACTAGTATTAATATAAGTATTTTTCTTCTTTCTTAAAATTTTTTTTTATTATATTTAAGCTAGTTTGTCTGCTTTTATGCGTCTTTTTTAGTAAATTAGGTTTTATAAATTAGCTTTAAAATAGTCTTTTTAGCGCAATAATGCAAAAGCGCTTTAACGCGTTTTTTTTATTAGTTTTATTAATAGTAGTAATAAGCTAATTTTTTTTTAAGTCTACTAAGAGCTTCCTAAGCTTTTTTATAGCTATTATAACTAGTCGCCTGTTACTTATAATTAGCATTCTTCCCCTACTCTTTTTTAGCGCTAGTATAAGTATTCTTTTTTTAAAAAATTTTTTTTTTTTTTAATATAAAATAAGTTAATAAGTTTGCTTTAAATTTAGCTTTTGCTTTAAGTTTAGCCTTTACTCTAAGTTTAGCTTTTATTTTAAATTTAGCTTCTGCCCTAGGCTTAGCTTCTACCCTAGCCTTTTTTAGTTAATTCCTATTAGCGGCGCTGTTTTTAGGCTAGTTTAAACTTTTTTTTTTTTATTTGCCTTTTTAACTTTAAATATTTTAGTAATTTATTATTTAGCCTTCTTTGCTTTAATTTTTTCTATTTTAGTAATACTATGTCTGCTTAGCAAACTTAGGCCTTAAGCAGTACTTTTTTAAGCTGCTTTATTTTAGGCTTAAATATTTTTTTTTTTTTTTTTTAGTAAAATTGTACTATACTTACTTAGCATCCTGTAAAAACTCGCCTTTGCTATAATTATAGTAGTAGAAAGCATTAATAGTTTAGCCGTTTTTATAATAAAAAAAAATAGAATTTTTTTTTAAGTTTTGTATTTTTTCTGCCTTTTTTCTATTTAAAGCTTTTTATTATTTTAACTTAGACTAGTCTAAAGTAGCCGCGGTGTAGCTTTTAGCCCTTATATTTTTTTTATTTTTTTTTTTTAAAATTTTATTTTAACTTAAGCTAGCCTATTGGCTGCAGTAAGGCTTTCTACCCCTATATTTTTTTTTTTATTTAGGCCTAGGGCAGCCTTTGCCTTTTTTTAGCTAGAAAAATACATAATATTTTACCCTTTTTAGCATACTTTTTGTTTTTATTAGTAATATATTCTTTTTTTTTTTTTTTTATAATAGTAGTTTAATACTACTATATTTTTTACATTCTTTAGAAGTTGCTAAGTTAGGTTTAGCTAGCCTTGCTATTTAACTAAAGCTTTTTTTTTATTTCTTTTTCTAGTATTTTTAATATTAAAGATCTCTTCTATTTTTTATTTATAAAAAAAAAAGTTTTTTTTTTTAAAAATAAGCTTTAGACCTAGTTAGCTATCCTCCTTCTTCTAGCTTAGTAATAGGTTAGTTGCAGCTTATTTTACTAAATTTATATATATTATTTTATAGAAATTCTTTAGCAAGTCTAGAGTAACTATTAAAAAAGTAAATATTACTATAACTATATATTAGGCTTGCAGCTAGTTAAGCTTATTACTAAGCTAATTTATTTTTATATTCTATAAAGAAAACTAGATATAGTTTTTTATTTAAAATTACTCTACTAGCTAACGCACTTAGTTTATTACTTTTTATTAGTATTATTATACAAATAAAATAGTAGCTTGTACTAATTCTATGCCCTATTTTAAATAATTTAAGAATTATACTGTACGTTTTTTAAGTATAGTCTAGCTTTTTTTTTCTATTAGCACTTATTAGAGCAAGTCTACTGTATATTTATTAAAAAAGAAGTTTAAGCTTATTTTTATTACTATAAAATTTCTATTGTTTAAGGCTAGCTAGTAGGCTAAAAAATAATTAAACTAATTAGTTTACTTAAAGCAAATTACTACCTTTAATATTATTTGTATTTTTTAGTTTGCTTTTTCTATACTACTATTAGTCTAAAGGTAATAGGCAGTAAAAAAAAGCTGCGTTATACCTATAAGTTTATATAGCATAGTTTAGAACTTTTTTAACTAGTCTAATTTACAGTTAGTAATAATAGAAAACAGGAACTTATAGAATTTTTATTATATATTATAAAAAACTGCCGCATAATGCTTAGCAGCTATAAAAATTAGTACTTTTAACTAAATATATTTAAAAAAGTAATTTATAATAACTAATAAATAGTATAAGGCTTTTTCTTCTTTTACTAGCAAGTTTACTATAAAATCTATAAAAATTTATAACTAAAACTAGTCTGCTATTAGTAAAAATTATAATAGTCTTTACTGCTTTTTTTAAAATATATAAGCTTTATAATAGTAATAGTTCTAAATGTACTAGGCAACGTCCTTAAACATGCTATCTTAGTAATAATTACGCTATATTATTTAAAATATTATGTTTTTTTTTAAATATTTAGCTAAATTAAACTTATAAGCCTGCTAAATAATTATAGTAGTAAGTAGTTTTTATACTAATACTTATATTACTTTTTTTTACAATAAAGTGCTATGCGCGCTAACTATATAGTTTTTAATTTACTATAAAATTTTTGCTTTTAGTAAAAAGCGTTAGTTGCTTTTTTGCACTGCCTTAAGCTAGATATTATACATTTTATTTTAAATTATAGCTTTATTTTATAAGGCCTGCATATAATTATTTATAAAAATACAGCTTTTCTGCGGTTCTAGTTTAGCCTTTATATTTTTACTATTCTAAATTACTACTATACTAATAAGTATTATAACTTAAAATATTTAAAGGGACTTTATTATAATATTTTATTTTTATTAATTTAATATATCTAAGTAGGCTGCTATCTAGCTTAGGCAAAACTATAAATAAAAGTTATACTAAAACAGTATTTTTACTTATTTATATTAGCATTTGCTAAGCGTGCAAAAAGTAGTAAAGTATTTTAAATTTTTATAATTTATTAGTATTGTAAACAGGCGTTTTACGCTCTAAAATTCTACTAATTATACTTTTAAGCACTATACTATTGTAGTTAGCTTTTTATTATAAATTATATAATTTTATTACTTTAAAGTAAGGGCTGCTAAATAGTATATAATAAAGTATAAAATACTTTTTATAATTTAAAATAAGCATCTTCTTAATGCCTGTCTAAAGTAATTTGCTTCTATAATTATATTTTTTCTAAAATTTTACTAAGCTAGTACTAGCTTTGCTACAAAAATATTTTTTAGTATTTAAAAAGCTACCTGCTAAGCCTTTCCCTATAAAAATAGGGCGCCTTTTTTTATTAGAGAATATAGCAGCCCTGCTACTTAAAAAAACTAAAAAATAAAATCCTAGTAGAAGTTTATAAATTTTAAAAACTTTTATACTCTTTATACTATAGTAAGTAGCTTTTATTTTTAAATTACTTAGATTTTTTTAAAATTTAGGCAAACTGCTTTTTTTATTTTTATAATATATTTTAAATACTAAACTTTGTGCGCAGCAAAAATGTACTTTTTTAAATTTAAATTTAATTTAGTTTTTTTAAGTAGTATAAAAATTTAGTAGACTTTTTTTATATAATTTTTGCAAGTACTTTTTAAGTATATTAAAATATTATTTAGGTATACTATAGCATAATCCCCTAATATTTTTTAAAGCGCTCTATTAATATATTATTAAAAAAAAGCAAGTGCTTTAATTAGGCCTATTAAGTATACTAATTATTTATAAAAGCTAAACTAAGTTTAGAATATAATTAAGTATTTATCCTTTTTAGCTACTTGTAAATAATAAAATGCTAAATAAATATTTACTTTTATAAACTACTTAGTATTAGATAATATTTAGAAATTTTTTTTAATAAAAAGCAAAGGGTACTAATCTGCTTTTATAATTTTATTTAAGGCCTAGTAGTTTATATAAAAGCGCTACCCTCTTAAAAGCTTATATATAAAGAAAATAAGTACCTTTGCTAAAAAAAAGCTAGCCTAAATTTATTTTTTATTTATTAAATTTATAATTTGTTTCTATAATTTTAGCAAATAATCTTAAAGCATGCTATATAAAAATTTTTATAGTAAGTATAAAGCGTTGCTTTTTTTAGTTTGCTATAAGCAGATATAATAGTCTAAGCATTTTTAGTATAAAAGCAGCCTTTTTACTTTACTATTATTAAATAAATTTTAAAACTTTTTTAGCTTTTTTAGCAATTTTAATTTATTTTTTATTAACTTTTTTTTTAGCAGGGTATTATTAGGGCCCTGTCCTTAGAAAATAGTAGTTAAGTGCTAAATTATTATCTTATAAAATTTATTACTACTATTAAAATTTTTTTTTTTTTATTATAGCAGGGCCGCATATATTAAGCCTAAAACTATTTTTATTTTTAAAAGCATTTCCTAAAAATAGCTTTTTTTTATTATTATATATTTTGCGCTATGCACAACTAGCTTACTTTAGGCTATATTTAATATAGCTCCTTTTTAGCCTATCTATAATTTCCTAAAAATAAGGTTGTGCTTTAAGCTAGGAATTATATATACTATTAAACAAAACTGCTAACTATTTATATTGCAGCCTAGTATAACTAGCTAAGTTATTTTTACACCTAAAAAAGTTCCTATAGCCTAGTTTAAAAATTAAAGCAGAATATTAATAAAATTTATTTTAACTTGCTTTACTATTTTTTTGCTTATAGCACTAAAATACTTGCATTTTAAGTTAACTAAAGCATTTATAAACTTTATTTTATTAAAAAAAACTAGCACAAAAAATAAAAGTTTATTTATTTTTTACTAAATTTTTTAAATTTTTTTTATATTATTTTTTATTTTAGCTTACTTTTCTACTATAGTATCCCTGCATTGCCCCTAGTTTAATCTTTAGCTAAAAATATTTAATTTTCTTAATTTTTATTCTTAACTAGCAGTAATATTATTATTATAGCCTTAATAAATACTGCGCGTAGAAATACTATATTTGCGCAGTTTTTTGCAAAATATTTATTTTTTCTGCAGCATATATATAGTCCTGCCTTGCATTATTATTAAAAAACTTTATTTAGCACTTAATTAAATTGCTATAATTATAATTTGCTTTTTAAAGCTACTAGGCTTTTTTATTTTTATAATTTTACTATCTTTATAGTATAAACTAAAGTTATTTTAATATTTTTATCCTTATTACACTTCGCCTTTAGTATAGGCTAATAGTATAAATAGATTTTTTTTTTTATAGCTATAATTTTAATGTCTACTGCAATTAATTTATAGGCTATAACTGCTATATAGTAGTTTACTTAAGTAACTCTTTAGTATAAAGCAATAGTCTAAAGTGTGTAATTTAAATAGCGCTAAAGCTTATAAAATTTTTATTTAAAGTTTTATTTAGCCTTGCTACTTTAGGCTAAAAGCTGCTTAAAGTAGATAAAAAATTTTAAAAAAACTTTTTTATTACTTTACTAAAAATTTTCTAGTTTAGCCTGCGCCTACTCCTTTTTATAATTATCTCTATAGCAGAAGTTTAAGTATTAAAAAAAAGCAATTAAATTTTATTATTTTTTTTACTTTTTAGTCTTGTAGTAAAAGCTAACTTCTTTTTAAATATTTACTTTTAGTTAACTCTATATAAAGGCAAATATATTTTTTTTATTTTTTATAAAAGCTGTATTAGTTTTTAACTTATACTTAATTATAACTTTTTAGGCCTAAAAATATACTTTATATCTTAAAAATAGCTCCCTTATTAAAAAAAGCTTATAGTAAATAATAAAAAAGTTTAGCTAAAATATAGGCGTAATAAGTAGGGTAAGTGCGCCTAATTAAAAGTTAACTTAAAGTTCTAGCAGTGCTAAGGCAAGTGCTAGTTCTGCTTTTACAAATCCTAGCTATAATAAGCAGTTGCCTTTAAGTATTTTAGCAAAGCTTTAAAATTTATTTTGTACATTTTTATTTTATTAATATAATATTGCTATTACTACTATATTTTTTTATTATCCTTCTTTAAAAGTCTGTAAAAAAGCTTTAATTAAGCTTAAGTTATTTTTATTATTAAGCTCTATTTTATCTATTAAATATAAATAATAAGAAGAAAGTATATAAATGTTATAAACTAGCCTTAGAATTGTTCTATTTTAAGTATAAATAATAGTATTATATACTTTAAAGAAGTACAGAAATTTCTAGCTACTTATATAAAAGTTTATTGCTAAAGTTTGCTAAGGTCCTTAGTCCGCGAATGCTAAAGCTTGGGCTAAAGCCTAAGCTATAACAAAAAATAGCATATATTTTTTGCTTTTTAGGCTTAGTACAGAATATAGTCCTTATATATTTATAGTAATAAATTGCCTAAACTTTTTATAGTAATAGTAAGCTAAATTATAAAAAATTTTATAGAGTGCGTAAATAGTATAGTAAATAAAATAAATATTTTTAATTTTAGCTTTAATTTATATATTTATAATTTTAAATTTTTTACTTATTTTAAATAGTATCTGCATACTATTAAGACTTAAATAATTAAAATAATAATATTTTAACTAAACTAGGTTATTAAAGTTAATAGCAGCAGCAGTAATAAAAAGTGTAAATAAGCACTAAAACTAAAGTATATAAATATTTGCTTAGAAGTAAAGCAGAGCGTATATAAACTTTATTTTATTATTTTTTTTGTATATTTTTATAGCAGTGCCTGTAACTATAATAATAAAGTTTAATTATATAAAAAGCAATAAAAATAGTAGATTGCAGCGTACTTAAAAAGCATATTATATATTATATAATTTAAAAATAGTAAATTTGCTATATAAATTAGTAATAATAAATTTAATATTACTTATACTAATAATATTAAATTAAAATTTTTGTTTGCATTTTTTAATAGTTTTTCTATAAAGCTTAAGCTTAGAAAAAAAAGATAAATTATTAATAATATAATAAAAAGCACTACTGTTATAAATCTAATAATTAGAAAAAATTAGTAGTATTAAAACTATATATATAGTTTATATAAATAATTTATTAATTTTATTTAAATTTTATATATTCTAGCTATTGCTATTTGCGACAGCCCCTTTTATACTTGTCTTTAGCTTATATTTATAATTTTATTATATGTTAAATATAAGAGAGCGGTTAAGGGTAAAGTATATATATTTAAAATTTAAAATATAAAAAAAATTAAAATTAGAATTATTAGTTACTATTGCAATTATATGCTTAAAATAGAAATTATTAGTAATAGTAAAATTAGAATTGTAATTATTACTTATATTTTTAGTATTTTTAGTATTTTATTGCTTTTTGCAATAAGTAGCTTTAATATATTTAAATTTGCTATAGCTAGTACACTTAGAAGTATTAAGCTTGCTAATATAATAATAAGTTTTAATAGTATAACTAGTATAGCTATAGTAACTGTATATAAAGCTATTGCTTATATTATAGTTGCTATTTTTATTATTATTTTTGCTTTTTTTATTGCTATTGCTCTTGCCATTATTTTTGCTATTGCTATTAATATAAGCATTACTAGTATTATTAAACTTATTTTTAACAGTATTTTAGGCGTTTTTGTAGTTATTAGCGTACTTAATAATAAAATTTTAGTAGTTTACCTAAGTTTCTTAAGTAATAACTTTTTTTTTAGAATAAAAAAAGTCCTAAATTTTAATAAAAATATAGTACTATTATAAAGAAAGAATTTTATTAATCCTATAAATTAAAATAGTATAAGTAAAAAAGCTTTTAGCAGCATTAATATTTTTATAATAGTATTTAAACTTAGTAAAAAGCAAATAAATAGTAGAAAAATTTATAAATATAAAAGCATCTAGCTTTGCTTTAGTATAGTAAATAATAACTAAATTTAAAATTTAGTAAGTTTTAGTAATATTAGCTTAGGCTATATAAAGCTTTTTTTTTTATTTATTATTAAGTTTGTTCTAAATATAGTCTTTTATAGTATTTTTAAAAAAATAAAAAGTAGTAAGTAATTTTTTATAATATTTATTATAAAATTAAAGCTTAAGCTTATAAATTTTAAGCTTAGCCTTATACTTAAATTAAGTAGTATTATTATTATTACTAGACAAAGTAATAGTGCTAAAAGGAAAGTATTAATTTTTAAAAAGCAGTATTATAGCTTTAAATATAGTTTTTATATATAAAAGAATAAGCTTAATAAGCTTAAAGTACTAAACTATAAAGCTATTATAGTAATTAAATAAGCTTTATTAAGCAGTAACTTTCTTAAAAACGCACTTTTATTTATAAAAATTATTAAAACTAGTTAATTTAATAAAATTTTTACTAAATGCTTATTTAGTATTAACTATAAGTAAAAACATATTTAATATTATACTATACTTAATATAGTAGTATTTTAGTAAATTAAATAAACGCAGTAGTCTTTAAACAACATAGTAGTTAAACAATTTAAATAAGTTAATATAAATACTATAATTTTAAAATTAACTTTATAATTAAAAAGTAACTAATATAGTTGCGCAATAATAGCGTAAAAAAAATATAATTTATTATAGCTAAACTGCGCATAAGTGCGCAAAAAAGCTTATAACTTATAAAATTAAAAAAAAATAATTGTATTAATAATATTTTTTGTGTAAAAGAAGCTATATTTATATATAAAAAGGAGTAAAACTAGAGTAGGCTAGTCTGTACATGGGCTAGCGTGTTGGGCACATGATGAATCACGTGTTGGGAATCCAAACCAACATTCTGTGCCTGTTTGTGGTTGGTAGTGTAGGAGTGGGCGGTTGACAAATGCTTTGTCCTTGTCGCCGAAACTGGATGGGAGAAGACAGATTAGCACTTGACATTGTAGATGAAGAGAGGGTACTACGCACAGTTCAACCGGCCAATCTTCTGCCAGCGTCCGGATAAGATCGGGTCTTGTCGCTGCTAACTCGTTGTACACGCGCCAGCTACTGCTCACTTTGCTCTGGCCTCCCTCAGCAGCCTCGTTCAGGCACAGCAGCGCAATGATGTCCCCTGAATCTGTGTGGAAGACCTGCTTATCCGATGTGTACGCTGGCGCGCCAATCTTACTCGCGTCGTAAATGGCAGTGAGATCCTTGATGTGGTTCATAGCGACATCAGCAGGCTTTCCGTCGTAGAGATGGTCTTGTCGTCCACGTATAGGAGCTATGTGCGAGGCCAACCCTGCGTAGATGGCGACAATATCTTCGCGTGAGTGAGTAGATACGGGGAGGCCGCGAATGACTTGAAAGCCGAAGCCATTATGGATCTCGTTCGAGATAGCCCGGAGTTTGGAGTGCAGCTTTGGCAATGGAAATGTGTCTTGATTCAAATAGCCCAATGGCTTTCCCAAGCTCTTGAAGTGCTGCAGTGCTGCTTCTAATTCGTCTAGGTCTGATGTTGAGAGTTGATACGCCCAGTCGAAGCGCGAAGCTATGTCGGTGTTATCCCAAACAAGATTCGACTCCAGCTTCGACGGAAAACCGGGAGGTAGAGACTTGTCGAGGCTCTTGGTTGCAAGATTCTTCTTGACACGTGCGATGTATTTATCAAAATCGGGCGTGTAGCCGATGTCTGGCTGTGCGGTTACGAGCTCTGCGATAGCCATGATGAGTTGCTAATTGTTCTAATGAAAAGCGTACAGCGATGTTATGTGTTCGTCCTTATAAATGCTGCGCGGGGCATTGGCGGCTCGACGTCGGTGGGGTAGCAGTGACGTGAATGGCGGTTCGGAGATAACTCAAGACCAGCATTAGGTGGCGTGCTCCAGTCCCTCTGTATAGCGCAATACTTGAAGATATAACGAATCTTCAGCGCCCGCAACACCTTTTCCAAAGACGGCAAAGATGATCTTCCAAGGCTCATGGTACTTGTACTTCAGAGTATCGCGCGTACAGCTCTGCCCACACTTCCTGTCTCGAAAAGCTCCACAAGCCCAGCACCAAGGCACTCTTCCAGGATCCATTCGAACCTCATCCCGTAAAACTGTTTCCACTTCTTTGTCCGCCCAGGAAGTACGCCGGAAAATTCTCCTCTCAACTTCTTTCTTTCCGACTGCACAGTACTTGCTACAACGCCGCCGTCCCAGCGCTCACGTAGCACATCGAGGGGCATTTCCTTGTATTTTGTCTTCTTCAACATATTCAAGAGGTGATTTCGCGCTTCTACAATAAGCTTGATGTGTGTGCCCATGTTTGGCAGGGAGAATGTGTAGTTAGCAGTTACTGATGGGCGAGAGCCGGACAACGATGTGCCACCGTGGATGTGCTGGGCGGCGTAGGCGCCACCGACAGCTTCTAAGGAGCCTGCTGCGTGACGGGAACCAGACGTAGAAACGGCCGCGAGTGAGCTGGCGCCAGGAGAAGCGAAGAAAGACGAGCCAGAGTTGATGGCGCTCATTGAAGTCAAAAAGCCGACAGTTACTAATGCGGAGATTTCTGCTGACGAAAAGGCTATGCCGGAGATTGTGGTTGATGTTGAATGTGCGTTCATGGCGGCGTTATACTTTACTGATACACAGTCAGCGCCGAACTCGACTGTGTTAAAGTCTGCTTACATTTGATACTTTCTGGCAGGCCGTCATGCGATTGAACAAGCGCCTGCCATTCCCTCACTGAGGCAACACCATCTCCTACAGCAGCAGCACCAACGCCGCGATGCGGTATCGTCACTCTTCGTAGGATGCCTGCTTGCGCTAACTCGGCGATCTCTCGTTCGATTCTCGTCGACGATGTGCTCAAGGCATCGACATGAGCTATTGTGACAAACGGCGGCAAATTCCTTTGATAATTCAAGACTTCAGCAATCCTGGTCGAGTTCATGCCCGCCTTCTCTGGCATGTTGCTGAACATTCTGTTGCGGATGTATTCCATGTACTGTGGCACGTCGCGAAAGTTGAGGTCTTCGGCAAGGGAGGCAATTACCCCCGTGTCGTCCAGTTGCTCTTCATCGTCGTATGAGATGCTGGTCTCAGACGGCAGTGACTTCTTCCTCGGGCTGACTGTAGACGGGGATGATGTATTTTTCTTCAATCCGAGTGCGGCATGTGCGCTCGGTCTCCGCGGCTTTGTGATGCGCGATGAGCGCGCTGGCGTAGTTTGGAAAGACATCTTTGCGTCTTCGACGGTGGATAGTCGATTGATGAGGTTTGAAAGTAGTCAGAAGGAGATGAGTGAGAACTGCGCCACCATGTAGGCAGAAGGAGCGTCAGTCAGGCGGAATGAAGGGTTGAATAGGTAACACAGAATGCGAAATCAGAGTCATCGCAACTCAGAACATAAACATGTCCTTGTACTGACGAATCAGAGAGTGGCGAGACAAGAGACGTGGTGTTGAAGATTTGAAGCCTCGGTCCCCAGGTCCCTATGCGCCACAAGCGCTAGTGCAGATCATTCAGTATGTGCAAGGTAAAGTACATGCAATGTCTAGGGATATGTGTAGGAATTGAACAAGACTATGGATCGTGAAGATACGTTTACACACTCCTTTCAAAGGGTACATTTTTCTAATCTACGCGTGTTTGGATGACCGCCAGTGAGGCCGTTCGCAGCTTCCGGGCAGGTTCCGGCGGTGCCACTTCTGATGTCATTTCCACGCGGCTGCTCAGGAAAGCTCAAACACGCGCTATTCACCCAACAAGTCCCAATTATGTCCCCATAACCCCCTTCACACACATCCTCCCCCCTTTCCCTCCTCCAGCCCATTGCTAGCCATGTCGCTGAATCCCGAGCCATCCGCGCCTGAGGAGCGCGCAGGACAAGACCTCCCGCCCAAGACGTACGCCAACGCCGCCGAAGAAGCGCTCGAGCCAGAATCACATGCAAACCACACGGATGGCACCCTCGAGCACGCTGGGAGGCGCGTGAGAGACAAGGCAGAGCAAGTCAAGGCCAATGGCATCAAGATCCCGTCTGCAGAAGACAAAGACAGTCTCGAAGGGGTTGGCTTGGACTCGTCGCCCAAGAGCCCGACAGTAAAGGGCCATCGCCGGGGCGGGTCGCGCAGCTCTCCTGCCCGCAAGCGTGGCGAACACACAGAGAACGGACTCTATGAGAAGCATCAGAACGGCCATGGTGATGCGCTGACAACCGTCAAGCCGTCGCTGGAGCTCGACAAGGGCGCGAGGACGGATGCTCTCAAGCGTAGGAATTCAGAGCTCAAGTCGGGACGACAGGCTGGTGCTGGATGGGCCAGGAGCAAGTAGGTTAAATTTGTCTTTATTAGATTGTTTATATACTAACTACAGCAGAATACGATTTGCGCCTATGAACGTACCGCTACAGCGCCGCCTCCAGACCCTCGCCGTACTCATGCACACGCTCAGCATCGTCGGCGGCCTCGCCATATTCTTCTTCCTCTGCAGCATACCTGTGCTCTGGCCCATCCTCCTTCCCTACACCGTCTACGTCCTCTTCTCCAATGCTGGCACATCGGGCGAACTTTCCCTCCGCAGCGAGCGCCTGCGACGCCTCCCCGTCTGGTCGCTTTTCGCGTCATACTTCCCCGCACGTCTGCATCGGTCGCAGGAGCTGGAGCCTACAAGGAAGTACATATTTGGCTACCATCCCCATGGTATCATCTCTCATGGCGCATTTGCTGCGTTTGCAACAGAGGCGTTGGGCTTCTCCCAGCTCTTTCCTGGCATCACGAATGCCTTGCTGACGCTCGACTCCAACTTCCGCTACCCCATCTACCGCGAGTACGCCCTTCGTCTGGGCATGGCCTCCGTGTCCCGCGAGTCCTGCGAAAACTTGCTATCTAAAGGTGGAACTAATGGCGAGGGCATGGGCCGCGCCATCACCATTGTTGTAGGTGGCGCCAGCGAATCCCTCGACGCTCGCCCCGGCATCGTACGCCTCGTCCTCCGCCGTCGCAAAGGTTTCGTCAAGATGGCGATTCGCACCGGCGCCGACCTCGTCCCTGTGCTTGCATTTGGCGAAAACGACATTTACGACCAACTCGACACCGAGTCGCATCCGTACATCCACAAGTTTCAGTTGCTCGTCAAGAAGGTCATGGGATTTACGATACCCATATTCCACGCACGAGGCATCTTCAACTACGATGTCGGCATGATGCCTTACCGCAGGCCCATAAACATCGTGGTCGGACGGCCCATTAGAGTGGTGCAGGATAAACACCCGGATGCCGAGTATCTGGATGAGGTCCATGAGAAGTACATTAGTGAGCTCATGCGCTTGTGGGAGGAGCACAAGGACACGTTTGCGAAGCAGCGGACTGGCGAGCTCGAAATTGTAGAGTGATTACTTGGGTAAATGAGGCGTATTTCTTTCGATGTGGTGTGTATTCTTCCATTGGAGACTGCCGGTCCAGCGTACAGGATATATCCTCGACAACGTCGATCCTTTCCGAGCCTTGTAACTACTTACTGTGCAACATTGCACCCACGAATTCCATTGTGTCCAAATCCTGGCAGAATTATACATGAGTGTGATGAAGATACAAAGTAGGTAAGGTACTACTGGTTTAGAAGGGGGACGTAGTTCGATCTCACTAACTAACCAACGATTGGAGCTAGAAACCGTTCGTTCAACGTAGCCTTCCTGACGGAACAAGACCATACAATGCAAGAAATAGCCCAACGGGACTTCCTCTTGGTGCTTATGCCTTGGAAGAAAGGCATATTCTATGTCATTGGGGGATGACAGACTCCGAACACTGCAGTCTTGCATCGTAATCTATCGTACGAGAAAGCCAACCCCATCAATCACACCCTGCTCTTATACTCGTACAACTCCTCAATCGGCTGCCCCTTCAACCTATCCAGCTCCTTCCGATACAAGCTCCCCGGATCTCCAAACCCACCCGCTTCCGCCATACCCGAGAGCTTCTCTAGCAACACGGCGTTTTTCTCGGAAAGAGCGCGGTAGTGTATGAACATCCCCGCGACATGCGTACGCAGCGACTTGGTAGCTTCTAACGCAGCTTTCTTCTCCCTTCGCAGTTCCGTTCGCGAAATGTTGTCGCGACTTAGTCGGATGAGGTGGTCGCCACGCTCGCGGAGCTTTTGCTTTAGTCGCGCGGCGTGAGCTTGGAGGGTCTTGATTTGGTCGGATTGGTCAAGTACCGCAGTGTTGCCTTGCTCAGGCCTGGTGGTTTGACGCTCGGCTTTCAGCTTCTCGACTTTGCGGGATAGAGTGTCGGTTTCCTTGACTAGGTCTTTAATCTGCTGCTTCTGCCTCTCGGCTCTCTCTATGGACAGCTTGATTCTTCTTTTTAGGATTCGGGCGTCATCGCTTGATCCCGCTTTGTGCAGGCTCTTCTGCTCACGGACTTCCTCTGTCAAGCTGAGAATCTTGGCCTCCAGAGCACGGGTTTTGTCGTTGTGTGCGGTTGCATTGTACTCAAGCTTCGCATTGTGCTCGCGGAGACTTTTGATCTCTACCCTGGAAGATTCCTCCTGGTTCGCAATCTGCGCTTTGAGCATGGCAACTTGACCTTGGAGGGAAGAATCGTTGCTTTGGAGGCCTCTCTGCTTCCGCTTGAGGGCATCGTCCAGCCTCGCGATATAGCCCTCCGTAGTCTTGCTTTTCTCTCGTGCAAGATACCGCTCTTGACGTTCTGTAGGGACGTCACTGGGCTGTGCAGGCCTCGCCGGAGGAGGATTGGCATATTCTGCTGCCTCGCGCTTTCCTGTCGTAGTCGCGCGAATGAATATGACTTCGTCGTCCATGATCGGGGTGCCGCAAGTGATTTTTTGTTCGGACTAGTTGTTGGTTAGTAGCCACAGCTAGCTTTCAAAGGTACACTGTTAAAGTGAGCTTACATGCAATGGCTGATTATTTGCGATGTCAGTGAGAAGACGTCGTGGACAATGAAAGGTGATTAGACTTGGATCTTGGCAAGCCCGCTAGAGCAAACGCAAGCTGCGTGAAAGTGAAGACGAAAATTATCAAGACGGAAGTAGAGCGAACATGCTCTCAAGCCACTTTCTAGCGCTAGAAGGGCGCTCTACCTAGACGAGGTGCTGGTGTTTGAGCGTTTCCAATCAACCTGTAGTAGGCTAATTGATTTCCAGGGATTCTCGCAGCGATACCTGACTTGAAGTCATACATTGTGATATGGGTGAAGGGAAGAAGTTTAAAGCTCGTTCAGAGCTCTCAGCCAATCGTGGAAGCGGAGTCGTACTCGGGATCACTGCAACTCATCCAGTTATTGAACCAATAATACCCAAGAGAAAGAAGCAGGAGCCATGTACATCTTTTGAAACAACTATGTTTGTCCGCAACAAGCCCTCGACGGAGTCGCCCAGGCCAGATGTCGAATCTCATGGAGGCACGCCAAAGCATCAGCCTCTACGACACAAATCCCAACAAAGACAGGGATCTTCGCGAAGATACAAAATCTTTAAAGACAGGCTATCCCGATGTTGACCTGTGATGAGGATGTGAGATGGATGTGGTCGGCGGAGAACACTGATCGCGTAAGCGAGCGGCCGCGGATCGATGTCCCACTACGCCGATACTTCAGTTCTTAACACAGGACTCCTACTCACACAACGAAACTACCGATGCTATCAATACCAAATGCCTAGAAGGTTTGATATGAGTCGACAAGGAAGGAGACTCAGTCTGGCAATAGTTCAAAGATAAGCCAATACCCTCCCTTTTCTTCATCAAATATATGAAACACGGCCATCCAGTTTCATTACAGTAACCAATACCTCTGGAAGTCATATTGCTTCTAACTCAGACGAGTATTCGATAAGAAGAGAAAGCACGAACAAAATACTTAGACACTCTTGTGAAGAAAGCGGTTCGACTCACCCAGAGATTCCAAAGTGCGCCCGAATAAGTAATAGGAAGTACCAACAGATCTGTAGCTGGTACGTGCCGGTAAATTTTGATCAGCTTCGAGGGCCACCGACATTCATGTAATTCGTACCAAGATTGGCGGTTTTGATGTGCTTCATGCTCCAATAGCAACTACAACCAAAGCCTAACACTCCACATCTAGCTGCGATTGCGATTTCAGCCTCACAGGCACAAGGTTTCGGGGGAGCTGCTGATTGGTACGCCGGTTAAGTTTGTCTATTTTCTACCTGCATCTGCCAAGCGCGTCCTGCATCACTCCGCACGCCTAGAGGTCTGCGCGAATACAAAGAAGCCGAATAAAGCCATGGTCGACAAATGTCGCGATCTGGTGGCTTAATGAGTCTAGATCGCAATCTAGCATTTGGAATCCGATGAAATGCATACAAAAGGCCCCCCGATACGGATCTCAGCTAGGGCTGGGAGTTTTGAATTTCTCAGTATTCCACGAGGTCATTTGATACCTAGGACGAATCTATCGAGTCGATACCTGCCCTAAGTCCTCATGATGAAGCTATCGACGCTATTGTTTGCGCTCAGTGCTGGTATTGCAAACGCAGAATACTCTGGTGATATTGTGCAGTACTGGTGAGAGCGATTACAATTTTCGACGATTGCATAGCTAAATGAAAAAGGGTCGACCAATCCGGCCTTCTCTCAAACAACTCCTTGATCGGCGGTCTTCAATCCCCACCTTCTGGCTGGTTCGAAGCTGTCGTTCAGGCAGCTATCTACGTTACCGCCGTCCAGACCAAGAACGAATCACTTGCTTTTCAACAACTCGCTGTGTCGCACGCTGCGCACGACAGCCTCACCTGGACATTCCATGGCACGCGCAACTATGGGAACATCTTCAAGTCAGCACAAGACATCTTGGTCAAGATCAATATCAGTGAAAGTGACGATCGTTACTGGCGCGCGGCAGCTATTGGACGGAAAGCAGCTATCAAGGTCACAAACGCGCGACAAGACGACAAACTGAACAATTTCGTCAACTATGTATACAATCCAGCAACTCCAGGTGTCTATCAAAGAACCCCAGGCTCAGCTTTTGTTGCTCCCGACACACCACAAGCACGCTACCTGCGTACATTCAGCGGACTCGGCGACATCACGCGCTTCCGTGCACCTCCACCACCAGCCTGGAACTCCTCCGAGTACGAAGCTATCTTGAACTACGTCAAAGCGCAGGGAGAAAAGAATTCCACCGTACGCACGCCCTATAACACAGAGACAGCATACTTTTGGCGCGAATCTTCAACAATCCAATGGAACCGTGTGGCCCATAACATCGTTGGAAACCGCTATGCCAAAGATGTCTTGACTTCGGCCAAATTCTACCTGCAAGTCAACTACGCCTTAGCCAACGCCGCGATCGCAGGATGGGACTCGAAGGCATTCTACAACTCCTGGCGGCCCGTGACTGCGATCCGCAGAACCGACATCTGGCTACCCAGTGGCAAGAATGTGTCGAATCCGACTTGAACGCCCCTGCTTGATCCTACGCCAAATCACCAGGAGTACATATCCACACATGCGATTTTCGGCGGGGCCGCGGCTGCAGTCATCAAGCCCTGGAACAATGGCAGCGATACCATTGATATTCTGCAGAGCACGAATGGGACAGGCGCGGGCATTGGTGTGATTATGAGACGATACAAGAGTCTCAAACAGGCGGTCAAGGATAACGGGGATAGCAGAATCTTTGGTGGCATTCATTTCCAGTTCTCGTCTGATGTAGGAAAGGCCACGGTGGAGGCTTTTGAGAAGGGGTGGGATAAGTTTTGAGTGTAAGAGGATTTAGAGGTTTGAGCGGAATGACGGGTGAATTGATTATGCGAGCAATGAAAGAGATGGGTCAAGTAAAATGACCACTTCCCCTTGAGTATGTTTAGCTCGCTGGTTGTCGACAGGTTTTTATCGTCACTGCCTGACCGTCTGAGAGGATCCACCAAAGCCCAAGTTTGAAGACATGCTCCCTTCTCTTCTCTAAACTCACTCCTACGCCACAGCATAACTCTCGCTAGATTGTTTCTACTGTGTCCGATGACGAGAACAATGAAAAGATATGATGTGATGAGCGCGATTCAGATAATACAGATTTGTGAAGACTACTCCGCGCTGCTCACGGGTATCTAAGAACATACTACTTGCTGGCAAGCGATGTGAATGTATTCACGACCAGCATAATGTGGCTTGCAAAATCGAACTTCGCTATTAATAGAGCATATTTCCAGAATCGATAGAGGTGGTACGCTGTTGATGAGGGCCATGATGCAGCGAGGAATGTGTATGTTCCCAATTTGCCGATATATACCTGATGCAACGCACATCCAGCTCATAAAACAACTCCACGCAGCAATAACTGCGCCATTTGCGGGCCATACCAGAAGCTAGAAACCTCGGAAGTACGCCCTCACTCATTGAGCAGATCCGCCCAGTTCAATTTCTGCTCCTTAAACGTCTCGTCCTCGATGACACCCTGGAACGCGCCCTTGGCCTCCCGCAGCTCCGCCTCCTCATCCTTCTCTTCCATTTCGTGATCGTCATCGCTTCCGCTGCTATTATCCCGCCTCTCAAGCGCCTCCAGTAGATCCTCGCCCTTCCTCTCCAGCTCTTCAATGCGCTCGTTGGTGGCCGCAAGCGCTTCTAGCAGGGTAGCTTCGACACTGCCATCGGATCGAGAAGCAGATGGCTCACTTCTTGAAGTGTAGTGCTGCAGGGTGGCTTTTAATCTCAGGTTCCGCTGTTGGACTTTGCCTTTGGCGCGATCGCTCTTCTTCAGCTGGTTGATGGCGCGTAGTGCATCGTTGAGTTGGTCTACGAGCTTGTCATGCTTGGTGATTAGGCCTTGGAAGCGGGAGTATAGGTGCTTGCCCTTGGAGCGGTCATCTTCGTTGCGGCGGTCGAGGCTAGATTTCTGATCTTCAAGTTGGGATATAGTGTGGGTTTGTTCCCTGATCAACGGTTCAAGGGCTGCGAGGTCAGTCCCTTGCTTCTGAGCAAGAGAGCGCCAGCTATCGCGATCGCGACGCAGGCGGGACACGAGAGATTGGGAGAGCGATAGCTCGTTCAGGAGGCTTTGGTTGGACCGTGATGCAACAACCGTGGAGGACCTGTGAGGCGGCACTGAGCGCTTTTGATGATAACCCAGACCTCCTTCGCTGGGGTTGAAAATGTCAATCGTCAATCGTGGGCTTGCTGGCGCGGAGGCATGGCGAATAAGAGTGCTCAGGAGTCGTGTTTTTGCTGGATCAGCAAACATGTTCGGCAACGCAGACTTCTGATCGATTAGGATAGCCATAATGAATGTTCTTGATGTTGAAGCCCTTCTTTCGGAGTAGAATTCGAGGTTGTGGCATGTATTGAGTTGTTGAAATTTGGCGTTGCAGGCAGCAGGTGAGACAAAGAAAAGACTGCGGAACGAGGTACAGTGGAAGTCACCGAAATATATCCAGCGCCGCAAACGGCGTAGTGACGGTTGCGGGGTTAGTAACACCGCGATGGCCTACTGCCCAGCAAAGGATGGTTTCGCGTCGATGGATGACGCGTTAGCACGTGTCTCAAAGGCGCGGTGAATTTCCGGAAGTCCCACTCGCACCAAGAGACAGGCTTTCATGGGCCTTCATACTTTCAGAAAGGAATCGATCAATCGAGAACAGAGAAACATTATGACAAATAAAATAAGTATGTTCATAAAAGTTATGATGCTGCAGCGAATCGTAGCAATCATAGATCACTTACCTTTGCACAACCTTGGTTCTGCAGCAACTTACAGGCATTCCAAGGATTGGTCCAACTCCGTAGCAACGAATACGAAGTACGCTGTGCACTTTAGAACGCAAGTGCCGCTGCAAATATACCCGCACCACCAAGAAGCCCCATCGCACCAGTGGCCAACGGTCCCGCAGGCGCAAGGCCAGTACTCTGAGTCGCGGCAGCTGAACCAGATCCAGACCCAGACCGATTAGGCGAGGCAGCTCCTGTCCCAGATTGCGAAGTGGTACGGGAAGCCGACACCGAGGAACTACCCGAAGACGCGCCAGATGCGCTCACCAAGGCGACTGTCTGATATGCCTCCATGTCCCGTATCACGCTCTGCTTCAGAACTGTTGTTGTAGTTCCGACGCCAGCCGAACCGGCGACGTAGCCACCCCGTGTAACAGCACAGGTTAGATCTGCTGTTGTCATTGCACCTTGCCACTTGCAGGCCATATCTATCGTCCATACGCCTGGTGCAGGATCCGTGAGGTGGAATTCGTACGTCGAAGCGCCTTGTATGAGGGTAAACGGTTCGCAGATGGAGTAGCCATCGACATCGCTCGTTGTTTGGTCCTGGCGGCGCAGGCGGGGCTTCGCAGTAGGAGCTGGAGTTGGTCCTGAGCGACGTCAGTGACTCATCTTTAAGCCTGAAAGTGGGACTTGCGCAATTGCGTTGGAATTGCAGAGATGCCTACGCTTTGCGGGGGGCACGTGTTCCCATAGGTTGTGGCGCTCGCGTCTGAGCCTAGAACAGTGAGGGTATTACTGAGCTGAAAGTAGTTGAGCACTGTGGCCGACTCTTGCGCGACAGCGGAGACTGCGAATGCTGCGATGTATGTTGAAGAACGCATATTGGAAGGAAAGGAATACTTGATCTGAGAATAATGACCGAATGACAGCTGGAGGAGAAGAATAGGTTTTAAGGAACACTAGACCGCCAATTCAGTATCAGCCCGGCATCTACAATATCGTATCCCTAGCGAATCACACTGTTCGGCGTCGTTTTGGTGCTTTGGTGCGAGATTCGTCAGCATACGCTACCTGCAAATGGCTCTTGTTAACTGTTAAAGGGACCTGCGCCCGGTTGGTTGTAAGTGAAAAAGGCATTATAGGATCAGGCACTCCAAGATGACATATTATAGATTATAGATGAGATGAGCGTGGTACAGGAGGAAGATGACGTTCGAGCGTGAGCAGCTGTGAGGATGCCCGCCCCGCCCCGCCCCTCGTTCGGCGGCGCTTGCGCCGATGAACGAGGCTCCACTCCTACGTTGAAATACCCGTATCTTCGCATCCACAATCCTACCCAGTTTCGAATGTACTTCTTTTGAATCTTAGATGCCTGTTTTCTGATGAATGCAATCTAGACCTGGGCCCTTCCAACTGCACGCCCTCTCTGCGGACAAGCTTTCCTTCAGTCTGTTACAAGCACAGTACACTCTTTGCTTTCTTCTTCTCTTTTTCATTGTTAGATTCCAATACCATCATTTCTTTCGCAATCCTATGTCATGTTTGATGTGTCGAACGTGTCAAGCCCGGCCTTGTCTTAGCTATCCTTCTCGCGGTTACAATGCTCACCATTTTTCAATTTGCTATTTCTTCGCAATCTACGGTTGTGCGACGATCAACTTCCCTACTGCTAGAAGCAACCCCAAACTAGAGCTGAAGTGCTGAGTTCGTCACATAAACAAAGCTAAGCACCCCAGCTCACATTGACACACTGCCCTACTCCTTCAGCAATCCTTGTTCCAAGTACATGAACGAGCAACGCAGCAAAGACAACATCATCCACGTCACGCCTGAGTAAGCTAAAGAGATCTCAGGCCATGACAGCAAAAGAGACAGCAAAAGATATCCGGTATCACAAGAGCTCAATAACGGAGACGAGAAGAAGAAGGGAAAAGATAAGGGGGCCAAGGGAGGTTTGCTGGCAGCGCTATATACAGTGATGTGAGAAACCCAACAGCGCGTATGAGGTAAACATGTATGATAATAGTTGGATACAAGTACTAACATTACTTTTAGGTCACTATGTACAACACGGCATGCCAAAATACCTTACTCCCTACGTAGGAATTCGCAATCGTTCATAACCTATCTCATTCCTCGAGCGAATTGCTAAGAGCACCTATAGAAAGAAAGAAAAAGCACGTGTGGCCAGCAGTACAGTTCTCAGTGGAATAACTGTGCTAATGTACAAGACGAAGCTGAACAAACCTCTTATCCCCGCGCTCATTCCAACGCTCCAAAAATAGCAATGACGTAGCTCGACACACCCCACGTTTCAGACCCCTTGCCCCACCACAGCTCCGTAGCACCCTGAAGCTTAGCTTAGCTTCCCAAGACCCTCTCGCCATCTCCTCACGACTACGAACTCCCTCTCCTCTACCCTTCCCACCACAATGCCGCCTCACAACGGCCTCGTGCACCCCGACCAATACGACTGGCGCGACTCCAACGTCGCGCTGATAAACTCCGACATCGACCACAAAGTGAAATACCAATCCGCCGCCACAGAACCCGCGTGGAACAACGGCGTCGTCGGCGCCGAACCAGGCCTGTTCGTCTGGCGCATTGAAGACTTTGAAGTCGTGCCGTGGCCGAGAGGGAAATACGGGAGTTTCCACGAGGGAGACTCGTATATTGTTTTGCTGAGTAAGAGCTTTGATGGACAAGGAAGAGAGGGGGCCGAGGAGAAGAAGTTGATTCATGACATTTTCTTCTGGCTCGGGGCGCACACGACGCAGGATGAAGCCGGGACCGCAGCGTACAAGACGGTCGAACTAGATGAATTTCTCCACGGCGCGGCGACACAGCATCGTGAGCTGCAGACCGCTCCTTCCGATGCTTTTGCGCGCGTCTTCCCGCGCCTCAAGATCCTGCGCGGCGGTGTCAAGTCGGGCTTTACGCACGTGGATCTAGACGAGGTGTCGCCGCATGTCGATACGTTGTTGCGGGTGTTCCAGCACCCCAGCGCTGCAGCAGGTCGTGATGCCATCTTAGTGCACGAAGTTGCGCCCAGCTGGCAGAGTCTGGACGAACAAGACGTGTTCATCCTGGACAAGGGAGACAAGATATACGTGTGGCAGGGCAAGCAGTGCGCGCCGATGGAGAAGCTGAAAGCAGCGCAGGTGGTGCACGATCTGACGATTGCGAAACATGTCGATGTGGAGGTTCTTGCGCAGACGGAGCCACGGTCCAAAGTTGTGGTTGACTACCTGGGTGGTCACGACGTTGATTTGTTCAGCATGCAGTTTCATGCTCCACGGCCTGTATCGGCGGCTACAGAGAGGGAGGTGAAGAAATTGTTCCGGCTTAGCGATGCGGGTGGGGATATGGCGTTTGATCTGGTGAAAGAGGGGAATGGTATCGGGAAGGAGGATCTGCATGGCGACGATGTCTTTCTGCTGGATTCGGGGAAGGGCATATGGATTTGGGAAGGACGAGGAGCAAGTAGAGCGGAGAAGGCGATGTGGTTGCAGGTAGTACAGAGATACATCAGCTGGCAGCAAGATGCGGCAGATCTAAGTGTCGCCAAGGTCAAGCAAGGCAACGAAGGACGGGCGTTCTGGACTGCTGTTGAGGCGTGAGATTGTGTCAAGAATAGAGAGAGACTTTCTATCCCTAGATTGATGGCTGCATAGTCTTATTTTCCTTCTTCCCGTCGCTATTGCGCTGCTCCGATTCCATTCCCGCGTAAAGCTAATCAGATTCAGTCATCACCGGGACAATCTACCCCACAGCGCGCTAGAAGACAGAGTAGCGTGGGTGGACGAGAAGCCCGACAGTGGCGCAGAAAGATCTCACACTACAATGGTCGTTTGCCGGGTAGATCGAGTTAAAAGAAACAACATGATCTGCACTCTCGTAATAGAAAGCACGGTGTAATGAAGAGTAATGTGACGCAAAGGAAGGGCTTGTCGTAGCGGTAATAATGCTGTCAATCATGACCCAACAAAGGCTTTGAACGCCGACATCCCTTCTCTTTTCCGAGAAATATTACACGACGCTAGAAGAACTCACCGTTCGCCGTCTACGTCCCGGCGATACTCATCGCAGTTGAAAGACCCGGCGCCAGTGTTGAATGCTAGGTTCGCCAACGCGTGAGTGACATGATGCTCGCCATCGAGATGACATCCCAACCCCATGTCGCACCTCGCAGCCTCACTTTCCCCAATCGTGTTTGGTTCGTACGCGCGGGATGCGGGCACCCATCGAACCAGCCTGCCAGCACCCGAAGCGGGCCCAATTCTAGGCCCAACAATCCAACGAAAAAAGAAAAAAACTCGCCAGTGGTCCGAATAAGCTCACGGGTGCGGCCCGTTTAGCAAGCGAACCCGTGGTGCTAGAGTTTGCTGAAAACATGTGGTCTATGTTTAGAGACCTCAGGCCGTATTCCCGGTCGCTGAACGGAGTTCTCCGATGCTAGAAGTCTTTTGAACGATGCAAGGTTGTACCAAGACTCTGGCATGTGTTGCCAATATTCTAGAAAGGGGGATGATATACAGGAATACATGTTTGAATACATGTTGAGGCGTACCTATATACGACGAATAAAGAAGCTGTACCGTGCGTATTGTCAATAGTCCTGGGCAGTCCAACCTGGAATGAGATGCGGTTACTTGCAGCGAAAAGCTATGCAAGTGATGTCGCAGAGCGCATGGGAAGCTACAGCTCCTGTGTGGTCTGCGATATGACCTAAATGCGACATGGTGCAATGCCGAGACATTATGCGTGACCTGGGTGAGTTCGAGGTGCCTTGATCCTACTATTTTTCATAACAGTGAGACTGAGGAAAGTCGAACGAGTTGATCTATCTGGTGGCAAAGACGACAATGATTCGGTGCTGGCAGCTACAGTGCTTCCAGGAACGTATTCGGTGGCTTCGTTCCCATTCCTAACGTGTTTGTATTGACAAGGATGAGGTTGTCATTCTCTATGGCGGTGGCGATTCCTCGTAGAGCACAAGCCAGTCGGTTGCAAATGCGGAGGCTACTTTCCTTGTCAAAAGGTAAGCGAACGAGGGTAAGTACGTGTCGTGCGATGCTGTGACCTGCACTAGCCTTGCAGCACCCGACCTAACCTCCGCTGGAAAGTTGTGCATCCAGGTTTCAATGTCGCAGGCACATGCGTAAGCGGGGCAGCCCCATATAAGGAAACTTGCTACAAGGACTGCCGTAAGCTGCAAGATTGACTGTGTGACGCCCACATTTCGTTGATTGGTAGGCTTGTCTCTTTTGACGTGGGCCCTGGTCTTTTGAGCTAGACATGCAAGCGAGCCGGGGAAAGTCTCCCGATGCTAGGGGCTTGCAGCAGTGAAAGTCTTCGGTTTAGCGCTCACATGGCTCATCAACCGTCTGCATGGACATGGACTCGCTTGCAACCGGTGATTTTGTTTACTGGTTGATGAGTAGGGTCTTGGAGTATGCGCTTACGTGAGCATAATAGACGACTTGGTGGAGCCACCGGCTATCACTGGTCTATCTGAGGACTACGGAATGTAGACTTGGGCCGAATTGCTGTTCAACTGCGCAGGATCGTGATGCAGGACGACGCTCAGGGGACGGTGGGCTTGGATCTAAGTGAGCCCACCATCAGGTTCGGGAGTTCGCATGAGTTTCGACAGCCTCGAAGCGAGTCACTTGAATGGGTTTGTGACACGGCACAGAGCTTTTCGTGCAACACGACCAAGGCTCTTGCCGGGAGAGAAGACGAAGATTGTGCATTCGGGCCACCCGAGTATCAAGTCGAGCGGATCCCGCAGAGTCAATTCCTCGGCAAGTGGGGAGAATGGAATGCAGCTTGCGAGGAGCCAAGTACCCGAACGGTGAGGGCGTAGGGCACTCGCGTGGCCATTCTCCTTGTGCAACCACCATGTTTCAGGTTTTGGCCTCTTGTCACCAATAGCAACAAGAAGCGGAATCGTGATCTGTTGCAGTGGGCTCATGCTTCCTCACCCTCGCATTGTCGGCGAAGCGAAGCAGTCTCCAATCGCGATGCAACGAAACGTAACGAGGACTCGAGGTATGGCGGCATGCACCATGCAACTGTCCAAGATGGGGAGCAAAAGGCGTTGCATCCTCCTGGCCAAGCCCAGATTGAGGTGAAGTGGCGCCATATGGCCTAAATAGGATGCGTTTTCGATCCCAAGGCTCTCTTCCATTCCGGACATTGTCTAGTGTCGCGGTGGCGAGTTGACTATACAGCGAAAGACAACAGGCGAGGTACGCCACGTCTATTATCCATCGGTGAGGCAATGCCAGTATAGCACGTCATGGTGGCCGCCGCTGAAGCTTGTCGTCGCACGCCACAAGGATGGCTGCATTAGCGGGTACGTACTCGACCATGGTGGGGGCGGAGACTGGAGAAGGGTGTGTGTGTGTGTGTGGGTGGGTGGGTGGTTGAGAAGGCGAGATGAGAGGTAGAGCATAGCGAGGAAGAAGTATAGTCTTGGCGAGGTTCCTACGGGGCGTCCCGCGAAGCGAAGCGCGCTCAATGGAGGGCGCGCTGTTGGCATTGCTGGTCATTCCGCGTGCGCGCGCTGCATTTGGCGGGTAGACGCCGTTGTGTGTGGTGGTAGCATGTGGGCGCAAGCAACGGAGATGAATGATAATCTTGCAAGGAGGAGGTGTGGAGGGCAGGGGGGATGCGTTGCTGCTGGCTGCTGGGCTGAGACGGGAAAGTCGTCGACTGGCGGCGGATGAGGTGCCCGTCGCCCCGGCCCTGCCTAGCCTAGCGCCATCCCACCCTCGGCCGCGCCTTCTTCCCGCCATCCAAGATCCCTGCCTGACATGAATTGGGGCGGCAGGTGCAAAGGAGACCCCCGCTGCACGCAATGGAGAGAAGTGGGTCGCTCTTGCCTTTTCACTGCAGCGCGCTTTCCCCGCCCGCAAATGAGATGCAGGGTAGCAAGCCACGGCTCATCCTTCGTTTACGCCGTCCTGCGGGCCAAACGAGCGACAAAGAGTGGAGCACAAGCAAGACGCGAGAGGGAGTGGAAGAGAGAGAGAGAGAGAGAGAGAGTACCCTACCTACTCTTCACAGTGTGCGTGTGCGACTGTACTAACTACTCCTCCCCTCTGTGCAACCAACAGCCCTCTGCCCGCTGCTACTGCTTCACACACACACACACACATCACCATTGCTGGTGCCCTTCATAAGAGCGCACTTCCCCACGCCCTCGTCCAGCCCGCCCACCATGGGGAGTGGTTGGCGTCAACTCCAGAGCCCGGGAACCACGCTGCCCAGCGTCGCGGAGCTGCTATCGTCGTCGTCGTCGTTGTCGAGAACGCCTACCTCACCGCCTACGTACCATCACCACCACCTAGACCATTCTCATTCTGGGCGCCCACTGCCCGTCAACCCTCGAGATTCCCCTTCGACCCCTCCCCCGGCGCCACTTCCAACACCTGCGCAACCGTCGTCCTGGACAGCCGTCAATCACCCAAGCCCTCATGTCAGGTAACGTAGTCGCCATCAATCATCGTGCCCGCGCCCAAATGTCCTGACCTCTTGTCCTAGTCCTACCGACGCAAGGGAACCATCTACTACTGCTCTAGATCAACCGCGCTACCATCACCGGGAACTCCAGCCTGCCGGCCCGCCCTTCACTTCTGCCTTGACGTCTGAAGATTGCCAGAGCCTGCAGGACGCAGCACCCTCACAAAGACCAATCAACAGCCAACGCCAAGACTCGGCCATCTCGCAGCAACGCATAGAGGCTTCCACGGACACGCAGTCTTCGGCCTCGTCCTCCGAATTCCTGTCTTCTTATTCTCATCGGAGCCCAAACCACAGTCAGCACCATCCAGCTAGTCCAAGGCCCAACTCCCAACCAACCACCCCGTCGTCTCCTCCCCTGCTAGTAGCTGAGTCCTGCACAAGCCAATTGCCCTCACAGTCTAGAGCTCAATCGGCAGCAAGAGGGCACGCCAAACCACCTTTTCAAGGCAATCCCGTTTCCATGGAGCCCGCCAAGCCACATGATCACGAAGCCGCCTTCTCTTCGCCCACTGCCATTGAGTCCGCAACCAAAACTTTGGGCCCATCTGCTTCTTCAGACCAAACCAACAATAGTACCACGCGACAGCAACGCTACAACGTCCGCTTCATCGCTAATTACACCTCGGAAAACATGCCACCCTTCCAGAAACCTCGTCCTGATCCTTCGCCTGCAGTGCCCGCTGCTACTGAGAACAGTGAGCCAGAGCAGTCGGTTACACCGTCGATAGAGCCCTCTATGCAGACCGCACCCCCACCCAACCATCAGCCCACCGAGGATCCATCACATGCCCAACGACGTCGGGACCCCTCAGTCGAGCGATGTCCAGGATGCCACGAAGCCTGGAAGCGGCCTCTTCCCAATACCGATTCCTATCGGCACAGCTCACCAGCGGAGAACGGCAACGATCTCGGCAGAATGAGCATGAATCTGATAGCAAAACTGCAAGCCCACAAGAAAAAGGCCGATGCCATGTACGAGGAGTGGAAGTGGACGCATAGTCATTGTCCCCCGCAAGACTACGACACTAGACCACCTAGTGAGGCAGCCACAGAACCACAGCATGACTTCCACAACCCAAACAGAGACGGCAGATTACCTGACAGCAAACATGCTCAAGCGCCATCCAACAAGCGCAAGTCCGACCTTGCACACGATAGTGGTGACCAGAAAGTGCGCAAAGTTACTTTCGAACCTCAGTCAACCGCTGCGCCGCCCATTCGCCCTTCCGCTTCCACATGAGCTACTTTCCCTTCATACCCCTAACTAGGATCATCTACTACGGATACCGATTAGAAATACTGCATTGAATTCGCACTTGCATTTGGGTCGGTGTTGGTGTCGGCAAAAAGGGACGTCCGTTATACCCCGCTGCTATTATCTTGTCACTTTTGTCATTTATTACCTTTCATCTACTCGATTACAACAGTATTGCTACGGTATTTTTAAAGGGAGAGGCTCCAAGGAGTTGGATGACCGGAAAGCTGGCGTTTCTCCTCGACCTTTGCCGCCACTCAACTGCGTTCTTTTTCTCACAAAGCAATGACCTCCACACACGAGCGGCATCCATCTTGTTTTCCTTATCGCGCCCTACATGACGCCATGTATTAGACGATGTACGCAGTACGCATCACCTCCATCTATACGTCCTCTCTATTGGGCGTTCGGTTCAGACGAATACAATGTATTTACCACACTCACACACGATTGGTTCGTGTCTACAACTATACCCCAACAACATGTCAAACTTTACACTCCCAGATCACTTCCCCCAAACTCACTCATCTCATTCAGGCAACTCGCCAATTAATGCCCCTTTCACAAAAGCGCCACAACGCACAAACTCTATTCCAACCCTGAATACTTGATCAAGAGACCAAGCTTACATGCACAAACCAAGGCGCAATGCTTAAGCACAGGCGTCGGCGTCAACAGCGGCTCGCTACGAAACGTAAATCAATTCCAGGACATTCGCTAAAGCAAACGACCCCACCAACCCTGTCCGATCCCAAGCCAACATTCTCGCTTCACGCCGTTTATACCCTTGGCCCCTCTCACACCACCTTGCCAGGGCACCATCGACCTTGAACCCAACACTTTTCCCAACGAACAAAGTAAATATCATCGCCCTCGTCTTCCCATCAAATCACCGGTTCTGCACTTTTTCAACAAATACGCTATACGATTGCGCGCATGTGACTAGTTACACCCTTACTAGTCATGCTCTTTCAGGATGGCTCAACCCGGGCCCAGAGGGGCGCGGCCTGGCGGCTGCCGAGCGGGGCTTCCCGATTCGCCGAAAGCTATGGACTTTCTTTCAGAGCGAGTCAGAAGGAGACGCCTTTCTCAACAGCGCAGAGCTCTTTTTGACAATGTCGAATTAGGTCAAGTGTTGGGATGCGACGAAGTATTGGTTTGGGCAGAGGGCAACCTGAGGCTGAAGGCTAGCTGCGCGACAGTGGAGAGGCTGTGGCAAAACTAGATATTGGGGTCGTTAATGCTGTGGAGTAGGGGCCCTGATTGGACAGAACACAATGAGTGGTGTTGGGTTGTGCTCTTTTTTGGGAAACATGGACGCAGATCATGAACACGAGCCATGATTTCTCTTCACAACCGCAGTGCACCGCCATACCACCATGCACCACGCACGAATGATTTCATCATCATCCCCGACGCTGCAACACCGTCACTGTGATCGCCCCCCCGAACTCTGTTTCCAAAATAAAACTTTTTTATGCTAATCTCACGCGACTTTTGTCGATCCCTCAGGTTCCTACCTAGTGCGAGTTCGATCAAGGGTTATATATCCACAGCAGCGTAATCCCATGGAATCGGGACCTGTCACACTACGTTCCAAGACCAAAGTCAGGGAACTCCAACGTGCTGCTGTATAATGGTTCTGTCGATCAGCGGAGCAACACTTCCCCTAGTCAGAGATTCAGGCAACCTGCAAACTTTATCGGTCCTGCTCATTCAGAGATGGAAACGGCTGGGACCGCTCTTGATTAGCTCAGCTGCCACGACACTGCGTTTCATTCAAAGACCGACGGCCGTAGTACAGACTCGACCAGTAACGTGACGCAAGGCTGGTGCACTGCTGCTAGCCGGGTGCCGAACACGTCGTGCAAGTGGGCAGCGAGTAGGTGGTGGGTACGTCGGGCGTATCTGCCGCGCTGCTCATCCATGGATTCAACCATGACGGCGCCTGAGTGTTCACAGTTTCGAATCGAGACCCAGGCTCTCATCGGCCCCTGGCCCGGCTTTTTCCTTCCTCTCATCATCATGCACGGATGCTTTCCCACTGCCGCGATTGAAGCCACGTAGCCAGACCCAGCACGCACAGCCAGGTTCGGGTCTATCAGTTCCCAATCTCCCAACGCCCTCGAATCTTTAGACGTGTGCGGGGATGATAGCCGACGGTGCATGTCTGCAAATTACCTCATTCGTCGCATCCTCCGGCTGATATCGAACCTTTCCGCTTCCCCACCTTAGCGATTCATCATGGCTGTTCGGTTTTGTTGCGGGATCGCACAGACGTCCGCTGCCCGCTGGTCAGAGCGCAGCAAGTCAAGTGCTTCACGCGGCATGCAACTCGTTCGCCGGATGGCCTGGCCATTGAGTGGGTTTTGCCAGGCAAGTGCCCCTGTACCATGACGACTAGCTCGCTCCCATGATTCAGTCTCGCTTCAGAGTTGGTCATCCTTGTGCATTTGCCAAATCCCGTTAGCGAGAGGTTATCCGCGGAGCGTCAGGCCCCCTCTGCCGTTAAACTATCCCTGACGAAACACACGAGACAAGGCGCTCCTGTGCTTACTGCGGGAACGTGCTTCCTGGCCCGGCTTGCCTATTGCAATAACTCGGCATCTCTTTAGGCAGTCCCGTCTGCTGGGGCCGTGACTCGTTCGGAGAACGGCGCTTGTGTTTAAATGGCTAAAGGCGAGAATAACCATGTGTGAGGCAAGCCAAGCGGTCATACGCCTAGATTTTAAGAGGCTCAACGAGGGCTACGAGTGCGAGGAATGACATCGCAGCCACAAGATGACAGCGGTAGGCATACTAGCAGCGCATATGCATCGGAAATTATCGAAAAGAGCAGGAGTGCTGCGCTTGCAACGGCCGAGTCCAAGATGGGACATGTGCATCATCATGGAATTCACTAGCATGCAGGGTAATGTGTCCCCAGGATCTACGACTGCCAGATATTTGGAGATCTGCGACGTTTGTAGCAAGGCAAAGCTGACGACGAACGCTGTCGCCGCTGTCACAGCTGTCACCCAAAGACTAGATTAAAAGTGGAGAGGATGCGTAATGAACGTCAACAAGTCGAAGGAGGGATGGAGAATAATCGACGAAACGGGAATCGCGCATTGCGAACGTTACGCTAACAAACGCGACGACCGTGAGAAACCACTGTTCAAGACATTGGGGTGACAGACTACGGAGACCCAGCTAGTACCAGGAAGATCATGGTCAATAGAGGACTAGGAATGACATTTCCGGTATTGGCATTGATACGCGATCCTTACTCGATGGTTGTTACAACCGGCGTTGCTCGGTCCACGTCCATGTTCACATGCCAGTCTTGAATCTGATCTAGCCGCAAGGCACGGGATACGGATACGGGTACGCGGAACGATTCGTTGGAAACGATATCCGTGCCGTACCCTCGAGCACGTATTCACCCCGTCTTACTCTACCCTACCTATATCAATTGACGGGTTTGTTACGGTCGCTGGATTCAAATGCAAGGGGCGACAACCGTTGAGCGCGGCTAACCGGGTCCATATCGGACCGAACATGTATCACATACGTACACATCGTGGGGGGGCCTGCCCTGCATTTCATGCGCACTACGCCCCGTTCAACCCTACGGCTTACGAAATAGTACCGATGCGTATGTGTACGAGGTTTTTCCAACGATCGCGCGAAACCCTGGTTCTCGGCGTTGCGCAGGAGGGAAAGAATCTTCTTTGATTTAGTAATCAGCGTCGTCTGAAAGTGCGATCAGCACTAAAGTGAGGCGTAGGTGTATCTTTTTGGTAAAGAACGTCCGCACAGGGATGCGAGCCCTGTACACTCCTCCTGACAATGAAACAGTCAAGATGAACCACAACAGGCGCGGTATGCCTTCCCGCCACGAAGCGCAAACTCTACGGCGATTAAATTCTCCCGTTGGATAGCTAGACGGCGTGTGTAGCACCGTCTTCCGATCTAGATCTATTCTGCGCGCTTGCAGATCTGAGACCTGCATGGAAGCAGAACCTCCCCGTACACTATCACCGTATTCATCCAATTGAGCACGCAAAACCAAACTCAGCAATGTGGGCCGCGTCTACCAAGCCGGACCGATGAGTAGCCTACCGATTGGCCATGCCGACGTGCCCCATACACATGTACAAATAACAGGCCCTGGCAAACGAGTTGGCCTTGTGTTACCTATTCGGCTGTGTGTACGCATCATCGACGCCTGCATGTCGGCGATGTGCACACCTCGCGTGGATAAATCCTGGGATCGGAGACAGGGGGGAACGCGTGCCGTTAGCCGACGTTGAATGCATACTGGACGTTTGTTTAAGGGGGTCGAGCTAAGCTGGTAGTACTAGGTGGTTAATGTTGATGCCTGTGTGCTGGGGTCAGAGAAATCAAATGCATGTCACCACTGCCTTGTGGCTGTGGCGTTGTGCGGGATGGTTAGAGTTTAGAGTTTACGGGGTAGTCTGGGTTCGGTGGCTTGCGTTTTTGTTTCCAGGCTACACTGGACTGGACTTGTGGTTTAGGACTACTTTGTTCACCACCGAGGATTTCCGTGAATTCATCTACCCCCTTTTTTTCCCTTATCGATGTCTGTCAGCTTGGGCGAGCGATGCGGATGCGTCGGATGCACTGATCGGTCACTGTCGGTGTTCTTAGTTCTTATCTTCTCTCCCTCTGTCTCGCGGAGCAGACTCCGGTAGGTATATCGCTGCTCGATGCTCAAGGCTATATGTCAAGCGGTGAGATCGGGGAAGGGTATGTATCCTACGACACCTTGGTTTCGCTTGGAGATCAAGGGGAGGCAGGGCGAAATAGCGCGGGCGGTGGTGGGAGCTACGATCTACTGACTGACTGACTTCTATCACTCCGCGTGGATGAAGGGGACAATAAGTGTAACGCTAGATACTCAGCTCTAAAGTGAACAGGAGATGTAGATATAGTGAGAACCTGTTTAGAAGAACTTGGACATTGGTGAAATAACTGCTTGTAACTAAACATAGCGTTTAAGTTGGATTGCTTTGCATACACACCTACGGCCCCTGAACAGACCTGAAAGCAGATGACTCCTGGCTTGATTCCATGCCTGTTCTTCTCTGGGAGCGGAAAACAACGTGCGACTAGCTTGTTATGGCCTTCTGCATCAACTACCCCTATGCATGGCTGCTTGTACTTCCAGCATGCATCACAAGTGCATCTTTTAGCCCTGTTCGAGATCTTCCAGGCACATACAGCTGCTTTGCTTTAATGCGTGCAAGCTTTTGTTTCCTCCATAACCCCTCTAGAGTCCTTGTTAGTGATGCCCAATTCTTACGGCGGCCCTTTTCATCCACTGTTATGGGGAATGGAAGATGTCACCGTAGTCTTAAATGAGAGAGGGGAAGCTGCGGGATTCCCGCCATTCACCGCCTTCTGGTTCTGCTTCGGTATCCACAATACGTGGAAGAGCGGGTATTCAGCTCCGGCCGCAACTCCTCTGGTGTTTGTTTGCTACTGGCAATACTAGTTGTAGGTTGGCCATGACATCTTTCCGGGATCCCCGTGTAGCAACGTACCCCCTGGACACCTTTGAAGAGAATATGGCGCGTCTAAGAGTAGAAAGACTGGGACCTTTGGGTTTGCATCTTGTAGTAGGGGATCTGCGGAGGCCGCGTACCACGAGTGAAGGCTTGACTGTGCTGACGTGTTTGTAGAGTGATTGCCATGCACACCGTTCTGCACACCGCTAACAAGGCTCTGCTCTGTTGTCGGCGTCCCTACAATCTTCTGCTCCTGTTTCTTTGCTCAAGGTCTTGTACTCTGGGCTTGACGGGTCTTCTAATTTTAGTACAAGCAAAACATGTAGATAATAAGATTAATATGGAATTCCTACTACCAAAGAGTTCTTACTATTGATCTATTTTAACGCTTAGTTAACTTAGAAAAAGGCTCCCGTTCTAGCTAATAAGAGATGGTCTGACAATCTGTAAATCTGCCTTGAAACGTACGTGCTGAAGTCATGTTTAGCCTCATCTCAGGTCGGATTCGCATCCTTCTTAGTCACCCCTCTATGTCGTTTGTGTTCCCACATTGTGTTCTCAAGTCACGTATCACCACATCAAATAGTTCCATCGTGGGCTGATTGGTTCAATGTATTGTATTGTAAGGTTGAGCCATAGTTCTCACTCATTCTGAGTATGGTGAGCCTGAACCCCTTATCAAGGCAATGCGGTGGGTAAGAAACTTTGGAAGGGCTCCAACGACTACGGGGTTGTAGGGTCCGATTTTGCCGTCCTCTAGCTGGAAGGCACCCAGAAGCGTCCCTAGCGTGACGGCGATTTGGACCGCCTCCGGGTTGGCACGACTGCGAACGTTCTCAGGAATCCCATCCCAAATCTCCTGCCAGAATCCTCTCTCTGCATCCTCAAACTCGGGCGGCATGTAAAATTTCTGCTCGGAGAAGTCGCCAGCAAGTGTGTGGAGTCGATAGTTCCCAGTCTACGATACCAGAAACCTCGCAGTCCTCATCAACCATGATATTGACATGGTTTAGGTCGAAGTGAGCGACAAAAAGGGGTAGATTCTTGAGCTGGTCTAATTTGCCGATCAGATCCTTCGCCACGACATGGAATCGACGGATCTGGGGATCTTCGGAGGCTAGGAGTAGCTCTAAATGCGGGTGAAGCTTGCTATCAATAACCAGCCCACTGTTATCGTCGACATAGCCTTTGGACAAAATCCGGCCCAAGGATCGGACGGTAGTAACCCTCGTTTGTGAGACTCTCCCTCTTGCGCCCTCGAGCCATGTTTTCCCAGGTATGCGCGTCATCCAGTAAGCCCATATCTTCTCTGACTCCAACTCTTTGTCCTGAATCACTTTGATATGTGGGACAGTCGCACCAAGCACTCTCCGGGAAACCTGGAAGGGCTCAAGATCTAGAGGTTCAAGTCGGAACTGTACCACGACGTCTTCGCCATTCTGCAGTGTTACAATCACCGTCCTACTAAAAAATCCTTGCGGTCGGGGCCGTTCGGCCTTTTTGGCGGGGATACCTGCGTGCGATCAGGCCAGTTGCTGCGCCTTTTTAGTCTGCTTCGATGGCGTGTTCAGACACTTTGGAAGGTCGGCATCGCTGGTAATCTCAATAGTCATGAATTTTTCAACGTGAGACTCCAGTTAGACGATGAGAAAGCTTATATGTAAGGATTAAATGGAGAACGTGGTCGTGATGAAGGTAACGGATTCGATTATTGAGGGTTTGGTGTTGCGCGTTACCCCTCAGTTTCCCATGCCCGAGAAGGTCCCCACTAAACTTGCAGATTTATCATCATAAGATTACATCTGAAACACGTATGGTCTTTATATACTAGATAATTCTTATTTCTTTGTCTGAAAGTAAAGTCAAAGCTAACAAATGCGGATCATACAACGCAGTAGGAGACATCAGCATAAAACTACAATCCAGGTGCTACACAGCACCTTAACACAGTATTAAGGCAGTAATGTCTTGATCATTTCAACAGGTTTGAATCTCTTAATCCACAATCATTAAGATTTGTTCACATCTTGATTGGCAGAACATTGTTTTAGTTAGTGCCTCTAGCCAGCTATAAGACAATTCACTAGAACGCAAAGTACATTGTCTTAGCAAAATGTTGCCTACGAGACAACAGACCCAGCATGTACTTTCACATAGATCGAAAATCTCCTGCCTCCTCAAATTGACTACTATACTTCCCTTCCAAGTTGATACAAACCACACTTCAAATCCTCAACTTCGACTTCAACATTACGACAATGTCCCACATCCAGCCCCGGTCGTTTTCTGCTCCTCCCACTTCCACAGGCAACCTTTCTCCTTTCTCCATCCCCTTGGCATCTCTACCTCATCACATGCAGTCCCGAATTCCAACAGATGACGATGCATCATTTGTAAACGAAGCTGAGGAAAACGAGCAGCTCCAGCAGCATTTCCAGAAGCAGTACGAAGCCAAGTTCCTGATGGAGCTCCGTGTGATCTGTAAGCGGAAGCAGTTGAGGGTCCGCGGTAACAAGTCAGAACTTGTATTGCGGTTGGCGCAGAACGACATGCGTGAGTTGAATGAGCGTTGGATTTAGTTGGTCAAGTAGCTATGTGCGGTGCTGTCTTTGGCGTTGGCAGAAGTCTAAATTTCACCTAAAGCTATTAGTCAATGCTTCGGTGTTTCTGATGATGAATATAATTAGCCTGACTTGAGGGTCTGGGGTAATCATAGAGGAGGAGATCATAACATAGGTAAGAGTAAGCCAATTCACAACTAGTACCTCTCCCAGTCCTCTATGAGTGCGTAGATACCTCCATCTTCTTAATATCAATATCAACATCCACACCCGTCCCCTTCTCTAATCTCCCATCCCGATCAATGACCTCTCCGTTCATACCGACTGGAGTCCCGTCAATGTCAAAATCCACCTGCACACCTAGACCTGGTGGTGGCGAGATCTTGCTGAAGATATAGAACAGAATCGCACTTGTGGCGAAGCCAAAAAAGAAACTGATTTGATAGAATCGCGTCCACACAATGTTCACACTCACACTTCCCGGCTTGGACACAGCGCCAACAAAGCCGGGCAGAGCTGGCCACATGCCAAGGAAGTATGCAACCATTGCGCGCCAGTTCACGCCGCCAGTGAACCAGTACATACCGCCAGGAGCGTAGAGTTCGGGGATGTTCCACTTTTGCCGCCTGATGAGCCAGAAGTCGACAACCAAGATGGCAGCTGCGGGAGACATGAATACACCGAAGGAGCTGAGCACGGTAATGAAGGTCGACGCTTGGGTGAGAAAGCGCCAGGGGTTCGCAAGCACACCTAGAATGGAGAAGATGATTGCGCCGCGGCGCTGCGTGATGTAGCGCGGGACGAGCATGGCGACGTCCATGCCGCTGGACACGCAGTTCTGCGTATAGTTGACGAACACCGTTACACTCAATAGTCCGACGCCGGCGAAGAAGGTTCCTGCGCGGCATGTGGGCGTGTAGTAGTTCGCTTGTACCCACTGCAGCATAATGAGGGGGTTCCATTCGAGCATGCCATATCGTTCAGCCAATGCGGACGTTGAGATGATCCCCACCAAGGCGGTCAGGGTAACAGTGACGGCCAAGGTGATGATAGCGGGTGTGGACGTGTGGCGAGATCGTCCGTAACGCGTCCAATCTGATACTCGGTCTGTACCGCCAGTGTATGTGCCAGCTACGGACGTTATACCTTGGACGACGCGAAAGCCAGCTTCAGCTTTGGTGAGCTTTATGGCAGGGGAGACGAGGTTGCCGGGACTGCCGCCATTTGCCTTGGTAGAGTCAGTACGTCACGTTCTTGAGAGTGATATGTTGCCGCTTACAGCGACGGCCCATCCCATGATCCCAAGAAGTGTTGCAGTTGCGATTACGACTTGCACTTCAAGCAACTTTTGCACCTTCCATGCTGGGACGAAGTAGATGATGGGGAAATACAAGATAATGAAGAGCACGAAGCCAATAAGCCCAGGTGTAGTGATACCGGCACTTGCAGGGAGCGTGTTCTTCATGCGTAGGAAAGTTGGGAAAATGGCGTTCAGGATAAGGACAAAGGCTTGTCCACCAAAGTACATCTGAGTGCCCTACTCACTGTCAGTATCAAGCCTACAAGCATGGAAAGTCGACACACACGTAGAAGACAAATGACTGGAAAACATTCAGCATGATGCAGAAATAGCTACCCCAAAGTCCAAAAGCTGAGCGTGCCAGCATTCCGTATCCTAGGTGATGCTTCGCTCCAGGTGTACCGTTGAGAAACGCCGTACAGGAAGCAATGAGCATGCCAATCGTGATCGCAGTCATTGCTTGGGCAGCCGTTAAGCCAATGCCGATCAAACTACTTCCGATAGTCCATGATGAGAGACAGATGCCGCATGTACCTGACGATGTCAAAGATAGGCTCAACTGTATGGTCCGATATGATTGTTACCCCAATAGCTCACATATGCATAGACACCATACGTCCTCTTGTCGTGAGCGATCGGATACACGTCCCTATTTCCCCACCTACTTGTCTTAATCGTCTCATACTCATCGTCGGTAGGCTTCACCTCAAGCTTCTTGAGAAGTGCTGAAGCACGACCCATCTTGATGTTTATCGCGTTGGAGATAGAGGCAGCTTCACAAAACACTAGGGCAAAACTCCAACGGCTCGCAGGATAGAGTTGAATCAAAGTTGATAAGTCTATACTAACCCAGGGATGACCCGCAGCTTTATTTTCACCTCAGCTGCAGCTCAGACACGATTGTCCGTTCTGATTGTCCTACGCCTCCGCGGACCTGCAGAGCACTGTCCTTTCGCACATGTAGACAGGGGCTGTAAATTGCTTGGGCAACACACAGGTGCGTGCCTCCTCAAAGACTGCACATTTCCTCCGGAAGGCACGGCTACATTTGTTTTTCGAGTCCTGGGCTGCCTCAAAATTCTTGCTGCGCGCGTATTCTGCCGCAAGAAGCAGCGACCTGGCCGGTGGAACATGATAGCGTTGTGACAGGGTTGTTTTGAATGGGAGATTGTGCGCTTGGGTGTGGCGTACCAAGGCGGCTGTACTTGTTTGCTTCCGTGGTGGATGTGTGGGGCGTCTCAATTTCGCAAGAATCACCGGGGCTTACCGGGGCTTTCGTCGTCACACAACACCTGTGGAGTGTTTATGATCGCCAGTATGAGCCTGACACGGGTTTTCTTATCAGGTGAGGGATTGGAAGAGCGTGTAGGAAACGCGACGTGAGCTGAGATAGGATTTGCTTGGGAGATAATCACCTGTTCAGTCGATCGATCATTCTAGACTGCAAGCCTCCAGCCATGGAGCGCGCATACGACTTCATCGTCGTTGGCGGTATGAGACTTCCCCATCAAAGAGGCATGCCTGCTAACAAACTCCAGCTGGAGCATCTGGCGCTGTTCTTGCATCGCGCCTTGCCCACACACCTAACGTACCTTCAGTCCTGCTCGTTGAAGCAGGAGGATCAAATGACGAAGCTGCTTACCTCTCAGGTGCCGATCGTTATAATGTGGCTTTCGCAGCAGGATCTCCATTGAACTGGCACTACAAGACTACCCCACAAACACATTTAAAGGGCCAGGTGATAGACTATTCGCGAGGCAAAGGCTTGGGAGGGAGCACAGCTATCAACTTCTGTGGGTGGACCGTGGGACCGAGGGATGACTACGATGAGTGGGCAAGTATCGTTGGCGACGAGCGCTTTGCCTGGTCAAACGTGAAGAACGTGCTTAAGAGGATCTCGAACCTTGATACTAGGATACCAGACCAGACTATGAATCACAGAATCAATGCGAAACCTCACAATCACAGCACATCGGGCAATCTGGATCTCACTTATGGCGAATCATGGCTTCCGGATGTCGGCGACATTTTCACGGCCGCTGAACAATCTGGACATCGCATTAATCCAGACGTGAACAATGGCGATCCCATTGGTATGGGCATGGGTAGTGTGTGCATAGCCAAGGGCATTCGTGCAACATCGTCAAGCGCGTACCTCTCTCGAACGCCGCCAAACTTGAGAGTTCTAGTCAATACACCAGTCGCACGAGTGTTGTTCGATGGTAAACGAGCGATCGGCGTTGAATCTATCGATGGACAACAACTCATAGCCCGTAAAGAAGTCATCCTCGCGGGTGGCGCCCTTAATACACCTCAAATTCTCAAACTGTCTGGCATCGGCACGAAGAACGAACTAGAGAGTCTCAATATTTCGACTGTACAAGAGCTTCCTATGGTGGGAGTAAACCTCCAAGACCACTGCTTCTCGACAGTCGGGGTTGTACTGGAGAAGGATACGGCACTGCCTCCCGGACCTCCAACCCAAAGTCCCACTCCAATGGGCTGGTTCAAGTTGCCCAGTGTAATCTCTTCATCAGAGTTCCAGAAGCTACCATTACGAGTACAAAAGCACATGCATAAAGCGACCGTCCCAGCGATGGAGATAGCGACAGTACGACACTCTTACCTGAACCTGCATAACATCTAATAACATCATGTAGCACTCACTCCCCTCCTTTCTCGCCTACGAGCCTGCAGACTCAGAAACATACGTTGGTGCTATCTGCCTCATAATGAACCCTCAATCGAAAGGCACCGTGACACTTCAGTCATCAGATCCAAGCATCGCACCACTCATCGACCCCAAATTCCTCACACACTCTTTCGATCAGCGCGTTCTCATTGAAGGTATTCGCGAAGTAATGCGCATTCAATCTGCCCCCATTTTCTCGTCTCGTACCCTGAAGCGGCTTGGGCCCGCTGACGACTCTGACGAAGCTATATGGCAGCATGTCAAAGGCAATTTAAGGAGTAGTTGGCATATGAGCTGTACAGCTATGATGGGGAAGAGCGCAGAGGAGGCGGTGGTGGATAGCAAGTTCAAAGTGTTTGGCGTTGAAGGGTTACGGGTAATTGATCTGAGTGTTTGTCCTTTTGTGATGAATACCCACACTCAGAGCGTTGCGTATGTACTTGGCGAAATTGGAGCGGATGTTTTGGCCGAGGAGTATGCCTTGGGGCAGGTTGAGGTTCGGGGCAAGGCGGAGCCAAGTTCAGAGGAGAAATTGTAGCTTCCATTGAAATGACTTCACAGCGAACCTTCACGCTTCTGCTATGTCAGCTCTTCGTTTCCTGGGATTGTCATAACATCGAATACCACAGCATAACACGGTTATACCTTGTCGTCCTGGATATGCCCTGTATTTCCTACGTTCAGCACCCCCATCCAGTCTAACGGGCCTTTTCCGATTCCATGGTCAGCTCGGTGATATTGGCAGCCTCGTCATTATTGTCTACGGTGACTTCTCGGTCACCATAGGCGGTCCGATGCTACCGAGCTTCAACCCGAGTTTAATACCGCAGATAGCTCCACAAACGCACGGATATCAGATCGTTCCCTACTTCGACCGCCTTCATAGGCCAAGGCTGCAGGTATCCGCTTCCGGAAGCTGAGTTGTCCTGCATTGCATTATATCGCGCATCCGTATGCAGGATACCCGCAGCAGTCACATATGAACAACTTGGGGCCTGTATTGACGGTAGCATGTTGCCGTTAATCGGAGTGCTGGCATTGGAAAATGCGCACTGAATTCGACCCCACCGCCGAGGTCGTGGGATGGATGGATCGTACCCCTCTATCGCCGGAGTTAGGTGTTAATGCCAAGTGGTATCCTACACCACCACAGGCACTTTCTTAGATTATCAAGGAGGTCTTCGATCTGGAAGATTACGATCACAAAATGAAGGGCCCGATTGAAACACAGTTGTTTATCAATAATAAGCTAGTTCCAGCCAGCGACAATGCGACGTTCGAGCTCTTCTCGCCGCATACGGGCGATCTCGTCGCGAAAGGTAGATCCCATGTCGTCTCGAACGACATATAAAGACGGCTGATAAGACCTATAGTCGCTGAAGCCACGCTGGACGATGTCAATACTGCTGTAGATGCCGCACAAGCTGCCTTCCCAGCATGGAGCGCGCTTTCTCCGCAACAACGAGGCGCCCCGTTGAAGAAGATGGGAGAGCTCGTCGTGTCGGAGAAGGATGAACTTGCTCAATTAGATGCGATTGCTATGGGAAGACCAGTCAGCACGTACATCGATTCGCACTACGCAGCCACGCACTTCAACTACTTCGCCGAGGCAGCGTATCCGCAGGGCCACACGAGCCTGAACACGCCCGGGTTTTTGAATATGAGTCTACGCCAACCTTTTGGCGTTGTAGCAATAATTATCCCTTGGAACGCGCCACTTGTGTTCTTTTCCAAGAAAGTCGCGCCAGCCGTAGCGGCGGGGAATTGTGTGGTTGTAAAGACTAGTGAGAAGGCGCCTTTAACTGTGAGTATCAAACATACCTATCGTAAATCTTATCACATGAAGAATGGTTGCTGATTGCGATGTATGAAGCCCTGGAAGGTATCCCAATGGATAGAGAAATGCGGGTTCCCACCAGGGGTCATCAACGTTCTCTCGGGCCACGGTCAAGTCTCAGGCCAAGCCCTGGCCGAGCACATGAAAATCCGCGCATTGTCATTCACAGGCTCAACTCGCACTGGCCGCGCGATTCAAATTGCATCCGCAAAATCCAATCTCAAAAAGGTCGTCTTCGAGCTCGGCGGCAAGTCGCCAGCCCTCATCTTCGACGACGCAGACATCGAGCAAGCAGCCAAAGAAACTGAGAACAGCATCAATTGGAACTCGGGCCAGACGTGCATGGCAAATAGCCGAATATACGTCCAAGCCAGCATTAAGGACAAGTTCATCGAAGCCTTCTCGAAACATGCAAGGAGTAGGAAACTGGGCGATCCTACGAGTAAGGAGACGAACCATGGCCCGCAGGCAGATAAAGTGCAGCATGAGACGGTGAAGAAGTACATCGTCATTGGCAAGCAAGAAGCTGGATCAACTATCGATACTGGTGCAGAAGCCAACAGCGACTCAAAGTCTTTGCTTGTCCACCCTGTGATCTTCACCGATGTTGCGGAAGACTCGCGCATTGCAAAGGAGGAGATCTTCGGCCCTGTCGTCCTTATTAACACATTCACTACCGAGGAAGAAGCGATTCAAAAGGCTAATGACACTGAGTTCGGACTGTATGCTGCTCTGTACACGAAGGACCTTGAAAGAGCGGTGAGAGTGGGCAAGAAGCTGGAAAGCGGCATGGTGGGCATTAACTGTACGAGTCCGACGGGGTGCTGGGATTTGCCATTTGGTGGGTGGAAAGGCAGCGGCACAGGCAGGGAGAGTTTACTGGACAGTATGGATCATTATCTTGAGCAGAAGAGCTTGTATGTGCGAGTAAGTGGGATTGGAGGCTTATAGTGTAATAAATAAACATATTTTAAAATCGTAATCGACGCCGATACTTCAGCGTTATTTACCAGCTTGTATTATCTTGTGTCTATTCTATTTTATAATACCCTATATTACTGTCTGTATAAAATATATTCAAGTTTTAAACTCCTTATTCTTTTATTCAAAGGTTTATCTATTGGCAGTATTTAAATTTCAAGCAGGGAAGTAAAGAAACGACAGATGACTAACCCTGCCTACTTAGCCCTACCAAAAAGATAATTTGCAATTGCCAAGCCGCAAGTCCAATGATACTTGCATTTTATCGGGCAAATCCTCCACATAGAAGTCCTCCACATGGTTGTGGTCTTTGTGTAGGTCGCCCCATGCAAACACCGTTTCCGCATCACGGCAATCCAGTGGTTGGGTTGTCCTGACGTCCGCGACGTCAACAACAAGCTCGTTGAACGTATCCCAGTCCCCACATACAGCTCCCGGATCCGACGCTATGTGTGTTTTTGAGGGATCACTGGTCGGGAGGGGGTATTTGACAAGTTTTAGGAGGTGTTTCTTGGAAGCTATAGATCTGGCATTGACAAGAGTCGGATGGCAGAGGGCGATGAAACGCATCGAAGGGAGTCAGGCGAAGGCGGCAAGGCAAGGCAGGAGACGGCGCGCAGCGGGTTCACGTGCTCTATTGGGTCGGGTCGTCGTTTTTGATATTTTGACACAAGTCGACGACTATCAGACTCGAACTCCCGGACTGGGCTGGAAAGGCTGGAAAGGTTGTGGAGTCCGAGAGTTACGAGTCTGATATATTGACGAGCAGAGGGCTCCGGCTGGGTCGGAATACGGTGCGAATTGTAGACGTTATATAGTTGAACTAGCTGTTTCCCGTGGTTTGTCAGTGAGTTCCTGCGAAGAAGTGATGGGGGTGTGGAGATGACGAGGCGTTTTGCAGGGTATGAGGTGGCACGGCATGCGGGCGCCACGGCAAGAAAAAGGAATATGGGTCGAACATGCGAGACTTGATGGGTTTACCTCGGTGATCTCTGGAGGATGCGGTTACTGCTGGAAGTCCCGTGCGTGGTGGGTGTCTTGTATTATCTCACTGTTCCTGATATAGACGCGGCTTAGCTGAGAACATTGTTCCAGTCCTAGCAATATCAGAAACTTGGCAGTCCTTCTGCGAGAGCGCTGGGTTGAACGTACTATTGTATTGCCTATATGTAAGCTTGCTGCAGTGATACTTCTCCTACACTAGTCTTGCGTACCATCACATTTTGCCAGCATGCCAGCACACCACGGCGTAATGCTCAATCAACAACAACAACAGCAATGACAATGACAAATACAACTAAGAAAGTGCACACACACCCGAAACACAAGCCCAGATATGTCGATCCAGCACATGCCTTCAAGGTAGTTGAAGAGCGCATCAAATTCGTAGTAGTGCTACCGCTGAAAGAAGAAGACGCGATGTGAAGAGGAGAATATATGCGACGATAATGAAGGATTCTGCGCCCCGGTATTCACATTAGCTGAACGCTACAGATTGGTCTAAGGGTATTGTAGAAGATTTAAACAATGGGAGGCTAAATAGCTTGCAATTAACGCGCTAATAACGATTCTCAGTCAAAGGGGAATATTGTAACGCAGAAATCCGCTCACTCCTTTTCCATCAACTCTAAACGTCATATTGCTTTTAAGTCGGGCCCGGCAAATGTGGACCAGGAGTCGCTGCAGGTAAATTCTGCGCGCCCTCATTCCCCAGTAAACTCCCAAGATCGCCCCAGTTCCAGTCATGAATGTTGTTGATCGTAAAGTCCATAAATTGCATTTGCGTCGTCCGCTCCAGCCGTGCGTTTGGATACGTAGTTCCTATGTACTCCTGCTCTGGGTAGAAGCGGCCGGGTGCGTTGTTGGCGAACATGTATGCGCCGCTGTTGGATGAAGAGTGGTGGTAAGGATAAAGTGCCAAATCTTCCTGTGTTGATTGCTGTGGTGGTCGGGAGGGGCCTGGCGTGTCGTCGATTTCTACTTTTGGAGTAATGGCACGGAACGACGCGTTGTTCATTGAGCCGGCCATAGAATATAATTCAGGGATAATGGAAGCAAACTTCTCAATCGTGCCGGGCATATGCGGGTTCTTTCTGTGACGCTGCGCGAGTTCGGCAAGCTCGGCAAGCAGTATTCGCGGGGTTGTCCTGTCTGTGTTGGCCAACTTGTCTAGACAGACGAAGTCGAGGACGAGCACAGAGCTTGACGCCAGTGTGTACCAGATGTCCCACCAGGTGATGGCGTCGAACTTTCCTATAGCCTCAAGCTTGAGCATGATCCGACCCAGATCCCTGCCCGAGTCGGAGCAGGACTGTGCCATGGCTATGAGTGCTGGGTTCACAGAGTCCTTGCCTTCTTTGGATAGTATGGTAGCGCGTGCAAGAAGGGCTGCACGGCAAAGCACAGTGACAGTGTAGTGATACATGGCATGTAGCAGTAACAGTGGCCGCTGGAATGCCAGTGGAGAAGTTTTCAGAGCGTCCATTTGCAAATGCTGAGGTATCGAGTCCTTCCACCGTTCCAAGTCGCGCAGCACACCTGCTGCGGGCGATAGTGCCCCCACGTATGACTCCTCGCTGGCATTCGATTTCATCGTCTTGGGCGCGCGACAGGCCGAGCCTAGATGCACCACCATTCGATTGAACCACTTGCAGTAGTCCTCCGGGGAATAGCTTGCCATGCCAATAATTCGCTCATTCGGACAGCTGATTTTGGACGCAGGATGCTCGATTGCACTCGGGCGGTCGTACGACGAGACCTGCATCTGCTCAAACGCGTACAGGGTCCACCAGAGTCGCTTCCGTAGCTCTCGCGCGAGAGGTGTCTGCAGAGTGCTCACTTTGTCCTGGTGCAGGCCTATGGCAAACGCTATGCGAATGGCAGTGCCTGTCAGGTTCCAGCAGGCGTCGCGGTGGTTCGTATTGTGGAGATGCATAGCAGCAAGCATCATGGCCTGCACAGCCATGACACTCGAGGTGAAGATGACGACAGGAAGGAGTGTCTGCACCCGCCGCCACCACATACGCTCCTGGTCTTCTGGAAAGGACACGCGCGCCACACGCCGCGCCAGCAGCAACACGCAGAGGAATCCACACAGCCAAGCTGGGTCCGCCTGCCCTGGATTCGCCACCCATGCCTCGTAGGCTTCGCGAAACGAAGCTTCATGCAGGACGGGGAAGTCCGGGTTGATGTAGTCGAAGAAGGCGCCTATTAGCGACTCGAGGCTCGGGGCTTCGGTTGTGCTCGTCGAGGTGCGGCGGTCAGTGGGCGAGGTGTGGTCTATATTCGATGTCGCGCTCGCGCTGGGCGTCGAGAGAGAGTGTGGGTCGCTGTCGCCCTCGAGCGGCTCCTGGTCGGCGGCGTTCCTGCCAAACAAGACGAACTCTCGCGGGGCGCCCTTGCCGACCAAGGTGCGCAGCTTCAGGTGGAAAGAAAAGGAGCTCGCAGGGCCAATGTACTGCACCTGTCCTTGCTGGTCTGGCAGCAGCGACATGGACTCTTCTCCCTCTCTGTCACTGCTGCTCTTCTGCTCGCCATTGGCGTCATTGTCCATCGAGTCTGGCAGCTGAATCCCGAGCGAGTTGCCCAGCTCGCGCATCTCGTCCATGTTGGAAACGTCGGCCTCGGGGAGCAGGCCCTTGACCAGCGACTCGAGCAGCGCCAGTCGGTTCCCTAGGCCTTCGACACTGCCGTACAGGCGCTTCTTGCGCGGCTTCGTTATCATGCATTCTATCTTGTTCTCGCTGCAGTAGCGACAGCTGTCTTGGCCCGGCTCCTTTCTGCACTTTTGCTTGCGCGACTTGCACTTGTCGCAACTCGTCTCGGTCCGCTTCCGCTTATCGAGCGGTACTCGGCGAGAGTTTTGGCTGCTCGTGGGCGCGGTGGCGGTGGCGGTCGCAGTCGCAGTCGTAGTCGCAGTCGGCGCAGGCGTAGGGGGAGAGACGGACGACATGGTATTCCGAGGTAGCGACGGCGTCAGGACGCGGGGAGAAGCATGGCGGGCAGAGCTCGAGGTCCTGGGGGCATTGCAGCTCTAGACTATCGACATGCTACTGTCTGGAGTGAGAGAGATGCATCGACTACTAAGAATTGGCGATACGAATGCCGGGACTCGAGAGGTTGAGCGTTGGCCTAACTTGGACATGGAGCTGTCGTCTCCCTCCCGCTGGCTACGCCCGGTCGCGACTACCGGCGCTTGGGGCGGCCCCTGCCAAAGTTACCAACCAACACCAGAGCGGGTGGACGTGCAGGAGCACGCCTCATTATTCAGCTCCATCTAATTCATATTTGTACAGCGTGATGATTCCAATCCTCTTGGCCCCAAGCTTCCCCAGTGCCGCATGGACTAAATGTTGACGCTCTAGTCAGTATCTCGCATGCAGTTCGCGTGATTTCTAGGCCTCCCCCTGACAAGTCTTCCATCAACGCCTCGAACTTTGCTGCTCCTTCTTTTCCCCCAGAAGGTTTCCGACGACATGCCCATTACTAGAGTTGTCGTCAATTAATGGACGCGGGTGAGTGATGGAGATACTGACCCATGAAGTCAGGGCTTGCCGTCATGACATTCTCGACAGCCACTCCGCCTCCACGGTGACATGAGTTGACGGCAGAACGACCGCAAAAGAGCCAAGGGGTGAGAAGTGGTAGTTGGGCATCTATATCTATCACTTTTGCTTACGCAAATTCTATGCGCGTCTTACTTTGGCACGTATCCAATTCAACGGTCGGTTTGGGCTGGTAGCCAAATGCGTTATGCGTGCCATGCTAAGATATCAAACAAGGGCAATGGACATCTCTCAAACATCAAAATACACAAAGGAATCCCCATCAAAGCTCATCGTGCACACTTGGCTCGCCAACTTCCCCCTCTACTATTCTATCATACGCCTTGCTCGAGATTGGATACACCAGCTTGACGTGGCCCTCCAGGCTGAAACCATAGTTCTCTCCCCCATAGCGTGCTTCTATCCGTTTGCGATTCGCCTGATCTAGACGCACACAGTAAGCCGGGAGTCCGTACATTGACATGCAAAAGTGCCATCACATACCTTCTTCGGCGTACTCCTCGCCTTCTTCGACCATGCGCTCGATGTCCTCCCATGACAGGCGCCCCTTGTCGTGCTCAATAGTGATGGACTGTGTTTTGCCAGTTGCTTCATCGCGGGCCTTAACCTAAGACTCGTCAGTACGTGGTCATGAGGAATCGAGCAGTCCGACAACCCACTCGCAGAACACCGTCATGCATAAGATCGTCCTCTTCCAACTCGAAGCTGACCTCGATCTGCGGCACACCACGCGGTGCCGGAGGAATATTCTGAAGCTCGAACTTCCCAAGGAAGTGGTTATCCTTGGTAAGACTTCGTTCTCCCGCGTACACCTGGATCAGGACTGTTGTTTGATTGTCTACTGCCGTGCTGAAAATCAGAGACTTATGAGTGGGGAGAGTTGTGCCGCGCTTGATTATTGGGGCCATGAGCCCCCCGGTGGTCTCGATGCCTGGAGTCTTGTTAGTTGATGGGGAGGTATACAAGATTGGCCGCCGTACCGAGAGTCGAGGGATTCACTTCAAGCAGGGGACATCCGACTCTGGGCTCCGAGATAACCCCACCCATGACAGCGGCACCATGGGCAACTACTTCGTCTGGGTTGATGCTCTTCTGAGCTGGCTTGCCAAAGAATTCCTCGACCATTGACTGCACCTGGATGCTGTTAGAACCGTCATACGATGCCAAAATAAGGAAGCCCGAGTACCTTTGGAATGTGGGACGAGCCGCCAGCCAGAACAATGTCATCAATGTCGCTCTTTTTAAACTTGGCATCCTTCAGGGCCTGTTCAACCGACTTCAACGTTTTCTCGAATAGAGAATTGTTCAGCTCTTCGAATCTAGCGCGTGTCAAGGTCTCAGAGAAGTCGTTGCCGTCGTGGAAGGTCTGCAAGAAGACTGTCAGCGTTTGAAGAACAATTCCAAGCATTCCGAATACGTACTTCAATCTCAATCTTGGTGGTCGTTTCAAAAGACAAAACACGTTTGGCGCGCTCAACTTCACGCTTTAGCTTTCTCATAGTCGTCGTATCCTGCTATGATATTAGTAAAGTAACTTTTGTTTCCAGGGGCTTACCTACCTTGCGAATATCAACATCATTTTCCTTATTGTACTTCTTCACAAAATAGTCCACAACTTGCTGATCAAAGTCTTCGCCACCAAGATGCATATCACCAGCCGTCGCGAGTATTTCGAAAACGCCTTCTTCGATGCTGAAAATAGTTACATCTATCCCATGTCAGATCCCAGTCGTCAACTGAAAAAGGGCTTAGTACCGAAAGTGCCACCCCCAAGATCGTAAACCAAGACTTGACGTTCACTATTGTTAATCTTGTCTAGATCATAGGCTAGCGCAGCGGCGGTCGACTCATTGAAAATGCGGAGAATGTCTAAGCCGGCAATGGTGCCTGCGTCTTTGGTAGCGGCCTGGAGACAGTCAGTGGGATACTAGGCATGCAGTCATTGGACTTACCCTCTGGGCTTCATTGAAGTAGGCGGGAACAGTGACCACAGCCCTGGTTACCTTCTCGCCCAAATATGCTTCAGCAATGTCCCTCATCTTGCCCAAAATCATGGCTGCTCGCAATTAATTCGAGATATTGCTGTGGACTGCACAAGCTGCTTACCAGAGACCTCTTCAGGACTATATTCCTCCTTCTGTCCCTGCACCTCTACGTGCACCTTTGGTATCCCGTTTGATTCAACGACCTCGAACGGGAATGTCCGGAGATTCTTCTGCACGTCCACCTCACTGATGTTCCGGCCGATGATTCGCTTCACGTCGTAGATTGTCCGGTGGGGATTTGACAGGAACTGATCCTTCGCCGCATTACCGATGAGCCGCCCATCGTCAGTGAAGGCGACCCACGAGGGCGTGGTCCGATTACCCTGATCATTAGGAATTATCTCCACGCGACCATTTCTCATGCTGTAAGTAGTCAGTAAGGGAACTCCGCATCGGAGTATCTGAAACAACGCACACGGCCACACAAGAGTGCGTTGTGCCCAAGTCAATGCCAATAATGGGACTATCTACTTCTTCTGAGCGCGCTGTGAGAAAAAGACCAACACACAATACGAGGGCCAGGTAAAATAGAATATTCCATCTTCCTTTATCTCGTGTCACTTGGTTTCGACCACGTCCTGCCATGGTGAACGTTGATGCCGTAGATGGAACTGTTGAAGAGTAGTGCAAGATCCGCCAAGCTCTAGAATTAGAGTTGGTGTGGAATAGAGCAGAAGTAGGTATTCTATGTATCTTTGCACAGGCGAAATGAAAGCTTTCTACGTGATAATAAGCGCGCGTACTACGTTTATACGTTTTTGACAGTATAAGAATGCAAGTTGCAATCTGGCGTCCTCGTATTCGCCAAGGCAGACTGGCCTTTCTTATCGATAACCGCTTCACAGTGTCTGCCTAAAGGTGCCGGGCGCCTTACTCTCTCTCGTCTCCACTGTGAGCAGACAAAAGCGTAATAACCACGTTGCCACAGCAGTCTTGCCAACTGGCAACTTACCAAGAGATTGAGTATATGGCCATGATGACAGACATCCAGCACGTTGTAAACGAAAACTCTAGTGAGGTCTGACAGTCCAATATGTGGGAGCCTATTCAACTTCGCACGCTCGATTCAAGAAGGCGAAATTCAACGTAGAGGATTCCAAAGCAGGAAAGAATCGTCCCGCTCACAGAAGATATCTTTCTTGCTATACACCACGGATCTGCGGTGACATATACGGCTTACCGCCTTTGCTGGTTCGTCGTTAGATTAAGTGCAAGTCTCATGATTATAGGCCTGCTGGGAAGGGTACTGTGAATCGCGAATCCAGCATAAAGCGACTTGCCCATTTGTGTATTCATGCTCTAGGCTACCGACCGTCGCGAGCGAGTGCGGTTGTGGATAACGGTGGGGATGGTCATTTGCGAGCTCATAGTCAGGCTGAGTGCTTGATGGATCGTCGTTTGCCCAAGCGTCGTGCCCTAAACATGTGATAATTCATCATACTGAAATGGCTCACTGCCGATAATGTAGGCGAATAGATCAACTGTTTCATAGATTTGTCGTCAGATATTTAGGGGCGAGTGCGGGGGTCGCGTAAGGTTCAACGTTCCCTAAGTACCCAGCGCCTTACTCTATACAGCTAAAATCTGCCGTAGCTGCCGTAGATGCCGTATCCTCGGCTACATCTACCCGCACTCTACCGAAAGTCGCGTTTTACAAAGAACGTCGTCAGCAATGATAGCATCAGGTAGGGATCTTGTGCCCAGCTAGCCCAAACTCAAACCCGACCGACAGCCGCCACAACCACAACGGAACAAAGAACCGGCGCCAAAGACACCACGCAGGCTCAACATTCGGTTGCGTGACGGAAGCCATGAAGCGCTCTCCTTGACCCTGGTTCGTACGGCATCAATTGGGCCCGCATGATTGCAAGCCGAGGCCGGCTTCCTAATCTGATGGGGCGAACAGTGTATTGCGGGCCTCATGTGCGCTATTACCGGTACGTATCCATGCTGGTTTATCGTGCAATGGAACCCAGTCTGGTGTTGTAGTATATGTGGTCCTTGTCTCATCTGTCCATCAATCGGTGACGCGCTGAAGTTCGGACTTTCCTATCCTTGGGTATGGTAATGTGTATGCGTTTATAGCCGTTCATCTCAATTCTTCCATTTGGCCACAGGCCATAGGTTCCAACCTTCGACGTTCCTTTACAGACTGATCAGAAAGAGAACAATGGCTTCGGAAGATTTCAACATCGCCATCGTTGGCGCTGGAATCGGTGGGCTGGGCTTCGCAATCGGCCTCAACCACCTCAACGTCCCCTTTACAATCTACGAATCCGCACCGCAATTCTCGGCAGTCGGCGCTGGCGTCGGCCTTGGACCCAATGCCCTCCGCGCAATGGACATGATCGACAAACGCTTTAGCGCTATGTACATGGCCATTGCCACCGGGAATCTGAAGCCAGAGAAAAAGCATGTCATGATGGAGGCTATGCGTATGGAAGAAGGGCTGGGAGAAGGCGAGAGCTGGTGGGGCCATGGTGGTTGGGGAGCAGAGTACTATGAGCGAACTGGCGCGCATAGAAAGGACCTGCTGGACATCATGACGAGTTTCATCAAGAAGGATGCCGTACGGTTCAACAAGAGAGTCAAGGGGATGAATCAGGTTGACGGCCGCGTAACACTCACATTTGAGGACGGCAGCGTCGCAGAGCACGCTGCGGTCGTTGGCTGTGACGGCGTAAAAGGTTTTTCGCGTCGCATGGTCCTCGAAGACCGATACCCGGAGTGTGTCGAGCCACAGTATACGAACAAGTACGTCTATCGCGCTATAATACCTATGAGTGACGCAAAAGAGATCCTAGGAGACCTCGCCACGGACGCAAAGATGTACATGAGCAAAGGCGCAAATCTGTCTACGTACCCTATCAGCGAAGGCAAGCAGATTAACATGGTTGCTTTCAAGCGTGACACGCAACCCTGGACGCACCCCGACTTCACCTACGACGTGTCACGAGAAGACATGCTCAAGGACTTCCAATCTTGCAACCCCGATGCTCGGTTAATGAAGTTACTCGACTGGGCCAAACCCACGCGTTGGGCTATCACTCACCATCTCAACACACCCACCTACTACAATTCCCTGATCTGCATGCTCGGCGACGTCGCGCATGCAGGCGGCCCACACCAAGGCGCCGGGGCAGGCCAGTGTCTCGAAGACTCATTAGTCCTCTCCCGCGTGCTCGGGAAATTATACCACTCTACGCCGTTCTTTACGCTTGCCTCTCCTTCACCACTACGAACGACGATTATCGAGGCAGCGTTCCAAGCCTATGACGAGGTTAGGCGCCCAAGAGCGCAGGAACAGGTCCGGACAAGCCAACAATGTGGAGAGATATACAATCTGATGGACCCTGTGGCTGGCGATGATATCCCCAAGGTACTTGCCAGCCTTCACGGACGTTTCGGTTGGATCTGGCTGCACGATCTAGCGTCGGATGTGCGCCAGGTGGAGGAACGATTCGAGGAGCTCGCAGGCGTGAGAAACGAGGTTAAGGAGGAGAGTGTTAGGTTGTGAGCCCATCTCTTTATCATATTCATGCTGCAGTACTGAGCTCTGGCTAACTGCTAAGTAGGTTTGATACGCCGAATGCGTCGCCGGTGCGAAACGCTGTGGTGAGTTGAAGCTGAAGACATGGTGAGAGATTCGCGTTGCTTATGCCATCAAGTTGGTATTCATAAAGATAGCAAGCGTAGCGAGACATCCTTTGCTGAGCCATGACATGTGTATATCTTCGACTCTGCTCTTAGACGTCTTTTGCTTCCGGTCACTCATGTGCTCATCTAGCCTGTGGTTAGCTCTTTCTGCGTGCAGTAATCGCGCTTCTTATCCTGGATTGCTGTCCAAAGAAGAGACGCGCTCGGGAGCTGTTGGAGACGGTAGACGGTAGGACGTATGTGCGAGGACGCATGGTAAGAGGCAGGAAGGGCATAAGTGCGAAGTGTCAGTGAAACCTATAATTACTTGTCAAGGTGGCCACGGCATAGATGGTGGTTGTGCATTAGATTCGCAAGTCCAGTGCTCACCATTTACGTCAAGGCACGGGGGTTTAGCCGTGCGTTCGGCTTTTCCGAATAGGACTTACAATGCTCCGTAGTGGAACGTTCACTAGTGAATGCGCCGCACGTGCGTTTGTAGGGCAAGGTTTCCCGCGCTGTTCAGCGCAACCATCGTTGTTTCCGCATCAACAAAAACCGACATATCGCAACAAACTAATCGACCTTGGGCGAAAGATGGATCCCAATTTTGATCCAGATAGCTATGTACATAAAGGTGGCCAGAAGCGACTCGATAATCAGCTCAGAGAGCTAGAAGCTAACTCCCCCGACACTGGCTACATTTCTATCATTCGGACTCTACATATTCAGTTGCTCGATCTCTCAGGGAAACGAATGGAAGCTGAGCACAAATACTCGTTGGCGGCTCACGCTCACTCTTTTCGGGAGCGCTCGCTCAATCAGCAAGTCAACAAGCTGCAAGGGTACTGCTCCACGTTCGCGGCAGACAGGAACAGTCTTTTGGAAGAAAATCTGAATCTGAAGGGAGAACTGGCTAAGACAAATCACAAGAGGAAGACACAAGATGACAGTTTGAAGGCGCTGTATGGTGTGGCAGCCGATCTTTTGCAGGAGGTGGATGAATTAAAAAGCACAATTGCACTCACCAAATCTGCGTGAGTAGTGTTAGTTCAACCCGACGTATCTGACTAACCACATGCAGGGCGCAAGACTCTACAATCAACGCCCGCGAGGCCACGTCGAGGAAGCGGAAGGAGTCCGATAAGACCCTTATATCCCCGGTCGATACCGACTTAAACCCTCTACATCCTTTGGCAGCCACGACCGTCTTTCCCGAGCCCGCAAAGAAGAAGTTGAAAGAATTTCATCCGTCCCCCACAAACGTACAAAACGTCGTTCTTTGCACACAATGCTACGCTCACGGCTTGAAGTGCGACCACGGTAGCCCGTGTCAGTACTGTATCAAGAGCAAGAAGGCCTGCAAGCGCAAGAAGTGCAGTACTTACGAAGCTGGAGAGAACCAATGTACCAACAGGCACTGCTTTCTGGCACACCCGGAAGACGGGTACAAGAATGCAACACAAATGCCTAAAGCTAGAAGGGAGAGGGGTTTGCCGCCTCTTGGTCGGATCTCTCGTTGGTAAATTCCGTTGGGGTTGAGGATACGGTCGAGTGTAGCATCATCCTAGAGAGTATCATCGGTCTCTAGCAGATCGACGAAGCTATCTATCGCTTGTCAGTAGGCAAGAGACTTAGGCCTTCAATGACAACCCAACTTTTACGGAGCACATGGCCAAATAGGAGATAGAAATGTGTACCTTAAATTGGTTCTCATGTTTTTTTAGCGGTTAAACGAATCACCGTGGCTAGATAAGTAACCTCGCTGACCGCCATCTTGATGCTGAAAGTGCAACAAGACGGCTTTAAAAACTCAATGGATAATAACAGCATATCTGCATTTTTCAAATCATTCCCATGCTCCTCCCCAGTTATGCTAGCACCCATTTACTCTAGTCTTTAGTCGCACTCTGCATTCACTTGCTCTTTCACTGCCTGTCAAGCCCATCAAAGCCCGCAGCTGCTACCTACATCCCGGCCCTGTGGAACTGCATTTCTAACCTTCCCCACCCTTCCCTCCATACGATCTCCGCCCAATGTACCACAACCCCGGATAGAATACCCTTCCTCGCCGTGAGCTAGACTTCGATCTCCTCGCACCTAATCACCACCACCCATGAAACGACGCGAACGAACTATGTTCGTAGACAACTCTCCCCCACTCCATAGCAACGTGCAGATGCGGGCCGTCAAACCGAGCGATACAAGATATGAACTTCGGTCGCTCCGCGAGCACAAGCAGCTGAATTCGCACGCAGACTTGAATCTACGTCCAGATGCCTTGGACCTAGAGCAGTTGCGGCAGGAAGTGAGCTTCTGGAGGGCGCACGCGAAGGGCCCTGCCGGGTTGAGTGAAGTCGCACAGAATTTCCAACGCATGCAAGCGACGATGAAGGCAAAGGATGCAAGCCAGGCAATTTCAGAACAAGAGAAACACGACACTCAGGTAAAGGCCACCGCAGAGCGAGAGGACATGGTAAGCAAGCTGAAGCAGCAAGCGCGTGAGCTGGACGCTTTGCGCCAGGACATTGTGCGCCTCAAGAAAGAGCGTAACGCGGGCCCCAAAAGAGCTGTTTATTCGACTGTACCCCCAGGAGTAGACGTGGGATTATTCACACGGTCCAAGGTCTCACGCAAGCTAGAGGAGGTTATGAGGTAAGTGATCTTTTCCAGTTCCTCGCATGGCACTCACCCTGTCTAGGTCAGCGGACAAACTGGAGAACGATATACCTACGCCCAAGAAGCGGAGACGCAAGCACAAGAACATGGGAGCTCTTGCTACTCGGGACCGACCAGTATGCTCTGTCTACATGTCTCGCGATGATATTTGCAGTGGTAGGTGTGGGCTTTATCACCCCAACGGCCCGGATTTGGAGTACCACTTGACTATGCTGGAGAGGTTGGAGGAGTAGGAGGCTGCGAATATCGTGGTAGAAGGAAATTTCCAACTTGAAGGTGTGACATTGTGAGGCGTTCTGACCGAGCGGGTTTGCAGATCGGTGAGTACGTTGCGAGTGATCAAGGCAGTCAAAAATGCATCTACTTGGGCCAACCATGCACTGCTCAACTCCCTACCTTTTCGTGAGATATTTTCTAGTGCGACTATTTGATTTTGCGTTGAACGTATTCACGTCGTTTGTTTGCAATAGAACCAGCGATAGCTCAACTAGGGCGTAGGCGCTTTGAAAATTCTCATGCAATGTGTACACTGTGTACTCACGCTTCCACTGACTTTTCATTCACAATGACCTGAATACCCTCGCTCTCAAAAGTCAATCTTGCACGTATAAAGCTTCTTCCTCGAAAAGCACCACAAGGGCACATGTTCAATGAAAAAGATATGTGACCGAAGTCCAGACAAGGCTCGAAGACCCAGCTGGTGCATGACATGCGGGCATGCACTCCCTAGTTTCAGGCATAAACTCCCTAGTACAAATGGAATCTGACGCTCGTCGAGAAGCCCTCGTAGACACACGTAGCTCAGCCGAAGCGAACAGCGTGTATCTACGCCCGAGTGGACGCGACTCTTCCCGGTGAAGCCACAAGGAGAGAAGGCACAAATCCTGCCGATGAAGCAACTCGTCGAAGCGTGGTTCCAACTCACTGCAGTAGTAGCACAGCGCTTACACCGTGGGACCGGCAAAGAGCTCATAAGGTAGGACAATACCACGATGAAGCCCACGCTAGAACTGCAATGGAAACTCGTGGCCAACTGAAGTCACCGAAATGAGATCTTGTCCACGAGCGGAGAGGTGAGAGTGGGGGTGGTTGGATCTGCCAACGCTGGAATACCGCAAAAACAGTGAGACCATTGCTGGAGTCCGGGTGGAAGGCGAGGCAAGTGGGCAGGAATGAGAGTGGTGGTAAGGAACTCATGTGCAGGCGAGGTTGCAGTTGAGTTGTGGAGGGCGGAGGTTGGAGTAAGAAAGTTCAGGAAACGGGTGGGAGGGGTTTATATGTGCTTGGGGGGGCCGTGGGCGCTCGGACCGCGTGACCTGACCCTAACCGAAGTCAGCCCGACAGCCCGACAGCCCGCAGCCAGGCAGCCATGGTGAAGGTGAAAGCACGTGCCAACTACGCGCAAAAGTTGCATGTGAGCTAAACGTTTATACGTAATGAGTAGAGTTACAGCCATTTTGGATACTCTACTAATATTGAATACTTGTTTTTAGGGCTGCAATTATTGCGGAAAGACTTGAAATAAACTCACTAGAGCCCGCATGTTAGACAACATTCGGGCAGCCAATTTAGGCACTGTTTGACAGCCTGGGGAATACTTTTAATCAGCACATACTATAGACTAAGTGCGGGGATCTTTGGTCAGAACTGACCAAAATAGAGGATGGCGGAGATGTGACTTTTGAGGTGAATGCGGCAATCACCTGAGCAGAACGAGACCGTGCACCCTCGCCCGCACTATTTAGATTTCACCTTCATTTTTTCCGACATTCCCACAGGTTCTCAGCTATTACTTCTTCCACCTCGACCTACAGTCAGTTCGCTCACCTCAACCACACGCCACTTCCACTCTACCCGAGACACTTCTGGCTCCAGGTAGCTCTCACAGCCTTCAGATCGAATCTTTACACCTTCCGTCGTTAGGAAAGAAATCACGATGGCTAACGACTACAACATGGATACCGATATGAACGACCTGGCTGGTGCAGAGACTTCTCCAAACCCAACCCAACATGCTTTGACGACAGAAGCACAACAAGAAACGGCAGAACTAAAAGCGCAACTTGAGAAATCGCAGAATGAGTTAGCATTGACTCATGGTGCTCTCAATTATTACGTGGACTTGTACCGCAAGACAAAGAGCGACAACAGTGCGCTGAGAACTCATATCAATGCGCTCAACACAGGCCGCCGTAAAAACATCAACGACAGCATCCGCTTTCACCCTACTCGTAAGGGAGTATCGGACCTCGGACGCTTGAACGCCAAAGCCGGAATGGTCATAAAGAAGCTGAAGCTGTCAATGGACCCGGCCCTAGAGGACTCCATCACTTCGATCGAACGAGAGCTATTCCTGCAGAAGATTGAGCGCGATGACGCCAAAGAGATGCTCGATTTCAACAACACGGATAACGACCGGGTCATGGGGGCAATGCAACGCGAGATGGCTCTAGTCATTGACGGCCAATCCCGCTCAGCGGAGGAAGCCGCGCAGTACTCTCAGGAGAACGCACGACTGACCGCGCAGAATCGTGTTCTGAAAAACGACGCGGAGGAATCGCAAGAGTTGTTCAATGAGATGTTCAACCAGAAGATGGATTCGGATGCTAAGGTTTCGGCGCTTGAGGAAGAGATCGCTGCGCTCAAAGCGCGGGTCAAGGAGCCCACGAAAGTCAACGCATTCGAGTTGCCGCTGAGGCACGTTGAGATAGTGAAGCGTAAGGTCTGTCCGGCGTGGTCTGCGGGTGGGTGTAATGGCCGTTGCCCTGGATTCAGCCACCCGTAGAGCAAGGAGTAGATAGCATGCTAGAGGCCTCCGCGCCTATGTATTATATGATAGGCACACAATCAAGAGCCCACAAGGGCCTCCTAGAGCATACGCAATAGGGCCAAAACTTGACCTGTGAATAACTGAAGGCCTGCACATGTGTCCTAGACTATGACACCTACAGAAGGCGAAATGTACTAAGGTCTATCGCGAGAGGCGTTAGTTAGCAGTAGCAGCACGTACCACCTAGCCCTGTGTTCTCCTAGGCCTCTTTATACCTTATTCATTACTACCCTATAATACGCTGGACGTCTCTAAGCATACTTCTTAGGATTACTAGATAGATTTTAGAGTTCCTGAAGACAACCACACTGCTCTATACTAAGAAGCTTACTTGCTCTAGAAATTCTTAAAGTTCTCAAAGTCTCCTCAACGTACGCGTTCAATTTCTTCTGCCTAGAATAGTCTAGCAGTAGCTCTTAACTATAGTTTCCTAACTAGCCTATTTTAATAAAAATAATACTTTAGTTACTTAATTTCCGCTCTTATATTTAATTAAATACTAATTTTAAATTTTTTTTATTTTTTTAAAGTTTTTATTTATTAAATGCTAATTTTTACTATTGCTTTAGTACTTATAGCCTATATAGCTTATATAACTATACTTTTAGCATCTTTTTAAAGTTTTTAAAAAAGTTTATATAGTTATAGTTTTTTATAGTTTTAATTTTAGTAACTAGTTTTTAAAGTAGCTAGTAAAAAGCAGCTATTTTAGCTACTTTAATAAGCTTAATACTTAGCGTAGCTTTTAGTACATTATTAGTAAATAAATATAAAAAAATAAAAGTTTTTTACTTATTATATAGTTTTAATAAAAAAAAGCAAGCTATATTAAAACTATATTTTTTTTTATTTTTTTAAACTACTAAGCTTTTTTTATAATAAAGTTATTAAAAAAAGGCTTTTAAAGTTCTGGCTAAAGCAGGTCTAAAAAGTTAATACTAAAATAAGTAAAAAAAAAAAAAAATTATTTTGCTATTATATAAAAGTATAATAGATAAAAGCTAGAAATTATAGAGTAAAAAAGCTTTATATAAGCTTAAAAAGCAAGTAATTCTTTTTATATTTAAATTATTAAATATAATTAAATTTTGTATTAGACTTATTAGAAAATTGATATTTAGTACTATAAGAAAATAATAATAAAATTTAAAATTATAGTTAGCAATTATTTTAACTTATTTTAAAAAAATTAATATAATTATAAATATTTCCGCATTTAAAGTACTTTTATAAAACTAGCAATAGCTTAACTAGAGTATAAGCGCTTTAAAAATCTTTTTGCTCTAAAAACTATTAAATGCTGCTACGCTACATTATAAGAAGTAGAAATTTAGCTAGGAAATACATTGCATTCCTTCTAGAATAGCTATGCTATAATTCTTAGTAGGGCTACGTATTAGCAGCAAGCAAGTTAGTAAATATATGCCCTATATAGCATTTCTAATATTAATCTAAGTTCTACAAATATGCTCCTTATTTAGACATAAAAAGCATTTGCGCCTACGCATATTATAGTAAGCAGAGAAGGTAAAAGAATGCAAAGGCCTTCTAGATCTAATATAAGAGAGTTGAAGCTAAACTTAGTATTTATTAAAAGTCTCCGCGTATATGCAAAACAAACCTGTTTATAAAAAGAATATAAATAGTAGAGTGCAAGTTCTGTAAAGCTTTATTAGTCTGTTTACTATAAGAGAGCGCTATTATAGGTCAAGGAAATTAAAAGCAATTTGGTAGGTATCTAGAACTTTAGTACTTATAAAAAATAAATAGTATACTAAGAGGATTTTCAAAGCGCCTACGCCCTAATTAAGCTATTGCTAGTTTTGTAAAAGTACTTTAAATACAAAAATATTTATAATTATATTAATTTTTTTAAAATAAATTAAAATAGTTGCTAATTATAGTTCTAAACTTTATTATTATTATTTTATAGTACTAAATATTGATTTTTTGCTTTTAATAACTACTAATATTAAGGAGTAGCTTTAGGCAATAGTATTTACTTTACGCTATAAAAAATAAAAAAAAAATAATTAATAAAAAACTATTTTTTAGCTTAATAAATTAATAATACTTAATACTACTATTTTGCAGGTATAGCGTAAGTTAAATATAAAATTTTTATATATATACTAATTTTTAAAAAAAATAGTATAGTATTACTGTAATACTAATTCCTAGTAATAATATTTTATTATAAAATTTTTTTAGCTAGCTAGCGTCTTGCTAGTATACAAAATTCTTTTTATATATTATTATATTATAATACTTTTAGTAGATTTTCTACGCGTGCGCAATAATTTTGCGTTTATTATATAATTATTATATTATATAAATAAAGCGCGTTATATACTTTCTTTATATAAAAATAAAAGTAAATAAATAGTTTATAGTAATATAGTAAAGCTTAATAATAAAAAACTTTTATAAACTACTATTATTTTATTGCTTTAAGCTTTTATAATTTATTTAATTTATATTTTTTATACGCATACAACGCACCTATTGCGCTTACTATTATAATTTATTATTTAAATTTTAAGTATATTAAAAAGGCGCATATATATAATACTTGCTTTTTTATATTTAGCGCAAAAAAAAAATATACTAATTATATTATTATAATTGCAACTTGTATGCGCTATACTTAAAATATTACTAAATAAAAAAAAAACTGCAATTACTTTAAGTATTGCTATTATAACTATTACGCTATTAGTAACTATAGTAGCTATAACTTTATAAATATTTTAAAATAGTTTATTATAAGTATATTTTAACTAATTAATATAAGTATTTTATAAGTTTAATAATTGCTTAAATTATTTATATATACTGCGCACTTGCTATAGTATAGTAATTACTAATATTATAATTTTTAAAATTAATATTATAATTATTTAAACTAGCATTAAGCTTACGCGCTATTAGCGCTAATTTAATTTAAAATTTATAAACTATTACTATATTATTATTTATTTTAAAATTTTAATAAGTATAGCTACTTAAGTACTTACAACTTTTCTTTAGTTTTTAAAATTAATTTTAGCTAAGCAGCGTTGTATTGTAACTATTTTAAAATAAGTTATTAGCTATTTAATTAAAATAATATATTTATATATTATATATACTTATAATACTTGCTAACTGCGCTTTAAAATAGTATTAATAGTAGTAATTTTAAATTTAATTTTAAATTTAAAGCTAAAGCTAAGCTTTTATATATTATACTTACTGCGCCTATTTTTTAAAAAAAAAGCTACTACTAATAAAAAAATAAATAAATTTTTTAATAAAGCTGGCTTTTTTAAAAAAAAGTAATTAGTTTAAGGAGTTTTTTAAATAGTATTTTTTTTATTTATTTTTTAACTTTATAAATTATAAATACTTTAGCTTATAAGCTTTTACTATAAATAAATTTTTTTTATATGCAATATGTATGCATCTTGCTTGTATAAACTATATTTTTTTATTTTTTTTTAACTATAGTGCTTATTAATTTTACTTAAATTTTTTAATTAAATTATTTATATTTCTATAAATAAAAGTAAAGTCGACGCAAAAGCAGATTATACAACGTAGTAGAAAAAGTTAGTATAAAATTATAGTTTAAGTGCTATACTTAGCACTTTATTATAGTATTAAAGTAATAAAATTTATACAATACTAGGCTAGCTAAATAAATTATTAAAAAACTTTTAACAATTACTATTAGCAGACTTAATATATTATTATTTAAAAATTATAGTAATATAACTATTAAATTTTAATAGTAATTAACTTGTTAGGCAATGCTAAGTACTTAAATTTTAAATTTTTACTACAATTTATTGTAAAAGTATAAATAAATTTTTAGCTTAATATTAGAAGCTTAGCATAGTTATAAGCTTACGCTTTAACTAATAATTTTTTAAATAAAAATAAGCAATTAATAATAGTATATAAAGTATTAATTATAGCTTTAATTTAGCAAGTTAGCTTGCAAAAATTATAAGCTATAGTATTTTGTATAATTAGCAATAAAACTTGTAATAGTTAAAAGTAAAAAGCCGCAGGCAGTAGTTTTAAATATATAATATATATATAAAAAGATATTTTTTTTTATGCAATTATCTGCCTATACTTTTATAGTAAGCTATATTAATTACTAATAATTATATAATATTTACTAACGCTATTTATATAACGCTTATTAATAATTTCCTTAATCCTGCCTTTTGCCTTATTATTCTATTAAATATTATAAAAAATGCTTTATACTAAAATAGCTTTTTATATAAAACTAGTATATTAAATTAGTATAAATAAGTATTTAAGTGCTTTAGTAAGCTTAAACAAATTTTTTAAAATTTAAATACTAAGCTTTTTAGCATGCTAAAGCACCTTACACTTAATTACTTTTTTTTTAAAAATCTAGACTGTTTTAATTAAAAAAAATTTTATTAGAAAAAGTTAGATATATTAGCTATATTTATTGTTAGCTGCTAAATATAGATTTTTTACTATAGTTTAACTGCAGGCTAAAAAGCCTTTATTACTAATTAGCAAAAAAAGCTTAAAGCTATTTATATAGCTTTTTAAAATAAAAAGCTTATTTAACTATATTAGAAATTATTTTTGCGCTATTACAGTTACTAGTAATTTAATAATTAAAAGCAGTAGCTTTTTGCAGCTGTAGAAATTGTATAAATACTTAAATAACTTTAATAAATACTTTAAAGGGTTAAAAGAGCAAGCAATTAATCTAAGCAATAAAAAAAAAATATAAGCAAAAAAAAGCAAAAAAAATTGCATTGCAAAAAAAGTTATTTGCGTTGCTATTATCTGCATTACTATTATTTATAATATTATTATTATTTTATAATTATTATTACTTAAAGGCCTAGTATTAGTTAGTTGTTTAGTAGCAATCTAATATTATACTAGATATTTAGATATGTGCTTAAAAATTATTAAAAAAAACTATGCTTTAGCAGTTAAAGTTATATTAAAAATTAGAAGTTTATTACTTAGCAATTTTAAAAATAAAAATACGCAATACATAGTAAAATTACTAATAATATAAGCTATTAATAATATATTAGGTCCTATCTTCGCGGGTTAAATTATTTATATTTTTAAAGTTTAATACTAGGGTTTAAGTATTTTAAAACTTATTATAGCCTTTTTAGTATAATAAATACTAAAATTGTCCTTTTTTAGTATATTTTTTTAAAATTTTTTCTACTTTTTAAATTTTTTTTTTTTTAGTATTAACTTTTAGTAACTAAATATTTTCTTTTATTTTTTATTTAAATTTTTAGTATTCTAATAAAAAAATATAAAATACATTATAAATCTAGTAATAAAGTAAAAATAGTAAGTAATATGCCTGTAATTTAACTATTTTTTATATTTAAAAAAAGCTAATAAACTTGCTAGATAGTTTTTTACTTAGCTAGTTTATTAGGTTAATATACTTTATACTAAGTAGTATAAAGTTTTTTTAGCAGAATATTTTAAATTTATATTTTTTATTATAGTATTAATTTTAATATTTTTATATTTTTTATAAATATATTATAAGTATTGCCTTTGTATAATACATACGCTTAATTTTATTAATTGCATTTAGCATTTTTTTTTATAGCTTGCTATTTTTAAAAAAAGTAGTAATTAGTAAGTACTTACTATATATAGCATAAAAAAATATTATTTTTATTAATTTATATATAAAATTATTGTATGCAAATTATGCTGTATTTAAAAGCTATATTTAGTTATTTTAAGCAGCTAAAGCAAAAATTTAAAAGTACTACTTAAAAATCTAATTTTAGCATTCTATTTGCTTATTAATTTAAAAATAAAAAATAGTACTTAGCCTGCGCTTTATTTGCAGCTAATAGCAGATTTTTACTTAAAAAGCAAAAATAAATATAAGTTTTCTATTTAATATAATATTTTTTTATAACTTAAATTTAAAAACTATTTAATTAAAATATATAGCTATAAACTATTTTGCATTTTATATTTTTAAAGTAAATATATAAAGCGCTATTTTTAAAAAGCAATTAATAATTATAAAAATTATATTATATACGCAACTTAAACTATCTTTTACTAAAAGTAAACTAATAATAAAGTTTAGTAAAACTTTTTTAAAAATTTTTATAAATATAAGTAGTAGAAATAATTTGCTATATTAGCTATGCTTTTACGCTTTGCTTTTTTAATATATAATATATATTTTTATATAATTTTAAACATTATTACTAAATATAAACTAGTAATATAATTAGTTAATTAGTTTAAATATTTTTTATATACTAAAGTAGCTTACTAAGCGTATATTATAATAATAAAAAAAAAAATTTTATTTAATAGCTAGCTTTTTTAAAATATATATTTTGCTATTATATTATAAGATACTTTTTTTATTAAAGTACTAAATATATATTTTTTTATTATTTTAAATACTTTTTATATTTGCAGAATTTGCAATTTACTACTAAATAAAAATATTTTTTTACTGCAGCTAGTGCAGGATTTTTATTAGTATAAAAAATTCTACTATTGCAAATTTGCTATTAATTAATATTTTAGCTAATAAATATAGTATGTATAAAATATATTTTATAGCACTAGTAGTAAAAATTATTTTAATTTTATAAATAGTAGTAATGTGCGTTTTACACGCGCTAATTAAGCTAGGCTTAAATATAAATTTTTTTACTTTACTTAGTATTACTTTTACTAATAATTTATTTTGTAAAGTAAGTAGTAATTAAATTAGTAATAAATTTTTTTACTTATAATTTATTTTTCTAAATAATATATCTGCAAAGTTTATTTTTTTTAAGCAGTATTTTACTTTAAAATTAAAAATTTTAAAGTAAATTGCTTAATATGCTTAGTATAAGTTTAGCTTTTATATAATATATATAACATTAGTATTTTTACTGTATATTGCGTACTTTTATTTTTAGAATTGCTAAGCAACAAACTTCTAACTTTTAACAATATAATTTTAACTGCTAAAGCGTAGCTTTTTTAACAGTTTTAAGCACATATCTAAATATTTAGTATAATATTAAACTACTACTAAGCAGCTAACTAATACTAGGCTTTTAGGCAATAATAACTATTAAATTAATACTAAAAATAATAATATAAGCAACGGCAACGCGAACAAGTTTTCCTACAATATAATTTTTTTATTTTTTTTTGCTAGTATTATTTTTTTTTTTATTGCCTAGCTTAATTGCTCGCTCCTGCTTTTTAAAGTGTATTTATCCTACTTAAGTGTTTGTATAATTTTTATAGTTGCAAAAAATTATTACTTTTAGTTATTAAATTGCTAGTAACTGCAGCAGCTTAAAAATAATTTTTAGTATAGTTAAATAGGCTTTTTATTTTAAAAAGCTAAGTAGAGGGCTTTAAGCTTATTTTACTAATTAGTAATAAAAGTTTTTTAGCCTGCAGTTAAGCTGCAGTAAAAAGTCTATATTTAGCAGCTAATAATAAATATAGCTAATATATTTAGTTTTTTATAGTAGAGCTTTTTTTTACTAAAAAATTTTAGGTTTTAAAAGCAGATCTAGTTAAAAATAAAGTGCTTTAGTATAGTAAAAAGTCTAGTATTAAGCTTTTAAAAGATTTTTTAAAGCTTGCTAAAATACTTAAATACTTATTTATATTAATTTAATATGCTAGTTTTATATAAAAAGCTATCCTAATATAAAGCGTTTGTCGCGACATCTAATAAAACAATAAAGTAAAAGGCAAAATTAAGGAAATTATTAATAGGCGTTATATAAATTTTATATAGCTTGCTGCAAAATAATTGTATAAAAAAAAAGTATTTTTTTATATATATATTATACATTTAGAACTGCTGTTTGCAGCTCCCTATTTTTAACTATTGCAAGCTATTAACAACTATATAAAATACTATAGTTTCTAATTTCTTATAAGCTAACTTGCTAAACTAGAACTTTAATTAATATTTTATATGCTATTACTAATTAAGTCGCTTACTTTTTTTATTTAAGAAAATATTAGTTAAAGCGCAAGCTTACTACTAAATTAAGCTCCTAATAGTAGGCTAAGTATTTATTTATAGTTTAATAAATAATAGTTTTTATATAAAGCTTAAAAACTTAATTAAATGCTTTGCTTGCAATAAATATTAATTAACTTGCTTAGCATTGCTTAAATAAGTTAGTTACTATTAAGAGTTAATAGTTACGTTGCTACAATTTTTAAATAATAATATATTAGGTCTGCTAATAGCGATCGTTAGTTTTAATAATTTATTTAGCTAGCCTAGTATTATATAAACTTTACTGCTTTAATACTGTATTAAGGTGCTAGGTATAGTACTTAAACTATAGTTTTATACTAAATTCTCCTACTGCGTTGTATGATCTGCTCTAGCGTCGACTTTACTTTTATTTATAGAAATATAATATATATAAAGCTTAAATTATTATAATTACTAAATATTTATATTATATACTGCGCTCTTTCAAAATAGTACTTTTATTATTTAAAATTATATATAATAGTTAAGAGCTTTAAGTTATATACTTTATAGTTAAGCTTAGCACTTTAAAATTTTTAAAATATAAAAGCAATTAAATGCTATTTTTTATTTTTAAAATACTGTAATAGTATACCCGCAATAGTAAAAATAAAAATATTTATTTTAATTTAAATAAGCTGCGCAAAATTAAAATAGTGCAAAATAAGTATATTTAAAAAGCATTATTTAAGTATTTTAAAAAATATATTAGCTTTATTAGTTTATTAAAATTTTTAAAATTTTTTAAGAAAGTTAGTTAAAGCAGTAGTTTTTTTAGTATATTTTTTAATAAACTAGTAGTAAAAATTTGCAAAGCTTAAAAAAAACTAAAATTTTTTAATATTAATAAGCTATAATTATTATATAATTATTTTTATTTGCGCAAAGTTTGCGTATACGCCCTACATTATAATAATATACTTAAAAAAGTATACTTTATTAAAAACAAAAGTGCACTTTTTTAAGTTAATAAAAAATTCTACTTTATATAAAAATATAAGTATAAAGCTAACTGCGCGCTAGTAAACTGCAATATTAGCACTATAAATATAAATAAAAATATTATTTAAATAAACTACGCAAATATAGTTTAAGTACTTATTAAATATTTTATTAATATAGGCTTAAAAGCTTGCTAAAGTATTAATAAGCCTAAAAAGTATAATTAAATATTTAAAATACTTATATTAAATTTAAAAAGCTATTTTCTACTTATTACTTACTGCAATTTTTAGGCAGTAGTATGCGTTTTGCAAGTTAAAAGTAGTATAATAATATACGCCTAATAAGTAATTTAAAATTTTTTTAATTAAAAAAAAAAAAAAATAGTTTTTAATAATAATAGTATTAAGTTTTTAGTAGTTAATGCAAAAGCAGAACTTACTATTTTTTTTAAAAATAAAAAGTATAAAAGTTTTTATAAAGCTTATACTATACTTAATTTTTTTTTTTTAAGTATATTATTTAAATATTTATAAAGCACCTTAAGCTTATATATAAAAAAATTATATAAAAAATTATAAAAAAGTTTTTTATTAGCTATAAAAAAAATAGTATAATTTAATATTTTAAAATTTAAAAAAATTTCTACTGCTTTTTTATTAAAAATATTTTAGTATTTAAATAATGTGTTTAGTATATATACTTTATATACTATATACGCTTAATAAATATAAATATTATAATTTAAGCTTACTTTAGTAGTCTGCAAAACTTTTAAAAAATATATATTAAAACTAGTTTAATTTAAGCTTTTTAGTAGCTAAGCTACTATAGCTAGCTAAATATTTATTAAAATATATTTTTAATACTAAGTTTAAAAACTATAATTAATGTAAATTTTTTTTTATTATAAAAAAAAGTTGCTAAAAAAAAAAAAGTGCTTTTTTTATTTACTTTATATATAGTAATTTAGATACAGCATTTTATATTTATATTATTTATTAAGTATATTTAGAATTTGTATACTGCGTATATATTTTAATACTATAAACTAATTTATTTTAACTTTAAAAGCTTAGCTTTTTTAAAAAATTTTAAATTTATTTTTATAGCTACTTATTAGTTAATAAAGCTTATATCTGCTTATAAGTTTAAAATAATTTAGAATTTTTTTTTAAAACTAGTATTATTAGCAGCGCTATATATGCGCTTTATATTTAGTAAAATATTTATAAAAATGCGCTTTACTATTTTTAGGCTAAAAGTAAAGCTTAGCTTTTTTTTATTTAATTAATGCGTATAAAAAAATAGTTTAAATTATTTTTATATTTATTAGTATAGTATCTAATTTTATAATATTTATAGTATATAATACTATTTTTATTTTATAGCTTAGTAGCAGGTTTGCTTAGCTTAGGCTTTAAAACTAAATTTTTAAATTTAGCTTTAAATATACTATACAGGCATTATTTGTACATAAATAAAAATTAATATAAATTATATTTTAATATAAAGCTTAATACTATTAAATTTTCTTTAATTATAAATATTTAGTAGTAGTTAATAATTGCTTTTTGCAGTTCTAGCTTAAGTTTTAAAAATAAGTATTAAACTTTTTACTTTTTAGTATAAAGCGTAAGCTAGTTTTTAAAAATATTAAAATAAATTATAAATAAATAAATAATTTAATTCTTTTATTATATAGCTTAAGCGTGCGCTATAGCTGCTTTAAAGCTATAGTTAATTAAATTAGCAAGCAAGTTAAGTATATACTACTTAAAATATTTTTAAGTAAGTAATATACTACGCGCTTTAAAAATATACTTATAATATATATATTAAAAATTTTTTAAATTTTTACTAAAATATTATATTACTTAAGTAACTTTAGTATTATTTTAAAAAAACTTCTGCAGTAAAAATTAGAATACTACTTTATATAAGCAGAAAAACTTATAATATTTTTTAAAATTTTTTTTTTAATATTTAAAAAAAAATTTTAATTAAAGTATGCGTTTTATATATAAAAGTATAAATATACTATTTATATTTTATTTGCGCATTTTAATAATTTTAAGTTTAAAAATTTTTTTTATAAGTAAAATTAAAATAAAGTTGCATTTAGCATTTTTTAATTATACTATTTCTGCTTTAATTGCAAAAAAGTATTATTATATTTAAAATTTATTACGCTTTTTTTTAGTAATTAAAATACATTTTTTAAGTATTAAAAGTGCGCTTTAATTACTAAGTTTTACTTTACTATTTAATTAAAAATTAGCTAAAGCTAGTAGTTTTAATAATATAGCTTATTAGCTTAATTATATTAGAAAGGCTATTTTTAGGCTATTATACTATAAAATATTATTTTATTAAAAAATAGCTTTAAGCAATAGTATTTGCTTTATACTATAAAAAATAAAAAAAAAATAACTAATAAAAAGCTATTTTCTAGCTTAATAAATTAATAATACTTAATACTACTATTTTGCAAGTATAGCGTAAGTTAAATATAAAATTCTTGTGTATACACTAATTTTTAAAGGGGATAGCGCAGTATTACTGTAACACTAACTCCCGGTAATAATACCTTGTTATAACTAATAAGTCTAATATAAGTTGTAGTTATATATCTACTTAATAGTTTAAGTATAGCTATTTAAAAGAATTACTTGCTTTTAAAGCATATATAAAACTGCTCTGCTCTATAGCTTTTATTTTCTGTCTATTATATTATACAATAATAAAATAAATTTTTTTTTTTTTACTGCTTATTAAAGTATTAATTTATTAAATTTTTTTTTAGCTAACCTATAATAAGCTTTTAAATAATAGTATTTATAAAAGCAGGATTCTGCAGCTTAAAAAAATAAAAAAAATAGTAATTTTTATATAAAATGCTTTTTTTTATTAAAAATTAATATTTAATAAAAAAAAATTATTTTTTTATAACTATTTACTAACAGCTTATATACTAAAAAATACTTTAATAGTTAAAAATATTAAAAATACTAAAATTTAGCAATTTTAACTTTTTATATAAAAAATATTTATTTTTACTTTTACTGCTACTAATTTAAACTACTTAGTTTTTTTTAAATAATTTTAAAAAATAATAAATAAACAGTTAGGTAGGCTGTATAAGCTATAGGCGTTAAAATAATAGTAAAAGTTTAAAAATAAAATTAAGTAGCTAGTATTTAGTTAAATGCGGGAATAGAAATTAAGTAATTAAAGCTAGTATTATTTTTATTAAAATAGGCAGGTTAAGAAACTATAGTTAAGAGCTGCTGTTAGACTACTTTAGGCAGAAGAAATTGAACGCGTACGTTGAGGATACTTTAAGAACTTTGAGAAAATAGTACACTAAAGACATCCGCGCTAACGCATAATATAATAAGCAGAGAAGCAACAATGTAGTAAAGGCCTCTACCCTGAACTTACGCATCTGAATAGGATAGGGCAAAATAGAATATATACTACATAATAGTCCGTGGTCCAGCCTACGCCCACCTCGGTCTTATCTGGATATTTCCCGACCTGAACGCTTAATTAGCACAGCCCTTTTCCAAGCAGACAGTCAACTGATCTTCTTAGCCTCTCCCTTGTCTGCCTTAGGTACCTCCTTGACGACGACGACGACGACGACGACGACGACGACGACTACGACGCTGTCCTTGTTCCCTTTATTCTTAGAGTAATTTCTTTCCCCCTTCTCTCTCTCCCCCCTCTCTCTCTCCCTCCCCCTTTAGCTGCGGGGAAGTTCCTAACCTCTATATCCAAGAGCTCACAAAGCAAGGTTCTACCCTCTATCCACCCCTTACTAAAAACCCTCCCCGCCTACCCATAACATAACAAGCAAAAAAGCAAAAAAAAAGTCCCAAAAGCCTTCTAGACCCTATACAACAGCGTCTAAACAAAATCTAGAAGCAATCACCTACCTCCGCGCAGGTGTACGTGTACTAACCTCACAGTACAACAACATCACCGTAAGGTCTTTATAAACTTAGGGGGTTCTTCTTTTAATAGTAGAATTAGCGGGTAGCAAGGTCCTAAAAACAAACCAACACAATCTACTATATAAAGTTAGTTAGTCGCATTATTAACGCAGATCATACAAGTATAACAAGAAGCTAGTCCCTAATGCTAGCAACTCTCAACAGGATACTCTTGATAAATACCTCTGAAACGGGTGATATCTCGCCCCATCCCAAAGTATAGTCGCGATTATATAGACCGCTCTTGCAGCGCGGGAATGCAGCTCGTAAGCCTACCATCAACAAAAAGGTGTTATTTAGAAAACGACACGAAGCAGCATAGCAAGCAGAAATCTTATATCAAAGGCCTACTAGGCCATGCATGCATAGCAGCGATGAAATTAGCGGTAGAAGTACCCACCTACCTTCTCTGCGCATGTACAAAACAAAACTCAACTTGGTATCCTAATTAACAGCCAAAAGAAAAGAAAACTCCCATCCTTCCTCTCCTCTCTCCTCTGATCCAAACAAGCCTAAATCCCATACTCATGCGCCTTATCCCGGATATCCCGCGTTTCAATCCGGCCCATGCCCTGGTACATATCATGCCGATCAATCAGACTGTTCACCGTCGTCACGCCAGACAACTCATGTTGCGCACCCTCACTACTCGCCGTATCCACCTGCACAAGCGGATTATGCTTTTCCAGTACTTCGCCGGCGTTCTCCTGGACGGCAGCGGCCAAGTCCGCTTTGATGGTGTCGCTCGTGACGGACAGGTTGCGGACGCGCGAGTCGAGGTCGTGGGCTGGCTCGTCGGGCATGGCGGAGAGGGATTTGGAGCGCACGGGCTCGAGGGCGTGGCTGCTTTCTTCCTCTGGGGCGATGGACTGGTGGGTTGTTGATGGGGTGGGTTTTGGTTTGGCTTCGGAGAGGGATTGGGAGCGTTGCATGTTTGAGGCGTCGTGGGGGCTGGGTTTGCTCTTCGAGTTTGCCTTGTCGTATTTGCTCTTGGACCAGGACTTGTACTTGAAAGCGGAGAGCCAGTGTGGCCGCTTTTCTTTGCCGGCTTTGGGGTCCAGGGCTCGCTCGGCAGATTGCTGCAGGTGTGTCTTTTCGGCTGCTGCTGCTACTTTGGGTGGGACGGAGCGTATGTCGTAGTCTGATTTGCGGCGCCCGGCAGCTGGCCCGTCAGAGCCGTCTACGAGACCCAAGCTTGCACGGCGTTTCGCAAGGCTCGTTTCCTTGAGTTCCTCATTGATGTAATTGAGTGCCGTGTCCACGACCTCGATATACTCTGGATAATCGACTTCACAAGCTTCCCGAATGAGACGCAGCTTCTCCCAATCATGTTGCACAATCGGTCCGGTGAGGTCAGGATGCCACGCCATGCATCGAATATCAGACCGGGTGCCCCGATCCACCTGCTCTTTCACGCCCATGAGTTCGATCAGCGCGTCGACTTCTGTACGAACATTCTTCACAAAGTGGTTGAAGCGCGCGCCGTCCTTTACCGTCCAGTGGTTCGTCGTCATGCTCACATTGCGCTTGATGCTGGCGCGGGCGCCCGTCTGCCTGAGGAGGTCCTGGAGAAGGGCGTATTTCTCGCGGAAGCCCTCGAGACGGTTGGTGTCCAGGGCCGGCTGTTCGATCTTGATGAAGCCCTTTGGGGTTTTCATTCCGTACACGTTCATCAACTCTTCTCGAGACATGCCCACAGGCCTGCCCGCAATCTCATGGAGTGCCTTCCTGATCTTTGCATTAATGACCTCATCATCCAGTCTAGGATCCCGGATTCCAAAATTTATAGGCAGATGCGGCTCTGGGTTCGTAAGGCCAGGGTGACTGGGGATCATGTGCTTCGCAATGTTCGCTGGTGGAGCAGAGATGCCCACTGCATCCCCAAAGATGAGCAGCCTGCCCTGCTGGAGGCCGAGTTTGGCGAGGGCAACCTTCTGGGCACGATCATGGTCCTTGGACGGATGTATGAGATTGAAGGCCTCGACGCAGGTGCTAAACTGCATGGCAAGAGAATACACATCGGTAAGGATCTGCGCCTTGCTCTTTGCGGGCCCGATGTCCTCGATGATGTCGGTCTGTGGTTTGGGAGGCATGATTGCGGGGTAGGCGCAAAACTGTGTCGTCCGCAGGCGTCAATGGAAGCAGCGTCGTCGCAATGCGCCGGGTCAGTCGCAATGGCGCTTTGTGAAGAGGAGATGCATGGCTGCTCGCTGGGCAGACGGAGTCAGTATTAACTTCATGGGGGGCATGACGTCTGAGGACATGTTCCAAACCATGCTTGCATTCAGTGTGTGTGGCGCACAAGTTCTTCGCACCAGACGCGAAGGAGCGGGGCTCAAGGGGATCGTCACCCTCGCTGCCGCTTTGGGCTTCTTCTCAGCCTTGCCATTCGCAAACTCTGCCTGTCCCTGTAGTCAACCATGTCGACTGTATGCCGCACTTCCTTCTGCCTGCACTGTGGCCTATATCTTGTGGCGCGACATGTTCTCGCAATTGGTTGGACAGACCCTTCGTCGCTCAGTCTTTGCTGTTGGGACCTTTTGACCCGCAACAGGTGTCGCAAATTTTCACTCCAGACGTGCTATATGCGCCCCTTCTCGCGGTATACCGTATTCGCTCCATGTTGTAGACACTGCCATTGCGAATGCGGAGAGAGAGTAAGACACCATGTGCTGTAAGGGTTGAGTTGGACAAAGACTTGCCTGGACGCTCTCCAAGCAGCCGTGGCAATTCATCTCAACAGGTAGATCGACGCGAGGCCTGTCTGATCGGAGAGAAAGCATTGTGACCGATTGTATCGGTCCGTTCCTTTAATGTCGCGTCTCCCAAATCGTGTCGATCTGCAAAAACGAATTGCAGCGCAGATTGATGTTACAACTGCTTGTGCATTGTCGACGCCCGCGCTGAAAGTCAAGGAACAACCTGCCTTGGTACTGTAGTATCGTCGTCGACCAAATCTCATGCCAAGGGACGTCAGTCTGGGGTGCGATTCGATACCCTGAGACACTACTAGGGTACGCGTGGACCATTATTGGGACCGCCCGAGTTGCTGTCCGTTGTAAAAGTCACGAATGGAAAAGACGATATGCGACGCGTTATCAAATCATCGTTGTATTTGGCTACCGGCCTGCGGATGGCATGAAAGAAGCAACGCAGCTTGCCGAGCAACAACAAAGGGTATCTTCGAAAACAATAGAAAATCGTGAGAGTGAAATGACCAAATCAAAAAGGATGCTGCATGCTAAGTGGCGAGGCCGTATATGCTTCTTCTCAAACGTGGTAAAAGGGGCTCTTTCCATCCGTCTTGTCTTCATTGACGCTACTCGTCGCGAGTGTATCGCCGTCCTGGCCGTCACATTGAGACTGGCGCTTCTTCTTTTCCAGCTCGGTGACAACACTAAACTCATTCGTCACGAAGATGCCGCTTCCTCTTCGACTATGTGAAATCGCCCTGCCGTCGGCCAGGATGTCCTCGTCCTTGACAATCCCTTCCTCACTGTCGCGATCGATGGCAGGTAGCACGTGAGAGACATCGGTTTTATGGCTTCCAAGACGGGGCTGGCCACTTCCCCAAGTAAGCTGGTGGGATGGACGTCTTCCCGTGCTGCCACGGCGAGTGTGAGACCCAAGAAGCGGTCCGAACAAGCGCACAAAGGGAGCGCGGAGCATCGGAAGACAGGCGCAGATGATGCCAGTGTTAGCTTCAATAACGGACCATATTGTGGCTGGAACGGGGCCCCAGGTCGGGTCAGGGTTGCTAGCCGATGATGCGATTGTGGTCGCGCGGTAGATGGATGCAAAGGTAACGCTGTCAAGTGTTAGTTGAGCTTCAGCATCCATACTTCTCAGACGTACAAGGCACCAGTGCCAAAAACCAGGCAGATACCCAACTTCTCAGCTCTGCCCATGGAGAGCAACAGGATCTGGCGAATAGGCATTGCCAGCAGCATAAAGTCTGTGGTGATCTGCGTGGTAGCGTAGGAGATCCACCAGGGTTCATTCTTGAAGCACTTGAAGCCCGGTATACTTCGGTCCCAGAAAGCAGCGACTGGTGTGCATTGGAAAACGGTAGCGATGATGAATGCGAGCCCCGATGAGATTATCCAGCCGTTCATTACGTGGCAGACAATGCGGAAATATCTCGTGGAGACGGAGAAGATGCGGTAGTATAGGCAAACGACGGAGATTTTGTTGAACATGAGGACGACTTTGTACATGACTGCGACATGGTCAGCACAGTACTGTAGACTGCATTCGCGTCGATTCAAGACTGCATTGAAGTATCCAGGAGTACTCATTGGATGTACGTACTGTTCGCGCCGTAGAACCACTTGCGAGCTGTCATGCGAGAGTCATGCGGAAGTGAAGTCCAGTGTCTGCCGTAGCCATACACAACAGCTGTCCATATGGTTAGTCAAGTCAAGTCAGTAGACCGGGTACCAGGTCGTCGGCGCACCTTGACATTCTGTCAGGGATAGCAGCCCTGAGCATATCAAGGCTACAATAATCATGTAGTCATCCATGCCAAAGCCGCTCCTTTTGGTGAGTCGCTGGCCGAGCCTCGCAGCAACAAAAAGTGCGGCAATGACCACAGCCAGCACGCTGGTGAGCCAGAGACCCCATCCTCGCTGTACCGGCCCTTGAGTCCCCAAGCCAACGTTGGGAGCCATGTCGATGGTGCGTTCTCAGGCGAAAGTTTGTGAGTAGTGTGTGAACGGCGCGCAAAGAGCGGGAGGCGGCGTAAAGTGCCTCTCCCATTGTCACAAGATGGTCTAATGCAGGACGGTACGGAAACATCCAGAGTGACAAGCTATGGAGCTGTTAAATTCTGGTACGGAGCCGTGATGGGATCGGCGAATGAGAGAGGGATTTTCGATCTCGCCTAGGCACGTCATTGGCCCTGCGATGTGGTGCGTCCGGCAGAAGCAGGCTAATCCTGAGCTACCGCAACCATCAGGGCTGGTCGTCATCTCAGGAACTGTTGTGACCGGTACCCAAAGTAGCGGATCGTCCGGCTGGTGCAGAAACGGAGAAATCGGATTGGAGGGGGTCGTCGTGTCGCCTAGTGCTTGATCAGCAAATTCCCGAAGCTGTGCCTAGTGGTGTTTCTACTGCTCCGTCTCCCAAGATGGCCTACTAACCTTGGCATTCGAGGAGGGAGTACCTACCGAAGGGCGAAGGGATGAATGTTCAGATAATCGTAGAAATGACTCGCACTTCCAGAGATGCGGATACTCCGTCTGCCGTCGTTGGATATGGTGCTCTGCAAGTATGTGGCGTAGACGTGGATCGAAAAGCCTTCCGTGGTCTCGGGTGAGGGCCATCGTCGTACAGGGACTGGCGTGTGTAGCTAGCGCCCCACCTGGATGAACATTCACTCCCTTTCCCGTGTAGTGCAGGACGACTTGGCACGCCTTTCTGCGCCGTCGTGCGCCCGCGCATTCGCCTTCGGTCGCTGGCCCTGATAGAGAACGACCCCAGCCGTCCACGGCACTATTCACGACCATGTACACGCCGAGGTAGAAGGGGCACACTCCACAAACAGGGCTCCCAGTCCGCGGGCCGCCTACAAGCCATCCTCGTAAAACTAGTTTCGGACCCTCCAAGTTGATATTCTCTAGCACTCACCTGTCTCGTGATTGATTGATCGTCTCATCACGGCAACATGCAGCACCATCTACTTGTGGCTGCAGCGGTAGCTTCGCTCTTCAGCTCAGTTATCGCAGGAGGACAATACGCGCCCACGGTCTGGACAACGAGTGGTGCTCTCATCGGCCATCAAGCGTCCAACAGGTCCTATGTGACGGAATTCCTGGGCATTCGCTATGCCGAAGCCCCTGTGGGGGAGCTGCGGTTTGCGGCGCCCAAGAAGTATGTGGCATCAAAGGGAACCGTCTTTGAGGCCTCCGAATGGGTAAGCACTCACGAAAGGTATCGCATAGGTCGCATCTGCTAATAGGACTAGTCAGCGTACGTTTCTCCAAACACAGTGGACTCATATCAGCATTGACTTTAACTTGATGTAGCGACTGTCCTGCAAACAAGCCACCAGTGAGCGCCTTCCCAAACTTCACACAGCCATCCGGCTTGCGTGTTTGGAAGAACTTCGCGGCGCAAAACAGCAACCCCGTGTCCGAGGACTGCTTGAAGCTAAATGTCTGGACAAAGCACCCCGGTGACACGACGGCGAGGAAGCCCGTGCTGGTGTTCCTCCACGGTGGACGTACGTTGTTCTCACCACGTGCGAGGGTCACAGCTGACGGGATTAGGATTCCAAATTCCAGGACCTCATAGTCCCTTCTACAGCGGTCAATATCTGTCTGATGCCGAGGACGTAGTTGTTGTCACACCCAAGTAGGACGCTGAATCACACGTCCCTATGTACTTGACTAACATGACCCAGTTACCGCCTAGGAATCTTTGGCTTCGCTGGGGCCCCAGGCGTTGAAGCAAATGCAGCACTGCGCGACCACCGTGCGGCTGTCGAATGGGTACGCGACAACATCGCAGGCTTTGGCGGCGATGCGTCGCGCATTGTCGTCTTCGGTCAGAGTGCTGGTGGCGCCTCTGTCGATTACTGGTCTTTCGCCCACAAGAAGGATCCCATCGTCTCTGGCCTTATCCCCATGTCTGGAACCTCCCTAAGCTTCCTCCCCAATACTAAGGAGTATTCTCAATCGCTGTGGTATAATGTGTCCCAGACCGTTGGCTGCGGTGGTCCCAACGACGACTCCACTGCGGTACTTTCTTGCGTCCGTTCCAAGAATGCATCGGTTCTTCTGGCTGCGGCTGCCCGAGTGCCGCCACTGCCCACTCTAGCTCTATCGCAAGCGACCTTTCACCCAACCATCGACAACGTCACGGTCTTTGCAGACTACGAGCAGTTGTCGGCTTCTGGCGCCTTCGCCAAGATCCCATTGCTGGCTGGCAATGCTGACCATGAAGATGGTTGGTACCGAATCGCTGGATGGGGCGCCAAGCTCAACTTCACAAACGCTCAATGGGATCTCTTTACCCAGCGCGCCTTTACCTGCCCAACTGCCTATTCGACCAATTACAGAGTCCAGTATGGAGTACCGACGTGGCGCTATAGATACCACGGTGACTGGGACAATCTTCGCCTTTACAATGGATCTGCAGGTCTTGGACCCAGAGGTAGCGCCGCTTACCATGGCTCTGATCTGAACATGGTGTTTGGCACCGCTGAAGATGTCTCAGGCCTCAAGAACACGCCTGCTGAAGATGCTACAATCAGGTACATTCAAGGCGCGTGGGCTGCGTTTGCCAGGGACTCTAGATTTGGCCTGACGAGGTACGGATGGCCAGCGTACAAGAACAGTGGTAAGTACACGAATGACCCGCCGAACTATGGACCCGTTGCTGATGTTCACCCGCAGGCAAATCTCTCGTGCAGTTGGCGTATAACAACGACCCAAGGCCGAACTTTGTCGATCCGGCAGTATACGATGCGGCGTGCCCCGCAAAGAACGATCCTTTGCCTGGACGAGGTGCCTTCTAGAAACAATGATGCATTGTATGTAAGATTAGCCAATAGTCAATGCACAACCTGGCGCGAGCAGACCTTTCCATGTCTCTCGTTGTCATGCATTGATATCATTCCAACATGCTAGATACAAGGTCTATGCCCCCCGTTCAACGTATCGTCACGAGTCATAGGCCCCTTCCTTCGGGAATAGTTCATCAGACGGGAAAATAACGAGATGCTCCGTAAGCGACCTGCAATATGATGGCGACTCGCCAACAGGCCCGGGTTCGAGTTCAGATTTTCTTTCGCCGCGGCGAAGCAGCCTTGGTTGACCCAGGTGGTTGGTTGTGTTCGGTCAATCTTCCCCGTCACAGTTATCCCCGGTGCATACACCCGCGGGTGCCCTGTGGTTCACGCCACCAGCGCGACGCCAATCGGCAATCAAAGTGAGAACGATAACGAAGAACATCCTGTCGAAACGCCTGTGCCTGGCATGTATGGGCTCGAAGCAGATTTAAGACTGAAATGGCATTTTACGAGTGCGACATTGGTGAACAGGCATCTCACGTGGGATGTTGCGCAGCCTCATCTCATCGGTCCCATAATTCCGAATGATGCCCTCGTCACCTCGCCTACCAGCATTTCTAATTGCAGCTTGACTGCATGATCGCAACGTGACAAGCTGCATTATTGGCATCAAATACCTCTGTAACCGACCTCGGCGAACTATTTTGAGCAACCTAAAGACTCATTGCGTGCACTATCGCCAGTCACAGAGATCAGAAGGTCGACCTGCAGCTCAGCCGTGCCATAGCTGCATGAACGCGTGCCCAAGTCCGCGGCAGTCGACCACAATTGAGGCTCGCGAACATGCACGCTGCCAACAATCCTGTCCTTCGAAGGACCCAGAACGCGGGTAGCGAATCCTTCTGGAGCCGCTTCCTCCGCTCAGACCGCCATTTGGCCCCCAGTCGGCATACTAGATTGAGTTATCACTCAGTATCAAGTCCTCGAGAATGATAGAAGGCTTACTTATCGCAACAAACAGTGTACGAACCTCAGAACGCTCCTCATACCAATCTACGCATTAGAGATGATGGGGCACAGCGGGTGTTCCCTTGCTATAGGTATATGGGGTGTTGGTTAAGCCCCAGGATGTCAACGCACAATCACCGGACTAGAAGCCCAAGCTGCATCGATCTTAACTCATTAAGGTAGAGATGATTTAGTACCCTTGCAATGTGGCGTACGACCTGCATGAAACACGAGGCATTCCCCGCTCTCGGTTTGCCCAAGCTCACCATTATCTCCATGTGGTTGCGACATTGAGGTACAAAAGCTCAGAGCCAGCCTGTCGGAATCTGTACCTTTGAGACTACACTTCAGCTAGGATAGACCCTACAGACTATAGTCAACATGAGTTCACTCGCACTCGGTGCCTGGCAATTCACACCTCTTGTCACGCAGTTCCCTACCAACGTTCTTCCAAACACAGGGTTCTGGAAAGCGACCAATGGATCGTGGGAGTATCAGATCCAGCTCGCATGGCCACTAAACTGGACTACCCGAGCTGAGAGCACGACTGTGGAGACGATGTAAATACCTTCTACTTACAAGATAGCAGCTTATGAAGCAATATCTAACAGTCCCAATAGGTACGTTCTGGATGGCAACGCTCTCGGCTTGACAGCAACAGAAGCGTTCCGCCGTCGCCGCCCTGTCGAGTTCAACCAGCCCGATAGTATCGTGGTCTCCATCGGCTACCCAGAAACGATTCCCGATTCACCCTACAGCACACATCGCAGTTACGACTTCCAGCCCCCAGTCTGCAGCACCTGCCCTCCAGCACCGCAACCCGGCGTCCCATCCAATGCCGACAACTTCATCCATTTCATCGACACGGTCCTCCGCCCCTGGGTCAAGAAATCCGCCTTCCCTAATGCAGCGTTCGACCGCGATGCCCTGTACGGCCACTCCTTTGGCGGTCTCTTCGTTCTTTACGCCCTCGTCGCCCGTCCGGAACTCTTCGACACATACCTCTGCGCCTCTCCAGCACTATTTTGGAACAACGATTATGTCTTCAACAACACCGACTTCCTCAAACCTCTCTCGAACAAACCACCGAAGAAGAAGCCTGCGTTCCAGATCAGCTATGGTGCTCAAGAGCAGTATCCGGTGAAGAGGCGGACCGAGACGGCTGCGCAGTTTGCGTTTAGGCAGAGCATCCTTGTACCACAGCGGATGACGGATTTATCGAAGAAGCTTTACAATAAGCTCAAGGGTAGTCCCGTTCTCAGGGATGTGAGCATTCACGAATATCCATTCAGCGGTCACGCTGCTGTAGGTGCAGCTGCGCTTGCGGATGGGATTGATTATTTCCTTGACTGGTAGTCGGAAGGATGGCCCGAGGTAGCAGCTGATAACGCAGCTGTGAAGATCACTGCAAGTCACATTGTGACGTTGAAAAGAATGAATAACTTGATGCCACTCAGCTCAATCGCCTTTCAGTTCGTTGACTTCCTTATCGTTAACTTTGAATCCAGCTCATCTACTAACGACGGTCCAAAAAAACCACTCTCATTCCTTCGCTTTGGCAGATTCCACAGCTGAGCGTGTAGTTTCGAAGATAAAAGCGGCGCGAATTGCGGGTAATCGTGGTCCAACAAAACCCCATCATCCCCGCTGCAACTCCATAACATTGCCAGCTAAGTGCAACCTCAGTCCCACTTGAGCGTGCAACGATAACAACATGTGGAGAGCTATTGTTGGAACTTGTGGACGTTATGTTACGAAAGCGGCGGTAAAACTCCGGTCGATCACGGCATTGGGCAAAAAGACCGGGACTTGTGGACCTATCCGGCTGCAAGAGCCTCAACGGACCTCTACACCGCTGCAAAGATTTCGCCTAGGGTCTCCGATACGTCATTAAGGGTCCAAAAGGAACAGCGAAGATGGCGTGTAGAAATATTCAGGTGCCTGCTGTCGCGGGTGGGGGTGCTACGACTAATTTAACACTGCTGACCCCGTACACGCACACCGCTGGCCGGCAAAAACTTGACATTCACGACGACCGAGAGAGATAGCAGAGATAACATGTATCACAACGAAAGAATGGGCGGGATATCTACTCTCAACCTTAACAAGCCGGTTCGCCCTGGCATCGAGCGCGCGCCCACTTCCACAAACCTCTCCAGACCGCTTCCGATTCACCGCCTCGATGGGAAAGTCGTCTTCATCTCAGGCGGAGGCGGCAAGATCGGTGTCGAGACGGCGGGGCGACTACTGATCGAAGGCGCAAATGTCGCTCTGATTGACATCGACCAGGCGTCCCTCGAGGCCGCGGTCCCTGTCCTCAAAGCCGCGATACCCACTGGCGTCCCGTTCGAGAGCAGGCTATTGACCATCGCAGCCGATGCGACCAAGGAGTCGGACGTCGAAGCGTGCGTGAAGAAGACGGTGCAGCGCTTTGGCAAGCTAGACGCCGCGCTGCTCAACTGCAGTGAAAGGGAAGAAAGCGGGAGCCTTCTCGAGCTGGGGGAAGACCAATGGGATAAAATTATGGCTATCAATACCAAGTCTGGTACGTCTACTCAAACATTCACACACCGTCCGGAATTACATGCTAACACCTTCTACAGCGTTCCTAGGCGTCAAGCACACTGCCGCAGCCATGTGCGCCTCCCCCTCCAACACCGGCGGCTCCATCATCATCCGCTCTTCCATCGCAGGCCTGCGCGGCTCCCCAGGCCTCCTCGCCTACAGCGCGTCTAAGTTCGCGCTCCGTGGCATCGCACTCACCGCTGCTGAAGAGCTGGGCCCGCACGGCATCCGCGTCAACACGATTCACACGAGCATCATCGACACGCCGGGCTTCAGGGAGGGCTGGACCAAGGAGAGGCTTGCGGAGTTGAAGGGAGAGACAAGTCTGGGTAGGTGGGGGACCCCAGATGATGTTGCGAGCGTGGTTGCGTTTTTGGCGAGCGAGGACAGCAAGTTTATGACTGGAGGGCATCTGAAGGTTGATGGTGGGTGTGTTAGCATCTAGGGTTGTAGTCGTGGGAAGGTTTGCATAGCTGGAGTTTTGGGTTACCCTTGGACATGCATCGATATTGCATTGCGTCCTGATTACATGAACGAGGTATATAACTAGAAGTTAGACGATAGACATGGGCTCGAAATGAATCACTATTCTTCTTTCCTGCATCTAAGCCTTTTTTTAAGCCTTGCTTTCCCGCTAGGTTCGCCAAATTTCTTGTCGTCGGCTTGGATGCCATGCCACCACATGACGTCATTGGAGATTGATAGTAGGGCCTTGGATAGCACCTGTGATTCAACGGGCCTTATCGTGGAAGACAGTCTGTCAACATAATAATTAAAGCAGTACATGCTGCACATGTACTTATATCCGGCAATGTCTAGTTGCCGGACTCAACACTTCGCTATCACGGTCAAGACCGGCCATTTCGAAGACGTGAGCATGATGCAACACCCGCTATCATTTCTGGGCCCATATACATCTATGGGCCCCTCTACTCCTGACAAGAAGTTGTCGAAGATTTCTGACATCTTACGTCTCAAAATCTAGAGCCACTTCACCCTAGACTGTTCATCATGGCCAACGAAGCAGCAACCCAGCATCACCCAAAGTATCAAGCCCACAAACCCGAACAAGATGCCGTTGACTATGAATTGCAAACCTACACCCGTGGATTGGACTTTGAACGACCGCCGCTCACGTTCCAGGCAAGCAAGTGGGAAGAGCTAGCCTGTTCGCGCCTCTCTGCCGATTCAAAAGGCTACGTCTACGGCTCCGCTGGCGTCCGCGAAACAACAGACAAGAACCGCGCTGCGTTCAAAAAATGGAGCATCGTACCCCGAAGGCTAGTCAAATACGACGGATTCCCAGATCTCAAGACGGAGATTCTAGGCGAGCAATTATCCGTCCCCATCGCCATGGCGCCCGTCGGCGTGCTCAAGATCTTCAACCCAGACGGAGAGATGGCTGCAACGCGCGCCGCAGCCCAAGAAGCAGTGCCGTATATCCTCAGCACCGCGTCGAGCACGTCAATCGAGGACGTGGCGCAAGCGAATGGCGTCGACGGCCAGCGCTGGTATCAACTCTACTGGCCGAGCCGCGAGCACGACGACATTACCATTTCGCTACTGCAGCGTGCGAACAAAGCGGGCTTTACAACCCTCTTCGTCACGCTCGATACGTACATCCTCGGCTGGCGGCCCTCCGACATGGATAACGGGTACAACCCGTTTATGCGCGCGGACCGCATAGGCGTCGAACTCGGCATGACGGACCCTGTTTTCCGGCAGCAGTTTAAAGAGCGTCATGGGGTTGATGTAGAAGAGAAGATGAACTCTGCGGCGCCGGAGTGGATGCGTACCATCTTCCCCGGAACGAGCAAAGGGTGGGAAGATGTGGAGTTTCTGAAAAGCCATTGGGATGGGCCGATTGTGCTGAAGGGCATCCAGAGCATTGTTGATGCGAAGAAAGCTGCTGAAGTAGGTGTAGCAGGGATCGTAGTGAGTAACCATGGGGGTAGACAGCAGGATGGTGGGAATTCGTCGCTGGGGGTTTTGCCGCATATTGTCGATGCTGTTGGCGACAAGTTGACTATCTTCTTTGATAGCGGTATTCAGTCTGGAGCGGATATCGCAAAGGCTCTGGCGCTCGGTGCGGACTGCGTGTTGGTTGGGCGTCCGTATGTATACGGATTGGCGCTAGGGGGTGAGAAGGGCGTAGAGCATGTGCTAAAGAGTTTGGTAGGGGAGTTGGAGTTGACGCTGCACTTGGCCGGCATCCAGAGCGTCAAAAAGGAGCATCTGAACAGAGAAGCTTTGGTGCTGGAAGACGATCTATTCAACAGCGTCAAGGGCATTGGTCTACATTGATTGTCGAGAGATATAGAAGCTAATAGACGCATAAATAAAGCCTTTACTCACGGTACTCCACTTTTTACTTCATTTTCATGTGTCTATATAGCTGAAGCGACAGCAGATATGATTCATACCATGATAACACAGCGACCAGGCTATAAGAGTTTCCTCATTTTGCTAATCTGACGTACTTGTACTTCACGAAAGCTCTACATCTCCAGGACACAATTGAAAAAAGTCGTCAGTCGACACTAAACAATGATCGGATAAACAGACCCACAATGCGGCCGAGGGAGCAGCAAACAGTGAGCCATTCCATGACCGGTGCCTGTATAGTAGCCCGAACTACCTTAGCAATGTAGATTCTACCAAGTAAGAAAACATTGTACCCATCGCAAACATCGTCTGCTCACTTGAGCAAGCCCACCACTCATTATGCGCCTATAACCCTCCTACAGTGTACATTTTCCTTCACAATACACGTATATACCATGCAACCCTCTTTTCTATATTCTCAAACAGTGCAAATCGTACCCTCACAATGCCAGTCAAGAGGCTTGTCGAAAAAACTATATATTCGCATTCCCGTTGTTCCTTTGTAGCTCTCAAATCACACAAACACTTCATTCATCCAACAAAGAACTACAAAGATCAATCAATCAATCACGATGGCGAAGTCAAACAAGACTTTTTCCATAATCAGCAAGGCGTTGAACGCCTTTCGTCCACGCCCGACTTCGCCCGAGTGCCCGCCAATCGTAGTTAGTCAAGGTCTCCAAGAACAGCTTGACTACGCACAACCCGCAGAGCCAGTATGGCATGCTGCAGAGTACGAGTGTGCCGGCGCCGAATCACTCGGAGCCTGCCTTCGAATAGATACCGGGGATGGAATCTGGGTGTGCTGCTGCGGGCACGAGAACCCCCTGGTACACTACCAGGGGGCTTTCCCCTTTAAGTATCTAAAGTGTGGTCGCTGCGATCGCATCCTCTGTCCCAACTGCCGCACGTCCGAGATCCTAACTCCCATCCAGTCAATCACCACGGAAGTGTTGGAGGATCGATTCAACAAGCCCGCCGACGAAGTGCGGTACTGTCGAGTATGCCGCGCCTGCGGGCTCACGCATCGAGCGGCTATCGATGGTGGCCAGATCGACTTCTCCCACGCGCCATGCCCGTGTGGAAAGGTAGGTACCGAAGACGGGTCTTACTTCCACATTGGCGAGGTCGATGCATGGCGACGCGATCCACCTGCCCGAGCAGTCGAGCTCTCTCTCGCGCGAACCATGGCCGCATCGATGCGGTACATGGAGAAGCAGAGCAACGACTCGTCTAGAGAGTATAGAGAGTCCCTGGAGGTGGCTATAGAGATGGATCGTATCATAGGACGCCCGGTTTACCAGACGTCGCGGGGTCAAACCTTTAGCTATGATCCATCAGCGGCGGCGCGTCCACAACAGCCTACACGTGCCGCCACCTTCATCAACCCGGTGCTCCCAGTTCGACGTGGGGCTATCCGATCACCACGCCGCAAGATGCCGCTCAGTGGCAGTCTGGCAGAGCAGTGCTTCTGGGCTCAAAACTAGCTGGTCTAGTCTAAGCCAGAATGCGGAGGAGGAGCTCAAGGGGAGTTCGTAGACCGTGGTGCATACTGTGTCTTTTCGAATCACGCGACTTAGTCGTCGCGTTCAAGACCTGATGAGATGCATATGTCCACCTCGGTTGTCAGTCAACGGTATTTATCGGTAAAGGTGTTCTCAGGGGCGTTAGGCTATTCAAAGGTTTAGAAAATAGAAACTTCAAATATATCAAGGTTTAACTTACTCTCTCTCTCCTTCCCTTTCTCAGTATCCTTCTGTTCTTTTTGGTGATTGATTCTGTTTGAAACAGGCAAAAAACAACCCGCTAACAGTTTCTAAGAACAGGTGACTGGACGAATTGAGTTTCTTTGAAGATAGTTCAAGGAGGTCTATAGTATGATGAAGTCACATGCGCTTGGGTAGTATAAGTCGCTGTTTGGGCAAGTGTGTCGCTGGTATGGAGGTGTTGATACACCGAGCACCTATTGCAATGTTGAGGACACAGCTCTTGAATATCTCTTAGTTCTCACAATGAAGCTTCCTTGTCTGGGATTGAGAGATGGAAGAAGAAAAACTAGACTTGAACTGCATGTGCGAAGAGTATACAGAACGTGGGTAGACGAATAGGTTTACTAGTCAACTAAAGATGTTTACGCTGAATAATATTACACATCAATCCATGCATGGTACAAACTAGGATAACAATCATAATTCATCAACTTCGGGGATATCACCATCACTACCAGTGCTGTGCTTGGGATACTTATCATACCAATCCTTGGGATCTCCACCAGGAAGACAGAGACCAAGTCGCCAGAAGTAGTCACGATGCGCGAAGAAGAGCTGCCAGAGCTTGAAACGGGTTGGAACGCCCCATGCCGGCTTGTCCTCGTCGCTGCCGGCAATGCAGTGCGTGTCCTCGTCACCGTCGCAGTAACGGACGTCTGCGATGGAGAAGGGAAGGTTATACTCGGAGATGAAGATCTCCTCGCTGTGCATGGAAAAGCCCCATTCAGACAACGGCAACAGAGGCACTGGATCGCCCGCGTGCGTGACACGGTGGAATTTATTGTACTCATGATGCGATGTAATGTTGAAGCGGTCGTCGATGTATGCGTTGAGCTCCTTGTTGCCGAGGCGCGGTTCGCCAAAAGTGGTGACATGGGGATTCCACCCACGGGCCTTGAAGTCGAGACCAGCAAGCGTGGCAATAGCGCCACCCAGCGAGTGCCCAACCAGAACCAGCTTGTAGTTTGGATATTTCTCGAGTGCTTCGGTAACATGTGGGAGAACGACTTTGCGGGTGTTTAGCCAGGATGAGTAGAAGCCCATGTGTACCGTGCAGTTGTCGCATTTGGGCGGATCTGCAGGCGGGGGGTCTTCGGGTGTATCAGGTCTCGGGGCAATGAAGTCGGACGTGTCGTCGTCATCGTCGCCTGGGTATGGCACGTATGCCTGCGGTATGGTGGAGAGGTCTGCGATGGTGTTGGCTATAGAGTAGGTGCCGCGGAAGGCGAGAATGAGTCGCGGATTCGTGGGCGAGTGCGAGAGGGCAATGTAGCCACAGGAGTCAGACAGAAAAGGGCCAGTATTCCATGCCTATACAAACATCAGCTCTGCATGCGACACAGGACGTACAAGACGCCACTTGCGGCGACTCACTGTCACCAGCTCAAATGTCTCGAAGTCGCGATCCGCACATCGACTCGCGCACTGGAAGGGTTTCTGTATGCCCAGGCCGGCTGTGCCTACACAGTACGAGATGTCGACGATGCGCGCGAGTTCTTCGAGCTCCCAGAAGAGGTCCTGGGTGATGACGCTATCGTTGGAGGGTCCGCGGACCAGCGGGTGCTGGGTCCCATCGCTGCGACTTGCACAGACGGAGGCGAGGATCACGGCGAGGCGAAGGAACAGGGCGAGGAGAGAGCCCATGGGTGTTTTCTATCACATATTCCGGTGTGCAGTATGTCCAAGTAGTCCAACGCGGTGAGGTCAGAGGATGCTTGCGGGAATGGCCTCGGGAACGGATCCAGCGTCACAGCTCCGGGCTTGGTTCCTGGGCGCCAAGCTGGATCAGGCCAAACACGCCATTACATCATCGCGGCCCCTTCAAATGAGAAGACAGAGGCCCTCGGCCGGTCCTAAAAGCTGCCATGCACGCTGCTGACCCTAACCTGACTTCCAGCCCACACCAAGACACACAAGACTTCTCGACTTCCGTTGGCATCCGGACAAGGCGCCATCCTCTCCTCTTGATTTAATTGTGGGCTCCCCGCTCTATCGCTAGCCACGAAGCAAACCACACCATGGCTACGCAGTACTCGTCCACAGAGCCGCTCAGGCCCATCGCCCCAGCAGCAACAACAGACACGCAATCCACCACGCCCCCAGTCCCGGGCATCCAAATTGACGGCGCGAGCGACGATGATGAGAGAGGCCGCAGCGCCGAAGCACGCACCGCAACGCCAGCCAACAATGCCAGCTTGAACCCCAGCGTGAACCCAAGTCGCGCAGCATCGCCAAACCCACAACACTTCTACCCACACACGCAAGTAACCTACGATGACCCCGATTTCCGCCGCCCGCCGCCGCTCAAATACTCGCTGCGAACGCGGAGAAAGTCCATTTTCTGGTTCTGGTCCCTCATCATCCTCGACTGCATCGTCATGCCCATTGCTACGTACTTTGGCATGTGGTATGGCCTAACGCGAGACCAACTGTCGGCAAACGCAACCTTTAGTATCAGCACAGCGCTCTTGGGAACTGTGTCCATTGTCGAGTACTTCATTCGCTTTTACCGCTTGTGGAAGAAGGAGTCCAACTGCAGGGTCATTGGAGCAAAGCGATACTATCTCGATTGGTTCCACTGGAACCTCTCGGTTGGTTGGATCTTTGTTATGATTGAGCTGATTGCGTGAGTATTCAACGGCTTGAGCTACACAATGGCAGAAACTAACCATTCGCAGCGGCACAACGCCCCATGATCCCCCCATCCGCGTCCTCGCTATGCCCGCATCCACCATGCTCTTCGCTATTGGCGTAGAGCTCCTCCTCGTCGACATCCTACGCATCTTGAAGGTCCCCGCGCCCTGCCGTATCTCTTCGCTTCCCAAGGGCGCACCGCTGCGCCCCGGAATCTACGCATACATTGAGGATATTTGCGGTGTCGATGGCTCAGGAGGCACAGAGTTCCGTCAGAGATTGAATCTCAGATATCAGGCTAGCAAAGCTTTCCGCGAGATGTTGCACCGCTTAACGCTGTTCTGGGCGTTGGGCGCTATCGTGTGCTCTGCTGCTTGCACAGCCATCGTATTCACTATTCAGCGAGACGCTGCCTACGTTGTACGTCACTATCCGCTCGAACCTTTTTCTTTCTCATTTGCTAACTATCCATAGGTTGGCTGGGTCATGCCCTTCCTGTGGGCTGCCATTTGGACCGCCATCACTATTCCGTGGGTCCAAAGAGACCTCGTCAAAGAATACGAGCAGTGGACTGAAGCCAATTTCAAGGCCTAAGTCATTTCCTTTGTCCGTTTCATTGTTAGTGTATGATTATCCATGGGTTATAGCAAATTCATAGCGATGGCGTTCGCACGAGACACGATGGGGGTTTTCCGAATCAAGACTCTAGATACCATTTTCCGTTGTAGGATGTTAGTAACTATTACACTGTCCAAATCGTCGCAACCTAATATGCGATATCGTTTCCCGTACACATTGTTAGCAACTATCGCACTTGTGTCCAAATCCGTACCCCCTGTGCCCCCGTCGCACAACGTAGCTGTAGCAACAACACAAAAAGCCCTGACATCATCAATGCCAATGCCAAATTCCTGTATTCTCCCATGTTCCCACATCCCGTCAATTAAGCGTGCAAGCCCCACTCCGCCGGTCGTAAGGCTCCCCATCCAGTGCTAAGCTTTCTGATGACATCGTCCAAGGGAGTTAGCGGCCGCGGGGTTTCAAGGTTGGTGATCCTCTTTTCGCAATGCGGTACGGGCGGGTGAGATTATGAATTAGCCGTCATCATATCTCCGTGCTCGTGCTTGGTCTTTACGTGCAAAGTGAGACAGTGGGTGCATCATGGGTTTAATCATGGGGTTATGTCCGTGGACGATAGAGGAGCTGAATAGGTGATTGGGCACTATGTTATAGCCTACAATCGCAAAGTCACACCTGTCAAATGTCCGCGCGGTTTGTGTCCAGCTTGACGGGTATCATACAGCCTAACGCGACTGCGTCTCTCTTGACCGAGCCAATGTTCTCACTCCCCATCTAGTTGCACCTCTCATGACGCAGGCTGCGGCTGCACAACCCCCACCTCCACTAGCTCAACCTCCCAACTCTCCAAATCAACAAGCACCACAAGGCCCGTGGTCCTAAACTTCGGCACACTAACAAGCAGCACCTTCTGCCCAGCAGGGCCCTCGATAACCCTTTTCCCAAATGTATCCTGACACCCTGCAAAGTAAATGTGCGGACAATCCTTCAGCAGCAGCGGGTCGTCGTCTTGGAACGGGTAGCACCACAATGTGTCTGGAGCGGTGGGTGCTATGCACCGCCAGCGCAGCATCATCTCCATGACTTCGAGCGACTCGACCTCATCGACGTATTTGAGGAGATCGCCGACGGTTTGCCCGCCCGTCCCAAGGACGCGGTATCCTTCTATGTCGCCGTCCCAGGGGTTTGTTACAGTGTCGAGGCCGTGGATCGTTTCGTTACTCTTCGCTGGTGGTTCCGCATAGAGACGCGCTTTGGGGAACAGTGCGGTATGCAAGGGCTGCTGAGGGAGTGCGACGTTTGCAGGATCCGAAGCACCTGGTAGTAGGGTGATGGGTAATGTCGGGAGAAGGTCAGAGAGGAAGGTGTCGAAGCGTTCGGCGGGCGAGGCATTGTAGGCTGAAGCGTCGTAGCCGTAGTGTTTGCTCTTGCTCTTCTTGATGGCGAAATCTTCACGAGAAAGGATCGGGCTGGCATGTGAGAGCGAGTCGCCTGCTATTATGAGGCGCGTGATTTGGGCTGCTTCTGTCTGAGTGGGTGGACCTGTTGCTTCGCCTGTGAGGTATTCAAGTAGTAGATCTAGCGAAAGCTCATCGTCGTCTACGCCCGTGATCTCCAAGCCAGATATAATCGCCAATTTACCGGCTCTCTCGCGCTTGGGCTTCGGTTTCTTCGCTCGCGACAGCGCCGAGTCTTCGCGTTCCCAGCGCTGCGGTTGTCGTGGAAGATCTGCGTATTGTGTAGCGATGACTTGGAACGTTCCGTCTGCTTGTTCAGTCCCGAGCGCCGCGAGCACGCAGCCGGTGACATAGTGTGAGTTCAGGCTCTCGCCTGTTACGCGGAGGCGACCGGACTCGTCCTCGAGCATCATTTCGTCTTGGCCGCCGGAGGAGACGTAGGTTTCGCGGGGTGGTGGGGCGGCTATCCAGTGCTACACAAGGTCAATATGTGCTGCTGCAGTCTCCCAGTGCTTTAAGGCAGCATTACATACCTCTTTCGATATGTCGTCCAGCACGTTTGGCTTCAGCGCCATCTCCATGTACACTGTCCCGACTATCCAGCAAAGCTGCCCTTGCCGTACGTCAAGCACACGCTCAACGAAGCTCGCCTTCTCCTGGCCTAGCTGTACAAGATCAGCTCTACCCTCATTCACTCTTTCCACGCAATATCCCAGTGTGTGGCCTTGCATACCTCGAAGTCGCTCCAGGCGTCCTCTGCCTTTTGCTTCACAGCCTTCCTCAACAGCGCTAACCGTAGGAAATACATGTCCGCATACTGTTGCCCGTAGTGTTTATCGGTGCCTTTTGGTAGCTCGAATGTGTGGAGAGGGCTGTATGCGGAAGGGTTTCGAGAGGGAATATACGGCGCATCCCCGCTATAGCTTGTTAGAGATTGCTATCAAGGCGTAATAAACACTTACAAGGGTGCGCCTTTTAACATATCACCGTCGGGAGGTTCCATGGAGAGATACGGAAGTCCTGGTGAAGGTGGTGGTGAAGTTTTGAAGTTTCGATTGTGGAGATGTTGAACCTTGGAAGCTCCAACAGCTGCGGGAGTCGCGACGCGCGACTTTCGCGCCATCCCAAAAAGGAAATATAAGAGCTACATGACTTGCAAGGTTCCAAGGTTCACCAGGCCGTCACACATCAATCTTCGTTCGTTTTGTGATATATTGTAGGCCTGTTAACTTCCTATGATGCTCGAACTATTATTTCTCTATAACCAACTACGACCTAGGCTTCAAGTGAGCAGGTATGCAAAGGAGTGATCTAGTGTGCATAAGGTCATTCGACATAGCGAGACATGCGACAGTGCACTACATGCTCCCAAGCACAGCAAATAGAGCACTATTTCGAGGCCATTCATGAACAAGCAAGCACAAAGTAAAGTCTGAGTTATTCAAGTATTGTATCTTGCCTTCTAGGCTGATCTATCTATCGCATGCCGGTGGCAGCTATCTCCTGTACGGCATCCTCTCGAGTCGTGCACCGTTCAGGTCACGACCTTGCCCTGCAACATGTCTATATCTAGGCGGGCATTTGAACTCCGAGCGATGATGCGCCGACCATGCTAATTTCCGAACATGCCCATGTTGCGCTAGAGGCTATGTTGATGCGCCAAATCCGAACGGTAAAGGTTGATTAAAAGGTGGTGTGAGAAGTTGTAATTGAGTCCATCTCGAAGCGACATGTTTAGAGCATCTAATTTATGTTAGAAAGAATGTTCTATCGGGGCAAACGTGGACAAAAGCTTACCATAGCGACACCACCAGCGACAACGAGGCCGAGAGCGGAACCGGCCATGTGGGTAGGTACGGAAGCAGCACCGGTGAATGGAAGCTGGGACTTGGTGGGAGCAGTAGAGCCGGAGGGCTTCACGCTGCCAGTGCCAGTTGGGTAGGGGGTGGTGCCGTTGGCTGGTGCAGCAACATAGTTGGCAGTGGTGGTAGCGGCGAGCGCAGCGACAATGGCGACGATGGAGAACTGCATGTTGATGTTGGGTTGGGTTGGGTTTTGAGTTGGTCGAAGAGAGTCGAGTGTGTGATGTGAAGTGCGAAGTTTGGAGGTATGTACTTGAGTTGATGGATGCTTCTCCAATGTGTCTGTCTTACAAGCTCTTATATCTGCGCAACCCTTCCAAGCATTTCTCAGCCTTCTAGCCTTCTATTGTACCCCCTGGTATCACGGTACCCACACGCATACGCGTACGCAGCAGCCCACATCCTAGCACCCAGCCCTCGCGGCCCCACTCGTCCACTAATCAGACAAAGCGGTTGCCGCTAGACCCACCTTGCCACCAATGAGCCAGTCGTACAGGTCCAGATGCAGGCACTAGTCCGCGTGGCGTGGGAGTTGTTGTGCAAGCCGGGCTGGTCCAGTGTGCATGGAAGAGGCTGGCATCCCCCAAAAATAGAAGAAGACAACCACGCCCTGCTCAGCCTCCGGCCTTTCCTACCACACAGCTGATATCCCGCACAGATCGATAAAGAGCGTTTCCTGCTGGAGTCCCACGTCGTTGGTGGCGTCATTGGTTGAGCGGTCGTGGCCTTCTCAACGGCTGTCATCGGCCGATGCCGGAACTCAGGAATGTGTCTCCCTATGCAACCTAACCATCCAAGACCCAACATTCCACCCAAGGCTCAACAACAATAGCGTGTTTCGCCGAAGGACTGTTCCTGCGCAAGCCGATAGCCTTGGCCGATGATCGTCCACAGGTCCGCTATTCATGTTGTTTATGTCGCAAGCTGTGGAGAACGCTGGACGCGTGTTCGAACATAAAAACCGTCCGATTGGCGGGTCCTTGTTATTATGCAGCCCAGAGTTTCGTTTCCCCAGAAATGAGTGTCAAACAATAGCCCTGATGACGACAGAAGGGGCAGATGAAAACGATTTGTGGACCAGCACGATGCAACCGAAGTTATGCCAGCGCCTTCAATAATCATTGTTTCTCACAACCAGGATAACGGAAGTTATGCGACAGGATGACTCAGCTATTCAATAAGCCTCTCACCCGATGTTGGAATCTTATAGTGCCCTCCGAGGTCACCTCCCATGTGAACGAATTGCAGTTCGTATATTCTCGCATGATATTGCTCCTTCTAGGCGTTCCCCTTATCTTTGCGTACTCCGGTCCGCGATACATTTCATTGTTAGCGATTTTCGCTTCTTCATATCACTTTCAACGTGTGACGATTTCGTTTCTTTCCATGTCGACTTTTTCGTTTCTGACCTCACCTGATGGCCTGCCTCTCAACTATCCAAGAGACTACGGCCTACGTAGCGTTAGACCGGCTCGAGATAACAGAGCAAGCAAGAACTCATGAACGATCCATTTATTGAAATGAAATTGCACTACCTAGACGAAGAATTGGCATAATGTTCTGCGGGGCCAGCTCTCCCATACCTAATGCTAGGTAGAGAATGCTGGCGCATCCGAATGTTGAGCCACTCTTTTTGTCCAGGCGGTGGCCGCGTAGTCTAAGATAGCTATCCTTTGTGTAGATACCGAGAAAGCAGCGAACCTCTCAAGATAAAAGGCGTCGTTGAAAGTAGAAAGAGAAGTGAGGGTCGAAGTACCTAAAGACCTGTAGAAATACTCGAAAGTAAAGCACTGAACTTTAGAGATATCAGACGAAAATGCGGCCGATTGGACAAAGGTCTACTGAGTTATTGCACCCTTGGCTGGTTCCGCCATGGGCTTCTGGACCGTTGATTCTATTCTACGGGCACACTATTGAAAGTTATCATTGGAATTGTCTAATGAAGCTTATATACTAGGAGGTCTATGTTGATGAACTTGTCATACAACATGGACAACTACGCTTATTTGCGTGGAGGTTTAGTACACTCTTGTCGCCCTCTCCTTGTCTCACCTCACTTCCGCTCAACGGCTTCCAAGATCATCTAAAGAGGCCGCCATTGCTTTACATGTATCCAACGCCTCTCTTTCCCAGCCGCTGTCCTCGAAGCGCTTGAGCAGCATTGTCATTGGGCTGCCCGTCACCAAAACCGCAACCTCCATCTCTCTCTTGTGCCACTACCGGACCCGCGCACTTTCCTGAGCGGAATCCGCAACACCCTGCAGCACAATCGGCATCCGAGGAACAAGCGCCAGTAATAAATTGCTTGCCAGCGCCATTGCCAGCTTCATTACCCGTAGCCGGCGCTGTCTGAGCGGGAGCTCCTGGTTGAGTAGCAGCTGGTGGATTTGCAACTGGCAGAGTTGCATCGGCTTGAGCGTTCGTATTTCCGTTCCCGCCTGTAAGGGCTTGAGCAGCATCATCATTCGGTTGAGAATTGCCAAAGCCACAGCCTCCGTCCCGTTCCTGTGCGACCACTGGCCCTGCGCATTTTCCACTGGTAAACCCGCAGCAGGAACTGGCGCAATCAGCATCGGATGTGCATGGTCCGGTGATAACTAGAGATTAAGGTAAAAGTCAGTGTGTGTCTCAACGAGTTCGCAATGGGCTTTACGTACACTGAGTGCCTTGTGCGGCGACGTAGAGAGAGACTGGAAACTGTCAGCAAGCATCACATGGTTAGTGGCGAGGGCAGCTGACGGTTTAAAAGAGCCACGATTTTGAAGAGAGGTGCCATTGTAGCAATGAAGTGGAAAGGTGATGTCTGGCCTAGAATAAAGATTGCTTCGACGTCGACTTCGCCTGGAAGTAGAATCGTAGTACAAGGGAATGTAAGAAGACAAGTTTGGTGTTGAATTTGGTGATGGAGTTGAAGGATCCTGAGGATACCCGTTGTATATTATATATACCACATTCAAGTAATCGTCAGAGTGAATCGTTCTGACACATGCAGAGAAGATAAACGCTGGTTCCGAAACGGGAGAAGTCCCTGCGGCCTCATAGATACCTTGCGATGACGGAAGGTAGCATCGAGAGGGACGATATGTGTAGCACAGCCTCACGCTGAATGTCATGTTTCGTCTATGATTAGTTCTGCAAATGGGGTTATCAGAATTGAAATTGTGCCTGGTATTAAAAACGCAGACCTAGGGGTTAGGACGTTTGTTAACATCATGCGTTTGATCCAAGTTCATTAAGGATGCGGAGTAGATGTTCCCTCGAGGCGCGTGGCAGGCTAGACAGATGAGCGTCGTGAACATCAGCCTCATACCATTCCTGCCTTGATGCACTCTAAGTTTCGGCTCCGTCTGAGGAATTAGGGCGCCAAAGAGGGACGCCACTACTTTCTCTTTCTGACTTCTTCCGCATGAATCGATCGGAGCTAGATGAGACCGAACGGATCTCGGATATCCTGGTTTGGCGCTTGGAACGTCTGAACTCCGCATGAACTTACACCAAAGGCTACTGCTAAATTTGACCACATAAGCTATTTCCTACAGGCCCCAAATCACGTTTCTATCTAATCGCTACGATTCTTGTGGGCATCTACCATTGTTTTCGAGGCATGTTACACGATCTACAATACGACAGGTTATCAGACTTCAGCTCTCGAAAGGAAATATAGAAACATGTGACCAGGGATACCAGGATTGATTTAGGTCTGCTCGAGTGTACAATCGTGATCGTCTTTTCTTCCTCCAAGCTGCAGTGTACTCCTGTAAGAGTAAAAGGTTGGTACTGGTTCCGACGATTGACAAAAGACATGTGTGCAGCGATATCTCTACCTCTTTTATAGCATTACAATCCCAATCTGTGCACCACCATGTCGCATCACACGGTCCCGCTGCTATTTTTCTACTACGTCGCTTTCTGGTGTTGGAGGGACAAGAGTGGGGTACCAACGGGGGCAAATTTCCCCACTTCGGACATTGTATCATGACGTTGCAGATACACGACACTCATCATCGCCTTCAACTGTAACCCCCAAACCATCTGAGCCTGAAGCATAATAGAAGTTTAAACGTTATCATGTCATCCCCTAAAACAATTCGCTGGGGCATTCTCGCGACTGGTGGCATCGCCCTCACTTTGTAAGTGCCCCGCGATACCCCACCATGTTTATCTCCTGACGCGATTTGTAGCACGAAAGATCTACTCGCCGACCCGACCACGCGCGGAGTCAAGCATTTAAAGCACACAGTCGTCGCAGCCGCTTCTTCGTCGTCTAAGTCTCGCGCAGAAGACTTCCTGAAAGAGGTGGGCGCACCGTCAGATGCGAAGGCATATGGTTCCTATGAGGAGTTTGTGAAGAACCCCGACATTGACATTGTATACATCGCAACACCACACTCACACCACTACCAGAATGCCATGCTCTGTTTGGAAGCGGGTAAGAACGTGCTCTGTGAGAAGGCATTTACCGTCAATGCCGCCCAGGCACGCGCACTAGCAGAGAAAGCAAAGGAGAAGAACCTTTTCTTAATGGAGGCTGTCTGGACGCGCTACTTTCCCATCTCTATCTACGTCCGGGAGCAGATCGCCTCCGGTCGTATTGGGCCTGTTGCACGCGTTATTTCCGACAACAGTATGGCGCTGGACCCCGAGAACAACTTCGCAGACGGCAAGAGTCGCATGGTCAACCCTCATCTAGCTGGTGGAGCTCTTCTCGATCTCGGCATCTACGCTTTGACGTGGGTTTTCCAAACCCTATACCACACACAGCCCGAGAACTCAAGGCAGCCGCCTAAATTACTTGCTTTTGTCAAGAACTACGAGCCTACTGGCAAGGCAGACGAGCACAGCACCGTCATCCTTTCCTTCCCGAGATCGAAGGAGGCAGGCGGTGAAGCGCACGCCGTCGCTACAACGTCGCTTCGCGTCGCTACCGCGCCGGGCGGAAATTTCGACCTACCTTTCGTACGAATCCAGGGGCCGAAGGGCGAAATCCAGGTCTTCGGACACTCTTTCCGACCCCTCTCCACCAAAATCATCTCCAGTGACGGTAATGTCGAATCTAAAGAGTTTCCCATCCCTGGTCCTGGAAAGGGCAGCGGCTGGTATAACGGCTTCGGCGGCTCGCTTCAGTCTGAAGGTGAGGGCCAGGGTATGTTTTGGGAGGCGGATGAGGCTGCCGACGCGATCATCAATGGCAGGAAGGAGGGCAGGTTCTTGGGTCTAGATGAGAGTATTTTGATTATGGAGGTTATGGATGAAGTCAGGAAGCAGGGCGGGCTTGTGTATCCGGAGAAGATTGAGACGACGAAGTACCCGACGCAGTTGTAGATATTCAGATCCAACTCGGCTAACTGCCTTGAATAACTATGACAATTAAGTAAAGAAATATCAAATCGAATGCCCAGTCCGCTCACTACTGAAGAAGCAGTAGCTGCAAGTCATCGAGGGGTTTGGACCTGGGCTCGTATGTTGGGTTGTTCCATCCGCGCAACTCAATTTCCGTTTCACAACGTTTCACAACCTTCGCTCCGGCAGATTTTCTCCTCTCCTCTGTCAGCAGAAGAGCTGTCGGACATTCTAGACACGCGCCTATAGAAAGGTGAGTCCCACCAGACATCGTGATATAGACATGTCCAAAATACTCGCCTTTCTCTAGTGGCTCCTTATGGGTTGGATATCACTGGGGTGGAGACGCTCATATTCAGCCTGATGTCTTTACCGGGTTGAACTTGTAAACAAGCTTTGTGCCGAGGCTGGAAACCCGGGGAATCCTTCACCAGAAGACGTGTCGCTCATATAATCTCATTTAGGCAGATTGCTTTCAATGTCCTGTTTACGCCACATAAAACTACGGTTCCTCCACGTCAGAACCTCTTGAATATGATGTGCGATTACATTTCTGAATGCAGAGGAGAATATACCTCTACGCCCTCCATGTTTAGGTATTTCGAGTGGAACGAGAACTTGGAGTTACTTCGCAAACTACTGGAAGTCAACAGTCTGTTAGTTCTTACGCTTCGAACGTTCTGAGACGAAACCCTCCATCGATTTTCAAATCACTTGCTAGTCGAGCGAAAGTTTATCCGGTGGAATGTAGTACATCTAATATACCCAAGGATCTTTGCTCCGACAGCAATCTAAGAGAATATCTCTAGGGTTCAAAGAGGCATGCCACCAATCATAAGCAATATTTTGAGGGCAGGTAATCTCCACAGCACCCACAGGACGTTCTACGGGGTAGCCCCATTCCGGGTTACAACTACGACAAGCTTCGTTTTAATCTATTCGAAGGTCATACGCGACGTTAGGTCACTAGTGTTCCGATTTTGGATCTCAATGGTGCCAAACGAAACAACGTCCATGCGAAGCTAGCAGCTCGAAGGCTTTCAATGCACTTAGGAGTAATATTTTGGAGTATATATAAGGCCAGGAAGGTACTGATAGTATTAATCCAGCGAGAAACTTTGCCCATTGTTTCAGCGACCTTTCTTTTCCATAATTCGTCATCAGTCCACTGAGTATGAAGAACCTGGCGAGCCTAGCTGGCGTAGTCGCATTGGTGTCAAGTGTCACCGGACATGCAACCTTCCAGGATCTTTGGGTGATGGGAAAAGATCAAGGAGTTAGGGTTGTCTCATTATACTTGCGATCTCGTTGCTGACAGCATCAGGCTACATGCGCTAGGCTACCAACGAGCAATAGTCCAGTGACGGATGTGACGAACAGCAACATACGGTGTCAGTAGCCAGCCAAAATTTAGGCATGCTTGACTAACATCACTTCAGGCAACGCCAACCAAGGTGCTGCGGCCTCAAAGTGCAGCGTGGCGGCCGGAGGGACTGTGACAGTTGAAATGCACCAACAGAACAATGACCGCTCATGCGCCAATGAAGCCATTGGTGGCGCTCATCATGGTCCGGTCCTAGTATATATGAGCAAGGTCGCGGACGCGGCCACTGCTGATGGCTCTTCCAGTTTCTTCAAGATCTTCCAGGACACTTGGGCGAAGAATGCTTCCGGCGGGGGTGGCTCGGATGACTACTGGGGAACGAAAGACCTTAACTCGAACTGCGGGAAGATGGATGTGAAGATCCCTGCCAACCTCGCCCCGGGCGACTATTTGCTGAGGGCTGAAGCCATTGCTCTCCACTCCGCAAGTGGATTAAATGGCGCCCAGTTTTACATCACCTGTTATCAGATCACGGTTACTGGCTCGGGGTCGTTAAATCCGTCTGGAGTGTCATTTCCGGGCGCCTACAAGGCAACAGACCCGGGCATTCAGATCAACATCTACCAGAAATTGGAATCATACGTCGCTCCTGGCCCGGCAGTTATCGCTGGGGGCACAGAAGCTACTGCTGGCAAGGCAGGCTCCACGGTTACTGCCACGGCAGGATCACCTCAGCCTACAGCCTCTGCGAGCAAGGGAGCTGTGTCTAGTACGCTGCAAACGTCAGTAAAGGTTACGTCGGCACAGGCTACACCAACGGGTGGAGGCGGCAACACTGGAGGGTGTACAGCTGCGAAGTTTCAACAGTGTGGCGGGAGTGGGTTTAGTGGATGCACGACATGTAAGAAGATCCATACACGAACTGCATATGAGACCCATACTGACTCCTACTTTGTTTCTAGGTGCCACTGGCTCAACGTGTAAAGCGCAGAGTGGATATTACTCCCAATGTGTTTAGGAGCTGTAGCGATGCTGTAATCTCTCATATTCATGACACCCACTGCGGTAATCCAACTCTTGGCAGGGAAAGATCATCCTCTGGCTGCGACTAAAATAGTGAATTAAACCCGTTTTGACCATGCTTGCAGTTCAACGAACCTCTTAGCACCTCGCCGACTCGTTTCCATATTTCCGACTGTTCGCCTATCTTCCTTGTCACCAGCGCTAGTGCGTTCAGGCACATGCGACAGACATCTAGTGAACTGCTAAAAAGCCGTATTGAACAGATCTGACTACTCGTGACGAGGAGTAGTAAGGGTGTGGGGTACTCTATCAGCTGAGAACACGCTGATCTTAGTCCTTCATTTCTCGCCGACTGCCCAGAAGGCACATGACTGAACCTTTCACTAATTTTGAAGATGTGTTAGAAGCTAGAATGGTGACTCAAAGACGACACCAAGATATTCTTAAGAGTTCTTACGTTACTTTCATCTCTAGGTGAGCCGCTCTGTCAGCGTTTTTCACTCACTTTGTTTGCAGCAGCCAATAGCAGCTTGTCTTGTCTAATGTACGATGAGCTCAGGTAGGCTTCTCTGCGAACCATTTCTACAGCTGTACGCCTCGAGATGTTGCAGGACGCAATAAAATACTGTGGGCCCTCAAGGCTCTGTGCATTGCAAGCACGTGCACGATAGCGTTGGTTAAATTAGCGTACTATCTGCACCTCGTGCGACACGTCACTTACGCCATCGACAGCCACTACGTTTAAACGCCTTGGGAGTGTTCGATGAACAACACAACGACTGCCAGCGCAGAGAGAAGGTAATGAAGGTTGCAAGCCCCCGCCTCGAGGCTTGTGCCCTCGTAGTCGATCCATCGCGCACAACGCGCAAAATTAGGTAAAGGCTACCTAGGTCGAAGCCGATACCGAGCACGCGTCGCCTCGAGGACCTGATTACAGGAGCTCGCGTGGTGCATGGGACAAGATATCGAACTACTGGCCATAGCACGAGCGTTCATTCAGGAACAGGAGAGCCTGGGAATGTGATAGTGATATGGGCTGCAGGAAGGCATGAACCGGGAGATCGCAGGGCTGAGCAGTCTGCTCCAGGAACACATCCGGCGTTGACACGTTATTGTGAAGTATTCGTGCATGACGGATAGCTTGATGCTGCCCAATCGGACGATTATCTGGACCAATTCCGGTTCAATTCGCATATGGCGCTGCAGTTTGGCATGCGAACTTGGTAGAATCGATCAGCGCAGGAAGATGTTCGACATGACGCACTTCCGGCATGTAGAAATGGGACGGAACCGGAACGGCGCGCTGCTACCTTAACCGAAAGCGGGCCGACGGCCGAAGAAACTCTGGGCCAATCTGCGAGACACATCTGGCATTGCGTGAGAAACTAGCATGGTAGAGTCTCGGTCGTCCTTCAATTGCCAGCACATCGGACCAAGCTCATAATGGCAATACAGCAACTTCGAAAATTTGGGCCATTCCACCCCATTGGTCTTTGCCGCCCAGCGTTGCGGTTTTTGAACAGCATGACATAGTGCCATTACCAGGTTCTTACGGATCCAGTTTTTCCCATACTGCTTCTGTTCCTCCCTCCCCCCGCAGTTGCTTGCTCGCTGATATTTCTGCCGGCCAATTAAAGACCGAAGGACGTGCCAGCGCAACATGGCATCACTTCAATGCTTTGCTCCGAAGCAAATTGTGCCACAGCAGCTGCGGACTCGTTTGCTTCGAGATGGTGGTGTGGCAACAGTGCTGGCCAACTCCTACAGGATACCGAAAATGAGGCTCAGATGGCAGTTTCGGACTATAAACAGAGAGCCAAAGATCTCAGGGCAGGCGTTCTTTTCCAGTCTTGTACGCAGTTTAGTCCCTTCAAATCCCCACTTGCAAAACCGGACCCCACACTTAACACCACTCACCAGAGCCTTACTTGCACCCTTCCTCACCGCAATCATCTCTAGATATGGCAGCATCTGAGAGCTACGTCTCGAAACTCCAGCGTACGCTCACCGATACCACCCTTGGCGCTAGCTGAACAACATAGAATATTGCGCCACGCACCAAATTGCTCAGCCTCAGTTCCAAGACTACTCTGACCCTCGAGGTTCGTAGTCCTTCCGCACGCTTTCTATATCACACACCACGCGTTCGGGGAAATCCTGACATACATTCACAGGCATAAGGACTGCCTGGTCGAGTAGTGTCTTCGTACATGGTCGCGAATACCGGGCCCACCTCTGGCGAGACTACCGCTATCTCGAACAGTCGCGTGAGGAGGCGGCTGAAGTAGCCTGGAAGACGTTGACCACCGTCCCCACCACGACTGTAGCAACCCAGGCGCAGTACGCTTACAATCGTGGCTACACCACGACTCGCTAGCCTCTCAGTCGCGTAAGAAATGATGCTATCCGCGCGACCTAGCACAAGCGACGACTTCCACGCCCACTAATCGAGTCATACACACCAGAGCTGCTTGAAGGCTCCGCAATGCACCTCTTTGATTCGCGAAATACGATACACACATGTACATCCTGCAGGTCTAACTCTCAGACATCAATACCCGGGGCCTCATCCTATATCCATTCCGACTTTACTTCAATAGTGGTCTATTATTTGATCGAAAAGACCCGGTTTTATAACTGTTCTTGGGTGACGGAGTCCATACCTTTCTTGCCGCTACTTTTACCATGGGGAACTTTCTGGACTTTTTCTTTGTTTCCGTTATGTATCACTTCGACCAATCATTGTTAGCCTGATGTGGCTTTGTCTTACCTTTCTGGGAGCTTACCCTTGGTCTCCTATCTTGAACTGGCCTACTCAATCAATCGAGATTCCTGCGAAGCTGCACAGTTTACGCATATTAGCGAAGCATTTTGAGGACCCGTTGCTTCTAGTTTGAACCACCCCGGTTTCATTTACCTGTTGATCACTCTCAGGTTGGAATATCCAGTGTTGATGAATAATCATTTTTTTTGTTCCACCTCATTGCTACCTCTCGTGCATATCCACAACGAAAGTCGCCCAAACTCTTTACCTTGAAATGATGTATACGTAAATGATGGAAAAGATAACCAAGGGATTGGGATAATGCAAGTATTAATTGACCGCTAGTCTGAACAGCGAGAGCAAAGGAAACGAATCCGAGATATAAATCTTGACAAAGAACTTTGATGCATAACATTACAAAGGAAAGCGCGATGCGTAGCTACAAAAGAAAATGAGATGGTATATGGTATACCGAGACTCCATGCGCAAGAAAAGACCGTAACGTGCCAACATCATTGCATCCGCATACCATAATCACGTGGGGGGTAATATCCCGCTCGACATGGTACTGCAGGCTGCTTCATACCCACCGCCACTTTCTTTCAGATCCTCTTGCTCCAGCGCTGCGCTAATCCACCGCCAGTCTGATACTGAAAGGCTTCGCCGACTGCTCGTATCAGCACTCCAATCAACGGCCAGGAACGAGTGTATAGGGAGGATTACCTACTGCCTAGCCTTTGGCGCAGCATTTGGAAACAAAAGGGCGAGGCCCTCTTCCCAGCCTCGCTCGGTGACAATCTCAACAACCGGCCTTCCTGACTCGTCGATAGCTTGTAAATCTGCTGAGCCACCCACATCAATCAGTAGCTTTAGGATCTCGGCGTCGCCATTCTCGACGGCTTGGAGGATGGCGTTCCAACCGCGGTGCATTTTGTTGATGTCTGCGCCACGAGTGAGAAGCATCTGGATGATCTCGGCATCACCACTGTATTTGCGCAGAGCCTTGACGATGGGAAGATGCTCGCCTGGTGCGTTGGGGTCTGCGTTTGCAACGTCGAGGAGATAGCGGACGATATCTTTGCGTTCTTCGCGGATAGCCGTGGTGAGTGGGGAGAAGACACCACAGTTCTTGTCTTCGACACTGATGCCGGCTGCGAGGAGTAGCTTGACACTTTCAAGCTGATTGGCAACCACTGCCATTTCAACGACACCGCGGAACGCTCGCGGGTTGGGTGTCGCAGCTAGGAGCCTATTCAATATGGAGGGTCGCTTGACTGCCATACAGAGTGGCCAGTCCTGTCCGCGAACAGTGGGATCCGCGCCGCGAGCAAGCAATAGCTCGACGAGGTCTCCACGGCCTTCGCGGATCGCAGTCGACAGAGCTGTGTATCCCTCTGGTGTTCGGTCGTTCGGGCTGACGCCCTGATCCAGGAGATACAGTATTGTATCTTTGTCGTTGAATTGAACAGCGGTTTCGATTATGCCTTTCGGCTTATGAAGATCCGCACCAGCAGCGACAAGCTGGGAGAGAAAATGTGTGCGCTTGTGGGTAATACACTTGAACGCAGGGTACTCGGCAGCGTTGTAGTTAGGATCTGCACCGTTTTCGAGCAGGTAGGTCACAATCTCGGTGCTGTTATCGCGAATAGCCGAACATAGCGGTGTGTATATGCCATCTTTCCTGGCATTTGGGGAGACTCCCGCTTCTATAAGAATCTTGATGGAATCCAGTTTTTTCAAGCTTGCTGCTAGCTCCATAAGACCGGGGGTCTTCTTGTGGTCAGCACCGCGCGAAAGAAGCAGTTGAAGAGCTTTGGGCTTATAGGTCGATGGCCACAGTGGGTGCTTAGGTCCAGGAAGGTTTGGGTTAGCGTCGTGATCAAGCAACACCGTCATCAGATCTACACGGTTTGCTTGTATTGCCTGGAATAGCGCAGTGGTTCCTTCGCCGTTCTTCGCATTTGCGTCGCCGCCAGAACTAAGGAGCAGCTCAACCAACCTCGGAGAGACGACCTTGTTCATGGCTGAGACCAGTGCAGTGGTACCATTTTCCATTATGAATCCTGGATCACCACCATTGGCGAGACAAAGCTGGACGAAGTCGATGAGATTCTGGCTCGCAGCAAGGGCCAGCGGGGACTCAGAGTCTGGCCCAGCTGATAAATTGGGATCAGCACCGTGCGTGAGTAGTATCCTCGCAGAATCGAGGCACTGAGATCGGGTGGCCGCAAACAATGGCGTAACGCCTTCCCGATCGAAGCCATTGGCGTCTGCACCATAGCGCAGTAACAGAGCAATGCTCTGTGGATCCCGATTCTGTGCTGCTATCCGCAACATAGTAGCTTCCATTGGAGCGTCGGCTTTGGCTCCACCATCAAGCAACTGCTCTAAAATGCGGTGCTTCTTCTGCTCGACTGCATTGACAAGCGATGACTTGCCTCCGGCTATTTTTGAAGCCCCACTCTGGCGCCCAGAGTAGTGTGATGATGTTATGGGAGTATCCATCTTCGTCGAGGAGTGGTTATCGTCCAGATAACGTTCGTGGACACTGAGGTGCTGTAGCTTATCTTCCAGATGTGTCCGCGATCTGATAGACCCAGCCGCGTCGTCATACACCGGATCCTCCTGATATCTTGCGTTTTGCTGATACATTGTGTCCCTTGTCGATCCGCTCGAGCGGACACTTGGTGGTGATCGCCAATTTTTATGTAAGTCTACAATGTTCGACGACAGGCCCATGTCATCTTCTCGAAGATGTGAATGGCTCATTGCACCCCGAGGGACATCGCTGCCGTAAGATTGGATGTCATCCGCGTGAATCTCATTCAGAGACGGCTTGTTCATTCGGTTTGGATAATGTGGTAGCGCTTCGATATTCTGAGTGCTCTTCAAAGGGGGAGTCGGCGGAAGGTCAGAGGTCGGAGCTGGATGCAGCGGTGGAAGGCTCGTAGCTTTGCCTGGGCTCAGACGCTCCAGCGCAGCAATCAGGCCTGCGTACCCAATACCCATCGCAGCATCTGCTCGAGCGTCGCCAAGCGTCCATCTGAACATGGCGGAGCTGGCTTTTAGTGAGTCGCGGCTTCTAGAAAGCGTCATCCGCATCTTATCGATGTCTGTGTCTGCAAACATCATGCGAAATCGTTTCCCAAGGCCACCTTTGTGGGTCTCATTGTCCACAACTGAAAGGTAGTAATGTGTTAGCGAAATCCTGGAAACCCACGCGAGGGGCTCTAATGACGAACAAAGTTTGTAAAAGGACCATACGCACATTTATTCACCATCTGGCTAAGCACTGAGAACTCTTCGTGGACTTGACGAATGCGCCTGTCCAATTCTTGTGTCACCTCAACTGGTACTACCATTCGCGTCTTATTCGCTTCTGCAAAGCCGGCTTCGATTGACCATAGCACCTGGCAGAGTCCAATGAACTCTGTAGCGAGGATTTGAAAACCGGGGATGGGGTGTTTTGCTGAGCTTAGATACTCAAGCATGCGAATCGCAATAGTGTTGCCCTGAGCATTCACGCGGCTGCAGAGCTCGATGGACGTTTCCTTCTTTGCTGGCGCCATGGTGGAAGTCAACGATACCGTTAGGAATGTGAATTGGGCAAAAGACTCGGGAGTAAAAGCAAGTGAGCGGACCTGGGAGGCTACTTTACGCAGTATGACCTGGTGAGCTCTGACTAAAAAACAACGTTTGACCCACGTCGCGTGCGACAGTAGCCAGGCCCTCCACCCGTTCTAGGCAACGTGATCCCCGAGTCAAGAAGATGCATCCCCGCGAATCGTATCCTGTCGTGTCATACATGATCTAGTAGCGAGCTTCATGGTTCTCGGGTTCAAGTTCAGGCTATCGCTTGCTCCGGTACTAGCGCCAGCGTCTGTATGGCGGCATCCATGGATCCTCATCTCGATCCAGGGTGACCCTAGCCTGCCCAGGATTTTGACAGCCCCAGCACCATGTGTAATATGCATGAGAATACGGTCGGCTGATGTTGCATGGTCTCGAATCATCGTTGGGCGCGCTGCTAAAAGTTGTTCCCCGTCAGTAGTCTCACGCCGGCTTGATTGAACCGCAGGACAACTAGTTTTTAATATGCTGCTGGTTGTGACAGCATGAAGCTTTCTAGCCGTCTCCACGCTACAACCCTAGCGAATTGTCCGGGTGGATAATATAATCCTTCATGTCCCTGACATTTAGCTGTCCCTGAATCTGTGCCGCGTCCATGACGGCACCCTCCCTTGGCAATTCAGCATTGAGTGGAGAGCTGGAAACATTCCATGGTACCACTTCATCCCCTAGGAGCAGGCATTTTCGATAAAGGCTGTGAGGGATTGGCCTATCAAGTTGCTCCACGCCTCCCATCGCGGTTCCCCCCGTCGATGGCACATTCACGAAACGAGCTTAAGGTTTGCTCCTAGGTTTGAATCGGCCCTTATCAAATGCATGAACGACGGCGCCCAACGGGAAAAGCAAATTGGTGAACGCCCAAGTGCTAGTGCCAGACATGTTAGTTCTCATGTAGATCGATCGTGCACCTGAACCCTTTATTTAGTAGGCGCGCTGTTGACCCTGCCGTTAGAACTGGGACGAGCCTAACTGGGTCCTAGCACGCAGAACGATGGCCCTGGCGCAGGGACCTGACTACATGTACAGTACCATGGGAGATGCTAGGCCTAGAAAGCTGTATCTCAATTTAGTCAACCGCAAAACGTGCCTTGCGAAGCAATCACGGTAATGATTCCCGCTTGCTGGAAGCCTCGAATGGTCGACGTCATCTACCCCTGATTAATCACTAGCTGATAACTACGCCGCAGGGAACTTGGGGCGTTAGAGAAACTCTTTTGCCGACCAATTGCGATTATCGGGCTTCGATATTTGGAAGCAGCTGAATACTCAGGTTGACTGCACTAAGGGGAAGTGATAAATTACCAAAGCTGCAGCGCTTGTAGCGTCTGATCGCTTGCGTCCGCCACGCGATTCTTAATCTTCTCGGGCCGATGTACAAGAATGGCACGATATAGAAGTGAAGACTGGACGAGACCGACACATTTGCGGTAATCATCTCCACTTGCTGAAATGGCGATCTCCGCAGATTCTTGTGTGTCCCGGTCGACTAGCTCCAGATGTCACAGCGCCACATCATCTCCGGATCCGCACTATTGGAATTCTTTAGCTTGCTGTTAAGAATCCTCCGAAGTTAGTGAGGCCTAGACAGTTCACACTTCGCCGTTCTCGTTTGCGCAATAGCCTTTCCTCAAAACGTCCATTCGGAGGTCAATGTCTTTCCCGCATATTGACAGAAAGAACAGGAAGAAAGAGTAGAAATAGCGGGAGAAGAGGTAAGCATGTTAACGATTTGCTCCTCGGAAGAATCGAGTGATCGAGCAATACAACTGGACCCGCTTCGATCCTTTATCGCGTATCATTTAATGATGTTCGATCATCACGCGACCGGGGCATGTTTCCGGTACCGAGGCCTACACTGCCTCTTTCACACTTTTCGCTCGACTCCACAGATTCATTGAACATTATTCGCCATGACCTGAATCCACTGCAAAGCAAAGCTGAGGGCTATCACTTGCGTTTGTGGTTCTAGATTTTGAGCGGAGACGCATTGGTAGAGCCCGAGGTCTTCCATATAAACACCAAAGCTTCATGGGTTGGTAGTTTGACTGTGTGCATAAACAGGCTTCCTGTGATTCTGATCTGACGTGTATTGAGAATTTTGTTATGCGAGTGCTTTCATCTCTTCGCCCATAATCTCGTATTTGGGTCATCCAGGGCAGGTAGTAGGCGGTAGAGCTTCTAAAGAATTAAACTCCATGTGACGAGGAGACGTGCATTGAATGAACTGAGGATAGTCTAGAGCGCAGAATACAGTTATGATTATGTACCTATGTAGATTGCATTGCGCCTGCTGATGGCGATCTAAGCTTATCTCAAGACAGATGCGCCCACCATGTCCTCCAACGATATGATCTCTTCCATGTCTCCTACATGACTGTGGAAAAGAGCAAATGGTGGCTATGGCGTTTAAATGACATTAGAGCATGTAGAGCTTTGGGAACCCGCCACGAAGTATAGAGGACCGCCGATTGAGTCGCGTGACAAACTCGGGATGATTCAATGGATAGAAGTATGTCTAGCCGTAGAACCCGTGCTCCGCGCCCATTAGGGCGAGCAACGCAGTCTCGCGTCGCCATTAAGCTTTTCGACTTATAGTTCTTGGTTCCACGACATTAGGAAGGCGTAAGTTGTTTCGACACACTGGAGCAGTGAGCGCGGTGAGGATGCGCTAGCAGGGAATTCCTTGGCATTTACCCTTGCGAGTTCGACCTTGGACATTCATGTTTCATGTCCACGATCGACAACTGCAACACCAAGCCACATCGAGACTACAGGACGATTGAGAGCGCAATTTCTCATAGATGAACTAAAATGGACGACCAACAAGTTCTCGACTCTCTATCCGGCAACGCGATGCCCGCGGATCTGTCCAACTTCAACATTACCGACCTCGTTAAAACACCACACAACGTCCGTCTCTACAAGGAGGTCCAGAACCTGAAAAGGCTCATCAACGACCTCGTCGACTATCAAATTGTCCATCCGAAGAACACGAAGCCCGTTGCGCGCGAAGCGATCGACAATGAGAAGAAGATAAAACAGGAAATTGAAAAGAGGGAGAAGTACATCCGGGCGCAACTGTCCATCATCAAGTCTTTGTATAGGCAGAGTGTGCTGAAGGTGCGCGAGGAGAAGGCGAAGACGTCAGATGATAGGGCGGTCAACGATGCTTTGATCCTGGGCTTGCATAATCTTAAGTACGAGGAGCAGTCGCTGAGGTCTGAGATTTCGGCTGCTGAAAACTACGAGTACGTTTACAGCAATTGCTCTCTAAGTGCTTGGCTAACATGTTTGTAGTCACAAGTACATGAAACTTCCTCTCATTTCCGTCGATCAATTCCTCGAACAATTCCCTGAACACAAAGACTCAACCGGACACGACATCATGGCCGCACGCATCGAGCACGAACACCAGGTTCGCGTCAAGCTCGAAGAGCGTCGACAAGAGAAACTCAAGCAGAAACAGAAGCTCATCGCAGAGGTCAAGAAGGGCAAAGATGACCTCACGAAACTGGACACAATGGTGGAGAAGTTTATTGAAGCTGCGGAACCGATCAAGAAAGTGCTTGCTACGGACTAGGACATGTTTCATGGGCTTCTGCAATTTGTACCACCCGTGGATCATCTTTCCATTAATGGAAAATGCTGTTTACGAGGCAGCGAAGTCCGACATGAAACCATGAAGTCCCGGGGACAGCTAGCCAGATCTATCCAGAGTGGCCTTCCGATGACACCAACAGCGAGCCAGGGGAATCAGCCCACGATTGCTTCCTTGTAGTCCACACACGAGTTCCGCTGAGACATAGCTACGGGCAGTCATACGGTTTCGGGCTTCGGATAAACCTGGTTCACTCTGAAGGCGGCAATATATCCTCGATACATTTCATCACAACCCAGGAAGCTACAATTCATGTTTACTACCGGTGCATCCACGATCCCGCCTTTGACTGGGCCCAGTTCGAGAGCCTAACTGCCTGTTTCATCCAAGCGGAGGTCTCGTTTGGCAGCTCGAACACGTTCTTTGGTATCACCAACATCTTAGCTGAGGGTCAAAGGTCGTTTTAAGCTGAAGACAGAAGACATCTTCAGTTGTTCGGGGTTATGCGACAGTACCTATATAGGTAAACCACCTTTAGCTGTGGAGGCGAGAACCAGGCTTCTATATCGGTCATTTCTCGTATTTGATCACCCAGTCGTTTTCGCGCGGCTATATCAACTTTATTAATTCCACTTCCCTATGATCTTACTACGGTGATCCCCTCATGAACGCGAAGATCACACGCTCGTGACTGATGCCTATTATTGTGGGGCTTATCGTGCCTATCTTAGCGCCTTGGCCGCTTCAGACATCCATGGATGCGGTCCTCCGCCATTACCTTGTCACATCCTAGCTTACTTTGACATTCAACTTTCTTGACCTCTCTGGCCATTATGCCTCCAATCCAGGGGTGCGCCGAGGTCCTCAGTGCAACTGCACATTGCCCGGCCCCTACCCCTCGAAATGGACCACGGATATCCCTCGTGGCGCAGGATGTCTCAAGTAACCTCGACACCATCCATCGCCTATGCGCCGCACCAGATGCTTGTGATGGAGGAGAAAAGCGAGCGCAGAAACGGCGCAAGGTTGAAAATGGAAGTGCTGTTGCCGTGCAGCAAACAGATTTCGACGAAAATAAGAGCATTGTCCTAGCGAAGGTGTCCTTGGATCTGGTTAGTATCAAGTTAGCCAGCGAGGGTTCTTGACTAACTTTGAAATAGAGCTTCCCTACTCCGTCGCAAGGCCACATGGACACATCGTATACCTCCAACGACTCATGTAAATCTATTAGCGTATCATTAGAGTCTTTTCATACGGCAGAACCCAACGCTTTTCGAGTCGTTATCTGGAATACAAGCAGCAGCACCGGTGCAGTCATTGTCGCCACCACTCAGCCTGACCTCCTCCACCAGATAACGCCACACCTCCGAACCGGCGCAACGCTCGCGACTACACACAATGGAAAGAAGAGCCGGCCGGTGTCGCGGGCTACCTTTTGTCGCTGTTTGTTGATCCCAGCTACTGATGGGCACAATACATACAAACTGGACGTGGAGATACGGTGGACATTAGGCATGTCAGTGGTGGAAGATCCGACTGTGAAGGCAAGCTACATGAAAGAGGATTTAAGGTTGCTCATGCGTTACTTCCGCGATGCAACTTCTCAGACAGACACAACGTGGACGCTTTCGGACTTCTACGACTCAGTATATGTACCGCCCACAGACCTCCAGGTCTCGCCTCGCATTCAGCACAGCTCGGCAGAGACATCGTTGTACTCATTCCAGCAAAGGGCTGTCGATTGGCTATTGCGACGGGAAGGTGTTGCATTCTCGCCCTCCGGTACACTGGAGCCCTTCGTTGAGTCGTCTCCACCCGCTTCGTTCTGGAAAACACAGGATGCGACAGGGAATCAGTGCCATATTAGTCATCTCCGGGGCATGGTAGTCAAGAACCTGGACGGAGCCAGGGGCGACACTCTGCAATCGCTTCGAGGCGGCATCTTGGCTGAAGAGATGGGCTTGGGCAAGACTGTCGAGCTTATTGCACTCATGTCTCACCACAAACGACACATACCCGAAAGCAATGTCTTCGATGCCTATACGGGCGTCCACGTCAAGCCGTCTGGTGCTACGCTAATCATTACCCCACCTTCCATCCTCCAGCAATGGATAAGCGAACTGCACACTCACGCGCCTGAGCTGAAGGTCTTTCATTACAAAGGTCTTCCGTCTCCCTCGGCGCCAAAGAACGAGCATTCATCAGCAACGGTTGAGCATCTGACGCGATACGATGTTATTTTGACGACCTATCAAGTTCTTTCGAAGGAGATCCACCATGCTACACCTGCCCCAGATCGATCTTTCCGCCACGGAAAACGCCATGAGCGCCGGACTAGCCCCCTTGTCGGGATCTCATGGTGGAGAGTCTGTCTTGATGAGGCACAGATGGTTGAGAGTGGCGTCAGCCAGGCTGCGAAAGTAGCTCGAATCATCCCTCGTTGTAATGCCTGGGCGGTGTCAGGTACCCCGCTCCGCAAAGATGTCCAGGATCTTCGTGGTCTTTTGATCTTCCTTAGATGCGATGCGTTCGCGAACAACAAAGCTGTATGGGATCGCCTGGATAAAGCGTCGTTCAAAGCCATTTTCAATCAACTCGCGCTACGACACACCAAAGACAAAGTCCGTGACGAGCTACGTCTGCCTCCCCAGAAGCGTATCGTTATCACCGTTCCGTTCACCGCGATCGAGGAGCAGCACTACACCGAGTTAACGCGCCAGATGTGCGACTCTTGCTGGCTCACACCAGAAGGAAACCCTATAGAAGAGGGCCGCGATGCAAACCACCCAGATGTCATAGAGCGTATGCGCGACTGGCTAGTCAGATTACGCCAGACGTGTCTGCACGCCCATGTTGGGAGGAAGAATCGAAGAGCCCTGGGGGCGAAGAATGGGGCCTTGAGAACGGTTCACGAAGTCCTTGAAGTCATGATCGAGCAGAACGATTCGAACTGGAAGTCGGAAGCTCGAGAGATGATCCTCAATCAAATCAAGCTTGGTCACATCAAAGCATACGCAGGCAACATTGAAGACCGAGCACAGATTGCATTGCCTCACTATGAGGGAGCTCTGGAAGAGGCACAGGCATACGTGAAAATGTGTAGGGAAGAGATTCAGGCGGAACGAGAAAAGCTAGGCAAGAACGATTCGGCACATGATCTTGCATCTGCAGGAGACAACTCGGATACTGGTGGAGAAGACGAGAACGAAGGCGAAAATGTCGGCCGCATCCAGATCATTCGCAAGTCGTTGCGGTCATTTTTAGAGCTCGAGCATGCCTGCAACTTCTTCATCGCTACGACATATCATCAGATCAAGGAAAATGAGAAGTTCACCGATCCGGAATCCGAAGATTTCCATCGCTTAGAAAACCTTGAGACAGAGTGGTACGAGAAAGCGAAGGTAGTTCGACGCGAGCTTCTCAAAGAATCAAAGGGCAGGGCTCAACAACAAATGGCCAAGGTTAACTCGAAAAAGCCCTTCCATCAAGTTTCCAGAATTGACGACCTTCCGGGACTAGGTGGTATCGAGGCCCACAAGTTCCTCGCCATGATGGACAACATCAGCGACTTTTTGAATGCGCAAGCTGAACAGATCCACATTTGGCGGATGAAGATCGTCGACATCCTCCTAGAGCGCCTATTGGACGATGAAGACGACCAAGAAACCACAGGCGAGGAGTATGACGGTTCACTGAAAGCGCAAGACGAGCTCTACGTGTATATTATGGGTCTCCGAACGCTCATAGCCGATCGCAATGCTGCTGTTCATGGCCTACAAGATACGCTCGTAGAGCACGAGCTGAAGGCCGCGGAGAAGCAAGCACGCAGGACGGACGATGAATCAGGGAACCGCGGCCACGCGCCTGAGCTTGTGATTGAAGTCGCAAATACGCGACGCAAGCTACAGGCAGTGCTAGAAGGCGGGTCTTTGAAAGGTGTAGTATCTGGAATTCGTTCGCTGAGCACCATGCTGCAATGGAGGGCGGATGGCGGAGACAGCCGTGCCGCCGCTGAGTTGGACGTCGTTCAGAAGCACTTCACTCGGATTCAAAGCATCGTAACTCAACACGCAAAGACCATCTCAGAGCTCGAGAAAGAGCAGGAAATGTTCCGTAGTACCATGAACCAGCGCCTAGAGTACTACCGGCAGTTCCAACGCATTTCCGACACAGTAGCGAAGTGGAAAGAAGAATTAGATGAGACCTTCGACAAGCGCGGTTTCGCCGAGGTCGACATGCTCCGAAAAAGGAAGAAGGAAGCCGTCGCGGGTCTGAAGCGGAAGTACACATACCTAACACACTTGCGAGCCGAAAACCATAAGGAAACCAAAGCGGAATGCATCATCTGCCAGGACACGATTGAGCTCGGCGTCCTAACAACCTGTGGGCATAAGTATTGCAAAGAATGCATCAATACGTGGTGGCATGCGCATCGCACCTGTCCCTTGTGTAAACAGAAACTCAGTTCGTCAGACTTCAAAGACATAAGCTTCAAGCCCAGCGAGGTGAAAGCGCAGGAGGAGACACACGAGTCGGCCAGCCCAACACAAGCTTCTACACCAGGGTCATCATTGAGTACGTCTATATACTCGGATATCAGCGACTCAACAATGAAGGAGATCAAGATGATCGACCTGGATGGATCGTATGGAACGAAGATTGATATGATCGCCCGCCATTTGATTTGGATCCGCAATAACGACCCCGGCGCAAAATCAATCGTCTTCTCCCAGTTCGGTGACTTCCTTGAAGTCCTGCGTGAAGCGCTGAAGAAGTGGAAGATTGGCGTCAGCGGCATTACGGACAAAGATGGGATTCAGAGATTCAAAACTGATCCGGCTGTGGAGTGTTTCCTCTTAGATGCGAAGTCGGATTCCTCGGGCCTGAATTTGGTCAATGCTACATATGTATTTCTCTGCGAACCGCTGATCAACCCCGCCATCGAACTCCAGGCCATAGCGCGTGTTCATCGAATCGGGCAGCAGAGACCTACGACGGTTTTCATGTACCTTGTCAGCGATACCGTCGAGGAAGCTATTTACGACATCTCTGTCACTCGACGCCTTGAGCACATCTCTAGCGCTTCTAAATCCAAGCACGCGGAGTCGAGATCTGGATCCACAACACCTGTGCTACAGGAGAAGACGCTTGACGCCGCGAACTCTGCCGAACTCCAGGCAGCGCCGCTCAAGCAGCTATTAAGGAAGAAAGGCGATGGCGAGATCGTCCAAGTTGATGATCTGTGGAAATGTCTATTTGGCAAACAACGCAAACAGGTTATGCCTGTGCTGGAGATGGAGGTAGGCAGACATTTGAGGGCTGAGGCTGTGGATGAGCGAAGGGCAGCAGTGGCGGGTGGGGAAGTTCGGTTCTAAACCGCCCAGCGGGGAGCCAACTTGCCTTTGAGATTTCTTAAAAGAGATAGGGTCTCGAGAATATGAAACCACGTGGCCACGAATATGATAAGCGCATTTGACGCAAACGGAGATATACCCAGATGAAGACATATAATATATGGAAGGAATATGACGATTTCGAGCCAAGTAGAACGTGCTTTCCTGTGCAATTTTAGATGAAGTCTTGTTCACATGTTGAGTCGCAGACCCAGAATCCATGTCCATGAACCACATTTTGTGACGGTATACTTCCCATCTGCTCTCGGAGGAACGAAACATGCTATTGCGAGCTCAGTGACTTCTTAGAAAACCCGGATTATAGATCGTGCAAACTATATTGATGGAATGAGATTCATCGATTCAAAGCGAGTGAGGCAGGCCTGCCTGTGTGGTATCATGTACGCAAAAACTCCAAACGCATGTGGCCAAGCAGAATCAAAAAAAGCCCAAAGCCTCCTACCCTAATAAAGAGCATCCAACGCCAGCGCTAAGTAACAAGAGGAAAGAAAGAATGTATAAACAGAATCCACTACCGAAAAAAGCAACAAGCCATCAGCATCACCAGCAGAGTGAATTCTCTCGAACAATAAATCGTCCAGACTTATTACCTCGGTGCCCGGTAGTCCCGGACTTCCTGCTGTCCGCGCTCATCAAACCCCGCCCTCTCCATCAACTTGGTAAAGGTGGTATTACTACTATCCGACGTGAACCTATTCTCGCGCATACCAGGCGGCTTGGGAGGTTCGAGGAAGCCCGGGGCGGGCATGAGGACATCGATCGTCTCCTGGCTGCCGCTGCGGGTAGGTTCGAGGCGATTATCGTCGTGGTGGCGGTGGTGGCGGTGAGAAGAAGAAGTATGGCGAGAGGAGTGTTTGGAGTGTTTGCGACGAGGCGTTTGACGGGGCGTGGTGTATGGATCGACGTTGTTGTTACCAGCGCGCACGGCGGGTGGAGGAGGCGCTGGATTCGCCGGCAAGCCTGTTGCGAAGCCAAAGTTTAGTTTCGGCGTGCGGTCCCACATGCTTTTTATCCGTGGGGTGAGACCTGCGCCTCCTGCAGTAGCAGCTCCATTGTTCTTCATGCCCGTTATGATCTTGTCAGTCGAGTTTGGACTGGGTTGTGCGGACTGCGATCCTCGTCGCATGAAATCCGTTCGCGCTGCGTGCATGGGATCATAGATGGGATCGCTGATTTGGCGTGCTACGTGACCGAAATCGCCTGAATACCGCGCTTTTGCCTGCGACTCACGGCGCTTCTTGATTGCCCAGATCAACCCGATGGTGCTGAGCGCGCCAAGTACTATACCGGGAAAGAAACCGGCTGCAAAGGAACGACCGTCGAAGCCTTGCGAGGTTTGGATGGGTGCTGCAACGGGGCAGTTGGAGGTTTGAGAGGCAGAGGCTGGGTTTGTCGCGGAAGAGGTCGGTCCCGTGATCGATGTTGGCGATGCTGATGCTGATGGCGATGTTGTAGAGTCTTTGGAGCACATGCCGCCCTTGCAGGTATAACCCAGGGGACAGCACTTGTCGCCACACTTTGGCAGGTCGACACCGTTTGTCTCAGCGAGGTGCATTTGGTTGTCGGGATGCAAGGTGGCGTTTAGTTGATTGATGTCGCAGGTGATAGTTTGGATGAAAGCGCAGTCTTGTCCTGATGGGCAACAGATGACTGATTGCACAGAGGGGCTGTTGAGAGACATGCAGGTTGTGTCTTTTGGGCAGCAGAATGAGGAGGGGAAGCCAGTTCCGCATTGTTGGAGATTTTGGTTTCCTCCGCATGTTGGTGCCTGTCGATGGAAGAGAACTGATGCATTTACTGAGGTGATTGCTGAGGTGATGAGGTAGAATATGGATATCCTTGACAGTCTTGGAGATGTGGTCGTAGGGGCCATTTTTACGACTAGGGGAAATTGATAGGACAAATAATGGGATTATATTCGAAGGGTAGACCGGCAGCCCTCAAGACGATGTTCAACGTAGACAGATGATTAAGTATGGGCTTCGATGAAAGTTTAAAAAAAGACGTCAATGTATGAAACAGAGAAACAGACAAAAGAGTAAAGTGCACCCAAGAAGCGACCACGGGTGTCTCTACCTACTTAATTAGACATGAACTGGCACCCGACGGTCGCAAGTGACGCTCCCATGGTGTCTTCGGGCAGTTCGGGCTCTACAAGATCCACCCATCTCATCGCCTATGATCTGCAAATAGCGACGCTGAAGCGCCGAGTGGACAGCAGACGTTGTATGGCAGCTGTACGCTCTGGCTAGCCTGGTAGCAGTGGCATATGACTCTTTTGTTTGTGTGGCTATGCACTGGCGAGAAGTCGAGTGGGTGAAACGAGATGCAGGCGCTTGCATGTTTGGGAGTCGAGCGAGTTTCTGGGAGCGCACGTCGTGATTGGCCCACCGTGTTAGCGCGATCTCGACTCAAAAAAGACAGGACCAGCTTCGAGCACCTACGACTTGGGCCGACCGCATCTTCAACGCTTCCCACTTGCGCCTTCGCACCACATGATGATAATACGCGGTCTGGCCCGGCGGCCGAGCGCTTTCCAGTCGACAGCGGCGGCTTCGAGTGTATGTCGGCCTGAGTGGTGGTCTTAGCATGGGACGATTGGGAGACTGACGCTGGCCGCAGAGGATACCGTCTTTCGCCCGCAGCATCTACACCGTCCCGACGCTTGCGAATCATGTCGATCTGCAGCAGAGAGGCATACCGGGCCTGCTCACGCCAAAGGGCTTCAAGGTCGCCTATACCGACTACCAACAGCACATGATCGATGAGCTCAACGAGTCGACAGCCGGTACAGCGCCCACGTCCAATTGAGCCAGGAGCGCCAACGGACACTGACTGACGCTATGCAGGCACCCAATTCGAGAACCAAGACACCAAGTCGCTCGTCATAGAATTCGCCCGCGAACCGACCAAAGCCTACGCCTTCAACATCGCCAGCATGGCCTTCAACAACCACTTCTTCTTCCGCGGCATCAACACAAGCCCTGACGTGCAATCGCGGCCATCATCCGATCTCGAGATGCAGATAAAGCAGGACTTCTCCTCCAAGGACACCCTGCGCGAGACATTCCTCGCAACCGCAGAAGCCATGTTCGGCCCGGGCTTCGTCTGGCTGGTGCAAACCGACGACACACACGTTGGCGGTCTGCGCATCCTGCCTACCTATCTCGCCGGCTCACCGCTGTCTGGCGCACATTACAGGCGGCAAGCGCATGATTTGAACACGCACAATACCGACTCGTACCAAGCGCTGAACAAGGTCGGTACATTTGGTGCGGCGGCGAAGCAGAGCAATGGCCCAAAGAAGCCATTAGGAGGTGTAGATGTAGTGCCGCTGTTATGTGTGAATACATGGCAGCATGTATGGCTACACGACTATGGGGTCAAGGGCAAGAGGCAGTTCTTAGAGGCGTGGTGGGATAAGATTGATTGGGACATGGTTAGGCAAAACACGACACTGTCGCCGAGAAAGAGTCAAGGGTCGAGGCAGTTTCATTACGAGTAGAACTGTAGCACTGGACACTCCATGTAAAGATATGTGTATATCAAATGTGGGACCAACCAGGATTGCATTGAATGGTGTTGGCACATTTGTCCATGGTTCGTTATGTATAACAGACTTTTAGATGACGCCTTTCTCTCCATGAAATTTGCTATATACCATCGTTGCAATCAAGGAACCGCTATGCTTGAGTATAGATGTACTTTCTAAGTTGGTCTGTGGGTAGTCGTTGCCAAAGCTTACTGCTGTCTGGTCTTGGCAGCCGGACTTCAAACACATTGAATATTTTGTTGCCTCACACACACTACCACAGTAAGATTCGAATAACCAGTGGTGTATAGTACAGAAAGTTTCGAGGCTGCCTCACGTCTCACGTATATCTTCACGAGGGTTCGTTCTCACAGCACGCCTTATGTCGATACCATCTGGTCAGCGCAGAGACGCCTTTCATGACTACGGCACATCCACTCCACGCCACCTTCTCGACTTGCCCGTAGCTATCAAAATTCCGAACTGGCGCGATTATGAGACATGCTCTGGGCCGTGGTGCACCATCACAGACCGCCCACGAGCAGGTGCTTCGAATGTGCGGCTACATCTCAGGTTTTGACCGGAACCTCACTTCATCACAAGGTTGATCCACGCGAACATGGTACAGGGCTGAAGGCACATTTTCCTTACCTCACTAGCGACTCGTCGACTCGTCAGCTTGAGCCTCAATAAAGTCATCAGGTGGCCAAGTGCGTTCGTATACCTGGCCTCAGCTGTGCCACATCATTGGCGCTTTGCTAGTTCACGAGCGCTATGCTTCACCCTGGATCTATACGTCGCTCGATAGGATCTGGGTTCTCAGTGACACAGAGCAGATTGAGTGGCTTCAGCGCATTTGTGACTTCAACTTGATAGTCGCAAACAACGCTTACGGTGTCAGAATTGGGCCACCGAGCATTACGCCAAAGCAAAGGCAATATAGAGAAGCAGCACAGCCCCACTCACATCTGCGGCGTGCGTACATCATTTGCCGAGCCTGCCGTACGAACTACTTCGGTTCAACATTTTCGCTTTCCTGCATGCAGGTCGTCGCCTTTGCCTCAGCCCTCGGGCCAATCGTCGGCGACCTTATTCTCCGCATTGAGAGTCCCGGTCAACACCCTGCATAAACTCCATGCTAAATGACCTCACAAGGTAGCGAGCAACGCACATGAGCGTTTCAGAGTATGGATATTTTCTTGACTATCTCCACTTTGATTCCTTCTCACCTACATTGTCTAAGTTGATCAACAGGAAAGATGGCGGTGCTTGCGGAGATATTGCCTTTGGTTTCGAGGAGCTCCCATCTTGCGCTCGAGCTGTATCGAGCCGCCGCCAAGTCGCAGGAGGTTGCAAGGGACTTCGTTAAGGTTGCATCTGCGATCAACGAGTTCGCTTTGATACTGAAACAGGTGGGAACCATCATCAAGGAAGATGATCGCCTACCATCTCATGAGGTACGTCAGTTTGTTTGATACAATGCAATGTACGCAATACTTTGGTGCCTTGATCAAGCAAGGCTATATTCACCAAGGGGTGAAAATACTGGGTCTATAAATGTTACATTCTCGAATAGAGAAAATGACTCGAGAGCAAACACCAGTAGCTGGATTTTCGCCACCTGGGGGTTGTCTGCTTCTGTGTACAGTTTACTGATCGGATCTACAGGCTACTGAAACCTTGGAGGACGTAATTGAACAGTCCCAGAATATCTTGGCTGAGATCGATTCGGCTTCTTCGACTCGAGGTGATATAGACGATAACAGAAGGGATAGCGCTCGCTTCCGGCAAAGCGACCACCGGGGACATGATGCCACAGCTTCGGCAAGGCTGGACTATCTCACGGCTCATCTTCAAGCCCTGAGGTCCACTCTCGCTGTACTACTCCAGACACTATACACAGCACAAAGCATAATGTGGTCAAGGTGAGTCGAGCTCCTCACGCCCTCCCCTAGCCAAGGATTCATAGTATCTTAAGAACCTTGGTGCAAGGCTAGGAATGGCATATTTAAGGTTCACGCGCAAATTGTCATACACTGCACCCCATTGTACGACGAAGCAAAGTTGAAAAACACGTGAAGAGCCGGGGCTAACAGCGCGATAGGCTTCGTCCGACAGTGTCGCCACAACAGGCAGGAAGAGCTGTAGCGAACGAGAAAACCCAGCTTGAAACGCTCATTATGGAACAGCAACTTTCCATACTGTATACTTTGAAAATCCATCATCAAGCACCACAGCCCGATGCCCGCTTGTTAATGGAAGCAGATAGCTCTCAAAGTCTAATAGCCTTGAAGCGCGAAAACACTCCTGTTCCAGCTAGTCTTCATCGATTTCAAGACGACTACGTCGCGAGCCTGGACATATCACCATCTTCCGAGACTGAGTGGCTACAGGCAGTATGCAGTATCACCTCTTCGCAATCAGAGCGCTTGCTAGAGAGGTGGACGAGCTTGCCCCAATTCGAAATTCGCCTCAAGGATGCAGAACGAGATGAGCGAAAACAAAAGCAGGAAAACCAACAGCCCATGGTCGAATCTGATAGCGAGGAGGAGGAGCGGAGATATAGGTCGAAACTTGCAGGAAGTGGCACAAAGCTCTCTCAAAGACAAGATACAGAAACTGTTCAGCCGTTGTTCTCCGACCCAACTACACTCCCAATGCCGGTACCTGAATCGAAATATGGCCCGAAAGCGCCTTTGTCGCCTGCTGCCTCGCCCAGAACCTCCCGTAATAGTCTTCCGGCCAACGGGCAGTATTCTCCAGACTCACCACGATCGAGCATATCCAGTCTCCCTGTTGAGGCCGCAGCCGCGATGGAAGCGAAGGACGAGGATGATGATTTAGACCTCGAAATACCCTGGGTTTTATGTACACGAAAGTACTACTGGAAGTATATTGATGCCAAACAAGTTGGGTCCAATACTGACCAACTACCTTCGATTGCCTTCATGGAGCGGAATAGCTGGACAGAAATCATGGCTAGCTGGGTGTGTAAAGAAGCTATCAAAGAAGCGGGATACAGAGTCACACAAGTGCAAAAGGACCGCAGGGATGGCAGGAGAACTAAACTAGAGACGTGCTTTTGCATCGACAAGCCACTACAGTTCGATCAAGTCAAGCGTCTTGTTGAACGAACCGTCGAGATTTACCGTACAACAGCACCACGTACTCCACCGCCACGGATCAGGCGATCGTCTTTCCAACGAGCACCTCCAATCAATATGCTAAAGGCTCCAGCACCTGACCGCGAACGGACACCAATTCCTCGGAACACCCATCCGCCGCTTGAGCGCTCGACGAGCTCGCTGCTATACCCCCTGCAACCGCCATCACTAGACCGTTCAATGTCCATGCCAGGACCGACCGGGCTGGCCCCACCAAAGGCACTAGGTCAACCCCCAAACCTCTACATTCAAATGCCCCCAGGACCATATACGCCTCAGCCCCAACTTCCAGGGCCCCCTCAATCTCCGCGGGTGGGCGTATATCCTCCCCAAGCCGGACCCTACTCACCACAAATCATGAACCCCAACTCCCCGCAATTCCCTTACTCACCCGGTGCACTACCTCTCAATCATGCTTCAATGCCTCCGCACCTCCAGCCTCCTCCTTATCCGGGGGGTTATTCTGTTCCACAGTCGTCGCCATTGCGGCAATCGTACCTCCACCCGAACCCGAACCCGAACCCGTCGAAATCAAAGTACGACGACACGACGACGTCGGACTCGGAAAGCGGCGACAGGGAAAGGTCACGGAGACATAGGTCCAAGTCGAGGAATAGACATGCTGCGGGCAAGAAGAAGAAGAGTCATGGGACTAGTAAGGCTGTTGGCGCGCTGATGGGGGTTGGGGGCCTTACTGCGCTGTTGGATGGGTTGAGTGGACTTTAGGAGGAACAGGTGGGGTGGTGGGGGGTTGTATTGTTTATGAGTGATGGATTGATGAGAACATGGTTTATGAGCACCGAAAATGTATTGTTGATGAGTATGTTCAGACACGATAGATGGACTAGCATGGCATCTTTACGTCTTTACTGATAGACTGTATATTCTAAGATGTCTCATACGTATTAGTTTGTAGCTTTCAATCCTACCTTTGATTGAGTGGTATTATTCCTGTGATCAGTTACCCAATTCTTCACGCTACAGGGTACGAATGCTGTTGCCTTTAGATAAGCGCGTGTAGTTTGATATGGAGACAACAAAATACATTGAATGCACTGGGAGACTAGATGCGCATTTTCATCCTAATCTGTGCAAGATTGGTAATTTCCGTAGTGCTTCTTTCAACTTTTCATGACTTTTGAATATATTCGACAAACACCCGATGAGCGATGCGATATCTCATGGCCCCAAACGCCCTCGCTATGTATAAAATCCCGAATTTCCAAGCAGTTTCTACCGACTATCAGGCACATCAGGCAGCCTCTCAATAACGTACTTGCCCTTGGCAACAGACACAATTGGCACACCGGGAATCTTCCTGATTCGCCGCTTCAAATCCCTATCTGTGAATTGGTCAGCAAATAATGCCAGACAAAAATCCCGTTGGAAGACGTACCATTCGTCGCAACAAGGTAAATCCGATGCTTCATGACCCTCTCGACGATGCAGTCATCCGCATACGTGCCCTTGTGATCGCACTTGAGCCGCTCCCAGCGCTCGTCTCTGGCTATCCGCAGCGCGATGCGGTATTTTGGGCCGAGCTTCTCCAACTCGGCCATGACGCATGTGGTTATTATGGGCGTGGCTTTGGCGTATAGAAGGTCCATGAGGGCCTTGTCGAGCTCGAGTTTGGCGTGGACCGTGTGCGAGAGGAAATTCGTGTCGACGAGGACGGAGTAAGGGGGCCCGAGGGCGGTGTTGGCTTGGAAGAAGAGGGCTGAGGAGACTTGTGGGCTGCCTGTGTGTTAGCTCTGCTATGCGTTCGAGTATGGGTATAGGTTTCGAATGGGTCAGTGGGTGAGGCGGTTGGCGACGTACATTTCTCGTTTCGCTTTGCTCTCTTCCTCTTTCTTCTTGGCTTCTACTTCGCCTGCCATTTGGTTCTTCTTCCTATAGCATTGTGTAAGTGCAGCTCTTGGGGATGGAGGCGGGGCGCATTGTCGCATACAGTCTGGCATCGCGTTGGCCTGCAAGAGTTAGCGCCAAAAAATATGCACTCATTTGCAATATACGTACCAATGAGCCTCTTCACCTGCCCGAATTTACGCGTTCTCTTTGCGATACCCATGGTTGCGACGTCGTGCTGGTGTTCGATGCGGTGTCGGTTCACCAACTCGAACTTTTTGGAGAGCTAATCGATAAGCCAAGACTTCGACTTGTCGGCAAGATGGGAAGGAGCGACCGACGCCAAGAGCCAGGCTAACGGCGACGCCTCGTGCCTGCGCAGGTCCCGAAATAGCAGCAGCAGCATTGGATGCAGGGTCACTTTCTGACAACCTGGGAGCGTGTTGACTGCAGTTTTTTTCTGCAAAGCATCCTGGGAACTAGCACAACAGCGACACAAGCACAGCGCGCAACCCTTCTTTTTTGGGTGCCAGTTACTCGCATTGCTATTCATCCAGGACTTCTTTGATCACGCAAGGCACATTCCGATCGCTCAAACTCGGTTGCCCAGCGGGTCCTCGACACTCCGCCCCTGCAGCCCCGTCTTCACCCACCCAACTCCGTTGCACACGCAGACCCTTTCTCCACCCATCCTTCACCTGCCATTCGTTTCAGCACTCCCTCGCCCAGTCGGTAGCCCTTGCGACGCAGCGACATCTTCGTTCTACACCGGGTTCCTTTAGCCACCGACTCCTGAGACACCGAAAGGCACAGCCTAAAGCCGCTCGTCCCCTAAACCGCTCCCTCTTCCGCTGTCACGACCACGACCTTCACCTGCCGCCCTTCGTTTTCGCAATGCGACCCTCAGTAGGCCTCGTGGGCTTGCTGCTCGTCGTCGCTCCCTCAGTCCTCGCACAGAACAACAACAACAATAACAATAATAATAACCAGAACAACAATAATAACAACAATAACCTGCCAAACCTCGCCTCTCTTTCCCAACCCGACGGACAAGGCGAGAAGACCAGCGCGGCAGCCAGAACATCCGACCGAGCACAAGAGACGAATGCTAGACAATCACAACAGTCGAGTGATCGACAACCAGACCAGACGTCAGTGAAGAACGATGACCCCAAGAAGACGGATGAGGCCAAGTCGTCAGATGCACCAGCAACGTCTGGCGCTAACAGGCCGACGAACAGTATCTTCCCTACAGTCACCCAAGGGGGCTTCCGTCTTTCAGGCCTCCCCACGCTTGCCGGTGTCGGTGTGCCAGACCAGAAAGTCCCATATACCGGTGGAGCCCCGTTTATGCACAAGTCGAATCTTCCCGATGGAACCGTCTTCATTTGCGTCGGTGCTATCCTCGCTTTCTTTGGCGCCTGTGTGCTCGCATGGCGCGGCATGGTCGCCTGGTCGCTGCACCGCTCCGTCAAGCGCGCTGCTATGGCGCAGAACCTAGCTGACATCAAATCCATGTCCGCCGTGCCCGGAAAGAAGCGCGGCATGTACAACGTCGTAGGCGGGCACTCGAACTTGTCCCTAGACCACCTCGCTGCTGCTCCTATCGGAACCTCCAAGAAGTCAAGGGGATACTCACAAGCCCCTGGCGGCGCTGCGCCTGCCCGCTCGCAGTCTTCCTTGTTCTTTTCACCCACAGCAGGCGGCGCGACTGGTCTTCGAGACTCAATCGCGAATCGCTCGTCAAATTATCTTCCTGCGGGCTACTACGCAACGGGCAACGCAGCACCTGCTTCCGGATCTCCGATGACCCAGGTCGGCGGGTATGGACAGAACCTGTCAGCCAACTCTTTAGCAACACCCGGAAACCGCATGAGCGCACGATCTGGCCTTTCAGACCAAGACTCGCCATCTCTGCCACCCTCCCGTGGCAATTATAGCCGTGCCCCGCCATCCCGCGACGGCATTTCGCACTACAACCAAGGCCATGGGAACGACAACCCGAGCCAACTGTCCCTCAACACACCTGGGGGGACGGCTGTACCGGGTGGCCGCGCACCGAGTGCCTATCTCGAAGATCTTTTTGAAAACCACGGTAACGGACCGAGGGAAAGGTACTAGAAAGACCTTGAGCAACAGCCGCCGCCGCCGCCGCCCGTGAAACAGCGAGGAATGTCGAGTCTTGGAGATCTCGTCAAGAGTACGTCGGAGGTGTATCGTTTCATTCCGTGTCGTATGCGTCGTCGTTGGCGAGTAAGGAGCATCGTGCTGCGGTAGGAAAAGTGGACGAGTGAGACTGAGATTGGGGAACAGGAAAGAGAAGTGGAGTTGTACGTACGTGGTCGCGAGATACCTCCCCACCCTTTGTTTTGGTTACATCTGCGCTACGCACTGATACCTTTCTGTTGAGCTGGTACCCTGCACGCACTGTGCCCGGGGGAGTTCATGCATGGTGTTTTCGTCCATGTTATGCAGTGTTACCGGTACTCGGTACCGAACTTCACAACAACAGCTTCCCCTCCTCCCCCCTCACAGCTTTTGATCTGAAACTCTGCGCAGTTGTCGTTGTCTGTTTTGCTCTCGTTTATTTACTATTTAGCATTGTTTTTTCGTCTGGTTTCTGTCACGAAAGGGCGTTTTCAATGGCGCTTCGATTTCGCTCGATTGGGTCAGGGGGTTGTTTTGTTTCGCTTTGCTTTGTTTGTTTGTACAGCATCAAGCATTGCATGTTGTATTTTAGCAGGGGACTACTGAGAGCACTTTTGTATATGAAATGCATGAGCTAGCTAGTCTCGGCGGGAGGGCAGACTAAGATGCAAATAAATCGTTGTATTGTTTGTTGTACAATGAGGTCGAGTTCTCCTCCATTTATCTTGTTCTTCTCAGAGCGCTCAGCGGAGGGATTTTTAAATAGCTAAGTTGGTTGACTTTTGAGGATAGTCATTGTTGAAGCTTAGTGCAACGACAAGGCTTTTAGATTCAACGTATCGCAGCGCTATACTTTGAATGTGGACGGAGAAGGAAGTAATTTGCAGCAGGTTGAACGTGCGGCGCTAAACGCCGCGTGTATGCGTTGCTTGCTTTTGGATGTCTATTCTGTACTTGTATCTTACACATGCTTCCAGAGCAAAGTCACTTTTTGTCTACCATGCTTCTCTACAAAACCCTCAGTTCTCACCGAGTATCTGAAAGCTGAACAGCAAATGCCGACCATCGATCACCTGATGTTCCTAGCTCTGGCCTTTCGCTTCCGTGCCTCGCCGTTGAGGTTGGATGCGGTGGCAGACTGGATAGCAGCTTCGTCTTCGGGGAGATCAGAGGTTTCCAGGAGGGGCTCGTCGAGGAGCTCCTTCTTGCCCAGGACGCGACCAACAGACTGGTTGTAGGCGAATTTAGGGAGTTTGAACAGGAGCGTGTCGAAGATGGTGGGCTTGTGTTCCTCATCGGGCTGGTTAAAGTGTTAGCTTCTGATCTTGTTTCTCAAAAGGCTGGGTAACTCACGTCGAGCAGGAACTCTCCTTTCATGCCGTCTTCGGTCTCCTCTTCCAAGAAGACATTGCCAACGGAATCGACAATCAGGACCTTGCCGTTTTCTGCCACGATGCGCTTCTTGGCTCCCTGGGGTCCAGAGATGATTTCAGCATCAACAGGCGTGCTGATGCCACTAACTCGAGCCTTCCTAGCAGCCTGCACCTTCTTTCCCTTGCGGTTCTCCTTGTCCATGGCGCGCTTCTCGCGGCGGTTCCTGGGAACCTGCTCGTCTGGGGTATCCTCTCCCTCTGGGGAATCGTTTTCCCACTGTTGGGAGTTCACAGGTGCGGCGGCCTCGTCAACGCCTGGGATACCCTGAATAGCGGTCTCATCGCCCCAAGCGGTCTTGCGAGCATGTCGGATGTACCTCTCTACAAATTCCCTTCGTCGTCTCCAGCCCACGAGCAGTGCAAAGTAGTGCATGCCTCCACCCATGACAACCAGGAGGCCAAACAAGACGGCGCCGAGTCCAGGACGGAAGCGTTCATAGTAGTAGCCGGTGCCCTTCCATGCGGGGAATCCATTCCTCAGGAAGTGGTCGTAGCGCTCGCGTTCGGGGCCCTTAAGGATGTTCGCAACGACGGAGAGTCGCTGGTAGCCAGCGGTGACCTTTTTCAAGTGCGCATCGATCTCCTTCTTGGACGGCCCCTTGCTGACTTTGACACCTGGCGTCTTTCCCTTCTTGTTGTGGGTTTTGGCATAGTTGGCAACGAAAGCCTGGCGCGCCTTGTCTGGGTGAAGCTCCCGAGACTTCTTGCGGTAGGCTTTGGTCAATTCGTCTTGCGACGCGCCGGGCTTCACGCCAAGGAGGTTGTAGAAGGTGACATTGGCCCCGTCGGCTGCGGCAACCTCGTCGCGGAGGCGGAAGATTTCGTGGTCTGCACAGTCAGGCGTCAGCTAAGCTCGCAGCCCTAGCTGGATGCATCTATGTGGGGAGGGGGGCATGGCTGGGAAAATATGTGGCATACTGTTCCGCAACCAGGCAATTGGATGGGATGCAGGAGGGATTACGCACCCTCTTTGCTCCAGGCAGCGGCGACAGCTGCAAAGACGCACAAGACCAGTGCGAGAAGTGCGTGGGACTTCATGGCTGGCGTGTTGGCGAAGGTGCCTGAGAAGTCGGTGTGCTACGTGGATAGGAATGCTGCAGGCCAGATGTTAGTTAGCAGTGCGGTGAAACGCTCCAGACACCGAACGTGGCCCAATCGGCCTTAGCTAGCACAGGATGGCGCACAAGTGTTGCGTGCGAGCTTGCTTGGGGGGGGGGAATAAAGAGAGCAGTTCTCCCGGACTTGTTCCTCTCCGCAATCCAAAATCCAATCTCTCACGGCTCGCTCGAAACGTAACATGGAAGGTGTCCTTTGGAGCCCCGGCATGTGAGTGGCGCCCAGGTGAGGCTGACGGAGCGCTTTGTGGCGCAGGAGCGAGGCAAGAGCCGCCCGTGCTTTAACCCTGAGTTGGGAGAGATTCGCGGCAGGGGCCACTCAGCAAAAGTTCCCTTCTTAGAACAACCACGACACGCACCCTCACCCTTCACTTACCCACTCTCCGTCTGATACTTCTTTGGCCGCGTCAGCCCCATCATCCTCCCGCGACTCTTGCGCACCCGGTAAGGCATCCATTGTTCATAAAGTCGGCGTCGTTGTTCTGCCTCGAGGACACATCTCCGCAGCTCTACCCTTCTTCACCAATCACTAGCAGCAGCTGACAATGGCCTCCTCGCACACAGATCTCGAAGCTCAACAGCAACCTTTTCTCCCGTCCAACGAACCTCAGCAGCCTACTCATCCCGCCACCCACGTCTCACCCATCATGTCGCGCTTCAGCATCCCTATCGACGCTCTGACGTCCAGAATGAACCTCTCTGGCCGCTTCGACGGGCTGCGCTCAACCTCCGTCTCCTCGCGATTCGCCAACCTCAAACCCATCTCCGAGTTCCTCGATGTCAAGCGCGTCTCCAAGCCTGCCAACTTCAGCGAGGTGCAGAGCAGAGTCAACTACAACTTGGGCTACTTCTCGAGCAACTATGCCGCCGTCTTCGTCATGCTGAGCATCTACAGCCTGCTCACCAACCTGGTGCTGCTCTTCGACATTTGCTTTGTTTTCGGTGGCATGTTCGGAATCGGCAAGCTCCAGGGTAACGATCTGCAAATCGGCAGCTGGCGCGCATCTACCTCTCAGCTCTACACGACGCTCTTTGTCATTGCCATTCCTGTTGGCCTGTGGGCTTCTCCCTTCACTACTATTCTCTGGCTCATCGGTGCCTCCGGTGTCACCATCTTGGGCCATGCCGCATTCATGGACAAACCGATTGAGTCAGCTTTTTCCGAGGAGGCGGTCTAGGTGGTCGGCCGCGAACTCCTTACACTTCTATGCCCCGTTGGGGAAGACCACCAGGGGCTGCTACAGGTGTGGGGAGATACTTTGAGGGGGTGGAGGACGACGTGCATAGGTTCCAGGAACTTGACACGGATGACGAAAAGAACGGCGTTTTATTAGATCGTGGATTTCAACAGGTTTCCAGCAGCAACAATGCCAACCCGGATGAACTGTACTTTAGTGACATGGACATAAAAGCATGGGAAAGGAGAGCAACAACCTTCGATGAGACGGCATACGCGCCAAATTATGGTTACCAGGAAGAGGATGAGGATGACGAAGAGGACGAGGGATATTACGACGACACGGGCGAGAGCATGACCCACGCCGAGTATGAAGAGATGCTGTTTCGACGTGTTCTCGACAAGATCAGAGTAGCGAGAGCGGCTGGCCATGCAGATGTTCAGTTGAATCCAGACGAGGTCGAAGCCTACCAAGCGAAACTTTACGGTGCGAGGGCGCCAGCAGGCCGCCCTCAACCAAGGCCTCGACCCTCCAGTCCTTTGGTAGTCAACGATGCTGCGAGCGTTGTCACGACAAGCAAATCTGGAAACCCCGCCTCGGGCAGTTCCAGGTCAAAGAAAAGTCAGCCGCGAACCTCGCTTTTTGCCTCTAAACCCAAGAAAGAGAAACCCTCTGGGCGTAAGCGGACTTCTCCCATGTCGAGCCCATCAAGTCTAGGACCGCCAGGCTTTGTTGTGCCCGGCCCGGAGGGACAGCCAATATATGCACCGATCAATGCCTACCAGGGTAATCTTGTCCGCGATGCAGGGCCTGCTCCTCGCCCGACATCTCGTTCCGCTTCTCAAACCCCGACTCCACCGCGTGCTACTCCCCCAAGAGAAGTGCTAGGGGCGTTCCCGGGCTCCGAGCATAGCTACCGACCTGCAACACCTCCGCGGCAAGGGCGGCACACGGCCTCTCGGCAACCTATGCAAAGACAAGAGTTTCCGCCCATGAGCGGCGCTCGCTCATCGTCCATACAATCGGCTGGCGTCGTGCCTTTCCCCATCGAGCCCTACCAGTACCATGCCTTCAGTCCACCCTCCTCTTCACCACCTTCGCCTCAATCTCAGTACGCACGTAGAGTGAGCTCAGGCCTTTCCGAGGCTAGCTACACGGTAATGCCACGCCGCGTTCCAGTTCCTGCACCTTCGCCAGTACCGCTTCAGCGTACAGCACCCGCAACAGGTGTTCAAGGTAGCTATTTTGATCCCGCTCTCACTACGCAGGCGTCTGGCTCTAGGACGGTGGTGAGTGCTTTGGGTGATGATCAGGGAGCTGCCAAAGCCATTGGAAATGCGAAAGATGGCGAGAGGAGACGAAAGGGTGGACGAACTAAGAAGAAAGTCTAATGCACTTCCGCACTGTGTTCTGTTCGTGTCAAAGGGAGGACACTTGTGTTTGCTTCTGCGTCTGTGTTGTTCTCACGTACATCATTTTTAACTATCGCATTCTTCGTCTCTTCTAGGGTTTCCTCGTTGCCATTACATGGGGCACATCGGCGCGTTGGAAGAACATCATATATAGGTGCACCTATGGTGCTTAGTAGCCTCGAATTCATTGCTCTTTTTTTCTATTGGAAATAGCTTCTTGAATCACCTAAGATTCTTCTCCTTATGTTCATCTACTAAATGCTGACAGTTAGGGCTGCAATAAGAGGCCAACGCCGGAAATACTAGCACTCGCAGCGAAACCATTAGAAAAGGCACTGAGAACTTCTCTAGGGTAAAAGCAATTGATTCAAAACTGATACTGCTGGTTCGCTGTCTTCGAATATATGTGTGTGGAGTAACGTATTCACATCAACGAGATTCGCCACAGGGCCTGGATTCGCGTCTACGTCATCCGTGTCGCGAAGCCCACCTTGCTCAACGAGCTACGTTTATGTCGCAAACTCACTCCTACACCCGCATGCCTATCTAGTCGCTGCCATCCTTCCTAACATTTCCCAAGTGCTCTCTTTTACTCCTTGTCTCTTCCAGACTACAGAAGCCAACTGACACCATGGGTAAGACATCATATGAAGCCTCGCAGCCGAAACCAGCTAACATCAAGCAGCACCTCCCGACTACTGTAAGCCTTCAATCCCTCCGATCTAAGCTTCCTAACGCTCACACCATTTCCCAGACAAGGTTCTCGAAATCGACTCCAAAGCCACACAGCAGCAAGTTCGCGATGCCTACAAGAAGTACAGCGCCATAGAACCCTCTATCTCGACCCCATAGCCTTTCCTAACACCATACAGATCAGCGCTAAAACACCACCCCGACCGCGTTGCTTCCGACTCGCCTGAGCGCGCCGCGCGCACAAAACGCTTCCAGGCTATCAACGATGCATACTATACATTGTCAGACCCCACGCGCCGCCGCGACTACGACACCACACGCACATACAACGCCTTCACCGGCAGCACCGCGACGCCAGACTCTGACTTTGAGGAAGAGATACCCAGCAACGCTGCAGGCGGTGGCGGTAGCGGCTTCGCAGGCGGCTTCCCCTGGTCCTCGTTTGGCTTCGGATCCGCGCCAGCAGGCAACACAGAAGAGAGCCACAATAAGTTTAGCGAAGAGCAGTTTGGCGGCATCTTCGAGGAGATGTTGCGGGAAGAGGGCATGGCGGATCAGGATGCGCATCCCACGGGCAAGTTCTGGAGTATTGTTGGCGGCCTGAGTGGGGGCGCCATGGGCTTTATTGTTGCGAATTTCCCGGGCATGGTTGCTGGGGCCGTCGCGGGGAATCGGCTCGGGGCTGTGAGGGATACCAAGGGGAAGAGCGTGTATGCTGTGTTTCAGGAGATGCCACAGGCGGATAAGGCGAGGTTGTTGTCTGGGTTGGCGGCGAAGGTGTTTGCTAATGTCGTTTCGTGAGGTGGATTGGTCATGATATTGTACTTCTCATAGGGTCGAAATGGTTTGGATTACTCACTCTATATAGCAATAAGATATTTCTCAACATCAAATCCGCTCTTGTGCGAACGCGATGAACATGAATACACGAGCTTGCTTCTGTTGCACTTGGACTGCTTATATCAAACGTGAAGCTTACTAGCACGACATGATTTCTGCATAGCATAAAGGTGTGTGCCTCGACTTAGAACAAGTGACTAACAAGCTTTGGAGGGGGAGGAACAACATGAGTCTCCGTCAGTCAATCACATGATGATTCCTTCAGACTTCACAACATTGTGCATCAGGTATATAGATGAATGATGAATGATGAATGATAAATGTGTAATTGCTCCTAAACGCCTAAGCCCCTCCAAAGGGTGTACTTTGAAAATGCAGCAGGGCCGCCGGGATATCTCTTGAGCCCAAAAGGAAGAACTAACTGTGCTGAAGGAGGGTCATGAAAAAACTACTATATCCGCTTCGTTCATTAGTCGTAAAGTACACCGTTGCCTTGGCCCCTTTTATTTTCCTCTTTTCCACGGTTCACATCCAGGCTCTTTCACATGAACTTGGACGCCATGGTGGCCAGCGTCGCAAGGCTTCCGATCCCCCCAGCAACGCTCTGGAGATCGATATTACCGAGTCCACCCATCATTCCGCCTCCAGCTGCTCCTGAACCTCCTCCTCTGCTGTCCAAGCCATAGCCCTCGCTACCGTAGTAACTGCTTGAATGGCCGCCTCCAGTGTGTCCTCCGCCAGCGTATCCGCCCCGGGCCCCTGAGCCGCCCATCTCAGGGAGGTTGACACCGAACTGTTTGGCCAGCTTGTGCAGGACGCCGCCACTGACGAGCGGCATGATGACCATGAAGAAGACTTTGTATGGATGCCGTTGCGCATACCGGTAGATCTCGCGTATAAAGTGCTGCAGCTTTTTGTATAAATGTTGCATGTAGCTGTCGCGTGGCGAGCGTTTGTACCGCGACGTCGACGAGTGGTGCCGAGAGCTAGACGAGTAGGAACTGCTTGCGTAGCCCGGGCGGTAGGACGAGGAGCGGCGCGAAGGCGATGTGGAGAAGGGGTTCCAGCTGCCCATCTTGTCCGATGAGAGAGATTGAGCGTGGGCTTTTGGTTGTGAGGGATGGCTGGCTGGCTGGCGGTGTTGATCAGGGCGCGAGGATGAGCAGCGGGATGATCAGATCTGAGCGTGGACAGTGGAATGCCGATGTTGTAGGGTATATTTGGAAGCCCAGCGCATTCACGCTTAACATGTGTCGCTATAGCTGTCGCAAACCAGTAGTCGCTGTCGCTATGACTCGGTCTCGCTGCCAGCGCGACAAGTCCTATTGCTTCTGGGAATCTAGAATCGTCGTTGCACACGCCGTCCGGTGAAGAGTGGGTCAAATTGGGCTTCAAGCGCCTCCTTCACACGTCTCAACGGTTTTTCCCTACGCTCTGGCTCTGCTCTTACTCGTTGCTCGGGTGGGTTGCATACACAGCGGTCTTATCGTATGCAATACAATATTCAATTCAGCGTTTTGTATCGATAGGTTTTCGAAACCCGTAACGTTAGTAATAGTACGGTTTGGAGCGAATCGCGTTGCTGGTGAGTGTAGGAAGGAGCTTCGTTGTGCGCGCGAACTTGTGGAGCTCTGGGATGATCAACGCGCAGCTAACAGACCGCTTTTTGGTGGTTGGGCGGGATCCCTGCCGTCAAGTACCGCCCCAGCCTCGATTTGCCACTTGTGCAGGTGCAATGTTTTGCGTGAACGACAGGCCAATTGATTAGTAAACCGGTCAACGACACAATTTTTTTTTTATCTTTTTTGGAAAAGTGAATCAAGAAGTGAAATCAACATGAATAGCCAGCCGGCGCAAATGGTGAGTATATATATGTATTTGGGTGGGGTAGAGAGAAGGGTGGGTGGACACCAATGTTCTAGCCCTTGCTAATGCACCATTGCGCAATAGAATCATACATGTCCACGAACACAAACTATGGGCAATATAAGATAAAATCGAACCTGATCAAGTACATGCGAATACTAAAAAAGGCAGGTGGGCACATGGCTATCATACCGCAACCCATCACATCAATTCTCTCTATCGTCGATCATTCTTAGCAAACCATCGGTTCCAGAATCCTCTGAAATGTTCCTGCTGGCCAAGTCCTGCAATAGACTCGATCTCTTTCGGCGTCAGCTTGAAACTTGGCAGCTTAGCCAGGTAGCTCTGCAACCTCTGCTCGCTCGAACTCGTCGTGATTGTCACGATACCTTGATCGAGGCACCAACGCAATGCGATATCTCCTTCAGTGACACCGTATCTCTTCGCCAGCTCCGCGTACAGCTCATCTACCGGCCCTGGTCTTGCGCGTACAATAGCCGTCAATGGCGCATACGCAGCAACGGCAATGTTATTTTTGCGCAGGAAGTCGAGCAAGGACCCGTGCTGCAGATACGGGTGGTACTCAATCTGATTGATGGCGGGCGGGATCTTGGCCGTCTTGAGGATAGTCTCTACGTGCTCCTGAAGGAAATTGGACACGCCGATGGATCTGGCCTTGCCGGATTCTTTGATTGCTTCCAACGATGCCCAGGTTTTCTGCAGGTCCTCAGGCGTCTCGGCATAGAAAGGTGAGTGGATGAGGTAGAGGTCTACATAATCCAGTCCAAGGTTCTTCAGCGAGGTTTCGAAAGCAGTCTGTACGTTCTGTTTCTTGGTACTGTCGAGTTTAGTAACAACATAGAGCTTCTCGCGCGGCACGACGGCTTTCTTGATGGCTGCGCCCAGCTCCTCCTCGTTACCGTATACTAAACACTTGTAAGCAGAGCTACGAATTTCAAACAATTGACAAAACAAACCTTCGGCGCCGTCAAGATGGTAGAAGCCAGATTTTATGGTTGTAAACGTGTAGTCGGTCACTTTCTCATCATAATCAGTCATTCCTTTCTTCTTGTAGTTTGCGGTGCCGAGACCATAAGCTATCTTTCTTCTGAGTCAGCTGCAGAAACGATGTCTGTCACGCCACGAGCAGCTTACTTACCATTGGGATCTCATTTCCATCGTTCAATTTTAAAAGGGGGGTGTACTCCGACTGCTTCGGAGCAGTACCAGGGGCGTCCGGCTTGAACGCGGCCGGGATGGGATTCATCGTGTAAGTGTCGATGTTGGAACGCCGCTGCGAGATATCTTTCTTGTTGTTCTGGGAATCGTGGGATTTGATAAACTGCTGAGAATTGAGAGACTGCAAATAATGGAAACTCCTTGCGGTTGTGAAGACTGTAGGTGCGGTCCACCTTAGCGCACCAGCTTGTAATTTGTACGTCCAATGTCTAATCATATACCTTGGTGCTCTTATGACAATGGATGAATATAAGTATGTTGAACAGTGGCTTTTGGGGAATTAAGAGATTGATTGGATGAGCAAATCTATGGAGGACCAGCAGCTATATATACCCAGGAGCTAGTAGTCACATGATATATACCAGTTCTCAACAAAGTAGTATTCCGCATAACTGGGGTGACATGGAGATGCGGGGTAGCCTGGCTTCAACAGGGATCCATTCTGGGCTATGCTCAATGATTGTTATTCAATCAACTGCACAGATGAGAATTCGTACTCAAATCACCAGCACACTAGTGGCATCTTGTCTATTACAATGAGGCTCGACGTTTCAATAACCATTAGAAAGCTTCCGTCTTTTCAGACTTCACTTTTCCATATATTACGACAAATAGTCTCCTCTCGCCTCTCTTAGTGTCCTTCCGTTGCCCATGAAGCGAAATCTATTCACTGAGCCATATACAATGTCAAAATCCTCCGTCCTAAAACTTTCGAGAATTTCTGATGTACATTTTTTGAATTAGCAAACACAAAGTCTTTGCATTTCACAGTTAGAAGTTCATCTTGTCATACCTCTAAACTGATGACGGCTTCCAGCGTACAGTGCGGTAACACGTCCGTTCGACTTGCCATTCTTGTACCAGCTTCGGCATGACCCAGACCACACCATGCGCTTGAGGAGTTCTTGCGAATATGTGTTATAGTCATCCAGAGCTTCCTGTTTCACACAAATTGACCTATGACAATGTCAGCGAATTTTACAATCACACAACCAGAACCCGAAATATACTTGATATCTTCCGTTGCCATCTTCTGACACCACTTCAATATCCATTTCGCCACGCAGAATACGCTCTCTAGGAGAGACCCATGACCCACTGCTGGCTGTGAGTGACCTTCGCTTTACTGGCGAGGGAACGCTTACCGGGGCTATTGGGACCAATGATGATGAAATAGTTTGGAGTGTCGGCCGCTGCGATCCCAAAATATGCTTCTGGCGAGTCGCTCCATGCAAGATGGAGCTGATGTCCATCCCGCCCTTGCACAGTCCATGGGGGGCGGAAACTGACATCGAATCCAGTTGCGCAGACGATGATATCGAATTCGGTGTGTTCATGGGTTGTTTGAATTCCAGATTCTGTAATTTGGACTATTGGATTGAGCTCGACCCGCGCATTTTCCCCTCGTAGAGCCTCGAGGTACCCATCGCCCGGCGTTGGGCGTCGGCATCCAAACTCATAGTGTGGAATCAGCTTGTCGCAGAGCTCTTGATCGTTACCGAGCCGTTCTCGCATTGATGCATATGCCTTTGCAAGAGCAGCCTTTTGAGCCGGCGAATCCTTGAAGAATATGTTGAAAGAATTATCTTGACTATTATCTTGTTACTATGACTGGAAAGGAGTCATCATGCAGCTGCCGGGCAGTGTTGATTTACCTGTGCTCAATGTCCTTGCGAAACTTGAAGAGCAAGGCAGGATTATCACGAAACGCCTTCTTTTCTTCTTCGGTGAATGCGAAATTGGTTCCGTTCCTTGTAAGCTCAGCTGCATAATTAGGAAACATCCACGTAGGGGAGCGGATGTAGTTGGTCAACTGAGCCGCAGTCTTCTGCAGCTGTGGGAGCACTTGAACAGCGGAAGAGCCGTTGCCAATCACCGCGACTTTCTTGCCTGCCACATCGATAGAAGGGTTCCTGGACCGATTTTATTAGATCAGTCACGTATACCGACACGAAAACAGAGAGACACACCAATTTGCAGTATGAACAACCTCCCCTTTGAAATCATGAAGACCCTTGATGTCCGGCCAAGTCCAGTTGCTGGTAGGATTAGTCTTATGAAAGCTCAATGGTTCCTTTTTGTATACTTCAAGAAGCCCGATCCGTCAATCAATATGTTACATTCGTCTTCTTCTTCTTCACCGTCATGTCGAATCTTGAGACGCCACTTGCTCGAAGGCTCGTCCCAAGTCGCTTCGACTACTTTCGATTGGAATTTGACGTGTTCAGCTAGACCATATTTGTCTGATGTTCTCTTGATATAGGACCAGATCTCGGAGCCAGAAGCGTAAAATGTAGACCAGTCGGGGTTCGGTTCAAAAGGGAAGGTATAGACATGCGCGGGAACATCGCACTAAGCTCTCGAACGTCAGTTAGAAATGCAATAATGAATCTATCTTGGGACGACGCACTGCAACTCCAGGATATTGATTCTCCAGCCATGTTCCACCAACGTCCTTGTTCTTCTCATAGATGGTCAAATCGATAAAGCCTTCAAAAGCCTTATGGTATTTGGCCTCGTAAGCTATCATCAAACCGGAATATCCGGCCCCGACACACACAATGTGTATGCGTCGAGGTTGGTATGTGGGCTCTTGTAATAAAGGAACCCAGTTCTTCGCAGCGCGCAAAGGATCCAACGCGGACTTGGACGCTTCTGGAGAGCGTTCCTTCACTTCGGGTTCCATTTTCGTCTCCGTGGCGAGTTTGAGGGTTTCACTGCGACTTGGGGTCGGCCTTTTGAAATTATAGGAGAGGAAAAGGGGTGAAATGCAGAGCTGGGACAGGGAGATGCGGAGTATGATTTGGTGTAGTACAGACAATGGTATTGCGTCTATGTAAGATTACTCAGGATAACTGCCAGATACGGCAAGGAAGAGGATTTCCGGGCCTCATCCGCTCAAATAGATTAGCTGTCACAAAAACATGGTAGGCAGGAGGAGGTGTAAGGCTTGGCTCCCAACCAAACGTGAACGTGTGGGGGTAACCAACGTTTTGGTAAGCTAGTCCGCCTATCGCCACTAACCTTGTCTGCCTGTCCGCGTGATTGGCCGGGGATGACGGTAGTGTTGCCGTCAAAAGGCGCCGGCCGGGGAATTACCAACGAGATGGCTTGTCTACATTAGTGTGTGTGTCGCGGAGCGTTTCCAGTGCATTAGTTACGGTCTGAGCCGGAGCTTGCCGATCGATCCACCCTCTGGCTGGCCGTTTGGGGCCAGGATTCTGCAGGTTTTGGATGTCCATCTTTATGAGATATATACCTATTAGTACTACATAGGTAGGTAGATATGCATGGCCACGTAGTGAAGTGTTGTGTTCACCATCTTCTCGTACGCAAGGAGAATCGGACATACACCAAAAAACTCAACAATATTAGGGTTGGGATGGTAGGGTTGGGGCATATTAAGTCCTGCGTGGTAGTTGATGCCATGGTTGATGGCCGTCTCGAGCCTACCTTTGAAGATTCCACGTAGTCACAAATATCTCTGCACTCAAAGTACAACGCTACAGACTAGCTATAGCTTAACTAGGGTGTAGGGACTGATTGCATCTTTTGCTTGCTGCGCTATGGCTGGTCGGGGAAGCTCTCTGCCTCTGCTTAGGAGCCAGTGGGGCTATAGTGATGTAAAACTTGGTCATTGATATTCTCTGAATGACTTGGGGGTTGGCCTACATTGAGTCCTTTACGCCATTGGGAAAGGAGACAACCTGGCGAAGCAGGCCAAGGCCGCGATTCACGCCGACGACAATCAAATCTTGCATGTGACTGTAACGTTTTCGAGATAGACGTGCATTCACAATGTCTGGTGCTCGACTTAAAATCTTCATAGGCTACTAAAACATAATAGTTAAAGCAAGGTTGATATATAATAGTCAGGTACCTAGACATCAATAGCTGCTAGGCCTTTTATTATAATATTAGTGTTTACTATTACGCAAGCTGAGGGGGCTTAATAGTTTGGTGTGTAGTCCTTATTTCACAAATTTCCTCACTTCTTATTTAAAAGTAAAGTTAACGCTGCAAGAGCCGGTTATATAACTTGGTAGGAAACCTATTGTATGAAACTACAGTTTAAGTGCTCTAGTACCCTGATATAGTATTAAGACAGCAAAGTTTATATAATATAAAGCTAGCTAAGTCTAATATTAAGACTAATAAGCTATTAGTTGACCTAACACGTTATTACTTAGAGATTATAGCAACGTAACTATTGACTCCTAACGGTGCTCAGAATTTCTTACACACGAGATTCATCGCAGTATTGATCAGATGGTTATGGCCTCGCTCGTATAAGGGTATAGTCCGATTGGTCTGATGCACAGGTAGGCATATGTGCACGGCATCGTACGATGACTTTTGGTCGAGAAGGAGAGGCGAGCATTGCGTGCTTGAGTGAGGACTAGGGCTCTTGGATATGCGGACAAACCATGTAGGGTGACGGTAATATGCGTGACAAATACAGGTTTGACGGCAGTTAGGACCACGAGACCCTTCACGCTATCAGCGGGGTAGTATTGGCAGTACGGGTTGAGAGGCAGGATGTGGAAGTCGGCGAGATTTTTAGGAGAGCCTTGCATCTGTCCAAGAATACCAGTAACACACGTATGTGAACTCTGCAGCCAACGGGACCTTCTGGATAAGAAAAGACTGCAGACTATTGAGACCAAGGCGGTAGATTGAATATGTATATATAAATTGTATGATTGGTTGGTATTGTTTTCCGTCCGAAGGACAGTAGTCTATCTACCGGCCTGAGGCCTCCCTTGGGGCATTAGGACGTGCATAGAAGTGGAATTATAGTGCTGTCACACTACCACTGAGTGCATTTCTTGGTCCCGCGCGGGTTGCACGTGTCTGTCCATGTATCAACTCTATAAATTGTATGAGAACCCCAGGTAGACTCACTATTGAGAACACTAGTTCCTTATCTCTCTCTCTCTCTCTCTCTCTCACACACACACATCGTTATACTACCATATCCGCTGTAAAAGGTATAATCTTTTCGACTACAGACCCAAGTTAAGCCATCGCAACCTTGTATGTACGGACGTTTCCCATTCAAAACTGTGTTGCAGAAACAAGAAGTTGCAATGCAGCCACGTCTACAGCGTCTCGAGCCAATGCTCGGAGATCCTCTCTTCGAAAGCATACTCTGGGGCCACGAATACGATCTAGGTGAACTGGACAACAGTCTGCGTGTTAGGGTCGAGTCCGGGCAGTTCAAGAGAATCGTCTTCTATGGAATGGGATGCTCCTCAGTGGTATCCGACATCGTCAAGGGCTTCTTTCTGTCGGAGCACATCCCGATACACGTCCAGGTTATCAACGACTATGCCCTCGACTGGTTTGTCGACAGAGCTACTATGAAGGACGAGTCCACGCTTACGATTATCGTCTGCTATAGCGGCTGGTCGGTCGAGCCGTGCCTGTTCTTCGAGACCATGCGAGAGATGACAGGCAACAAGAACCTGATAGTCCTATCTGGAGGCGGGAAGATCGCCTCTCTGTGCAAGGAGCACGGCACTTCGCTGATCCAGTATAAGCTAAGGCATGCCGACCGGGAATACCCTCTCTATCACGTCCAGCAGTTCTTCTCGATCTTCCTCGATCTGTTCCACAAGCTGAAGATCATAAAGTCCTCATACCAATCCGAGCTCGAGGAATCGGTCAAGTTCCTGAAAGCCGAGTTCCACGAGGGAACCCTCAAGCGAGCAGAGGCCATTGCCGAGAAGCTGAGGGGGAGTCGGATCGTCCTGCTGAGCACGGCGGACTGGTACGTCACCCTCCTCAAGCAGACAACCATGTTCTTCAACGAAATTGCCATGGTTCCGACTCACCGAAACCTCCTGCACGAATTCTCCCACACCGAAGTGGCTGCCTATTCCGACCCGACCAACAAGCAGGCCATCGTCACTTTCTGTGACTCGGAAGCCGACGACTACACGCGGGATAAGATCCAGACACTCCGAGGACTGTTCGGCGGAAAGGAAGTCCCTCAGAACCGTAACATCGAGTTTGTCAATATCGACCTCAACCAGGACAATTTCTTCAAGAAGTTCTTCTTTGGGCACTTTTTTACAGTTTATATTGCGTATTACCTAGGGAAATACTCCAACGTGGAGGGGAGAGACTTGATCTCGATCGCCGCGAAGAACCCATGGTGGAGCCAGCGCTCGATCGAGCTGTTCCCCAAGTGTATCGACATCCCTTCAGTCCTCGAGCCCTAGAAGGCTAGCGACAACCTACCTACACCAGCCAGCAGGATTGCAGGTGAATGAATACTGAACAATTTCTCTCTTTTCAACAAAGGTGAACTGCTTTTTGTGCTGTTCCCCCTCTTCAACAAAGGGGGAATGCTGTTTGCGCTGTTCTCCCTCTTCAACAGAAGGGAAATGCTGTTTGCGCTGTTCTCTCTTTTCAACACCGGGGAGATGCTATTTGCGCTATTCTCCCTTTTCAACAAAGGGCAAATGCTATTTACACGGTTCTCTCTCTTTAACGCAGGAAAACACCATCAACGCTATATTTACAACCATTCTTTTTACTAGCTTATTTATATAGCAATTACAATCACTAGTCCGCACTCAAAGTACCTTTACAGAACCAGCGATAGCTCACCTAGAGCGCCTAAAATCTAGCAAGTCTATGTTTCGGATGGATAATTTAGATATCTCCAGCCCGGGCTGTTCATGAGGAGAAGCTCTCCTCTGCGATCTCGGGGAAAGTTAGCCCACTGAGATCGCCACTGTGATAGCAAATAAGAATACTTGGCCCGATTTGAAGCATGAATCATTGAAAGTACTCTGGCACGAAATGTGTCGTGTATCTTCCAACACTTGTTACATGATGCGCCTTTGAAAAATAGACTTTAGATGCAGGGATAAGTCCATGAGCCATGCCGCAAAGACTAAAACAGTCATGACTGTTGCGACCCAAGCTATGGCGTTGGATTCCAGCTCCTCGCCAATGTAAATCGTGGCAATTGTGAAGCCAACATTCGGGAAGACAAAAGCCCACCAAGGAAGTGTGAAACTCATCTGTGGCCGCGACACATCATTGCGCCATTTGGAAATCAAAATGGGCAAATGAGCGACTAGTGCAATCGCGAAAAGCCAGAATGTGAAGAGCCAAAGGAATATGCCTATCCACAATGCCATGATGTTTAGAGTTTCTGCAGCAGTAGGGTGCTTCGCAAAGTATCCGTAGTCGTTAGGGATCGCCTTGGCGCACCCCATGAGAGCCACAATGGTGTAACCTGATGAGCCCACAGTCATGAAGAGTCCGGGTCTCAGGTTTGCTGGGCCGAGACCGTTGATAAGCAAATTGCCTACGAAGTGCGGAAGAAAGAGAAGGCACAAGATCCACCCAAGACCCTCAAAAGCAATGCCGGCAACGATGATAGTCATTCGCTGTGAGAGAGGCTGATCTGCTGCAATAGCTGACGCGACGGTGCCCGTCAGCATGGCGTTATAAATCATCAGAAACATCGGTGGGCTCATGGTACCAGGCTTGAGGGGGGAAAGGTCAAACATGACGACGAATATGACAATGTTATATGTCAGGGTGATAGCAGCATAGGCCCAGAAAAGAACCCGAACGGCGACGATGATCCAAGGACCGGCGTGAGGAGCACCGAAACGCTGCATGCATATGATGATAGTCGCCATCGATAGCCATAGGGAGCCTGTGAAGTAGGCTTCGGGGGGTTTCGTCACGGATTTGCGGAAGCTGGATGGTCTCTGTACGAACCGACAGATCATGGCTGTGCTGAAGAGGACGAACAGAACTAGGTTGAGGATGAAGACTATGACACCGGCAGTCTGCAGCCCGCGAAATCGATGGGGAGTTTCGGCTAGGAGAATGGCCACGCCGCCGGTAGACTGAGTGCAGGTGAAGTTGGCCCATGTGAAGCGATCGAGCAGTCGGTTCTGCTTGGCGGCGCTTTCGTCTTCGGGTTCTGCATGGTCGGGTCGAACGGCGTTTCTTGCTAAGGCTTCAAGCTGCTTTTCGTGTGACATAGTGACTCCGTAGCGACTGAAGGCAGAGTCTTAACTGAGCAGAAATGGCTGACTTTCCAAAGAATGAAAAGAGACAAAGAGATGCGAGGTTGCAGATAGCCGAAGGCTCGCGAGGGGGCGCGTACCTACCTAAGCGAGATGGCGGGTAGGCAGATGGTTAGTTGGCATCTGAAAGGAAGGTGGGCTCACACCTCACACATATATACATAAGAATCAGCTAAGGAGCAGGACAGGACGATAGGGAGTCTCTTGTTCACGTGATCTAAACAAGAGAAAGGCCTGATTGCCGCCTTTTCCGACTTCCTACAACTAGGGCACTACGAGAACAGGAAATATCGTTTGAAGGCGCAGGTTACCATCAAAAATCCCGATGGCAACTCGCACACGCTCCGAGCCCTGCTAGGCAGCGACAGGCGGCCAGATGATTCCCTACGAGCATTTGAGGCTGCAGCGGATCGCGAAGATGGGCTCGGATGCCCAGACGCTGCATAAGCTAGACGACGACGAAACGCTGGGGACGTGGCAAGGCAGCTCGGAGCTTCAGGGCTTTATAACGTATGCGCTGATGGCGGAGGAAGTTGAGATCATAGCTAGCTTCGATCCAAGAGTGGTTGAGCGATGGAAGGTGGGGAAAATGCTGTGCTAGTTTATTAGCTTTGTTCTGCAGCAGCCACACTAGAGAATACTATTAGCGGTCCCGAGGTCGTTCCATGTTTAACGAAGCTCTGCGTTGGAGGTGTAACTAGGTTGTCCAGTATCAAAACGTTGACCATGCTGGGAAACAGAGAAAGGCGGCGTTAATGTTCATTCCTCCGCAGTAGAAAGTGGATAATAAGAAGGCTGCAATATATCAAGAGAGCAAGTTGAAGCAAGCAGTTCTAAAGACCAGAGCTAACGCAATCCTAAAACTTATAACATGAATTCAACAAACAGAAAATAATTACGGTCATTACTATGCTATAAACCCCCTATCATACAACAGAAATCCCTATATCATCTCCATATCCAAATGCATTATACTCGACAGGTGCGATGATCCAAATATGAAGGTATCCTATGCACAATTGCTTGCTCCCCTCCCACCTTACCGCCTAAAGTTCGCACTCAAGCCTGAAAACGCGTCCGGGGAGTGTCTCCCGCCCATCAATCCGGAAAAATCCATGCTTTCGTTGCTCACATGCCGGACGCCCGGAGTCTGAGCAGCAGATAGCGGTTGGCCTTGCTGGGCGCCAGACTTGGACGCGAACGGATTCATGTGGCCAGACAGCTGGGTCGGTGGGGCTGATGTTGGTGCAGGCACAGGTGGTGCTTGCGGCTGCTCTGTACGCTGAGGAGCGTGTTGTGGCTGGTTATATAGCGACAAGATGGAAGTTTTATCAAAAGGGTTGGGGTTTCCTTGGAAACCTTGCTGTTGGTTTAGATAGCTCGGCTGGGGATTTTGGTAGCTTTGCTGATTCTGGTACGTTTGCTGTTGGCCTTGATAGCTTTGCTGCTGGCTCTGCCACGGGTTGGAGGCCTGGGGAGTGGAGGCCTGGTTTTGCTGTAGTTGTGGCTGCTGCTGTTGCATCCACGGGTTTTGTGACGCTTGCGGTTGCGGTGCCGGTTGCTGTGGAACTTGTTGCTGAGTAGCTGGTTGCCCGAATGGATTCGAGGTTGTGGGGGTGAAGATTTGACTTCGCGAAGACTTTAGGAAAGGGTTCCCTGGGCTCGTAGGCGATGACATTGACTGATATTGTGGCTGGGGTGGAAAGAAAGAGCTATACTGCTCGGATATCTGCGGCATTGGTGGAGGTGTAAAGGATGTCTGGTGGAATGGGTTCGTTTGCGCATATGGCGAAGGTTGAGTCTGTCCATATCCACCAGTTCGGTTGGGGAACAATGGTTGTTGAGACTGTTGACCTGTGACCTGCATGCCCTGGAAAGACTGCTCGAGACTTTGTTGTTGCTGCGCATATGGGTTCTGTGAGTAATTGAAGCATTGTTGCTGTTGCTGTGGCTGCTGCTGTTGTTGTTGCTGCTGCGGGTAACCTTGCTGTTGGTATGGTGCTTGGGGCGCCTGTGATAAGAATGGGTTGTAAGAATTCGTGGGCGAAATGGGCTGCGCAGATGATCCTCCATAGGACGTTTGTTGGGTTTGAATCGATGTAGGTTGCGGCTGCTGCTGGGCTGGGGGTGGGACAGCGTCTAAAGCGTCAAACGGGTTGGTTGAGCTAGTAGCAGCGGGCGAGGTTCTCGTCCTGTCGAAGGAAATGCCATTGAAGCCGGGTTTCGTAGGCGGCGTCGGTGTGCTCCCTCTCGATTTGCCAGGGTTCTGCTCCCCTAACCTAATCAAAGCTTCCACTGTCCGGTCCAAATTCCCATTGAGTCCCTTCAAGACTGTCGAATTTCGCTTGTCGTCCGGAAAGCCCATATCCCGCAATGTCGCCAGTTTCGAATCGAGGCCATCGCCCGACGTATTTATATTTGACCCAAAAACTCTCGACGCTTTATTAACCCGTGGTGGAGATGTATCCTGTCCGAAGTTCCCAAGACCAGGAGACAGGGGAGGCGTCAGGTCTCGCGGAGAGGTGGCCGCTTTCCGTAACCCGAACCCAAATCGACCGGTAGGCTTTGGTGGTAGTGGAGGTGGTCTGTCTTCGGAACTCGTACTGCCTGTATTCTGCCGTGTGCCCGGGCGCGAATCGCTCATGTATACCCGCTGCTCGTATTTCTGTCGTATGTATCTTTCCATGGCACCGTCGACCTCGTCGACATCGATGGGTATTTGAGGCTTGGTGTTGCGCGGGTTATACGTCTTGTTTGACTCGGAATTACCAATGCGCTTCATGTTCTAGACATTTGTCAACGCCCGTACCTACTCTACTCAGGTCTGACCTTCTTACATCGACTTGCGCATTGTCCCATTTATCCATACTCAGCGATTTGACCTTGGAGATGTGGGTTCCTAGCTTGCGATGTAGGGCAGCGCATCGTAGGCATAGGAAGATGCCCAGCTAAAGCAGACGTCAGTCTCGGATTCGCGTAGAGGAGCGGTCGGAGTCGGAGAGGGATCTAAACTGCGATCTGACCTATAGACAAACTTACGCTCCAGCTTGCCCATCCTATACAACACCGTCAGCACAGCTCTAACAATAGGCGCGCACGCTCTAGTATTCACCTGGATTCCTCGCGCCACAGTCGGCACATGTGCTGTTCCCAGGAACCGTCTTGATGAGCTCCTGTAATGCTCGCTCGTTGCGCGCTTGCTGGCGCTTGTTCAGGGCGGACGCCATATTGTTCGTGAGGAGGAGCGGGTCGCACGGGGGATGAGATCAAGGAGCGGCAGAACGTGCACGGGAGCAGCAGCACGCGGGGGTTGGGAGCTCGAGGACGGCGAATAGGCACTTGTGATGTCGCACCGATTATCGAAATAAGGATAGTTCCATGACAGAGCGAAGCATGCAGGGAGAAAAGGGACTCGAAGGGACCTTAGTCCGGACGCGATGACGAGCGAGTAATGAAGGCATCCCGTCGGCATCAAGCATCACACATGGCAGGGCCGCGAGCTCCAGAGCCATGGGTCGAGCGTTTTAGCTAAAAACAGCCCCGTGCCCCTGGCTAACTTGTTTTCAATTCTCTCTCTGAAGCTCCAGGGCTACCATATGCTCCTTTTGCAGATGCGGATAACCAGTTGGGACGACGGACAGCGCACGCACACGCACACACTGTGGAAGGGCCGAAGAAGCTGCTGATGTGGCATCCAAGCTCAGAGCCACCCAATCCGTCGAGCCAGCTGCCCACTTCATAAACCTTGGTAAAGTCGGCAGACGTCGTGAGATGCATCATGAGCATCTTGACGAATTGTCCTCGGAGCTAGACATGTGCTCTACACGGTTCTAGTATACGGGGTTCTCCCATCTCACGCCATCTGAAAATAGGATGTAGGGTCACTCAGTGTGGCCTCAAGCCTCACGGAGTTCGAAGCAAAAAGCCTAAAAGTGCCAATTTCCTTACTCTGGAACGCAAATATGACAACCATAAGGTGGAACTCAGTATGGCAGTTGATTGATCGTTCGTATGATTGTGTAAGGAACAGAAATGGGTGTTGCAGCAGCAGCAGGAATTTTGTTGCGTATTGCCAAGCATGCTGACAAAGATAGGGGTCCGAGCTGAAGGTTATCCCAATTTTCTTCGCACAACACACTTCCTGCTTCTCTCATCGACCAACGTCGACAAAACATCGACATTCAATGCTCACATTCGAGAGTCGTCTTCAGTGCAACGATTAAATGTTCATCGTTCTAGAAGACACTCACCTACTGCTGGCTGTGTCTACGCTACCCCACGATTGCCTGCTTCCTGGTTCAGTTCTCTATGGCCTGGAAGCAACATTCCTTCTAGTGGGAGATTGAAATAGGTTTTTAGCAGGACCGAGTCTACTCCACCCTACGCATTGCTATTCTTTAAATGTGTAGGACTTAATTACAGACAAACATATATTGCTACATGATATCCTTGTGATTGATACCCAGTCTGGATACCTTGCAAGGTCTTCTATAAGACCCCGTGAGAGTAGCCAGCTGTGAGTCGGTTGTTCGCTTGCGAACTAATCGGCACCTATGTCTGATAAATGGAGTGGAAGCCGCCCAGGTGTGTTCTCGGATACGACTCATCAGAAAGAACGTGGAGCAATACCTCAGGTCCTCAACCGCCTCTTTCGCGAATCACTCCAAGACATCGAGCCATAATCGTACGTCTTACCCCATCGGATTGCCGACGTTGGGCGTCACTCTTACATACATCCATGCGGAAAATTGTGATCGCTTTGCCCAAATTACAGTTCGCAGCCCCTATGTGTCGATCATCGGACCCCAAGTAGGATCATCTTCTGCTTGTCTTGCATCGTTTGTACTTGCCGAAACATATTGACCCGCCCCAGATGCTGATATGTGACTTGATGATCTGGTCCTTCGACGTCGGTCCCACCGTATACATCCCACGCTTTCACCGACGTACCCAAGCTTTCTTAGCAACTCGCAAGGGAAAGATCTAAGACCGTCGGCATTGCTTACGGCGCTTTTACGCAGTGCCTCGCAATTCACGCCCCCAAAAATCGGGAGCCGTAACGATGCAGATTCGAGCAGAAGAAACCCACATGGCATGGACGCGCTAGTGTTCAGATAGAGGTCTTGAAGGTATATGACCGTGTAACAACAGTGAAGCAAGCACCCTGTGTGTCAAAGAAGCAGCCCCGTGGCTCAGACACTGCTCTTACTGCCAGACAACCCAAGGGAATCTAGTCCTAGTGACCCCGGCGCAACCTATGTGCCACGATGCTGCATCGTCATACTCATACTCCGATGATATATTCATGGGTGTAGCACCGCTGGCTTGACACAGTATGAGCTTGTCGCATCGAGGGGCAAGTGGTGGAGGACAGTGCGCCTGAGAAGGAAGGTGGACTATACGGCTGTCGAGGAGTTAATGATTTTCGAGTTTTGGAACCAAGTAGCAGTAGAAGCAGAACACAACGTACTGTCTGTACTTCAAACCGGTCAAGATACCGGACAGTCTTGCAGATATGCGCATCCTTTTCTCTGCATTACGTTCATCATATGTCAGTGGACCCACGCTAAGGCCGTACATATACTACCAGGAGCGCCTCGAGTTTTTTTACAGTTGCGTGTACATTGACGGGGACGGGTTGCTCTTCGTAAAATCCCAGGAATACAATGCACCGTAATTCTAGCTTGTTGCTTGCATCTCAATAAATGCATCACTGAGAACACAGCACATACTGTGGGGACTGCCGATGATGACGTTGATGCACTTTCAATCTATCCTCCACATCCGTGCTGTAGCGCCGTTGCACGCTGCGGTATCAAGGATGGTGGAGAGTTGGTGATCGTGATCGTTGGGCGGTCAATTATCCTTGACATTTGCTATGGCGCAGGTGGCTGTGTCAGAGCTTGACCAACGAGAAGTCGGGTTGCTGACTGTAGCCGCACCGTTTGGTCCTAGTTCACTCGACGCTGACCGCATCTCGAATGTACTGCCATACCACGGCTTCTTCCTCCACATCTCCGACTGACCCCAATCTTCACGATTACTGACCGCCAGTTTCAGTGCTTGCTTCCGCTATGCCCCTATGGTGGCGCCTCGTCTACATCTCATTCGTTAAGTATTCCACAGCCACACATTTGGAGACAGGCCCTTCGATGGTGCAAGGCTGCTTTTGAAGATGCCTCCTTCGGGCGGCATAGCTGAGTTCTGTCTCACGGTGCTCTTTCCCTTCGTGAGCATTGACAGGGCTGGCGCTCCGCTAGCCTGCAGCGTGCTGCAGGTCCGTGGATGATGAATGATGTCAAGATGGAAGCCTACAAGAAGGCAGAAAGAGCCGGAGGCTGAAGCACTGCCACTTTGTTAATTAGGCTCGGAGAAGAAGTTGCCAAGGAGCATTCTTCGATCGAACACGGTGAATGCTATTCTGCAGCCCAGTGATAGGGCCACGACAGTACGGCCGTTCCGAGAAAGCCTGCCGGTCCAACGGTACCGATCCATGCAGGTACTTCTTTTGTGAACTCATGCTCCTTGACCGGGAGCTGCATGGCTTTCTTCCTACATGCTGGCGCTCCAATCACTTCAGCCGGTCGTTAGTGTCATTCACCACCTACCACGTCTAACGGAATGCCCTACAGACTACGGAACTATTAGCTCACTGCAGCCCACTAGCTGGGGAGCTTCTTCGACCCTGCGGGACCTCATAGGCCAGGCCCACAAGTTTACTTCACGGATGGACCGAGCTGGGATATATCGGGCTACGATTTTAGGCGTATTAGGCCTATCCCTTGCCGGCTTACTAGACCATAGAATGTCTTGGTATCTTGCGTCGATGCCTAACTCCACTCTCAGCCTTAGTCGTTATCCGTTCGAGTCCTAGTCCGCCATACGATTATTAAAAAAAAACCAATCACGGGCGTCATGACCCTGAAACAAAGGGTCTGTAACTGTTTGACTCAAGCATGTCGACGTTATGTTCGCCTATTACCGATACCAAGCACTCCACTGTGCGGCTGATCGATTGGTCCCAAACCCATAATATGACACTATGAATACCTTCCTATACCCTCCAAATTAGACTCATACCGCACCACAGACTACTCAGTCAACATTTCGGCTCTCCTACCAGACGCTCCAAAGTTCTTCGGTACTTGAACAGTCAGTCATCAGGCGCTAGTTCAACACATATACGCGACTCTCTTCCACCTAAAGTCAACTTCTCCAACTCAGGCCCGGTGCCAGATCTCTCATTGAGTTATGACACATCCCCAAGCGCGGCGATATCCTTAAAAGTACCCAAGAACGCCAACTTCTCTCCGGAAACGGCATCCCAAAATTTTGGCTTCAGGCATATCTTCATCCGGCATCGTTAGGGTGGTCAAACTTAGCCTACCCTCTATCTATCGTAAAGTAATCCGGAAATGTATCAAGATCAGCAATCTGGTTCCCAGCGGTGGAATTCGGCCGAGGGCGAATCTCCGGACACCGACAGAGAAGCCCGGAGCACGAAATCAGATGAGTGGTCAGACATCAAAGACCCAAGCGAGCGTAGGAAGATTCAAAATAAACTGGCGCAGCGAAGATTCCGTAAGTAGGGTTGGACAGACGGGATTTTCGATCATCATCTAACAGATGCGTAGGGGACAAAGTCAAGGAACAGAAAGAAGAGGCCGAACGCGAAGAGGAGAATCGACGCCGCGCAGGAAGCTCATACGCGTCTCCAGAGCCGGAGACCATGGACAATAACCAAACCCTTTCTGGGCTCCCTTGGGGAGGGATATCGATGAAACACATTGTCGAGACAGGGAAGAACAAAGAACAGAACTCGCAACAAAGTTCGCAGGACAACTCTGTGCAAGGAAGCTCTTCTCATACGGGAGGAAGGTGAGAACTCCGTGTGAGTCCGTCGCCCGTATCTACTTGCGTTGACTAACGTTGATCAGGCTTGGACTCCGCCTCACCGACCGTTTTGCCAGAGGGAACCCAGCTCTAAAACACTTCAGATACTTCCCATACCGCTACGCAGGGCAAGCACAACGATAGTCCAGTGACGCACACACCTTCGGAGCGTCTCCTTTTCACTCAATCTACCCGAAAGATGCAGGCATCTTTCTCCCCAGCTTACGGCCGCGCCGTAAACCATATCGTGGAATGGGGGGGTCACAAGGTCATGAAATTTCGAGAGCCTTTATCTTTCTAGAATGCAGCCCTTCGTGCTGATAGATCTTACTTGCTGTATCTTATGGGGCTGTTGGCCCCACGAATTATATATTTTACATCATCTCGGCGGCTATACCGTTTCTCTTAGTGGTCGACTTGGAGTGCAATCATGCAATGCGGAAAAAGCCCGCCCCGCCCGACGACGCATCGTGTTCTCTGAACACGCCGTATTTGTTTTGGGCGTAGGGGCTCTGTCGTCGACGCCGAAGGGTTTCTTCGTACTTCGGAACGTAAGCTCTGCTGAGGGCGGCGCACACCCAAGTCAGCGAATGGTCGTTGTCTAATCGTCAAAGTCCGGCGTCTTCAAGTTTGATTCATCGGGACCGGCTTCTCCATGGGTTTATTATTGGAATACTGTGTGGGCGCAGTGCTCACAATTTTGGGGCCGATCTAGAATGACACTTGCTTCGGCAGGTCTACAATATGCGGCCCAAGGCGTCCTTGGTGGAGGTGATGTTGTCAACGGGTGCCACGCATGATATACAGCGATGTTATCAGAAGTTCCCCAAAAGCTGTGCTACTCTTTTCGGGCCAGTCAGCCTCATAAGGTTTTGGGGTTCGATTATCGACTGGTGGTTGCAGGGTTTACTTTTTGGCTGAGGTCGGGACGCCGCGAGGCTGAGCAAGCTCTGCCAATGTTCAACGTCTACTTTGATCAATCGTCTGAGTCGGACATGCCGTTGGTAACGACGTATACGACTTTTGCGCATACGGGTTCATCGTGTGTGTGCCACTGATCCAAACCTTGTCAAATTGTCGCCTAATCGCCCGTGCCGGGTAATTAAGGCACAATAGATTACGGCTCACACTGCAGCTTCGATCACGAGCCTCGCCGCAGCTGCGGTGACGCGAACGCCGCGCATTGCATTATCACCCCCAATTCAGCAAAACGCCGTCATGCGACAGCTGCATTGGACCATTTAGCGGCCTTGACATGTACACAGCACGGCGGTAAACGACGTTAATCTTCTGGAGACGGGCGAAGCTAAGTGTTGAATGGCCCCTAATTTAGCCGTGTACGGTTACAACAACACCAGAGACTCCGCTAGTGATGTACTACCATTGGTGCACAAATTGAGAAAGATGTTGGATAAGTCGAAATTATGACCGATGTACTTGCTGAAAGCAGCATGTCCAACGCAGTTCAAAGACCAAACCCATATGGCGTTGCGGCTCACGCCGCTTCAGCATGTCTCCCTGCTCCCGTCTTCTTGCATCAGCTAGGCAGAACTGCGGCGTCGAGAAACGTCCTAAACCGCTTCGGTTCATTTCCGAACAGCCACATCCGCTTTATACGCTCCATCGCTCTACGGCACGGAAGGCTTTTTCTTAAGCGCCCTCTGTAAGATGGAAGACTTGCCTTACACACTTCGATGAATCAGGTAACCATGTGGCGTGGAGTTGGTGGAGCAGGCTTGATATATAGCTCCTCAGTGCACGATGGGACCATGTTGAACTACCAGCAGTTCGCAGTGCCTTTATGTCATTAGAGCAGTTCTCAAAGCTTTCTCTGGGGGATGCTATGGTTACGACGCGAGCTGGGACCGCAAAGGCGGCGAGAGCCAGTAGGTCGCTGCAGGATCCTGACCACGATCATCCGCTTCCGTCCATCGAATCGTCGCCGCCCGTTTCGCCCACGCCTTCTCTTGTTATATCGACCAACAACCTGCAGTACAATGTCTCGGCTTTCGACAGCGACTTGCGTAGGCGGGCCAAGAGGGGGCTAGAAGAGAATGAGATTAGGATGAAGTACTGTGCGGTCTCCGACGATGAGCACAGTCCAGAAGGAACAAAGTACTTCTATATCGACGATGACATTACCGTAGCTATGGGTGGAAAGCTGCGACGACCGAGGTGTACGTGCGGAGCCAACGAAGGAGGGATTGCTTGTAAAGTATGGTCCATGATTTCCTCCTCTTACGTTCTTGACTAAAGCAATCTCAACAGCACATATATTGGGTAGGCGACCAGATCATGTCGACGGTCCCAGAGAGCATCCAGGAGCAGCCTCTTGAGCTATCCCCGGATGGCTCCATGATCCAAGACGTGAAGCCAGCAGAGATCCTCGACGACAAAAGCCTGGCCTCGATTGCCACCGATTTGAAATGGGTGATGCGGGACGAGGACCTCCCCGAAGACGACGACGACACGCGCGATGCAGTCATCACCATGCTCTCCGTCTTTGAACCGCAAGACGCGCTACCGGGAGAGTTCAAATACCCCGAGTCGCCACTGACGTCTGAACGGTCGAAGAAATACCAGGAGTTTGCCGATCTATTCACTCAATACGCAACCCGAGACCCGGGCCTGTATCTGCAAGTGCGCAAGATCATCGACCCAGACTTCCAGACCCGCGTATTCTTCGAGAAGATTGACACGCGTGTGAACTTGACCTTCAACGCCTTGGACGAGTACATTACCCATGGACCTACCAATGCCTCCCCCGAGGCGCTCAGATTCGACATCCCCAGCTGCGCCAAGAAGCTCCGGGCGCTCGTCAAGGCCATTGCAGACTTCTACCAGGAGCAAATTGACGACGAGCGAGATGCGCGGGACGTGGCCGTCAGAGCAGCAGCAGCGCTCGTGACGATTCTCGACCGCGTCACAGACCGCAACGTCAACGCCTACGCGGACATCACGTGGGGGATGGAAGCCCCGTCCGACGCAGCGGAGACGAATCTCTTCATCGCGTTGGTCGAGGGAACGGCGGCGGGTGGGGCGGCGCCGTTTGTCCTCAGTGCGCTCATGGCGCTGCCGCAGGACGATGTGCATCGGAACCACTGGGAGACGCTCCAGAGCATCGAGCAGAAACTCGACCATCCCCATACGCCGCCCGAGTATATGACTGCGTTCCGCAAGGTTGTGTATGAAAGCCGGAAGCGTGCGGCTTCGGAGGTGCGCGAGGGCGAGTCCAAGAGGGCGATGCAGGAGTAATATTTGAAACGGCGGCGGCGACGACGACGATGGAGTGTTTATTCGGTATTCACCTCGTGCACTTTCCTTTTTTTTGATGTTGGGGTATAGTACCGTGTTTGCTTTTCCCCCTTGATTTTTGCCTGGCGCTGGCGGTGTCGTGTACTTTTTCCGTTCCTTCGTATGCTATATTTCCTTCTGCGCTTTTTCAATCCTTTTTTCTCTCTATATTCCCTTGCACGTTTGATTATGTTTCTTTCTTTCTCGCTCTCTACCTTGTCGTATACCTTTTTGGGACCCTACCCCTAGCCTGCGATGTTTCCAGACTTTCTCTTCAAGATAATTTTGTTTCCACGTGCTGTTTCTCAGCATGTGGTCACTTGTTTCGGTATGCAGTGGCAGGAACGAGGTTGTGTCTTTCCTTGAGCTCTTTCCTAGACTAGTGTCTCAGCCTTCAATGCCTACATGCTTAGTTTTTCGGGGTTTCGTCGCTTCCAAGCCTATGTAATTGCGACGTAAGAACCATGAGATGCCTATCGCGAGATATGATAAGGCTGCAATTCAACCATCTTTCCTAAACGAGCGATTACGAATAGTTGGCTAGTGCTGGCTCTCGACCTCTCACGTCGTAGATGCGGAGCGAGTGTTCTCATGTGGGAGCGACAACAGAAGAGGAAGACTATCGACTAGCACGCGTGTGGGTGTTCAGCTGATGCATGGCTCCGCAAACATACATGCCAAGGCGCAAGTAAAGTTCCGGGGCACTGGGGACGGTAGGCTTAGCAATAGAACCGAGCTGCATGAAAGCGGAGCCAGGCGCAGTTGTTGGTATCTGCATGTGAGCGAGCACTGTGCGAAGGGGCCGAGGGACGAAGGCTGTGTTTGTGTGAGGTTAAATATCACTTGTCAACCAACACGGTGCTGTGTTGGACTCAACAAACCGAGTGCTGCGGTGGTTCGCGTCGGAGTGAATATCGGGCCTTTGTAATGTGGGCGACGATCGCGAGATAGTGTCGGTATGTTCAAGGGGAGCCAATCAAGGGAGGCTGCCCTGAACGTCGTACAACGACTCGGTCATTTAGTCAAGGAGCTGACCGCTCCCATGGCCGCTAGTTCCATGAGCGCAGGACGACGACTTGGTACTCGCACTGATAACATGGCGGAGTTGGCATGCGGAGAAGGGACATGGGCTGTGCATAATTTGTTATGCTTCCACCTCATCAGCTTAGAAGAGGAACAGTTACAGACTGCTAATAATCTGGGGCTGTAAGCCGTATCTGAGACACCGTCTGCAGTTCCAACAAGGTGACTCCGCGGCCTCGGGTGGAATTGCCATTGAACCTGATACGCAACTCCATGCCACGATGGTGTGGACCAAAGGGGCTGCATGCAGCGTACAGATACGATGACGAACGGGGACCGCGCCAGCCAGAGTCCAAGACCAAACAGAAGAAAGTTGATGACAGGGCCTCAACCTCTACTAGCTATCTATGCCATATACAGCTGCGGGCCCTGGACTAGGTGCGCATGTGTGTGGACACGAGGCAATATTCTTCATGTGCTGCACTAAAGATGGTCGTCCTGAGCTTGTGCGAGCTTGTGCAAGCTACTATAACTGACCTGGGCACCATCATCATGGCCATGGTTGGCTTTTTGGCACAGGAGGTGGGCCGACGCTGGCTCGACTGCGGGGGGGAAGGGGGGGAGGAGGGGAGGACAGCGGCTAGCCTCGAGGTTCCCTTCCCCTGATTGGCCATACAGAAGGAGCGGACCCACGTCCCTTCTCCACTTGGCGCCTGCTTTGTTCCTTCCCATGGTGAATTGCGGGGAAGGCGCGCTAGGCCATATCGGACCCTAGCCCGCCACAAGAGCCCTGGAGAGGCCCAATGTGATCCACTCGTTGGGAAGCGGGCGAGCCTATACCAATGCGTCTTCTATATTATTATCATTCCGTCCACATCATTCCTCCTTCTTTCCAACTCCAAACCTCAAACGCCCTGCCTCCGTCTGCTGTGTCACTCGCGTCTCCTGTCACTCACGACACCCTCTCGCCATCGCACCTGCACTGTGAAACGAGCCTCGCTTATCACGCCATCCATCCCCCCCGCTGACGTACGGGCCTCCCTAGCCCCCCAGCTAAAGGGACCCTGTCGGCCACAGATCAGATCAATACCTCGCACCCCTCCTTGCTCTCCTTCGACGCACTTCGCTCTACTCTACACACACACACTCCAAACTGCAACAATCCAAGCCTGCCAACACAACGTCGAAACCGAACACCCCGCCCACACCACACTCACAATGTCCAGCGGCAACAACTCACCACCCCTCCATTCACCAGGCGCTACAGACCGCCGACGTGCCTCAGTCACGGGCCAGACGTTCCAGGACCTGTTTGGCAGTCGCTCGAACAGCTATGTAGGCCAGCAGGCTGGCTCGCAGCCCTACACAGGCCCCATCGCCACAGCTGCTGTCAACGCCCAGCGACGGCGCCTCTCCCTCACCACCATTGGCCTCGCCGCCTCACCTGGCCAGACGTCGCCCTTTCTGCAGAACCCGCGCACCCGCACCGAAAGCATCTCGAGCGCCAATTCCGGCTCCGTCGACGAGAGCCCCTTCGAGGACGACTACGCTCCTTCCACATCTGCCCCGGGCAGCAACCCAGCGACGCCCTTTGCTCGCCGACTCAGCTTTGGTGCTCGTGCACTGCGGGATGTTAGGCAGAATAGCGGGAGCGTTGGGAACCCAAATGGTAGACCCTCCATCCATAAAGCTTCCTCTCCCCCGACTGGTCGAGGTCGAGGTCTGTCTTCATTGTCGCATTCTCTGCCCTCTTCCTCGTCGCTTCTCCACCCTTTGTCTCCTTCTGGCAGTGCCAGGAGATCCATCTCCATTTCACACATATGGCCGCCCACCATTGCAGAGAACGGCGCAGAACATGCTGAGAGTTTCTTTGGGGACTATTCGCTAACGTCGTCCTCAACAGGCGAAGGTTATAACTTTGCGGAGAACCTCCGCAACCGTGCTGAGCGGGGCTCCATGTCCGGTCCACCTCCTATGCTGAGCCCCGGCGGCACTGCTCATCAACGAGCCAAGAGTGTTACCATTATGGAGCCTCCTGCCCGCGAAATGCCCAAGCAGCCGAAAGTCCCTGATGCTATGCAAGAGCGAATCCTAAAGGGCGATTTCTACATGGATTAGAGGGGCAAGTACTTGGCCACACTTCATCATCTCCGGTAGGCAACTTCGCCGCACTCTGTGACTGTGCGGTGGCTAATCATCCATCTGTCCACAGGACCATCTATGGAACAGATGTACCGTCAGAGCACTGCATGATTATGTACGACTAGCGATTCATCCGCGTTACCGACCGTATTTTGCGCTTCAAACTTACTTCCTTTGGGTATATCGTCGCTCGCGGATTCGAGCGACGGACGACTGCAATGATCATTGTTTCAACCGCATGTCTACCGGATTTGACTTACCATGTCCGACAACGGCGGACCGTTGACTCTAGGCTATGAAACTTACTTCGACTACACGGCGTATTCAGCTGTTTACCTTGTATTACTTCCACTGCGTTCAGTCGTACTTCCAGGGTATAGGAAGCCAGCCTCTGGACTTTACCATTCCGTTCACTTGACGCACATTCATTCCTCGGGTTTTATCATCCGACTGAGACTGAAAAACAATATCCAAGTTTCCTGGACTCTACATGATACAACATTCTCGCTTTTCCAATTACAGAAGCTTCCAGGTCATGTATACCGCCCCAATACGGCTCGGGGTCGCTGTTTCTACTTTAACAGGCGTTTGGGTATTCTACAAGAAAGGGGGTGGGACCAAATTGCTACGCTACACGATGAAGGGGTCTTCCGTGCGGCAGGTGTTTTGGCGTCTACGGGATGGTTACGCAAACGGGAGGATACAGATTGCTTGTCTAAGGCCTCACGAGAATCCAAGATGCTAGGGCGGGTACATGATATCAGCCAATATCAACACTTGTTCAGATCTTTGCCTTTACCTAGGAATGCAAATTGTGATGTGCTCTCCTTGCATAGTCCCAAGCACTGTCCCCTAATCGCGTGCGTCGGCTGTCCCCGCTTTCGCGTTTCAGGTAACGTTATGTGGGGATAAGGCTGTCGATCTCACACGTATTCGATGAGTTGGCGGACTTTTGTGCGCGGCCGAATGTTTCAGAAGTAGGGATTGGAATGCACTTGAACACAATGCCGGACTTCAACCCCTACTTTAGCGTAAGAGATGTACATTAACTCATCTATAGTGGAGTAAGATAGACATCCATCACGTTGGCATAGTCAAACTTTGGGAAACCATCGAGTTATAGTCAACAAATCGACAAAGATGTAACCGCCCATCCATCCAATAATGATGCCATTCGGCGACGCGCTCAAATACTCAGTAATAAAATAAATAATAAAATGCTAACCCGATTTGTTCCGAATGTGAATCCCTTTCGCTCTCAATGCCATGGTATCGTGCCCGAAAGAGTGACGCCCGTAAATGCTGCGAGTGAAAAAAAAAGCTGTCCCAAAAGTCCCATTTTGATGATGCCGCTAAAATAAAAACTCTGAATCGTTGATCATGTTCGCTCGTCAAGGTACACACGCCCCTCCATGCCAAAAAGAAAAAGAGAAAAAAAAAGCAAAGCAAAGCAACGCCAGTGTTTAATATAAAAAAAAAGGGGGGGAGAGCCACGGATAATTGCTCTTGGCAACTTCGTCAGATGATTCTATCAATGCAGTCTTGCTAGCCGAATCATGCACTCCTAGATGAGCGGGCCGGCCATCATAGGACTCATGCCCCTTGTATTGACATTCAGCGGTGATTCGTACCCGTTCTGCGCACCGTTCAAGGACCCTTGCCTCGGACGATAGTAGTTGTTGGTGTATGCCGTCACAGGCGACGTGTATGTTCCCTGTGACGGTGGCAGAACCCCAGGTGGAGGCGCGTTGAGTATGTTGCGGTTGCTACGACGTCGACCGAGAACGGGAGATGTCGGAGCACCCTGCGTTGTGCCCGTGGAATTGACGGATTGCATCGACTCGTTCGAGTTGCTCCTCACATGCTGTGATGTCGGTGGTGCTGGACCAACGTTGGTGGCACCTGGAGAATTGACTGGACGCTGAAATCCTGGGGTAAACGGGTTGGTGCGTGCTGGTGGATTCCCTGGCTGGACGAGTGCTCGTCTTCTCGTTTCAATGAGCTCACGAGCACGGGTATCGCGCTCGTCTTGCGACAATCTTATAGGGCGAGCTGCTGGTTGACTAGGTGCCTGCACGTTTTGGCCTGGGGATGGGGGTGGTCGAGCATGTTCACTGGCGCGGAGCGTCCGAGTGGAGGATTGATTGTTGAGCTGACGCCTCGAAGGCTGCGGTCGTAGCTGGATTCGAGAAGGTTGAGTTCTCATTCCTTGTGGCGGATTACCGACATTTTGGATATTAGCTCGAGAGCTGACGGGCCTCAAAGTAGCCGTCGAAGATTGTTCTCTCAAAACCTGTCGCGAACTACGACTTCGGATGCCCCGCGCTTGAACGAATGCGGCCCAAGGGTTACCGCGTGCTTGAAAAGGCGGTAGGGCAGAGCCTTGCACGTGTAATCCCATGTTGGCATGGGGAAAGGAAGTACTCACTGGCGAGAACCCTGCCGAGTTCCGCCTACCTGCTGCTGAAGAAGGGCGAGCGCTAACGCGGCTCTCAGGGCGATCTATCATATCCAAGGCGGCGGCTGATTGCGTCTGCGCTATGGTATCGATGGAATGCTGCGAAGAAGACGCTGAGGTGCCAGGGGTTAAGATTATAGAAGCATTGCTATTGGAGCTAACCGATGGTGCACGATCGAATCGGTTCATGTTGCTCAAGTTGGTTGCAGGCAGAGCAGGAGACATCGCACTACGTCGAGGCGGCGAGACCGGCATTCGCGAGGCAGGCCCCATGTTTGAAGTATTGTCCATTAGGGGTGTTCGTAAGCGCGTAGGATTGGGAGGCTGAAAGGGCGAGAAGCCCTGTGCGGGACTTGGCCGGTTCCTATTCCTGGTTCTCGGACGCGCGACTGGCGTGATAGATCGGGGCTCTACATCTATCAGAGCGCCTGCCATCTGGTGCTGCTGGAGGGCTTGTTGATGAGCAGCAAACATCCAGCTAATGCGTGGGTCGTACTCTCGGCGTTGCGTACGCGGAGCGCCCCGTCCGGTGCCCGGCTGCGAGTTGTCTGAGTTGTCGTCTGTGTCCAAGTCGTTCACTGCGTGGCCCTGCGTGGGCCCGCGGTTGGTGAAGTAAGCGGTAGGATGTGAAAAAGCGGCGGGATTGCGCATTTGTGCCTGTGAGCGGCGCGTTCGTAGAGCGTTCATGGCCCTGATATCAATGTCGCCATCTTGGTCAGAGTCATCGTCATCTGCTTCGCCATCTTCGTAATGGACTGTCGAGGTGGAGAGATTGGAGGATCTTCGGCGGAGGCCACGGGAGGCATTCAAGACGCGCACGTTGCCGGCTCGAGAAGGTGGGCGGATAGGGGCGCTAGGCCGTGGAGGACGATCTGCAGTAGGTGTTAGAGAACCGCCCATTCGGCTTCTGTCATTTGAGTTCGCAAGCGGTTCCCACCCAACAGTCGTTCCCGTGTCACTATCATCCTCATCCTCATCCTCTTCCCCCATTTCGTCATCGTCGTGTTGTAGCATCCATCCTTCTTCACGGAGTAGAGCCTGTGTATCCTCATCCAAGTCTTCAGTTGAGACATCTGTAGATGTTGACGAGGGAGGGCCTTGTGAAGGACTCGACCCATTCGCTCGATGTAAGACTCGTGTCTGGGCGGGATTTCTCCGCCCTCTGCGGACTGGACCCTCGTCTTCCTCGTCTTCGTCTTCCTCCTCGATGACACTTGAGATGGTCGAGGAAGTTTCGGACTCGACAACGCGACGAACTCTTCCCTGTGCACGTGCTCGACTGTTTGAAGGCCGGGGGGTCGGTCCAGGAGTGGTTGAAGTAGCACTTGGTGAAGGTGATGCATGGACTTCTCCATCATCAATGAAATCGTTCATTTCGGAGTCCTCTTCGTCCTCCTCCTCGACCGTGTCCATCTCGTCCCCGTATACGTCGGAAGCGATGCTTTGTGAGTACGAACGCCTACTGCCAGCTTCACTATGCGTCATAGGTCGCCTGCGTGCAAACGCTGCCGCGTTGGGGGGAATGCCAGCCTCTAGAAATCGGCGCATCATGAACGAGCCTTGTTCGGGAGGGTAATCTCCCCAGCCATCCATGGCCTCGTCGTAGCCATCAAAGTGCACGCCATCCATGTCCATGTCGCCATCGAGGTCTTCAGTGTCTTGTTCTGATAGTTCGTCCATGTCACTGAAGCCGGTGAAACTGTCGCCCCACGAGACCTCTCCCGTCTCGTCGAAGATGAGTCCACATTGCGTACATCCGCCGTCCTCGAGTTCCCATGTGCATATTGGACAACGGTCGACGCCGTCTTCTTGATCTCGAACCACCTGCAGTGAAGGACCACGTGCATGAAGCGGATGCAACTTGAAGCAGCCCTTGAAAAGACCGCCGGTGCGGGTATCCTTGTTTTCCTTGTCCTGTTGTACAGCGTCGGCTTCGTCCTTTAGCCATTTCTTGTGGTCTTCGATGGTCTCGCCTGGCGGAAGCAGCTCGGCTCGGGCAATGAAGACGCTGGTCATGTCGCGAATCTGACTTCACTTAGCAGGCTTAATTGCTAGTTTCGACGTTGTTTCTACTTACTACATAGGCAGGAGCAGGCAGCTCCTTGACAAGTATGCGGCAATCGGGACATGTCTTGCGGGCCTTGTTGCTGACGAACCACGTACAGAGGCACTAGATGATGTTAGAGGGTAAGAAGCGCAGCAATGGAGCATGTTACTCACAGTATAGCAGTATGTGTGCCCACACGATATTGTGTAAGGCTGGTAGAGCATGCGGTCGCAGATTTTGCAGGTGAGGTGTGAGCGTAGGCCGTCAAACTCCGACTTGAGAGACTTGAGTTGCTGTGCTGCATTAGTTGATGGTTCTTCTGTCGTATGACCATCTGGCAGTATAATGCCCAGATAAGCTCACCTCTTCGAGCCTGTTCGGCCTGGGAGCCTCCTCAGGCTTCTTCAGCATCTTCTGCTTGAGGCTGTCTCTGCTCGCTGTCCGTGCTGGTTTGTCCGTGTCGACGAGTTTAGAAGCGGATCGACTTGCGGTGGGAGTGCTTCCCCGGGCGTTCCCCCTCGAGCCCGAGGCAATATTCGCGGGCTGCTGCGAACTCGTCGCGGCATGCATGGACGATGACGAGGTTTTAGCAGCGGGGGTCGGCGAGGCTCGAATATGTGAGTCCATGGCGGACAGATTGACTCGACAGCCAGCTGCAGCTCGGAGAGAAAAGACAAGAGGAGCTGCTCACATAGGAAACGAGTCCGAGGTTAGGTAGAGCAGCTCGTTGTTGGCAGGCGTTGTGCACGCAATGCAAGAGGTCCTAGCACGTTGGCGGCAGCCCGGGATGCGGCAAATCGTCGGGCTCGGTGATGTCTCTCGCACCTCACCATGAACTTCACAGGCGCCTAACAATTGGACAAACATCGCCTTCACACCAATCACCCCTGGGAATTTGCCCACCCCCAAACCAGTGATGAGCCGTAATTTTACCAATTGTTCGCGAGTGCCAGCTTAGTTGCCCCGGATCGCAACTGGGCATCCCCAACTCCAAAGCTCACTATCCGTGCTTATGCTCGCTCACGTGTAGTCCATCGATTCTGGTGGAGCGACTGTCAAAACTAGGCCCTGAAGGCCCTTATTGTATGGGCTATCGTCCTCCTGCTATTATTTCACATCACTACCATGGTTGTCATCACCGTCACTTTCTTCACGCGGGTCGAGCAGTACTGGCGTCATTTTCAATGTCCAAGAGGTTGAATTTTACAATTTCAATCTTATCAACCTTGCTACGTCAGGGTAGCACTCTCACGTCTTTGTATACAGTCTGTCTATAAGAGTAGTCAACCTACGGAGTCGAGTAGAGTGATCTGGAGAATGCGCCATCAAAGACAAAACTATGGCCCCCATTTGTTGATCAAGGAAATAAAGAGATATCATCAAGCTAAGCATGCCTTTTCCAAGCTTCTACAAGTATGGTCTAGGCCAGGCTAGTCCTTCGTGGGAAGCCACCCATGTTGACAAAGTGCATGTGAGAACTGGCCTAGTCGGCGCAGACACGCTTCGCAGGAGAGGCCTCTTGGTCATTGGCCACGACGACGTCCGGAAGGTCGACCGTCTCTATGGAGCCCTTGTGAACCTTGCTCTCCTCGAAAAGCTCTTGGTTGGTGTGTTGTAGAAAGGCAGATGACTCGGCGAGGAACGACTTGTGGCCAACCGTGTCGAACTTCTCGCCCTTCTGACGACGGGCGCGCATCTCCTCACGTGCACGACGGCATCGCTGTTCCATAATCTCGAGTCGGTATTCGGCGAAGTCGCAGTAGAGCTCGTTCAGATCAGAGACCGGGCGAACGGTGCGCAACACGGTGTCGTCCTTGACAAAAGGCGAGCGTGGACGCCAGGAGGTCACGGCAGTGATACGCTCCTTCGCACCAAGTGCGCGTAGGGCCTGGTGCGTGATGTAACGACCTTGTAAAATGACAGCGCAACCCTCTGAAGGACCGCGAACTCGAATGACCTCGCCGTTTGCGGTGCGAAGCGCAGTCTCGCCCCCGACCATATCAGTGCAGTCAGACATCATCAGGACACATACGAACGGGTACGAATCTGTATGCCACCCGACGATGGGCTTGTCGTCCTCGGAGGAGCCCATGTCCACGCCTTCGTCAGCACGGACACGCTTGCGCTGATGAATAAGATTCAGCTCCGCCTTGGCCTCGTCCTCGGACTTGACAGACAAGTTGATGTGTGCGATCTCGTAGTCGCCCCACGGGATCAGGTCCACGCCAGCCAGCTTCGAGACAATGGCAATAGTCTCGGGGTGATTCCAGGCTGCGTACGTGAAGGGGGCGTGGTCCCGAGCGTACCCACGGAGCTGGGCAGCTGCGATATTGCTGCTGAAGGCATGGTTCTCGGTGACTTCAGGCTTGGATATCTCGAATCGCATGATTTGAATAGCTTCAGGGGAGAAGAGCGGGAACGGCTGCGTCACGGCGACTGGGGAAACACCGACGTTGTCCGCGAAGCCAATGTCCTTCATGGTCAGAACCGTCGGATCCTTCTTGAACGCAAGATGCTTCTTTGGGTCGAAGTTCAGGAAAAGCTGATCTACAAGGCCTGTCTGGAGAGTAGTAGTTTGTTCGAAGGAAGTAGCCAACGGTGCTTGTCGCAGAGGCGCGAGGTGGGGCCGATTCGCAGCGGCGGCCATTGAATGTTGAGTCGGAATTGTCGAAGGCTGGCCTTGATCCAATGCGTCAGTCATCTGCTTCTGAGGCGAAGTCATATTGGAAGTTGAGATGTGGATTGTGTTGGAAGGAGTTGAGTGAAAGAGTAGGAAATCGGGCTTGGTTGTTCAGTGGTAAGACCTTGACAGCGACCATGAGGATATATAAGGGGGGCGAGGGGCAGGCGGGGGTAAGAGGGAGTGAAAGAGAAGGTTTCATGTTAAGCATAGTGAAGAGACACCGCGTGCGATTGGAAGGCTTAAAGTGTGTTGTGTGAATGCACAATGTTGGTAGGACGACTCGGCAAGAAGCGGTATTCACACAACGTATGAAGGTGTATGGAAGCCTATCCACTCACCTCTTTTGGCGGCGTGACGGAGCCGTGCAATTGAATCATCACAAGTCTTGTGGTTGACGAAGGAGAGTTGCCCCTTTGGAAGGCATCCTAGCACTGACATTCCGAGTATAGATGTTTCGGGAGGATCAAGTATTGGCAGCGGTAGAAGCCCCTCAGGACAAATTCCACAAGGACTCGAACATCCTCTACTCAAGTATCCGCTCCTGGCCATCTAGACCATTGAAGGACACATGATACTGAACCGTGATCACACACAAATTTCCCCCGGATCGAGTTCGCTGAATACCGCCGGAGCGGATCTATGATAATTAGCAACAGAAGCCTCGAGGATTCAACTTCAAGCTTGAATCTTGCCCACATAGGGTCCCTCGTATCGTGTGGATTCGCAAAGCAAGGACGTCCGCGATTCTACCGGAGAGAATCGCATGTAGTGGGCCATATTACTCCACTTGATACCACCCAAGCATCCCTAGCGAACGCCACCTCTCTTGCAAACATCCATTTCTACGTGCCGACAGAGCTGTGGGACGATAGGCTAGACTCGTGAGCATACACTGTCGGATGGTCGGCAAGGGTCTTTAAAAGCAATGCGGAGCATTGAGCACATCCCTGTCCATGAACAACGACTAGTTCTGCTCACGGACATGTCCGCTGGCGAGACTGCGATACAAGCATCTGATCTAAACCCGCGCCCATGGTTAGAGTGCTCGAACAAAGCCCCTCGCGATTCGAGTTTCCGTTTACATGATATAGCGCCGCGATGATAGCCTGAAGCCCGCGGACGGAGAGTCTTTTATTTATTTCCAGAACATGCATGTGATTGTTCTTCCGAGCTTACTGTAGGGTTTCGTAATAATGACGGTGCCAACCAGTGTGGGAAATGGCATCTCCAGTAATGCCACATCATGATATGCACCAATTGTATAATTCTCACTATCAACTGCTTCATAAACGGCTAGATGGTTGTGGCGTTTTGGACGTGACGAACATTTGCCACTTTCACCTGCAGATCGCTCGCGCCACGCGACGCGCGAGTTAGTGTTATCGATAACGCACCTCTGTCGCGCCACCCGTCACATTCTCCGACTTTGGAGCTCCAGTTACCCCAATTGTCCGCCTGTAGCTGCATTTCCCCCCTCGTGCTTTGCTTTGCATATCTCTTACAATGAGTTCGAAAGACCCGTCAGGTTCCGCCAAACCGGAAGCTAAAGCGGAAGAGTGGGCCGGTCCAAAGGCCACCAAATTCGACACGTACGCCAGCCCATCAACCCACCGCAGCGAGCAGCGAGTTCTGCGGATGTGAACAGTGTAGCTGATGGACCGTGATAGCAAAGCGTATAGCGAGTACTTCGATCCCTGTCAAGAGGCTGCGGACAAGAGCATACGGTGCTTGAAGAGAAATGGTGGAGAGAGGGCGATGTGCACCGATTTCTTCCAGTGAGTATCATATCCTGGGATGTGGTGTTCATACGATAGCTGACATTGAGGCAATAGGGCATATCGAGATTGCAAAGAGCAATGGGTACGTTCCATCTCCCTAAACTCCGTCAGCGCATCGCCTGTCCTAATCCTCCTCAAACGTCGATTGCACCGAATACACCAAAGAAATGAATCGAAGGTGGTTGCTAACAAGGATTTATAGCAAACTGCCAGAAAAGAAGCGAGGAAAAATAAGCCATGGTTCGGTTGAATAGGGTGTAAGATGGAATACAAAATGGGTGTATCATATCTCCTCTCTGCGTAAGCATGGCGTATGGGTGTTATCTACTATGGGTGTACGCTACGGAACACAGCAGGTTTGATAGAATCAAACATTGCTAAGTAGGCGACACATGTCGGTGGTTGCGATCGATGTGGCTAAGCTGGGCATGCAACCCGACTCCTATGGACGCTGAGATAAACAGCATGGAACAGTCTAGGCTCAAGGATGCAGCGCGCGACGCAACATGAATGTTGATGTGGGATCAGCTCAAATCCTGGCCGTGGAATTGAGCCTATATATCTTGATCTACCACAGCAGCCATAGCTCCAGTAGAGCGCCTCTCCGCTTCAATCTTGCTGCAACTGTACACGGCTGACGCAGCTACAATCACGCAATCTGCTAGAGCTCCACACAACTAATCTAATCAGTGAGATCGTGCCTGTTTAATTGGGTCTCCTTCGCGGTGTGTTGCCTGAATAGCTGCCCTTGCATGAGTGGCTGTGCATCGGATCTATGAATACCCCACCACCCCACCGACCCCTCCATCTCCTTCGCTTTTATAAGCTCCGTCTTACCACCAAGCTCCCTCCACCTGTCACCATATGAGAACCTTTCTCCAACCCCATCGCCTTCAATCACTACACACATCTCGACTCTTTAGCACAACAGCACGCGCAATGGGTGTCCAGAAGACCGTCATCAGCGAGGGCAACGGCCCAACCCCTCAGAAGGGCGACCGCGTCACAATGGAGTACACCGGCTGGCTGCGCACCGCTGGCAAGCCAGAGGAGAAGGGCAACCAGTTCGACTCCACGACTGGAAGGGGTAGCTTTGTCACGCCGATTGGCGTTGGAAGGGTTATCAAGGGTGAGTGATCGGGTTAGTGAGATTTGTGACATGCAGCTAATAATGCTTACAGGCTGGGACGAGGGTGTCGTTCAGATGAAGCTCGGCGAGAAGGCGAGGCTGGACATCACTAGCGACTTTGCCTATGGTGATCAGTATGTGCCTCTAACTCGACATTTTGCCCACTGTGCTGACTTGACATAGGTCGTTCCCCGGTCTGATTCCTCCCCACTCGGATCTCATCTTGTATGTCTCAATGAATATAGTCACACTACTCAAAATGGCTATCAATACTAACTTTGGTATAGCGAGGTCGAGCTCAAGAAGATCAACTAGAGGAATATAGACTGGTGGCATCATGATTAGGTGTCTGGCATAAGAGGCTTCCAGCGTCCAGCGCCCTGCTTCGTGTCACTTATTCAGAACCGAATTAAACATAAGCGGCATTACTTGAATCAATGGATTGATTGTTGTTTTATAGTGATCCTCCATGTGCTTCTGCTTTTCTCCGTCTATTCATTTCTACCGCACTGTGCCACTGTGTCCATTTACCGTGACCAGTTTGAACACACTTGCTAGGAAGAACTGCCTTCATCCCGGGACCTCGCAATATCTACATGCATGTTTCTTGATTGCGATGCCAAGTGAAGGGGAGTGGGCGGGAATATTGTTAGCTGGCATAGCAGACCCGTGGACCTGGGCAAATGGTGGGGTTAGCGCGGATCGATCGCTGGAGCAGTCAGGAGCTCAAAACACCGCGCCCTGCAAACCAAGCGCCTCGCTTTTATATCCTATGATTATTGAGTGCATTTACTCTGGCTAGATAGAAAATTCAGCGTTCTATGTGTCCAATTGGACCCCACCAGCTTCAATTGGATCCACAGTCAAGCTTGGGAGCTGCAAGACGTGACATCACGACTGCCATGCGAACTACGGGATGCAGCCTCGAGAGCCGCTTGTGGAAGGGATGATGGTAGCACCCCTTTCAATAGCCTACGTGGTACGTTCACTCAACTTCAGCTCAATTGCTCTTCACGCTTCGCTCGTCACATCATCAGCCGTCGTCAATTGCTCACTGCATCCTTCAGTCATTCTCCCACTTTCGCTGCCCGGCTATCCACGATGTCTCTTGACAAAGAATCTGTTCTTGCCCTCGCGAACTCGAAATACAAGATCCCTCAACTCGGCTTCGGTGTATATCAATCGCCGCCAGCCACATGCGTCAAGTCGTGCTTGAAAGCCGTAGTAGCAGGCTATCGCCACATCGACACAGCGCAGTACTATGCGAATGAGACAGAAGTTGGGCGCGCGCGAGAGCAGAGCGGACTTCCGCGCTCAGAGCTCTACCTAACGTCCAAAATCCTTAGTCCAGCCGAAGACGTGGAATCGACATACAAGAAGATCGCTCAGAGTGTAGAGAAGCTTGACGGCCCGGCTGGATATGCGGATCTGTTCCTCATCCACAGCCCGAATGGCGGTGCAGAGGACAGGTCACGCATGTGGCAGGCACTAGAGCGGGCAAAAGAAGAGAACAAGGTGCGAAACATCGGCGTCAGTAACTACGGTATACAGCACATCGAGGAGATCAAGTCGATTGGCAAAACTTGGCCGCCAGCTGTCAACCAGATCGAGGTGTGTACTTTTCAGTATCTTTTTAAGCATTGACTAAATTACTGTAGCTCCACCCTTGGTGCCAACAGCGTGAAATAGTCGAATACTGCAAGAAGAACAACATCGTCGTCCAAGCCTACTGCCCGCTCGTCCGCAACGAGAAGTCGCACGATAAGACGCTACTCAGTATATCTGAGAAGCATCAAGTTGGACCGAACCAGGTACTGGTGCGATGGAGTCTGCAGAAGGGATATGTTCCACTACCGAAGAGTGATACGCCGAGCAGAATCGTCAGTAATGCCGACGTCTACGGCTTTGAGCTTGATAAAGAGGACATGGCCAAGCTGGATGGACTGGACCAAGGTAAGAAGGGGGCCATTGTGCAGGCCGTTAGTAACGAGTAGCGATTGAAGTTGGGTAGAAGGCATGGGCATCTCCCTTGCCAACTGCGGCGGAGGAGACTCCATGATCTCGTATAGATATGGACTGGTTTTCTGTTGAGATGAATCTATAGCTAGAAGAATACGACATGTTGAAATCTTCAATCAATCCACATCCTTTTAAAGAATATGAATTTCACGGCATTATGAGCACTACTCCGGCGAACCAGCTGAAAACCAACCAGCCATTCCGACCCCGCAGCACAACGACCTCCAAGCCCCACTTCGCCACACAAAACGCGTCAAAAAAACACTCCCATCTCTCTGATTAGTCGAAGAACCCACCAGTCGCGCTTTCCGTAGTTTTCCGTAATTCTTCCTTCCAGCTTCCCTACTATATATACTCAATTGTTCACTATTCTCCCAACAACGAACTGGTTTTGTAGTGTAGGTTCCCACCAACACTTCTCCAACTTGCCCCCGCTAATAGCCTGATAGGTAGCGGTTATCACTCCGGATTCTGATATCTCTCAGAGTCTTCCGGCAACCCCGGTTCGATTCCGGGCAAGACCTTTATTACTTTTTTGCTTTTTTTTGCACCTTTTTTGCTCTACTTGGCGTTTGAGAAAAAGTTAGTGGTGGTATGGGAGATTTTTTTGGCGGATATTTATTTACATAGGTGCCAGCTGGTATCACGGAGTCAGATAAGTCACAATGAATCAAAGAATTTGGGAAACTTGTTGATTTCCTGCTCCAATCCTGTCCACCTAACCTATTTACAAGTCATGGCAACGTGTTGCGCTGCTGATATCATTACTCACTAAGACATACCTATCCATAATAGCCGTCGTTAAGAAGAAGACAAGAAGAATAAATAGAAGGAGAAGAGAAGAATGCGAGGCTGCGCAATGCAAAGGGCATGCCGCCTGGTATCACAAAAAAGACACCTGACTAAACAGATAAAATGCGCGAACGCTGGGAGAACGGAGCAAAAAGGCGCCAAAGCGCAGGACAATCAATCAGCAGAAGAACTTGTACACCTTCTTCCACTTTGGCCACCGCTTCCGCTCCTCGCGCTCCTCTTCGATCAGCTCTTGCAGGTTCAGCTCTCGGATGCCGGTGACGAGATCCATGTTGTGGGATCGCACAATGGACGTGCGGAACCATAGTTTATAGGGGAAGTAGAAGGCGAGCGTGACGGGGAGGGCGAGGTATACGCTGAAGAAGCGCTGCAGGCGGCCCGAGGTGGTAAACTCGGCTGGATGGAAGGGCACGACAGAGACGTAGAACTGGGCGACGAGGACGAGGCAGTTGAGGAAGAGGCCGATGTAGGAGCCGATGACGCCGGGCTGGGAGCGGAAAGCGAGCTCGTCGAGGCTGTGGCCTTGGGTCTTCCAGCCCTGGCGGAAGCGGATGTGCGCTAGGCAGATGGAGAGCCATGTGAAGACGGCGGATAGCGCGGACAAGGCGAGCAGCCAGTTGAAGGCTTCGTCTTGGAGTTTGCGGTCTGCGCCGGCGAGGAAGGCGAGCAGGCCGAGCGAGGAGGCAAAGGCGATGGACACGAGAGGGCGGCCCTGGCGGTCGATGTAGGCGAAGATCCTGGGTGCTTGGTGCTGCTCTGCGAGAGCGGCGAGCGTGCGCGAGGATCCGTAGATGGACGAGTTGCCGACGGAGAGTACGGCGATCATGATGACGGCGTTGAAGACCGAGGGTAGGCCTTCGATGCCAGCGTTCTGGATGGCGATAACGAAAGGTGAAGCCACGGCATCAACGCTGTTGCTGTTCTGCAGAAGCCGCTTCTCGTCGTAGGGTACCAAAAGGCCAACCATGGTCAGCGAGACGATGTAGAAGAGCGAGATGCGCCAGAAGACCTGCTTGACCGCCGTGGGCAGCGACTTTCGCGGGTTGGCTGTTTCTGCTGCGGCGAGACCAACGAGCTCGGTTCCGGAAAAGGCAAAAGCAGCATTGACAAACACACTGCAGAGGCCTTTGAAGCCATTGTTGAATGCACCGGGTTGGCGCCAGAACTTGCCGCCAATGTAGCCGCCCTCAGGGCCGCCGCCGATGTTGATGATGATGCCTAGGATGATGAATCCAATCACGGCTGTGATCTTGATGATGGCAAAGACAAACTCGGCTTCACCGTATCCTTTAACACTAATGGTTGTTAGTAAGAGAGCCTTGGGTTTAGTGGAGTTGCGTGACATACCCAAAAAGATTGATGATGATGACCAAGACCAGGAAGATGGCTACCCAGGCGTTATTATTGACGGATCCGCCGTTCCAATATTCGATAGTGAAGGTAGCGGCGACGATCTCGAGTGGTAGTACAACAAGCCATTGCAGAGCATAATTCCAACCCATGGCAAAGCCCCATGCTGGGTCCAGGAAGCGAGTCGAGTAGGCTGAAAAGGAACCGGCGACAGGGAACAATACTGCCATTTCGCCTAGGGCGTGGACAGTGCAGTACAGCATGATACCGACTAGACAATAGGCAATGACGAGCGATGCTGGACCGCCGTTGGCCAAGGCTTGCCCTGAACCGACGAAGAGACCAGTACCTATGAATGTTAGCACGGACGATCAACATTTCCAAAAAAACCACGTGGGAGAAGCATACCTATAGATCCTCCGATGGCGATCATTTGCAAATGGCGGCCTTTGAGTCTTCGCGCAAGGGGCGAGTTTGCCGTGTTCGCAGCAGCGCTCTCGACGTCGAAGACCTTTCCATCCGCGCCCATGGTTCCCTTTGGCGTCATGGCGAAATTGGGATCCCTCTTGAAGCTCTCGATGACCCTCCTCCCGATGCCGTCCTGGAACCGTGACGATTCGCCATAGCAGTCTGAATTTTGCGATGCTCTTCCAAAACTCTTCTCTGTTCCGTACATGTCGTCCTCGATGGTCATGTTGGGTGGTGGGTGGCGCAACGGGCGCGATATGACACAGCAACGAGACAGTGCGCGATAAAAAAGAAAAAGAAAAAAGAAGTGCAGTGGTTCGGTGTTGGTAACCGTGCAGCCGTTGGAGGTCTGCTTTTTCCTTGTGTGAGGGGTCCCGAGTTGGAGAGAGAGAGAGAGAGAGATGCGGATGAGTGTGCCTATGGTGCTGATGTCTGGGGTGGCCGGGCTTGGACGTATTCTTGAGCGCGAGCTCGCAGGGCAGAGGCGGCAGGGATTGTGGGTGACAGGGTCCCGGCAGCTGGGTTGAGTGGCTTCTAGTCAAAGGCGCCGGGATGGTGACGGGATTTGGCCTAGCAGAGGAGGCCCTTTATCGCGGCGCCAGCGCGGGTGCTTATTGGATTTTAATGCGTTAAGTTAGACGACGGCCAAGTGGTGCCAAAGTGTGACCTCTCTGTGACATGCAGTCCGCGTGGGCGAGGGCAAACAGGAGTCCATTTTGACGCTTCACAGCAGTCCATTCACAGCGAGTGCAAGCAGACGATGGCGACAGAGTGGGGGCCTGATCTATCATCATCTATCCATGTCGCCAATGTCTCTCCCACACTTATCAGCAATAGCGTCCTTCGGTTCGCGGCACACACCGAACTGGGGACTTCACCACCACCACCAAATGACACCCTGTCACTTGCAGCAGCAATGGGTGGTACTCTCGCCGTGTCAATCCACCATGCCTCGGCGTCGAGTGCGGTAGTTGGTGGCGCCTGCCTTCTCGAATACATGGCTTCCTTATCGAGCGGGCGATACGGGCGACGACTCTTGCGGCATGTGCTCGCATGCTCACTCCCAAGACACTCCAGGATGCAACTTGAACATGGCTCTGTGTCTTCCTGACTGCGCGTCCTATTCACAGTTCGACTTCACGTCTTCACTCACGTCTTCACTGGCCGTCGTGCCAAATACAATCACCCGCCTCGTCGTGCTCATTTGGTGGGAGACTGCCCCTCCTTTCGCCAATACGAGCTTCCAATGTATCCGGGGCAGAGACATGAACCCAACCTCGACCCCGGTACGCATTGCAGCTGTACATAGCGCGCGCTGCACTGGTTCGTTTAGCCGCTGTTCAGCACCCATCGAACCGCTGCAGTCAGCTCGCCGCGCCGCAATACGAGCTCCCCCAACGTCGGCAAGACGGGTAATTCATCTTGTGTCCCACCAAACATGTCGCTTCTCTACTGCTCTCGTACAAATTGCTGCTAGACGCAGGGGCGGCCAGGTGCCTCTAATCTAACCTCGTCTTCTCGAACCACATCACATGCAGGTACAGTACAGGCTGCGATGAACAATCTCAGGCGCGTCTCGATGAGCGGGAAATGCCTCGCCGCAGTTCCATTTCCTCTACCAATTCATTCTTCCGTCGAACCGGGCCGTCTGACTGAATAGGTTCGAGCATACGGCCTGCCTTGCTTGCTCACTGCATCAACACCAGTTCACTCGTTGCGATTCTGCCTGCATCTGTGACACAGTTGCCATTTCCCAAATCAGTCAGACACATCCGCCCATGCACCCGACAGCTCGGCTTGCCCTACCCACACCAAGTCAATAGTCCACCCTCTCCATCACTGTCTCACAAACCGAGAGCCTCCCTATCATAGCCGAAGTCACATGTCCATGGCGAAGTCACATGCCCATGGCCAAAGTCGCTTGGGACTTGATGTCGCTGTCACTGCCTGCCTGTCCTGGTCAAGTCGCAAAGGCCCAACGCGCCCGGTAATAAGCCACCCGCAACGTCTAGGTCGAATCCTTCGACGCCTCCTCCGTGATTTCGCAATCGTGCGGCATTTTCCTCCTCTGAGAGGCGAACGCCTGCAGAACTCGGTTCTCACCAGCAAGTAGCGTCACCGTTTGGCGAACCAGTGCGTCGGCGGAGCGTTTGCCTTTGGTTTCTAGTGGCCTTCTACGGTACAGTCGCGCATATGCATACGGCCTATGCGCTGATTGACCGTCCCGTCCCACCTTGCGTCGTTGAAAGCTCATCGACACTGCTCTCCATGTCCCGTCATCCAAGACATCTCACTCACTCAATCGACTCCACTTGTTGTCTGCTGGCCTGTCTCACTACCCTTCAGTGCATATACAGGGCGGATGGGAGTACACAAATACCTCGCCTACCACCAGATCCGATGCCTCGTCACCCAACCTCGTCTTTACTGCCTTGCTTCTACACCGCATCTCCAGATTGAAACGCCACATCCCACACTCCGGGTCCTGGTCTTCTAATCGCGTGCCCATCACATGGCAGTCCTGCTCAGTGCTCAGTGCGCAATGCCAGTGCGCAAAGCATAGACTCTCAGTTTGAAGGCGGCACCACTTCCCTTTCTGGAATCCATAGGCGACAGCATGTCACTGGAGCATTATCACCACGTACACTGAATCGCGAACCCAGCGCATGCTCATGCCGGCAGTCAGGAACTTGGTGATCCTCGACGGTGCGTCGGATCTTCCTGCGCTGGCGATCGGCTCCTCGGAGGATTTCGAGGGAGGGACGGACGCAGTGTAGCGTGACACTGCTGCCATTCAATGCAACTCACTACTCCAGCTGTTCGCCCGACGCAACAACACCTCGTATATCGGACTTTCGTACACCTTTTCCCAAGCTAAGCATTGCCCCTACTGACTCAGCTGTTGTACTATCGTTGCTACACATACGCGGGTCCTTGTGCATGGTAGCCCCGCGTTATCGAATTTGGGCATTGGTATATTGGCAAAGTATTGAAGACTTCTAGTAGGCCCTGAGTAACCCAGGCGATTGAAGTCCGTCTACCCAGACAACGTATTCCCATATCAGAGCATACTCAGCTGATGACACCACGTTCTGCGTTGGTCAAGCTGCTCCCTTGTTTCGACATCACAGGCAAAAGAGTGACATGTACAAACGGAAAACGACTCTGCTTCAGCTCACCTCACCTCTTTATATACACAGTCTGCATCTATTTCGCCCCTGTGAACAAAACCCCCTATACCTACGTAGTGACTAACAGACCGAAGCCATGCACGATAAAACCACCTTTCGCTGTCATATACATCTCGTGAAGAATTAAGGGTAACAAAAAAAAAAGTCAATGATTAGAAAAGTAGAAAGGGAAAGAAATGAACAAGGTAACCAAAGTGCCAAACGGCCCTTGCCACAAAAGTAAAAGGTGACCACGTCTCCCTCAAAGAAGTCTATACAAAAAAAAAGGTGGAGCGTAAAAACGCAAAACGTGATGAAGCAGTGTTCGCTTGAGATAGGCGGCTGAAAAATGAAGAGAAGAAACAAAAAAGAAAAGCCACCAGATCCAAACATGTCTTACAATACCGTCCAATATACACGTCAAACCCATATATCAACATATCAACACATGGCAATCACCTCCTCCTCTTGACGAACCGCTCAATGGCCCATCATCTCAAGGCAGTGTCCTCTACGCCTTCTCTTTAGGCGGAGTAGGCGGCGGTTTCTCCTCCTCTTCTTCCTCGACAAACTCGCCCTCTTTCAACTGGCGACTAAAGTCCACCACTTCAATGTCCTCTTCCTCCTCTTCCTCTTCTTCTTCCTCGGTAATGCCCATGATCTCGCCACTGCGCCTGCCTTGCACGCTCTGGGTCCTACTCCCCCCGTCGCTGCGACCGCGCCACCCGGGACTGCCTTGGGTGTTGACGTTCAGCGAGGGGCCCTTGAAGGGACTTCTCTTCCGTTTGGCGAAGATGAGACCGGGGGATGCAGGGGGGCCGGTGGAAGACGTGCCGAAGGCGAAGCCGCCTTCGTTGAAGGAAGAGGGCACGCCTGCGCGCACGAGACGGATGTTGGAAGGGAAAGTGGACGAGGTAGGTGTTGCGGGGAGGACCTTGATGCTGTTATGCGGACTCTTGGTTATCTTGTGGCCATGTCCTGATAGAGACACAGCAGGTGAGGTAATCGATGCGGAGGATGTTGAAGACGCTTTCGAGTGCGAGTGGTGGTGGTGCGGCATACTGCGGATCGACGATACCGACGAAGACGTGGATTTTCGGCCTCGCAGACCGCCCGAGGAGCGCCGGTACGAGGAGCGTGGTGTGAGTGGCGCGGGAGACGCTGATAGTCGTCGTACGGAGCCGGAGCCATGCGTGGATACACGAGCTCGGGGCGTGACTTGCGCCGTCGGCGTGAGACTCGAATTCGTATGTACCGATGTGCGGTTCGCGGTGCTCAAACGTCGCTTCGAGTCTGGTGATTTACTTTCTGGTATCTTCGGGCTCTGTCCGCTACTTGCTTTTGAGTTTGGCGATCGAGCGCGTTTCGATGTTTCTTTTATCCAGTTTCTGAGCGACAAGAGGTGGTCAATGAAGGGCTGTTTCCTACGTCGTTGTTTGGGTACAAAGCCGTTCGGATGAAGGAGGTCCGAGTTGGTGGAAACGACTTGCAGCATGCTACTACGTGATCGTCGCCTGTCGAGATCCTTCGCTGGCGGTCGAGGCCGTGACGACGAGTCTGAGCCACGGGCTTGGTGGCTACCGATTGGCGGGAGAGGCTTTTCGGAGCGAAGGCTGGGTGTCGAGCCGGATTCTGGGAGGCGAGGGAGATCTGGCGCGCCTGTATGAATTAAGAAGAGTCCGTCCAATGTTGAGCGGGTGATACGAACCATGAAGACTTCGCCGATTCGTAGTCCTCCCTCGACTCTTTGGTTGATCACTGGGCATCTTCGAGGCAAAGCCCTCCTCGTCCATCTCTCTAATTGTAGGCGCGATTTTGTCCAAACGACTGCTTGCAGCACTTAACCGCCGCAAGCTCTTCGCTTCCGCCTCCCTCTCTTTACGCTTGCGCTCCCGTCTCTTCGCCTTCCTCTCCTCCTTTTCCAGCAGTAGTGCCCACCAGCCAGCCAAAGCATCGCATCGCTGCGCCAGGACGTTCTCAATCACCATATCGATATCGACCCCAGCGGCGCGCATCCGATGAAGCACTTCCTTCTCCAACTCGGTCGAGAAAGGTGCGGGCTGTTGCAGTTTCAGCGTTTCTTGTTGGCGCGGCGCGTGTTCTGACAACCACGGATTCTGTAATATGTCGGCCAATGACGGTCTCAGTATTGGCCGTTTCGATAGCAGCGACTGGCACAGCTCTCTTGCCTGCGGGGGAAAATTCTCCGGGTATGTAGGCTCTTCCTTCAATATCTTCGCCTTCGTGATCATCTCATCGTCATCGTCAAACGGCAATTCGCCCACCAGCAGCGCATATAGAATGATTCCCAGACTCCAAACATCCACCCTTTCTCCCGCATACTTTTCGCCCTTTAGCATCTCCGGCGCGCTGTAGCACACAGTCCCGCACCATGTCTGCAGATAGTTGCTCTTGCCCTCATATTCCCTCGTGAACCCGAAATCGACCAACTTCACGTCTCCGTGTTTGTCCAGCAGGATGTTCTCGAGTTTCAGATCGCGGTGGACGCAGGACTTGTTGTGCACGTAGGACACGGCGCCGACAAGCTGTGTGAAGATGCGCTGGACTTTGGAGGGTTCGAGAGCGCCCTTTGCGAGGAGATAGTTGTACAGCTCGTCTCCTGGACAGTATTCGAGGACGAGCCAGACCAGCGTCTCTGTGACTATGACCTCGTATAACCGGGCGATATGCGGGTGTATGAATTGGCGGTGGTGGTGGATCTCTCGCGCGAGATTGGTGTCGTCTTTCTTCGCGCTCTTGAGCACGACCTGTCCGCAATTAGCTCGTCTCCCGTTGTACCGTTATGCCGTCCTCGCAGTCGTACCTTGGACCCATTGCTGAGCTTATGCGTTGCCAAATAGACCTTTCCAAAGCTACCTTTGCCGATAAGTTTCCCTAGCGTGTAGTTTCCTACCGTCTTCAAGTCTGTCGCGGCGAATTCACTATTGTCGCACGGTCAATACCACACCCAAGATTGGGAAGCGCATTGGAGCGCAGGCGGGGGAAGCTTACTCGAGGAGCTGTTTATACGAATTCGCGAGCTGCTATTCTCAGTCTCAGCATACGGGCTATGACGCTCAAATGACTTTTGTCGGGGCGAGGGTACGCGCAGGGCCGACGGATACTAACATACCTTCTTCCGCTGGGCCTGAATCTCAGCCTGAGCTCTGAGATTTGACTGCATGGAATGCGCCGCTGCGAGGTGGTGTCGACTGCCGAAGCAGCGTCATCTACATATGTGACTTTGGGTTTAAAGGCGGCAGCAATGATGGGGCTCCAAGATCCGGTGGGGCGGTTGACAGATTGAATCCAAGGATAATGATAGTAGTAGACCGGCGGCCGAAATAGCAAGTCGGATACGCGGTTATGGTGGAGATACGGCTACTGGTGTCCGATGGTCTGTCTCCTGAGCTTTGTGATGGATTCCTACAGCGGCACGGAACCCTGCGTAGATCCCGCTCGGCTGGGATGTTTAGGCCTGACAGCTGAAAGTCTGTGGCAATTACATCACGCCAGCAGACACTGTTGTTTATTGCAGAGCACAAGACAATAATGTTTGTGCAACGGACCCCACGAGAATTGAGCCGAGATGGTGATCTTTGGATCCACGTTGGAAACGATTGAATGTCAAATGTCAGGTTACACGAGATGTCACCAACCACGGGTTCGCAAATATTAGAATACCAACGTACATTGTACTTGATATGGAAAATAACAACACCAGATTTGAACGTGAAGAAGACGCTCAATTGCTAAAAATTACAGCTTGCTACTTGGGCCCCCAATGTACGTTTGCCCTAGCTTCAGCATGTCCACCGCCTCCTTGACCATCTCCTCCACAATCTCCTTTGCAGGCTTAATGTCCGTAATAACCCCGCTGACCTGGCCCATCAAAAACGGAATATCCACATCCTTCCCATCATCCATATCCTTGGCCAACGGCACAATCCCCGCGTCGGTCAACTTCTTGATCTCAGCCTCCCTCTCATGCCACTCGTTAATATAGTCGTTGTACCGAACCCTGAGAGGCCGACCGCTGACGACAAGGGTCCGACCAGTATCGCTGAAATCTGCGCTGACCACGTTCTCTTTGTGCATTTGTGAACATCCCGCCTCCGTGGAAGCAACAAATCGCGTGCCAACCCATACACCCTGCGCGCCCTGCATCAAGCTGCTCGCGAGACTTCGCCCGTTGTATATACCTCCTGCCGCGACGACAATGGCTGTCTGGCCTGTGAGAGGGCTCTTGTATTGGCGGGCTACGTCCACCACCGAGGGAATGAGGATGCTGTTCGCGATGTCGCCCGTGTGGCCTCCTCCTTCTCCTCCCTGTGCACAAACAATATCCACGCCAGCATCCAGCGCCTTCTTTGCGTGCTTGGGATGCCCAACCATATTCATTATGAGAATGCCTGCTTCGTGAAGCTGCTTGATTGTTCGCGCGGGTGGTACACCGACAGCGCTGACGAATAGCTTTGCGCCATTCTTGATTGTGACCTCAATCAGCTCATCCAACTGTCCATGCGTGTAGTCGTGGTTGGTCTTGCGCGCGCTGCCGCCGACCTGGGGGAGGGCGAGGTCGACGCCGAAGGGTAGAGACTGGTCTCTGAGGTTGGACTTGAGGTCGTCGATGATCGATTGGAGCTGCGCGGGAGTGTAGCCTAGACCACCAATAACGCCGAGGCCCCCTGCGTTTGAGACAGCAGCGGCAAGGGGGCCGCCTGATGTTCGTGCCATACCAGCGAGGATGATGGGGTATTGAATCCCCAAAAGCTTCGAGAGCGGCGTTTGGAGGGACGGTGTTGACATGGTGGAATTGTGCGATAATCTGGGTACAATGAAGATGCAAGCTGAACAAGTACTAAGGTGGACGTATCAAGAACATGTATAGACGGCATGAAGCCAGGGGACCTGTACTACCACACGAGAACATGACGAGTGTGGGGATGTTGTTGCTAAATACATAGCGGCAGCGGTCAGCCTTCACATACAAGGGTCCTGCGGGGAAAACATGCGGATTTGGGCCTCGGCACGGACTTATCGACTCGACCACCCCAGCCACTTATGCAAACTTGCATCACAGTTGCTGAATATTGTCATGTTTTCTAATAGAGCTGTCAGAGACCTCGATGGCTTGTTTTCCTCTCCAAGATAGCTAGGAGTCAATTATGCACTGGTAGGATGTATAAATGTGAGAGAATATTAGGAAAGTGAGTAGTTATTGCGTTTGTCATTGCCTGGGATCATAGTATACACATCTTGGGCTACCTAGCCAAGGTGAGGTGCACCAAGGGTCTTCAAGTCTTTGTCCAAATTATGAGTATTGCATCCGAAGCTCGCTGACCAGCATATCGAACATTACGCTCGCACGACTGGGTGGCTCGTCATCAAGATGTTCGAAAAATTTGGAAATCTTTGGCTTTAGGCTTGAAGGGCGCAGAGCAGCAAACTGTGGAGCAGACGGGACTTGAGACACTATAACATGGCTATTAGCGCTTGACTCCATTCATTTGCCCATTGACCTGTTTATGGCCATTCATCTTCCCCTGCGCAATGGTTTGTGGCGGCGGCGGAGGTGGTGGTACAGGTCCAAATGGCCGACGTTCGGGTACAGGTTCGACGGCATCGTCTTCCGTCTCATCGTCGTATTCCCCGCTGCCTTCTTCATCCTCCTCATCTTCGTATTCGTACTCACTCTCCGTGACCTCCTCGTCCTCTTCTAGATCCTCGTTCATCGGAACCTGACCGCGACCCTGTGCTTGCATTCCTCGACATAAAGTTTCGAGTCGAGCAATCTTCTTGCGCTGATCTTCTGATTCCTTGGTCTTTCGTGCGAGCTCTTCCTGCATTTTGTGACGTTCTTCAACCATCTCGCCGATGTTCCGGTTTGTGATTTCCTTGTGGCGTTGTAGATTTTGGTTTTCTTTTTCCAGGCGTTTGGTTTTTTTTGACATCTCCTCCATCTCCTTGCGGAACGTGAGAAACAAGTCGTTTGAATTGTTGAGTGTTTCCTCAACCTGCATCTAGTCAGTATTAACCAATATGCTATTGACCAACGAGGGAGAACCATGAGCAACTTACCTGCTTGAACTTTTCGACGTAGATGTTGAGCTGTGTGCGGAGTTCGGTTTCGGTTTGTGAAAAGGTCGAGACCTGACGGGTCAACTGATGTGACTTTGACGATTCGGCTTCCTGTTGTTTGCGTTGCTGCTCCAACCGAGCCATCTGGTACTGTATCTCAAGCTCCTTGGTGCGGAGTAATGAATGAAACTGAAGCTCGCGTAACTCATACTGGTCGATGAATGACTTGAACTTTTGTCGAAACCTGAGACTCTTAGTTGACGTTGTGTGCGACCAGTAGCATAGACTTACAACTCATCCAGTTCCAAATCTGCTTGGTTCTGGGGTTCTGGCCCGTTCGCGGCTGCAATACAATCATCGACATCAGCTACAAGGTGCTCGAGTCGTTCGTGTAATTCTTGCCGGGCGGTCGACTCGCTAGTCTCGAGCTTGTGCAACTCGTCCTTGAGTCTCTTGTTCTCTTTGGCGAAGTCACGCGACAGCTTGTCCAACTTGTCCTTCATTGTGGTGACCTTGTTCAGCTCCGACCTTTGCGCATCCTTCTCTTTTTGTAACTGATCTCCGCGCTTCTTTGCCTTTTGATGCTCGCGTTCGGTACGCTTCATATCGGACAGCAGCTCTGTATACCGCTTCTGCACCACCTCGAGGCGTGACAGGGGCCCGTCCATGTTCGAGAGGAGGGAGGAGAGTTCACGGTTCGCTTTCTTGACTTCGCGCTCTGTCACAACCGATACGTCAGCCAGGATTCATCTCAAGTGTTGCCCGACGCCCACCAAATGTGCACACATGCGCTGCGCCACTCGACGTCTTGTCTGCCGGCGCATCTCCATCACAAATCACGAGTAGACGCACCAATTTCAAGCTCCTGCTCCTTGTCACCTGCCTGGTCCAGTTCAAGTTGCGCAATCTTGGCCTGTATCTGTTTCTGCTGCTCCGAGGGATCTGGCGCCTTCTTGCCCTTGCCCTTCTTCGCGGGTGCCGGCGCCGGCGGCGGAGCGTGCTGTGTGGAGGCCATGTTTGCGGGAGAGGCAGATGCACTGCGACTGGCTTCGTGATGCGGACGGGACTGAGCAGACGTCGGCTGGCGCTGGTGCGCTACGGTTGCCATGAGAGTCGTGACTGTGCCGTGGCAGCGCTACAGCTACGTGGATCCCCCTCGTAACCACCGCACGCGATCCGCAGTCCTCCACCTATACACCCAGGTTCAAAGATTCCGCGCACAGCTCTCTATGCAGTCGTGTTGCGCATCCGTGATTGTAAGGGCGGGTCGGGTTCGTTGCAATGCGCGTCGTGGTGAGGGATCTGTCCGCTGACGTCGCGGAACTGCTTGGGTCGGATAGATAGCGAGTCCCCGCCGGCGTCCAGCAGAGCAGATGGGCGTGGTACGATAGAGGAGTACAGTTGATGCAGCGCGCGTGCTCGAAAAAAAGGGTGATCGGGCAGTGTCTCGTGGCGGAGGTGTCTTCTTGGGGTGTCTACGGAAGGAGGGGAGCAGAGACTTGGGTGGTTTCGTTCCGTCAGGGAACGAAGGCAAGGACAGGACACGAGCTCCACAACTCCACCACACCCTCAAGCTTCAATTTCACTCTCTATCTCGATCTCAGGTCTCAATGAGCCACTATGCTATCTCACCTGCCACAGACCGCAACATTAGCCCGTACAACCTGCACCACGCTGCTGCGTCTTAGTAATTTTGCGGGCTAAACTCAATGGGTGCCTGGCGGCTTCGGCCAATCGGCGTTTGAGGGCGCGTCATTCACGCAACTCTCATTTTCTGTGCCTTCGAGTGGAGGACTAGCCTTGCGACATTCCACCATCCATCTCGAATAACTATGCTACGCTCCGCTCGTTGGCAGCTCCAGAAGCCTCGGATAGCGCAGGCGAACCTACTGCGGTCCACGTGCCACAACCGGCGAGGATATGCGGCAGTAACAGATGTCTCCAACTTTCCCAACGTGGGAGAGCAGCTCCATGGCTTCACTCTCAAGCGCCTCAAGCAGGTCCCCGAGCTCGAACTGACGGCTCTGCACCTTCAGCATGACAAGACTGGCGCCGAGTATATGCACATTGCCCGCGACGATGCGAACAATGTCTTCTCTATTGCCTTCAAGACCAACCCACCAGATGCCACTGGAGTGCCGCATATATTGGAGCACACCACACTATGTGGCAGTGAGAGGTAGCTAGACCCTCCAGTCGGACTCTGTATATCGCTGACAGCCCAGGTATCCTATCCGCGACCCCTTCTTCAAGATGCTTCCGCGCTCCCTGTCCAACTTCATGAACGCCTGGACTTTCGCCGACTTTACCGGCTACCCTTTTGCCACGACGAATGCGCAGGACTTCAAGAACCTCATGTCGGTATATTTGGATGCGACACTACATCCGCTCTTGAAGGAGAACGACTTCACACAGGAGGGGTGGCGCATAGGGCCCGAGAACCCAATGGCTGCCGAAACCGATGACCCAAGCGCAAAACGAATCGTGTTCAAGGGTGTCGTGTACAATGAGATGAAGGGCCAGATGTCGGACGCAAGTTATCTTTTCTACACAAAATTCCAGGAGCACCTCTACCCCGCCATCAACAATTCCGGCGGCGACCCCCAGAAGATCACCGACCTCACGTGGGAGCAGCTGCGGACGTTTCACGCGGACCATTACCATCCCAGTAATGCCAAGATTTTAACATACGGAGATATGCCTTTGGTCGAGCATTTGAAAGAGGTGGACAGTCGGCTAAGTGGGTTCGACAGGATACCCGTGGATCAGGAAGTGAAGGCGCCGATAACATTGGATGGTCCAAAGCAGGTCATAGTACCCGGTCCCTTGGATCCTTTGGTACCTCAGGATAGGCAGTACAAGACATCAGTCACCTGGATGATGGGTGACACTGCCGATTCGGTAGAGAACTTTGCGCTCGGAGTGTTGAGCAGCTTGCTGATGAACGGATACGGATCGCCACTATACCGCAACCTTATCGAATCAGGTCTCGGGGCGGACTTTAGCGCAAACACTGGCTATGATAGTGCAGGCCGCCGTGGTGTCTTCTCTATCGGGCTCGATGCCGTCAAGGCAGAAGACGTAGTTAAGGTTCGCGAATCTATTGCTAAGACCTTCCTTGAGGTGCGAAAGAACGGCTTCGACAAGATCAAGGTCGATGGAATCCTACATCAACTGGAACTGTCCCTAAAGCATAAGACGGCGAATTTCGGAATGGGCATCTTGCAGAGACTGAAGCCCAGTTGGTTCAATGGTATCGACCCAATGGAGTCGCTAGCGTGGCAGCAAACAGTCGATGCTTTCCAAAACAAGTACGCGGAAGGCAACTATCTGGAGAGTCTCATCGAGAAATATCTACTCAACGACAACGCCCTTACCTTCACGATGCAACCATCGGAAACCTTCAGCCAGGAACTAGTAGATGAGGAGAGTCGACGACTGGCGGCGAAGATCCTTGAAACTACAAAGCAATTTCCGAGCGAAGAGGAGGCACGGCAGTACCTAGAGAAACGGGAGTTGCAGTTGCTTGAAGTGCAAGAGAAGGCAAGAACTGAGGATTTGAGCTGCCTGCCAACGGTACACGTGAAGGATATTCCACGAGAGAAGGAGCGGAAACCTCTTCGTCATACCGACATGAACGGTGTGAAGGTGCAGTGGCGCGAGGCACCTACCAATGGGCTCACCTACTTCCGCGCTGTTCACAAGTTACATGATCTTCCGGATGAGTTAAGAGAGATGATCCCCTTGTTCACTGGCGCCATCATGCGTCTGGGTACCAAAGACAAGACAATGGAACAGCTTGAGGAGCTCATCAAATTGAAGACTGGTGGTATTTCGGTCGGATATCACTCCTCGCAGTCACCGCTCTCGCTCACCAGCTACGAGGAAGGCCTGGCCTTCTCCGGCTATGCGTTTGATCGCAATATACCAGACATGTACGAGCTCCTTCGGACGATCATACAAGAGACGGATTTCAACGGACCAGAAGCTGAGAAGAAGATTCGCGAGCTGCTCCAGAGTTCAGCGAGCGGTGCCATCAACTCAATCGCTGAATCTGGGCACTCTTATGCTATGAGATTTGCCGAGGCTGGCATAAGCCCTACTGGCCGACTAGCAGAAGAAACAGGAGGCCTCACTCAAGTCAAGCTCATGACAACCCTGGCGTCACAGGAGTCGCTCAGCGACGTCATCCAGAAACTCAAAGCCATTCAAGCCTTCACCATCGCGAACAGCAATCAACTTCGCGTAGCCCTGAACTGCGGCGCCGAAAGCTCAACACCTAATCAAGAAGCACTCCAACGCTTCCTATCCACCTTACCTAAGAACGTCACCGTCCCAACATCATCTCAACAAGCGCAATATCCCCGAAACGCAAAGTCTTTCTTTCCCCTCCCCTATCAGGTCTACTATTCCGCGCGCGCCGTCCCAACAGTAGCCTACACCGACGCCTCCAGCGCACCGCTCGAGATTCTAGCCAAGCTCCTTACTTTTAAGCAACTACATCCTGAGATTCGCGAAAAGGGCGGTGCCTACGGAGGCGGTGCCTACGCACGGGGGCTCGGTGGTCTGTTTGGCATGTACTCCTACCGTGACCCTAATCCGCAGAACAGCATGAAGATCATGTCCGAGGCAGGACAGTGGGCGCGCGATCGCGTGTGGGTGGCTCAAGATCTTGAGGAGGCGAAGCTCAGCGCCTTCCAAGGGTACGATGCGCCGCAGAGTGTTAGTCGAGAGGGAATGAGGCTGTTCTTGTCTGGTGTGACGGACGATATGCTGCAGACACGACGAGAGCGCTTGCTTGATGTTACGGCTGAGCAGGTGCAGGCTGTGGCTGACGAGTTCCTTGTCAAGCGGGCTACTGAGAGTAGTGTGGCTATCCTTGGAGAGAAGAAGGATTGGGTCAGCCAGGCTAATGGCTGGGAGTTCCGTGATTTGGGCATGGCAGCGGAGAAGATTGAGGAGATTGCAGAGGCGCAAGAAGAGGGTGCTGCGGCTGCGGCGAACTAATTGCATTGTAACCATGTACAGCACATGTATCATACTCAACTCTAGCATCATTATCGGCGTTTGGCAAACATTGGGTAAGTGAAAATGCATAGCAAGTCGTTCTTCCCTCTCTCAACTCCTCGCTCTTCTTTCCTTCTCTCACCTTGTCGGCTGAACGATTCTCCGTTCCTTGAATATAAGGTTGCCCTCTCTCACTTAACTTCTTCTTCTTCCTTCAACCAGCGCATCAGAACAGACCCGCAGGCGTCCAGTAAGCTCTCCATTACTGTGACGACCTGCGCCTCTAACGAGGATTACGCGCAAGATCAATCGCCGTGTTATCTACCCAGTCTTCTCACGAGGGCTTGGGAAGAAGCACTAAGCACTCACTTTCAGAACCGCCTGTTTCGAGCGAGATTCTTCTCCTGGCGGACTAAATGTGGGGGTACATTATGACATTGTTGTTCAAGCAGTGGTGAGGATGGTGTGGTGGGAGTTGCCCTAGGTGGGATGTATGCGTGTATGGTTGGGTATATACAGCTATCTATTTACAATTCGATCTGCGCTTCTTGCTTTCCACTCTGTTGCTCCTGTCTCACCTCGGTTGCCTTGACGATCAACCGCCTGTAATCCAACACCGCCTGCTCAAGCTCCTTCCTCTTCAGCGCTTCGTGGTCTGAGTGCGCTACGAAGATTGACCCAGGCCCGTAGAGGTATTTCTTGTGATCGCCGCTCAGGTTGGGAACGTCAGTCCCGTAGTTGACGGTTAAGGTTTCAAAGCCCTCGAGATTGCAGCTGATGTCCACAGGCCCGTAGCCTTCACCCCTCCACTCCACGTCCAAGTCGCCGCCCTGCTTTTGTGCCGCAGCTTTGACACTCTTGAGCGCGTTGAGAACGAGGCCGCGCACAATGTCCGGGGTGCCAGCAGCGAGGCGCGTCGCGACACTTGCGCTTGCTGTTTCGGCGACGACATTTGCAGCCACGCCGCCTTCAATGCGCCCAAAGTTCATAGTCGTGTTGCCGTACTTCTCGCTCCAAGGTAGGTGATTCCTCAACTCGAGCAGTTCACCGAGCGCCTCGACAAGGACGTCGTTTGCGCTGACGCCGAGCCACGGGTAGCCTGAATGCGCAGCCTTGCCCGTCGCCTTGAGCGCGAACCCTAGCATGCCCTTGTGTCCGCAAACGAGCTTCCCCTCGGTGGGTTCGCCGAAGATGATGATTTCGTGGGAGGAAGGGCGTTTGTCCCAGTCGCTAAACGCGCGCATGCCTTCGCCTCCTGTCTCCTCGCCGACTACAAACAGGAGCGAGATATCATCTTGTAATTTCTCTTTGAGCCCCGCTGTAGCTATGATTTGTGCTGCTACGCTGGCCTTTGCGTCGACGCTGCCTCTCCCGCCGATTACGTCTGAGGTCTTGTTGTAGTAGTATGGCCAGTATGGCGGTACGGTATCAATATGCGATGTCAATAGGATCGTCGTCTCGCGCTTCTTGCCGTATGCTAGCAGGTTGTATCGGTCCTTGGCGACTTCTTGCGTTTCGACTGTCCAATCGTGATGACGGAGGTATTTGGCGAGCCACTGTCCGACGTCTTTCTCGTTGGAGCTTATAGATTCGGTTTCGATGAGCTTGCGGTGTAGGTAGAGGAGCTCGTTGGATGTGGAGGGGTCGAGGGTGGCGGGCTCGGGGGTCAGAGTTGGCGTTGCGGTTGTCAGGGCGCTGAAGACGAGAGGAAGGAGGGAGAGGGTTTGGAGGATCATTTTGATCTAAGAAGAGGGAGATGTACCCTAATTGAGGGTTGTTGGTTAGAATTGGGGCTTGTTGCTGGAGCTGGAGCTTCGCGGTCGGCATGACGAAAGCCAAGAGCCTCCAGTCCCAACGTGATCTTCCTACATACTATGCTCTTATATCCGTCCAGCTGCATGGATATTGTTTTTACATATACTGCATATTTTCAAGAACTCAAGGGCGGATCTACCTATCTATGAAAATAGCCATCGTGGCCATCTTACCAATCCTTATTCAGTGCGGAAGTCGACGAGGCAGACAATACTGAGGACTTTGCATGAGCCAGAACTACGATAGGTTGTATTCTTCTGAGACGGGCGCTTCCGATCGTACGGTTTCGGCTGCGCCTTGCTCCGCATACACAACCTAGCCTATAGTAACAAACAAGTTGAGGTGTGGGCTTTAAAACAGAGTCAAGTCAGGGGCTGGCTCTTGTACATATCCAGAGGGAACATGGACTGCCAATGAACTATCCTAAAAGCGCGCAAGGCTACCTTTACCTCGCACTGACGAATGTAGGATTTCGATTCATCGAGTGTCTTGCTTTATGAAACGTTGGTTGCGCTATCATAGCCACCTTAGCCGCGCGGTTGGAAATGGTAGCCTGAACCCCACTAGCCATAGACATGTGTCTAACCAATACTTATAATCTGACCATTGCGCAGTTTTTTGATGATCCATTATATTTGCCCAGTTTGGAGTGCTAGTTAGCTGTCTGTATTCAACCTTTTGTAGGCTCGTATGTCTCTTGAATATCGCCGTTGGTCAGCTTTATAAGGTCCTTTCCAAATTGTCAACTTTGGTGTTTGCCAGTTGAACTACCGATCGCACTATGGTCAGATACCGCTTTGCTTTTATTCGCTTAATCATTATTAGAACTAACTGTATATAGAGTACAGACAGTATAATGCACGGTCTTGATGAGGATGCAGAGACTACGCGAGGGTTGGGCAAAGACACTCAAAGATGGCCCATCAATCAGTCACTGGCTATAAAAAAGAAGGGGCCGTTGTCTCGCAATGCACACCACTCGAACAAAAGGTTAAACATCGTCCCACGACGACCTCACCAGATCGATGTTCGTAGCCGAAGCGGCAAATACTGGAATCCATTGTTTTCTAAGCCTAGGATATGTAGGGGACAACCGCTTTACGAACGATGCAGAGAGTTATCCAGCAACGACGGTGTTGATGGTGAACGTGATCCCGAAAGCGACGAAATGATGAAGGATGGGACTGGAGCGGAGGCCGAGGTTAGTGCTTAGCATGATCTGGCCCTGAAAAGTAATTCTGAGCAAGATTAGGGCGTTGAAGATCTATTCGACGACTATTTAATGAGCAGTTTCTTAGGGGATTCCGAAGGCGCAGTTCCTTCCTGGGAGGCAAAGGTCATTCGGCAATTCATTTCACGCAAGCACGATAACGCGTCGATGACGCGCGATAGGGCGGCCTGGGCCTGGGTGGATGATCGTGAGTACTGTACTGGACGCAGCCGGGGCTATCGAAATGCCCTAAGTGTCGCAGGACTACATGATATTCTGAACAAGACAGTACGTTTGGCGATTTTCATGTGAAAGAAGTACTAAGGTTCACAGCGCTTTGGACATTCTGAACTTCCAGATGTTGACCGCCGCTTGATGTGAGTAACCATCATTCATTCACCTATTAGTGTGTCGGTACAAAATGGCTCACTCGCTTGCAGCTATATTTCAAGACTCACCCCGGATTTTGTGAAGGCGCTCGCCGTAACAGCATGGGATCCGAAGGCCTTGCGAGACGCGGTCTGGAAGCACATTGCATTGGAAACGTCTTTCCGGGTGCACATACCAGTAGGTAGTAGTCATTTAAATGTACATCCCTTACACTTTAGCACATTTACTCACTCAGGGATAGACATTTGGCTTCAAGACCTTCCGCTTGGAGTTTCATCTTGCCCACTTGATTCTGAGGGAGACGACCATCCGCCCACATCCAGAAGGTAATAGTATTGACGGCGCCATCAGTCAGTCGTTAGTAGATCTATCCTTCCTTGACTTGGAGACATCTGCCGGTGGTGTTTCTTCTCACTCGATTTACCAAGCCCATATTAGCATCGTAATATGCGGCTGGAGTGATTCACAATGGACTGGGTATGCCTTTGCTAACCAGGGCGCTAAAGATTCTCCAAGGGAAGACGAAGAAGAAGACGATGATGACGAAGAATATGTACCTAGAAGAGACCCATTCGCGGCGGACAACATATATGATTATTTCATGCACGCTGATGTGCAGACTTGGGATGCGCGAAGATACTGGCTATGGATTGTCGCAATCCGTTGCCAATTGGTGCTAAAAGAGTGGTTGTACTTGGTCTGTACCATTGAAGAAGGTGTGCAAGCATGGGTAATTCTCCTCCCTTAGTATAATAAGCCTCCGCTAATCGTAAACACCAGAGGGCATCTGATCCATGCAGCAATAGCAGCAGCCATACAGAGCTAAGCCCAAAAGACATTCAGAAGTCGCTAGATCGTACGATACAAATCATGCAGCTCTTACGCAAGCTACTTGATTCCCTCTCAATGACACTTCGAGCGTACAAACGCTTCGATGCGCCTGATGGGGATAAGTGCTATTTCTTGGACGTGGCAGACTACGCTTCTGAACAGAACGGCATTAAAGAAACGTTTGAGAAGATGGCGGACCTCTACTTGAGGCTGAGTTCTGCTGATGATTCATGCAAACGGTTTGCCACACATGTGAATTGTTGAGTTCCTCCAATCAGTATCATGGCTAACGACAAGCCAGCTTGGACGCATTCTAAGTCTCGAAAGCAATCGTTTGACTGCCCAGGGCAATCAGTTGAACCAGGAAAGCAACAAAGTGAACATTGAGAGTAATCAGCTGAACAAGGAAAGTAACTCACTGAACATTGAGAGCCACCATCTAAGCGAGCGCACACATGAGTTGAACGTCCGGACCAGCGTTCTTAACGACAAAATACGTGAATTAAATGAGAAGAGTACCGAAGCAGCATGCGCGAACCAAGCCGCTGCGGCGAAGACCAGTCGGAGCACACGTGTAAATGTCGAAGTAGGTGTCTCGTTGCCGGCTGTACTCTGTAGAATTGCTGACCTTCTCGTAGTTACTCCTATTCACGACACCTTTCGGCATGGTTCTCCAATATTTTGGTTCGGAGAAAGATATCTTCTCCTTCAACCGCAACCCCAAGACCTTCATTCTCGCCACTTTGATATTGATGCTCGTTCTACGACTCTTTACGTTACTCCTCGAGCATGCAGACGGCCTGCTAAAGTTCATACCATGGAAACCTCCGGCTCGTGACGGTCAGCAACGCCCACCTGGTGAGAATCGGGGCAAGTTTCAGCGCTGTAATCGGATTTCGCGAAGGCTAACATTCTTAGATGACGTTGAACTCGAACCCGTACAGGCTGTATAGTTATTACACATTAGAAGGTTCCGAAGGGCTATTGTAGATCTCTATCATGTAACTCAAAATTTCGATGCTTCGAGTACCATAGATGCCTGGAATATCACCCAAACTCCTGCGAGAAATGAGAAGCATACACATATCTAGCAACATGCAAGCCTATAATCACGACAATGGGAAGAATACCTGCCAACATTATCATAATGTTGCTATGGGTATCCATCCATGGCAAGTGGCTTTGAATGAGGACCTGTAAAGATTAACACGGGCAAGGATCTGGGCATCGTAAAAGTCCCACCGGGGGCCGTCAATAGAGTGCTAGAAACTGCAGTGCATCAATCTTATTGATGCATACCAAATGATACTGATTTTCCTGAAGGCTGGTATGGCGAGCATCACCCATTTCTATGAGGGGCTTCACTAATGTCGAAAGAACAAGTCAGTATACGGTATGAGGTCCTTATTCTACTATTCCTAAAATAGATGTCGGTAGGAGCCGTCTTGCTTCTGATGAAAGCAGTCGAGTTTGCTTTTCAATAGACTAGATTGACCTCATTGGGGCTCTTGCATTCACTTCGAGTAATTTAGTCCCGCGATGTAATGTTGCACGCTGTGGTTATCCGCACGGAATCCTACCCCAATGAAATAATAGATGGTAATACTCGAAGATAGTGCGATGGTTGCGTGTACAATTTAGCCTTTCCCAGCTTTAGGAGATGTGCCAATTAGTCCTCTTGCCTTCTGCACGACGTCGTGCTTCTGTGCATTTTGCCTGATATTGATTGTCACATGCATTCCAGGTCACAATGTTGTCCATATTACACTTTAAGGCGCTACTGTCGCGTCTTGTAACGCACCCCTCCAGGGCGAACTACTGTGACATCCCCCTAAGTTTTAGCCATCCCCCACGCGTGCCACTAAAAATGCCGCAGTAAACACAACCTTTACAGACTATAAAATAGAGCTTAACTAGACTAGAGAAGCTAAGGGACTGATCTCTAGATTCCGCATTAGTAGAGGCAGATAGCTATGAATTCAGAGGAGTCCCACAGTAGGCGCTGACCGACATTATTCACCTTCATTACACGATAATTGTCCTAAATAGAGTCGGCATATGTGATGTGCGCATCCCTAGCAGGTTACAGAACCATACTTGGCGACCGTCTCGACCTATCCTGGAAGAATTAATGTAATCACAAACATCTCTGCGCTCAAAGTACTTTCACGGAACCGGCGATAGCTGAACTAAGGCATAGGCGCTTTGTAAATCCTCTTAGCAGGTTACAGAAGAAGATATTTGGGCCTTACGTTACATGAAGACGCACACATCTCCGTACTCTACAGACTAGCAATAGCTCAACCAGGGCGTAGGCGCTGATTACATCTTTTGTTACATGGAGACCACAGCTGTCAGTGAAACAAGCCTGGAGGATATTCTTCCCGCTCTCCTGGGCGGCGATGTTACATGAGAGGCTAACCAATAAGGCCACCAGTGCTTTGTAATATCATCTACGCTGGACCAAAATAAGAGAGGTTTAGACTTTAGTCTCAATATAGCGCCTGGCCCCCTGGCATCGTATTGGGCATAGCTCAACTTCAAATATTGATGACGAAGTTTGAGCATCCCCGAAGCTTGGACGCAAGCCAATCGGGATAGTATTTTTCTTCTTCTGTTGGCTAACCTTTGTAGGGGTTATTGCATCGCTGCAACGCCACAACACAAGCAGTCTATAAGATCATAAGGCCTGAAAGGTATCTTCTGTGCTATAGTAGTACATATCATTAACACGCGTTTATCGTGTAATAATCACACAATAACTCATAACTAACCTCTTATCATTAAATTTTAAGCTGTATTAAGGGGTGGCAGTCTGTCTGTCAGCAAGCGAACAAGATTGCTCCAAGCAACTCAACACTCCCTGAACCAAGTCAGCTTTCTCTGTGTTAATGCATGCATTGGTTTCCTCGAGACCCCTGACGATCAAAAACCACACTAGCTATCCTAGTTTTGGCCGAAGTATTGGGTTATCGAGTCAGCCCCAATTTCCCTTGTTAGATTAAGTTTGAAAGCGTGTCTCTGTTACGGAGGGACAAGCATGAACCTAACAGGCTTATTAACGTCTAGTCTTATTTGAGGAGGAGCACTAGTTAATTTTTATACCTATGGTGGCGTTTCAATTCTTTCCAGTGATATGCCCTGATTCACCTCATAAATGTTGAGATTCTTTACAGGGCGATAGACTCAAGGTTTCCATGTCTCTACAGTCTCATACCACTGTAGAACCCCCGCCGCTCAGCCTGATTTACTGCGCGTCGTCTCGTGGCCTTCTTGAGCATATTTGCGTCTTGATGTGAATTATTTGAAGCCACCCAAATGAAATTTCTTGGGGTTCGTCAAATACAATCACGGAGCTATATCCGTGTTATACAGAGTGAACACAGGTCAGATTGCACCCCTGGTGTCTTCGGCGCAATTAGAGGGCTTCAATAACCTGGGTTCAAAGCCACTTTCTACCCTCTAAAGCTTGGAGTGCAGCTTGACGTGTGTACACCTTGTAGGCATAGCGTCACATGATTGGCCAATGATCTTGGAATGTGGAACCTAATTGGTTGCTTGGGTAACCGTCCAAAAAGGTTTAAAAAGGGCTATGGCCTTATTAGAACCATCAGTTGAGATATTGCCAGTCCGTAGAGGTGTACTCCGAATCCGTTGTTTTGAAATTATAAATACGGAACTCATCGAAAGAAAACGTGAGATTAAGGGGTGTACCTGGCTAGGGGGGAGCTAGCCTATCCCCTGTTCTCGAACGACAGGAGACGGCGCCAAGCAGAACTACAGGTAAGTTCCCGCGCTTTCTTATCAGATAACCGATTGCGATCCATTCTTCTCCAAACGATGTACTGTATTGGGCAATTTCTAGAACTTGACTCTTGTCTCTTCAATTGGCCCCCAATTTTGATGTTGTTGTCCATAGTCTTATCTATGCCTCTAAATCTCCCCACCTTGAGGGTTTCCCATTGCGCCTTACTTCCCTCCCTTCTATTCCCCCTGATGGACTTAAGGAGGGATGGCCTCTACCGGGAAGCATACAGTCGCTCACACACACATAGGACATCCTAGTCTTGCACTCCAATTGGACTTACGAAGCTACGTAAGCTTCCTTTTTCGCCGATCCCTTACCCAACCGCCTTGAAATTCTACGAAGCTCGCCAGCTTCTATGACCCGACTACGCGACAATTTTCCGTAAAGACGCCCCTAATTCCAAGCGCATCGGACCTCGAGTGGGTGGAGTCTAGTTAAACACCGGGACAAACACTTGATAGCAACGGATGCTATTTGTGGGGTGGGAGGATTGACACGGATCGGATCGGATACAGCTTTCTGTAGCAATTCGCAATCGGACGTGTATGCCAGATCTATATCACTTGAAAATCCGATCGCGCGTTACATCTCTGGCGAACCGTGATGGGGCGTTTTCGGGGTCGTAAAGAGCTTGCTGGAAGCATAGAGCAAACGTCAGATTCACCTCAACCGTCAAGCTCTCGTCAAACGGCGCCTCTGCAGACACTAGCAAAGAAGAGACACACGTACGTATGGCAATGCGTAAGTACTTATAACCCAGAATTGTTTCCGTGGCGCATAGGGCTCTGACAAAGTAATAGTGTACCTGTGGTACTGTCAATATACCATACAGAAGCAACAATTGCCCCTCGTGTGGTTATGGACGGTGCGGCAATTGCAACATCACCAAGGTTCAGATCTAGTGAGTTGCTCGTACACACAATACGCAACTTCGCGAGTGAAATGGACCACAGTAGGTGATATGAAGGGGCTCATGTTTTATAAGTTTTGGGCCCGAGCTCCAGAACCAATTGACTTCAGGTGAGGCTAGAGCTCGAGCCCAAAACTTATAAAACATGAGCCCCTTCGTACCATCTAGCCCGAGTCCTACCTTGTCCTATGTAGGTACACGAAAGTGAGCGCCCTGGATCCAACTGTGCAACATTGCCCCGCATATCAAGACCGCGTTTCTTTCCGTTTGATTGAGCGATGTTTATGTTCTATGTACCTTGTTTTATGTATTAGTACCTTTCATCTTCTTGTTCTGTCATCACTCGTCCCCGCCAAGAGAACCCCACGCACCGCGTCTCAAGTCGCAATCCTTCATGTTGCTTGCGCAACGCTTTCTATTCAATCTTTCATTCAACGGTACTAGATTCTCGTTTTTATCTGACTTTGCGAGGCATCTGCGCATATGATTGATACCCACAAAAGCATTGGGAGCGTTCTCGGATCGTTTAGTACTCTTCATTTACATCTCTGTTACTCTTGTTATGCATCGAAAACTTTGTATCATCATCGCAGCGTAAACCTACGTCGATTTCAAAATTCGGGGCAGACCAGGAAATGGGAGTTTGCAATAATCTGTTTTCTCCGCTCGTTAATTTCAGATTTCCAGTCAAGTCCAGTGTACAATCATCTTTAATTATGTATACTAGCAACAGGTGGCTTCCTAAATCAATGAAAGCAACAGGATATCTTACGGCCCTAACCTATTCATGGATGGTCGTTAACATTCGTAATAATCGTAACTCGTCATCATCGGGGTATATCAGCAATTGCGCCTGTACATCGAGCATCTAGACCGTGGGACTCAACTCAGCGTCCAAGTCAAAGTCTAGATTCTTAACATCTGTTTACGTTAGTATGTATAGAAGCAAACCAACTAATTAATATATCAACCTATGAAAATTGCATGGACACTCCACTTCTCTGGTCTTAAGGCAAGATAGCTTTGACCACGAAAAGATTACTAATAAAAAGAAGCAACTTACCAGCATTAGGCTTTCGTAAAGTATTTCGCCCCGCGCTCTGAATAAGCTTTTGGTATAACAACTTCCCAAATTGATTGAGTTGCTCAACGACAAAGGTGATGAGCGGAAGGGTCAATGATAGTACGAAAAGACAAATCAAGAAAGTCTTAGGAGTCCGATTAATCGCGAAAAGATTTTGTTCGCTACAAAAGTATTGTAGGGCAATTGCAAAGGGTGTCGTAGTCAAGATGATCTAGAACACATCAGCAACATTATGGTATTAGCGGGCTTGAAGTAATATACCTGCACGTTGACTCGAGTGGTGCGACTTGTCTCTTCCGCAGCCTTCTGACTGACCAAAGCTATGGCTGTAGTGCGTTTGCTTAGTTTGTTTATTTGGAGGCTGATATCATGAGTTTGATGGCTGAGATCATACGTCTGATGGCTGAGCTGATTATTTTCAACGTTTGTTCGAAGCGTTAGCTAAAAGCACCATTAGGAATTTTCCATAAAGAGGTGCATGCAAACTTACTGCTTTAGTGGAGTCCTCGTACAGCCTGTCCAATGAATTCAAATCTTGTTCCAAAAATAACAGATCCGCAAAGAACTTCTTGATCCTTTTCAATGCATGTCGGGCATTCCCATCCTTGACATCAGCAAAGTGGAGAATATCCCCATTGATATCACTGAACTTCTTCCACGCGTGTACAGCCGCAGACCAATGTACACGTAACTCGTGCAGAACTTGTTTGATCTGCAAGGTGTCCTCGTGTAACCGCTTGTTACTAGCTCCTTGATCCTGGCCGTGTGGAAGATTTGTGTATATGCGTTCTGTCATCTAAGTGTAGCATTAGCAAAAATGAATATATGGATAACCTGACTATCTTACCCAACCATTGAAACCCGTCTCTAGTTTCTGAACTAAGTACTTGAACTCATGTAGTACGGCGCCAATACGAATGGCCACAACGTGTAGGAAGTACACTCTAGGGTCCCATATTGTATTGTACGCATCCAGTACTTCATCCGAACCACATGAGGCGAATATATCCTTATCCGGCATTTCCTCCTCATCGTCATCCTCCTCAGGTCTATGATCAGAAAATCTATAACCCGTCCATTCCAGATTGTCACAACCAAATAAAAGTATGGTGTCGTGTGCTTTGCGGATGGAGAAACGAGCAGGTTTCTCGCCGGTATTAGATTCCATGTTCAAGAAGGAGAGATTTGTCGTCAGCTGTTGCACTCGGCCTTTTTTATTCCCTTCCACATTCGGTGAAGACCCGCATTCCCGCAATATGAGATGTGGAAGGCTAAGTTCTAGATGAAATGTAAGGAACCCGGTAAGCTATCCACGTCAGATAGATCGGTGATTTGATTGGGATGTTTTTACCGGTATATGCACTTGGATCGATGCTTGACGTGCTATGTGGCGGCGTAAAACGGCTCTCAAAGCCAGTACCTCATTCCATGACGCTGTCTTCGCGAGGGTGAGTATATAATCCAATGTGAGCTCAGGTATATAACTGGGGTATGTTTAGCACTTGCTAAGAAACCAAGAATAAACGAACAACCAAATGCACTGAGTATTGGATATAGGTGGTACAAATTGGGTGTGTGGTAGGTTCCGACCAAGATTTATTTAGGCTTCATTGTTCTTAAATGGACTTTCTGCGTTCACAAGAGTATAGGTAGAGGTGCTGCCAACTCACATAAGGCGCCGAATTGCATCTGATTCGTGGATAGGCTTGTCGGACTAGCGCACATTAGCCTGATGCAAAATATGATAGGTTTCATTGACGAAGAATACTTACCCGTTCCTTGAGAAAACTAGATAACTGGTCCGGGTCAAGCCACTCTGGAAGGCGTCGATTAACATCAGTCGACTTTCTACGGCTCTCCACCCAAGCACGGGTCAGGATTCGTGCGGCTTCCCCTTTTGAAGCATTTCGTACAAATTTCTTCGCCTCCTCAACCTCACGCGACGGTAAAGCGCTTTCGGTGATCTGAAAAAAGGCATCCAAGAGGTTCCGCTCGACGTTGTCCTCCTGCAGGCACGCTTGGAATATGCGATCATACTTTCTACGGTTAATGTTAGAGAAAACAGAATTCCATTCTCTGCCTTTTGGATCTTGGTCTAATTTCGGAGCTGAGTTGCATGAATGGTTCGCCATGGGACGCGGCGTTGTAGATCCAGTGATGAAGCGGAAAGCTCATGCTCGTGCTATTCTGGAAGAGTTGGTTGATAATATAGACCAAGTGTATGATAGTACTATCGTGAGGTTGCAATATAGCTCAAAAGCTTCGATAGGGCTTGTTTGCCGGGTGTGCAGTAGAAGACATATGGTGCTGATAATGAGACTATCGTATTGTGGGAGACAAAATCATGGTGCAACTCCTTTCACGAGCTCCTGGGGGATCTTAATCAACCTCGTGGCACACAAAAGGCGATGTCCGTGTCCCGGTAACAAATGACTTGCCAGCAGGCTCGTATTGCCGTACGCTGGGTTGCGGTGTTGCACGGCGAACACGTCTTGCATCTTGAGTCGCTATGCACAAGGTCACGATTGCACACAAGTTCCTCATTAAGGGCGAGAAAGAGGCTGTGCGGGAATTTTCACTCGGAAACAAGGATATGCATCCTTCGTTGCAAAAACGTGCCGGAAAAATTGCATTGATTCATTCGTCGATTTGGTTATGGGGCGACCCTATCCGCAGGTTTGGTGTTGTACTTGCCGTATGGATCTCTAGAAGGCAAACGTCAGCCTTACCCGAAGCCCAATGTTCTGGGCCAGTGGCGTAGGGCTAGCTGAAGGACGATAGTGCCAACGCACACAATGCATGGCACATGGTCGCGATCGATATCTGACTCCAGACGCGCACGTCCGCCGCGTTGTAAATCCTCGAATAAGCTGAAAATATTGTTCCGACAGGCTGTGGGCGCAAGAACTCAACCAATTGACTTATGAGTCATCTGGCACATGATACCCAGCAGCTCGATAGCTACTGCAATTGTTGATGTTCGCGTAGGACCGCCTCTTTTGCGAAACCTGCCCAGTGGATTGTTTCGGATAAAGCTAAGGCAAGAAATACACAGCCTCGAACCGCACATTTGGGATTTACTGCACTACATGCAGGTTGCCAGAGTGGAGCCCGACGGATTCGGGCCTCTTTCAAGGCCAAACTACCTCTGGGGAATTTTTACTGGTCATTCTGGATTACGACGCTAGAGTGAGGCGACATGCAAGGCCGACAAAGCTCTCGGACTACGACAATTGCAAATTCAAGTGCCCAATAATCGTAAATGTCAAAGTCAAGACTAAAAGACGCTGGTGTTCGCCTCCATTCATGCGGCCTAGAGCCCAGGAATAAATGATAAGCTATCGCCTGTCTGTGGAGGCAATTTGGTTGTGTAGCAGCTAAAAAGAAGCTGGTAAATCTATGGGCATTCCTATACAATTAAGTATAATTAGGAGCTAGTAGATTTTAAATTTAAGAAGGTGAACAGAAGGTTGAACGTTATGTGCAGCTTTTGTGAGGCTGATTATGCAACGTGCTTCCGATGTATCAATCACTAATGCACCGACAAGGTTCGTCCCCAAAGAAACCCGAAAGAAAAAAAGGAACTAGAAAGTGCGTACAACCCAGGAGAGTCCTCGATGAGCAAACAGCTCCGCCGCACCGAATCACTAATACTTACACTTTAATCATCAGGCTATTGCTTGATGTTCATTGAACATTAAACGAGCCTATTATCAATCGATGGTAGCTTTCGCAAGGTAACATGCATCTCGCCACCAATCCTAGTCGACCACGAAGGAGAGCTAATGCCTAACAGCGTGGCAGCCTCTTTGGGACGAGGCTTAAAATCAAAAGTCATTCAAGAGGCTACACTGCGCTACAGTCAATGACAGTCATACTTCCAGGCATCGCCCTCTTTTGCCTTACGCGATCTGTCACGCGCCTCCGGTCGTAGCCGCAACTGCTCATGTTTATTGTAGTTTGTCACTGTCGTGACCTCCTCGTCACTCGTCCTCTGGAGCAGGGCTGAAGTTCGGATATTGACATCATGTCGACACTTGATTTCAATGGTCTTACACAGTTGTTAAAAGGTCTGTCGGTATCAAGGCCTCCAGTAGAGCTTACCGGGGCCACCATCTTGAGCAACCCTCTCGATCTCTGTCGCTCAGCACTTGCCGAGCTTATCACTAGCCTCACTGAATGCGACGTTCAAGATGCATACAAATCCATCCAATGGCCGAACAATATTTTCAATGGTGATCTCTCAATCACGCTCCCCAGGCTGCGTCCAGGCTGCAAACCGGCCGAGCTGTCGACAGAGTTAGTAGATAAAGTATGAAACCCTTCCAAAAAGCCAAAATAGAGGAGCTTACTTTATATATTAGTTCCCGAAAGATAACGCTCTCTTTGACCCCCCTTTGCCCGAAGGCGTTCATTTGCGCGTTTTTCTGAAGCTCGAGACAGTGTCACGTCTTCTAGTACCGTATATCCTCGACCGAAAGCGTTACTATGGCTTCGATGTATCCAACCATATAACGAATCTGGCATCAAAGGAAGGTGATCGGAAAAAAGTCATTGTCGAATTCTCTTCACCAAACATCACCAGCGAGTTTCAAGGAAAACACCTGCGAAGCACAATTATCGGTGCCTTTATCGGCAGGTTATATGACTCGATGGGATGGGACGTTACCCGCATCAACTACCTTGGGGACTGGGGCAAGCCGATCGCTTTACTGCGCGTTGGCTGGTCAAAGTACGGCTCGGATGAGGCATATGAGGCAGATCCTGTGGGACATCTTCTCGAAGTCTATCACAAGATCGAAGAAGACTTCAAGCCGGAACAGGATGCAAGTAGGCAAGCCCGAGACGACGTGGCCAAAGAAGGGAAGGACGAGGGCGAAGCGCAAGTAGAGATTGAAAGCAGGGGCATCTTTGCCGAGCGTAATGAGGCGTTCAAGAAGCTTGAGGATGGTGAAGAGGATACTGTTGCTTTCTGGAAACGTGTGCGAGATGTCAACATCGAGAACTACACGAAATTCTACGAACGATTGGGCGTCCGCTTCGATGAGTACTCCGGTGAATCTCAGGTGACCCCAGAAGTGATGGTCGAAGTGGAGCAGATGTTAAAAGACAAGAAGATATCGGAAGAAAGTGGAGGAGCATGGATTGTCCACATGCAAACGCTAGGTGCGAAAGCTGGGACAGCTATCATACGTGATCGTTCTGGAAGCAGCACATACCTTCTTCGAGACCTTGCCGCCGTGCTGGAGAGGTCTAGGAAGTACTCTTTCGACAAGATGATCTACATTGTGGCTAGTGACAACAGCGTCCACTTCACTCAACTCTTCAAGATCCTGGAGGGTCTGGAACTGAAAGACCTGGCAAGCAAGCTGCAACATGTCAAGTTCAGTGAGGTCTCTAAGATGGCGGCGATACTCGGGAAGGGGTATAAGCCGCAGGCCATACTTGATAAGTGCGAGGAAGCAATGGCCAGCCTTTCAGAGATTGATGGGGATAAGGCTACCTTGCTAGGTGGGGCGGATCAGACCAGGGAATCACTTGCGACATCCGCACTCCTCGTCCAGGAACTGTCCACTCGGTCAAGTTCCACGCACGCCTTCGACCCGAGCACGTTGGCCTCCTTCAAACTTGGCTCAGGGCCCGATCTGCAGTATTGGTCAACAAAGCTCCGCGTCCTTCTCACCAACGCCCCTTCTACTGAAGAGCTTGGCGAGGAAGACTATCAGGCACTGGCGGAAGAGGACCAAGCCAACCTGTTGCGCGTCCTCGCGCAGTATCCGGAAGTTGTGAATGCCACATACCTTTCACTTGAGCCATCTGGTATTTTGGCATATCTTGTCACTCTGACTGAGCTGCTCTCCGAATGTCTCGGCGAGGGTGAAGAAGATGCTGCCGTCACTCCAGGCCTTGCCGCCTTGTATGAGGCGACTAGGATCGTGCTGGAGAGTAGCATGAAGTTGCTGGGCCTTACGCCGCTGGCAGACCTGCCGCATGAAAGGGCGGACACACCGGTTGGGGATTAGTGAAATTGCAAAGCACTGTTTCAGTTATTGGACTTGGTCGGCGTCTTGGCTCAATATGTATTGTCTTTACGCCGTAATATCGGCGGCTCTCCTTTTCCTGACATGATGTATGTGCCTCGAGGATAATTCGATCGTAATAGTATAGTTGGGTTTTCGCGTAATGATGTAACGAATTCCGACCTATTCAAATAAATTGATACAGTATTGCACAACCTATGATCTGGGCGCTAGCCATTATGATGGTGCTGAGAAGCTGTTTTCTAGTGGCATGTCCAGAGTAGCGGGACAACCCAAACGACATATTTTTCTTGCCCATGCCGTATTTCGCCGGCTATTCTACCTTGGGTTTACCATCCCCTGCTCTCTGTTTCATGCCGGAAAAATAAGTACTTACCAAAATAAAACTTTCCATTCGAAAACACATCCGATATGGTCTAGTGGCTAGGATTTGCCGCTCTCATCGAGAGTCGTTCACTCACAAGTGCCGGCAAGGCCCGGGTTCGATTCCCGGTGTCGGAAACATGCTTTTTGCAACTCTTTTGAATATATTTTTGCATCTCTTTTTGAAAAAAAAGTCAAATCTCGACCTATAGGCACTACAGAGACATTCGCTCACAGACCTTGACTGGACCTTTGAGACACGGTTAGAGCTTGAGTAACCCTAGACACTTTATCAACGTCGCCGTCATCATCCTCTCATCTCCACACCAGCCTTCACTGACATATACGCGATGAAAGGATCGTCTTAAGCAAGTTGATATAGTCCCTATCGCTCTAGGTACCAGCTAACAGTATTCGTGACAATATACAGATCACGCTGTAGGTAAAATTGGCATCTCCTACATCGCTCAGTCCACGGCAGACTGAACAACATTGCAGCTTTATCAATGTCATTTTTCACAGAGACGTCTATAGTAACATATTGACTGGTGTAACTTATGCTGTATGGGCATAGCGATCGACATAAACTACTGACCTAGCTTTCTATCAATGTCGCAAAATTCCATCATAACGCGACTGTTCACATATAATCTTGCAGATAACTAGAAAGCTTGTCTCGCCTTGTCGACAATGCTAGACCTCCTCCTGTCTGGATCACCACCCTGCGCCGCGATACTCGCTCTCCTCACTTGCTCGTGGAGATTCTGATCGTTCTCACCACCGCCCTCAAAAGTAACGAGCGAGGGGCACGGCCCGACCTTCTTACGCAGGATCCAAGTCTTGATCCACCAGGGCAACACGGTACCACATTGGTGGCTGATAAAGCGCCGTGTCGGGATCGCAAACATGTAATCAAGCTCTTCTAGCGTCCGCTGCTTTGTCTCCGGCACGAAGAGGAAGATCAGACCTAGTGCGACAAGATTGAGGCCAGCGTAGAAGGCAAAAGCACCGGTCGGTGACATGGCACTCAACATGCGCGGGAAAGTGATGGAGAGCACAGCAGCCCAGAACAGGCAGGTTGCGACAGCCCATGACATGCCCACTTCACGATGGGAGAGCGGGAACACTTCGGCAGAGTAGGTAAAAGGCACAGGGCCTTCGCCTGGAGAGTACCATGCGCCAAACTAAAGGACGATTAGAACCGACACGATGAAGAGGTTACCGAGGAGACTTACGAGGTAGACAAAGAGCGCGACTAGCCCGATATGGGCTGAACTGCTCTGTGGAATCAAATAGCACAAACCAGCCGCGAGCAGAGTCCAGCACATCTGAGGGAAGGTAAAGAGGAGGAGCGTGCGGCGGCCAAAGGTGTCAATAGTCCACAGTGCGGGAAATGCGAACACAAAGTTGACCAGACCAAAGCCCATGGAGGCGACGAGGGACTCAGTGACACTAGCACCGGCTAGTTCGAAGATGGTGCTGGAGTAGAAAGCAATGATGTTGACTAGCTCTGGTTAGCCAAGTACGAGAAGGAGGTTGGTGCCACGTACTACCGCACATCTGCTGCGCAATCATGACCACACCCGATGCGACAGTGGCTCTCCGAAGGCGAGGAACGGTGAAGAGCTGCGTAAACCTCGAGATATAGTTCGTCTTCATCGACGTCAAACTGCTCTCAGCGCGAAGCTGGGCATGGATGTAGTACAAATCGCGAGCGGCTTGGAGCTCGGTGTTTCGGAGACGCTTAAGCGAGTTGAAAGCCTGGGGGAATCTGCCTTTCTTGATATACCAGCGGGGACTCTCGGGGCAAAAGTAGACACCGATCAAGAGAGGCAGGGCGGGCAGCAGGGCGGATCCAAACTGCAGACGCCACGAAATCTTGCCGGTGTCTTTGACAGCTAAGTTGGCGACAGTCCCCATGAAGATACCAAAGGCGGTCCAGAGCTGCCAAGTCATGACCAAGGCGCCTCGAATGGATGCCTGTTGTTGTGTGAGAAAATGCGTATTTGTGAGTTAAAAGAGTAGACTTACGGGAGCGTTCTCTGCGGCAAAAATGGGAATGGATGCGCCCTTGCATCCCATACCGATTCCAAGGAGAAGACGGGTGACAAAAAGCTGTTCCCAGGCTAAGGTACAGCGTCAGTGTCAAGTCAAACAGCGAAGGATCAAAGATGCATACTTTGAGAGAGCGCAGAACCAATTGGAGATAGAGCACAGAAGATGGCAGAGATGAAGATGCAGCCCCGACGACCGAAGAACTGATTCAGAGGATCTGAGCACCAGCAGCCACTGTATGTGTTAGCAAGTTCAACCGGATTGAAATCAAAATGTCACCTACATAAAGGCCGAGGCAATGTAGGGCCCGGCGTTGATCAAACCCTGAAGCCACTGGTTGTGTTCCGCGTCGGGATTGACGCTACCGTCTGCCAACTTCGCGCGGACAGGAATTCCAAGCGCATCCGGGAACGACAGATTAGCACCGTTGGAACCCGTCTGATCCCATCCTTGAACAGCAGCGCCGATGGAGCAGAGAATGATGGTGAAGTAGAGCAGTTTTGGCTGGCGCCACTTATGGAGTACTTCATTGGATATGGCATCCTTTTCAGCCTCGGTGATCCCTGGAACTTGGGCGAAGTTGACAGGATCGCGAGCGACCAGAGCTCCTCTGCGGAGGAGAGGATGGATTTCCTTGAAGTTGTTTTCTCCGGCGAATGTGTCGACATCACGGAGCATCTCCTCCTCGGTCATGTGAATGAGGGGATTCTGGATCTTCGCCGAGACACTGTTGCCAGTATTGACAACAGCTCGCTCCTCGGAGGAACTGGGTGCGTTAGCTTCATTGATCAAGTTGAAGGACGGTAGAGGACCCATACGCATCGTGATGCTCAATATGAGCTTTGTCATCGTAGTCAGTTGCGCTAGCCATGGCGACGGAGCTTAAGTGAGAAAGCTGGAGCTTGGTGAGCTTGGACAAGCGACCAAGACGAGCGGATAATGCTCAGCATTTATGCTACGACTAGCAGGACTATGGATTGAGGGGTCACACAGGATCAAGCCGGAGGCTGTCTTTCTAGCGTAAGAGTGTCGACAGCCGCTGGAGCTACGTATGAGCTAGTAAGGTAGCTCAAATAAGTGGTGGCATGCAAGGTGACTTCAGGAAGGGATCAGCAACGTGACCCTTGCTGCACGCTGCACGCTCAGACTGAAAGACGGCACTGGGAGGCCTCAAAGCTAATCTGCCTGGAGCGCGACACACCCTAATCGACCTCTTTCTATCGTCCAGCGTCGCGATATATCGAATCAACCCCGTCGTTGCGCGTTCGGGGATCCCCAGATGTATGATAGTTGTGCGATGTGGTTTGCGGAGCAACAAGCTGCGGCGCCGAGACGTCTTGTCGGAGCTTATTTCCCTGCGGCGTGCTATCAGGGCATTTGGCGGCTTGGCCGATGCTACACCCGCTCACGTGTCGTCTGACCCCATGGGGCATTCGTCCCAACAATACGAACAATGCACTTAAAGGCGGGTCCCAGCCCACACTGGAGCCAGTGAGCATAGCAATTGAACCAAGGGGGCGAAGTGGGGTGCGTTGCATGCCCAAGTATCAGTTTGACAGGTAAGCGCAAAAAGACAGCCCTCTAATCGCGGTACGGAACACCTGTAGCGTAATCACGCCCACGGACAGGCCGAGTGCCAATTTCTTTGATGACGAATTGACAAGGCCCTGAAGCTGCGCTCTGGAAAACTGTGGGCGGTCAGCTGGAGAGCGCTTTTGAATCTAAGATCTGGCCGTCATTATTAGCGCACTCTTCGACCGTTATCCGCAACGTCCGCTGACGGTGACGAGGTGGCTTTTCTGAGGCAACTTATGAATGAAGTAGCTCTAGCCAACGAAGATCGCCGTAGGCTACGTCGGCTTCCGACATTGGACCCGTGACGATCATGTACCCGGTTTTAAGATGCGCCATGTGAGGGGTGCCCTCTCCGCGTTTCTCGGTCGATCGCCCAGCCTTGCCCTCGTTTGTCTGATCATCACGGCTTGCCTAAAACGGTAAATTGAGAAGATAAAGTTCGGGTGGACGCGTGGTTTTGATTGTTCACAGGGAGTAGAACCTCGGCTGCTGGACGCGATACTCTCCCATTGTCTTGTTGGAAACTCACGTGCAACAGCTCTTCATACTACGCTCAGCAATTGCAGTTCTTGGAAATCGCAATCTAACGCTTTTGTGTACTTCTGGCTTGAGCTATGGGAGTGGCGGTCGCTAGTCTTGTACCCTTGTAGCGTGTACGTCCCGTTGTTCAGCAAGTCTGTAGTCTCGCAACACTTTGTTATTATGTACACTTTGAAACATGGCTACTTTAAAAAGGAAGTAAGCGCGCATAGGCGGGGATATTAGTTGTTGTGCTTCTTTAATACTATTACAAGTAGTACAGTTTAGGAAGCTTTTGTTATTCTTACAGTGCAGTCTTTATTAAGCGCTGTCTATACGTAAAGAGCCGGCCGGCCACCTAGGTTTACAGTTCTATACTCTTAGGGTCCTTGCATTCTCTAAGCTTCTTCTACTTCTCAAAGTCTCTACGTGTTTGCAATAATAATATTTACAGAACCTGGCGATAGCTTGAGCGGTAACACTGGGGCGTAGGCGCTTTCTAAATCTTCCTCGCACAAATAAATGCTCCCTATCAGTAATAGCATTCTACAAAAAGATAGATGCAACGTACATGGAAGTGAAACAAATCGTGCAAAAGCACTGCAAATAGTTGACAAAAAAGACCATGGCACAAACAGGACTCGAACAAACGGCCTCCTCGGAGGACAAAAAAGGTTCGATACCAGACTTGCTAGTACCTACATCCTCCGCCTGATTAGGGCTCCGGCTTGTGCTCGGTGATCAACAGTTTTAGCTGTCGACCGTCCCGGCCAAGGTATTTTATGTTTCCTGTAACCCATTGTTAGCATGTCTACCTTGGGAATTAATTAAATAATATACAATAACAATATACAGGTGCAAGCCGCTAACTCAGTAACGTCACCGCAGACACGTGGTACGGCGGGGGCTGCCTGTTTGTTTCATTGTGGGCGCGGAGCTACACCGCAGGTGAAAGAGAAAGTGAAACCCCAAACGGAACCTTGAGTTCTGGATGTCCCGCATCTCTTCTCTCCCTGTTACAGCTTCAATTACCTCGTTCTCATATCTTTACTAACATAGATACAATCAGTTGTTCCAAGACACTGAGTAAGTGCCTCCAGCTATCACTGTGTTTCTTTTTCACTCTTTCACCTCCAGGACATTGTGAGTCACCCTTCCCCGCCCGCCCTCCACCAAACTTGCAGGTCTAACCATCCAGGACCCCAATAAACCCCGGGGGATCGCACGTTCAAGTACTGTGGGTGGTGAGCGCTTCCCTCAGCTTCAATAACATCGACGACAAAATGTGGCAAGATATACTGTGGAGCTTATGGGGATCGTACCAGCATTACAGACGAGCGATTTAAGAATCTGTGGCGATCAAGAAGCATAAAGTTGGGCGGACTACCTCTCAGTGTTCCAGGAACTATATTCATGGAGCAGTGCAGCAGGCATGCGATACCAAAGATGACAGGGATGTACATGTATAAGAGCCTTATCGGATTAAGCAGTGCTTTTATAGGAAGGTCTGTCTAAGTACATAATCATGAACGATTTTTTCATTATTTAATTTGGAAGTCGCAAGCAAAAATTTGACTGGTCTTCTCTGGAGATTACATATCACCGACTGAACATAGTCTACAGATTCCCATTCCAATTTGCTGGGCTTCATATGAAGCAGATCACAAATGAGCTTTCAGTTGCTCGTTCTCACGGAAACGCTTCGGCCATATGCCCTGCTTCCCCGGCGAAAGGATCCCATTCGGGTCGAGCGCATCTTTGATGGTCTCCACGAAGCGACGGTATGCGTGATCATTGAAGTCGTACAGCGACGCAACGCGGTCTATGGCACAGAGTCAGTCAGGATCGGGAGATGAACCAAAGTACGGGAACTGACCCATAGTGTTAACATGACTTCGGTACTTGCTATATCCCCTCTTCTTTCCCTCCTCGAACAGGTTGTTGAAGATAGTCTGCACAGTATTTCGGTGCACTAAGTTCGTCTTGTCGAACGTGAACATATTGACAAAGATGACATGGCGCTCGTGCATGAAGAAGTCGCAGAAAAGGTCGAAGGACTCAGCTTCGCATATCTTCTTCGACGTTTTGATCCATGCTAGGATCTCTTTTCCGTTGCTTGGTATGAGGGGACTATAGTCGTAATGTGCTCCGATACCACCCTTCTTCGGTAGTCGAAACTTGACCATTGGGAGAGACCACAGGGTAGGAATGCCGACAAAAAAGCCGCCGTCCATCTCGGGGACAGAAGTTGGGTCCAGTATCTCACCGTCCGGAGCAGAGAAGATCTTTCCTGTGAGCCGGCCTTTCGGTGCTTTCTTGGACACGATCTTCTTCAGCTCGTCAAAGTGCGCCTGTATGACATCCTTTGCGCCATAGAGACCAAACTTTGCATTCCAATATCCCAGGTCAAGCTGCTTCTGGAGTTCCTTGACTTTCCAGTCTGGTATCGGGCTGGAGTGGGGCCAGAAGTCTTCTCGGCGACCCATCATACCCAGCCATTCGACTACGTTGGAAACGTATACAATATTTGGAAGAAGTCCGTCGCGTCGTAGCGGACCAAAAACGTCGACGATAGTCTCCACATCATCAAGGTCGGGCATGTCGAAGGTGCAAGACATGTACGCTTGAGGTGCGGGCGTGAGCCAGATCCCCATCTTCGTCACGATGCCGAGATTTGATTGCAGAAAGAGGCCTTCGATACTGGGACCAAAGCTGAACTTAGATAGGTGCGCAGATGGCGAGTCGGAGATTGCGAATTGTCCTGTGCGTACTAGATCACCGTTTGCAAGTATGACTTCCAGCCCGGAGATGTGTTGGTGATGAGTGGCTGTTGGAGTGAAGCCGGTACCGCGATCCAGAGTATTGCCAACTACCGAACCCCAACCAAGAGATGGCACGGAAGGCCAGACCTTGAGCTTGTTCTTGACGCAATAGTCGTATAGCTCGGTGAAGGTGACGCCAGGCTCCACGACTGCGTACGCATATTCGGCATTGACCTCAATGATCTTATTCATACGGTGTAGGTCAAGAGCTATTGACCCGTTGACACGAGGCGCTGGCCCACCGTAGCTGCTCCTGTTTTAGTTTCACGTTTGTTGCAATGGCGTATTTGCGACTCACCCAAGGTTCTTCCCTCTCGAGAACGTCCACACCGGTATACTAAACGCGTTCGAGATTTTCAGAACCTCCCCCAATTCTTCTATATTCTTTGGTCGGACGCCCGCACTCGGCATTTTGCGGTGTCCCTCCGCCTCATGCAGCTCATACGGATCAATGTATTCCGTCAACCCATCGCCTAAAAGTACCTGATCATCACCTACGATCTCTTTGTACTTTCGAAGCGCAACATCGAAGTCACTCTGCGTAACTCCAGGCGGAAGCACCGATTTCAGTGGTGTCGTGATTGAATCTTTGAAGAGGGTCTGGTGTGTTGATTGGTATTCAGGGTCGATGTAGGCAGGGGAGGGCATCTTGAAAGGTCTTGAATTGTCTTATGAGAGGATGTGAGAGGTGCAGCTATAGATGTAGCCAATTCCTACCTGGACAGATCCATGTCAGTGCTAATGCGCATGTCGGGACGCGTCGGGGAGTTCCCATGCTTCCCCACAATGCGGAGAAGACCCCACATCTCTCGACTTCACGGCTCTGAGCCACGCTAGGGATTCCCCAACTAATAGTCGTAATCCCGAGTTCCTTTTCTTGAGCCATCGCTTCGGCGGCTTAGGATCAATCTGAACCGGATGATCGCGCTGAAGCGCCGTCGAGACAATTCTCCGATAGAATCGACTGAAGATGCATGCCCACTGCGAAACGAGGATTCAACCTCAGCGACGTTATGGTGAATATCAGACTCTCTCTACGCTCTGACTATCTTGAACCCACCGAGACACGGCGGAGAGCCTGTGTATCTTTGCCAACCTAAGCAGTGCCCGACTAGAGAGAGCATCGAAAGGTCGTCTTCATAGAGCACCTAATAGAGCTCAAGGTAGGCGTTGAAGTCACCCGGTCGACATGTGTGAAGAAATCGCGTGGTATGGGACGAGACAAATTACGGAGATTTCGTCGGGGTAGTCGTAAAGATCAACGGAGGGGATGGGCTGACAGTAAGAAACGGTGCAATGTCGGTGTGGGGTGTCGCGTTGCGTGAAATGTGGGGTGGGACTAGCGCGAGACCCTAGCCAGCTAGTCTCCAACCTCATCTCATCTCTCCTCGTTCGTTCACACGTCGTTCTTCCCGAAATCCAAAATCACTGATATGTAACACCAATGTTATTGTGGACCTACTCCTGACCCATGGTGCCTGCTTAGTATCCTCGCATAGCTGACTGAGTCGGTCACCATGGCGATGTCAAGCGCTCTCAAGGTTGTAATTCATGACGGTGATGTCTCATTAGGGCGGATCGGCCAAATCTCTGTTTCAATTGTACGAATCCTCCCCTCGTCGCATAGTTCGTTTGCTACCTATCTCCGTCGTCGCTAGTATGCTCCATTGGGGCACTAGGCTGGATGACAGTACATCAGCTGTGTATCCTTGATTGTCAACCGAAAGGTGTCAACGCTTCCCTAGTTGACCCTTCATTCTAAAAATTAACTATATCTTCGCCTGTTGGTAGCCTACTTGATCTTGGGTGGGGCCTAAGAATGTCGTTGTACTCTCCCTCGGCCTTTTCCTTAGACACGAAACCGGGAAATAGTACAATCAACTCTTTGAATACCCCAAGCTTACCTTCGTCTCGCCATCAGTGGTCATTCCGCATGGTGGAAGTCAATACGAGCTCTTGGAAGCTTCTCTTTGTCTGCGCAATGTCTTTCTTGGCCGGGCTGCTCTTTCGGGGTCGGCAACTTTTGAAATGTGAAATTAAAGAGTTGGTATAATGGTAGGCTGGACTGAGTTTAAGGGCGGTATTGCAAAGGAAAAAAAAGCGATGAGTAATGCACAATAGCTGGGCCTGGAAGATGGATCGGAACAGGCGACTCGATCAGGTGCGCGAGGGCGGCGAGGCTAAGAGTGAGAGTGAAAGCTAACACCAGGCCACCCGAAACAAGGCAAAAACTAAGTTAAAAAGAATACAGAAGAATATCCGATGGCTGAATCGAACCCGCGCAAAAAAAGGGCGCCCGCCGATCCACGTGTGTAACGCACGGATAAAGTCATGCGACCGGTGGAACTTTGTCTAAACCCAGCAATTACACAAATGGTGTCGGCATGTTGATGAAGGTCTTGAGAATTTCTTAATATATAAAGCTGTTTCAAAACAGAATTGAAAGAGCAAGATTGAAAGAGCAAGATTGAAAGAGCCCCGAACGCGCACGCGCACTCGGTCCCACGTGCACTCTCTTTCACCTCCGTGCACGACATCATGACCCACATTAATTTTTATTATTTACCTTTCTAGGCGCCGACATCAACACTGCCGACGTCAAAAAAGGCCCCGCCTACTTCGAGTTTACCACCCACGCGGCAGCTAATGCCACTCAGCGTATCATGGCTGCATTTCCGCCTTTCGGTATGAAGAAGCACGAATTCGACGAGAGCGGAAGCGAAGATGTGATCCAGAGCCCTGCGGCCGTCGCAGTGTCCCAGCGTAGCGGGCCTCACCAATTCGTAGTCAAGCTGGCAAAGGCCGACCTTGTTCCAACCCATAAGGTCATCGAGAGGTACACGCGCCGGTGCAACCAATGCGATTTATCTTTCCTAACCTCGGCAGCTGCCTCACTAAACGGCTAATGCAAAAATTGCCGCGCGATCTCCTCTTCGTCGGCTGTGATGGATGCACTTTCAAAGCTCCATGTATTACCGCCACTGCCTACCTCCCGAGATTAGCCCAGCACTTGGTATGTAGTCCGTGTGCAACACTCCATTCAGCAGGCTTTGCTAACAGACAGAAATAGCGCCAGAAGCTTACGTTGACTGTAGACGTGCAGAGGTGGCCCAATTACGCAGTTGGTCTCGGCTATCGATCATATCATCAACAATGCTTCATATCGTCTTATAGTACCGCTTGATAAACACCATATCCTCTACACCACGAATCCTCCTAAGAATTCCGACCCCGCTATCCCCACCGGCACCGCGGTTGCACACGTTCATCTACTGGTTGGTATGCTCGCGCACGAGTGGGAGATGGAGGGTCTTTTAATTCTTGCACATAACGAGCTGGTGCTAGCACTCGACAAGCCTGATCAACCCAACCTAGATCAGTTCATCAACATGGTCGTTGACACCGGAGTGTTTACAGAGCCCTTCGGCGCAGGCGCTAGAGCGGAGGACCCTTGGTTCAAACAGATCCTCAGCACTCTGGGCACTTATGGAGCACTGAACCACGAGATCTGGATGACACAGGATGAGTAAAAGTACCTCGAATTCGTCCCGAAAGCGCCCTACTACGCTCAACATGTCTTCATGGCGCAGGCAGAGATATCTCGTGCTGTGATGGACAAGTACGCCATCAATATGAGAAATGGGAGCGGCTATGGAGGAGTTGCCTGGATAGAAGCACTAACTAGCCGTCAGTAAGATAGGAGGCGTATCTCAAATATGGCTATAGCCATCAATAGCCATGATTCAGTGTATCATAGAGATCATTTATTCAGTAGAATACAATGACAGTGTCTTGGAGCTTCTACGACCTCAAGGAAGAAACATTAAGTGTAGTGTTTAACCTTACACACTAGATTACTATTCATTCCTCCAGTAGTGCGCTTTATTACTTCGAATCATAGCCTTCCCTTCTTTCCCATCTCCAAGGCAAGCACAATGCCTCCTATCGCTCAGTTTCATGGGCGACCTACTCCTCAACCTTAGCCCGCTTCTTGTTCGTCCTGTTCTGCCTCTCTGTCTGTTTCTGTTCTAATGTCTCCTTCAATATCTTCTTATGCTTCTCCTTCGCGTTGTTGAGATATCCAAGGAACTCCAGGTTATCCTGAATGAGATCTAGGAAGGCATTTAGAACACGCTTGTCCCAACGTTTATACTCGTGCGCTATAGCTGCCGTCACGATGAGATGTTTCAGCAAACCGTCCTTGTCGATGCAGATCTTAGCGGAACCGAAGGTCCATGTAACAAAGTCTTTCATGGCTTTAGGATCGAACCGGCTCCTCATTAGAAGTTGCTCGATCAGCTTGACATATGCCGTGTCAATAAGAGCAGGGTACTCCAGGAACTCGGCGAATTTGATCATCTCCAAATGGAATCGCACCGACTTCATCTTCTGGGTTGCGTCGTTATAAGGGGTGTCCGGCTTGTTCTGCGCATGACCAATGTTCGATATCTCGCCCTCAATGTGTCGCTGGTATGTGCCGAGATAGAGAAAGTTTACGAATCGATCCACGATGATCGGAGAAAACGCCGGGAATGGAATCGTGAATTGCTTGCTCGGAGTCTGAATCTAGGGCATTAGAGTCGAGCGCATGATGACAGCAACAAGCAATTGAACACGTACACCTAGGAACAAGCTGAGAACCATCCAGTCTGCAGCTGGGCCGCAAAGAGCCCATGCCGAATGGATTGGAAAGACTATTCCGTTCGAATCGAGAAGGAGGTCACAGCCAATATGTGATTTCATGACTTGCTGCGCGTGTCTAGAGAATCAGTGCGGGTCAAGAATACTTTAGGTCAACATACTCGGAGCGGGTGACGTGCGGCGTCGGGAACTTGTGGTAATCATTCGTGAATACCAGTTGCAGCAAATTCGTCTGAGAACGCCAGCTTGAAGCTGGTGTGTCTTGCGCGGTTCCCGTCGACATTGTTAAGAGCGAGTTGATAGTTGTTGGAGGTGGTGCACAGATAACAAACAAGATACGTGCTAAAGTACTAAACAAACACTAGTGCTTTGCCAAGCATATTGGGGGACAATTAGGAAGGAGCTCGTTTGCAGTGAGTCATTACCTCTTAGTTAGATGCTAACTTAGGTAACACTTCACTTTAAACAAGTGAAGGCTACAAAAGATTTTCTGCATTTTAGTCAAAAGAGATAAAAGAGCAAAGAAGGCTATTACTGCTGCTACGAGTTTCGAACCACCGCAAAAAGAAAAATCACAAGAAAGCCACATACGAGTGTAGAATAGTAACGCACCATTTCCCAAGTGTTCAGAACCAACCCTATGATACTTGTCCGCTAGACGACAGCCCTTGGAACCAAATCCGGTCAGTCGATAGCTGACAGACATTGCCTAACCTACGACTGGGGATGTGACTTCTTGTTGGTAGTTTGGGAAATAATTAAATATATATAGGACAAGTTCGCTCAGGTGTAACAAATGAGAGAGAACCTAATCGCACGAACGGATCTACAGCCAGCACGTTCCCGCCGAGGTCGCGTGCCTAGAACGACATTGGACATTGCGTCAATTTGACTTGCTTTCACTTGCTTTCACTGCGCCGACGTCATGCACTTAGCGGCTCCGTTTGCCTCCTCGAGCTTTGCGGTCAATCCATTTCACACCTAAGACCCGCACCCCGCCTCTGCCTCTACCTCCTCACTTTGCCGAAACCGCCAGCATGGCCTCATATAGCGATGCTCACGATGCTTGCGATACCGACAAAGAAGACGTGGCAGTGGAATTGCCTCCGACTGATATGGCGTACGAGAAAGTCTTCATTATCGTACTTTGTAATCCAGCCAAGGTTGCAGCTAAGACGCAGTGCAAGCGCATCTTCTTCAAGAAATCCACTCCGAGGTATTCAATATCGCACATCCCATTACAGATTGGTATGCTAAGTTGGAAAAGCGGCACAAAGAAGATCTGGGAAAACAGAAACGCAGTGGACATCATCGTCAAGGACTCCTACGGCGTGAACTGGGGCGCCCACAAAGCCGTTATCACCCCAAATTCTCGTGCATTGGAGCGATATGTGTTCACTGGAAAGGTAATTAGTATGCTTCAGCGCGCAACTTATGTATACTTCCAGCGTGGTAACTAATCCGAACGCGGTGGTAGACGCAACTCGAATACACAAAAACCGGGAAAGTCAAACTCACAGTAAACAGCGTCGAATCATTCGCCATAGATGCCCTCCTCCAGTACGAATACTTTGGCAGATACATACTGAAAGGCGCTGCGAGCCTCAGTCTGGCGGAAAAGGTGCCTCTAAATGTCAAGAAGCTCAGGATTGTCCCGAATTCTGATGTGCTCCGTGGTCATTTAGCCATCCATCACCTGGCCGAGTTGCTCGAGAACGACTCACTTGCAGATGAATCTTTCGGGCACATCCAATGGGTTCTCGCACAGAAAACCGTCTCACTCGATGACTTTATTGTCTTCATACACGAGCTGTTCCATAGCAACGGGAAGTACAACACCGTCTGAGCGCGCGAATACGTATGGTGGCAGTGGCATACGCGGCATACCATGACGCAGCCTGGATACGATTTGAGCAGTATCGTCAGCTGTTCACAGGTGGGCACGTAGTCTTTGGCGCGCTCCTGGCAGAAATGCGCAGTACTCTACTTGAGATGGCAGACAGCAAAAAGATTCCCCACCCTCATTCATCTCAGACCGAGGCAGCCAGTGGCCAACACATTGGCTCCAGCTACGTTCCGACCGCATCGATCATCTCTAGAGACGCAGTTCGCACCACTACATCACAGTATGTGCCAGCTCACACGCCCCGCGCACCAAACGCCTCCACTGCCACATCGACAGCCGCTCTGACTTTGGCCGGAAACCTTGGAGGTGCTCCTCAGTCTGCATCACACCTGCGCTCAATGTACGCGATGCAAGCCTCTGGGAGCTACAGTACCAATGCGCAGCCGGGCGCGCCCTCGCAAGTACCGGGCCCACAGGCGCAGATGCCACCGCCAGTCTCATTTTTTGGAGGCAACAATGCCCATTCAGCTGGCAACGGAACTCAAGGCATCTTCAAATTCGGAGCCTAGGGATCTACACCAAGCTTCTGAGCGACACTGACAACCTCGCTTGCAGGGAGGGCTACGAGCGACAAGAAGCAGAAATGGGCGTCAAAGAAGGCTATTTGGGAAGCGAGCATTGTATGGAGCTGGATTGTAATACAATTGAAGACTTGGTAAGCGTAGAATGGGATACAAAGTATAACAGTTGCTGCTCCGAGAAATCAGGCTAGAATGCAGGCCCTTTACACATAGTTAGCGCCTAACAGGACAAGTAGCCTTTATAAAGATGTGGATTCTGTCCTCTAGTCCTACCCGCTTCCATCTCCAACCCATCACCACCCTGCCTTCTAGTACGGAATTCCATTCGTAATCAACTGGAACCGATCATACGTTCCAGTCGAGTAACTGCTCCTACTCTTCTCAATCAACGCCTTCATGTAGTCTGCAGCCTCCCTCTCCGTCTTCTCCAGCACAAACCTATCCCTGAAGTTCTTGATCGTCTCAGGCTTGAAGCACGGCAACCCACTATCCAGCATGACCTCCACGATATGTACAAGGTGCTCGCAGTGCTGTCTAGCGGCCAGGAACGCCTTGATGGTAAGTTCTTCGAACCAGCGGTATGCCTGCGTATTATACGGTTGCGCTGCATTCTTGCCAGACATGACGGCGATCATCTCGGCCGTGAGCTTGAAGGGCGCCCGCTCAAATTTAATGCCGCCGGGGGCGATGTCGAAGCAGAATCCGAAGTCGATGTGGATGATGTGGCCGGTGTCGTTGATCATGATGTTGCCATTGTGCCTATCCTTGAACTGGAGCAGGAAGCTTATCACGCTATACGCAGCCATACTTTTAACAAAGTTGCTGCGCGCTTCCTGGTAGCGGATGGAATCTTCGTTGCCATAGCGGCTAATGAAATAGTCATCGAGACGATTGACGGCTTCGCGGCCAAGCATGTCACGCGATATGGAGTTGGGTAGGACATCGATGACACCGCAACCGGGTGCTGTCGCTGTGACGCGGTATGGGAAGACCCAGACGTCGAGACCGACTGTGTTGAAGATGCCGCGGAAAGCGGCGATCATTTGGAGGGCGAGCACGTCTTGGCGGCAATCGTCGCCGACTTTGAAAATGGCCGAGAGCCAGGTTTCGTACGTGTTGTCTTTCTTAGTGACTGCACGGTCGTCTTCTTCAATCTCCTCGAGGCCTGTGTCGGGCTTCGTTTTGCGTATGCGGAAGGTCGCCATGAAGGGCGTTTTGGCGTGACTCTGTAGTGGCTTGCCAGACTTCCGATCGATGCCGATGACTTGACCGTCAGGGTTACTGGGCAGATAGACGCCGACCTCGACCTGAATCTTGCGCAGCTCTTCCTCAATCTTCTGCTTCTTGACTTCTTTCGGCTCGTGTAGGACCGAGCGAAGCGTACCGGAGATGCCAGTGACTTCATTGAAGAAGGCAAATTCGCGCTCGTAGAATTCTCTGTCCTCCACTGAGAAGCTAGACTCAAGACTTGCCATAACTTTGTCGAGTGTCGGTTTCACGGCGTCCGGCTGCAAAAACTATCAGCATACGCGCGTCAGGAACGGTATAGTAGCACTCACTGTCTCAGAAGTCTCGTCCTTGTAAGCATTCGCTTTCATATTCCAGATGATCTGGTGGGCGAACAGTTGCGAGAACTCCGCCGTCTCAATGATATATCTCTCAACGTAGCCGAGGAAATCATATCGAAGCGTCTGCACAATCTGATAGACATAGAAGAACATCACATCTACCGAGTGGCTCTCAAGTGCTCTCATCGCATACTGAATGATGAAAGGATGATTGCGGTACGCTGGCAGGAATAATGTCACGGCGGTGATTGGGTTAAGAGGAGCCCAGTACAGCAGGTACTTGGGACTGTTAGCTGTATGAAAGTATGTGATGGGATCCACGTACCTTGAGCTGGAAGGATACATCACCCGGCAGTTGATTACCAAGTAGCACCTCAAGAGCATCCGGTTCTTCCAAAACCTTGTGAGGAAAGTTGAGCACCTGCCAACGGACTTCGGTGTTTAGTCGCTGCGACTGGAAGCGCTTGATAAGATGCACGGCAATTGCCGGATTCTCTGCCCAAGCGGTCTTGAGATAAGCTGTTACAGCGGCCTACTAGCGTTAGTCTACATAGTTTGAATCCTAGTGAATACTTACGTCAGGCAGCAAGTTCTTATTAGGTCCAGATGTAAAGTGGTGCTTCTTGCCAAAGTCCAGAGGATATAACCAGACTATGAGACGCGTGTGCTCATTAGCAATCAGTAGAGACAGGAGATCCTGCTTTGCTTTCAACTTTGAGCCAATCTCTGCTGAAGTAGTAACCTTTCCGATAAGTTCCAGCTGCGTTTGTACATCCGCAAGGATATGGGTCTCTGCCTTGATCTGTAGTCGATTGCCTCCGAATGAGAACTGTGGAGCTTTGGCAAACCACGCCAGCGCAGCGGTCAAGATGCGGTCCGTCAGACGCCATCGGATAGTTGACGAGAGAGTGGTGCAGTGATGAGAGATCCGCAGTCCCAACAAGATGATGTGGAAGTACGCTTCCCGAGCTAATGGTTGGGAACAGCCAACACTCATGGCATCGAGCGTGATGTGTATCAGTCGTACATAAACACGCCCGACATCTGACTTGCTCAATCGAGAGGCACTGAAATGGCTGGACAGAAATTGAAGAAGCCGGAAGTGAGGTGCAATAAGATTGTAAATCTGCTGCTGTCGTTTGGAAAGGGCTTCCTTGTCCGTAGCAGCAAATTCTTGTTTGCCGTAGAAAGGATCTGGGTGTCTAAAGCGGAGTTAGCCAGTGTCGGTTTATCTTGACTATATACACGAACCGTAAAGCGGGGCTGAAGATACCACGTCGCTTGCGCACCGTGTTCTCCCAATTCTCAGCAATGGCAACCAAGATCCGAGACTCCATGCGAGGGTTTTCTTTAGTGACACTGGTCCACAACGAGATACCGAGCTTTATGGATTGCTTGGAGAACACCGCGAATGGGATCCCAACCAGGTGCTGAACGATAGGTGACTGATCCGTCTTCACCCTGCACAACAGGGCAGCTGCTCTCCGTAGTATGTCGCGCAATTCCGCAATTGTAACGTGCTTGTGATTCAGAGTTCGATTCTCCAAGTCGATCAGAAGGTTAGTAGCGTCCTGTAAGCTGCGCGAGAGGTAAGCTGGCATGTGCTGCGAAGCTGGACCACCTTTCAGCCACTCTTCTTCTTGATCCACGACACCGTCGAGGAACTTGTATTCCTGTCTCGTGGTGTATTGCGTGATGAAGTCGGACGCGGAGTTGATATTGATGCCTTGGCGTTCGACGGCACCTAGACGTTGGTCCGTAGACGGGATAACGGACCCCATTTCCAGAGCGAAGGACCGACCCAGGGAGATATGGCCGAAAGATGCTTCGTCGTCAAACTCTGATAGGTAGGTCTGAAGAAGGCCTTTAACATCAAGAGGAGCGATATCCAGGACGCTCTTGACCCAAGTCGTAGCGCGCTTATGAAGAGCGTCCAGAGTCGCTCGGCGAAAGTTGTAGTCATCGGATAGTTCGATCACGATATTGGACCTTTTTGAAGTGAAGGTGGACTTCCAGGCATACTCATCAGTTTCGCCTTCGAGGCAACTGTACCACATCATCGACAGGAGCTCTAGGAGAGCAAAGAGTGCGCTCTTCTGGCACAGCGTCGATGGCACTTCACGGACAATGAGATCCGCACATGAAGCTGCCGCTTGCTGAACTCGAGCAATACGGTGACAACAAGCGGAGAAAATAGTCGCCAGCTGTTGCGCGAGGTATGGCGTCGAGAAAGAATGCGATTGGCCCGAAAGCGTCTTGGACAGATAGGTCCTGACTGCTGACGTGGTGATCGCGGCCATGCAGTTGCCTACAGCGCCGCTTCGAAGTTTCGGGTCTAAGAAATACGCAAGTGCTTTGGTGCAGTCACCCGTACTCGCTCGCAAGTCTTCCACCACATATGCGGTGCTTAAGAAAACTGCTTCCTGGTAGCTGAGCGATTTGGTGTCGGCTTCGCATGAGGGAAGCAACTTGGCGAGACGCCGCTTCTGCTCAATCGTGTGCTCAGGCGACTTTCCGCGACGTAAGACCGTGTTAAGTTCTATGTCGCTCTCCGATAGAGACGGCCGTTCTTCAGCAATCAAAGATTTACTGAATCGAGCTAATGTTCGAAGTTCTTCTCTATATTGACTTCCGAGATCGGACGACAAGTCGAAGCCATGAACGACTATGTTGAACCAGGCATCGCGTTGTAGGCTGATTATGGAGTCGTCAAGCTCTGAAAACTCTGCACGATTGACATTTCGCGCGAGAAGCACAGCAAGAGGTTTCAGTAGCTGGGCTATCTCTTGAGCATTCAGTTCAGTCTCTCGAAGGTGGCGATGCGACGTCTCTTGGGCATCTCCTTTACTGATAATCGTATCCAGCAAATGGGTAAGGTAGATCTCGAGAGCAGGTCCCTCTGCAGAAACTTCCCTTGATATGATTAGGCGTGCGTTCATTACAGCCTCCAAAGTGACCGTATCATCATTGACAAGAGCGTCATGGCATAGCTTGGCGTATATCTTGAGCAATGACCTGAATTCTGTAGGCGGGCTGTGGAAGGACAAGAACGCCGAATCGGTTACAATCTTCGCGTCGACCGCTTTGCTAGACCGACCAATCTTCTGAATGAGCATTGACAACGCGAGTGCCGTGATTTTCGCATCGTTGCAGTTTCTAGCAACGGAGACGACTGTTTCTACAACCGTCGTATGCACATGGTGTGGTTCTTCGACGTCACTCGGCGTAAGTGAGATAGCACTTCCATCTTGATGGTTATAAACCCCACCTGTACGTGGAGTTTTACTAGTACCATTCGTTGTCGGTGATGCGGCATTTCGATCGGGGACTGGGCCTGCACTTATGATGTTTCCGAGGGTGTAAAGTGTTGTGATAATAGCGTCTTGAGGGAGCAGGCTAAGGACCGTAGCAAGTGACTCGGCTGCCACTGACGTTGTTCGATGATCAAAGTTGCCTTGAACAATAACTCGCGGAAGTGAACGTCCTAAAGTAGATGCCACCTGAGGGGACACTTCGGCTAAAATAGCCATTGACTTTAAGACTGCCGATGCCAAATCGTGATCCGAACTCTGCACTGGGTCGTTGAGCACGTTGTCAAGCCAAACCGTCAAAGTTTCCGCATCTGCGATCTCGGCATCATAGGTAGTGCAACACAAGTAGGTGACGAGAACCTTTGCTTTGACTGAAGAGGCCTGTCGTTGCTGCCAGGCGGAACCAACTCTTTGCAAGTAATCGAGATCGTTCTCCAAACGCTCCATCTCCTCCATGGCGATTCTTGTTAGTCCTTCTGCAAGCGAATCCTCGGACAAGTCTCTGAGTATCTTGTTGCTCTTGCTATTCAAAGATGACCGCAAGTGATCCAAAACGGAATCTTCGCTTTTATGATCCGGGCTGGTTCCCACAAGAAGCGCAGCGGAAGCAACCACAATCTTCAAAAACGAGTCATGAAGAATCATGGCCCCTAGCGGTCGCCCGGTAGCCGCATAGTGCCTTGTATAGCGCTTCCACTCCCTCAATCCGTGTTGATGCGAGCGGGTATTACGCACAATCGACAGTGCGGTCTCAAACGCGATGAGGTACGTCTCTGACAGCGCAGCCCGCACATCTTCGACGAATTGAAGCCTCTCATACGCATTCCAGAACCTTGCATGCTCGGCAGCAGCCCCCAGAAAGCCCAGGAGTGAGAGGCTCTGTGCCATTATCCGCGCAAGCTCCCCGTTTGGAGTAAAGTCTTCCGTCTCGTCATCGTCAAATTGATCCGCTGACAGCTCGATAGCTGCGGCGGCCCACCCGCTTAAATAGCGCTCGAGTGCAGCGGAAGCCTGTGTTCGTAGTCCGCTATGTTGGACGCCAAGCGAAAGGACCGCAGCCGTGAGGTTATAGGTAAGATGTTCGTACGGCGAGGGCTCATATGTGCGGAGGTTCGGCGAAGGCGAGAGGACTTGGGCGTATGATTCGGCAAGGTAGGGTGCCAGGCGGGCCAGGAGCTTTTCCGCGACTTCTGTTGACTCGACGTATGGCGCAGCTTTGCATAAGGCTAGAATTGCCTCCAGCTCCTGTAGTTTCTGTTGCTTGTCAGCTATGCACTCCTGAACTACACCCAACCCCCTGGGCTATAGTTACTCCGCACAACGTACCATGGGATTCGACGTCTTTGAGATGCCATAATCCTCAGCTTTAGAGCCGACATACGCTGCGGATGCATTTGGACACCTCTTGAAAATCTTCAAGTAGTCTGCAGTGGTAGTAGCAGTCGATGGTGACTGCGCCGACAGGCGAGCAAGCTTCTCGAGCGCATTGCTCCGAATCGTGCGTCTGAAAGGCTACAGATTAGCTATACGAAGCTCGGTGCTTAATTGAGGAAACCTACGACATATCTACAGAAGCTCCTGCTGCCTCCTCTGGCTTCAAACACGCCGTACAGAAAGATGCGCGTAGCGTAGCGTATTCCGGTGGCTTGCGTGAGATGCCTGGGGGTGACGAAATCGTACCAAAGTCTGGGGCGCTCGGAGGTGGCATCACGCTGATTGGCGCAACTTTCCTGCACTTGCTTGCCCCGTGCCCAACATTGTTCTTTACCACCAAGCGTAGAAACAGGTTGAGTAATCTCAATTGCAAAGTAATGTCCATCTCGGGGAGTAAGTATTTCTATGTTTGAAAGTAAATTCGACGCTAGAGCGGATCATACAACGCAGTAGGAGAAATCAGTATAAAACCACAGGTCAGGTGCTATACCCAGCACCTTAGCACAGCGGGGAGTAAGTATATAAAAAGAAGAGCAATTATATTCAACACATAGAGGACGCAAAACAAACGCTACTCAAATCCCGTCAGCGCTCGAACGCCTCGCCAAAAGAGAGCATATTTCAAATATTCCACCTCAATAAAACGCCATGCTCATCATACATCTGTGTACAACCATATCTTCGTGACTTTGTTCGTTCAATCCGTCATGCAGACCTTCCTAGGACTACAGACTCATTCAATCATCAGCTGGTTCCACTCTAACCAGAACCTCCTCTAGGAACCCTTCCAAAAAACCCGCAACCTCTCCGCCCATACCCACCTCCCCCCTCTCATCCCACCGATCCAGCTCTTCAAACCTATCTTTGATCTCACCTACCAATCTCTTGACTCTATCATGGCAATCCTGTCTCTGCCGCTTCCTGTCAATAAAACCCTGAGGATCACCCAGAGACTGTGCTGACTCTTGCTTGTTTTTTACATTGAGGTGGTATGTACGCCGTGATAGCGCAGCTTCGAGCGCAGGCACGACGACGCCGGTCAGCGCTGTGATTTCGATGGGCGCGGTAGGGGAGCCCGGGGTTTGTGCTTGGAGAATGCTGGGGTGGTTGGGTGTGGGTTTTGGGCGGCCGAACGAGTTACGAGACATTGGCGATGGCTTGGTGGTATGTGGGGGCGGTACAGGTACTGACGGTTGTGCAGGAGGCTGTGGCTTAGGTAATGAGTTCCAATCCGAAATGAGGGGACCACCGAAGGGGTCGTTTGATGATGCCGAATCCGGGCGTGTGGTCGAAGATGGACTAAAAGGTGCAAAGGACTGTTGTGTTGCAGGAAGTGGCTTCTGTCCGGGCAGAGTAGGAAGCGGTTGTTGCCCGACTAATGGTGGCAAGGGCTTCTGAAGCTGTGATGGGGATGGTGCTTTGCTCTGTATCCGTATTGGGCTTTGCATTGGCTCGACGTGATGAGCCGCTGGAACACTGATGTTCACTGCACTTGCAGCGGGCCCTCGAAATGGTGGGATCTCGGGGATAGACATTTGCGGAAGGACCGAAGCCCGACTTGGGGTGGGATTACGCTGCTGTGGTGTAATTTCCATGTTCTCCATATCTGCAGCAATCGATCGCTGGAGATACTCGTCGTATGCATGGGCAAGCGGTGTCTGGCGCCGTGGTTGCTGAGCAGGAGGTTGCTTTGTGGGAGTGACCAACCCGCGATTCTGCGGTGGAGAGAAAAAGCTAGGCACAGGAGATTTTCGCGGAGGCTCTTGAGCTGGAGTGGCGAAGAACGGTACCGAATTCTTTTCTGGTGATGGTGGCAGAGGTATCCTCGAGGCAGTGCCTAGAGTGGTGGTTGCCATCGATCCTTGAGTCTGCAATGGGGCTAAGCGTTTCGTTGGTGACGACGGTGGACTTGCTCGAATCGTGTCGTCGTTTTCATCGCCATAACCACATCGCTGGTGAGGAGCTGGTTTCCTTTGCGGCGATACATTGCGGGCATTCGCTCCAGCATCGTTCATCGGGGCGAGCGCCGGGCCCCGACCACCCGCAACAGGTCTAATAGTACCGAAGTCCCACAAGTCTTCATTGAGGGGCTCGTTTCTCTTCACGGGTGTAGCTTCATCCTCTGAGTCGTCAGCCAGCTTCGGGTACCTAGCCTTCCAATCCTGGTACCTCGATATGAGCTCCTGCAGCCGCGCCGGCTTCCCGGCTTTCCGAATGAAGTTGGTTTGGAGGAGCTGCTTCGCGTTCGGCCGATCGCGAGGGTCTTTTCGCAGGCACAGTTCAACGAACTCCTTGAAGGCGGGCGAAAAATTACCATGTAGCTGTGGTGGTGGATTCTTGGGAATAAGGAACAGGACCTTCATGGGATGTATATCTGCGTAGGGGGGCTCGCCATTCGCGAGCTCGAGCGCGGTGATGCCGAGAGACCAAATGTCTGCTTTGCCGTCGTATCCAGACTGCTTAATGACCTCCGGCGCCATCCAAAAGGGTGTGCCGACAAATGTATTCTTCTTTGTCATGGTGGCTGAAAGCTGACCTGAGACGCCAAAGTCCGCAAGTTTGACTTGTCCATTTGCGCCGACAAGAATATTGGCCGCTGTTTACATGTTAGTAGTGCTCCCACCCACCTAACCCGGCAGACTTACCCTTGATATCTCGGTGCAGTTTGTGATCGTCGTGCAAATATGTCAAGCCCATCAGCAGCTCCCTCAGTATGACGGCTATCTCCGCCTCCGCTATAAGACCTGGCTTCATGAGATCCGCACAGCTTCCTCCGGAGCAGAACTCCATGACGATCCACAGGTCTGAGCCGGCCAGAAATGATCCATAGTACTTTGTGACGTATTGAGAGTTCATACCCGAGAGTATCATAATCTCCCCCATGATATCGTCCACCTCGTCTTCGGCATTCTCAACATCGATGACTTTGATCGCTACTGTGTGTCCTGTCCTCCGATCCAGGCCTTTGTACACCTTGCCAAAGCTGCCGCCCCCTATGCATTCCTGCTTGGTATAAAGTGTGTTGGGGTCTACCGATTCGTTTGCGCCCAGTTCTGCCGCCATGTTGCTTGTGTGTGCCAGTCAGCCCAACGAGGGTAGCGTCGGTGTCTAGGTGGGGACTTCGTAACGATGGAGTCGGAGCCGTGAGTATGCGACGGAGTAAACGGTCAAGGTAGATTCTGCGGTTCTGTTGGGAAGCTTATCCGGACCGTCGGCAGATGGGTGTCGAAGATTGTACACTTTGATAGCGCCCCACGGGGAAATGCAGGCTTCGAGGGCCCACAGCGTTACCGTCGTGATGTCCGTGCGGAGGGGAGCGAAAATAAACAAATGGGCAACCCCTCGTGTACAGCTGTGTGGCGTAAATTGCGCCGGTATAAGCGTGCGCGAACCGTAGGCGTGAACGCGATTCTTGTCAACAGAAGCAGTAGTGCCCACGCTTCCCCCCTGCTCAGGGACCTTGCCAATGACAGTCGTTTGTTGTTAGTGTCTAGTATAGTCCCGATTGTAAGGCGCGTTGTGGTATGCGCCTCGTAGATATTCTCCGTAGGCTATATGGGTAGGCGTCGCGGGCTTATTGTTTCGTAAACACAGATTGCGAGGGCAACGGCGAATGACGAGTGGAAGACGTTGAGGGCGCGCTGGGTCTCGGCTCCAATTGAGTAGAGCGCTGCCCCGTTGTAGCAGCGAACGAGAGCTATGTGCTGGCCGTGAGCGTGGTCGTTTGGCAGCTTTAAGTGGCGGCGGCTGTTTATTACCCTCAGACTTCGTTGTCATGGCGGGACTGGCATGCTCGGCGCGTCGAAGGAGCTCGGGTGCGGGTCGCCTAAGGAACTACCGAACTACGGCGGGCGACGCGAACACGACGAGGGAGATGGTGAACGACATTCGGTTTCCTTGCAACTGCGTCATCTCGTAAGGCAATCTGAAGCTGCGGCATAGGAGCCACCAATAGTTGGTGTTGCACCCTTTCGTCGTGGTGGTGCAGGAGGGGCTAGCTGCCGCCTTCCGTCTCAGCGATCTTCGGATGGTGGGGTGGGATTGGGTCTCAGCAAGCACCGCACGAGAGCCTCATGTTTGGCCATCAGAGTCATCTCATGCTATGTATCACAAAGTTGGATATGCCATCTGGTCGGCCAATGTGGTCATGGAGACACCAGTTGTTGTTGCACGCCAACGATCTTGACTGCGCTCTTGAAACAGACACAGTTCAATTGAGGATTGACTCCGTACAACAAAGCCAGACTTCAGTAGAGCTACTTTCAAAGAGAATCAAAGTTCTCGCAAGCATCCTCGCAAATTGGGTATCCATATTTCACGGTCGTTTCATGCCCTATTCATATCATACCCGCTTGTGAAACGCTTAAAACCTAAGCAACAATTCCCAAAAAAGAGAACCCCAACGCACCAAACTCCGTCAAAAATGCTATATCAGGAAGTACCTGTGTCCGTTGTTCGTTTAATGCGTCCTTGCGTGTCGGCGTATGTACTTGCCGGATTATTCGTTACTGCGTATCCGCGGACGTGGTCACTACTATCGCCTCAAAATCTCCTTCGAATCCTCTCAGCAAGAGCAACATCCTCTTCACTCTCCTCCTCCACCGGCGCTGGCGTCCTCCTCTCCCTTGCACGATGCGCCTTCCTCCTCCTGTTATGACTAACGTTACTCGCAGAATCGTCCGGTCCAATCTCACTTCTTGCATCATCAACACCCTCATCAGAATCTCGGAGATTGGCGGGCGTATCAGTCCTGACTTCGATTCCGCCCATCCCAGGACCCCTGCGTCGTTGCGCAACCATAGATAGAGCGGCTGCGCGCTCACGGAGACGGCGGCGGACTTGTTCAGCTTGGTTATGCAGCTGCTCGAATGCGTCTTCCATTGCCTCCATGCCAAGGTAGATCTCGCGTTCGATTTCAGCGAGCACAGCGATTTCGGTCTCCTCGTCGATTTGGACGGGCGCGCCACCAGGCGGACGTGTAGATCCAGGGCGGGCGGATCCAGGGCGAGAGTAGGGGCTTGGACTAAAGGTGCCGAATCGATTGGGACTGAAAGGGGATGCGAAGCGTTGAGGACCGTCAGTAGGAGGGATCTGACCTAACATGTTCCTCGATGCCGTTCTTGGAGGGGTTGTATTGAGCTCGGGTAAGTCGTCCGCACCAGACCAGAGGAAGCCATCGAAGCGTCCAGACACCAGGATTTCCCACTCATGTTTGCTAACAGCTGCTAGTGTGGAGAGCATATTGTGCATATCGGGATGCCGGATGAGATACATAACGACAAGCTGGTTACGCGGAGGACTGTAGAGACGGTAAAGACGTTGTAACGCCACACTGGCCTTGGCCAGATATGATGGAGTGTCGCTTTCAGGCTTCTGCGTACGTGGGTTCGGGAGCTTATCTAAGCCCCAAAGGAGTGCGTAGAAGAGTGGCCGTTGCGGTTGCTCTAGGCGGGTGAGCATGATGAAGGTCAACGTCTCATCGTCCGCGTCCTCTGGGACGTTATCCTGTTGGTCCGAGAGCCATGATTGAACAGCGACCTTGGTCTTCTTTGATTGCTTCTCATAGTGCTCGCGATACTGATCTGGCACGTCAACGTCAATCCGTTGGCACGGTGCCTCAAGATTTGATGATATGCCGAGGCCGGGTCCAGGACCATCTTCGTACGGGGGCCAGGTGGGCAGTCCGCATCGTCCCGAGACAAGCTCTAAGATCTCACCCCAATTCACGCCTGCAGACTCCTCGGCAAGTGGCTGTTCGAAGCACATCATACATTGGCACTGCTCAGCAGAGATATTGCGGGCAAACACATTTTCAAGTCGATCGAGAAGGCGGCGTGCAACTGAGCGGTAGCCTGTTGCTACTGCGAGCGAGCCACTTGTATCCATGACCGTATTGTAGCTGTTTAAAACGTTTTGGAGTGGTTTGAAAAAGGATCGAACGTCATGAGCCTGCGCCCCAGAAAGCCGTGGTGTCTGATACTGTGAGTACGCAGAAGCAGGAACACCGTCGATAGCTGCCAACAAACTACGTGGAATTGCTTTAGCCAAGCCGCCATTTTGAAGAAGGTAGTCGACTCGAGGTGCTTCCATCATCATGGCTGGTGGAGGCGGCGGAGGAGGTGGGGTCATGGGCGAGTCTGAGTATGTTGTATCTACCGACTGTACACGAGACAGGGGATCCGTGATGATCTCAATCATGGGCGGTCCATCCTTCACGGAGGATACGACGGATGGGACTATGCAATAGGTTGGGGTTCGCGGCGAAGAGTCCACTACGGATGCTGGTGAGACATCCGACTGTGATGGAGACGGTCCTCGACGACGAACATTATGATCTGGAGGGACTGAGGTCGTGTCTGAATCCAGAGTGACTTCAGAAGCTGCCCTCATCTTCATCTTGACCGGCGTCGACGTCCTTCCTGGCGGCCGGGCACTTGATGGACCGGCTGATTTGGTCCGACCCATGTCAGGGGACTTTGCGCGGACTGTGCTGGGCTGTGAGCCCGTCGTGGATGTAAGGTCTGTCCCATCATACGACTCCTCCTCTCTGATGCTTGAACGCGATGCCACCCTTGGGCCTGCCTGGGTGGTCATGCGCGTGCCGCTGTCTACGCTTTGTCGGCCAGCCTCCATGTCCTTCATGGTTCCCGAGTTTTTCCGTCGCATGCTGTTCGCGCTGGCTGTCTTCCTCAGATTATCGGACGTGGCTGCGGTGAGCGGGGGACTCGGTGGTGCGCGCGGTGGTGTGGGTGCGACTCGGTTAGGCGGTGGTGGTGGTACAGTTCGTGGCTCGTCGTGCGTCTCCGTCTCCTGGTCGTGCGCTGCGTCGACGTCTGTGGCCTCTGGGGTCAGCGTCGACTTCCTCTTCTCCATCTCTGATCGTGAATATATGTTCTCCTTCGCATATGTCTTGGATAATGTCGGGTATGGCAAGCTGGTCCTGGAAGCGTTCGCTGAGCCTAGAGAGCCTCTTCTTTGCATCTCGGGTACAACGGCCATCTTGGACTTGGGCGACGGCGACGATGTTCGTATGCGCTCTCCCGATGGACGCTCGCGGGGCCGGTCACCCTCCTGGTCGTCGTCCTTGGACGTCGATGAGCGTGTCTTGCGGGACCTGGAACTCTTATGACGTTCTCTATCCTTATCCCTGTCGCGATCCCGCTCCTTGTCCTTGCTTTTGGGGCTGCTGCGTTCGCGTGTGCCGGTGGAGTCCTTCTTCCGGCGGCGGTGCGAGTCTGATGAGCTCAACATTTCTTATGGCGAGAGGTGGAGTAGCTCCTCGGTGTGACTGTACGCGGGCAGGGCGAGCTTCTGCGGAGATGGCACGCTGGCGCGCTTACAGATGCTCGATTACTGGACGTATGCTGCGAGCCTGCGCGGGAGATGCACCTATCAGCGAAAAAGGCCGCCATCCATTTGCGCGTTGGGCAGGATTGTGTGCCGGGTTAGGTATACGCGTGTCGGTGCGCTGTACGTACAGGTCGGAATGTTGGTCGATGGTCGTGGTCGTGGGTGTCCAAGGTTGGGGCTTACCTTGGTAGGGCAGTAACGCTAGGCTGCATCCCAGTCTACGGGTAAGTCGTGGCATAGGTCTCCACTTGACCATCGCAACCGCTATCAAACGATGGTACCTACCTAGGTAAAGCCAAGTGCCGCAACGCAATACACATTGAAAACACATGGCAATATTCACGTGCTCTTAGCTTATGCCTATCTATCCTATCTATTGGGTAGGACTTGCGAGCTATCAAAGTACCAAGTAGCTTCTCCCCTGACTACAATCTAATAATAGTTACAACCTGTCTGGAATATAGTTGCTTCGCTGGACAAACATGAGTAGTCTACATTACTATTTGTGACGCGAGAATCCCCTTACCTAGTTACTGGCTTCATAAATCCGGAACCTCTTGATGGTCGAGAGGAAAGTCGATATCCCTCAGTCGTCTTATCCCCAACATTCGTCCAGTTGTAGCGTTGTATTCAAGCAAACTCACTACTAGGGAGGAGAGACCCAGACCCAAAGAGTTTCACTACTCACGAAAAAAACATGATTAGCTATTGCTGTACCGATTCTCACTCATGCCTTGAGCATTGCAGCAGGGCGCGCGCCACAATGTCGCCCAAACAGAAAAGGAAAACCCAAGCCACCAGCCACACCATGCATAACATGTATTACGTTGAGGACCAAGCAGTAACAAGCTAGTTATACTTCTCAACACCCGAATCAGAAAACACACACTCCAACGGCTCTTGTTAGATGCGGAATGGCAGATGAGACGATCACAATACTAGAATAAGATCCAGCTTGGAGAGTTTACACTATCATGCTCAACACCGCCTAGCAGCAGATCTACCTAGGTAGCGACCTCGGGACAACACTCCAGGCCAGTCGTGGCCATTCCCCAATTCGAGATTGTCGTCTGGTTCAAGGAAGAACTGCAAAAGGAACAAAAGAGGAAATGGCCATAGTGAAGTCAGGCAAAATGATCGCGATGAAGCAAGGGTTCGTCGATCAGCAAGCGTTAGAGCGTCATACGCCCTAATTCGAAAGTGAGAAGAATTGAATTCCTACCATGGCTACGGAGCGAGGGTTCCAGTGCTCCAAACACAATGTCACTACACCTCACACCAACAAGGGTGACATCAGGCAGTCGTAGCCAGAAACGCCCTTGACACCTGGGACGATATGTTCCACGTCAAAGATTGGCCGACAACTATCTCCAAAGCATACGCGATATTTTACGTACTGAGAGAATGTAGCGATGAGTGTTAATACTCAGCAAGGATTCTACGCTTTCCCAGACAAATTAACTTTACTTGTTCGTTCAAGCACCTCATAGACCTAATGGACAATATCGAAATAGCCGTGAATGTACTCAAGCGTTGTTTGATTTAAATTAGAACCGTGTAATAGCTAAAGGTGCAGTCTTCAATGACAGCCAGACTGTATTTCTCGCGGTCTTCATCTATGTCAGGTCCAATAAGCACGACCTACACCAACGCCCTCGCTATCCTCACACATACATAGATACCAAGGACCATGACAGTATCGCAGGCTATCTTGAAGGAACACCTTTTTCACCACAAACATGTCCACGTTAATTAATCAAGTATAAATCCGTTCATTGAGGCATCCACTATATGCCAAGCTAGACCCATCCCACATCGAAGAGGTATCATGCAGAGAAAAAAGAAGCATTTATCGCGCAGTTTAGGCTAGAGCCTGACAATCTCTCACTCTCACTCACGCACACATCTTCCGTTGCAAAGACCCAAAACAGAGGAAATGATATAACCAAGTAAGAAAACACAGAGCGATAGATCCGTTAAGAGCGGGTGTATAATGTACAGAGTTGAAGAAGAAAATGGGAAGAGTATCATGGACGGTACAGGGAAACGCTTTTCCGGCATGGGTATTCTCGGGACATGCCCCTGGTGGGTTATTGACACTGGTTGTTGATGCTGTGGGTAGTGGACATCTTGGGTTGTCGTAATCTTTCGTGGTTGCCAATGGTCGGAGGACCCAATATAGGGATACATGGTCATTATGAGACGTCTTGAGGTCCCCGATCCAACATTCTCGCGAGGTCTTCATTCGTCTTGCAAAGTGCCTTCCTCCTTGCCTGTAGAAACGCCATTCAACAGATGCTGCAGGCAACTGCACATCATAGCTGAAACAAATGCAACATGAATTAATAGACCTAGGTCATCGTACAGCAACATTGCTTCGCTGCATCGATGTGGGGTGGAGAGGAACAAGTCGTATCCTATTGACCTTGTTGCTGAGCTTGAGCATGGTTGACATGCTGCTGGGCGAGCTGGGCACGTAGTGTGGTGATTTCGTTCTGTAGGATAGAGATCCTCTCGTTGTGCTCCTTCTCCATGCGTGCCATACGAGACTCTATATCGCGAACGTATTGCCACACATCGACTTGATTGCCCATGACTTCACGCATGCTGCTACCGCTGCCGCCGTGACTTGACATGCTGCCCGGTTGAGACGCAGTCCCTGGCGCAGCCATCTGAGGGTGTTGGAGAATACCAAGACTGCCCTTTCCGCCTTGAGAGCCCTGTTTAGAAGCCATAGGATTCAAGCCGGGTAGTGAGGGCAAATGCGGACCATTGATATTCGGTGGAGGAGCCAAGGCCATCGGCGGCGTCCCTCGGCCACGAGCAAAGTTTTGCTGGTGAATGTGTTGCGAGACGTTGGGCGACCGCGAGCCATGCAGACTGCTTTCTACTGCACCCAGGCGGTGTTGCTCTTGCTGGCCAGGTGAGAGTGGCTTCGGACTCTCCGTCATGCCACCCTGCGCGAACACATTGGTCGGGTTTGCACTGTGAAGAGACGAGATGCTAGACGGAGCTATTTTGGGCGAGATGTTGGTTGGTTGTGTTGATGACGCTGGATAGTATGGGCGGATACTGTTCTGGCCATTCGAGGCTCGGTTGGCAGCGATAGGCGGGTAGGTACTCGAGTGTTGATGATATGAGCTTTGCGAAGAGTTTCCGGTGTTCTGTCTCTTCCGCGCCGGCTCACTCTCGCGGCGACCTCCGTCATCATCGTCATCTTCTCCATCACCAGTATATATGACGCCGTCCATGCCATCGTCGCCCTTGACATCTCCTAGCTCCTCGTCGATACCAAAGCTAGACCGCCGTCCTGCACAACCACCTTGACCCTTGTTGTGTCGCGCGAGCGCATCTCCACGAGCGAATCTACGGCCACACTTGTAGCAAGTGTGTGGACGCTCGCCAGTGTGCAGTTTAGTGTGGCGTTTCAAGTCATGCAAACGACGGAAACGTGCTTGGCACGTGGGGCATTCGTAGGGCTTTTCTTGACTGTGCGTCAACAGATGGCTCTTGAGATTGTGGTGTCGCGTGAAGTCGGTGGAGCAATATGGGCACTTGTGGCGCTTCGTAGACGGTGATTTCGGGGTATTCTGGCCATATCCAGGTAAACTCATCTGTCGGGCTGGGGCACGCGGATCTGGTTCGGGCGGCCTGGGGCCAGGAAATGTGAAGGCGCGGTTGCCTGGGTTGTCGCCCGGATTTGGCGCGATGAGCTGGTGGTGATGTTGCGGGTGGTGTTGTGGCGGCTGGGAGGACGCGCCTTCCTGTGCGGCATTCCCGACTGGCCCTGCGGTTGCTTCTACGCCAGGAGCGCCCGGTGCACTTGTCGAGTCCCCGTCGCCGAAGCTCGAGAGACTGACTGGACTCGTGTGCATGTTGTCGCCCGTCACCCCGGTTAGCTCTGGGATGACGAGCGGCTTGGTAGCCTTTTCGACCTGTGCGCTCATGTGCGCGGTCCCCTGCGGGGCGTCTGCCGGGCGAGACTGAACGTTCCCAGTCAAGCTCTGGAGCGCTGCGACGGCGGGGTTTGGAGACGTTTGGCGCGCTGATTGCTCTCGGTAGCGTCGCTCGTCGGCGAGGGCAGCCGCTCCCGTGAGGGGCTGAGGGGAGAGTCTTGGTGAAAGGCCGCGAGGTGACTTTGTGAGATGAGTGCCAAAAGTGGCACCAACGTGTGAGTTTCGTGCCGCAGAAGCCGGTGTAGTGGGCCCGTTTGGTGCAGAGAATGGTCCGGTGTGCGTAGGCGTCGGCGTGACTGCACGCGCTGAAGCGGCCATGAGACGTGAAGTGGCGAGTGTGTTGCTCGCTTGGTCTATGTTCTTGAGGCCGCGTTAGCACAGGCTCATTCATACGGCGACCAGGGTCGGCTGACGAGACGGAACTGAACTGGGGGTAGACTGGAGCAGTGGTGTTGCTGTTGCCATGACGAACCTTGGTTGTGGGGCGGCTGTTACTGCGCGCGCTGATATGGCAAATCTTCCTTTCACGGTCGATTGCAATTCATGCCAAGATGCACTGTGCCGATACTCGAGACGAATTGGCCTTTTGGCGTGAGCCAGGTGCGCGATTGCGCTGCGAGGAGGTTCGCAAGGCGCGCTCGGTTGAGAATGCGGATCCAGCCAAGGCGATCTGCCGTCGGATGTTCAGACGCAATAGGTACCAAGGGATGCGCAGATGGTAAGCGACGATACAATGCAGCTGAAGCAGGCCCAGGGCAGCGTGGCTATCTTCGGTGGTCGCGAATGCGACTGTGGTAGCAGCAGCAGCAATAGGGCGACCAGATCGAGTGCAGCGGCTTAGCGGTCGAGGGCGCAAGGCTGCGAGCTGATGAGCAGCGGGCAGGTTGCTCTGGGCGAAAGGGTAGAGGGGCAGCGAAGCGGCAGAGGACGTGCGACCGTGGACAGCGGAGGATTGGAGGCTGAGTTTGGACGTGGAGCAGGCAAGAGGACGGGTTTCGCAGCGCGCAGAGTCGCAGTGGTGAGGGCAGTTCCGCGGTCTGGAAGGCTGGTGGTGCCGATGACGAAGAGTTGGGGAGGCAGAGGTTGTGGCTGATGGCTGAAGGGACGGACGGGACTAGCTAGCGACTTTTTGGGGGGGGACCTGGGATGGTTCACCACCACTACCACCACCTGCAAGACCAGACTTGCCTCGTGGCCGGACCTTGCTCCAGTGGGCTAAAAGCAAAAACCCTACTTCTCTTCGCTCGACGTGCAGCACGCTCAACCGGACGATCGCGGCGACGGGGGCTGATGAGTGAGCAGACGAAGGCTCAATTTCGTACCGTGGGCAGCCTCATACGCGGCTGGGACGGCATCGTCGAATTATCCTACGCCGACGACGCAACTCGGGGAGGCTGTGTACTGGCGGCTTGCTGAGCAAAACACCCCCTCGGCCACTCACACCCTCGCCCGGCAGACCCACCAAAAGCATCCCCTCCTCAAACAGCATGGTCGACTACCGCACGTCAAGTCATACGGACGCCACAGCGCCGTTGCACCCGCCTAGAGCGCTGACGTCGTCGACCACGGCCACGGCCATGGCCATGCCCAGGCACGCTGCAACGCTTCATCGATCGATGCCCCGATGGGCCGCCACCACGTCGAAAAGTCTGCAAAAGGCAAAACACCACAAACCTGAAAAACTGCTGCTGGGCCCGCCAATCCTGCTGGAAAACTGTGACGGGGCTAGGCAGGACGAGCATCCAGCCGGCAGTGGTGGCGCAGCGCCTGCCATCATCACCTCCTCCACCACAAAGCTGATCCATGCTGCTTTCGGCACCACCAGAAGCAGACGAGACGCGCTGAATGGAGACAGAATCCTGTTGTCGCCTGCCTGTACGAGTCCAGCGCCACTGCGGAACCGGGTTGCATCCATCATCGACAATCATCGACCATCATCCAGCCTAAAGTCCGCCCGCCAGCGCGAGCGTCCTCGACCTCTATGTGGCTATCGCTGCTCGCTTACAAGAGCTTGCATACCAACGTCTATCTTCACAGAGCCACAGCCAACTACCTGGCCTTCAGCATAGATAGGGCCCACCCTTGATCAGCCAAGGCGAGACGCCACCGCATCCGACTGGGGCTCGTGGCCCTCGGAACTAGGTTAGCCACCTCGACCCGGCGCCTCTCTCTCGTACTCGTCTTACACCTCCTCTAGCCAATGGCGCATGCCTCTCATCATGACCTCAAAACATTGCCATGTGCTCTGCATCTTATCTGCTCGCTACTACTTTATGGTTGTTAAGCACAAGGGTTGATATGATCGTCAGGCACAGTTACGGTATTCGTACCCGAGTTGGTTGCAGACAAAGCAAGGTTACACCTGCCGCCACTGTCATGCAAACCTCTGAAACCTGAAAGATTTTTTTGCCATTATCGCTTTCCAACCTCCTGCACAGTCTGGAGCGAGCCCATAGCGATACTGACTCTCAGGTAGCAACGTGCTAATAATAGACAGAGTAGACAGCACCGTAGCATTCGTCCACTTCATCCCCAAATAGCTTGGCGCCAATCGACAACTCCTGCTATACGACACGAGATTGAGCCGCACACTTTCAAACAGCACTGATTCGGAGAGCGGAACATTGATTCCATACTTGCTAGCTTTCAATGTCCCCACATAACACCACTCGCCCATCAGTAGGACACGATGGTTTCCTAGGCCCTGATCCAATCAGCAACAATTGCCACCTCAGCTCTCGTATTGACCCTCAACGATCGAATTCGAGTTTATTTGTGGAGATACTGCTCAGAACTTGATTTATTGAACAAGGACGACATAGACCACATCGACAATGAGAGCTCGTCGAGCAAGTGGATGTAGAACTGCGAGTATACCAGCGCTCAGAATGTATAGCGGCCAGCGATACGATCTTTGATAAAATGTAGGAAGGTAGGCACGACCGGCGATTGACGTTTAAGACAAACAAGGACAAATAGACGCTCTTGATAATACTAGTCGAGTAAGACAGATTCAAAGTTTGTAAATACTATAGTTATTCTTATAACCAGTACAGTTCATGGTTGTGTTGATAGCTTGACCTGGGAGTGCAGAGCTCATTGCCTTTTCTAGTAACATGCGGAGCATCCCTACGAAAAGTGACGACATCGCGCCTTCCTGTTGTTAACCCCCACTTCCCCACAAGAGGGGTACCTTTCAGTCTGCACACTTCACATCTGCAACTACCAAGTTATATTAAGAACGCAGAATTAACGACATGTCTACTGGAGTCGGTGTAAGCGAATGCTGCCTCTCGGGCAAGATCCAACAGGGAACACCTGCTGGGAGCGAGAAACAAATTGGTATCTTCAGCACACTCTTCTTCTGACTTCAGGAACTAACAATCATCGTTTAGGCGGTCTGGATACCTATGTCGCAGAGCCTTCAAGCGGTTCAAATGCCAAAGTCGTCGTATTCATAGTCGATAGTACGTAACCTCTACGCTTCCAATACCAACGCACTGACGACGACAGTCTTCGGCTGGAAGCTTCCCAACGTGCGTCTGCTAGCAGACTCTTACGCCAAAGCCGGCTTCACGGCCTATGTCCCTGATGTGCACCAAGGCGACTCCCTCCCCATCGACTTTCTCCAAACTGTGGAACCTCCTCTACCCGAGCGTGAAGCTCTCACCCTGGCCCAAAAGGCTGCTTCGACTGCGAAGGTTGGAGCCACACTCGGACCCTGGCTCGCAAAGCATCGCGAAGGCGTGTCCAAGCCTCTTATCGACGACTTTCTTGCGGCAGTTCACGCAAGCCCTGGAGCACCGAAGGTCGGTGTAATTGGATTCTGCTGGGGCGGCCGGTATGCGATCCTAGCTGCCCACTCAGATGCAGTCGATGCGGCTTACGCATGCCATCCCTCGCTGGTAGCTATCCCTGGGGACTTTGATCCGGTTGTGAAGCCGCTGAGCTTGGCGCTCGGTACGCAGGATAGTCTGCTTAGCGGTAAGGAAGTGGAGCAGATCAAAGAGCTGCTGGCGAAGAAGGAAGTGGAAAGTGAGGTCAGGACGTACGAAGATCAGGTGCATGGCTTTGCACTCAGGGGAGATTGGAGCAGCGACAAGGACAAGAAGGCCATGGATGATGCTGAAAAGCAAGGCATCGATTGGTTCAAGAAGTATCTGGGTTAATCGACTAAACGACTCTGACCGATGAGGTCGAGAAGAGCGTTCAAGTCAGCTAGTAGATGGTAGGCTATTCAACTTTTCTTCCTATACACCTCACATCAGCATATAACTATCTAGTCTTGAGTGACTATGTGTGTGTTGAACAACTTAATAACTCTACGGGGAACTGCTATTTTAATCAGTGTATATCATGAATCGTTGGTCTCCGGCAGTGCCTTCTCTTTCCTCAACCCGGTGACAGTCTCAATATGCTCAGTCCCAAGATGCGCTGCCTCAACAAACAAACTCGCCACAAAGCTGAGAAATGCGAAAACCGTATATGTAATCCACATGTTGCGCGTTGCATACGCAAACGCCTGCTTAGCAGCGCGTTCCCATATCGGATTTTCGAGCTTGCCGGGAAGCATGACGTTGGCCATGGCGCTGGCACCATCGAGTTGATCTAGCAGCTCCGCTGGGAGGCCTGCTGCTCGCAAGAATGGCGCACGGTTCGTCATTGAGTTTTGGAATATCGTACCGCCAATGATCGTGGATATGGAGAGTGCGATGTTTCGAACAAAAGATATCGTTGCGGTCGCGCTCGCCACATCCCGCTGCTCGACTTGACTCTGGACTGCTAGCATCGGTGCTTCAAAGAGGATACCCGATCCGAGACCGGCAATCATGACGAAGCCGACTGCTTTTGCTGTGGTCGTGAATGCGTCGAATGAGATGAAGAGGCCAAATCCGACGGTCAGGAAGAAGGTACCGATCCACATAATCTCGTGAAAGTGTCCGGTGCGGTGGATTACTACGCCGGCAATCACGCCAGCAACGGCGCCTGTAACGATGAACGGGAGGAGCAGAAGACCGGAGCGAAGAGGCGATGCTTCTAAGACGGCCTGGAAGTAAAGCGGCATGTAGTACTCCCCTGCAATGAAAACCTATGAGGTCGCCAAAGTCAGCATTGTCGCAGTGAATTTATTGCGACACGTGGGGACTTACGAATCCATGGAAGAAGGCCACTGCAAATGCCGCAACATTCGATCTGCGCTGGAACAGCGTCATAGGAATGAGCGGGTACTTGGCCACACGAGCTTCGCTGTACACAAAAGCAAAGATCATAATGCCGCCAACAACAAGCAGTGCTATGACCTTCGCTGAGCCCCAGGGAAAGAGCACGCCACCGAAATCGAGCCCGAGAAGTATCATGAGCGTGCAGCCCAGGAAGGTAAACATGCCAAACCAGTCGATAGCCTTCATGCCATCCTTGAAAGACGTGTGCTCATGCTGGATGTCTAGAAAGAGAATGATAAGAACGGCGGCGAAGCCACTGATTGGGAGGTTGATGTAGACTATTTCACTGAATAAGTAGACATCGCAGATGCAAAACTGATGATCAACTTACAACACCATCGCCACGACACCAAACTCGCAAACACGCCACCAAGTACTGGCCCAACCCCTCCAGCCAGAGCCCAGATACCTTCAGTGAAGCCCTAATCGAAAATACGAATTAGTGCATGTGTCACACCCCAGTCCGTACATAGTATCCTTACCATGAGCAAGCTCCTCTGCCTCAAGCTAAACAAATCACTAATGCAAACATGCACCAACAAAATAAGTCCTCCACCCGCGGCGCCCTGAAACGCGCGGCCGATGATCAACGCCTCCATCGTCTTCGCAGTAGCACATACAGCAGAGCTAACGAAGAACATGGCGAGAGCTGCTAGTACGATGAGCTTCCGGCCCCAGATATCAGAGAGCTTAGCCCATATTGGACCGGAAGCTGCGTTGGCCAGGAGAAAGGCGCCGCCGATCCAGGTATAGCCCGCTGCTGAGTTGAGGTCCCGGGATATTGTCGGTGCGGCTGTTGCGACGATGGTAGCGTCTAGGGCTGCTACGAAGAGGGACAGCTAGTAAAAAGGTGAGTATATAGAACGATGGTTTTGGATGAACTTGAATTAAGATGTGATGGAATCGACGTACGAACAGAGCAGTAAGAATAGCAACCATGCGAAGCTTGCCTCTTGCCTTGCCATCACTCGCTACTGAAATGTTCCTGCCCAGTTGCGTCCCATCTTTTTGCTCCGCGGGCGGCCTACTTTTCTGAGATTCAGTTGGCCCAAGAGGCACCATTTCTATTTCTCGCTCCATGCTGTAAAATCCGCCACCAGAATACGGTGAAAAAAATACTAAGAATATCTCGACATATGTACAGCGAAAGTAGGATATTTGAGGAGCTGAAAGGTGATGCTGCTGGGGAAAGCCCTTTTACTATAATACGCCCCAGCGTCACCGCCATTTTTAAACCAATCGAGTTCGACTGTGGAGCAGGCTAGCTTCACTATTACTTGTTTGGGATAGCGCCCGCCCTTTGAACTGTGGAGGAACCCGACTGGATCAAAGCTTTTTGTAGTATCGATGGGTGGGATTGGTATGTCATGAGGCTGGTGTAACCATCTCGGGTCATTCTCGCATGCTGACACGGTTAAGAGTCATTTTCAATTCGAGTCAACACGGCCGATCGGGTAACGATACCCATGACTAATGCTCATATTCTGGTATATTGATCATCATAGGAAATACAAACGACTCATCGTGCTGATATGACATTACAGCCTCGTCCGATTTTCCCAGCATTTACAACCACGAATCAAACCACGTCACTGCCTGAACAAATGATGCCTGCTTCGCATACGCCTGCTGTGGGATACTCTGGTTAACACGGACTGCAAAACCGTGAGGCGCTGCGAAATACAGATTCGACTGGAAGGTCACATTGTTCGAGTTCAAGATGGTCTCCGCGCGGGATTTCGCTGTCGCGTTGAAGGCTGCATCGAGTGCTGTGCTTAGTCAGTACTGCTTCCAGATCTAAGACATAGGAAATTTTTTTGGGAATACGGATAGGGAGACTTACTGCCAGCAGCTATACTAACGGGCGCCTTGATAGCGCTAATCTCCCCCTCTGTCAAGGCGCTCGGATGCGCGATGAATCCTGCATCAATTCCGCCTGACGCTTTCAAGAACCTCGGGACATACTTGCCCCCAAAGCAGTACCCTACACCTCCAATCTTTTCAACATCCAGCTTGCTGCGCATGTAGCCAATGGTGGTGTTGATGATGCGGTCGATTTCCGGCGTAGGATGCAGGGCGCGCCACTCCGTCAAATTCAGCCCAGCTTCCTGCTCCTCGACGGACACTGCATCACCAGCAAAGAGGTCTGGCATAATTACCAGGTAGTCATTGCTGGCGAGGGAATCGGCGAGCAGTTGATTCTGCAGAAGGGGAACACCGTAGATATCGGTTACAAAGAGGATGGCTTTTGCTGACGTGTTGCGGCCTGGTGGGTAGGAGTGGTATATTTGAACTGTGGATATGTTGTTAGAAGCCCGTTAAAAATGTGCTGCTAAAACTTGATAACGTACTTCCGCTCACGTTCTTCAATTGCCCGACGGGTACACCAGCATTTCGAACCTTGAGCGACGGGTATGATCCTGCCGCTAGGGCGCTGCCAATACTCGCCAATCCGACGAGGACGTTGCGTAGCGAAGGCATTGGGGCAGTCGCAAATCAGACGTCTTTACAGGCGTGGATTGAAAAGAGTAGGTCGTTTCAAATCGAGGAGAATTGGGACGTTCGGGAGGCTATTGCTAACCTACTGCGGCATCCCAGCCTTTGTACCCTCTTCCAAATTACATCGAAGGCTAAGTCATGCCCAGCAAAATCTCTGGGCATCTGCAGGCGCTATCGAGTATTATCCCGGGATCTGTCTGGCTTTGATTGATGGCGGGGAAACATGCTAACCTCGATCTGCGTTGCTTGGCCGGGAAGGCACGTTGTTTTACTAGAAGGAGCTATTTGGCCGAAGTTTCGCAATCGTGCACGAAAGCCAAGGGGTGCGTGACGACTCCATGTGCGCCGCATAGTCAGATCACTGGCTTCTTGATAAGCATCATGGGGCTGAGCAAAATGCAGGGTCAAAAGCGATGGCTTCGATTGAGAGTATGAGTACTGCGACTCGATGACGTCAGGAGCCACTGGACGCACTACACCAGTCCCAAGCTCCTCCCATCCCTGCGCCAATGAATATACCAGCCCAGCAAGCCCACGAGACTAAATCTCATCAATAAGCATCGGCGTACATATCGAATGCAGAGACATTCGTGTGTCCGTTGAACGACCGTCGACGTCGAATATGAAGCATCGATGGAATCGACAACTTCTGAAAGACATGTGCCTGAATCGGCCGTCCACTTGCAATCGCAATTGCAGTACGAGTCCGCCACATAGCACCATCTCTTCGAATCATGTCTTGCGAACTCGAGACCGCGTCCGTAGTCCGTGTTCGCACGGCGGCTCTATTCGCTGCTGTCTGCTCCTGTGTTGTCGTTGGGACACTTGTTGCTAGTTTGGAGGCGCTTTTTGGTTCTTCCTGCCGCCATTGTGTAGGCATTGTGTCGGCACCTATCTGTACAGCGGTGCTATGGGTTGCATACTGCACTGTAACATCTACCATGGCCGAGATCTGCGCGTCAGAAGCGCGCCCTTTACCTTTCCAGTTTGAACTAGTGCCCGTGGATGAACTCGTGGGACCAGGAGGAGAGGCCAAGTGAGCGTTGGCCCATATAATCGTCGCACTCGCAGCTACTATTAAGAGTTAACTCGCGCTCTGTAATCTACCCACGCAGCCGCCCTGATGTCTGACGAGTGTTTAGGCTCTTTCCCCTGACGTACCTTCAGTAGAGTCATCTGCCAATACAGAGTCACCAGCCCTTCCATCTTGTGCTTGCATGCCCGAACCAGTTTGCAAATGTGCGTTGTGTTGCTCAAGATTCTCGATATGTTCGACCGATCCAGTGGCACTAGACATCCCGCCTTCACGTGCTAGTCTCTTCATCGCAGATTCAGATGGCGGATTCCACCATGCTCCTTCTGTTGATCTTGCTGTTGACCTTTCTCCTGAAACTGATCTCGCCTTTGCTTTTGGGATTATCTTTGTTTTCCGCTCATGTAACGCTCCAGGTGTTGGAATGGTATGGGGGCGTGTAGCCATCATAGCTCTATTTTCGCATCCCCTCGCGGCTGCCAGCCGATTCTGTGCTGCTAGAGATGGGGGAGGATTGTTCAGCATCCACCGAGGTATCTTAACAGGCACAGACGAAGTCTTGGGTCTTATAGTAGCAGTTGTCGACCTTGCCGTCATAGAAATCGTGGTCGGCGCAAAGTACTGAAGAGTGCTCTGTCTCCGTCCGCAGCCAATTGAACCAGGGACTGCCCGAATAGGCCACGAGTTCATGTATCGAAACTTGTTCACTCCAGCCGAGCAAACGAATGTCAGTCCATCGACCTCTGTAGGGCGTCCGAATGTCCCTTTCGCCGACAATGTGATCTTGCAGCGGATAACAGAGACGTAGCTAGTCTTGAAGTATCGTATCCGGCGCTCTTCTTCTTCGGTTTGGACACGGTAGGCCATGCCTACGCAAGAGTCTTGGCCCCACCATGCCTGTTGTCTCGTGGGCGACATAAGTGCACTGCACTGTCGCTCGTGTACCTGTACCAACCCTTTGACACTGGCGATCCCTGTGTAAAAAGGAGTTTCAAGGTCAGAGTATGACTCACCTACAGCTCGTACACGGAGACTTACTCAGATCGGGCTCTTTGTCGAGCTGCAACAGTTGCATGAGTTTTTCGGCTCGTGATAGTCCGCCGGTAAGAAAGTACCATACTGGGTATTCATTCTGTAGTGGCCTGGGCGGCTGGTCATCAGGAAGTCGAAATTGAGGCAAGGTCGGTTCACAGATGTACGGTGTGCGCGATTCGTCGTGCAGGTTTTTCAGAGCCCAGCACATGGGGATGAAGACGCAGTCGCTGGTTGCATAAATGCGATTGTTGTGTCGGATGGCGGGTGGCAAGCGTGCCTGGAATGCCCGCGCTTCCTAGTCGCGGAGGACAATTGCATAGTGCTGGAAGCCTTTCCAGTCGTAGACTGTATGATGTATAGCTTTTCTGTTTATAAAGGGTGCCCAATGAGCGCGGTTGATGTGGGCGTCGACGGATCTCAGCACGAAGAGGTCGAATTTTGCGGTTTTGTAGCTAACCCAAGCGGCGGTCTCCTTGGGACCCAATAGCCCAACCTTGTCTGCCTTCTCAAGCCAATAGTCGTAGCTTTCCCTGTCAAACCCCATCCTCTCGCATCTCTCCCATGGCCATTGCTCTAGTGTTCTGGGCTTCGGGGTATGTCTGTGCTCTATTTGCTTCGTACGATGGATGAGAAGCTCAAAACCCGCTTCCGAGGCAGTGAGACCAAACAGAGTCTGCCATCGAAACAGATCCCTGCCGGAGATGGTATTGACGACGGAATCATTGCGTGGCGCTGCCCTGTCTTCTATCGTTTCGAGCTCGTGAATGATGGCTATGCACGTGTCTGTGTCAAGGTAGAACCTCCGATTATCGATAGGTAGTGTCATGTTGGCGCGATGAGCGAGTGTTGGAAGTGAATCTGTATTACCGATACAAAGGATCAATGTGACGAGTGACTGCAAGAGATAAGATGACCGAATTGATGATTTGAAGTCAGAATAGGACGGCAGAAGAAAGAGTCCGACCGGTCAGCGTGAGCCTCAAACACGAAGCAGGACGCATTCGTTCAAGTAGGTAGGTGCACTCTTTTGTTGTACTAGTGTGAGAAGGAAGTTGCCTCTCTTCAGAAAGCGTGGTCGATAGCCATTTTAACAAACCAGGCAAGTCGCGCGAAGTTTACTGTAGAACCATCGTTTTTCACCATAGAAACCTATGAGGAATCTACACATGAAGAACCGCCTGAGCAGCGACCAATCCGTGAGGCCAGCATCGAGGCGATCACAAACGCCATCACGTGTTGTTGGCTTGCCACTGTAGATGTTCGAGGTTTAGTCTTCACATCAGCGAGCAGCACTGAAGTCGCATATAAGACCGAGGATGTAGTGTTCTAAATCGTAGGGACATACAAGCAGAACAAGTGAATTGAATATGCGTCGATTAGGTTGGGGTAAGCTGGAGGCCTCGCTCAATGTCGCGACGAGTGTTCCAGAGATGCGATAGGATTTAAAGCAAATCAAGCTGGTATCAATATAGTCGTATTGAACTCGATCCATGCGTCCGATAAGAGAACCTGTCTTATGCCTGGAGGTGTTGCTGTGTAATAGGTGGGCAAGAACTGGCGACTGACTGACCACGGGGCGACTCCGCCTTACGTCATCGTTTGCCTTCATGGGAGCCTTGTTAACCAGGTCGTAGAGTCGGCAGCGCATACAAGTCCTCACACCCTCTCAAACGTGTCTCTTGACCGATAGCCTAAGCCGTTGTCCCGCGTTTGTGTACGGGATCTAGAACGCCATTCTGTCTCTTTTGGGTGCGGCATGGGCCTGATCGGGCCGTGACGTCACAGCGATGAAACTTGTGAATGACCACATCCGTTCTGGCCGCTAGTTGTGTGGCACACGCGACAATTCTTGACCTACAATACCTCAGTACTCGCCATGACTGCCATTTCTCTCTAATTACTCTTCCGTTCGCTCTCTCCAAGTCCAAACTATATGCTGGACGACATGGACTCGCCCGTCAGGCGAGATCCGCCCGCTGTGCTCAAGCGGAAACCAGTTCAGCATGAGCCGGTTATCACACCCACGCCTGAGCGCGAGCTAAAAGGCAGAGTTGTGCCCCACGCCTTCCTTGCTGGTACCACAATCGCAGCCCTGTCATTGTCCTGGCCGTTGCGGTGGGCTGTCTCTGGGGCACCGATATTGGTATACATACTCCTCCTCGGCGAGGCATATGGCTACCGCATACTGCCGTTTGTTCCCCTCTGGACTATCTTCGCTACAGTTAACCTTGTCTACGCTGTGTGCTCTACATCCTGGCTTCTCTACTGGGTATTTTGGGCCGCTTGCTGGCCTACAATACTGGTTGCCTGTCTGTTTCAATTCGATGCGCCTGCCCGTCTTGCTAGGCGTACATTGAGGAAGACTTTTCTACGCGACCTACACTTCATCAATGATCAGATCGCCTTCTTCGATCTACCCGCGCTGGAGATCGACACCGAGGTCAAAGGCCTGTTCGTCATCCGTGGCGTTACGCTGTCACTCTCGACATTAACTCTCGTCGCCCATGGCATTGAAGCTGGGATAAAGCTGGCAGACGATATCGAGCTGGCTATACAAGTTGACAAGGTCGTTGTGCCTCTTTTCCGAGAGATTACTGTTGATGACGTCTATGCCAATGTCAAGGGTGGAGATTGGGAAGTCACTTTTGGCGACGTTGCTTATGGCAAACCCGAGCCGGACGATGATGATTCAGTCATCGTTACCAACACTGCAATCCTGAGAGCTGCTTCTGTTGCACATAAGGGTGGTGCGGATGGCCGCCCCACAGCAATGCTCCGAAACATGACCGCTGGGGAAACGCCAAAAGAAGCCGGGGATGCAAAGTCTGCATTTGCGTCTGTCAAGAAAGTATCGCCGGATGAGAAGGACGCGAACGCTAAATATCAGGAGCTCGTTAAGCACATCGAAGACACAAGTGCAATCACAAATGCAAAGATATCTCTTCGAAAAGCCGCGCAAGCACTGAAAGATGCTGCTTCCGATGACGAGGGAAATGAGAAGAGTGGCCATCTTGACCTCGAAAACATGGACGATTTGCGAGCCGCCGTGTGTACGCAAATCCATGGCCAACCGTCAATACCACATCCCCCTTCAAGGTCGATCAGGGTCTCCACACTTCGCAAGACATCGCATCCAAACGTTAAAAAGTTCCTCCATCGACTTCCTTTCCTGTACCGGCTGATGCTCACTCCCATTTGCTACTTTCATCCCGTCAAATTCAAGTCGATAACAGCTGCCGGCTCAGGCAAATGGTTTGTAAGCCTGATGCGACAGTACCTCTTCAAGCACTATTCAACGTCAGATGCCGAGATCCGCAGACTGGAATCGCGCATCTCATCCTGGTGCTCAGATGCAAACTTCGCGGTCGAGTTAGGACCCATCGAAAGCAGTGCCAATTTCCCGCTCAGTACTCTTTACAATATCAAGTGCCACTTCAAAATGTCAGATGTCATGGCGTACAGAACTCTCCCCGACGCAGTCGAACTCCAACAGGTCGTAAGGCTAGGAGGTGCAGACGCAATCCTTACGGTACCGACCTTCCTTTTCCCGCACCACGAGCACATCTTCCCCGAAAAGCCGAGCGACTACGACATCATGGAGATGGAGCAAGCGATTGCCGAGGCAGAAGGCACACCAAAAGAAGTGCAAGGCCGAAAAGAGTTAGAAAAGCTTAAGAGAGATGAAGCGAGCATGCACATCTCTGCGCACGCACACCTCCCTGCGCAATTCCACCAGGACCTACTCAACTTCGTCGCCGCAATCGTCAAAGCAACCAAAGTCATTGAATCTGATAAAGATTTCGAGGAAGCAAAGGTCCTGCGCGAACTCAAACGCGTCAGCACAACCGCATCTGACAGCGAGGTGAGTAGTCTTGCCTCGTTCAACACGAATAACACGAATAACACGGACAACACTCAAACCACACTCAATGGCAATGAAGATAAGTCCTTCAAGTCGTTCCTGCGGAAGGTAGACTCGGGGTTCAAGGAAGCGAGTAACAAGACAATGGTGGGAATGCGGAAGGCGGGACATAGTACTGTGCATGCCATGGCTAATGATCGATGGATTGCGAGGCTCGTGGGCAAGGTGACGAAGAAGCTTGAGCGGGCGCAGGGCGAGGTTGGGTACAGTGGTGAGGTGCCGATACCACTAGCTAAGTACCGTGTGAGGCACGAAGATGAGACCAAGCTCCTGCCGTAAGCATGCACCGAGCGTTCGGCGTACTGGGCGGAGTGTATGATACCCTAGGGTCTGCTGTTATACCCTAAAACTACTTCAAGTATGTCATGAATTTTTAGATCATAGCTCCTTACACAATTTATATTGGTGCTCTGCTATGTTACGCGAACTCTGTACTCAACATCCTGTTCATGCCAGTGGGGATATGCTTAGGATTCATCATTGGTGTTGTAGCTGCGCTGTGATGAAGAACCCCTGCTGGGACACTCCCCAGCTTGGCAGAGTGGACCCTGATCGTCACCCCAGACATCGATGATGATTGCGTACCATTCGTTGCTGATTGCACAAGTATCACTTCTTCGTATATAGTGCTAGACCTATTCGCGCCATGAGACTTGTATATAGATAATTCCCATTACCGCCTCTTCGCTCGGTTCATGCCCCAGCATGGCCGCACACGATATCCCATCGAACATCGCCCGCAACACTACTACGGCCCCGGTAGACCTCGACGTCGAGCATGGCACACACGACCATGACAGGATAACACCGAGTGGATCTTCGTCATCGACGCCGGACGACTCAGGGTCCAAAGCAGCGACGCCGAATGCTCGACGGAGTTTAGAGATTGAGGATGCGCGTCCTCGTCATCGGTCAATGTTTGGTTCGCGCTGGAGGAGAAGTGTTGGAGACAAGATACCTGCGCCGGTCGCTCGTTATGGAAATAAGATGGTGAATTGGATTAGAGGACCACAGCCACCGAGGACATACCGCATTGCCCCGTTCTTCGAGCGTTGGCAGACGTTCCCTGTGAGGCTCCTTGCGCGGCTCCCGAAGTGGTTGCGCATTTGCATATATGCCATTTCCTGCATACTTTGGATCATACTATTTGGTGTTATTCTTAGCGATTACAGTCTGCCTTCAAACTTTGGAGGCGTTGGGGCACCCGTGTCGCTGGGCTGTGTTTCTTCACTATGGTAAATTCCTCCGCAACTTATGAACTTGAGGGCGAAGTTTGACTGACTGATTCATGACAGGCCCTCCCCGCAATCTTGTGGTCTTGACGGCCGCAATTGCCTCTTCAACTCCTCCTTCGCTTTCAAATGCCCCGCCGGCTGCCTGAGCGCGCGAGTCCTCAATCCACGAGCTATTGGCGCTGAAAGGATAAACTACCGGTCACTTGTTGTAGGAGGGACACCTGACGTCTCGGCGAATAATCAGCTGGTATACCGAGCTGACTCTTTCATATGCGGTGCGGCGATCCACGCGGGCGTGGTAAGCAATGGGAACGGAGGCTGTGGTGTCCTATCCGCACTTGGAGAGAAGAGCAACTTCGGCGCAACATCACGGAATGGCATTTCAAGTTTGGGTTTTGACTCAAGATTCCCCTTGTCTTTTACCTTCAACCAAACTTCAGCCATTATCAACGCCTCAGACCAATGCCGGGACCCAAGATGGAACCTACTCATACTGTCCACCATATTTACGGCCTTATTCGGCCTCTTTACATCTAGTCCTGCGACCTTCTTTGCTCCCATCTTTACTATCCTTTTCTTCCAGGTTTCCATGGCCTCCGATCCCCCTTCGTACATCAATTACCCATCTCTAGCTTCTACCACGCTTGGCCGCTTCCTGCCTGCAGCTTTCGTCGCCGCCCTCTTCTATCGTTTCAGTGTCCGCAAAACGCTGAGGGGTTGTAAAGCTCACGTTGAGAAGACCGTGCTGTGGATTGGAGGAGCCTGGACCGGTGCATTAGGTAACTACACCTTTGACAAGATTCCAATTCAGCGATTGACGGGCCATGATATACGCCAACAGCCTGGTGCCATCACAGCTCTTGTTATCATAGTTCTCGTGCTTTTTGCTGTGGTGCTGTATCAGGCTTGGTGTTTTCGCAACGAAGGACGACTACCACGTTACTTGGCATTGTACGCTACGCTAGGTATCAGTCTGGGTATCCTCGCTGCGATGCCGAAACTCAGCCTGAGAATCCATCACTATATCATCGCCCTACTCCTTCTACCCGGCACAGCGCTGCAGACGCGCGCCAGTCTCCTTTGTCAAGGCATCTTAGTCGGCCTGTTTGTAAATGGAATCGCGCGCTGGGGCTTCGATCCCATTCTACAAACCGCTGCTGCTTTACGGGGCGATGCACAGCTCGGCTCTGGCATTCCCTCTATCCTCGAGCCTATCATAAACGATACCAACATCACATTTATGTGGGAAGGCTTACTGCGCGGGTACGAAGGTGTCAGTGTTTTAGTCAACGATGTAGAGAGATCGAGAGGATTCAATCAAGTCGGCAACGGGAGCTTTACGTGGAGAAGACAGGCCCTTGAGGCGCCGGAGTACTTTAGGTTTGGATTTGTCAAATCTCTGCCGTTTGGCAGTGTAAGCTACAGTGACTTCACTAGAGCGGGGACTTGGTGGCCCAACGGGACGTGGGGCGGGATACCACCTGGACGTACTTGAATACTGTGGAGTCTGTAGATGTGCTATAGATAAATATATAGAAACGAGTATTTAATTTGGCATTGCTGGGTTGCATCATACAGCGATTACAGAAAGGTGTTGATGCCGTAAAAGAAGAATTTCGTACCATCCGCAAGCCCATGTCGTCGTAACTAGAGTATATTCGGGGAACTTGCTATGTGCTAGATATTGTGGTGACTTCAGGATGCCGTTTTCTCACTGTTCATCTTGCGCCCAAGGCCAGTGTAATTGACTTTTTCCCTACCTTAAATATTGACATACAAGGGCCGACATTTTGCTTCTTCAAAACCCATTCCGTTGAGCCCTAAGTGCAGGTCTTCTCAGTATCCACGTCGGTTATCAGATTCCTTTGCCGCCCTTTGGGGTTGTGTAAGCAAGCATAGTCCCAAAATTAGTCTCGGAAATACGCCCAATACCTAATTTACTCATATGTAGAAACCGCTCTCGATATCCTTCCCTGCATCTCACGTCCCCCGAGCTGCTCACCAATCGATCTTTCCATAGCCAAGGTGATACTGCCAGGCTTGGTGCGTTTCTCGCCATGCAGTGTTAAAGTCGGCCATCGCGTGGTCCTCTTTGGCGCCGAGTATGGCGAGGCTTACAGCCCGACCGAATACTACATGCAGGTCTGAACTTGCCCTAGCCAGCTCCTTGTTATAATCAAAAGCAGCCAAGGGGTTCTCAGACCAGCGCGTTCGAATGTGGACGTTGACGATCTCAAGTTTCTTCTGGTGGGCGGTGGGCGGATCGGAAGTTGTGCTACCATCGCCCAACTTTGATGTGCACGTTAATCGGCGGAATTGAAGTAAAGGCTTGACCCAGTTCTCACGGAGGTTGAAGCGAAGAGGGCTGTGATTAACCTTGATCCAGATCTCTAGTTCCCGCAAGCAGGAAAGCTTCTTTGAGGCAGTATTGCACGCTCGCGTCCAAGTCTTGGTGTGTTTGTCTTGCCATATGGTGTCGTCGAGGTGATTTGGAGCTCCATAAGTTGCATAATGCAGCTGCAACTTGGTGATGTTCTCCAGATTTGGTTTTGAGACGATTTCCAGGAAATTGGTGATACGCCTAGGAGATTCAAAGACAAAGACGGTGTTACTGTAGAGGAAGGCTAAGGTCTCCACGTGTATCAGTTTGCAAACGAGGTTGAGGGCGTAAACTGAGGCAAGCCAGTTAGTTTGGAGACCTCGGACGATGTTGTATTTTCCCAATTTCCTCGAGACACGGATAGTGATGGGACGCTCTTTCTCCTGCTTCGTGCTGTGATCGTTCATGTGCACCAAGTTCGACCGCAACTTCACCAAACGTCTCTTAAATTGCGTGAAGTGACACCCTTTGGCGGCAAATTCGCAGCGGACGTCTGATCGAAAGTAGTACTTATAGGTTATGTTTCTGACCTCTCCGGGCAACGCGAGGAAGCCATGGACCTTCTTGGTGGAAAGCTTTCCAGGCCTCAAGCGCGAGAACAGACAGGCGTTGGTGGCCATAACGAATGAATCCCTAGTGCAAATAAGCTGGTGTTTGTAACTCTGTTAGAGAGACCAACTAGTGGTAGAGGACGAAGATGATCGACCGTGATAGTCAGAGACTCGTAATTGTGGTTAATGACCCTGTGATTAGCGAAGTGATTAAACGAGAGCGAGTCAAGTGCAGGCCGATATCAGGCAGCAGCATTTGTTAGACTGTCTTCTATTCTTCTCGACAAGATGAGGAAGGTGAGTGTGACCGATAGCTATGCCCGTATGTGTAACCAACGCCGCTAGCCCCACGCTAGCGAAAAGAGCCGCTGCACAACACCCTTCGTGCATCGTCATACCGCCCAGCTCCTATCACCACCATGTCCTCTTCACTCACCAGGCTCCGTCCATATCAAACCCCCTTCTTTCGCAACTTTCGTAGCTTTAGCTCCTCGTCTCAACTTAGCTCCCGCCTCCGCCAACCAGGCGAACCCACAGGCCCCAACGAACCCCCCACTCACATCTCCTCGTCCCCCTCCAAGTCGCCCCTCAAAGTTTGGCCGATCATCCTGATCTTCGCAACAGGCAGCTTCTTATTCAAGAAGATTGTGGATCAGCGAAAGGGAGAAGGATATCAGCCCAAGGGACCAGTACAAGGACACTCGCCGAGTGGAAAGGGAACTGTGCAGCCATCGCACCCCCATTAGGCCATTGCAACGTCACGCAAAGGACCTGTATAGCGATTTGAAAGCAGATAACTCGAAAGAAACGCAAAGATGCCAGCAATTGAGAAGCTCGGCGCAACAACGCGCACCTCGCCCCTCTGGTCCGCCTCGGAGGTCACGGTCATTTTCGTGCTCGGCGGCCCCGGTGCAGGAAAAGGCACGCAATGCCAGAAGCTCGTTTCAGACTATGGATTCAAGCACCTTTCCGCCGGCGACTTGCTGCGTGAGGAGCAGGACCGCCCTGGTAGCGAGTTTGGCGAGATGATCAAGTCGAACATCAAGGAGGGTATCATTGTGCCCATGGAAGTCACGATTCAGTTGCTCGAGAACGCTATGAAGGCACAGATAGAAGCTGAGGGCGAAGCCTGGAAGAAGCTGTTCTTGATTGACGGTACGTTTTCGTGTCCCCTTGATACCCCACCTCACCCCACCTACACCTTCCGTCATTATTTTGAGATTGGGGGCCAGATTGCTAATGTATCTGATATGTAGGCTTTCCCCGTAAACTCGACCAAGCCCATGCCTTCGAGCGCACCGTCGTCCCTTCAAAATTCACCCTTTTCTTTGACTGCTCCGAAGCCGTCATGGAGAAACGCTTGCTACAGCGCGGCGAGACATCCGGCCGTTCGGACGATAACCTCGAGTCGATTAAAAAGCGCTTCCGCGTTTTCGTTGAAACTAGCATGCCTGTCGTGAACGAGTTTGAGAGCCAGAACAGGGTTGTGAAGGTCAGTGCAGAGAGAAGCCCAGAGGAGGTGTATAGGGATGTGCAGGCGAAGTTCAGGGAGAGGGGTGTGGAGCCCATTACGATCAAGTTCGTAAAGACTGCTTAAGAGCGCGAAGGTAGAGGCGGCAAAGCAGGCGATGGCTCTTTGAGCGTACACATTAGATAGAGTAGCATATATGATAGACGATATGGCTTCGGTGATACACAGAAATCTCACGCAGCAACGGATTTCTTTCTGCTGATCTTTGTTCTAGCATCTGTCATATCAAGTAAATCCTCTCAAAGCACATGAAATTAAGGTATGTGTCGCATTTTCTATCCTGCAGCACGAGGGCCGCTGTTCATTAACCTTAGAAAACCGTGAATGCATCAGCTCCGTCCCTACGTTTTGTAGAAGCAAACAAAATCCGCCATTTGTACTCCTCGCCTACATATCTACTCTAAATCGTCATCAATAGCCCTAGGCTGCTGCTTCCTCTGACCACCCCGGTTCCCAAACCTACTTGCCATATCAGCCTTTTGATCCGCCTTGTTCGCCTCGTCCTCCTTCTCCTGTAGGAACCTCTGCTTCTCCTGTTGCACAACTTGCAACACACCCTGGAGGCTGTTCCGCCACAGATCCAACCGCGAGGCAACCTCCCGCCACTGGTTATCACCAAAGACGCGGTACGTTGAGCGGTGAATTAAGAACGTCTGGTTCAGCTGGCTGAGTTTGCCTTCTACGAGACCAGCACGAATTACGTCGATGACCCACATCTCCACGTCTTCGGAGGGCACTTGTAGCGCTTTTGCGATTTTGTCGTAAGGGAGCGAGCGTGTTTGGCCTGCTGACGCAGCCATGGAGGCGAGTGTGAGGAGACGCATCTTGCGGTTCAGCGCCGCACCATCGAAACCAGACTCCTCGATCCATCCATCGTGCTCATCCTTGAAGTCGTTGTAGTCGTCTAGGAGATCGGAGTTGAAGATCTCAAGAAGCTGGAAGTGAACAGGGTCGGAGTTGCGGATGGCCTGGATCGAATCGAGGTCGGTGAGGTCCTGGAAGTCGAAGTGGGTTGGGTGTGTGAGGGCGGACTTGAGGGCGCGAAGGGAGAGCTCGCGGGCTTCTGGGGAGGAAGCTTCCTCCGAGGGGAAGGTTCGGAGGGCGCGAAGGAGGTATGTGTATGCCTGCTCGTCCTCGCCTGCGTCTGCTGCGACGTCGCTGATGGCGAGGTATAGCTTGCGAGAATCTTCCTCCTCCGTCTCCCACGCCTCTAGCCAGGTATCCAGCTGCTTCAGCTGCGGTCGCAGCGTCTCAAAGTTTGAGGTGGCGCGAATGACTCGGAGGATAGCGAGTAGCACGTGGTATCGCACTTCACTGTTCGCCAAAGTGGTGTTGAAGATTGTGCTGAGAATGGAAAGGGCAAGACCGCCGCCGTTCTGGGGAGACGAGGAGATGGGTGCGCTCAGGTTCTGGCAGATCTTGGGCAGGAACATGGAAACATTGGGCGACTGGTTTACGAGGTGGATGAGGAGGTTGTATGCCGCTATGAACTCTGTTGCCCACACTGTTAGCCCGTCGTTGCTTGCACGACTGGAATACAAGGCCTACCCTTCTCTGGCGCCTGGTTCAGCGCCTGGCTGCCCACGACCAGCTTCTTGAGTACCTCATCTTTCTTATTCTCCTTCAGCAGGTCCGCGCTCTCGCCCTGGAGGTTGGAGCTCTCGTCGCCAGCGGATTTTTTGAGGCTGTCGATGTATTGTGCGAACTCGTCGGTAAGCTCCTCGAAGCTGCCTTCGATCAGGAGCGTGTTCTTGGGGCCTGCCATGGTAATTGTCGCGTATGAATAGGCCTGGAGGAGCGCAAAGGCGGAGGACGCTGTGCGGGGCTTGTCTGTGGGCGTTGTCAATGGGATGCGCTTTCCGTGGTGGGATGCCAAGAATTTCGGTGTTCAAATTTCCATAATCGATACGCACGGACACTATTCGCCAAGGCATATTCACTACTTCGAAGATCGCGCATATCAATGAATGTTACTTTTTTTTAAAGCACTCAAGAGCAACAACCATTGCAGGAGGCAATCATCACGATCAGATTCTATGGCCATCTCCAAGACGCTCCAGGACCGCCCATCTCGCTACCCTGATCCACTTCTAACTAGATTGAGAGTAACCGGCGTGACGCTCTGCGTCGTGTTACTGACTCCTATACGAAGTGTCTCGTTAGCATCTTCTCTTAGAACACTTTGGCAGATGCTTTCTTCAACTCACCGTCATAGAGCGCCAACTGGTTCCCAACAGCAGCAAACGTCCTATTCTTCAACGTGCTCCCATCACTCACGCCCAAGACGTTATTATCCATGGTAAACGTTGCCCACTCCATCAGCTGACCTCCGGGGATAGTGTCCGAGCGCGGGTTTGTCACATCCACAAGATAGAGAAGTGTGCCGTCGGGACCACGGAGAGCGAGTTGGCGCGTGTCGTCGGCGTTGTGGAAGGCGTAGGTGTTGGTTGCATTCCATTTAGTGACGAAGAATTTGGTGGCAGCGGTTTGAGCAGCGGCCAGAGTATAGCTGCCTGAGGCAGCGGTAAGAGTGACCCATTGATTGGCGACTGTAGCAGCGGACCTAGTTCGACCCTTCAGTACTGAATGTCTAGGGGAAAGGCATAGGACTTACGACTTGGCCTGTAATTGGTAAAATTGAGTACCAGGCGCTGGCGGAGCAGACTGGATCCAAGGAAGCAGTGGCCAGGATGATGCCACGCTGCAAAAAAAGGCGGCGCCAAAGATGCTCGACTTCATTGTCTCGAACTTTTAATACAACGTTCACTCTACTAGATCAACAAGGAACCGAAGAGTTATCAACATCGCTTCTCCTAAGAGAACATCCGTCTTTATATCTCAGTCAGTATCCAATGCAATCATTACACCTGATGCATTCACTCTCCGATACAGCGCAGTCTCGCACATCTACCGGAGCTCATTTATTCGCCAGGGTCTTTGTTGGTCCTACTATAGACAGATTCACCAACGCGCGTTTCTGCTTCAAATAGCTGTATAAGGTGCATTGCGAAAGGAAGACTTCGACATGACTGCTACAGAGGTCAATATGTTTGAGTACCGGTACGCCAGAGTATTAAACATAGTGGTTTGCTACTGGAGAAGTGGGATTTTGCCGCAATTGAGAGACTGTTGATCGCTAACATTATAGTTATGGCGTGTCACAGATATAACCCTGACCCATCTACGAAATCTGCCGACAGCCGACAGGAGCATTTTTATGCCTCAAGGACAGTACTCCGTACTTTCGCGTAGTTTCAATTTCTGGCCTTGTTACCGCTACAATGGAAGTAATTTGGCAAGACTCTCCCCGCCGCAAGGACAGGAACCAGTATCGGAAACCTACCAGAAGTTGAACACGGAAGTTCAGTATCAGCATTTCACAGTCACAACAAGCCACTTTTACAGCATTGATCACAAGTGCAAACAAATAAGTCACATTGATCGCATCGCAGCCATCTTATGTACAATGTCTTATGCACCATTCTCTCTTATGCCCTTTCCCGACTCGAATTTCGTCTTCAAGCAACCCACCTCTTGGTATTGTCTCCACTCTTCACCTGCAGATAGTTTCCATACAGCGGTGCTGATAGACCAGCATCTGTGATAAACTTGGGCCAGTCAATTGCAAAGCGACTTGACACTGCCTGCTTATGCGCAGCCGGGACAGCGAAGTTAGCGGGCTGCTCGTGCAGCAAGAATACGTATCTATGCGTAGGAGGTTGGCCCGCCGGGGGCGCGGGGCCAAAGTAGGAAGAAGGTCCGGTTGCCTTGGTGGTTAGAACCGCGGTGCCATTCTGTGTGGTGCCGGAGGGTGTATAATCCTGTAAGAGGGCGTGCAAGACGGTGGTTGTCTTGCCACCTTGAGAGCCATCGATATCTGCATCAGGTCAGTCGAAATTCTCTACTACATGATTTCTTTGTCTTACCAATCATCGCAAGCAGATACTTGCCAGTGAGCGTACCGTTGGCAACGCCGATTACTGGGGCCTTTTGGGTCACTAGCCATTATCAGCATGTCTGCTAATCCCAATGTTTTAGACACCGCATCACTTACCCGACTTCTTGACAACGAGTCCAGGGGTGATATACTGCGTTCCATAGTATATGTCCAGTATCTGGTTTGCGACAGGCGTGAAACCCGGAGGAGTGGTTTGCGCGAAGGCTGGCGCGGCCAGCAACAGCGACGAAAGAGCGGCAGTGAACTTCATCTTGGTGGCTTCGAATATTCACAATAACGAGGGATCCGGGAGTGAGAAGTCGACTTTCAGGTCCACTGCAATGTTATACAAAACCCACTTCATCCCGGGTTTGCGCCATATTGCTGCTATTATCCTCTCTGTAAGTGCTTGACGGGCAACTGGATCGAGGCCAAGAAGCATTATGGTGCTTAGAGATGCAATAGATGAGGCACTAGGGTCGATGAATTTAACGTGTTCCAGGCTGAAAGGCATCTTAATTCGTACCCCTGCCAGCCCCGCAAAATAGTAGAATAACCCTTTCGGCACCTGGGACGATGGAATGTTCTTTCTGGAGCTTCAGACGAGCTTTGGGTGGTTTTTAACCACCTAGGCGCTCTCAGAAGACAGTGACCTGAAAACAACTTAAGGCTAGTGTTCGCTCATAGCCCTTGCAACATGTGCCATCCAGGAGACTACAGGGCCTCTTTAGAATAGGTCATTGGCAATGTGGAGCGGAATGTGTCATCGGCAGTTGCGCAAATTGTGTGCTATAGCGGTGGTGCTCACGAGTTCCAAGCGATTTCGGTCGCAGCACACTAATATAGCCAATGTACAGCGCCTAGTCCATTCGAAACATTATTGACTAAAGTTTCTGAGCTCACTCGATATGCGACACGTCCCGGTCTGTGAACCCCTGTTCACTATCTCCCCTTGGTAGCGCATGCTCATAACTATCACCCAACACTCCCCGATTGCTCAGTACACAACGCAAAATCGACCATTCAAAGGCATTCAATACTGTTTGATCGGGTGAATCTGCCGTGGTGGTAGACTTATGCGTTTCCAGTTATGGCGTTGCATTGTTCAACACTTAGGGTGAAGGGACGATTACGTGGAGCCATCAAAGTTAGTATATATACCGCAACAAAGCACCTATCTTCCACATACGACCATAGGATTCTGAATTCAGCGCTTCCCGTTCGCTCAGCGGTACTTAAGCAGAATACCGGCGGATTAGTAGTCAGGTGGGTGACCACTGGCGAATCCCCGCTGTTGTATGTTTTTGGCATTTTTCTCTTGCATTTTGCTTCAAACCGCCCATTGAACCTGTCCTCGACCTGTTTTTTATGCCGTCGAAGTGCTATCGCCGATAACGTACAATGTTACTCGCTAGTAGATCAGCCTTCTCCAAAAGAAGATCTTCAAGTGGGCCCCCGTATACCTATACTGGGAATTGGATAATTGATATGAATCTAACCAACGGAGTTCCCTTTGGTGGGAATGCTGAACACGTTATGTTCTAGCGAGAGTCAGCTTTCTTTTGTTCGTAACCAAGATACTCTGTGACTCGCTTCCTAGTATTTAATTACGATAGCCGCCACTTAGTTAATGGGTGACTCTAAGCCTTGTCCTCGTTTCAAGCTAATCTGGTCCTTGAAAGTCTTGCCTACTTAAATGCTTTTTAAAAATGTACTCAAGATCAAGCTGTGGTGTCCATGGTACGTCCCCCCTTGTTTTGAGAGGGTGATTGTCCCTGCAGTTCAAAAATTTCAATTAGAACCATGGGACTGCCCCCAACGCGGAGGTGGATCGAATGAGGTGGACCCTGCTCTGTCAGGTCGGAGAAGGATATCTTTGAGATGGCGGGGAAGAGGAGGGGAAAAAGGGAAGGTCTAGAGGCGCCCACAGCGGTAAGAGTAGTCTGATAATATGATGGCGTCGAAGAAGTAAACGTGGGTTTCAAGTCGGGATAGATCAGTTTCCGAATTGGTATCAAAAGCTCTCGACCACCTACGCCATAACTTGTACAATATCATAACTACTTCCATAGACCTCAAAGTGACTCTGCATGGCATTGGCCTAGCACGGTCTTTGCCCCCCTTCTTATGTGATATTCTTCCCCATTACTTCTCCCCGCTTTTTACCCTTCTGTTGAGCAGCTTCGTGTTTCCTCAGATCCTCCGGCACCTTGCTGATCTGGCTCTTCGTGAGCATCTGCTTGAGGTCGTACAACACGTCCGCATCCTCGTTGCCCCAGAACGTAATTGCAATACCGCTCTTGCCCGCACGACCTGTACGACCAATTCTGTGAGTGTAACTTTCGATACTTGTCGCCATATTGAAATTGACGACCAACGAAACGTCCGTAATATCGATACCACGACCAGCCAAATCGGTAGCAACGAGGACATCTGTACGACCTTCTTTGAGCGAGGCAAGAGCCGCCTCTCGCTGTTCCTGGGTCTTCGAACCGTGCAGAGTGACAGAGGAGAAGCCCATGTGTTTGATATCTCGCGCAATGGCATCGCAGTTGCGCTTGATATTGACAAACACGATGATCGGCGGCGCAAAGTCTCCAGAGTTCAGAATTTCCTGGAGGCGCTTCTTGCGCCTTTCTTCTCCTTGGATGTGCTCGACGCGCTGCTCGACGGTTTCGACGGCTTCACCAGCGTTACCAATCGTGACAATAGCGGGCCTACGTAAGTACTTCCGTGCGATTCGTTCGAGGGCTGTGGGCATCGTAGCTGTGTACATCATGGTCTGTCTGTACATTCCTCGCTTCATGGCGTTGGGATCTTCAGCAAGTTCGTTGTCGGGCTTCTCGTTGTTAACGGGAAGTGCGTCGAGAATCTTGTTGACGGGTTCTTCGAAACCCATGTCGATCATGCGATCGGCTTCGTCCATGATAACATAAGTACATTGGCTGAGAACTAGAACACGACGCTCGATGCAGTCGACTAGACGACCGGGCGTTGCGATGATTATCTCTGCTCCATCACGCATCTGGAACGACTGCTCTTCAATCGAGTGACCACCGACTATGACAGCTGAATTGAAGCCAAGAGGGGCAGCAAACTTCCTCGCTTCTACCTCAATCTGTTGTGCCAACTCGCGAGTCGGTGCGAGAACGAGAGCATAAGGACCATCGTGGCGATTCGAGGCGCTGAGTGGAGGGAGTTGCGAGATGTAAACGAGCAGTGGCAGGATGAAGGCAGCCGTCTTACCTGAACCCGTAACAGCGACACCGATAAGGTCGCGACACTGGAGGGCGATAGGAATGGCAGCGCGCTGAATTGCTGAGGGCTCCGTGTAGCCAGCCTGATCAACGATGCGCATTAACTTGTCTGGAAGTCCTGCCTCCTGCCAATTGCGCATAGGGTTCGGTATCGCACCTCCCTTGGTTGCGATATTGAAGTCTTCTTTGAAAATGCGCCAGTCGCGCTCGCGCATGTGCTCCAATTTCTTCTCACTCCAGTGCTTGTCCAGCTGTGCCCGACCGCCCTCCTCTTTCCGTCTCCTCTCCATTTCCAGGATTTGTTCTGCCCGTGCTCGTCCTGACTCAGGATCCCGTTCAATCATAGCCTCGATGAATTTCTGATTGCCGGCGTCGGTGATTTCCTCTGTAAAACCACCAAGTCTGCCGCGTCCGAAGAAGTTTGCCTCCGCCCTTTGCTGATAGATGGGGTTGTAATCGAAGCTTGTATCCTCCTCTTCGTTCCATTCGAAGTTGAACTTTTTCTCTGTAGTCCGCTTCCGCTTCTTCTTTGCTGAAAATGTGGATTGACTTTGCCCGGCGCCCATGTATCTTTGTCTAATCAAAGCAGCTTCTGTATCGTCCGCCTGCGGCCGCTTGCCCGACTTCTTGTCAGGAACCGGCGGCGGTGCCATGTCATGATTCCGTCGTTCTTGTCGTGTATGTGATGGTCCCGTGGGGGGTTCGGGGCGCATAGACCGGGGCCCGGTAGGAATCGAAGGTGCATCGTATTGGCTTCCGTTTGAGCGTGCTTGCCCGCTTTGCGAGGCTCCGTTTGAAAATGCATGGCCGTTTTGCGACACTCTATTCGTGGTGCTATTAGAAGCTTGTCTCCTCCTTTGAATTTCATCCACTTCCTTCTGGCGCTTCTCGAGCGCGATCCTTTCTCGCTCCGCTTTGGAGAGAAACTTTGGCTTAGCAGCTGCAGCTTCTTGCTCGCGCTTCGCTTTCAATATGTCGTCGATACTTGGCGGTTGTTTCTTCTGCGACGCCCACCCCTTCTTTTGCTTCTTTGGCTGTCCTAGCGAAGGTCCCAACTCCTCATCTTCTGGTGGGGGAGGGGGCGGCGGGGGAGCATCTAAACTCGGCGGCGGAGGTGGAATGGTATCCTCGCGCGGAGGAGGCGGCGGGGGAGGTCTTGCGGCCATGATATTTCTCGCGGGCCTTGGCCGGTGGGATGGAGCGGCAGTGGTTTAGAGCTGCTCGAAACAGTGCACCAAGCTCGGTATTCAATGTGGTCGGTCAAGTTGACTTCGAGGCGGGAGCGCGACGGAAAGTTAAGTTGGGGCGACGCTAAGGCAACACCTCCTCACGTGAGGGCGTTCCACTGATCGATCCATGGATACCACACTTTCTAAGATACTAGCGTCCTCAGTTCGTTGGACCGAAAGATTATGCTCAAGACCACCTAGATAACAAACTCGCGCAAGGCTTCGCGACTGTTTGATTACAAATGATCAAGTTTGAGCAGACATCACTTTTCTAACCACAATGGAAGGTTGATGTTTATATTTAGAGCTATCATTATCCGTCCACCTTGTCCGCCGTTGGTGGAATAGGCATATCTAATTGATACAGATGCCTTTCAGATGTCATCCCGTAATCATATTCATCATGTCAGCCTTGAAGCGGACCCTTGGCTTGGTCTCGTGCTCCACGGTTGTTGTATTCCATAGCGCCACCGCATGCCATCGGTCCGCTCAGTCTTGCCTGCCCTTCAGTAACCGCTTGGTTACCTTGTCCTTCTCGATGATGTAGACGTGCGCTCCCCAACCTGACAGTGCGTCTCGGTCGACAGCGTTGAGCAGCGCTTGTGAGATGGTCTCGAAGAGGTCTTCTGGGCCCTGTTGTACATATTAGCCTATTTCTCTCCTCCGAGCCCGCGGAGAATTCGACATACCAGATCTGGCTCCCACAGTCCTTCGCAAGTACCAAACAACTGATCACTTGCTGTCCCACTAACAATAAAGTCCTTGGCAAAGTCGATGCACCCAATCGAGTCAAATCCGCAGATGAACGGCTTTCCACTCGTCTGGTTGATGCCGGCAATTACTGGGCTGATAAAGTACGGTCCAAAGCGCTTCTCATACAGCGAGGAGCTCACGAGATTCGCCATGGTTTGGGGCGCGATGTTGCGCTCCTCCCGCAGACGGTACATGTTGACTTTGTAGCGGAACAGGTCGGACACGGTGGCGACGTCGGTGGCGAGACCCGTGAGGCCCAGGAATACGTCGCCGTACTGGAAGATCTTGGGGAAGTTGTTGGAGACGGTGAGGGCTTGCATGCCGAGACGGAGATCGCAGGCTATGGCTACGCAGTCTTTGCCCACCATGGCTACGCAGGCGCCGCCGTCTATACAGATATTAGATGCGGGATGAACGAGGTGAGGGAGGGTGTGGCCGTACTTATTGAGAAGGGTGACGACTGTGTTGCTGTTAGTTGTGCACATAGGTCCTGATGGCGGGGAGCTTACCATGGCTGTGAATGTGCGAAAGGAGGCTCTATTGTAGCTAACCCTACTCTATAGAAGCAAGCACACGTCGGACGCAGAAGATAGACAAGAGAGTCGTGTAGATGGCGATGTCGTGGTGGAGCTTGCCTTACGCCGCGTAGCTCTGGTTACCTACGAGCTTCAGACCCCTGCCGGCCCCAGTAGCGCGCCAAGGCTGCATCGATTTGAGGCATTCGCATATGCACACTCCTGGCCCCAAAGCAAACATGACAGCCCTTGAGAACCCGCTATGCTTTACGGCTCTTCGGATTGGCACAAGCTGAAGGACGGCAGCTTGCGAGGATTTCGAGTGCATGTTGCGCATCTCAATCTCGACTTGATCTGCCCCGCACGCGCTCCAATGGTGCATGAGTACGGTTCGTAGGCGTCTCCGCCCATTACAGGATTGATGAGTTGTTCGACCATCATCGACCACGATTTGCAGGCAGCAGAAACTATTCATTGGCTGTCCGCGTGCTAGCCGGGCCAATTTCTGTTTCACGTCCGTCACCAACTGGTAGTGGGCGACAAAAATTATCAAAATCATCCCGCCATCACGCATGACCCATCGACCAACACCGCGCTACACTACACTTGAGAATACATAAGGGAACCCCAACCACGCCACCTGCTGCTATTCTCCCGCAACTGACTTTTGCTCTATCGCTTGTGTTCGCTCTACTCTACAACGCCTCTATCGATTTGTTTCTGACCACCCTGCCAGCATCCGCACAAAGGCGCCTTGATCGTGGACGTCCCTACTGGTCAGCGCCCAACGCACGTGCCGAGATCGCGATCCAATATCAACACCACCACCAGGCGTGACGCAGCAGTGTTTGAGCTGGTCCGGCTGTCCGATCACTGTGCCTCGAGCAGTACTTACCTCTTCGACTAACACACAGCGTCTCTTGCCTCTTGAAATCGGTGGTTTCATACTCGCCAGCTTCTTGTTGATACCCGATCATCCAGACTAGGATGCAGCCTATACTAGTTCACTATTGTCACTGCACTTACAATACGCCTGTTCCCTACAGTCCTTCGGTCTTCTCTCAGAATATATCTTGCTCACACGTAAGATCCTACGTCTCCAACATGGTAATGTACTGACGGTTACGTCATAGTGCGGCTCCATATCAACTGGCATCAACGTTCGAGCAAAGGCAGAAGAAGACGCAAACATGCAGCAAGACGAACTCACGCAGCTGTTCTCAGCCCACATGAACCTTGCCCAAGCCCCGCCTCAGCAAGTACCGCAACCTCAAGTACAGGAACAACCTGCGCAACAGCAAGAGCAAGCAGAGGCCCCCAAACAGATCATCTACGCCTCTCAACACTATACTCACACTCATCACGTTATATCTTCCCGTAGCGTTTCCGAACCACCGGTCAAGACGCACATCGATTCGTCAGACCTAGCTGCCGTCCTCATGCGCAACAGCATCGACCCATCCCTGCTTTTCCCCTCCCAAATTGACCTTTTCCAAAATGCAGACGATGATCAACGCTTACGACTGCTTGAGCTGTGGCGTATCTCGCCTCCACAAGGTCGTCAAGGCTATCCATCAGGTACAGACTACAATATGTCACGCCAACTCTATGACTGGCCGCCAACAAGCCTGGCACAAGAAGAGACTATGGCTAAGCTGAGATACGAGAGAAATCAAGAGTCTGCACAGCAGGAGCATATTAAGCAACACGAGCAGCAGCTAGAACAAAGTATGGGTGTGGGCAGCACATCACCCATCGCGCAGCACGCAGAGCCATACATGGCTTCGGGGTATGAGATGATGGCCAGGCGGGAGTATGAAGACTCTGCACGTCCAGCAGAGAACCCTTTGAAAGAGAGCAACAAATACAACCAGGCAACAGACCCAGTGTATAACTCTGCTGGCAATAACGGACTGTGGCAGAAGAATGTTGGTAGTATCTTGGACATGGAGAACAACTACGGGGCGTACGCTTACGCTAGAGAGAACGGGTTTCAGCCGATGCATGGTGATGAAGAGATGGTCATGTAGTTAACGGGAGTAGCATGTCAGTTGAGCGACTTTCAAGTATGGATACCTAGGTGTTCACGGTTGTGTTTTGACTCAGGGATCGCAGTCTGGAAGGGAATGGTTTTGTGGATTTGGCGGCATATATGCGTTTCTTTTTCCCTTATTGAAGCTGAGAGAAGCAGCGGAGGCATTGGAGCATCGTCGCAGGAATGGATTTGGAGTTTGCATAGAAGGCTTAGGTTTGGTCGAATACCCAACAGAGATTCTGGCTTGCTCATAGATCACAATCGATTCGTTGAAGCCCCCCTTGAAGGCTTCAAGTACACACGAATCAAAGATATGCTCTATGACATACTATACAGCGCAAATGCTTCAGGCCCAAACTCCACTTTAATATGCTGACACTCCACACACGTAGATATACACAGCGCATGAACATCAAGAGTCCATAGGTACTCAGAGCTCTTATTTCGCCTTCCCGCTTGGCCACTTCTTCCATCCACGACCATGTCCTTTTTGTTTCCACTCTTGTATCAAAGCAGGCATATTCAACATGGCCTGTCTCCGCATTTCCAATCGTCCCTTCAGCGTCCTCTCCCACAGCTTTCCCTTGACCTTCTGACCCTCGCCCGTTCCCTTCACCATTAATCCCTTCTCTATTCTTCGTCGTTCCTTTTCACCGGGCTTCTTGATCGTCCACGGCAAAAGATCCACTACACCGTGTTGATCCGCGAGCTTCACTAGATCTGCTTGTTTGCGCAGACCGTAAACGGGTGAGTGCCAACGTCCCGTTGTAAAGTTTTTGCTGGGGAGGAAGGGGTTGGGGTAGGGATGGTCGTGTGCTTCTGGTGGGATGGATGAGTTGGAAGGCGCGGTCGAAGGAATTGAAATAGGGTCTGAGGTTTCGCTTATCGGGACATTGGCGTCACTAAGTGGTATTGTCGATATCGTCTCCGTCGCGGAAGATGGTGGTGTCGCTGGTGATGCGGCCGAGAGTGAAGATCCGAGATTTGGGAAGAGTGCTGGTGGTGGGTAGCGTTGGAAGAAGCGTATCAACCGCGGGGGTAGCGATTTCGCTATCTCTAGACTCTGTTGGGCGCTCATAGTTGCAGGGGATGCGAATTGGGAATGAAGATGTTCAAGATGTTCTCCAATGTCAAAAGTAATGCCAAGAGTGCACGGTCCATATTCGTCGATCGGAGCTCGACCGCGTAGCTGTCGTTACCTAGTAAGTGTATTGACAGCACCACCAAGCTCAACGCCCACCCCTCCGCTTTGCTTGCTTTACGACCGGACACCTTTCTCTGCACTATCGCCGACTTGTAATCGCAGAACCTACCTCTCACTGTTTGTCCCGCAATCAAAATGGTGAGCCTCAGCGACTATATTTGTGCAAAGTCTAGACTGACAGCCTGCATAGACTTCGATAGGTACAGGCTATGACCTGTCCAACTCCGTCTTCTCACCCGATGGCCGAAACTTCCAAGTACGACATGGATCTTCAAATTTTGGGGGAGCCACAACTTACATTTTATAGGTCGAGTATGCAGTAAAGGCGGTAGAGAATGGTGGCACAGCTGTTGGAATCAAGTGCAAAGATGGTGTCGTGCTGGCCCTCGAGAAGCTCATCTCCAGCAAGTTGCTGAAGCCGGGGGCGAACAAGCGGATAGCAACAGTGGACAGGAACATAGGCATAGTGAGTCGAACCGCGGGCATCTCTCGCCCACTAGCTGACAGCAATACTTTAGGTCTCCTCAGGTCTTCTACCCGATGGTCGCCACTTCGTATCACGAGCCCGCGATGAGGCAGCGCAGTGGCGGCAGCTTTACAAGGCACCTATCCCCTCATCGTCCCTCGCCGATCGCATGGGAAGCTACGCTCAGGCATATACTCTTTACTCGAGCGTGCGACCGTTTGGCATAACAGCCATCATCGCTGGATGGGATTCGGAGGCCGAGCTACCGGTTGATGCACAAGTCGGCTCAGGACCCAAGGTTGGCTCTGGAGGCAAGAAGGAGGGTGCGAAGCACGGTGGCCCATCATTGTACATGATTGAGCCGAGCGGTCTATACTGGGTATGTAAAAACTCTAAAGCGGTTCTGCACGTGAGACTAACGGCAGCATAGGGCTACTACGGCGCAGCGACAGGCAAAGGCCGACAAATCGCCAAGTCAGAACTCGAAAAGCTAAACCTCGCCGAAGGTGAACTATCCCTCGAAGAAGGTGTCAAGGAGGCAGCACGCATCATCTACGTCGCACATGATGACAACAAGGACAAGGAGTTCGAGCTGGAGATGACCTGGATTAGCAATCTAGCCGGCCCCACCAAGGGCAGGCACGAGGAGGTACCAAAGGAGATCAGGGAAGAGGCTGAAAAGCTGGCAAAGAAGTCGCTAGAGGGTGACGATGACGACGATGAGGAGGAGGAGAAGATGCAAGAGTAGACAGCCTGTGTATCATACTGAGCGTCTGGCGCTACATAGATAGGCTTACACGATTATGAACGGCTCTTGAGCTCACTCACGAATGAAAATCATTTCGACGTCAAGCTTTCTAAGTATTGCTAAGGGCCTATCGAAGATTCTTATCTTCTCTTACATCGCATTTGTCGTTTAGGCAGGCAGAGTAGCCTTTAAACTGCGTCATGACGATGTTGGTACATTCGCCCCACTAGCGCGTCATCCAATCAGTCACAGAAAAATACATGGTTGCCCATTGTCCAATCGACCTGTTTACCATCAACTACAACCTCTCTCACCACACCAGAAGAGCCCAAATCACTGAAAGGATCATCTCAATGCCGCCAACACTACTACTTATCCGCCACGCTCAGGCTCTACATAATGTGGCAAGCGACTGGTCCATCCATGACGCACCGCTCTCCGAGCTCGGTGAGCAGCAATGCCTTGAACTTCAAGAGAGTTTGAAAAATAGCAAGATTGGGAACGAAGTCGATTTGATTGTGGTATCGGCGATGAGGAGGACGTTGCAGACGGCTACTATTGGGCTAGACTGGTTGATTAAGAAGGGTGTCAAGGGTGAGTGATGATTAATTCAGAAGTACCGTCCCAAGGACATATCTGCATATTTTTATTACTTCTTAGGGCCCTCGCTGACTTCTCAACTCGTTTCAAAGTCATTCCTGACGCAGGATGGCAAGAAACCGCCGACAAACCTTGTGACACCGGGAGTCCGCTTGAGCAAATGAAGAAAGAGTTCCCGCAGTACGACTTCTCATCCGTAGATCCATCCTACCCGGACAAGACTACAGACTTGGAGAACAACCCCTACGCATTTACACAGAAGGCTATCCTAGCACGCGGTCAAACATGTCTCGAGGATCTCTACTCCCGCCCAGAGAAGGTCATCGCAGTAGTATCTCACTCTGGCTTCCTGCGTACGGCCGTGTGCAATCGCATGTTTTTCAATGCCGACTGGCGAGTGTTCAATTTCGACGAGGGCGCGATGGAGAAGAAACCTGGCCAGTTTATCCTGAAGGAAAGCGAAGAAACAGAGAAGAAAGGTGGAGGAATGGGAAGGAGTGACGTGGGTGTATTTGGGGTAGTTGAAGGGGATTTCCCACCTGAAGTGGAAACTGAACAGGCGAAGGAGAAGGGTCAGGTCAAAGAGCTAGGTGAGGCAAATAAGCAGAAACCTTCATCTTAAAGTGCGAAAGCTATGAGAGCTTGGCCTTTGATGTGGTCTTGAATATCCAAGGCCCGGTGGCATTAAACAATACTTAGACGTTACACAAAGACGATAGACGGGAACTCCGATGCGAGACAGTCAGCAATCACACCAAGTATCGATTTCAGGGATCATAGTAAGCATACAGGGTATCCGCAAGCTAAGTTGCACCCGGCTGTTCAATTAGGCTGAAGATAATAAGCCTGTAGACTGCGGCAGCCGCATCACTCATAGCTTCAACGTACCTCTCTCACGATTTTATCTGAAAAGGCTACCAACACCTCGACTTCAGCGTTCTATGGCCCAAACATTCAGCCTTACCTGAAATGTATCGTGGCGCCGTGAACATAAGGCGGCCGGGAGAAGATGTTCAGTAATGCCGGGGTTTCAGCGGCCTCTAACCTGTTTGAATAATCACTAAATCCTTCGCGCGTCATCGTACAGGATGTCCTGACGCCAAGTCTCACAGAATCGCTAAAAGACAAATCAGAGCTTTATGTGTTCAGCCCGTCTTATTAAGTTTGGGAATGACAGGGATGAGACTGGGTGTGCGTTCGGGACGGGATGTACAAACAGACCAGTCGAGGCTACCTCAACGAATCGAGTACAGACGTGCAGCTAATTTCAATAGCGCCAATACTCGTGTGCATCTTCAGTCGTCTCTTGCTACGGTTCTCTCCAGGTCACTGCTATCATGCGCTCTGCCTCTCTTTGCGACCCTAGGTAAGGTTCTACCATCAATCCTATGGGCGGCCTCGGGTCGTTATCGGCCATCGCGCTGCTCCATCTCACTCTCTTCCTCCTTCTCGGCTTCAACTCGAATTCCGTGGGCGCAACATGCTTCTTCCCCGATGGAACTACAGCAGACTCTGGCCACAAGGAGTGCAACCCAAATTCTACCGACGCGACGACATGCTGTGCCGAGGGCTTTCAGTGTCTCAGTAATGGCCTTTGCAACGATTATCGTTATCAAAACTGGACTCGAGTGCTGAGAGGAGCATGCACACAACAAGATTTCGGAGGGGGTTGCAACAAAGTGTGCACAGACTGTAGGCTTCACTGCGCCGTGCTTGATCAGAGGAGTAATGTGCTAAGGAAGCGTAGTTTGGCCACAAGGCGACGAAGCAGTCTGGTATTGCGGTTCCGGCGCCTACTGCTGCTCGCGCGCCAACGATTGTTGTCAGGATAACAATGTTCAGAAACACATCCTAGCTGAACCCAGTGTTGTCGCAATCGCGGGAAAGACAAGTCCATCAACCACTCCGACACATACCACCACGCCTCCCGCACAGAGCTCGAATGCCGCCAGTTCAAGCAGTACGAGTGGAAGTAGCACAAATACCCGCACGATAGCTATCGCTGTTGGAGTGGTCGCAGGCATCCTGCTTTTGCTACTCGTAGGACTGTGGTTCATCCGACGGAAACGGAAAGCCCGGAAAACGCAGCCTATGTTGCACGAACTCTCCGCTGCCGATGGAGCACCGCATGTAAATGACACCACCCAACCTTACACATACGATGACAAGCGTGGAGGGTGGGTCACAGGCGCGAATGGAAATAAAAACAAAAAGAAGGAGAAAGGCGCTCGGGGTAGGAACGTACTCTACGAGGTGCCATCGGATAGAGTGGTGGAGATGCCAGCTGAGGCCGAGGTCAAGGAGATAGACGGCATGGGATCGGGGGCTCGAGGTGGAGCTGGTAGAGGCGTCCACCATGTCGGCGGAGCGGAAATGCAGAGAAATAGTCTGGTGGGGAACCGGCCGAGTCGGTTTGTCGAGGTTGATATGGCGAGCAATAGTCGGGGAGACCCAACATCTAGGGAGAGATTGGATAGGTATCAGTGATGAAGGCCATTTCTAATCTATCAAGATATTTCAGAATATACATTCCATAATGCCAAATTCATGTCTCAGTACGTTTAATCAATAAGCAAATGCAGTGCGCGACAATGCTAACCAAAATCGCGTTGATGCGATGCGATGCGAGTCTGCTGGAAGATCTACGTCTACCCGCATAGGTCGTTCGTTGTCGCTTGAAATAAGGTTTGTGCTGAGGTCGCACGACTGCGCATTATATTCCTTCATCCTATATGCTGGACTATCTCTAGGCAATCGTTAACGCGCATCTGTATCACATTGGTACCAATTCCTTAACCTGCATGGCGCTCTCCGCATCACACTTGCGTTCGGTTCCCTCGATTCATGTCGAAATGGCATGTGGAGGAATGATCATAACCAACATCATATACTACGTTCCTTGAATTTCGCTACAAGCGACCATTGAGTGTGCTCGAAAACCTGCATCTGTCCAACACGTACTGGACGGGATATAGTCTTTCCATACACAAAATATCGATGGCAAAGTAGAGTGACTACCATAGTATACAGTCTTCGCCCTTACTGAGATAGCTTCTCAAGTCACAATGCTTGAGAGGCCGTTAAATAGTGCTACTCTGATTTTTCGGCTTTCTTCTTAGTACCCTCATGTCATGGGGGTAAAGAACCAGATGTGGCAATGAATGCCGTGCAACCTACTTGAGCATTTGTGAAGAAGAAGGCGCTTAACGAAGAACTCCAACAGGCCGCCCATTGGAACCATAACTTAGCATCCAGAGGATTTGCCTCCATCGGATGCTGTGACCGGGTGGGAGGTTCCAGGATCTCAACGATGATTAGTATTTAATTGCTTTGGCAGACCAGGGCAGACCAGGGCAGACCATCTGTTTTGTGCTTCATAGTTCTGGGGACTGGATAACTTGACCCGGGTGAACGAACTTCGTGACAGCCAGAAGATAAGCGCTTTTCACATCGGCTGGACTAGGTTCTGAGTATTACGCCGAGAAAGGGGTAGGCGTCTCATGGTCAAGGCTATGTATCTGTTTAAGCTCATCCATTCCTAGCCCTACTCTCTCCTACTAGAAGTCGTCAAGCGCACCGGAGAGAAAGGAGATGGAAGCAATGTTGAATGCGTCATGATGCAATGAGATCAGAATGAGAGAATGGTAGGTAGTCTTGTGTAACGACCTAAAATAGGAATTCAACGGGCGATTTACCCCAGATTTTCCAAACTGTAACGCGTTAGTGATCTCGGCTGTCAACACGCGGACCATCCACGTGCTTGAATTTCTCCACTTTGATCCGCCTCCTCCGTCACAGCTTTGTTATTGCAAGTGAGGCCATAGCGACGATTTGCGCTTTAGCAAAGACTTGGCAACGGGTCGAGGGGGTCTTCTAGTTTCATACCGACGGTTTGGAGAGGACGATGAGCGCGAAATCACACACCCATATTGGACGAAAGAACACGCGATGGCGTCGTCGTCCTCAATGGGCCTCGTTGCAAGTGCGACATCCTCTGCTCTCCCCTGGGCGACAACGCCGGCTCAGGGCTCTCTTGACTCCGCAGGTGCCGGCATCACTGGAGGTAATTTTTTTCTACTCCTCGGTATTTGTATGTCTGAGCTAATATATTATAGGCTACACCGGTGGCTCCCTCCCTTTGCAGATTACCATCGCTTTTCTTATTGGGCTCGCATTGTATAATGCCCTCGAGCTCATTGTCCTTGCCTTCGTAACCTTCCAACGATACCGTGGGTTGTACTTTTGGAGCCTCGTCATATCTGCATTCGGCATCATACCGTATTCACTAGGTTTCCTAATCAAGTTCTTCCAGCTGTTGGATCCGAATAAAGATGTTGGATATGTTGCTGTTTTCTTCCTCTCGATTGGGTGGTATCCCATGGTGACCGGTACGTAATCGCAATTTTTTTGTTCAGGGAGCTGGAGTTCGATAAAGTCGGGAGAGTACTGACAATAAGCTAGGTCAGTCAATCGTCCTCTGGTCACGTCTGCACCTCGTTACGAACTCGCGCCGCGTCCTTCGCTGGAGCCTGTACATGATCGTCACCAATGGAATAGTCCTACACTCCGTCACTACCGTCCTCACATTCGGCTCGAACTCGAACACTCTTTCTCGCACAACGCTGGGACATTTTGTAAAGGGATACTCGATCATGGAGAAGATACAAATGGTCGGGTTCTTCGTTCAAGAAGTCATATTGTCCATTATCTATATCCGCGAGACTGTTCGATTGCTCCGGCTCGCAGAAAGCGTGCAGGATGATGTATGCAGTTTTGATAATGGAACGGGGACAGGGAATCTAAGAAATGCGAGTGTGCGGAAGACAATGTATCAGCTCCTCGCCATCAACGTTATCATAATCACCATGGATTTGGCGCTGCTAGCGGTTGAATTCGCAAACCTGTACCTGATCGAGACGACACTAAAAGGGGTGGTCTACTCCATCAAACTAAAACTCGAATTCGCTGTACTAGGAAAATTGGTTCAACTTGTGCGCGACCGCACAAGCTCGAACAACACATCCGATCCCCACCGGCGCCGTAGTCCAGAGCGCAGAGCGCCGTCCACGGGTTTGACGCTCGAGAAGACGGACACTGGTGGGACCAGCAGAGGGGGTGAGCGCATGAACGGTAGTGCACTTGGCTATGATTTTGGGAATCAGCAATTGCCGGATTTTGTGGATCCGAGGAATGTCCACGCTGATTTTACACATGCGGAGGCTGTGAGGGGAGACGAGGGGTGGGAAACTCGAAAGGGTGAGGAAGGCGAGAGGTGGCGGAGAAGGACGAGAGTGAACCGGGGAAGCTGGATCGATGAAGAGATGGACAAGCATCACATTGGGTAATCAATGAAATCTTCTTCTATGACTACAACACATCATGGTCAAAACAAATCCGCGACAGATAACGATGAAAGTTCCCGCATGACAAATCGACTATACTACCACCAACGATAACGGTTGAAAGTCAAAGACGCTAGCATTTCCGCTATTTCCAAATTCTTACGTTCTGCCAGCTGTTTGTTGGGATGACGGGCGCCTGCTTGCCCGACGGCTATACCATTATATGTCGATCTTAAAACATGGTCTCCACAGTATTACCACCCTGATTTGGCAAGAGTAAGACATGATTACACGACTGAAAATGGGCAATGGACGATTAGTGACGCGGCGTTAATACAGAAAAGAATGATGCACTTGTGGCTAGAGTGTTATATCGGCTCGAAGACCTCGTAGCGATATGTTTACATCGTTAGCAGTGGATGCTTTCGTCTTGGCTCTCACTTACTTGATCAAGTTTTTTAATTCAGGCAAAAATAGCCCCCCGGCAAACCCTGCTTATTGCTTACATATCTCGGCACTAGATTGCAGGAATGTCTCGCTTGACCGGGCGGTCGCAATTATCTCACTTATATTGTCTGTCTAGGGGACGTTTACAACAAGCTTTCTCTATATTTCGATCATCTTACAGATCTACAGTGAGTTAAACAAAGTGTCTCAACACCGCACAATCGACGATATGGACTCTATCGACCTAACGTACGCCTCTCTCCCGCTCACGGTTATTACCATCACTGGCGTACTCTCCCTGGCAGCTTTCCTACTCTACAAATGGCTTTTGCCGAAACCTATCCATGGGATACCATGCAACAAAGAGGCCACGAGATCTCTTTTTGGTGACATCCCATCTATGCTCAATCACCTAAAGACCCACAAAACCTTCAGCGACTGGTTTTTGAGCCACAACACTAGACACAAATCTCCCATAGTACAGATCTTTCCCAACCCTTTCGGGAAGCCCGTGGTCATGATCAGCGATTATCGCGAATCACAGGTATACCAACAACGTGCCATCTTAATGCAACCACTAAACATAGTCAGGATATCCTTATGAGACGAACTAAAGAGTTTGACAAGCCGGACCTGATTAGCGATATTTTCTTCGGCCTAAGTTCCGAACAGCACATGGTGCTGCCAACGAATGATGCCTTTCGAGCCCAGCGAAAGCTGTTGCAGGACCGGTCAGAAGCCCACGGTATAAACTGGTTGTTTTGTCTTACACATGCCAAAACTGAACAGCTGGTACCTCCCCATTTGCCTCGAATAGTTGCTAACTTTGTATAGTATGTACACTTTCCTTAGTAACCCCTCTGCAAATGCCCGCCAGAAGGCTGTTTGTGCAAGACGCTGAGTACTTGGTACGTACTTTGAGAGCACACACTGACTTTGTACCGCCGCTTCCAGTCATGGCTCCTGGCTTCCTCAATGGAGTCGCTGCGCCTCAACTTCATGCCAGTTTCATGGATCTTATAAGCCTTTGGAGGGAGAAGATGCGCCTAAGTGAAGGCCGCCCATTCTCTGTGAAGGTTGATATAAATGACGCCGCCTTGGAGGCCATTTGGGCTTCTATCTTCGGAATCGAGGAAACTGCTACAATTACGCGCGAGCAAGTCACCTTGTTATCTTCCAAGAAGAATATCGAATTGCCACCGTCTGTGGACCTAGAAGTTGGCTTTCCTCGTGCATCGGCCCCACCGGAGTTTGATGCGATCCTTAGACTTACTGACACGATAGAAATCGTTATCAAGTCCCCAGCCCCGAGGCTCGTCGGGCGTCTCCTGCGGTGGGTGCCTCGTATTAGCAAGCTGCTCAAATTGAGGGACGAGATGATATCTGCTCAGATCTCCAAAGCCGAGAAAAGAATGGCCCACACCAAGGGAACCGCAGACAAGATTTCAAATGCAGTCGATCATGTGCTGCGCAGAGAATTGATGGCTGCGGAACGGCAGAATCGGGCGCCTCACTACCAATCAAAGGTTATAATCGCAGAGGTTAGTCGCCGTAGAATCTCCCGCATAAACAGTAGGATATACTAATTTCTCGACTCCCACCCTACAGCTATTTGGCTTGCTCGTTGCGGGGCACGATACAACTTCGACGGCACTTTCATGGGCTCTAAAACTCCTTGCTGGGAGTCAGGACATCCAACGAAAGCTTCGTTCTGAGCTTCGATCATCCTTTGCCGCTGCGCACTCGCAAAACAGGGTTCCAGATGCGCACGAGATCGCTACAACTCAAAACCACTACCTAGATGCCTGCCTCGAAGAGATTTTACGCTGCGCGCAAACTGCAACCATTCCGTCACGGACTGCAACTACCGATGCTGTCATTCTTGGGCATGTTATACCAAAGGGAACGAGGGTTATGATGTGTGGTCTCGGCGGGGGCCTTATGGTGCCACCTTTTGAAATCGACGACGCCCTGCGAAGCAAATCATACCATGTTGCAGGAGGCGGCAAGGTGGGTGAATGGGGCTCGGGAGACATGACCGAATTCAAGCCCGATCGATGGCTGGTCAAAGATTCAGCTACTGACTCTCAAGTCTTCGATGCGATGGCTGGACCACATCTCCAGTTCGGAGCGGGACCGAGGTCTTGCTTTGGACGGAAACTGGCGTATTTGGAGCTCAGGCTTGCGATTGTTCTAGTAATTTGGTCATTTGAGTTGAAACCGGTACCAGAGAGATATGCGAGTTGGGAAGCGGTGGAAGGCCTCACACATGCTCCCGTTCAGTCTTACGTAAGGCTTGTCGAGGCCTGAACAGCAAGGGTATTGTGATTGAGCCTATATGCACCCGACAGACTGCTCAGGGGCATGGCTGCTATATCGATCGTGATGGACGAGAAAGCCCCATCTTTTTAACCTGTTTAAGCATCATATCCCTTATTTTCCTCTTATAGCTCTTACTGTTCGTGTCTTGCTTTTCTGCTTTTCTACTTTTCTTATACTGGATGGAAATTGATAACAGCAATGTTATAGAATGGAGTTTGCAAGCCGAAGTAGGAGTGCGGGTGTTTGCTTGTTTGTCGTGACATAACCTAAGGACCTTCGTGAAAGGAAGGCCTACTAACACTGCTCGAGAGTGTTCGCGTTGCAAGTTGTCATCTTAGGTACTCCAAAGGGCGGCTATGCTTCCGAATAGCCGTACTCTGGCTACACTAGTCGAAATTGAGCGAGGAACTGCTTACGAGATTGGGGGGTTGGATTATTTGGTAGCTATCTACGCAAGTTACCATTGGAGAAAAATCTCAACGGTATATCGTATCGCTCATCACAATGCTCTCGATTTTTTGAAGACTTATAGTGACAGTTTCAAGTGGGTGATGAAGGTTAAGGTGCTCATTCCCCAGCTCAGCCTCCTTACTAATTTTAGCGTGGCGCGATGGCGCGTGGCGCACGTCGCAAACCACAGCGAAACGCGTCAGCCATCAAGCACGCCCAGCGCAGCGAAGCCTCAGCCTGAGCTCAAACATCAAACCTTCTACAATCTCCAAACGGAGAGTACTACCTTCTTTCCCTTGTCCCACAGTGTTATTCGACGTTCGTTTACAATACTATGGCCCCGGCAATACCCCCATCAACGCGCTCATCCCTCGCCAAACTAGCGCGACGGGCGTTGGTGACGGGAGGCCCCACTATGGCTTCGCACCACTTTGAGCGTCGCGGGTTAACTGTCAACCACACCCAAGGGGTCACGCTGGGCGTTATCATCGCATATGTTGTTATCATTGCGTTGTTATGGAACCTGCCGTATGTGAGATGGGTGTTATGGCCGTTCAAGGTACGTTTCCTCATCTTCACAGCTCTCCTGATCGGTTTGATGCTAACTTTTGGTAGATGTACGAAGACCCCAGTACAAAGTGGATGTTTTCGTCTTGGACTATGCGCGAACTTGTCTAAAACGTTTTGGACAATTAAGCTGTAGCTGAGACACAAAACAGACGCCTTCTTCCCCTACCTAACGCTCTGCTAACGAATGTAGGGTACGCTATACTCTTATTCTACTTCCCTACGCAAAGGCGGCTTTCTGGTACTAACCTTAGCCCTAAGCTGGTCATCGCTTTCCATGAGTTCGGGCACGCTATCACAGCCTGCTGTACCGGCGGGCGCGTAGAATCAATTTCTCTAGATCCGCACGAGGGAGGCGTAACTCACATGCGGGGCGGCAAACAGTTCATCACGTTACCAGCTGGCTACTTGGGCTCCTCACTGATTGGCGCCCTGCTGACTTTCTGTGGATTCAACATCGTGGCAAGTAAGGTGGCGAGTATCGTGCTAGGGGTGTGCTTTCTGTTGACGTTGTGGTGGGCGCGGAAGGACTGGTTAACTATCATAACCATCTTGCTGGCCGTGGGGCTGTTGGTCGGGTTTTGGTTCATTGAGCGCGGTCAAGCGCTAAGATTCATGGTCGTATGCCCACCCCTTTCCCTACTACCCGAGTCTACACATCCAACTAACCGTGTTCATAGCTCTTCATCGGCGTAATGTCTTCGCTATACAGCGTCTGGGATATCTGTGACGATCTCATCCTGCGCAAAGTCAACTCTTCCGATGCAAGCGTCTTTGCAAAGCGGTACGGCGGCTCCTCGCAGTGCTGGGGCGTGCTCTGGTCGCTGGTTTCGTTGCTTCTATTGATTTGTGGCATTTTAGCCGGACTGGCAGTGTTCAAGCAGAGCTTTGAGCAGCAGAAGAAGGATAGCGAGCATTTTATTCCTACGGTGCGGATGCTTGCGAGGATGTAGGAATCTAAGTTATGTATAGGATGGTGTTTGGATGGCTCGGATCGGGGACCCCGTATCCTTTAGCGCTTGAAATTGACTTCCAGAGCTCAAGTTGAAGAGCTCGAATCGATCTCCAAAGCCAATTGTATATTTCGTTCCATTACTGCCGTGAATGCGGGGTACAATTATGCCTGTCCGGAGAAACTCACCCGCAGGCCAAGCCGACTAGCGCGCTTCGACTGTCTTTTTGATCAATGATGAAAGCCCTCGATACTTTATACCAACACCAGCTCTCCTTCAAAGCTCACCGCGCAGTTCCCTCCATTCCATAGCCCTCTCAACACGAATCAGTCATGTCCCTCAAAGAAGAAATTCTCGCCCACCACAAATTCACTTTCCCCCATCTCTCTCCCGGCGCAGGTTCCAATGAGCAACCCTACATAAAGTTTCTAATGTTCGTAAAGAAAAGGCCAGATATTTCAGATGAAAAGTTCCACGAGTGGTGGAAGACGGTTCATGCAGATCTTGCCGTTACGGTTGCCGGGTTTGGAGGGCATTGTGCAAGATATGTTCAACTACACCAAACACCCGAGCATAAAGCGGAGCTAGAAAAACTTGGTATGGAGCCATTGCCGTATGATGGCATAGGAGAGGTGCATGTCAAGAGTTTGGAGGATTGGGTGACTTTTCAGTCGAGTCCGGCGTTCGCTGATAGACTAAAGGGTAAGGGGCACGTTTCATTTGTGAGATGGTTGCGTAATGAGTCGTGAATCGGGCGGCGCAAAGTTTCTTTTTTTTGATATTGATATCTCGACAGATGATGGCCCGAAATTCATGGATGGTACGCTGAAAGTCATGCTGGGATACGACAACTTAATATTTGGAAGCAAAATCGAGGCTAGTGGTGGTAGTGATGGGATTTTACCAACCGATCACAGACTGAGTCCTGTGTCAAAGGACCCAAAGCTTTGAAGACTGGTGCATGGTAGAGGAAATTTTACCTTACATTTTCTTCCCAATACTACACTAAAATATACTTCAAGGTCGCCACTCCTGTATGTTTGTAACAAATCAACATTTTGGTTCCGCATGGACTATGGTCGAACCCCGTATCCAGAAAACCCACCCACCTTCCCAATATCTTCATCCCAGATCCGAAAGGCTTTTTAGAAGGCCGAATTTGACTCGGACTCTGGATTAGCAATGACCCAATGAAAAGCCACTCTCGCAGCATCGTCGGCCTTTTGATCGACGAGTTTGGCAAATGTTGCATCTGGGTCTCTCCTGTACGGTTCGTTGTTTCCAATATGATATCGCGGCCAGTCACCGTAAGATGAGGTACCGCAGCCGGCGCATGTCACGCCGTAAAAGTCAAGTACTGCCCCTTCCCCCATTTCCGCGCGGTGGCTCAATCCACAAGCGGAACAGACGTGGCAATAGCGGACGTCGCGACCGCCAGCTGGTCGGGGGGCACAGATCATGCCATATGGCAAGGGCGAGAGGATCTCGGAAGCATGACATTCTGGGCACAATGTGCGATTGCAACGATCGCAGCGAAGGTACTGGAATGGAAAGCGGCCCTTGTAGTGGCGAAGGATATTTTCGTGGCGGCAATGGCAGCAAATCCACAGCCCGTCCCCAATTTCTGCATCGGTTCTGAGCGCTCGAATGCTGGATACTTGTTTTCTTGGATGAGATATGAATCGGTCGGAGCTTCGGCAAGTACGGCGGAGTCCAATTGTTCCTGTAGATTTGCTAAACGAGAACTGTCGCCCGAGAATCTATGGTCTTGGACTGGAATTGTAAGATGGGATGTTGAATGGTCAGATTTCTGTGCTTGGACCCTTTCGATGACGCTTGTTAATGTAGTCGATATTGCCACAGATAGACGGTTTAGACGGAGGATGCTACCCTGTCGCTTCAAGATGGGCATGTTGACTTGGTCGCGGTTGAGATTACGGCTGCAACGAGAGAAAATTGGAGAGTAGAAGTTCATCTCGCAGATTGATAGTATAGTGAAATAGCGATTGAATGCGCCTTCTGTTACTGCGAGACCGCTGGCCAAAGGTGGCAGGTGCAGAAGGCTTTCACTCTTACCTTCCTTGTTACCTCGAGGACGAGTCTTAACATTTTCAAGTGAATCCAGAGTTAAAGCAGGTTGCTCTGCATGTGAACTTGGAGCGCATCTTGTATGCCCAAGGACTGCCACGTAACCACCTCTGGCGTGTATGGCGACAGCGCTGCCCCGCGACTATGATCTCTGCAGCCATGTCACGCTGTTATTTATGGCCGTTCGTAGTGACGTGTTGGTGTAAACCATTCCGTCGACCACCTGATAACGCGTTCATCTGCGCCTGAATTGAGTGTTTCCCCTAGATGAGAGCTGCGATGGGGCGTTCGAAGAGAAGATTGGTGACGATGGCGGCCTTGAACACGTGCCTCTATCTTTAGTTGTGCATTCGAAACAATGTCATCAAGATTGTCGAGGTGGAGAGCTAACTCCTTGAGTGTCGTTGCAGCGCTCGTGACACCGTGACGTTATTCGCTGCTTAGCCTTCTCACCCCTGCGCGGTGGCTTGTGCATCGGAAACTGTCCTCAACTCGCGTGCGACTGTCTCGCATCACAGCTTCAACCACCATTCACTATGATTCAGGGAATTCTTCAGGTTCGCTATCCCGATTCCAACCGCTAAAATAGACAGTCAAGCTGACAGCACTCAAGCGCCTCGCGCGCTGGCTGGACCGCCCGTTCTTCCCATGGAAGCGTCTTGTTGTAGGCTTCTCGCTCGCCGAGTTCGCGCTCGAGAACTGGCTGCTCTTCCGCCAATACCGCGTTCTGCAACGCACTACTGTACCCAAGGCGCTTGACAAGGAAATTGATAGGGCTACATTCGATAAATCTCAGGTACGTTCAATTTCCAAAATACATATACCCCGCCTTCAGCGATGCTTACAGGCAACAGGAATACGGTCGCGCAAAGGCCAAGTTCAGCTTCGTCTCCGGTCTCTTCAACCAGGTCAAATCCCTCGCCGTCCTCTACTTCAACGTCTATCCCATTGTCTGGGGCGTCGCTGGTTCGCTACTCGCCCGCTATGCCCCCGTTCGCTTCTCGGGCGACATCCCACGATCACTCCTGTTCATGTACATGCTGGGATGGATCGATCTGTTTGCTGGCCTCGGTTTCTCCTACTACCACAGCTTCGTTCTAGAAGAGAAATTCGGCTTCAACAAGATGACGGTCAAGCTCTGGCTCACGGATATGGTCAAGGGTCAGGCTCTGGCGATTGCATTCGGCATTCCCATCGGAAGCGCTTTCTTGGCCATTATCAACAGGACGGGACAAAACTTCTTCTACTACCTCTGGGTATTCATGCTGGTTGTTCAGATCTCGGCTATGACCATCTACCCGATTCTCATCGTTCCCATGTTCAACAAACTGGAACCGCTCAAGCCCGGCAAGCTCAAGGAGTCCGTCGAGGCCCTCGCATCGAAGCTCCAGTTTCCCCTCGCCGAGCTGCAGGTCATTGACGGCAGCAAACGCAGCGCACACAGTAACGCCTACTTCACTGGACTTCCCTGGATTGGCAAGAAGAAGATTGTTATTTATGACACCCTGCTTGAGAAGAGCACGGAAAAGGAGGTCGAGGCTGTTTTGGCACACGAACTCGGTCACTGGCAGATGAATCACACATCGCGACTTCTCTTTATTAGCCAGGCGCATCTATTCTACATGTTTGCCCTGTTCTCGGTCTTCATCAACAACAACTCGCTGTATGCGGACTTTGGCTTCCGCCGGGAGAGGCCGGTCATTGTTGGATTCATCCTGTTCAACGAGATCCTGTCGCCCACGGATTCCATCATCAAGCTCCTCCTCAACGTTTGGACGCGCAGCATGGAATACGAAGCTGGTAAGCCTTGCCTTCACACAATCTTTAACCCGACTAGAACTGATGTTGTATTCTAGATGCCTTTGCTGTAAAGCTCGGATACGCTCGTGAGCTTGGAGCTTCGTTGATTAAGCTCCAAATCCAAAATCTTTCCAGCATGGATGCCGACTGGTTCTACTCAAGCTTCCACCACTCGCACCCGATCTTGACGGAACGCCTAAAGGCTATGAACTGGACTGGCGACAAGAAGGTCACGGACAAGGCGACGGATGAGGAGAAGCCTATCAAGGCAGCGGACCGGGAGCTTTGAGCTTGGGCTTGTACATTGTCCGATATACAGGCCATGTGAGTCGCAACTGGCAGTATTTGGTTGATGGTTGAGTAAATGACGAATAGCGATAAATGAACCGCTAGAAGGGCTGAACAGCCTCGAATAAAACACTCGCTCCAGTAACGCAAAAACGTGGTATGGTATCGTAGAGTCGCAAAGCCGTTACTCGTTCTTCTTCTCGGCCCTCTTCTTCTCCCTCTCCCTCTTCTCCTGTTGGTTCTTCTCCTTCTTTGCCTTCTTCCTTGCTTCCTTGCCGATGTTGGGTATCTGACCAGTGACTTCAACGTCTGGCTCTGCTCCACCGTCTTGCACAACCGTGGTTCGTGTCCCAACTTCCCCAATTTCAACAAACCCTTCTTCCCGCTCATAGTCTGCCATGTCCTGCCACTCGGTGTCCCCTGTTAACTTCCGCTTCTTCCCGCCTTGCCCGCCAGACTTTTTCCCATGACCCCAGCTCTCGGTGTCAGCACCATCGTCCTCCTCAGGCTCCGGCGTCTTCTCTGGCTCCAAATATTCTCCCCTCAAGCCTGCAGCGACGCGTCGCAGATTGTGCATAACCACACCACCAACTGGGCCGCCATGTGACGAAAAGGTAACGCCAGTTGGTGTAATCAAGGCATCGGGGTGCAGATGAGGGTGTCGTTCGGAGTTTGTAAGGTATGTTTCTAGTATGCGCGATGCGGAGGTGAGGGAAATGGGCGTCGAGGATATGTGTCGACTGGGTGGGGGCGCTTCGACGGACATGTTGAGCGTTGGGACAGACTAAGGAGATAGACAGCGACTTGGTGAAGCTGCGCCGGACAAAGGTGGTGTTGCGTATTGCGCGGGGGTTGTGTCAGCTCAAGTGTAGCTATCGTTGGAATTTGGAGTCGACATAATTTTGCGCTCGGGCCATGTCGAATTTCTTAGCTTTGCGGCGCTGCGACGGAGAAGACGACAGGGCCTCGTTTCCCGTCGACGCAACATCAAGCTCAAAAACAGAGACACAAAAGTCGGCAGCTGGGGGTCCTCGTTTCTCACGATGAATTCTCTACGCTGTCTCCGGATTGCAGCGCGCCCTGCCACAAGCGCTTGCACAATACTCAGGCCGTCACTGGCACGCGCAACAGCACCGCAACGGTACCTACATCTTCACCTAGACGTCCAATGATCTCTCTAATGCTCCTTCAGGACCTCCATTGTCTCACAAAACCGCACCATCTCCCTCCTCAGCCCCCGCCGCCCTATGCTCGCTCGAACATGCTCGCCCTCAACCCTAGCCGCACCCGGCAGCGCTCCCTCCTTCGTCCCATCTTCCTCCGAAACACTGGACTTGGCGGGCAAGATATCTTCCCATCCAGGATTAGGCAGCATGCAGATTCGATGCGGTCCTCGCGATACTTATAACCCTTCACATCTGGTCAGGAAGAGGAGACATGGCTTTTTGAGCAGGATCAGGACGAAGAAGGGGAGGAAGTTGCTTATGAGGAGGTTGAAGAAGGGGCGCTGGAATTTGAGCCATTAGAGAGCGGCTCTTTGGGAATGATGGAAGGATAGATAGCTGGGATGAGGTCCGAGTTACCACGGGGTGCTCTGCGACGGAAGTGGAGAGACCAGGAGAACGCCCAGGGTCGTCTTGCTTAACGCGTACGATATACTACCCGCACACGAGCTGGCATTTGGTATCCAATTACTCAGGTGTAAACATACTGTACATTGCATGCATGGCTGGCATTTTAGATCATGTACTACAATTTAACAACCGCTTTCAACTACAGTCGACCAAGTTTTGCACCTTTAGTCGCAGATGTTACTAAGATAGGTCTTTCCTCCCGACTTCCAGGTACACCTTGTCACTTCATAGCTTGCGCTTGTGTATTGTTTGTCATACCTTTCCAATTACTAGTTGCGATATATGACATACTTTTATAACTTGCTATTGCGGAAATCGGCTGTTATACGTCGCTTTATGGGTGATTTTGTAGCATTAACGCAACTGAGCAGGACTGCACATTTCACACCAGATCCTCATTGCATTCCATTTATTTCAGAGTATCTACGACCCCGTGCCTTTAAACCCTAATTCCCTCTACCATAGTCGTAATGTAAAACCTCCTTCATTCTTCTTACACGGCTTATTCACTCTTACTACCGAGGCTCACCCCGTGTTTTTCACCCTAGCAGCTCCAACGTGCCAATATCTGATATGCGGGTGGCTAGTGCTACAGCGCCGAAGGTAGACTGGCGGGTGAGGTTGAGTGAAGGCGTTAATGTAGTGTATGTTCCATAGGTTGACTACACACATCCAGGGGCTCGGATTTCAGTTCAGAGCAGGCCTTGTGTCTGCGTTGACTTAAGAGATGCTCTATTGCAGCTCAGATTGAAGGATGGGTCCGGTTCGGAATTTCATATCGTACATGAAGACTCAGCAGGGGGTGCGCTGATGTGTTCGTCGCGCGAGGAGCTTGACTGTTACTTGCTTGACGTCTGTTTCATTCTGGTGTCGCTGGTGTCGTGTCTTTTTCCGTGGCCTGTTCGACCACACCCTCCGACAAATCTGGCTTGCCATCTTCTAATGCCTCCACCAGCTTCAACTCTTCATCTACCTTGTCGATATGCTTCAAAATGAACGCAATCGTTGCATCCCTCGCTTTGTCGACCCTCATTAGCGCCTCCATACTCATCGTCTCATACGCTTGCGGTTTAGATGGCGTTGGTGGCGCCGGCTCTTCACCTTGAAGCTTCGCTTTCTTTTCTGATAACAGTTTCCGCAAAGCGAAGATGTTATAATCTCGCTCTTGTAAATTCTTAACCAACTCTTTCTGTTTCATTTCCTCGTCTACCTTTTGCTTCTTGGTGACCTGCTCTTGCCTTGCCTCCGTATCGGCGACTTTCCATTTCCAAATAGCTTCTTTGGCACAGTTCTCCATGTGGGTAAAACGTATGGGTCCGATGTTCTGACCACCATACCATCGCGCTACGACCACAGCACCCTCTGTCTGTGTGTCTTTGAGCACGTTACTTACGCGTCCTCCCGCCCACTTCTCTCCGTCGTCATCATGGCCCAAATCATACAGAACATTGGAATTTGGCATTAGTGACCTCTGCCGTGAGCGCTTTCGCCATGCTGCAATCTTGTGTGATGCGGTTCTAAATTCCGGGAGTGCTTGTAGTGCTTTGGCGGAGAGGCTAGGAGAGAAAGCGGCAACGAAAACGGACGTTTGCTCTTTAATTGTCGAGGATCGGAAAATGCCCGAAGTAGCAGTTGGGGAAGGAGAGCGCTCTCTCTTTGTAGCCATCTCTTGTGCTCCTTGAGTGCGCAATGTTGGGGTTGAAGGTTGGTGTTTGGTTGGGCGGGCAAGTCGAAGCGAAATGTTCCACACGTGCCGATGCGGAAGGGAAGTTTTGCCGGTGGCCATCTCTTCTTCAGTCCAGATGTCGTCGTCCTCATCAATCCATCCTCCTTGACCCCTATCTTGTTTGTGTTTAAGAATGTCCTTTTAAATAGCGGATGTGCCTTCGCAATGGTCGCTCTTAGGATTACATAGGGGAAGCACCCTCGTTTGTTGAAACCCTTCTGGTGCCAATCAACATGGTGTTAACACGACATCTTCCTGTTTGAAGAATAAAAAACCTTAGTATTAACTAGAATACATCTTTTGCGCACACATATCGTCAATCTCCAGGCTAAAAAGTAAGGCTGGGTTGCGCCTACCCCTCTCTCACTACGTCCATGCTTCCTCTTAAGCACGGTATTTGGAGATGGACCACATCCTACTCTATTAGTACTTTCTTTCCATCCTCACCGTCCAAATATTATTCAAGCTACATAGTAAAAGACGGGAATTACCCTTCCTCTCCCACTAGCGCACCAGGCAGCCGTTCTGTGAAAAGATATCTTACAACATTTTCACTCCCCGACTTTACAAACGCGTCATTTCAAGCCTACGGCGGTCTTTTATCACAGCACCGATCACTTAAAGGCGTTTTCCTACCCAGCTGACGCTCAGAGCGTGCTCGAAGCGAGGGTATTCACGCTTGGCGCCCCGAAAGCTTTGTCAGAATCGAAATCTGAAAACGTACACTGTTCTTCCAATACCCACACTCAACTCTAATTTCGGAGCTACTCGGTTTCAATCCAGGTAGTTTTTCTTTCTTCGAAGGTGAGCTACTACCATGCCTTCTCAGCCGACAAACTAGCCTCGCCAACAAACGCGATACGTTTTGCCTGAGGAAACTTTCTCTACATCGCTCTCCGTATTCTACCTGGCGCTATAGAACAGCTCTAGGACCAATTGCTAACGCTCCCAACTCCATAGCTAAAGCATTTCAGCAGTTTAGCCTCACGAATCTTGGCCCGGAAGCTATTCACCATGGGCCGCTTTGCGAGTCTTAACCCAGACACCAAGGATCTGGTCAACTGCCTTCTCCCCGCCTTGGCCTCCTCTTTCAAGGTTTCCGAAGCCGTGGATATCATTCCTGAAGATATCCGTATGCGCGCTTGGGACTGCGAGCGGCGTGACCATATCAAGGACCAGACGGAGAATGACCCGCGTAACTGGGGTGTCCAGTTTCTCAAGGACCTCATGGCCATCTCGCGCATGAAGGGTGGAAACCTTCCCGAGTTCCAAACTGACCTGCGCGCAAAGGTCGCTCTGCATGAGCCCAAGCACCCGTGGTGCCGTCTAGCTGACATCAAGGAGCTCAAGGATGAATATGAGAATCCTAGGCGCAAAGAGGATGTCAACGCTGAGGAGCAAGCTTCGTCGGAAGATTCCTATGACTCGTTCTTCGAGGAACTGGTTGAGCCGGAGGAGCCCAGGGGCCAGAAGCGAGGTCGCAAGGCTCGCAATCATGAGGTCTATGAGGCTCGCGTTCGAGAGTCCACCAAGCGTCGCAAGCGTAAGTTCAAACAATGCTATATCACAAACACAGTTCTAACATGGAAAAGAGGCATCCCAAGGTCGTTTGCGTCGATCCGAGGATGGTGGCTTCCATCGCAAGGACAAGTTCAGTACCAAGCGTCCCTCCGTGGACCGCACTACGCCGAGCAGTAGTCGTCGCTCCGTCCATCGGGCCTCTAGGACCATCGATTCCGACCGCGAAGACTCCGACGACTCCTACGGTGGCAAGTCTCTCCTTCTACATCCTACGCCCGCCTTCTCTGTTTCTCCTGGTCCTCTAGCCGCCCATGTGCATGCCGTCGAGTCTTCCCATGAGCCACTCGCCGTCCTGAAGCTTCAAGCCGAGTTGGAGGTCGCGGAGGCTGAGCTGAAAGCCGCCCGCTTGAAGTACCAGTACATTCAGGCGAAGGAGAAGGCCGAGAAGGAGGCTACGTATAGCGGTATCGACACCGAGGATGCGTTTCATACTGTCAACTAGGGGCTGGCCAAACGAGAGTCTGCAGGATCTATCCATGTAATATACTAGAATGAAACGAACGGGATTTGGTGCCAGCATGTAACGGGTATCCCTGCATTGCAGGCGTACATTTTTCCATCTAGCGACTTGAGTCACTCATGGTCTTGCTTCTCAACGGCGTTCAGGTGTGGATGGGTATTTTCTTAGATTTCCAGTTCTTAGTTCACTTTACAGCGCAAAGAGGCAGGGCTTCGTCTCTTCTTCTGTCTAGGAAGACTTCTCTTTCAAATCTGGATAATTTGGGGCGGTTTGGCCTTCAAGTTAGCCTTATTCAAGAGTTTCCTCCAATCTAGACTGCGTCAAGTATACACCTCCAGATTGATCTTCCGTGCGAACCCATCCTTGTGTCAGTGCCTCTTCCTTGGACAAGCTACATAAAGGTAAATTACTGTCGGGGCCCAAAGTGCATAAAGGATTCAAAACAATCACTTTTTGTACCTACTACTCTTGCTAACCTTTGGTCGACAGTTGTGATGCTATCCAGTCGCCGCGCGCTTTTAGCAGCTAGGAAAGAAGCCACCTTCGAGTAGTATGCCATTTTACAAGCACTATTTCATAGTGTGTTTTTAAGAAGCAGCCGCAGCTAGACACTATTATAAGGTGATGTTCTCAGCCTCTATGTGAATAAGCTAGGTGGGTGTTGTAGAGGGATTCAACTCAACAAGACAAGCAGAAACAAGATGGAAGACACGATAACTTGAGTTCATTCCTCGTCATAGCTACTGTCACTCCATACTAGTTTCTCTCTTTGTCATCATTATTTTCTCCGCGCTTTTGCGTTCAGTTGCTTGTTAAGCTGATCAAAGATGCACGCTACCAACTTCTATCATTCTCTTGCGTTTTCCTTGGAGGTATCTTATTTTGGAGAGTTGTTGCATCATAGTAAGCAATCTTTGGTCATGTGTGGGAAAACGAATTGACTGTAATGCTGCTTCCCCGACGGTTCATTTTCAAGTGATTACACATCTGTACCTTGTTCAGGCGATGAGTCTACGTCTTGCTGTATCACAAGCGAAGGATATCAGTGTTTGTCAAATGGTATGTTGTTCATGTACTTCTGAGTATAAGAATGTTAGTCGGATCTCCTGCCTACCATCTTTTCCGTGACTGTGCTATCGTCTCGGTGGACCGTACATGTTTTAGGAGGGTTGATGCGACATGAACTGGAACGGCCCGAACATTCTCCAATATTGCAAGCATTCAAATACATCATAACAATTGCTAACATTTCCCACTTGGCTAACAAAGTAGAGCCATCATCTAAAAGCTATGTCGACTCATACGGCCGGATACACCATGCGGCGGCGATCGATATTGTTGCTACACCGACGGAAGCACATGCTACACCGATGAATCTAAGGTCTTCACACTTGGCTCGGCGATAGTTATCAAAGACCATGATACTATGAAATAGTGTGGGCTTCCAATAGCCACGCCTACAAAAACCACGCGCATCAGTTCCTCCCACACTCTCCTTTCCCGCGCAACGAGTATGATGCCCGAATCCGAAGCGACAGGCTCGAAACCTACGGGCACGGCTACGAAGCCAAAATCCTCATCTACATCATCAGTCTCGGAATTTGCGCTAAACTAAACTCATATTAATGTCCCGTACGACTATAATAGTTGTCTCCGCAGCAGGTATTATCGCTTTGATCATCATTGTCACCTTCCTCTGGGCCTTCATTTGACACACTCCACAAGAAGCTCGCAAAGGAGGTAAAGAGTAGTCTTGCCCAGGTCTGATGTCGGCTTCCAGAACTTGCAGGAAAGTTCTCACAGCCTGTCGAAGTTCCTGCGCTGCTACACTCTCCGACTCCACCTTATCAACCGTCTATACACCGAAGCTATCCACTTACGACAAATGGAGTTGTGGAAAATAACCCATTTATGTCACCACGAAGGAATCAGTCTGGACAGCTAGTGTTGGACGTGCCTGCGCACTCTTCAGACAGGTGTAGGATGAGCAGGTACCACCAACAGGAGGAGAGCACACATTTGTATTCATATGTGGAGAAGAAGAGAACAGAGGCGGGGTAGATCAGATGCGATGTGCCCAGGGGTTTCAAAATGAAATGAATCGATGATGAGTTGAATAGAAAAAGAGAGAAAAGGCCGGGCGAAGTCCATCCTATTGGCCCATGTGGTGGTCGTACCTCAATCCTGAGTTCAGCGCCTCAGACACATGTCCGGCCCAGCTCCGATTGCTTCGATCGTGTTCTCGCCCCGGCTTTGATGCCGCTTGTATCTACATTGCCTTGTCTGGCGCATTAATCTGCATGTGCAGCCGAGCGGGGCTATTGATGGGTTACAGCGTTATAGCCCGGCATTAGCGCGACTCCGCACTTTCTCTCCCAACCCCGGATCTCCTGACCTGCACCGAGGCCCTACAAAGACATTACATGCACAACATGACCCGCTACAATGGAACAGCCAGCTCAAAAAAGAGTGTCGAAAGCTTGCGACGCTTGTAAGCGCCGGAAAGTCAAGTGCAACGGACAGGAGCGTTGCCAGCAATGCGCCCATCTCGGTCTGCGATGCATATACTCCCCATCCAGCAAACAGAGATCGCAGGGAAAGAGAGGGCATATCATCTCGGCCTTTAGGAATCAGACATATGGCGCGAATGGCACTTCACCGCCCTTATTACCGGCGAAATCGGAGCAAGTGTGCTTCCAACCAGCATATGGTACCATCTCACTAACGATCGAGCACAACGAGGGTGAACCCAGTATGTGTCCTATACCGAGAGTTTGAGTTAGAAGTTCTGAAAGGATGCTGCTGACCCAGGGCAGCATCTCCTGTATCGCCATTCCCATTGCAGTACAGCAAAGAATTTTTCTTGGATCTAATACCTGACTATATGGAAGGGGTCTACCCGGTTCAACCTGTCATCACAGAGCATGAGTTAAGGCAGTACATCGAAGTAATGGACACCGACCAGGCGGTGCGTTCCTTCGTCTACGCATTTGGTGGCTGCACGCTTAATCTCACCCGGTATGGCAATCGCAGGACAGAAGGGGTGGTTCAAACCATCGAAAACCTCATGGATTACTCAATCGACAGCATGAGGCCTGCCCACAGACATTTCCACTTTTCCGTTATGCGAGCGATGCAGGCCATTTTCATACATAATTGTCTCATGAGCCTGCAAGGCAGCGATGCCGCCTTCTTCTACATGAGAGACGCTATATCAATCATTCAATTGCTCCGGATCGACAATGCGGAAAGCGCTGCTAGTCTGTCGCCTCCAGAGCGCTCGAGGAGACAACGCTTATACTGGCAAGCTTACATTCACGAACGCTTCATAGCCATCTTGGACTACAGACTAGCTATACTGCCACCGCTTTATACGCTGCCCGAGGATGATCCTACCGTGCCAATACAGGTCCATGAAGGCTTCAACCAAATTATTAAACTCTTCCGACTTCTGGATACGGAATTTCTGAATAGCTGGCTTGGTTCACAAGGCGAGAGTGTCACCAGTACCTGGGTCGAAGCCAAATCACGAGAGCTTGAAGGCGATCCAGAAGACGACGCACGCGAGCTAGCAAATCTATCTATGATGCAGCGTGCAGACCTAACCATCACCCGTGAATGGCTGCGAACGCTAGTCTGGCGCCTAGCAATGGGTCAGACCCTCCTCTCATCTAGATCCTCGAAAGAGTGCCTGTCCCTCCTCTTTCCCGTCCGGCTATCGAAAACCTTACGGCAACAAGTCTGTAGCATGTCTCGTCAGGATATAGAAGTCCACGGAAGCAGTATCACCCAAAAACTGTTCGAGATCACAGACACAATCGCCGACGTACTGATCCACGTGCCGGCCGCAACCCTTGATGAGACGGCGATGCGCATCGACGATTTTCTCTTCATTCTCGACTTCGTGTTGCTCTTCCCCCAGCTGGACGATACGCGCCGCGGTATCCTGCTGGAAAAGCTGGAACGGCTACAGACCATGTTTCCCGAGGCGGTTAGCAATGCAAGTTCGCCAAATTTACCCCTCGATCTGCAGAGCCCGGGGGCAAACGATCCTTGGTACCAGGTCACGCAATCCAAAACGGCTGCAGGGCTCGAAGACTTGGCCGATGTGCAGGGACAGAGTGTTGAGGTGCCGAGAGCTGTGGCAAAGGTTGGACAGCTGGCGACTTGGAATCTCATTTCGCGGCGTCTGTCGATGGCAACTTTCGGGAACACGTAGCGCTGATTAGACATCAATCCACTGTATGTGCTTTAGCTGCATTTCCTTTTGAATATGTCAGATTTGTATATTAGCGCTCGTGTGCAGCGGTTTTGTTCTACGGAAACCCGAGATATCACTACACGAAAATCACGGAGAGCGGATGATTGGTCAATGTTTGATGTTTGAACGAGAGATATGTTATCATTCAAGAAAAAATATCACTATATAAAAAGAAGACCATATAACAATAGAATGCGTCAATTGTCCAATATTCACATCATGGCAACAGCCTAAGCAACCTAGTGTGAATGAACCTGCTCGAGATGAGCAGATGCCCCCTTCTTCTCGCTAAGATCGCTCTCAGCGTCGCTAACATGGAAGCTTTCGACGACGGTCTTCTTGAAGTGCCTGGCAGGAACGCGCTTCTCGAAGAGAATGTCGAGCTCCGCGTATGTCCTGCCCTTGGGTTCGGGAAGACGAAAGAAGGCCCAGACAAAACAGCCAAGGCAGGTTCCAGCATAGAAGAACCCGGCTTTAGCCCCCCAGTTCCAAGCACCTGGGTTTAACATGCGGGGTGTGAGCACGTTGCCAATGATTGAGGCGAGGTTGTAGAAGTTGCGGGCCAGGACGACGGTCTTCTGTCGGAGGCGTGTAGAAGGGATCTCAGCAACGATGGCGTAGCAAACGGGTCCGATAGTGCAGTTGTAAGCTGCAGCGAATATCAGGAGCATGGCTCCAATGCCCCATTGTGCGCCAATATTGCCTTTTGGTATGACTCCGAGCCCGCCGATAATGACTAGAATAATGATCATGACGAAGTCACCATAGACGTATAGGGTTCGACGACCAACCCTTGGAATCAGTGCCCATGCGATGAAGACACCAACAGCACCGATAGCGTATTGACCCAGGCTCATGGAGAAGGAGTTGGAGTCGCTGAGCCCGGCTTGCTGGAAGAAATATGTGCTGTATCCAATCAGAGAAGCTCCACAGAAGGCCTGAGTAAACCAAGTCATTGCTGCTATTTCGGTGCGTCGAAGATCGGTGCCCTTGAAACAGTCGAAGTACGAAGTGCCCTCGGAAACCGCCTTTTCAAGCTCGTTGGTGTGGCGCATCATTGCAATCGTCTCGTCGGCGTTGAAATCGGGATGTTTTCCGGCAGACGTCAAGCGCATGAGCATCTTCTTCGCCTCGTCGTCGCGGTTTTTGCGGACAAGCCACCAAGGAGATTCGGGTGCGAAGCTGATGCCAATCATCAACGGGACGGGCCACAACCATTGGAGAGCATAAGGGATGCGATATGCCCACTGATCGGGACGCTCCGCAACTCCTTTCAAGACGCCCGATGCGAGAAACTGCCCAATGACCCAGCAGAGATTGACGTAAGTTGTGAGGATCGGGCGGAGTGGGACAGGGACCACCTCAGCGGCGTACGTGCAAGTCAGGGTCTGGAACACACCCCATGGGATACCGCAAAGGATAAGACCGACGAGAAGCATGACGATGTTCTGAGCGAAGAAGACGACGAAGATGAAAAGGTTGACCGCGAACAGTGCGGCGATCATTGTCTTCTTGTATCCGAAGTGGTCGGCTATGAGACCGTTGAGCAGCAGACCTGTGACCTCGCCAACATAGGCACCGTTGGTGAGACCGGCCTGCCAGGCTGCTGTGACCTCGTAGGAACCGTTTGGAAGCTGTTCGCCAAACCTCCGCTTGAAGGCAGGGACAGCCATGAGGTTGGCGATGAGGACCTTGTCGAAACCTTCCATGATGATAGCTGCGGAGAGTAGGACAGACCAGGCGATGGCCTTGGGATAGAGCTTGAGACCCTGTCTCAGGGTCATGTTCTGCTCGGATTGCGTTGCCTTGTTGGCATCGTGAGTAACCTGCTGGATATCATGGACGGCGACCGAGACGCGACGCGCCTGTTCGGGGTCGACAGCGACCACGCTGCTGTTGCGGCGGGACATGGCGGCGGTGTTGAGGATGTTGTCGATGCCAATGGCAAAGAGTATGTGTCCAACGAAAGACCTCGCGCTTTAGCTCCTGAACCGGGGAGCTGGGAGTGGAACTTGAAGCTTGCTGATGGTTCCCCAAGGTGGATCATCACAATCTACTTATACAACTTCGATCTTTGTATTCGCAAGCAGCATGCTCTGTCCAAATTCTGCTAAGTGAGAAGAGGAGATAGTGGAGTGAGCAATTGACGCGGGGATGGGCGCCACAGCTCAGGTGTCAGTGCCATCACCCGCAGTACAGCTCCTATCCAGCTCTCCCGTCTGGGGAAAGGCCTCTGAAAGCTAGAGCTGATGTGGATAGGACTCCCGATGAACTCGCCCTGAGCAATGTCGGAGGCGTGAGATGATTTGCTTAAAGTCGGACCGAGTTTGGCAGTATGAGCCAGGATGCAGATGCCCATCACGCGTGGCGAGATCAAAGTTTCTGGTCAGACGTTAGTGGCAACTCGACGCCCAGGAGTTCCTCGGGAACTGCCAGAGACCATCTTCTCATTCGCTGAATGTCGGCTCACGTAGGTTAAGGGTGTCTGTGACACCAAGCCCCCGCTTTCCGTGACTCGCTTAGATTCTTGAGGGATGCGGAGAGCGTTAATCCCCACACCCCATGATAGAGCCGCCATGCATGCGAAGCATCTCCCGTGACCTTCGATCCTGCCTCGCTGATGCTCGACCTAGTCGGCCCGACACTGCACGAATGGCGGTGGTGAGAAGGTTAGAGAACAATCACCCCGAGAATCATCCCGGCTTGGCATAGGTCCACAGTTCACTATCTGCAGACCGCGTAATGTTTTGGTATGGTTAAAATTCAACGCGTTGTCGATAATTACCCTGTCATAGGATTATCATCTGATAGTACGTGTTTATAAAAGAGCTGCTGCAAGTCGCTCTCGAGGAAAGCTTTGCCCGTTCAACGTCATCTTCCCCTCGCCTCGGCCAAACTCCTCATCACTACACGCACCGCTCCTACCTGAGCTTCGACACATACAACATGACAGTTGTACAAACGCCTTGGTGGAAAGACGGCGTTGTCTACCAGATCTACCCTGCCAGCTTCAAAGACTCCAACGGAGATGGCATTGGTGATCTAAATGGTATCATCTCTGAGCTAGACTATATACGCTCCATTGGCGTGGATATCATCTGGATATGTCCCATGTATGATTCCCCTCAGGTTGACATGGGCTATGATGTCCGCAACTACGAGGATGTATATGCGCCGTACGGCACTGTGCAGGATATGGAGAGATTGATTGCTGAGACACATGAGCGAGGCATGAAAATTATATTAGATCTCGTTGTCAATCACACCTCTGATCAGGTATGCTTGGCTGTTCGCAAAAATTGTTCCCTGCATTCACTGTACCATGATCTTGTTCTGGACTAATGAGTACACCAGCACAAATGGTTCCAAGAATCCCGCTCCTCAAAAGACAACCCCAAGCGCGATTGGTACATTTGGCGGCCGGCCCGCTACGTCGATGGCCAACGCAAGCCCCCCAACAATTGGGTTAGTAATTTCTTGGGCAGCGCCTGGCAATGGGACGAGCACACACAGGAGTATTACCTCCATCTCTTCTGCCCCGAGCAGCCCGATCTCAACTGGGAGAACCCCGAGACCCGGCAAGCCATCTATCAGTCTGCCATGGAATTTTGGCTCCAGCGGGGTGTAGATGGGTTCCGCGTTGATACCGTGAACATGTACAGCAAGGGTGAGATGCTGGACGCACCGGTAACAGATCCAGGATCGGAGTGGCAGATGGCTGGACTGCAGTATTGCAATGGACCAAGGATGGCAGAGTTCTTGGCTGAGATGAATGCCGTTCTGGGGAAATACGATGCCATGACGGTGGGAGAGTGCCCGAATACACCAGATATGAAGAGGGTCCTGCAGTACGTCAGCGCAAAGGAGAACCAGCTCAATATGGTATTCCAGTTTGTAAGTTGCCATCTTCGCTCAACCTACAGCCCTTTGCAGATAAGACACTAACGCGCTAAACAGGACGTAGTAGATGTCGGTCAAGGCCCCTATAAGTTCCAAACTACACCGAAGAACTACACCTTGCCTCAATTCAAACGTGCCATCGCCCGCACCCAAGACCTGGTCCGCCCTCCTTCGGACGGCTGGACCACCGTATTCCTCGAGAACCACGACCAATCGCGCTCCATCACGCGCTTCACTTCCGATGCACCCGAGCATCGTGTCGCTGGCGGCAAGATGCTTGCCCTGATGATGACCACGCTGTCGGGCACTTTGTTCATCTACCAAGGCCAGGAGCTTGGCATGACGAACTTCCCTGAGAGCTGGGACATGAGTGAGTACAAGGATGTCGATTCGTCCAACTACTACAAGATGGTGGCTCAAAGGACGAACAACGACCCCACCGCCCTCGCAGCAGCGCACAAGTCGCTACAGCATCTTGCAAGGGATCATTCAAGAGTACCGATCAGCTGGTCCACCGCCCCACATAACGGCTTTTCACCACCAGATGCAAAAGCCAAGCCATGGATGCGACCGCTCGAAGACGCGGCAGTATGCAACGCGAAGCAGCAGCAATCGGATAAGAAGTCCGTGCTCGCATTTTGGAAACACATGCTCCAGGTGCGAAAGGAGTACAGGGACTTGCTGGTGCACGGCCAGTACGACGATCTCGATGTAGAGAATGCGAACCTGTTCGTTTTCAGCAAGACGTGGAAGGGCAAGAAGGCGGTTGCAATTTGCAACTTCACGGATAAGGCGCAGGCGCTGGAATTCCCTCAGCCGGTTAGGGATGAGAAGAAGGAGTTGCTTGTCAGCAGCTTTGATCAGCCTGCTGAACGGGAGCTTGGAGCATACGAGGGCAGGATTTATCTATTGCTTTAGATTACCTAGGTAGCACTAACGATGTGACGAACACCGAACAGGTTTTAGAGTAGCCGCTAGAATGAAGGTGCTTACGGAAGGACCCTCCTCGGTACATGACAATGATCACCACTGTACCTATGTGGTTTGGCTTTTGTTTGATGTGTAGAGTGATGAATGGAGCTGGAAAACGCCATGCGCACATATGTTGTTCGATTGAGTAAGCAAGGCATAGAAGATGCACCAGCTGCTACACGCGACAGGTTCAAATTTCGAGCAGGTGGCAGATTGCAATTTGATAATGATGTTCAACTGCCGTGGATTCGATTGAAATTTACAAGTGGTCTTTAACTTCCCACGACGTTTATTCGACGACGACGTCATGGCCGTTTCCCCACGGTCGTTCGCCAAGACAGAGCCGCTACGCTGCTGAAACATCAAACAGAATGCTTGTAGCCAACACACGCTGCTTCAACGAGACCATCCACCACCCTCTCCACAAACAAACTCCCACAATGCTCACACGAAGTGCGCTGTGTCCGGCCCGGGCTTTCGCCAACCGCTTCCCGCCCTCGATACTTGCGCCTTGCTCGCCAGCGGCCGCTTCCTTCTCGACATGCATGCGACAACGGACTAAGCTATCGCAACCACAAAACTCGCTCCACAATACCTCCCCGCGCACCTTGACCGCCAGGGTAGTAATACGCAATGCTTCTTCAACGCCACAGCCAGCAGCGCCCGTCTCTGCACCTAGCTCGCAAGCCCAACTCACTTGGAATGACTTCTTCGCACTCCGCCGAACGCGCCGAAGAATTGGACAGGCATGCTCGGGTGTCGGCGCAATTGGAGTGACATACTACGGCCTCTCTACCATGATCACAAATGGCTACGATTCGATGCTCTCTGCCCAGCTGGGCGGTTTCGACCCATTTATGCTCATGGGATTGAGCACATTGGGCATGATGGCTGTGGGATGGCTTATTGGACCTATCTTCGGCAATCGCGTCTTCAATTTGGCATATAGGGGCGTGCTGGGCGAGTTTGCTCAGGTAAGTCATGACTTGGGGCGATATTCATGAACCGGATAAGCGTTTGCATACTGACCATTGCACAGAAGGACTCGGCCTTCTTCAACCGCATCAAGCGCCATCGCGTAGACCCCACCGCCTCCTCCCTCGCAAACCCTCCACCAGACTATTACGGCGAGAAGATTGGCAGCGTAGCCAGCTACCGACGGTGGCTAAAGGATCAACGCGCTTTCAATTTGAAGACGGGTAGATACCGGGGAGCTAAGGCTTTGTAAGAGCATTACACAGCGGCGTGTTCTCAGAGGTTCTAGAGTAGCACAGAAAGTGCATCGGCCATATAAATGGACTGGCCACCAACGAGCAGCAGCTATCACAACATTTTATTTCATCTGTAACTTTAAATTAACTGCGTGGACATCAATCCAGCACGTGGGCGTATTCACCGCCGCATTTCCTACTGTCTATCAAATCACCCAATGGCATCATGTGGCTATTGTATTTGTAACTGTACTTGAAAACAACAACTCCGCCCTGGCCTTATTCTGTTCTACTTTTTTTGGCTAATACCGGAGTTTTAGAAAACTCTCTTACAGATTTGAAGAATAGTGCGATAGCTTCGCAAGTCAGTCTCTAAAACTGACCCATGATCTGCGGGCCACCTCAAATATTCGGGTTCTTCCTCCTATTCGCACCTCCATCCAAGATCAATTCCTGTCCGCTCAAGAACCCAGCACCTATAACATACTCCACCATTTCAGCCACGTCTTCGCCGCGCCCCACCCTGCCAGCTGGATGCTGTTTATGATAGAGCTCCTCAAGGTCTTCCTCCCAGCTCTTAATGCGCAGCTTCACTGCACCATCTTCATGCGGCGCAACCTCTTTATAAGCCCCGTTCTGCCTGTCTCTCGCCTCCTCGTCACGAGCCTTGCACTCGTGGTCGACGCTGACCCACCCTGGCGAGATGGCCATGACGCGAATGCCCCATCGCTGGCACGAGACGGCCATGGCTTGTGTGAGGGCCAAAACTCCCCCCTTGCTAGCGGCGTAACCTTCGCAGTCTGGGTCGGATTGGTGGGCACGGAAGGAGGCGATGTTGATGATGCAGCCCCCCTCGTCCAACTTGTCATCCCCGTGGAGGTTGACGGGTAACTGATTGAACTCCTCGGTGCGCTTCAGGTCCTTGGCGCGGTCGATACCGTAGGTACCATCCTTTTGAGTGTTCTTGCTCTTCATGAACGGAATAACTGCTTGGCTCAAGTAGAATGGGGCGCTCAGGTTGGTCTGGATATAGGCTTCCCATTGCTCTCCCGTGGCAACGTCTTCCATGGTTCCATTGCCTGCATTGAAGAATCCTCTAGCGACTCCAGCGTTGTTGATCAACACATCTATGCGGCCGCCAAAGAATTCCGCGGCTTTGGCAACAGCGGATCGGATCTCTTCTGGGTTGCGCAGATTGGCTATCGTGGAGCCGAGGCGCGGAGCGTAAGCAGAGAATTGCTGGGTCACAGCGTATTCAAGCTCTTCGACGTCATAATCGATGATGAACACACGGTGCGATGCCGGTAGCGAAAGGAAATGCCGGGCTGTGCAACGGCCGAGTCCGCGAGCTCCTCCAGTGATGATGATATTCTTGCTTTTTGTCGAAGGCATTTTGTGAACCCTTGTAGCGTACAGCTGCAAGTCTGCTACGTTTCGATGTTGGGTGAGATATGGTGATGTTAACAGAAGTAAATATCCCCACTCAGCCTTTATATTTCTCGAACGACTCGGATGGTACTGTATGTCGAATAGAGTGTTTGCAGTACAAGGTCCCGGGAGAATTTCATCAAAGTAGCAAGGACTTCCTTTCAGCCTATTAGATTGTTTTGACTTACCCAGATATCAAGGCCTTTTGTCCGTGATATTTATCTGTACAGAGGGGGTACAACAAGATAAATGTTGTTGGGGGCGTCTGAGAGGACTGTGTATGGTGGAAGCTGGGCCGCAGATCCGTTGCTTAACAAGGCAGCTCGCTCCAGGGGAGCTGTTCCAATGATAATATACCGTGAAAGCCATTTCTTGGTTAGTGTTATCTTGCTTTGATGGTGCGTCTAGTACCTAAAATGGGAGGGGCGGGAGCGTTGACGAGGTGTGCCTCCGGAAAGTCGGAGCGGGTTGCGGGCCGTGCCACCACGTGAATCTATTCACCACTTGGCTAAAACGATGTCACTTTCGCTCACTCTTTAGAATGCTTTCTCCTCGCGAGCGTGTCTACAACACTCAACGGTATCGCTACCACGACTCTGCCACACATAATGAGTGGCCCCATAATATCGTCTATTGAGCAAATTGTGAATATCGAAAGGAGGATGATCTCATAGCTCTCAGCACAAGTCATCAAGGAGCCAATACTGGTACTAACTTCAAGGCCTCAAAGACCTCGCCGTCAGGTATCGTAATAGAAATGAGAAGAACATCCTTCGTACGGTTTCCTACCACTGATCATAAATGTCGCTACTTGTTCAAACACATTGTATACAACCGAAAACCAGCCTTGGCTTTGTTCCCCGAGCAGCCGATACCTTTGATGCATGTTTCGAGTAATGAAAAGGGGCGAGTCAATCCTTTTAATCAGGTCGAGACAAAGGAACTTCAACATCACGAAACATTCTTTGCTATTGTGAGATGTATATCTCCTGGCTGAGGCCTGAAAAATTCCCTTTCCTCGTTCTTTCCATACCAGAATCCTCCATTACTTTCTAGAAGTACAACACAACATTAAAAACACGAAAAATGCTATCCATCATCATTGCAGCTTTCTTTGCTGCGCGGGCTGTGAGTAGTACCATGGTCCCCCGGCATGATGGCCAAAACGAAAGCTCGCCTGCCTCCACCAGCACAAGCACGAGCACAAAGTTTGTCTATATCACAAGATACACTCCCATACATCCGAAGCCTACCACCACCCAACGTTCGGGTCTTCGGACGAGAACGATCCTCGTCACAACGACTGTGACTGGCAATGTGACTACCTCCAGCACTTCGAAGCACTCAGCCGGATCGGGTAGCAGCTCAATGCATCAGTCTTCAAACGCAGCTTCCTGGAGTGGCATACGGTTTAGTCCTGGATGGCCTATACCCCTTCCTTCCAGCTCCATTGCTAGCTTAACATCATCCGCACCTCCACGACGTACTGCGTGGGATGACGTTCCTATCCACGGACCTGGGCCACATGTGTCAAGCTCGACTGGTATTCCGAAGTTTACTTTCATATATTCGAGCGCTGTCCCTGTTCCCACCACGAATTCGGTGGTTGTAGTCCAACCTGTTAGACCAAGTCAGCAATCTTCAACCGCGATCGTAGTCCAGCCCATCACACCAAGCCCGCAATCTTCAACCGCGATTGTCGTCGTTCCAATTACCAACATGCCGCTGGGCTTTGGCTCTGTTCTTCCCAGGGCTATGGGCCATTTGCAAGGAGATCTTGAGCGCCAGGAACACAACGCACTTGACGGTGACATCGCAAATCTTGACAGCTTTGTTTCGACAGTTGCAGAGGACTCTATTGTAACGATTCAGACCATCGAGCCTGACAGGTCGCCAAGCTCCGTGCTGGAGGTGAGTCGCACTCGTAGTCCTACTAGCACCCCTACGCCCACTAGTTCCACAAGGACTTCAAATAAGCCCTCGCCGACGTCCAAACCTCCGCAGACTACATCCATCAAGTTCGATCCGTCAGTTTACACCACCATCATCTCCGCAGATTCTCGCTGCCCATACCCGTATCCCGGCATTTACTGCGGCAAGCCAGAAACAACGCTTGTGACGGAAACCAAGAAAGAGAAAACCACCACACAAAAGGATAAACAACCTACGGCTTCGAGTGGGTGCCCGTATCCAGGACAAGAGTGCTGAACTCAATCATAGGCACGATAATGCCCATCATAGTCTCCAATCTTATCCTGATAGCGGCGGTCGTAAGTACATCGGCGATTGCAGTTATTGATTCACTTCAGAGCCGGACGATTACCGACAAGGCTTTTAGGCATAGTTATTCTCTTTTGTCCCTTTAGTAAGTTTCGCCAATGTCAATATTTCGTCGTTCCTATCTAAATCTCCAAATTTCGAAAAAGTGAGAACAATTGTCGCCGTGACTGGAGTCTTCATGACATTGTAAAATCAACACAACGTGCCATAGTAGCCTGTGTTGCCATATCCCTAGTCCACTACGTACCACGCATTCTGGAGCGACACATCAGAGAAGAAGAAAGCCCAAAGACCAAAAAAACGATTGGCGGTACTGGGAACTGTAGACATATTAGTAATGTCTCAGACCACCTTAATATTGGACTAGCACGTACTCGAACCCAGGCTGGCACGGAACTGCAGAGAGAACCACAACGTGACGTCATACCACTAGCTGTTGGTATGTCAGTAAAGTCCAGTGAGTGAGTAAGGCTGACCGAGGGATCAACTTACACCATACCACCGATGCTTCGCTCTGATTGGCTGATTGATGAGTCAATTTGTAAATGCAAACCATCTATACAGTATGGAACTACTTAGGGAGAGTTCTTGATGTAAGTGTAGTATAATATTACAGTTGGTTCGAATGTGCGGAGTTGTTAGTACTGATTTGTGGGGCAAGCGGTAGACTAAGAGTGGAGACAACGAGCATATTTGTTCCTGCCCGTTCCACAGAATTGGAGAGGGGCTGAGATTTAAATGGGCATTATAACAGTCTTACGCTTAAGGTAGTCTGTGATCACAAGGAAGAGTGCGTTGGATCAAGAGTGATAGATTGGTATGTAGTATTGTCCCAAGAGATCAACGCTTAATAACGCCGAGTCTATACCAAATATTACCACTAGGATCTTACCGATCACTATTTCGCGATGCAATGCACGAGGCCTCACTGTTTGCGAGAGCTCCATTAAATAACGTAGATCAGCTGCTGAGCGTCGACGAGCACGCCAAGAAACCCCAATACTTCTTCTTCCCCGTGATGTCGAGTGGTAGTAGCCCTCCTACAGGACTCGTTTGCCCCATATCATTTTCGACAATGCATCCTGCTTGGTAGAACAAGCTGAATGCTTAGCCGCCGGTTTCGCGTGAAGTCTATGCCTTCCTCGTGAGCCTAGCCTTGCTCGTGGCGAGAGCACTAGACAGACTGTACTGGGTCTTGATACCATCGATACGATGAACGGCGTTGAGGTTCTTGACGCAGGTAATCTGGAAGCACGACGCGGTACCCTGTCGGGAAGCGATCGTAGAATAGGCAAGGAAGTACTCCCAGATCTAGAAAGCGTGAGCAACCATTTAGCAGGATAAAAGATGTGTACTTACACGGAACCATCGCTTGCCATACTTAGCGTTAACCTTGTCCTTGTTGGCGAGCCAGTTGCGATACCATCTCCAAAGGGTTGCCGAGTAATGTACGCCGATGGTGTCCGTCATTTTGACTTCGAAACCAGCACCCTCGAGCTTGTCGATGACGAAACCGAGAGGAGTCGAGGCATCAGCACCAGGGAAGATGTACTTGTTCATGAAAAGACCCCAGGTGAAGTCTTCGAACTGCCAATCCTTACGAAGACCAGCGATCTGGAGGAAAAAGACACCATCATCGTCGAGCATATCATAGACCTGGCCAAAGAAGGAACCTAGGTGGCGGACACCAACGTGCTCCGCCATTTCAAGGCAGGTGATCTTGTTGTAGCGACCGGGTGGGCGAGGAATATCGCGGTAGTCCATGCACAAGATCCTTGACTGGTCCTCTTCAATGCCCGACTTCCTGAGGCCGTTGTTGCCCCAAGCTGTCTGATTACGCCCAAGAGTGATACCGGTGACGTGAGCGCCATAGTTGACGGAAGCGAACTTGGAGAGAGTGCCCCATCCGCAGCCAATGTCGAGCATCCTCTCGCCCTTCTGCAAACCAATCTTCTCACACACAATAGCCATCTTGTTATCCTGCAGCTGCTCGAGGCTTTCCTCCTTGTTGATGTCGGAAATGATACCAGATGTATAGATCATACGCGGGCCGAGGAACCAGCCGTAGAAGTCGTCGCCGCGGTCGTAGTGGTCTCGAACTTGCTCTTCGTCTGCCGCAACTTTAGTATGTCTACACATGCTACTGCTTGAATAATATATGCGTACCCTGTGACCTCGAATGGACAATCATCTCAGGGATGAAGCCAAAGAGGAAGTGCTTGATCAGTCCAAGGGTGAATCGCGGCTTGGACCAGTCGTGGCGCCATTCGAGGACCTCCAGCATGTCGCCATTGATTTCCACCTCGCCATCGAAATACTTCTCCTGGAACGTCTCAAGGGGAATAAGCTTCTTGCCATAGTATGCGTCGCGGTCCTCGGCCTTGTTGAACTTTAGATAGTGCTCGATGGGCCTGCCGGGGAGCTTGGCCTTCTCATTCCTGCGAGGTGCGAATTCAGAGGTGAGCCACCAGAAGGGTCCGAGAATGGGAAGACACAGGACAATAGCTAAGAAGACCCAGGTCTTGAAGCCCATACCCCAGCTCCAGGTGATGTACGCTGGGACGCCAACGAGCAGCGAAATAAGGGCAATATTGTTGAACGACTCGCGGCCGGATCCTTCCGCGGGTAGAGGCGCATTTGCAATGGTTGGGTACTGTTTTTCACTATGTATCAGCTTGCTTGCTCTCCATCTCATAGCTCAATGGCTGGTGGGGTGCTCGTGGAATTGTCGAGATGCAACTTACCGAAGTAGTTTTGACGCCACAGTCGAACTCAGGCGTCGCGGCTGAGGGCGCCGGAGGCGTCTCAACCCACTCAAAATTCTCCTCAGAGGTATTGCTGCTCATCTTGCACACCGGGGAATTTTGCAAGACGAAAGGTAAAGGTGTCGAGTTTTGGAGGGCTTGCGGGCGGTGAACCTAAGCGAACACCCAAGCCAGGGGAGGCTTGTACCTGGCTAGCTTGAAACAAGTGATAGACATCGATAACACACCCACGATAAGCCTTTATTTTCCAGCCACGCGTAACGATGGGATGGTGGACGCTGAAATCTGATCAAGTTCTGGAGTACCATGGTGAGCAGCTTACCTTTAGGATACTGTGAAAGTTCTTTCGATCGCCGAAGACCCGATTCTGGCAATCTTGGCAGCATCTAAAATATACAGGCTACCGTATGTTATAACTGGTAGTGGTAGCAGGATTGCACAACACCGTTTGTGCAGACGCACTATGTTTCCAAAGCATCTGCTAGCAGCTTCCGCTTCACCAAGTCCACCGTGTCTTTATTGACGCCGATCTTCTCCAAGTACTCCTCAGTACCGCCGTACTTCTCCTGAAGGTGCGAATGCACGCTCGTCACCACATCTAGCGGACAGACAGCGAACTGCTCAGACAATCCAATCGATCCGATCTCCTTCATTCTCTGCTCCTTCTCGGGTGCGAGTTCCGACTCTGAAAGTACGTAGTCTTTCTCAATGACCTCTTGATCAACCCCAAGCAGGAACAACACAAGCATAACCACCAGCCCTGTTCGGTCTTTGCCTTGGGTGCAGTGGACTAAAACAGGCCAATTCACTTCGTCTGCCAAGACGTCGAAGACTTGCTTCATCTCACGAGTGCAAACGTCCAGAGAGCTCGTAGCTAGTCCTACAAGTCCCATCTCTTCCATATGGGGGGCCAAGATTTTGATGGCGTCTAGACGATACCCGAATACCATCAGGCCTACAAGCCGGAGGAACTCCAACCAAGATAGCTTCGAAAGCAGCATACGGGAGAAGGCAGATCCGTTGAAATTGATCTCGTGATAGGTAACTCCAGGTATCTTCAGAGGCTCGGCTACGTCATCGTTGGTTTGGGGAACTGCTGCTGAGGCCTTGACCTTTGCGTCTCGTTTTTGCGCCTGTTCTATGTGCTCCGTTCTGTTGAAGGTTAGAAAAAGAAGGTGTAGCGATAATGGCAGCCCACTTTGTTCGAAGATCAATGATGCTCTTCACACCATACTCCTTTGTGAGTCTCTGCCGGTCTTGGAAGGATGATTCGTCTTGTTCCAGTCAGTACGATTTCGTTGACGATGTTTGGGGTACACACCAGGACGAGCACCCCGGTACAGTAATCCAGTTCTCAGGCGACTGTATCTATTAGTTTATTTCTGTTATGCATCTCAAATACTGACTTTGACCTAGTAGCCTTGTTGACGAATTCGCTGACATCGCGAAAATTCAGTATGCTCTTCAGTGGTGAGCGCAGATCCGTCATGTTTGCACGTGTTTGGACGTGTGCTACTACAGCCAAGTAGCCAAGTCGGGAATATTGAGACCGACGATGGAAGCAGATGGCTAAAGGAGACGTGGGAATCCATGTTTACGCTGACGTAGTTTCTTGAAAATCACGCTAACTACAACATGGTCAAATTTATTCCGACCCCTGCCCGGAACTTGTTGTGATGTCGCGGTACAGTTGTGCAAAACGAGCAGTTATATAGTTTGATGCACCATACATGCGGTGAGCGTTGTGTAGGTGGTGACATCGAAACTGTCGGCGCTCGACGCAGGAACGGAAATTTTGTCGCACTCGTGAGACAAGGGAAGTAAGGATGTGACGATTTCCTTGGCTTGATCAAAGTCTGTTGGAATGTTAAGCGATCGCATCTTGGCTTATAGGATACGAAATGTTTGTTGTAGTTCGCCGCAGACAGAAGTCACTGGGGTGTGATGCACTCCTACACACGAGATGTTTAGTTTCCTCAGATGTGCACAGGGATATCTTCCCCAACCTGGGCGACTCAAGAAGGCACTGAGTCGACTAACGCTTAACTTTACCACTTTGGTTGCTGCACAATCTAATGGAAGTTGGAACAGGCCATGCGATCTCAGGCCAGCCAGGATCAGAGACCGAAGACACTAAGGTCAGATTGGAAGTCTGACCCCAACTAGACTGCATCCAGCGGCGATCCTAGATGACATCACCGGTCGAGGCGCCTAGAGCTACTCCACATGAACACCATCGTCATTAGCCATATCTGCGGCGACTACCTTCCCGCTGGTGTTTTGTAACCCTTCCAATTTTCAAAGCACCTTCTGAGGCCTGCGCTTTGAAGCCATAGCTTGCTTCGATATGGAGACACCAGCGCCCAAAGCGAGCGGTCCCCACACTGCTGAGAGCGGTCCCTTGAGGAATACTGGAGTTGCGGCTCCACCAAAACCTTCGTCGGCTGGAACGAGTATGCCCTGCCCTGATCCATCAGCGCATCATACGAAGAACAGCGCATTGCAAAACCAGGCGTCGGCTGCTGCGCTGTACAGTAGCAGTCACAGTCACGGCCCCATCAAGGGAAGCGAAGCACGAAGCGTGAACCCGCTTGGACCGGATGGAAAGCTCTCGTCATCGAGTGAGTGCGAAATTGTGATGAATTGTGGTCGCACTTGAAGTACTAAGTAAAGCCTACAGGCGCTGCTACCAGCCTCAAGTACGCAAAGGCCCACGATCTGCCTAGCTTTCCCGTAGTAGGGATTGATACCAAATCCTCGGCTGGAACTGCAGCCCTTCTTGCGGACCAGAACAAGAAAAGTCCAGAGTGGTGGAAACCCGAGCAATCCGCTGCAGCCGGCAAGGCTGCGTTGCTAGCAAACGGTTACAAGATGGCGCCCATGTGGCAGCCTGAGGCCAGCGCCGCAGGCTCCAAAGCAGCTTTGCTCGCTCATAGGGATGGGGGGAAACTGAACCTGTGGGCCCCTGAAGCAAGCGCTGACGGCAATTCTGCGGCGAACATCGCCATGCGCAAGAATTATTTGGGCCCAGAGGTCGACTATGGTTATACTGATCAGGGCCGGAAGAACGCCTTCACTGCAGCGACAGGGGCTCACTCTGCCTCAGGACGCAAGCGCGCTCAGTCGAATCCAGCGCGGGCAGAGCTGTACCCCGACTCCAGGAACTCCGCCAGGAATGCGCTGAGCGCTGCTACACTTGCTCACAGCCCGTCTTTGCGAGCAAAACCACAAGTAACTTCTATAACTGACTCCAATCGACTCGGTTCGGGCGCAATGCAGGCAGCACGCATTCAACACGCTAAGAGCATATCGAGAGACATGTACACTAGCACTCCGCCAGTGGCTCTTGAGATTGATGAAAAGAAGCACAACGATGCCCTTCGAGCTTCTGCAATCTCCATGGCCAAGAAGATATACGATGTGCAAAAGCAAAAGCAAAATATCGATGGAGCAGCTGGCCAGTCAGCCGCCCGTACAGGAGCTACTGCAGCACATGGCCAGAAACCTGCTACTGGCGAAGGCGACATTAAACAACAAGCCATGCGCTACATCGGCATCCAAGAAGCAGCTCAAAAACTCGCCCAAGAAAGATTGGCCAAGATTGGCTACGACGAAAATGCCGCTTACCGCAGTTACTACGGATATGAGCAGCCGACTCGCTCGAAACTCTCCATGCGCCGTGGACGAAATCGCGCTCATAGTGCCTCCGAAACTGCCGCACCCGATGATTCAGACTCTGATGAGGATGACTTTCGATCAAGGCGGATTCGCTCGCAAATGGAGCAACTCAATCAGAAAGTAGTAGATCTCGACGCAAAGAAGCGCAACGACGATCGTAAAAGCCTTCTTGCTGCAGCACAACGTAAAGTGCAAGCACAAATGCAGGCACAGGATAAGAAGATATTTGACGAAACTGGCAAGATGTCACCAGGAATGGTCAATGAGTGGGACGAGAAAGCTCGCCAGCGTGCGCTGGCTAATTCGGAGACTCGCATGGAGAACCATGGCAAGGTTCACATCGGCAATGGCAAATGGATGGACCAGGCCGATATTGATGCAATTGCTCAAGCCAGGATCCAGCCGACGTTGGACGAGATCACGGAGAAGACGGAGAAGCGCCTGGCTGAGGATGAGAGACGAAGGGGAGAAGAAGAAGGGAGAAGACTAGATCTAGAGGAGAAGAAGCGTCGCGAAAGGGTTGAGAAGGAGCGCGCCGCGGAGATTAAAGCTGAGGAGAAGCAAGTGCGGGGTAAGTGTTTCTGTCATCGACCTTGACATCGATAACGCTGACATGCGACAGATGAAGAGAAGAGAATTGCAAAGGCCCGGGCTGTAGAAGACAAGACAGCTGCAAGACAGGAAAAAGAAGTGGAAAGGGTGAAGAGAGCAGAGGAGGAACGCCTGGCCAAGGAAGAGAAGCATAAATCGAAAGAAGTCCCACGAGCAGTCCCGGCCGCCGAAGGAGCTGCGGATCCAACACAGAATAACGACGATTTGTACCAAGATCCAGCATCTGCTACGTATATTCAACATGTAGCCGAGCACGAGTCTTCTGACCCTACGTCGCCAACTTCCCAAGGCTCCTCGAAGGGGCTCAAGTCCCTGCTGAACAAGCTGAAGCGCCGTTCCAGGCCCTCAGATGCCGATGACAAGAGCAAAGAGAAAGAGACGGGCTTTCTTGGGGGTGCTGCTCTTCGCTCTTCCACGTCACAACCCCAGTCGTCTTCGAACACCATTCCAACACCACATCAGGAGACGACCGAAGGACACCGCCCGACCAATCTAGGTGACGTCGAGCCCCCGGTTGTACCCCATCAGGATGAGGACCGCTATTCAGACGTATCTTCCCTATCAAGCGATTATGACGAAGCCACCGCAATCCGAGGACGCTCCGCAGAACGCATTGCCAGCGGAGCGACTGCGACATCTGACGGAGGAGACTTCGAGGAGGCGAAGGATCACTTTGACGAAGATTTGGCACCTCCGCCCGCGTTCAGCTCTGAAGCAGATAAAGCAAGAAAGGGAGGGAGCCCAAACCGCGACTCGAAGTTCCATGAGGTGGGAATCTGAATTTCTTCGCACGAATATTGGTAATGAGGTTGACGGGGATACGAGATGGATGAAACTTTGGATTTGTTACGACTGTTCATCCTCGTGACTTTCTGTTGGCCTGAGTTAGCTACCGTGTATGTACATGTATTCTATAAAGTTTGCTTTCTCACTGCTTGATTGTCATTTGGGTATAGGAGGAGGTGATATATGCGCTTGAGCTGACAAGCAAATGTTTTATATGATTTTCCTCAATGCTGTGACCACTTTCCAAGTGTTCAGAGCACAGTTCGCGGTGGGTGTTTTCTTCTGAGAGAACTCAGTAATAGAGACGTATATACGATCAGTGCAGTAGGCGGATTCTTTCTCCCACATACTACCTGCTACGACTACAGGAGTAGGATGGAAGGCAAACACGCAAAGCAAAACCTGATAACAAATGTATATCGACTACAATGAACGCTATAACACCCAGAAGTTTGAGTCCCCATCTTCTATCTACACGATTTGTGCTACAGGACAGCGCGTAGATAAAAGGAGATTGTCTACAATAGACATCCAGGGTGCTATCGCGCTAACCAGATTCGGCGTCGGCCAAGGCTAAGTCAGCCAGCACGGACGTCGATCGAGCGTATGTGGAATCAACACGCGGAGCTCCTTTCTCGAAAAGCATCACCTAACCAACTACCACCCCCACACGTCTTCCGACATCCTCTCATTTCCTATTCCGCGCCTCCGGAGTTGTGCATCTGGGTCTACTTCCTCCTTTTCTTCCGATACCCTATATTTGTGCGCGTCTCACTCCGGTGAGCTTGAAGCTGGTCTGTCGCGAACATGGCCCAGCGACCGGTTCCATTGCACGTCTCGCAGCCGACGCTGGTATGTCCCACATGGAGCATTTGCGCGCATAGTTACAGAAGCTAACAACTGGTCATGTAGCTCACGAACCTGAACATTCTCGTACGTCGGCCTTTACAGCCAAGCTCCGCACGGAGAAGGCAGCAAGGAGAAGCAAGCTAACAAGAAATCCAGCCGGCATCAATATCATGGCAGAATTGTGTATGTGGCCCTAATCTAGACCATACTTTATGAACACAAATGCTGACAACCGTCTCACAGACGCTCGAGTCAGACAAGTATGTCTGTGTGCGCCAGGTCAACAACGAAGCCAACGCTCCCGCCGAGACGGTCATCATCGATCTCAAGAACACGAACAATGTTATCCGAAGGCCAATTCGGGCGGACAGCGCCATTATGCACTTGACTGAGCCCATCATAGCTCTCAAGGCCCAAGGCCGGACGCTGCAGCTCTTCAACTTGGAGACCAAGGAGCGCCTACAAACATACAGCCATCAAGAGGACATTCAATTCTGGAGATGGATCAGCCAAACCACCCTCGCTCTCGTTAGCACAAAGGCCGTTTACCATTGGGATGTGCTCGACTCCAAAAACGCTGTTGCCCCGCGCAAGATCTTCGACCGCCAGGAGCAGCTCGAGGTACGCTGATTGATTTTAGAAGCTGAAACTTGTACTAATTTTGCGTAGAACAACCAGATCATCAACTACGTAACCAACGATGACGAGAGCTGGTCATGCTTGGTAGGCATCACATCAAACCCAGCAGGCGGCATTCGCGGCAACATGCAGCTGTTCTCCAAGGCCAGGAATGTGAGCCAGCCTCTCGAGGGTCATGCCGCCACCTTCGGTACCATTCGCCTCGATGGCGCGCAGACAGATACAAAGCTCTTCGCCTTCGCAGTCAAGTCATCGTCTGGTGACGCGAAGATCAACATCGTCGAAGTCGACCACAATGCCTCGAACCCGGCGTTCCCAAAGCGCCTCATCCCGATACATTGGCCCGCCGAGGGTACCGGTGACTTCCCGCTCGGCATTCACATTGCGCATAAATACGGCATCTTAATTGTAATCACCAAATTTGGTTTCATCCACCTCCACGACCTTGAGACTGGTACCGCTTTGTTCCTGAATAGGATCTCGGAGGAGACTGTGTTTACCACTGCGCGCGACGACGAAGGCACCGGTGTCGTCGTCATCAACAAGCGAGGACAAGTGCTGCACACGACCATCCGCGAAGACACCCTGATCCCGTACATCATGGAGAACCCAGCGTGTGCGGAGATTGCCTACAAGCTGGCCTCAAAAGGCGGACTTCCGGGCGCCGATCAGCTGTACTCACAACGATTCGAGACACTAATGCAACAGGGCAATTTCGCCGAAGCAGCAAAGGTTGCCGCTAACTCACCTCGAGGCTTCTTGCGCACAATGAACACCATCAACAGATTGCGCCAGGTCCCCAGCCAGCCGGGTCAGATCACTACCCTCCTTCAATACTTCGGCCAGCTGCTTGACAAAGGTGGTCTAAACAAGGAGGAAACACTCGAACTGGCTCGCCCTGTATTTGTCCAAGGTCGCAAGCACCTCATTGAAAAGTGGCAGAAGGAGGGCAAACTTCACTGCTCAGAAGAGCTTGGAGATCTCGCCAAACCCCACGATCTAAACCTTGCCCTGGCTATCTACAAGGAAGCCAATGTGCCGCAGAAGGTGGTTGCGTCCCTCGCCGAGCTAGGTCACTACGATCTCATCCTACAGTACTGCAACGGCGTTGGATATACACCAGACTACAATGTTCTCTTACAGCACGTTGTACGCATTAACGCAGAGAAGGGCGCAGAGTTTGCATCGCAGCTCGCGAAGAACGAGGGCGGGCCTCTTATTAGCATCGACCGCGTTGTCGACATCTTCCAGTCACAGGGCATGATTCAGCAAGCGACCGCATTCCTGCTTGACGTTCTTTCCAACGACCGAGAAGAAGAGGGTCATCTACAAACGAAGCTGCTGGAGATGAACTTGCTCAACGCTCCCCAGGTCGCGGATGCCATTCTTGGTAATGAGATGTTCCACCATTACGACAAAGCTCGCATTGCTCAGCTGTGCGAGAACGCTGGACTCCTCACGCGCGCCCTGGAACACAATGACGACCCCGCCGCTGTTAAGCGTATCATCGTTCAGACCGACAAGTTGCCTGAGGAGTGGCTGATCAACTACTTTGGTCAGCTCACAGTCGAGCTCTCGCTGGAATGCTTGGATGCTATGCTTACGACAAACATTCGGCAAAACCTCCAAGCGGTTATCCGCATCGCTCAGAAGTACTCTGACCTGCTCGGTGCCACCAAAATCATCGACTTGTTGGAACGGCATCGGACGGCCGAAGGCCTATACTTCTTTTTGGGATCCATTGTCAACGTCAGCGAAGACAAGGATGTCCACTTCAAGTACATCGAGGCTGCAACCACAATGCAACAGATGAATGAAGTTGAGCGCATTTGCCGCGAATCGAACTACTACGACCCGGAGAAAGTAAAGAACTTCCTCAAAGAGGCCAATTTGACCGAACAGCTTCCATTGATAATTGTTTGCGACCGCTACAATTTCATCCACGACTTGGTCCTGTACCTCTACAAGAAGCAGCAGTTCAAGTCTATCGAGGTCTACGTACAACGGGTCAACCCTGCCAGGACTCCTGCAGTTATCGGCGGCCTTCTTGATGTTGATTGCGACGAGGGCATTATCAAAGGGCTATTGGCCTCCGTAACACCCTCCTCAATCCCAATCGATGAACTCGTCTCCGAGGTCGAGTCACGCAACCGCTTGAAGCTCCTCCTCCCGTTCCTAGAGCAGACTCTGGCTAGTGGCAACCAACAACAAGCTGTTTACAATGCTTTAGCCAAGATATATATCGATAGTAACAACAACCCGGAGAAATTCCTTAAGGACAACGACCAGTACGATACTTTGACCGTCGGTAAATACTGCGAGAAGCGCGATCCAAACCTGGCGTTCATCGCATACCAGAAGGGCCAGAATGACCTCGAGCTCATTCACATCACCAACGAGAATGCCATGTTCAAGGCTCAGGCTCGTTACCTGCTTGAGCGAGCCGACTCGGAGGTGTGGGACTATGTCCTCAGTCCCAACAATATCCACCGCCGCTCGTTGGTCGATCAAGTTACGTCGTCGGCAGTTCCTTCTTCCACCGACCCTGACAAGGTTTCCGTTGCTGTGAAGGCGTTCATCACAGGGGACATGCCTTCTGAGCTGATTGACCTCCTTGAGAAGATCATCCTAGAGCCGTCGACCTTCTCCGACAATCCCAGCCTTCAGAACTTGCTCCTGCTCACCGCCTGCAAGTCCGATCGCTCCAAGGTCATGGGCTACATCCATCAGCTTGACCAATTCACGCCCGAAGATATTGCTCAGCAGTGCATTGAAGTTGGCATGTACGAGGAGGCCTTCGAAATCTTCAAAAAGCAACCAAACCACGAAGAGGCCGTCAATGTCCTTATTGAGCACATTGTGAGCATCGACCGTGCTCAAGATTATGCTGAGCGCGTGGAACTTCCTGAGGTCTGGAGCAGAGTCGCCAAGGCACAGTTGGATGGTCTCCGTGTCACCGACTCAATCGAGTCTTACATTCGCGCCGGGGACCCATCTAACTTCCTAGAAGTCATTGAGACCGCCACCCATGCAGGAAAGGACGAAGATTTGATCAAGTTCCTGAGGATGGCCCGCAAGACTCTCCGCGAGGTTCCTGTAGACACTGCATTGGCCTTCTGCTTTGCGCGTACCAACCAGCTACCCGAGCTTGAGGACTTCCTACGCGCCACCAATGTCGCCGATGTCGAAGCCTCCGGTGACAAGGCTTACGAAGAAGGTTACCACGAGTCGGCTAAGATCTTTTACTCGAGCATCTCGAACTGGGCTAAGCTTGCTACCACGCTGGTACATCTCGAGGACTACCAAGCTGCAGTCGAATGCGCGCGCAAGGCAAATTCCGTCAAAGTTTGGAGACAGGTCAACGAAGCCTGCGTTGCAAAGAAAGAGTTCCGCCTTGCACAGATATGTGGTCTCAATCTTATTGTCCATGCTGAAGAGCTTGCGGATCTTGTCAAACAGTACGAGCGCAATGGCTACTTCGATGAGCTCATCAGCCTACTTGAGGCTGGTCTTGGTCTAGAGCGTGCTCATATGGGCATGTTCACCGAGTTGGGCAATGCTCTCGCCAAGTACCACCCTGAGCGCGTCATGGAACATCTCCGCCTATTTTGGAGCAGAATCAACATCCCAAAAATGATCCGCTCTTGCGAGGAAGCTCATCTTTGGCCGGAACTCATTTTCCTGTACGTCCATTACGACGAGTGGGACAACGCTGCCCTGGCCATGATGGAGCGTGCATCGGATGCTTGGGAACACCAAGCGTTCAAGGACACCATTACCAAGGCCACCAACGTCGAGATCTACTACCGTGCTTTGGGTTTCTACCTGGAGGAGCAGCCGACGCTTCTTACCGACTTGCTGCAAGCGCTCACTGCCAGGATTGATGTCAATCGTGTCGTTCGTATGTTCGTCAAGTCGGACAACATTCCTCTGATCAAACCCTTCCTTCTTAACGTGCAGTCGCAGAACAAGCGTGAGGTCAACAACGCTCTCAACGACCTTTTGATTGAAGAGGAGGACTACAAGACATTGCGCGACTCGGTCAACAACTACGACAACTACGACCCTGTTGACCTTGCCCAACGTCTCGAGAAGCACGACCTTGTTTTCTTCCGCCAGATCGCGGCCGACATCTACCGTAAGAACAAGCGGTGGGAGAAGTCTATCGCGCTCTCGAAGCAAGACAAGCTGTTCAAGGACGCTATCGAGACTTCGGCCTTGTCGAGCAAGTCAGAAATCGTCGAGGAGCTGCTCCGTTACGTAAGTCGAGCGCATTATATGCACGGCCTCAAGCTAATTACCCGTGCAGTTTGTGGACATTGGCAGCCGCGAGTGCTACGTCGGCATGCTTTATGCTTGCTACGATCTCATCCGCCCAGATGTCATCCTAGAGATGTCGTGGCGTAACGGTCTTCATGATTTCACCATGGTATGTATTGCCCTGATGGAGTGTTCGAAAATAATTGGCTTACCTTTGTTTAGCCGTACATGATCAATCTTCTCTCTCAACAGACGGCAGCGATTGAAGTGCTAAAACGCGATAATGAAGAGCGCAAGGCTCGCGAAACGTCGCAACAGAAGCAGGAGGATAACACGCCTATTCTGGGTTCGCGCCTGATGCTCACGCAGGGTCCGATCGCCTCGGCGCCGTCTCCGGGCCCTTACGGACAGGCCAACGGGATTGCTCCTCAGCCGACGGGCAGCTTCCGAGCCTTTTGAGCAGTCGAGCATAAGCATATCGACATGATGCAAGACGATGAGTTTTTAGTGAGTTGAGGAAGTTTATGGGGGTTCACTTCGATCTACATATTGATCATTTGGTGGGCATACATTGGTGGGTTAGTAGGCAGCGGTGTACTCTACTGGCGTTGATGGTGGCTCTTTTAGTCTGCCTGTTTTATGTGTAGAACATATGCAGACGCTTGTATTCTAGTTGATCATTGCATGTGCTATTTGATTTGCGCGGTGTTTTCTCGGTCCCGCAGTGATGGTGTGTGCCAGGATGGGAAGTGGGCACGTGCATAGTACTGATGCATCAGGTCCGCCAAGTCGTCTCCATGTGAGAGCATGTTTCCAAAGGTAGCCATTGCGTGTGTTGAGGTTTCGGTGGTGGAGATGTAGACATTGTTTCAAGATCCGTCCATCCGTTGTTCCTCGCGGCTATGCAAGCAAGGACGCGACGGAAAGGAGGAGACGACGCCCGGGAAAAGCATGCTAGATCGAGACGAGATCCATGGTCATGTCATGTCGCGAGAGCTCGGCTGAGGAACAACTACCCCGAGACAAAGCGCACAGTGAGGCGTCAATTTTTCCGTAATGCCGAGCTTATCCTAGAGACACCAGTCTGGGACTGAGGAGGGCTGGCAGAGGGTTGGGTTGGGGGACCACGTTGGACGGCGGCGGTGAGGTAGTAAAATTAGTGTGTAGAAAAATATTTATGAGAGTCACTGGACAAGACGACAGTTTGATCAGCCATCACATGCCTAGTTGTCCGCGTGGGGATAGACGACGGCGGCGGCGTTATACCTGAGTTTCATAACCAGGTTGGCAATTGAATTGAATCATAGCTCGCACGGGGAGGGGCATGGGGTCATGCCCCTCCATCCATGGGTGGGTGCGAGCTCTCTCGATAGCTCCCCGCGCGGACGAGCCAGGATGCGACCCACAGCCCACAGCGAGTGCTTTTGCTTTTGCTTTTGCATGCAGCAGAGTGGCCGACGGGGCGCACATCTATCTATCTCTGTCTGGCTTGGCTGTGTGGAATTGGACCCCTCGCTGTTTTGGGATTAATCTCCATCTGCTGCTCCCAGTGACTCGTAGTGGCCCTCCCTCACTAGCAGACCTCCGATAGCGCCAACGTCTGGTTGATATAATCCGCATTCCCCTCCACCTCCATCTCCCACCTCGAATCCTGTATCCTTCTCTCTCCCTCTTCCTCCATCTCCTACAAACTGCCGTCATCCAGCATGGCGTCGCTTGCAGTGGACAAAAACACCGAAACCGCCATTGACGACAACGAGTTTGATGACAACCATGGCGTGCATGGCGAGCACCATCCCCACAGGAACTCGGTGCACCACAAGCTGCGCGCGAGCAGCTCCATTATGCAGCTGAAGAAGCTCTTGGGTACGTTGCCTGCCCTCAATGGCTCGTGGCAAGCTTTGTTGGCCTGCTAACACCCAAGTGACCAGTCGCCAACCGAGGAGAAATCCCCATCCGCATCTTCCGCACTGCCCACGAGCTGTCGCTGCACACGGTCGCCGTCTACAGCCATGAGGACCGCCTCAGCATGCACAGGCAAAAGGCCGACGAGGCCTACGAGATTGGCGCGCGCGGCCAGTACACGCCCGTGGGCGCCTACCTGGCTGGCGACGAGATCATCAAGATTGCCGTCGAGCACAATGTGAACATGATTCACCCGGGCTATGGCTTCTTGTCCGAGAACGCAGAGTTTGCGCGCAATGTCGAGAAGGCTGGCCTGATTGTGAGTGGTTCCCTCTGCCCGCTGCGTTGACCCCATGCATGTCATGGAGGGGTCGCGTTTATCTTATCCAACACAACCCATGCATGCAATTGAAGCTGACCCTGGTCACTAGTTCGTCGGTCCGTCGCCCGATACCATTGACGCGCTCGGTGACAAGGTCTCTGCACGAACGCTGGCCATCAAGTGCAACGTCCCCGTCGTGCCCGGCACCCCGGGTCCCGTCGAGAAGTTCGAGGACGTCAAGGCCTTCACCGACGAGTTTGGCTTCCCCATCATCATCAAGGCGGCTTTTGGTGGTGGTGGCCGTGGCATGCGTGTGGTGCGCGAGCAGTCGACACTCAAGGACTCGTTCGAGCGCGCAACCTCAGAGGCCAAATCCGCTTTTGGAAACGGCACCGTCTTCGTTGAGCGCTTCCTCGACAAACCCAAGCACATCGAAGTCCAACTTCTGGGTGACAACCTCGGCAATGTCGTCCATTTGTACGAGCGTGACTGCAGTGTGCAGCGCCGTCACCAGAAGGTCGTCGAGATTGCCCCGGCAAAGGATCTTCCCGTGGCCACACGCGATGCTATCTTAGCTGATGCAGTCAGGCTGGCACAGTCCGTGAAGTACCGTAACGCTGGCACAGCAGAGTTCTTGGTCGATCAACAGAACAGATATTACTTCATAGAGCAAGTATCCAAATGCACAATCCTTTCAAGAATGTATGCTAACATCATCTCCAGAATCAATCCTCGAATGTAAGTTCTCCCACCTACCTCGCCTTCTGCTTTCACCTGATGATGCTTCGGGCGAGAGAAGCGCTACCAGTGGGCAGGCTTTGGAGGCATATATTACGACCACTATTTCTCCAAACCCACCACACCACCTCCCTCTTTATTAACAATTTTACAGCCAGGTCGAACATACCATTACTGAGGAAGTCACCGGTATCGACATCGTTGCCGCTCAGATTCAGATTGCCGCGGGTGCTTCCCTTGAGCAGCTTGGCCTGACCCAGGACCACATCTCCACCCGTGGATTTGCTTTCCAGTGCCGCATCACCACAGAAGACCCTAGCCAGAACTTTGCACCAGACACTGGCAAGATTGAGGTCTACCGTTCCGCTGGTGGCAATGGTGTCCGTCTCGACGGTGGAAATGGCTTTGCAGGTGCCATCATTACTCGTAAGTGCACTTCCTACAATAGTGCTGCGAATCACTTTTGGGACTGTTCAACTGTTTTTCGTGGATCTTTTAAAATACCCTGTCGGACTGCACGGCTACCTAACATCTAGTACTAACGTTCTGGCCCCTTGGACTTCTTACTCTCAATTTCTTAGCCTCTCAGCACTCACTCGACTATCGGACATCAGCTAACACGCAACTCAAGCTCATTACGACAGCATGCTTGTCAAGTGCTCGTGCCGTGGCTCAACCTACGAGATCGTCCGCCGAAAGATGCTTCGTGCGCTTGTCGAGTTCCGTATCCGCGGGGTCAAGACCAACATCCCCTTCTTGATCAAGCTCCTTACACATCCTACCTTTGTCGACGGCAAGTGTTGGACAACCTTCATTGACGACACCCCCGCTCTCTTCGACCTCATCGGCTCCCAGAACCGAGCCCAGAAGCTACTTGCCTACCTCGGTGATCTTGCCGTCAACGGCAGCCAGATCAAGGGTCAAATTGGCGAGCCCAAGTTCAAGGGCATAATTCCCATCCCTGCCATCTACGATAGCAAGGGTAACAAGGTCGACACCTCTGTGCCCTGCACCAAGGGCTGGCGGAACGTTATCCTCAAGGAGGGCCCTGAAGGCTTTGCAAAGGCTGTTCGTGCCAACAAGGGCTGCTTGATCATGGATACTACGTGGCGTGACGCCCACCAGTCTCTCCTCGCTACTCGTGTGCGAACCGTCGACTTGCTCAACATTGCCAAGGAGACCAGCCACGCTTTCTCGAACGCTTGGGCACTCGAGTGTTGGGGTGGAGCCACTTTCGATGTTTCCATGCGTTTCCTCTACGAGGATCCTTGGCAGCGTCTCAGGCAGATGAGAAAGCTCGTTCCCAACATTCCCTTCCAGATGCTTCTTCGTGGAGCCAACGGTGTCGCCTACTCATCTCTTCCGGACAACGCCATTTTCCACTTCTGCGAACAGGCTAAGAAGCACGGAGTCGACATTTTCCGCGTCTTTGATGCGCTGAATGACGTCGAGCAGCTTGAGGTCGGTATCAAGGCTGTCCTCAAGGCTGGGGGTATTGTTGAGGGAACAGTATGCTATTCTGGGGATATGTTGAACCCGAAAAAGAAGTACAACCTCGAGTACTACCTTGATGTTGTCGACAAGATCGTCAAGATGAACATTCATATACTCGGCCTTAAAGATATGGCTGGTGTTCTCAAGCCCCGTGCTGCCCGCCTTCTCGTTGGTGCTATCCGCGAGAAGTACCCAGATCTTCCCATTCATGTCCACACTCACGACTCTGCGGGAACTGGTGTTGCTTCCATGGTAGCCTGTGCTGAGGCTGGTGCCGACGCTGTCGACGCGGCTATCGACAGCATGTCTGGCATGACGTCGCAGCCCAGCATTGGTGCCATTATTGCCTCTCTTGAGGGCACTGAGCATGAGTCTGGTCTGGACGCTCACATGATCCGCAACCTCGACGCTTACTGGGCTCAACTGCGTCTGCTCTACTCGCCCTTTGAAGCTGGCCTCACTGGTCCTGACCCCGAAGTATATGAGCACGAAATTCCCGGAGGTCAGCTTACCAACCTTATTTTCCAAGCCTCTCAGCAGGGTCTCGGTGAGCAGTGGGCTCAAACGAAGAAGGCTTATGAGGAGGCCAACGATCTGCTGGGCGACATCGTCAAGGTCACGCCAACGTCCAAGGTTGTGGGTGACCTGGCCCAGTTCATGGTTTCCAACAAACTCAACCATGATGACGTGCTCGCCAAGGCAGAGCAGCTTGACTTTCCGTCGTCGGTCTTGGAGTTTTTTGAAGGGTTGATGGGAATGCCTTATGGGGGGTTCCCGGAGCCTCTCCGCTCGCAAGCGCTCCGTGGCCGTAGGAAGATGGACAAGCGCCCCGGCCTATACCTCGAGCCGGTCGACATCGCAAAGGTCAAGGCCGATCTCAAGTCGAAGTGGGGCGATGCTACCGAGTGCGATGTAGCGTCAGCTATCATGTACCCCAAGGTCTTCGACGAGTACAAGAAGTGGACTACCAAGTATGGCGATCTCTCCGTTCTGCCGACGCGCTACTTCTTGTCGCGCCCTGAGATTGGTGAGGAGTTCCACGTCGAGCTCGAGAAGGGCAAGGTGCTCATCCTCAAGCTTCTCGCCATCGGACCGCTCTCGGAGCAGACTGGTCTCCGTGAGGTCTTCTATGAGATGAACGGTGAAACACGTACCGTTACCGTCGAGGATCAGCACGCGGCTATTGAGAACGTATCTCGGCCAAAGGCCGATCCTACCGATAGCAGCCAGGTTGGCTCACCCATGTCGGGCGTCCTCGTTGAGGTCCGTGTACACGATGGCAGTGACGTCAAGAAGGGTGACCCGGTTGCTATTCTCAGCGCCATGAAGATGGTAAGTTGTCTAGGAATTCATAGTGCATATCGTTCAAACGCTAACAAACACAATAGGAGATGGTTATTTCGGCTCCTCATTCTGGCAAGGTCAGCAACCTGTCGGTTCGCGAGGGCGATTCAGTGGACTCTGGAGACCTTGTCTGCAAGCTTGTCAAGTGAACATGATGCAACAAATGCATTATGTTATCAGGAGTATCAGTCTCGCTTATACGCACACTGCGGCGGCGGGTTACGACCGACATGAAATTCTATGCCTTGATAAATTTGGGTATTGTGATTTCTTGACCCCGGGCGGATTAAGTATGAGCAATAAGTACCGAATCACGGCGTTGGTATGCCGATTTCTCATTTCATAGATGATCGGTTCATAAATGTAAAATGTAAAATGGCTGGATAGATCAAGTGACGCGGAGATGGTTGCATGTATGTGTAGGGCTTTCATTAGAAGACGCAGACAGCACTATTCGTAGAAGAAATCACTAGAAATTGGAATAAGTATAGTATTGACTTTATTGTTACATCCCTAAGACTAGATCTGTAGATCTATCGAATTGAGTTTGCTCAGTTAGTGATGCCTCTCGGGCACTAATATACCGAAGCACGTCAAACGTCTAGAACGAGCCCAGACTCCCAAGAAAATGCAGGATCGAACGTTCCTCCAGGTTTATCCGCAGCCCTACCCGTCATATGCAGGCGCTTCCTTGAACCGAGCTCCCTAACGCCAGAACTCCATGTCGAGAAACCATGTTACTCCACCAGCCCGACCCGAGGTTCGGGAGATATCGGGCTGCCGTCCGCAAAACGCGTGTGCTCGTTTACATGGAGCCAAAGTCCAATTTGCGGGCGACCTTGTCCGCCCGCCCAGTGGCAGCTTGGGGCGTCTCTCCGCCTTTCCGTTTGAGGTCTTCGCCTACTTTCAGTTCCCCGCCTCCTTCTTTTGGCAGGTTTTGCTTCTTGGTGGGTCGGGGTAGGTTGGTCCAATACTTGTGCTCGAGGGCTTGGCGTGCTGTGAAGCGCTTTTGCGGATCCATGGTCAGCATGCCTCTCATCAGGTCGAGGCCGTCCTCGCCTAGCAGGGGAAACTTGGCTCTCCACCAGCTCATTGGTTTTGCCATTTTGGCAGCGCTCCTGCCTTTGCCTTTGAGCTCGGCGCCAAAATGCTCGCCGGGTGAGACGTAGAAAGGGAGCAACGAAACGCCAGGCCACGACTCTTCGGTAGGTGTACCGAACGTGTCACAGATGAGAGCGAGTTCCTCCATATCGGTGTTTGCAGGGAGGAAAAACTGGCGCTGCGTCAACTCGGCGATCACGCAGCCAATACTCCACATGTCTGCCGTTCCGCCGTAGTAACTGCATCCGTAGAACAGCTCTGGGGGCCGGTAGTACCGCGTTATGACCAGCGTGGTCATCTTCTTGCCTGGATCCGCGAAGCTCCTCGCCAGACCGAAATCAGCGAGCTTCAGCGTTCCGTCCGCTGCAATGAGGACGTTGCTCCCCTTGATATCGCGATGTAAGACGTAGTTTTCGTGGCAGAACCAGATTCCTTGACACATCATGTTCGCCCATGCCTTGATATCTGCGCCGCCGTAGGTAATGCTTTTATTTCTCCAGAGGCCATCGAGGTCGCCTAGCGGTAAGTGCTCGAGCACGAGAGACAGATTCTGCTCTTTGGTCGAGAAGACGGCGTGGAGTTTGATGATGTTGGGGTGGGACAGTTCAGAGAGGAACTTGATTTCGCGGATAGCGTCTGGGGCGATTCCGTCCTTGAACTCTGCGTTGAACTTGATCTTTTTGATAGCGACAAGCTTGGATGGGTCGTGGCGGTAGTGGCCAGCCGTTACTATGGCGTAGGTACCTTCTCCAAGCTTGGCTCCCGAGACGAACTGTTGCCGCACCTCATCATTCATCTGCTCTGCCAGATCCAGCCCTCCATGTCCAGGTGTGCTAGCCGGCATTGGCGCTGGCGATCCCACAACCTTGTGGTTGTTATTCAAGAGAGCGAGCCCTCTTGCCTTGTTCGCGGTTGGCCCAGGTCGCGCGCCTGGCGGGTTGGGCCGAGGGCTCAGGACGACGGAGGTCGATGCCATGGTGGGTAGTCGATGGGACCAAATCCAAAACCATTTCCAAGCCCCAGTCCTTCTCTTCTTGTCCCCGAGAGTGTGGTGAAGGTGCGAATGGCCATGGTGAATCTCTGTCCCTCTCAGGTACCAATGCGGCCATCAAAGCACGTCCCCGATCTGGCCTTGGCCGCGATTTTCTGCGGGGAGCTCCACCTCACCACCGAGCCATGTGCATTTTACCTGTCTATTCACACAACTACAGTCATGGCTACTTCTGCACGAGGACCGCCGGGCACCGTCGCGGTATCAAAGGATGGCATCCCAAACCGGACGTAAGTCACGTCCAAGTCCCTTTAACATTATACGCAGAGGAGCTAACAGCATGCAGACTATACGTCCGTAACCTCCCCGACAAGCTACCCAAGGAGGACCTGAAGCGCAACATATACATGCTGTTTGCCACCTATGGCGTAATCCTCGATGTCGTGGCCCTCAAGACAATGAAGATGCGCGGCCAGGCGCACGTCGTGTTCCGCGATATCGATTCTTCGACGCAAGCTATGCGTGCGTTGCAAAACTTTACCTTCTTCGGAAAGGACATGGTGCGTGTCTCGCCATTGCTACGCCCATGACTAGACTAGGACTAATTGTGTGCTCAGCAAATCGCCTATGCAAAGACCAAGTCCGATACCATTGCCAAGCTCGATGGCACGTTTAAACTGCCTGAGCCCGAGCGCGAAGACGAACCAGAGCAGACAACCACACAGGCAGTAGGATTTGGCGCCGCGCCCGCAAAAGCAGTCCCAGTCGGACAAAAGAGGGGGCGCGACGAAGAAGAGGAGGAAGAGGAGGACGAGGACGCGGAGATGGAAATGGACGTCAGTGACGAGGATTCAGATTGAGATTGAGATATCCACAAGGGAAGAAAACGATATGATACCCACGAACACCATGAATCAAGCATGCAGGGCACGACCCACCGGACAGCAGCTAGTAGACGGGCATATACACATATTTGTATGGCGCATGCGCTTAGAATGATTGAATCCGGCACTAACGGGTTGCAGACTTTATCTGTTATGCGATTAAGTCGCTGCGGGAGTAGATCAGATCGTGCAACCTGCGCTTTGCATGCAGCAAGACTATTAAATTCAATGATCAAACACGATTTCTCGACCAATTACTGCATATTTCGTCTATATACTAGGTTTCCACTTGAACCCAATAAACAAATAAGAAATAGGGCACCAAAGCACCTAAGTCTATGGAGGTGTACTTTAGGAGTATGCACGACTCAACCACACCTGTACACGTGAATCAAACAAAAATTGCATTAATCCGCCTGCGCAGCTAACCAGTCATAGGTACATCCTCTCTATCAGTATCCCCCGGCTCCCTAAATGCCCTGCGCGCTACAGCAATCCGTTCTTTGGTGATATTCAACGTCTCCTCCACCCTTTTTCTAAAGCCTGGATTCCGTTCGCTATCAGAGAGCCTATTTTCTTCTTTGAGTGTATCAAGGTCCGCTTCAATCAGCGTGACTTGCTGCATTATAGCTTCGCTTGCTTTCCTTTCGACGTCGTCTACGATTTTGATGAATTCAGACTTGATTCGCTGTCGATGGTAGATGAAAAGAGTTGGAGACGAAAAGCCCTCCGTGATAATGTTCTTGCGGATGCGGTCGCTACCTCCTCCTATGGAAGCGTCAGTGATGCCATAATATTTCCTCTAGATTGTAGGTTACTAGGGTTCATCTTACCGTATTGCATATTCGCATTGTGATACGAGTCGTCTATGAGCTGTCCTATTATAGAGGTTCGCACACTAGAAAGCGCGTTGATTCGCAGGGTAGACAGCTCCATGTAGACGTCCTCGAGCGCATTTTCTATTGCGTAGTCTAGTAGCCCTTGACGGTGGCGTAGAGTGCCGGTAAGAGTTTCTAACGTCGTGCGCGTGGAATCATCCATGTTGCCTACATCAGTTAGCTCAGTTGATATATGATAAATGTGGGGTCGTTAGCTAACATACCCGACGGTGTAGTACTATTAATCATGTCCGCGAAGCTTTGAACAATAAATTCCTGAATACCAATGAGATGGGATTGTGTTTCATCCCTGAGAATCATCCAGATAGCTTGGACATCACTCTTCATCTCGGCAACTGCTTCCTCATTCCAGCATCGATATCCTTTTGCAGCTGTGCTATGGGTACCATAGTTGCGGCAGAAGGCTGAGTACGATGAATGGTGCCACTATAGGTCATCATCAGCCCGAATAATAGAATTACCGTTCCGATTAGCCTACCGTTTTCCATTCCATACTTGCTCTTTCGGCAGCCTTACTCCACTGCTCCGAGAATTGAGCTATAGAGAATTAGTCAAAGCAGATCCGTTGTCGCTTGTAGCAGAACTTACTAAAAAGCATATATATTTGTGTGTTGAATATACTGGTTAGGCCACGAGACACTTCATGAACTCGGGAAACTGGACTTGTTAACTATAAACAACATCAGTGAGAACATGGAGCTGCTGACTGACTTCAAGACGTACCTTCTTCAGCTGGCGTCGCAGATTGTCTCCCATGTCAAGGACTTGCTGTCTGCGCTCGACAGTTGCCGTAGCTGCTCCAGCTTGAACCCACAGTTCTACCGAGCCCAAGAAAGCTGGAACTTCGTCTTTGACATACTGTGCAGTTGCACGGTGATGGCTCTCAGCTATGATGCCTATACAGAATTGACGTAGCGCTAGAATGCCGCTTAGCCTCAAATAAGGTAGTGCCTCGCCAGCGGGTAGCTTGCGATTCTTCCAGTAAAGTTTGTTGCCAATGCAGAAGGTTCTCAAGTTTGAACCCTCAAGGTAGTTCTGGTGCGTATCTTCAATTTTCCGCATAATCTCTTCGTTTCGGACTTGGATGATGTGCTGCTTCAGTCTAATCACTTTAGCATTCGAAGATATCGTGGAGGCGGAATACTCACTCAAGTTTGTGCTTAGATATGTCTCGTCTACACCATTGTTAGCAGGCTATAACCAAGTAGTTGAGCTGTAGGCTTGGGCCTTCGTTGAAGTCTCCTGTGCAAATCAATCCAGGCTTCCTTGATCCAACGCAGAAATAAAAGGCAAAGCCTTGTGGGCAAAGGGGAGATGCTTACTTAGCAGCCCTTAATTCTCGATTGAGCTTGACAAGTTTCTGGTCGAGTTCCCGGGCTTCCTCTTCTGAAAGATCCATCGCCTCATCTTCGCACTCCTTAATTTCCGCCTCAAGCAATTTGGATTGTGTCTTTGCATCGTCAACTTTCCTTGCGAACTCATCTATGCGGGTCTTCTCCGCTGGCCAGTCGGTCTTGGCCTCATTTACTTTTATGACCTAATCCAGTCAATAGTCTGTTGAGGTTACGATGAATGGACAGGTTACATACATCAGACCTGGTGCAAATGACGCCTACATTGGAGAGCGAAGCGCGGCGAGCTAACTCAAAGACCTCTCTAACACCAAGGTGGCTAGCAGCGCGGTCGATACCAGTAACAGCAAAGACTTGATGGCATTGTCTGACATAGCGTTCAGTGACATGCTGACGTGCAGCGTTGAGATCACGAAGACCTTTAGTAAATTAGTGACACATTATCAATGGAAGGCGACTGTTCATGAGCAAATATTGATACTGTGAGCCAGGTCTTGCGGGATCCTCAGTTTATAAAGTGGACCGATTGGCCACCGTGTACGTTCGTGCCTTCATAGAAATATGCAAATGCCTTGTGACACAGCGAAGCTTCTCGGATTGGTTCCCCGCGGGGTATGTGAATACCAAAGATACAAGGGGTAGGAAGGATATCTGAGTGTTTGGGTTTGAGAAAATTCACTGACCTGGAAGATCTACGATGATAAGACCTTTACTCAAGATGTAAGCTCTTATATAGACCCTGGCTTCAATGTTAGCTCTGCCAAAACATGGGCTGTATATAGTGGCACTAACCTTACTTTGCGAACGAAAGTCCACGGGCATCCCTGACTTGCCCCATTGTTTTCAGAAGTCAAACTTTGCAGCCGTGCAGAGCATCCTCTTACGTCATCGAATGATTCTGGCAAATGCGCACTGCCATCTTGGTTTGAAGTAGTTAGAGCCTGAGATGCCCATTTCACCATCATGTTGATAGCTTGCTGGAATGGGAAGTCGAGTAGCAAACCAGGGTTTTCATTCAGCCTTTGACCAAAGCTGGCCCTAAAAGTAGTACCAGCGAGATGTGCTCGTCGTTCGAGGTCTTTATCATGCCCGACTGATTTATCATCGGGTGGTGAGTCGTAGTCTCGATAAGCTCGTAGTAACTCTTGGAATTGACGCTGCAGCTCATCGATTGTAAAGTGATCTATATGAATAAGGAAGGTGTTCTGATCGTGGTAGTGATATTCTGTAACCACGCATGTGCATGCGGAGCCACTACTGCTCTATTGTCGATTAACAACCTCCACTACGTGCGTTCTTTGAAAACTTACTGTTCTAGCAAAGTCCTCTCTATCCAACAATGAGTTGATCAAACTACTCTTGCCAACTCCAGCATCCCCTACAAAACCAATGATACGCGAATCGGGAGGTTGAAAGGTACTCATAGTTACGGCTTTCTGATGCAGCTTATGGATGGTCGAACCTTGGTCGTGATGGAGATCGGCGCTTGCGAGAGCAAGAGCCATCCGTGTCATGTCGTCTTTGGCGTTATTACAGGCTTGTTGCACGGCCTGTTGCTGAAAGTGAGTCGGTGGTGGCTCCTCATCTTCTACTCGATAAGGGATTCGGTTAGCCACTGAGCTAGACCGTCGCGTGCGTGAGGGCGAGGGCGAGGGCGAGGGCGAAGGTGCCGGGCTAATGTGTTCGGCAGCGTCAGATGATGTAACATCTAAATGAGTCCTTAAACCGGGTCGCTGCGGATGCGAAGGCCCATTTTCGCTAGGGCTCATTCGTAATGCCGCGACGCCGTTGGCTAAACTATCGACTCTACTACGATTACTTGGGCTCAGGATCGGTGGTGTCGGAGTGACAGATATAGACGGAGTCGAGGCGGATCTCTCTGTGCCCTGGTAGTCTTGTACACTCGGGCTCGAATTATGTGGAGTTGTAAATCTTGGAGAAGCCCTAACAGAAGAATCGAGAGGTGTCATTGTTACGAGGCTCGGGGCTTCAGAAATTGCGTTGGCCGATCGAGAAGTTGAAGACTGGAGACGAAGTCCTTCAAGGTGTCCATTAAGCCTCTCCTGCTCTGAGAGCTGGCGCGAGTGTGACTCGCTTGTTGACTCCGAACGTGTGCGACCCGCCGTGCCAGTGTTACTAGCTTTACTTGCAGGTAAATCAGCGGCCTCTTCAACGGAACGTATGGGAATATCCGGATCATGATCAAGAGGACCATGTAGTGAATGCTGGCCAAAGGATGGCGAGCTTGAGATCGCCCTTGGTATTATTGACGAGACATGAGAAGGCGGCTTATCCGCAACTCCACTACTACGAGACCGTATACGATCAAAAATCGTGTCTCCAGTAGAGGAAAGAGCTAATTGCGGGGTACTGGAAACTCTCTTTTCTGGTAGATGAGCTGGTCCATTGCCACGCCCGAATGTGTAAATTGTCGTTGATGTGCTTGGTGCGTGAAAAGAAAACGGTGTGCGCAACGAAGAAGCAGAAGAAGATACCGGGAGACTCTGCTCAGATACAGCTGGCACTTCTGAGCCTGGAGTCTGATCCACGTGCTGTATGTTATTTAATAATGTTTGTTATGGCATTTCAAGGACTAATCTTACTACTGTGACCATGACTGGAGTTCGAATTAAGCACTTAGGAAGAAAAGCAGTAGGGAAAGAACGGACGAACTCTTGACTGGCTTAAAGTTGTGGTCCGTAGTATTTGAAGCGGGGAGCAAGAGCTGCGAGGCGGTCGCCTCGGTATTTTTCACACTGCATGAGTGTGGCACAGCTGAGGATCGACCTATCAAGCTCTTTCTCTATAAATGCCGTGCCCACTTGAAGGGACTAAGGCACCCGTGAAACAAATGTCATGACAGGTCTCGTTTTGGGAGCTCAGGCGTCTAAAATGAGTGTGCATTGACAGGGTTCCTGGGCGTCGACTGGCTCCTAGTATTTGAAGGGCAAATCAGAGCTTTGCGATCAAACGTTTAGGCCCTTTGGTTGGAGCGAACACTACGTGGATGCGAGTCGACGTCCAAACACACTGTACAGGAGGGCTACGTGATCATTTTAGAAGGGCGAAACGCACTGGAACTGCCACCAATGAGATACGATGTACTGTCTATGGTGGTGAACGCCTGATGAACGATGGCCATAGGTCCTAGCGTGTTGGTGGGGGCCGGGGCATTTAGTTGAGGGGTTGCATGGTGCCCTATTCCCAAGAGAACCCAGGTAACTTAGTTCAAATGTACACGCCATTTATTCCGGCCCTAGGAACATCATGTATCACCAGTCCAATGGGTGAAAGTTCGTGGAGTGAATGAGTTGCCAAGGCGGGTGAAACAGATGGACGGAAACTGGGTCGGGTAGGCGCGCGCTGATCTAAACACGCCAACTTCGCTTAGACCTTTTTGATACTATACCTGCGCACCCCCTTCCCCGTCTCGTAAACAAAGCGTAGTTCTCTTCCAATAGATAAAGATTTATGAAGCCTACTTTAAGGGGTAAAACGTCTTGGACAAGGGGTTGAATGTCTAGCTTACGCCACTTTTCAGGGTAGGGAACGAAGAGCAATGCTCAGCGGCTAGTATTGGGGGCGATAGAATATAGGTGGCTTACGATGTATCTATTTTAATGCTAAAATGCGGATATTTACGCTACGCTCCTAGTACCAGGAAGCCGGGTATACTAATACCCCCTCAAAGAGCCGGTCGAATGCAAACATGAGTGTAGATCACTGATCCACCAAACGATCCGAGTACTTGCTCATGCATTCGTCGAGCAGACCGAGTAGCTCCGATTTCCGTGCCTCCTGAATCCAGCTACCATGAATCGAGTTCTCGGCAATGACCCTCCATTCGTTTATGCTCAAGTTGAAAGCGTCCTGCACAGCGCAATAATTGTTGACAATGTAGCCACCAAAATAAGCAGGGTCGTCGCTGTTTATACTGAACTTTACTCCGGCTTCGAGGAAAGTCCTGATGGGTACCTGGTCGATACGTTTGACGGCCTGGAGACACATATTGCTCAAAGGACAGACTGTTAATAGAATGTTTTCCTTGACAACGCGTTTCAGAAGCTCGGGGTCTTCGGTGAGGCGAATACCGTGGTCGATGCGCTCGACGTGCAGTGTGTCCAAAGCTCCGCTGATGTACGTTGGATCACCCTCTTCGCCTCCATGAGCTGTCCTGCGTAGGCCTCGCTTCTCACCTTCCCGATACTGGTCGACGAATAGCTCTGGGCGGAAGCCAACTTCTGAGGAGTCTAGTCCTAAGCCGGTGATTGCCCGCTGCTTATCGTCCTGGCTGACGTCGAAATACCCCCCTGTGATCGCTGTTTGCATCGTCTCGGCAGCAGAGCTGACAGGCAGATGGCGCAGAAAGCACATGATGAGACAGCTCGTGATACCCAGCTCTTTCTCCGCCCTAGTCCTCGCCGCGTTAAACCCAGCGACTACAGTGTCGAAAGCTATGCCCCGATCCGTATGGCTCTGCGGATCAAAGAAGACCTCGGCATGTCGAACTCCATCTCTCCTCGCGGTCGTGAAGTACTCCCAAGCGAGCATTTCAAAGTCATTCTGGGTGATGAGGACTGCCATACCACGGTAGTAGCACTGCAAGAAGTCTTCTAAGTTGTCGAAGTGCTGATAACGCTTAGCCAGTGTCACAGGAGACTGATAAGCAGGATCTTCGTCTGATGATGGCAAAGTGATGTTGTTTTTGGCAGCTAGTTGGAAAAGTAGGGCTGGGCTAAGGCAGCCTTCGAGATGGAGGTGATGTTCGCATTTTGGTAGCTCAACCAAGAAGCTGTGGAGTGGTGATTTGCACATTATGTTGTTGTTGTTGTCGAGGTCGTATAACGTTGCGTAAGGATTTAGCGAAAGTAATATATTTGGGTAGGTGAGGAAATCTAATCTGATTTTCCCTTGGTTGCAAACTCTGTCTCTGAAACCGGGGAATAGCGGCGATCATCGGTAGGCACCGGCCGCTCCTTCATCAGTAACCTGCAATCGCTCTCCATTAACATTTCCTAATGGCTGGTAGCGTAGTGTTATTGATTCCGTAACTAACACTCTTTACCTAAGCCCTGTATAATCTAAAATTCGTTAAACAATATCGCGAAATCTATTCCAATCCGCAGTGTCCCCTCCGCTCTTCTCATGCTTGCCATCGAGGGCACCTTCAAGCAAGCGATGTTCCTCTGTACTCTTTGTGTTACTATGCTCTGAAGTCGCTTTGGAATTTGTGCTTTGCGCGTCCCACAATGCCTCATCGCCCACCGTTCTCTCCCCATCTCCAAAAGTCTTCTTGAACACTTCATCATAGCTCAGCCACATGCCCGCAAACAACATAGCGCTTAGTTTCCCCAACCACCAAGGCGCTCTCCCCTTCTTATCCTGCAACTTCCTCGAAAGTGTAATGACGAACATAACGAACGGCAGCCAAATGGCCAGAAACAACACCTTGCCAGCCGCTTGTCTCTTGCTCGAAATGGTGTATGCGCGTATATCGTGCAGGTAGTCCTGATATTCGGCTGGTAAATCGCATTCAGCAGCGCCGTCGGTAATGAGCTTGAGGTACCGCGCCGAGGGTTGCGCATAGCTGGGATCGGGTCGGATGACTCGATCTGAGGATTGCGAACTGTCGTCGCCGTCTTGGACTGGTGCGAATAAAGTATGCGCTTTGAAGGGGTATGAGTCGGGCGAGGAGGGTACTGTATCGGAGTTGGGTAAAACGTAGCAATCGACGAGGATGTCGTGGTAGGCTGAGCCCCCGCCTTCGGTTGCTATGATATGCGCGTAGTCGCTGAGGGTGACTTCGTACACTACCCCCACAAGACCCTTATGCCAACGGTCTTTGTGGTATCGTTCTCCCTTGGAATGCCCATAGTCGTGATCTACTGTCGCTGGCGCCCGCCACGCGCTATTAGCAAAGCAGGGCTCCGCGTAGGGCATACCTGGGAGGTCGAAGGTCAATCGTAGCGATGGGACCAGGACGTTGACCTGCGATAGGGGCCGAATGCCGCGTACGCCTCTAAACGTCTCATTGCATAGGTTCGAGCCGTAGGCAAGATATAGCACCGTCTTCTGCTTCTCTTGTGCGAAGCCATTCGACAACGCAGGCGTCTCGGTATTGAGGGGTGTGTCAGTCAACGAGGCATCGAGGCGCTCTCGCGATGGCTGTGGAAGCGGAGCAAAGACGCTCTTCGGGGTATGGTTACAGCGTCGCAAGGCTTGTAGTTGGCTGACGATTTTGGAACAGTAATCTACGCGCTGGGATTCGTGCCGGGTGATGGGTAACACTTCGGTCATCGTGGTACCAGATTGCGCAATGATGTCTGCTGCTTCGTCATTGGTTGGGTTCCTGCTGCAGCCGTGAATATGGTACTTACGGTTTTGGTTCAGGTACAAAAGCCAAATTAGTTGCCCGTATGCTTCACGAATACTGTCGATAAGTGCTTTAAAGAGACCAGACCGTTATCTAGATTTCGTCCGTTCATGCAAACGCGACGAAGGCCTACATCATCGATGTTATCCGCCAATCGGAGAATCGGGTCGCCGAGCTATTGGTCCGACGTACCGGACGAACTTGAACAGAGCACAGCGATTATTGACTGGATTTGCACCTCTTCCCAATATGTTGTTCTGTCTATTTACATACTATCCATACACCTTTCTAAAGCGTCTTCCCAATTTGCATCCACAAATTCTTCTAAGAAAACTGCACATAGATCCTCCTCGATGTTGAGCATTGGCGGTCTCAGCCTACCTATTCATGGAACTTGATTCGCACTACAGTCTTGTCGATGAGTTTGCTCGTGACGGACATCATTTAGGGAGGATTAGCTCTGCGTAGAAATGGGTGTTGTGAGTTCACTAACGCGCGTTAACGAATTATGCAAGATGATGAGAAAAGAAATTTTGAAAAACAAGGCTCACATTATGTTCTATCTATACCTTGATAGCAAACTCGAACGCATATGCGACCAAAGGGTTCTCCTGGTGGATCTCAAGTCGCAAGCTTCCATCTTGCCAAGTCGCTTTCCTTATTCCTAGTTCTTTCGGGCCTTCGCTTTCGTCGAAGTGATTATCCTTAGCACTGAACTCCAACACTCGAACATCAACCTCCTCACCACTAGCGTACCCCACCGTCTCTCCACCTCTCACATCAACAGCCCAGTTTCCCGTCGCATTACGCGAGCCGGCCAGGATCCGCACCTTATCAGTTCCAAGCACTGCATAAGCCTCGCCATCTCTCTTATCATTCGAGCTCGTCTTTAACCTCTGACCATTCATCTCCGATCCATAGTATTTGTAGACGTGATATTCAGCCGTCGGATAGTATCCAGTCGAAGTTGATGAGTATTTCTCTGTTCCTGCTCCGGGCTTGGATACCAATCCTGCGAGATAATCATGTAACGAGCCAGCAATGGTCCAATTTCCTCGCAAGCCAAAGGCGTTCTCCCGTTCCAGCTGCGAGATGAACCACACTGCTGCAGACGGTACCTGTTCTGCCCAGATTCCATACTCATTGATGTTGATAATGCCGCTTTCAGGGATCGAATACCGGTTCAGGAGCTCTCTGAAGGTGGACATGGATGTTGACATATTGCCATGTCCTTGCTCCATGTGCCACGACCATTCGTCTGGGACGCTATTGTCCTGCTTCACAAAAGCCAAGTACTCATTCCACCACTCGCCGTTAATGTCTGGGCCTTCGCTGAAGCATGGTCCACTGATACGAACATTCGGTACTTCGCGTCTGCAGGTCGTCAGATCATAGCGCTAGGTTATGAAGATATTGGGGTAATATACCTCAATACACGATAAGTCCTACTCCAGAGTTGCAGCCATTGCTCTCTGGGTCGATTCCAGAAGAAATGCAAATCCGGCTCATTCCAGATGTCGAAAACTAGACCTTCTAACATGTCATGAGCCTTTGCGTCCCTTATCCAGGTAGTGATCAGATCGTCCCAGCTAGACCAGTCATCGTTGTCCCCAGGATAAGGCGCATCCGCTGATTGACCACCGTCCGCACCCCAGAGAGCGGATGGTAATAATATAAAATTTCCCCCATATTTGCGTGTGGTGCGGTAGTTGCTGAGCGCAGATTGGAACCGGGCCTCATAATCAGCCTTGCTGCGATACCATCCTCGCGTGTCAGGGAGTTGAGAGCCGCCACCCCGGCCATATCGAAAACCGACCTCGGTATAGAATTCATCTGGGATCTGGCCAGGTGTGTCCGGAATACCGTAGATCCAGCCGGAGGCCAGGTGCTGAGGTGATCCGATCTTTTGATCTAGGAACACAACAGCCGAGCCGGTCACTGGAGGATTTTGGTCCCTTTTCTCTATTGGTAAAACCTCAAGACTCTGCAAGTATTCGGCTTGGACACAGTCAGCCTTCGTTTGATAGAGTTCAATGGAGTCTATAGGTTCAAATTTGTCGAAGTCAAAAGAACCCAAAGACAGTTTGGACAACGTACTCGCCATGGAGTTTTCGATGCGGAATTCTTCCGTCAAATACGTGGTAACCTGGAGGTTGTTAGAACCGAAGGATGGAGCTGCTAGATTTGAGTTGTCACGTTGACAAACGCCAACCTCACCTCTGGAAAGAATACTGGCAGTGCATTCTATGTTCCAATCGGAGGTTAGCTACGTATAAAACACTGTCCACTGCAAGATCCTGTAGGATGACATGTGGAGATAGAGTGCCTCCGGAGTCAAGAGTAATGCGGGGATCTAGTATGGATCAGCATGTCATGGGGTCCTGGCGTGGCGCTACTTGAATAGTGCGTCTTCGCGCGTATCCACAACAACGGATTTGGTAGATTAGCTTCATCATCCCCGCCGGACCCTGAATCGTATTGAACATGTATACAGTATTCAAGGGCGTCTGTGATGTCGTGATTTATAACTATTTCGAAACTACAACACCCGTCAGAGACGAACCCTCATCATGACGAAAACACTCCTATGGGAAACGAAAACCCTTTCTATTGAGTTTATTGTGGCCGAGAATGGAACAGTTAGCATTAATACTATTCAGCCTACGGGCAGCTACACCACTGCACGCGAACCGGACAATTCCTCTCTGTCAATCCACCAGCCTCGGCTGTCAGGAGAGGGTAATCATAACGGATCTAAAACTTCCAAGGCATTTGTATCAACATACTGGTCCAAAAGGCTGACGTATGTTTCTCATCGCGAGTGGAGTGAAGCAGGTGCCACTTATTTTGAGATCAAAACCGAGAATGATGGAAGCGACCTGTCAGTCGTGTCGAATTTTACTGTCTTTGATGGTGTTCCGGTCCTTCGAGCTCAGACATCGGTTCACAACAACTCAAAGGAAAGTATTTCCCTCACCTCCATTCCTTCCCTTGTAGTGGGTGGTTTAACAAGAGGTACCGACCAGTGGTGGAACGACTTCAAGCTCTCAGTTCCAAACAATTCCTGGTTCCGCGAGGCACAGTGGAGAAATCATTCCTTGCCTGATATAGGTCTTGATCACTTCCTCCCAGGTCCCTGTCAGGCATCCTTCGCCACCTTCTCCTGTTCCAATCTTGGGACGTTCTCGACTGGAACATATCTGCCCATGGGCATGCTGCAGAAGGAGACAAGTCCTGATACCTGGTTGTGGCAGGTTGAACACAACGGCTCATGGAAATGGGAAATCGGCGACTGGGGCTCGCAGTTGTATGTTGCGCTGAGTGGGCCGACACGTAATGATCATCATTGGGAGCAAGTCCTTCGTCCTGGAGAGTCGTTCACCACCGTACCTGCGGCTATATGCCATCTATTCGAGAAACCAGATGCCGCTTTCCAGGCTCTGACCGCTTATAGGAGGCGCATCAGAAGGTTTCACCAGGACAATGTTGACCTCCCGCTCATATTCAACGACTACATGAATTGCCTCATGGGAGATCCAACCGAGGATAAGATTCGGCAATTGATCAAGCCCGCAACTCAAGCTGGAGCCGAATACTTCGTAATCGATGCCGGATGGTATTCAAACGATAGCAACTGGTGGGATGACATTGGTCTATGGGAACCATCCGCCAAAAGATTTCCGTCAGGCTTTAAAACCCTTACCACAGAGCTTAGAGCTTCCGGCCTGATTCCTGGATTATGGGTGGAACCCGAGTCGATTGGTGTGAGATCCAAAATTGCAGATCAGCTGCCAGCCGACGCCTTCTTTCAACAGAACGGCCAGAGAGTCGTTGAGAGAGATCGTTATCAGCTTGATTTTCGCCACGAAGCCGTAAAGAACCATCTAGACCGGGTTATAGACAGGCTTGTCACTGATCTAGGCGTCGGTTACTTCAAGTTTGACTACAACATCGAAATAATCCAAGGCACAGATGTCAATAACTGTAGTCCTGGTGCAGCACAGCTTGATCACAATCGAGCATATCTCGCATGGGTGACCCGCCTCCTTGACAAATATCCCACTCTTGTCATTGAGAGCTGTTCGAGTGGCGCACAGAGAATGGACTATGCTATGCTGTCCGTCCATCCGCTGCAGTCCACCAGTGATCAGGAAGATCCCGTCATGTACGCTTCTATCGCAGCGGCCGTGTTTACGGCAGTAACGCCAGAACAGAGCGCGACTTGGGCCTACCCACAGAAAGAATGGGACGATGAAATCAACGCACTCACCGTTGTGAACAGCCTCTTGGGTAGGATCCATCTCAGCGGTCGCCTTGACAAGCTTTCTGACCACCAGTTTGCTCTTATATCTGAAGGCATGCAGGTGTATAAGAACATTCGACAAGATCTGAGGACTGGACTACCGTTTTGGCCGTTAGGCCTTCCCGGATGGCAGGATCATTGGTTATCAGTAGGATTGATATGTCAGAAGAAGACGTACCTTTCGGTCTGGAGAAGGGGCGGGGAGACGAATTGCGATTTGCGCATTCCGCACTTTGCGGGGCAAAGCAAGGTAAAAGCTACACTTCTTTATCCTAGCGCTTTCGCTGCCGAGGCACAATGGGATGCTTCAACAGGCGCGTTACGGGTGACGTTACCGGAAACAACATGTGCGCGTTTGTTCCAGGTTGAGATTGATTGAAGAATTGTAGGTTGTTAAAATCGGCCAGGATTTCGCATGTAGCGCAATCAGAGTCATGTAGGGCTTTTTTTGATGGGGAACCGAATTGTTCCAGTTTCAGAACTCTTGTCCATCCAAGGCCCCATAATGTGACGTAAGTCCGAAATTAGCGCTTGGCGGGCAAAATCCCCTCCGGAGTATAGGGATCACGTGCACCTCGACCCAATGTTATACGCGACTTGCTTAGCAGTCAACGGCGAGAGCTAGCTCATTTGCTCCACAGCTGACGCTAGTCGTCGCAGTCGCCGCCTCCATGGCCTCCGCTACCCTTAGGCCCTGTGCAAGGTCTGGTAAGTCCCGGTTCTACTTAGGATCATAAATGGAGACAGAGTGTCTGTCTCGTGTATGCGGTGATCCGTGATTCAAACTCCAGCTACGTTGTTTTACAATATCTAACTCCAGATGGCGTATCCTCAAACTGCCTTCCGAGCGGTAAAGCTCAGTCCAGGATCGTTGATCCACAAAAGGCATGAAACGGTTTTCTCGACTACCCTTATGTATCAGCTTGAGGTGTTGAAAGGAACCGGAAGATACGATGCCTTCAAGCTGGGATGGCATCCTTCGTATGATGACCCGCCGGACGTTTGGCCAATTCCGAACCATCTTTTTTGGTACGCAAGCTGGCAGAACATGCGAACGAAGATATTAATATCCATTCAAGGGACTCGGACATTGCCAAATGGATCGAAGGTGCTTGCTATCTTTTGGGAAATCACCAGAGCTCAGAGGTAGACACTGCAATTCACGAGTTAGTGGCTATGATACGATCTGCGCAACAGCCAGATGGATACATCAACATCCACTTCACCGTGGTTGAACCGGAGAAGCGATTCACCAACCTAAGGGATTTCCATGAGCTGTGAGTGGTATTGCGTTCTCATCAATCGTACTATGCTGATTTTTCAGTTATAATGCAGGCCACATGATCGAGGCAGCACTCGCACATCAGGATCATTATCACAATGATCAACTCATAGAGCCCATATTGAAGTACGTTGATCTCTTGTGTCAAAGGTTCGGTCCTGGAACGAATCAGACCCACGGTTATCCTGGCCATCCCGAGATTGAGTTGGCCCTACTCCGCTTGTACGAAAGGACCAAGAATTCAAAGCATTTGGACTTGGCCAAGTATTTCATCACCGAGCGGGGCAACCCTGTGGGCGATGATGGACATCACTTTTACATATCCGAGGCGAAACGTAGGGGCGATGACCCCCGAAGACGGCCAGATTACTGGCCGGACAAGTCTTGTCTCTGGTACTATGCTGCACATGAGCCAATCACGAAACAGAAGTCCATTGAAGGTCACTCTGTCAGAGCAATGTATCTCCTCACGGCCGCCGCAGATCTTATTCTGAATGCCGATTTACCTTTACAAGACTTGCAAAGAGCTGTGTTTGGACTATGGGATAACATGGTTCAGCGTAAGATGTATGTAACAGGCGGAATTGGTGCTATGAAGCAGTGGGAGGGTTTCGGGCCGGATTACTTTTTGCCACAGGGTACTGACGAAGGAGGTTGCTATGCAGAGACCTGCGCAGCCATTGGCGTAATGATGTTGGCGGAGAGATTGCTCAAGGTAAATGGGTTTACCCATTTTGTCTACCAAATGCTAACGACTGCGCAGAGCGATCTTGATGGGCGCTTTACGGACATAATGGAGCTCTGCCTCTATAATGCCGTCCTAACGGCAATGTCTCCTGATGGCAGGAATTTCACCTACGTGAATCAGCTAGCTTCAAGCGATAAGGATCCTTCCCAACGGTCATCATGGTTTACATGTGCCTGTTGTCCTCCGAACATGCTTCGCCTCTTTGGACACGTTGGAGGCTATATATACTCCACTTCGAGTAGCTCTGAGCCCAAGCATACTGAAATCATTGTTCACCTATACACTGGTAGTACTCTGAAGTTTGAGGTTGATGGCAAAGAAGCCAGCCTGACACAGGAGACGAATTGGCCATGGAACGGTAACGTCAAGTTCCGCTTTGAGTCGCCGTCGGAGAATGTTTCGTGCAAACTGCGTATACCAGCCTGGGCCGATGATTTCCACGTAAGTCAGTCTGACAAAGCGGAGGTCTGGTAAACTGATTTGGCACAGCTGTCGCCTAGCCCGCCAAGTCTACATGTCGAAAAAGGTTATGTTAGCATTCCAGCTTCATGGCTCGCCAAAAACCCAAGCTTCGAGCTGAGCATACCAATGACGCCCAGGTTAATGAAGCAACACCCCTTGACAAACCAGGATACCATCAGCGTTGCAAGAGGGCCCATCGTATATTGCGTTGAAGATGTGGACAATCCGTGGGTCACAGATCACTTCCGCAGTCTTCAACTGGATCCGCAGTGTCAGTTCACAGAGCGAAACGTGAATGATGAAGGTAACAACGACAACTATATTGCCCTGACAGTAGAGAAAGGTGCCTCGCTGTTGGATGAGGGTGCTTTCTCAGCACCGAGTACGAAGGTGAACAAGTGGGATGAGGCGGTGAATCACGGAGAGCTGGTAGAGGAACTGCACTTTGTCCCCTATTTCTTGCGGGCATCGCGGGGCGGTCGGGGACAGGCACGAGTCGGGCTGAAACATTGGCGCAAGTAGAATAGACAGTTCGTCTATGTATACAGGAAGTTAGCAGCCAAGTTGTACCCCCGGGCTCCTGGAGGCCAGCGCCCAGCCCCCGGCTACTCAAGCCCTCTGATTGGAGTGAAAACTACGAGCCGATGTGGTAACACCCTGGAGTTCAATATCGATCTAGATTCTTAGTAAAGTGGAGCCAGTGGGGAAAGTGGGGAAAAGTGGCGTCTTCCCTTGGCGGCGCGGGAGCGGACAGCCACGTGATATCTGAACCTCGCTAGCGGACATCGCCTGATGAGTCGTCCCACCTCATCAGGTATCTCATTTGTGTCCGACCCGTCGAGGAATGCTCTCATGTCAGACTTGCCAGAAGACCTTCACATGTCAGAAACATCTCAGCCGACATCAAGTCGTCCACGGAGACAGCCGGCCATTCCAGTGCGGCGTATGCTTCAAGGCCTTTTCCCGCAAGGACGGCCTGCAAAGGCATGAATCGACGCACCGAGGATCAAAATCCCTCGTCCAGATCAAAGGCCGCGCATGTGCTGCCTGTGTCTCCGCTAAAACCAGATGCACCGGCGTTTTGCCTTGTCAGAGATGCGTTAACAGGAAGACCGAATGCACATACACATCGAGGCAAGGATCCTTGACAGCAGCTAGGGGACGATCCATGACCCAGGAGAGTCTGGTCAGTGGTGAATGCCCTGCCGCGGCGCTAGATCAGTCTACCATCCTTGAAGAGCCATCTGCAGCCATTTCACAGCAGATTGCGACCTCACCTCCAACCGGGATGTCCAACCAACCTCTAGTCCTCAACGGCCCCTCTGAAGAACTCTCTGAAGAGCTATCCCAGCCAGTAATCACGCGGAATCACATCGAGGCGCTTCGAGACTCTGGGTGGCCGCAGTATACTCCCGATCTTCTTGGGCCTGAATCCCTCAACCTGAATCTTGATGTTCAGAGTCTACCATCAAATCCAATCGTGACCGCACACCATGAACTTGTCCATAGTCAATTTGGTTGGGAGCCCAGTCAATCTTCGACAATCAATTGGCTACAGATGGAAGCAGTGGATCTCGGCTACTTTCCTATGAGAGACTTCTTCCCTACTGCACTCTCTGCAGGTGCCTTGTCATCGCCAGAGTCTTGGCATCACTCAGTACGATCGCCCACATTTCAAAGTCACTCAGACTCTGGACCGACCGCTGTGAGTGTAGTCAATACCGACTCCCCGCAAGAGTCGGTTGGCCATGCTACTGCTTCGAATGTAGCCCCGGACGGTCCATCTATCGAAACGGATGTCGAACGAGGATCGTATTATGTAGACGGCGACAAGGCAAGACAAACCCGCCGCAAGAGGCGTAGACTCATGACATTCACGCCTTCTTCGCATAATTCCGGGTTTTCTTTTGCATCCTGCACAGAAATGCAGTTTTCGTCTGCCAATATTCACGACCATTTCCTCGATGAGCGACAGCACGGGCAACTGGAAGTGCTCTTCCAATCTCTGTGCGTCAACACATTATTCTTTCAACCCTTTTTGACAACGGATTTTCCCTCTCAAGAAGTCTTCCACCACCTTGTCCAGGGCTACCTTATTTCGTTTCATCAAGCGTTACCCTTCATCCACCGACCAACATTTCGAGGGTATGATCGCCATCACACGTTACTGCTAGCCATGGCAGCCCTGGGTGCTCGATTTTCAGAACATGAAGCTGCAGTTTCTCTTTCGGCACCCTTGACAGAACTATTGAGGCGCATCATGATGCATATAGATGAGGATCGGGAAAGGAATTCCCTTTCAGAATATGAGATGGCGCAAATTCGATTGCTCTACTCGGTTACCACCAGATACACCAGAGCCGGCCAACCTCAACGTGATGCGATGGTCGCTGTTCGGGAGTGCACTTCTACGTTTGATATGACCTTCCGTCAACATGCCAAGCATCGGTCTGTCCCTCAAAATCAGACTCAGTGGTTGTCCTGGGTCCACCAAGAGGAGATTACGAGGACCAAATTTTGCATCTGGTTATTAGATTGTATGGTAGCGTCCCACACAGGATCACAACCCGCCCTCAGACTCGCCGCTGTAACTGACACCCAGTTGCCATGTACTGAATCGTTATGGTCGGCTGAATCCTGGAACATGTGGAACGCAGTAAAGCAGAGCAGTGCGACTGAGCCACCGACCATAGAAGAGGCCTTACGAGATTTGTACATCGAGAAGCAACTATCCCCCAATTTGGGGGAGTTCTCTCGAATCATGATTGTTCATGCCTTATACCACAGAACATGGGACGTGCGGGAGTACTTCGAGCAGCGCTTATCTCACTACGTTCCATCCGCTCAACGTCAGTCAAGCGCAGATGTCCCTTCGCCTCTACCAGCGTGGCATCCGAGAATGGAGTCATTTAACAAATGGCGCAATGCGGCTCTTGACTGTATTGATATTTTACATTGGAACGCCAATGCACTCATCGGCCTAGCACAGGGGATGGAGCATCACACCGTCCTACATCTTCATTTCTCCCGCATTGTTCTTCTGTGTCCTATCCAGCACGTACTAAGACTCGCGCGGTTCCTGTCCGAAACTAGCGAACGACGATCATCCAGCACATCTTCAGTTCACGAAGCTGAGCACGACGCCAGAGCAATTCAACAATGGGTTGCACAAGATAAATACAAAGCGCGTCTGGCGACAGTGCACGCGGGTACGGTACTCTGGCATGTTAGGCGATATTCGAGTGGCGCTTTCTATGAACCTGAATGCGTCGCACTAGCTACCTTAATGCTCTGGGCGCACAGTAAGTTCTTCGCTCGAAGTAACCACAATCCGGAGGACACTATTAGTGCAAAACCAGGTCACCTTAGAGCAGACCGTGACATTATTCTGCTCGATAGGCCAACAGATGATGAACTCGTCCAGCAATATGTCAGAGAAGGCGACTTGATGCACGCCAACATGAAAGGAGTGGGTGATCTTTTTGGGCCCTCGGGTGCACATCGAGTACTTGTCCAAGGACGGATGCTTCTGGGTACTTTAGGGGCATGGCAAGAGGCCACAAGTTACTGGACAGATTTCTTGAAAAAGCTCGAGTACGCTAGTGCAGGGAGGAGTGATGTTGTAAGGCAGTAGAACTTTTTGTAAATCATCGGTAGCAACAATTGATCGATACAAGTATAACAACCGTTTTTAGAGAGATCGTTTGCTTTTCTGTACGCCTGTAGTATGGATCTTGTGGAATTAGACGTCAACTACAATTTGGTTTACTATTTTGTTTTTCAAAGTCTATTCATTATTGTAACAGCCTAAATTTCCATTGATCGAGTCTCCCATCTTATCCTCTCCATTAAAAAGTGCTTGCTACAGTTCACCTTGTCTATGGATCAAGTCATCTGACACAATTCTCGAGCCATTAACCATCTGGATATAGGCTGTGGGCCTCCACAGGTCTCTCCCTGTTCTCTTAGACGTTGTTCCTGTGATATTCTTTTGTAGTCGATCTTGTCGCGTCTCTGTGGGTACGTTCAGCTCTTACTATGGTGCTTATACTGAGATTCTACCGTAGCTTGGAGAGCAATAGTCAGTTTAATTAGAACATCTTGGGCTACAAGACAGCATCACTGAAGACATTTTTTTGGTATGCTCAGCAAGACAAAGACTTCTTTGCGACTATATGAGCATCACGCTATATTCTCCCAATAAACCTGACCGGACAATTTGTGCCCATTCGAGTCACTCCTTTGCCGTATCTATGCACAGTAAGCGTTAACAGCCATTGCTATTTGGCGAAGCATAGCTTCTACTGCTCGACATCTTTAGACAAAGGCTGCACACGGTGCTCTTCGATAGGGTCGAACGTATCCACTTTCGTCTTCGAAAACTGTCGCGTCCTGACCTTGCTCGTGAAAAGATAGTCGATTTCGGCGAAGGATCGGTCCTTTGTCTCTGGAAGTCTGAAGAAAGCCCACAAGAAAGTGAGGAATGCAAGTCCCGCCTAAGAAATTTGTTAGCAGGGCCAAAACAATAGAGTGATTACGGCATGTTGGTGGCTTACATAGAAGTATCCGACCTTGCCCTTCCAGTCACCCTCGGTGGGGTTGATCATGTACGGATACGAGACCATATTAATGATCTGGCTGATGTAGTAGGCGATTCGAGATAGACAGATGGACTTGGAACGGACGCTGACAGCGGGAATTTCACCGATGATGGCGTAGCAGACGGGTCCAATAGTGGAGTAGAAGATGACCTCCCAAGCCAACACCATCCCAGCCTGTGCGAAGCTCGCACCAGGAGACTGTGATACCGTTGCAATGACGCCAATAATCAACAACAATATGGTGAGCGCAAGACTCGACCATACATACAATGTGCGGCGACCAAAGCGTGTGATTAAATACCAAGAGATAAGGACGCCGACAGAGGCGAGTCCTAGAGCCCCAGTAGCGAATTTGAATGACTCTGCGGCGCTGACACCAGCCTGCACAAAGAAGTATGTAGGAGTACCGCCAATGGTAACGCCGGTTGTGTTCTGGGCAATGAAGACGAAGCAGACAATCTCAGTGCGTCGGAGGTTGGTGCCTTTGAAGCAGTCGAGGTAGGTTGTTCCAGTACCGCTCTCGTCCTCGACGCGGTTGGTGTGTACAACCATGGCGAGCAACTTGCTGTGATCGAGCGGAAAGTTCTTCGAGGTAAGCCTCCGAAGCGTATTTTCGGCTTCCTCAAGGCGACCTTTACGGGCAAGCCAGTACGGAGATTCAGGCGCAAACCACAGAATTAGGAAAAGAGGAATCGGCCACACCCACTGTATCGCGAAAGGGATACGGTAGGCCCATTGGGTTGTGTTCGAAGAGAAGCTCGTGAGAACACCAGCCGCCATAAGTTGTCCTAACGCCCAGCATAGGCAGACATAGTTGGCCAGATATCCCCTGAGCTTGATTGGGCAAACTTCAGATGCATATGCGGGCGCCATGGTTGCAAAAACGCCCCAGGGAAGTCCACAGAGGACTTGACCGGTCATGAGCATTGGTAGGCTTTGGGCGAAGAACGTAATAAAGATGAAGCCGGCGACTGAGGTAACGGCTACGAGCAATGTCCTCCGGTATCCGAACTTCTCGGTCAACCTGTGTCCGCGTAAGTTGCTTGCGCATTAAATGTCGCGACGTCTCACTTACCATCCGTTGGCGAAAGCACCTATGATGGTGCCTATTCCTGTGGCACATCCCATGCCAACCTGCCACGGGCCAGTGATTTGCCAGCCCAGCTTTTCGCCGAACCATCCTCCATACCTCTTCTGGAAAGCTGGCTGGGCCATCAAGTTGCCGATGAGGACAATGTCGTCTAAATATTGGCGTACGAGGTTAGTGTATGTCTCTTGTAGTTCGCACATGGATGTTACGTACAGCCTTCCATAATGATGGCGGCCGAAAACATGATTGACCAGAAAATGGACCATGGATAGTATTTCAAGGCATCTCTCAAGGTCAGATTCTGCTCAAACTCTGTAGCCTCTTTACCGGTATGGAGAAAGCCAGCATCGCCATCCGAGGAGGCTTCTCTGTGCTCTGCCGACACGTGCTTCTCATCTTCCTGAGTGATCGCCATTCCGAAATGTTATTGGAAAGAAATGGTTGATTGCGGTGATGTGAAAACAATCCATGATGGGTCAGCGCGTCTTTAAGACTTAGTGTGCAGTTACCCCATACTCAAGCGTCTGGAGACTCCACATGCTCCGGAATAGTGGAAATGGACCTAAGCGCCACTAGTCCCTTAGTCTCTCGTGTTCGCTTCTAAAAATCCCGTTAAAGTTCTCTGTCATCGGATCATTCTCCGGAGTCGGGAAAACATACTAAAGGGAATGTAGACCGCCACGAAGGTCCCTCCGGAGTGCCAAGACGGGTGTCCTAAGGCCACCACAGCATTGGCGGAGATCCTTGTCCGAGGCACGCGTAAACGGCACATGTCTAGTCAAAGGCGGAGGAACACTAAACTCACGAGACCTCGGATCTAGAGATCCGAAAATGATGACCCTGACTTGCAAGTAGCTACAGCAACTTCTGCAGGCTATCACGCGACCATTCGCGTCTATTTGGTACATGTGGAGTGACCGCCGTAGCGGTCACGAGAGATAGGGAGCTCCTCTCCCTTGACTTAGTCCACATGGCTAAGCGGCGTGAAGATGACTATCGTCTTCGCTTTAGGCAAGATTATCGAGCGCCACGTTCACAGCCGCGGCGCTTTAGGATCTGTAAGCTCACAATTGTAATTCATTATGATCTGACCGAGGATAACCTCCAGTTTCTGTATGCTCAAAATCGGCGTATTGGGCATAATATTCTCTATGAAGAGGGTCCACGTACTCCGGATGGAGGCATAAAACATAGATAGAAAAGGCAACCGTCTAGCTTACATTAATATCCTGTGATCATATTTTAGGATTATACGTACAGTGGAGACAGCATGTACTGATCCAAACCATATGGCCATGGGCTTGTACCAAGCGTCGTGCTGTCCAAGGGGCATTCTTGGGCGATGTTTCCATAATTCATTGTATGCAATCTGCCTAGAAGTGAATTAGACCGCGTGATTCCAAAGATGAGTGGTTAAAATTGTACATGTATAGTGACAGGTTGTCCCAAATTCGCGAGATCCCTCTCGAGACAGCGTTGCTCGACGATAGGGACCAGTCGATTGTAGATGGCTTCATGTGATTTGATTGTGCGAGCGATGATGCCTCCAACAATACTAAAGATCCTTCAGCATGTTTCCAGAGGGTCATATCGAAGGTACACTAACGGCGTCATGAATTTGGGCAGCAAACGGGCCATTTCCGCGCACACTACGGTCTCCTCAGTATATGCGAGTGCTGAGGTCATGAACTGCTCATCTTTCGCTGCGCATTGTAAGTTTACTTTTACAAAACGATAATGTTATACGCAACTCACCAAGGTCTTTACCAAAGAATGATACAGCGTTAGACAGAACCACTAATTCAACAATCATGTGGTATGCGGGCGAGTGTTTTACACCTGCTCCACCTCATAAGCATGTTGACCAATCAATCTCGCTGCTTGAACACATACCATCAACCTCTGTATGCCCAGCATGCAACTCCTCAAACCTCGTCCGGATAATACAGCTCAGATCCGGCAGGGTCGTAGACAAATTACTTGTCAAAAGCGTCCGTAGAGCCCGAATGAACCCAACGCCCTCGGTGCAGCGGCGGTCAAACCAGTTGAGTCCATACCTGTTGATCGTCAGACTAAAATCTACAGAGGTCGCAAAGTAATATGATATTCTCAAGGCGCATTGTCTGTGGCATATATATAGCACATCTACGTCGACAATAATCAAGATACCGTAAATTCGGCCTACATAGTGTACACTGGCTGCAGCATCTACTTTGATTTTTAGCAAGAGCAATCTTTGTGCCGCTGTCAATCTTAACCTGTTTAGAGGCTGCCGAAAAGGAAAGCACGGCATCTGGCGCACTGTCGAGCTCCTTTATTTGCTTTGGATCTGATACAAAGACATGGCAATTATCAGAAGCAAAAGCTCGAAAGGCTTGCCATTCAACTTGTCGAACGCTTCCTAGATGATTTCAGAGCCCCCAAAGAGGTACGCCCAAGCTTGATAGCGCTTGAAGAAAGGCCTGAAGACGTTCGAGAAGCCCTGAGAAGGACTGGCCTGCATCATATAAACACCATCAGCAATCTTTAGACCGGCCTAGAATTAAACAAAAGTAACCCATCAATTTCTTGATTACCAGTGCCTTGTAGAAGACAAAGAGCGAAACGAATCCAATGATGCTGCTCACAGCGTTGATAGCGAGTGCATCCAGGCCTGAAAACCGGGACGTCTGTATCTCCGCAAAGTCCATGGTGCTGGTATAATGTTGCAATGAAAAACGAACTGCCTGGGGATAAGCAAAACAAGGGAGACCCCGAGTGGATATGCGATATTAGCCCTTCGGAAGGGCGCCTCAAGGTGGAGAATTCTACGCGAAATACCAATAGCATTGAATAGTAGCAGCAGATCTTCTTAGAGTTCTTAAAGTATCCTTAACGTATACCGTTTAATTTCTTCTGCCTAGAGTACTCTATAGCTCTTAACTGTAGTTTCTTAACTAGCCTATCTTAATAAAAATAATACTTTGGTTATTTAATTCTTACTGCTTTGTTTGAAATTAAAGTCAACGCTAGAGCGGATCATACAACGCAGTAAGAGAAATTAGTATGAAACCACGGTTCAGGTGCTATACCCAGCACCTTAACACAGTATTAAGGCAGTAAAGTTTACACAATACCTAAAAGATGATATTTACGGGTTGCTGCTGCTGCTTTTTTTTCGGCTTATTTCCGGGTATTTCGCCGACGCAAGAGCCCACTCATGCACTAAGATTTAGGCGTTCTTATTGTAGGATGAGTTAGGCCCGACGCCACGCGTCGGGCGATATCTTACTGCGTCAGCACGGTCTGCTCATACGTGTATCCTTATATACTCGTTCATCTACGCTCTATCTCCTTGTCGATATTTCCTCACCTTTCTGGCAAGATGGCTGAAAGTAAGAAGTCAGTGCGGTTTTGGGGCATCTTCGTTGCGTTGTGTATCTTGGCTTTTATTTCAGCCCTCGACGTCTCGATTGTAAGCAAACTCCCATGTGCGAACTGCATATGGAACATACACCAACTTATTTCACATTAGGTGATGGTTGCCCTCCCTAGGATTACGGCGGAAATCGGTGGGGCAGGAAAATATGTATGGATCGCAAACTCCTTCGTTGTCGCCTCTTCCGTCCCACAGCCTCTCTTTGGGCAACTTGCCAACGTCTTTGGTCGCCAATTGCCGTTCATTGGATCGACGGTATTGTTTGCGCTCGGCAGTGGTATTGCAGGAGGAGCACACAACGTTGAAATGCTGATTGCGGGACGGACGATACAAGGCGTGGGCGCAGGTGGCATATACGTCCTGCTTGACATTGTGTGCTGCGATTTGGTGCCTCTCCGCGAGCGCGGCAAGTACCTGGGCCTAATGTTCAGTTGGTCGGGTGTGGCTGCTGGGATGGGGCCCGTCGTTGGAGGCGCGCTGGCAGAAGCAAACTGGCGGTGGATTTTCTATATGAATATCCCCATATGCGGCGTGGCCCTGCTTGCAATACTAATCTTCATGCGTATGAAGAAGCAAAAGGAGCCGCAAGGAATTGACGTGCTTGGCAACCTCATTTTTATTCCGAGCGTGCTGGCTGTGCTATTCGGCCTTGTAACGGGGGGGATCGAATATCCATGGAACTCATGGCGCATCATCCTGCCTCTAGTCGTGGGCGTCGTCGGCTGGATCGTATTCCATGTGCAGCAACATTTTGCTCACTACCCCAGCGTGCCTGAGCGACTGTTCAGCAACCGGACATCAACTACAGCTTTTGCGTTAACCTTCCTGTCTTCGGTAATGGTCCAATCATCCGGATACTTCCTGCCCGTCTTCTTTCAAGCGGTGCTCGGCACCACAGTCGTGCAGTCAGGCGTCAATTTCCTTCCCTTTGCCCTTGGAACACTGGTTTTTGCGGTGGTGGCCGGCGTGTTGATGGAGAAGACGGGCGCATACAAGCCGCTGCACGCTGCGTCGTTCGCGATTGCTGCTGTTGGCTTCGGTCTATTCACACTGCTCGACGATAGCACTGCGAAGTGGGCTACCTTTCAACTCATCGTTAGCGGCGGCCTGGGTCTGACCCTCTCAACCCTGCTGCCTGCAATATTGGCATCTCTGCCAGAGTCGGACGTAGCCTCTTCGACGGCTACTTATAGCTTCGTCCGCACGTTCGGCTACGTTTGGGGAGTCACTATTGCATCCACAATATTCAACGGCGTGTTCGACCACAACCTCCCGCACATTTCGTCGTTAGAGCTGCGGCAGCAGCTCAGACATGGCCAGGCGTATGGTTTTGCAAGCCGGGCGCGACTCGTGCGGGCAGCAACACCACCCAACCTCTGGGCTGAGGTGATTGACGTGTACCAGCGTAGCTTGCGAACTATATGGTTCATATGCATGGGCATCAGCATTGCGTGTTTCTGCCTGGTGTGGGTGGAGAAGAGCATCCCGCTCCGGAAGGAGCTGGACACGCAATATGGCATCGACGAGAAGAAGCAGCACAGCAGCCATGACGGTGCTGACGCCACGGAGCTGACAGAGACTAAAGAGAAGTCATGATATGGGCGAAAGATGCGCAATGTATCGATGTGAATAGAGATACTGTCGCGTGGCACCGAGATGGGAAGATAAGCTGCTGTTCCTTATCGGCCCGTGACAAATTGGCCTAATGTCTTTCACTCTCCTCACATCTTTGCTCGTCTCGTCTACAATTCTCTACTAAAGGCAACTGCTCAGAATCTCTCTCTACAAAACCAAGCCTCTCGTAGCCATAATTCTATACTTGGCCATGGCAGCACGGGTGCCTAAACTACGGTGCGCGCTTCTAGGCAGAAAGCTCCTTTTGGTCTGGGCGTTCTCGGGTATAAATGTATAAATCCGAACGTGATCCCTCAATCTTGCAACTACAGCAACCTCAACTCATGCGCTCAACGACTACCAAGGACAACACGATGGCCAGGCAAGACCAGATCAAAGTGCGCGTCGTCACGTCCGATCTTAAGATAGCTTCTAGCTAATTGTCCAGCAGCTTCCCGGCTTTGGACTCCCGTTAGATGAATCGAGCGATGACCCTTACGGTTCCGCAGAGTGCTTATCTGCGGTCATAGACTGGAGACATGATGTTTTCACGGTCCGGGAGAAGTGCATGCTGTTTTTCGTGAACAAGATCACGGACAAGCCTGACTGGCAGCGTAAAGTGCAAGATCCAGCCATCATTGCGAAGTGGAAGCAAGAAGTCAATGACCTAGATTGGACTACAGTAGTTGATAAGAATGGCGATATGAGCACGAAGATGTTCGAATATGTGGGTGCAATATCGGAATCCATTGTAAATGCTGACTCACTCTGCTAGTGCATCAAAGAACTCTGCGCCAAGGCAGCTCTGTACGAGGAGACTGGCCTCATTTCCGTTCTAGACGCGGCATCGCGTGTTTTGAAATCTGATACGGTCGTATCGGCAGAACTGAAGGACAGGCTGAAGAAGGCAGTCGTTCCTCTCGAAGACGTGCCCGAGCACCAGAAGGACTGGCACCCAGGCTCCGACGGAAAAGTGCTCGACTTGGTGCATCCGTCTTTGTTTCCGCTTATCTACCAGTGCTCGCGCATTCTGCCAGACAGGACCATTTCTCAAAGTGACTGCATGTCAGCAATCGGACGGGGCAAGATCGTACCGGAGCCTGTTGATCGCTATGACCATGATTCTGAAGACTCTAACCTCTGGTCTTCTCGCTTCCAATGGCTGCCTTGCGATGTTTCATTCCCAGACGGCGAGAAGGCTAAAATTGACTCGTACATAAACAACTTGCACCCAGCGGATCACAAGGACCTATATGCTGTCATAGAGGATATCATTACTATAGCCATTCCATTCTGGAACATCATTTGGGAATCGTATCCCGGCGGGTCTTTTGAGAGCAAGCAGCGCATCGAATGCGACTCCGTTGAATATAAGCTTCCCGAGGGTACTAAGGAAGAGTTACCAGACGACTTTGACGGATATGAGGAAGATTTCTACGAAACGTTGGAAAAGCTACGCATATACGATAAACCTGAACCATTGGAATTTGACTCGCTCGACGTAACAGCCGAAGATGTCGAAAACAAATTCAAGTTCCTTAGCCAAGGCGAGAAGAAGATTCAAGTCATTGTCAAACTTGCCAACATCCACCTTACGCCCGAAAAGCCTAGCTACGAGGGTGGGTCCTGGCATGTTGAAGGCCAGTTGAATGAACATATTGTCGCTACCGCGTTGTACTATTACGACAATGAGAACATCACAGACTCGCACCTGTCTTTTCGCACAAAAGTAGATTCCGAGGAACTCGAGGAGTCGCTCTCTTACGAACAGGGTGACTACAAAGGTATTGAGAAGACCTTCGGAATCATAAACTATACGCCGAACACGCAAGAGATTGGTGCCGTACTTACGCGTGAAGATCGCTTCATCGCGTTTCCAAACGGATTTCAGCACCGCGTTGGTAGCTTCAAGCTCATTGATCCGACCAAACCGGGACATCGCAAGATCCTCGCACTGTAAGTAACGTCTTTGTACAGAAGGCATGTGAAATCCGTACTGACTTCGCTCTTCAACGTTTAGATTCCTTGTTGCACCTACAATTCCTGTCATCTCAACTGCAAACGTTCCGCCACAGCAGCGAGATTGGTGGCTGCGAGAGATCAAAGCTGACAAGAGCAAGGTGAGCTTCTTACCTGCCGAGTTGATTGACATGATTGCCGACGGAGTCGATTTTCCGATCGGGTTGGCTGAAGCAAAGGCGCTTCGCGAAGAGCTGATGGCTGAGCGAGGGATGATGGACAAAGCTGCAATGGAACAATTGACCGATCGCGAGTTTTCTTTCTGTGAGCACTGAGTTGTACTATTCAATAGAAGTATTACGTCGTCGGACGGCTTCCGCGAGATAGTTGCACCAACATGGAACTGAATAACATCAATCTTCTTCAATTGGCGCTTCTCTCAGTCTATCTCCTTGTCACCTCCCAGAGTCTTGAAAGATAGCCATGGATTGTCGTCTACTGCATATCCACCTAGATCCAAATTTCTGTTTCCGTGAGTTCTGTTTGCTCTGTAACCACCACTTGATCATACAACGGAGTGTTGACGAATTCAATTCATTCCGTTATTGTTCCAAGCACCTAAGCCGCGCAACCCAATCTCTAATCTCCGTAAAATCCCTCGCCCAAACAACCTTCCACTCATCAGCTTCGCGCCAATCTCTCAATCGCGGACATGTAACCCCTAGCCGCTCCAACGAGTCGGCTAGTTTCCTCTGACTACTCCCCATCGGCTCATCTCTCACACAAATGCCTAAATCGGCCGCAAGTAAGCACTCAAGATCCGGCCAGCTATCTCCCACGTAGACTATTGGTAGGGAGTCACCAGCCACTGCGTTTTCTTGCCTCAATCGTTCGAGGCATCGCAGCTTGTCGTCGCTAGAAATGACCATTGTGCCGTTCGCGGGGCCGATATGGCCATCTGAAGCTCGTCCGTGTTGAATATCTCCGATTTCATTTGAAAGGATGGCGGGGGACTGTATGGAGACATTGGAGGCGCGAAGACAGGATGAGATGAAGTGCTGACTCCAGTTTACACTTAGCACATTGATCAGGCTTCTTGTGTGCCCTATTGAGCCAACCTGTTGGGCCTGGGCATCTTGCGTGAAATTTGCAAAGCCTGGACGGAAGTCGACTTGCTGAGAGGAAATGGCCTTTTGGGTGCCTGCAGCGATCTGTGTAGCTGTTAGGCCTGCGAAGATGCCGGATGAGGAGACGCGATCCAGGCTTCGTTGCTCCACGGCTTTCAGGTTCTTCAGCAGCTCTCTTTCATCTTCGACTGTCTTGGGGAGCACGCCATCGGGTTTAAGCTGTTTGAGTGTAGCCGTGTAGTCGTCCATGTAGGCTTTTGTGACGCGCCTCCAGGCATCTTCGGTTGGGAAATCGGGTTTTGCGGATGCGGAGATGTTGACGAGAGTATCAAGGGTGTCGTGCCTGGTGATGGTTCCGTCCCAGTCAAGGATCCAATGAAACGGTTGATGTGGGCTCATTGGATGTCTGGTTGACGTTGACATGGCGGCTGCAGAGTAGGTACGCAGGAGAGAGGTGTGCCAAGTTTTGAAGGACGAGTAGGAAACGGACAGTAGTCTGCGAGTAGCGATGCAGAGCAGCATAGAAGAGGCACACGTGTATTCAGGGGCTTGAAAATGTGATATCGTGGCAGGAAAAGCTGTGGTTCATTCTCTAGGAGGGGGTCTTCACCCAGCACGATTATTGCGCAACCTTGTAGCGACCTGAACGTCCTCGCCCTCAATAGGCCTTTACTTGGACAGACATAATACCCTGACGCCTAATTATTCACGGCGTCGTGTAATCGAAGCCGGATTGTGCCGTGTCCACGGAGGTTGTGAGGCTGTGATTGCTCGAAATTGGCGCACGAAGCGTGCACGCGTCAACATCGGCAGGGCGAAGAGAACATGGTAAGTTTTGCCGGCTACGCGACACACCATATATGCGAACTCACTGTCCTAGACTCAAAGTACGTCCATTCCCTCTCACACCTTCGCCATGAGAGTCTTTGTCGCAGCCCAGCGGCTCCCCGCCGCGCATCACGAGACGACGGCCACACACCAATAGGAAGGGCGCTATTTCCATAGCCCGCGCTGAACCGAGAATCCGATCGCTATAAGCATGTCGACGCGAGTACTTGACAAACATTTCCCTTAAGTACAGTATTTGGCTATCATCGGCACCAACCACTCAACCAAGGAACGAAAATAAGAGCGCCGGCGCCCCCGCTGTTTTCCTCGCCTTTCTTTCAGCAACGATCCTTCCAAACCGTCATCCTATCCCCCACCAAAGCTGCCCCGCGTAATATCGACAGTCGATCTCACAGCAACAATCATGGCTCCCAGCGCAGTTCAAAACGACGCACCTGCGGCCAATGGCACTACTCTGAAGCCGACTGCTCGTTCATTCCACCCTACAGGCACCCCAGATCCTGCAAAGTACCATTCCGAGTCTTCGTCCGCGGCCATAGAATCAGAAGCCAAGTTTGCCGCTCACAACTACCACCCGCTGCCAATTGGTATGCACCCACAAACATCCTGCAGCGTCTTAGATTGCTAACAGTACATAGTCTTCTCGCGCGCAAGCGGAACCAGCGTCTGGGACCCCGAGGGCAAGCACTATCTGGACTTTCTCTCTGCGTACAGCGCTGTGAACCAGGGCCATTGTCATCCCGAGCTCGTCAAGGCGTTGACTGAGCAAGCCTCACGATTGACGCTTAGCAGCCGAGCCTTCTACAATGACGTCTTCCCTCGATTCGCCGAGTACGCTACCAAGCTTTTTGGTTTCGACATGATCTTGCCTATGAACACGGGCGCAGAGGCCGTCGAGACCGCTGTCAAAGTCGCGCGCAAGTGGGGCTACAAAGTCAAGGGCATTCCGCAGAACGAGGCGTTGGTCTTTGCAGTGACAGAAAACTTCCATGGACGAACCGTAAGCATCAAAGACACTATCGGCAACACCAGCTAATCCGACTCCAGTTCGCAGCCATCACCATGTCCACCGACCCCGAGTCGCGCGACAACTACGGTCCCTACCTCCCAGGTATCGGAAGCGCAGATCCTACGACTGGCCAGCCGATCCGCTACAACAACGTTGACGATGTGCGGGAAGTTTTCGAGAGGCATGGAAAGAACACTGCTGCTTTCCTGGTCGAGCCTATTCAGGGCGAGGCAGGCATCGTAGTACCAGACGACAGCTATCTGCGCGAAGTCAGGGCTCTTTGCGACAAGCACAATGTCCTACTCATCTGCGACGAGATTCAGACAGGTATTGCGCGGACGGGCAAGATGCTTTGCCATGAGTGGAGCGGTATCAAGCCCGACCTGGTTCTGCTTGGAAAGGCCATCTCAGGTGGCATGTATCCCGTTTCGTGTGTCTTGGGCTCAAAGGAGGTCATGCTCACCATTGAGCCTGGCACCCACGGTTCGACTTATGGCGGGAATCCGCTCGGCTCCGCTGTCGCAATCCGAGCTTTGGAACTTATCCAAGAGGAAAATATGGTCGAGCGTGCGGAGACGTTGGGTAACAAGTTCCGTGAGGGTCTGAAGAACATCAACAACCCTATGATCAAAACCATTCGTGGCAAGGGTCTGCTGAACGCTATCGTTATTGACGAGGCAAAGACGAACGGACATAGCGCGTGGGATCTGTGCATGCTCTGCAAAGAGAAAGGATTACTGGTAGGAAGAGCCCTCAAGGTCATGCATGCGAAAGAGGTCGACGGTACTAACGCGCACATACAGGCTAAACCTACCCACCAAAACATCATTCGCCTCGCGCCGCCGCTTGTGATTACCGAAGAGGAGATCGAATCCGCCCTTTCGATCATCAAAGAAGCAATGGAGGAGTTACCAAATCTTAAAGGCAAGAGGGAGGAAGAGGTGCTCCCAGCCGGGGAGAAGAATGTACATATCGGAGTGGACAACTAGCAGCGCGGTTGCTTTCCTTACGATACCCTTGGAACCCCTGTTGGCGGATAAGAACCGCATTGGCGTTGATGAACCTTCTCTTGCGCATCATACCGTAGATGGTCATCTGAGCAACGGCGTATAGACTGGTATGTCTCTGTGACCTTTGCATATGTGTGACTATCGCTACAGCATAGTTTACTCTACTTAGAGGACATAAGCGCCATTTCATGTGCCAAAAGCACTAGGTCTCGCAAAAAGTTGTATTTTTATTCATTTCGCATCCAACTCAAGAGTGACTTACTGTGGCTCTCGGTGTCAACCCTAATGCATAGGAATGAGTGATGATATTGAAGGGCGGCGTGCGGCGTGCCACATATACGAGGCTGAAGGGCAAAGGTACGCATCGTATTATCTAATGCAGAGGCATGCTACGAACAGCTGCGCCCTTTTCGTTTTGACACCACAAGGATGAGCAGAGTTGAGTTCGGTAGATAGACCCAAGTCAAGCTTTCGCCGCCGCCTCGCTAAGCCACCCGAGGGCTCCACTCTCTCTATTTGGGCCTCATTTGATCGCGCATCGATGCGAATTTACGACATCGAATTGTGGGACAGCGGTTTCTAAACATCTATGGAGGCCGAATGTGGTCCGTTGAAACACCATGTCCGATGCCGACAGCCCTTTTTTTTGTCCTGCCGGATAAGCACTACGCAACGAATGATATTTGACGTCGGGCCGTCGGGGCGTATTAGGATCCGATACGGTAAAAATGTTCTTTGATGCTTAGCAACCCCAGGTTATGTCACGGCTTTTGGCTTCGCGCCACACCTTATTGGCGAGGATAATTTCCGTTTAAGGCCATAGACTAGCCTGAAGGATGGCACTGATTTCATGACTGCCTCGCACGTATTTGAAGGTTGCCTGCACCTCGCAGATTTACCATCACACGACTCTTTGCATCCATTTGTAGCGTTCCCTTCGCATTTGCCTTTCATATTCGCGACAGTCGCTTTCACAACGCAGGCCGTATTGGGGAGTTGCGTTGTCGAAATCATCGGTTTGGCTCCACACCGCGTTCTCGCCCCCGGCAGACGACTTCCCCGAAATGACCAAGTCGGCCTCAACATCGTCGCTGGACGAGAACGACAAAGAGAAGGTCATTGGATTAGTTGATCCGCAAGCTGCCCAAGAGAATCCCACAGAATATGCGCCAATTAAAACCGAGAAGGACCTCGAAGCCGGTGATAGCAGCCAGAGCACAAGAGGCGCTTTATCAAGATTACCAAGCTCCTACTCGGAAATCAGCGACAATGAGTCGGACGCAAAAAGCACAATTCGAAAACGAAAGTGGTATAAGAGGTTGAATGTTTTGAAGAACAATCCACCACCTGTGCCCAAGGAGCGGGGCGTGTGTCCAGAGTACAGAGCGTCTCTCTACAGTCGCCTCACCTGGCAATGGATGCAACCGTTGATGAGAGTCGGCTATAAGCGTCCCCTCGAGAAGAACGACATATGGACCGTCAACCCAGACAGAAGCGCCGATGTATTAGCAGCGAGGCTGGAAGCCGCCTTTAAGAGACGGCGAGCTGAGGGTGGACAGAAGCCTCTTCTTGGGGCACTCTTTGACACCTTCAAGTGGGAGTTCATCATTGGGGGCCTTTGTCAACTGAGCGCGTCAGTCATTCAGTCGGTCGCCCCATTTGTTCTCCGATATCTAATCAGCTTCGCCGTCAGAGCGTATGTTTCTCAACACACAGGCTCGCCCGCGCCGAACCTAGGGGAAGGGTTCGGTTTAGTCATCACAATTACAGTACTACAATTCTTCCAGAGTTTGGCCACCAACCACTTCATGTACCGCGGAATGATGATTGGTGGAGAGGCGAGAGGTGTTCTCATCGCTCTCATCTTCAACAAAGCCATGAAACTGTCAGGGAGAGCCAAGGCAGGCGGTCAAGCAATCGCTGGAGCCCCACCTCCAGACATCAAACCAGGGAGCGAGGCGGAGAAGCAATGGTATAAGCGACTACTAAAACGCAAAGCTAAGAAACAAGCACCAGCTGGCCTCGTAGGTGTGGCCGGTGATGGGGAGGGATGGGGCAATGGACGAATCGTCAACTTGATGTCAACAGACACATACCGCATCGATCAAGCCAGCGGCTTCTTCCACATGATATGGACCGCTCCGATCAGCATCCTGCTTACAACCGCTCTACTTCTCGTCAATCTAAAATACAGCGCCCTCCCCGGTCTTGGCCTCATCCTTCTTTCTATGCCGCTGTTAGGTCGAGCTGTTAAGACACTTTTCCGCCGGAGAATGGCTATCAACAAGATCACCGACCAACGTGTGAGCCTGACACAAGAAATTTTGCAAGGTGTTCGCTTTGTCAAGTACTTTGGCTGGGAGACAAGCTTCCTTGAGCGCATCCAGACCATCAGGAAGAAGGAGATTCATGGCATCCAGGTCCTGCTTACCATCCGAAACGCTATTATGGCTGTTGGCATGTCGATGCCCGTCTTTGCGTCTATGGTCTCATTCATCACTTATTCGCAAGTCAACAGCAACCTTAACCCGGCGCCAATCTTCTCGTCTCTTGCTCTGTTCAACTCGATGCGTATTCCGCTGAATTTCCTCCCACTTGTTATCGGCCAAGTCATTGACGCAAATGCGTCGATCAGACGCATTCAGGAGTTCCTTCTGGCAGAGGAGGCAGAGGACAGTGCGACATGGGACTTCAACGCCAAGGACGCGGTAGTGATGAAGAACGCAGACTTTACGTGGGAACGCCACCCGACACAAGACTCTGAGGAAAACCCGGCTAAGAAGGGTGGAGAAAAGAAGGACAAGAGAGCGAGTATACAAGCCGCACAAGAAAGTAGCAACGCGGCAACTTCAGACGCCACAGCCGCAGAGGAAGAGAAGCCTTTCAGCATCAAAGGCCTTAATCTTACTTTTGGCAGAAACGAATTGGTTGCGATTATCGGGACCGTTGGTTCCGGAAAAACCTCCCTACTTGCAGCGCTCGCAGGCGATATGCGAAGGACAAACGGCGAGGTCACTATCGGTGCCTCTCGTGCTTTTTGCCCACAGTACGCCTGGATTCAGAACACAACCGTACGCGAGAACATTATTTTTGGAAAGGAGTACAAGAAGAAATGGTAAGTAGCTTCGCGGGGCCTTCAAGATCCTTGACGATCAGAAAGTTTCGTGAAGTAGTCTATGGCTACCCAAGGTATCTAGTTCTACTATTTTACATCTACTAATTATACCATTACGTTTAGGTACGATCAAGTCATCGATGCTTGTGCCCTTCGTCCGGACCTGGATATGCTCCCTCATAGCGATGCAACCGAGATAGGAGAGCGTGGTATCACTGTCTCCGGTGGGCAAAAGCAGCGCATGAACATTGCTCGAGCTATCTATTTCGACGCAGATATTGTTCTCATGGATGATCCCCTCAGCGCAGTCGACGCCCATGTTGGTCGCCACATCATGGACAATGCGATCTGCGGCTTGCTCAAGGACAAATGCCGCATTCTAGCTACTCACCAGCTCCACGTGCTGAGTCGGTGCGATCGGATCGTTTGGGTGGAAGAAGGACAGGTGCAAGCGGTTGATACTTTTGACAATCTGATGGCTCACAACGAAGGCTTCCAGCAGCTTCTGAGTACTACTGCTAAGCAAGAAGAGCATATGGAGGAAGAAGAAGTGAACGAGGATGAGGTGGAAGACGAAGTAAAGAGCACGAAGAAGCAGAGGAAGCAGAAAAAGCAGGCGGCGCTCATGCAAGTCGAGGAGCGTGCGACAAAGAGCGTATCCTGGACTGTCTGGATCGAGTACATCAAAGCAGGAGGTGGCATATGGGTCGGCCCGCTTGTGTTTATCCTTCTCGTGCTGAGTCAAGGAGCCAATATCGTTACCTCGCTATGGCTCTCGTACTGGACGTCCAACAAATTCGGCTATTCCGAAGGGTCGTATATCGGTGCTTATGCTGCTTTTGGGTTTAGTCAAGCACTCCTCATGTTCATGTTTTCCTTTGCTGTTTCCGTCTTTGGAACAGAAGCTGGCAAGGTCATGTTGCACCGCGCCATCACCCGGGTCCTTCGTGCGCCCATGTCCTTTTTCGACACCACTCCGCTTGGACGTATTACGAATCGCTTCAGCAAGGATATCGATGTCATGGACAACACTTTGACGGAAGCCATGCGCATGTACTTCTTGACGCTAGCTATGATCATTTCGTAAGTTCCTTCACCTTTTCAGTTGGAAACCCAAGACTTGGCCTACTACGAGAGCTTATGCTAACATGGAATAGGGTCTTCATCCTCATCATCTCCTACTACTATTACTACGCCATTGCCCTTGGACCACTCTTCGTTTTCTTCATGTTTTCAGCCGCCTTTTATAGGTCCTCTGCCCGAGAAGTCAAGCGCCACGAGGCAGTGCTTCGCAGCACAGTGTTCGCCCGCTTTGGCGAGGCGGTCATGGGCACCTCTACGATCCGGGCATACGGCCTACAAGATCAGTTTTCTAGGTCTGTCCGGACAGCTGTCGACGACATGAACAGCGCTTACTACCTCACCTTCGCAAACCAGCGGTGGCTGAGTGTGCGTCTAGACATTGTCGGTATTCTGTTGGTCTTTACAACTGGTGTCTTGGTCGTCACGAGCCGCTTCTCTGTCGACCCGAGTATTGCTGGCTTGGTGCTTTCGTATATTCTTTCCATTGTGCAGATGATCCAGTTCACTGTGCGTCAGCTCGCCGAGGTGGAGAACAACATGAACTCGGCTGAGCGCATCCACCATTACGGAACTCAGTTGGAGGAGGAAGCACCTCTCCACATGGGCGAAGTACGACCGACTTGGCCGGAGCACGGGGAGATTGTGTTTGAGAATGTGGAGATGCGGTACCGCGCCGAACTACCTTTGGTGCTGAAGGGCTTGAGCATGCACGTCCGGGCTGGTGAGCGTATTGGTGTCGTTGGCCGAACGGGCGCGGGCAAGTCGTCCATCATGTCGGCGTTGTTCCGATTGCAGGAGCTGTCTGGAGGATCCATTGTCATTGACGGCGTGGATACTGGCACGATTGGTCTCCATGACCTCCGCTCGAAGCTGGCCATCATTCCCCAGGACCCGACTCTATTCAAGGGCACAATCCGTTCGAACTTGGATCCTTTCCACGAGCACTCGGATTTGCAACTTTGGGGGGCGTTGCGACAATCTGATCTCGTGTCTAACGAGTCAACAATGGATGACCACTCTGGAAGAATACACTTGGATAGCGTGGTAGAAGAGGAAGGGCTAAACTTTGTGAGTAAAGGCCATGTCAGAGTTGCCTATGGGACCACAAGCTAACGTTTTTCTTTTCAGTCACTCGGTCAGAGGCAGTTGCTCGCGCTTGCGAGAGCGCTCGTTCGCGGTTCCCAGATCATTGTTTGCGACGAAGCAACCAGCTCGGTCGATTTTGAGACAGATGCTAAGATCCAGAAGACTATAGTAGAGGGATTCCGTGGCAAGACACTGCTCTGCATCGCGCATCGTCTCAAGACGATTATCAATTACGACCGCATCTGTGTCATGGACGCGGGGCAGATTGCGGAACTCGATACCCCGCTGCACCTCTACGACCAGGGCGGCATCTTCAAGGGCATGTGCGATCGGTCTGGAATCCAGAGACAGGACTTGGTTGCGCAGAGCTAGAGGCGTTGGGGTTTGCAACGATGATGGAAGTGGTAGAGGCTGCCGAAGCTGCTAATTTAGTGATGCGGCTGCTTGCTAGGATGAGGGATGCATGAGGGATGCAGACTAATAGACATGGATGGCAGGGTATGGCGTTTGGAGCGCCGTTCGGAGATTGAGTTTGGATATACCATGAGATGTCGCGATGACCCAGGCGCGGTCGTTTTTCAACAACGACAACAACGGATCCCTCGACAGCGTGGCGTGTCAGTGTCGATAGGCGCAGTACCTCAACACGCGTAGCGACAAGCGTAGACGGCGTTGAAGCTTTCCGCGCCTTGGCAGATGCGGTGCCAGACGCTTGGGGCATCCAGGCCTTGGGTTATCGACACAAGCGTAGAATCCGTACACCTGGCGAAAGTTGGGCTTGGATTGCGCGTGCTTGATAGCAACAAGGGCATCGTGGGTGATCGATAGCAGTAGGTAGTGGTGGCAAAGGCCGCAGGTTTGCATTAGCGGTATGTTGGTTGGACGGGACGCACGTGCTGGCTGAGAGTGGGGAGCAGGCCATGCACCGGTACATGGCCAGGATCTTTGTTGCGTACATATTATTCGTGCATTATCTAATCTCAAAAAGTATCTTCAAGGCTATACAGTATCGTGCTGCAGAGCAGACAGGTTGCTTTCAAGTGATGGCTCGACCCATCTCTGGCACCAACCAACATGACGGACGCGTGCACGTTGAACCCGACAGCAGTTGGTTAGCGTTTGCCTCTTCGGTAGGCTATGCAAGAGGCTACCTACCGGCACGAGCGAGCGAAGAAGCATCGAGACGTGACACGACGAACAGCAGATCAGTCGGCGCACAGCAGCGCTTGCATGAAAGACAAGATACGGGCGTCCAAGCATATCCAGGCTTGTTCCCATGCACGCTTTAGCCGTAGACGGCTTGAGCCGCACGGATGCGTTGAGGCCAAGATTTGCAGCAGCCGCGGGCACGGATTCTAGAGCAGAGGCTGCAGCTAATAACTAACCCCTATGGATCTTCAGGGACGCTCAAGCTCAAGCTCATGCTCATGCTCATGCTCATGCTCATGCTCAAGCTCACTCGGTGTGAAGAATTGGGGCCCCTCGCTTGCAAGCGGCGTCAAGCTCCAGTCATGAGTCGTCGTCATGTGGCGCCGTGTGCTGGCAGGGCATTGATGAGACGGGTACTGGATTGACGAGGGCGACCAGAGTGCGACAATAAAGTCCGGGAATTCGATTCACAATAGTTTCCTCCAGGGCTGTCTCGTCAAATCAAACGGGGGGGAGGCCAGCGACGTCAATTCGCGGCTGCACCCCCATTCGGCATAGCGGCGACCATTATAAGTGCCACCGCAAGCTAGCATCCATGGGCTCCATTCACACAGACCTTCTGGAGAACTGGGCCTGGGGTATCACTCTATCAAATTCATCGCTAGGTTCTCCCTCCCCTCCCGCCACGCTCCTTTTGCTAGCCACACCCTTCGTTTCGTGGCTGCAGCCTCCTCCCCGCCCAAAGTCGACTGATTCTACTAGTTAGTACCTGTAGCTGGCTACTTCCAACTACGTCTGTTTGTTGATCATCGCTCCTTCCCCCCCCTGGCTCCTGCAACTGCAATTCACCAATCCTTCCTTGCCTGTCCAACTCGTCTCCCCCCATTTTCGGTTCTACAAAGCAATCCCACGACTCGGTCAGGAGAGAGCCATCGAATCACCTCGAGCCCCATGCCATTCCTGCTGTGACTCCACCCCCGACTCAAAACAGTCGCACCACGCTCGCCCGTGCAGCCCTCCTGCATCTCTGCAGCACGCAAACCGTCCGTCTAGAGGGTCCTCCTGACGACGACACGTTCGCGCTTCAAACACCGTCTTTGTCTGCGTGAAACACCCTCTCGCCTACGTCACAATGGCCTCAGGCGAGAAACCCATCACCTTTGGGGCGACCATTGAGCGCCCAACCAGCCTTTTAGCTCTCGACCCTCCTCTCCGCTCCCCGCCCTCCAACGACTCCACCATGTCGTCCGCAACAGCAGAGGCCGCCAAGAAGGAGTGGGCTCTCGACCCATCCAACCCCTACTCGGCCTTCTACAAGCACCCCGAAGCTCGCCGCTCCATGGACGGCGCCAGCGCCCCCCAGAGCAAGACACACCTCAACGTCACCACCTACGAACCTCGCGATCTCGAAGCCGGCGTCCCCCTGTCGGCAGCCACCACACAACAGCCCAAAACCTCCGTCGATGGTCGCGTCAAGGAGTGCACCATGTGGCCCTCAAGACAGGCCGTCTTGGACAAGCGGAAGACGGCCGTCCGGACCCGTGGCTGCGCTTTCTTCCGGAACTTGACCAGCAAGCAGAGACTGTGGGCTAAGATCATCATCGCTCTCCTCGTCGTGGCTGCTGCGGTAGGTCTCGGCGTGGGCATCTCGAGAGCTGTTGGCGGCGGTGTCTGGGCTGGCCAGGGCAGGAACAAGGAGATTCCACATAACTGAGCTTGGGCTGCTTGACAACAGGTTCGTTCATCTCAATTACACCGATGACCAAAGAATGGCCAATGCTAACACGCTGCAGAGTACACACCCTCTCTCTCTCCCGCAAACACGCCACTTTGACAAACTTTGCTTCAACAACATCATTTCTTGATATCCATTGCCGACTTCACTGTCCATTGTTTTTCCGGTCATGTCCATACCACTCCCGCCTTCCTCTGTTTCCTTGGTTTCGGCGTCCATCTGCTTTGCGTCGATGCAACAATCACATGGGTTTAGGCGTACACAATGGGCGACTTTTTTCAATTTGCATTCTGTACATGCATTCGGAGCGACGGAGCATAATGGGTTCAATACACGTTTACTTTTTGGGAATGGGGTTACATTTGTAGACATGGGAAGAAGAAATCCTGTCGTGCATTGCACACACGGAGAGAATGAGAATTAAGCATTGCCTCTGCAGAAGAGGCGAGCTTCAACAGCAGTCGTGTCTTGGTCTTGTAACTTGTGATTCCCATGTCGTACTCATTTCTATCATGTCATCAGCTCACTCGATGAGAGCCAACACGTTCAGCCCACAAGGTTAGTAATTCTAGATCACACCATTGTGTGCACTTTAATCGATGCCTCACAGCTTGGTTGACCCATTTAGACCCAACTTTGAGATCGGTCTAACAATCACTTGTCATTTTAACTATAGTCACCTCTAAACTCGAAACGTGGGTATCTCGATAATATCGTACCAGACTTTTCAAAGCCACTCAATTGGCCCATATCCGAACCTGCTTGTCTGCCCCTCCGCTGCCTACCCGTCCACCGTCCGGACTCCAGTCCAGAGCAAAGACCTGGTCTTTATGTCCGGGAAGGTCTTCCTTCAGTTTGCCTGTCCTCATATCCCACACCTTCAGCGTAGTGTCCTTGCTGCAACTCGCCAGTAAACGACTGTCTGCGGAGAAACATGTCATGTACACTGGGCCGACGTGAGCTCTCAAGGTATTGAGGAACTTTCCGTCGCGAGCAGACCAGAGCTTGACGTGGTTGTCCCATGCTGCAGAGGCTATAAGCGCGCCGTCGGGTGAGAAGGTGACTTGGTTGATTTGCTTCTGGTGGCCTGTCATTCGCGTCACGGGCTTTATGCTGCTTAGCGGTGTCCAGAGGATAATGGTGCAGTCTTCAGACGCTGTGGCCAGGCGCTCTACTACCTCGCCGTTGACGGTAGCCGCCTTTTCGAAGCGAGCCTTGGCTTTTGCGAGCTTTTCCTCGGGCGTCGGTGGTACTTTGCGCGTATGGTCATGATACGAGGTTCGGAGGACAAACTCGGTGGAGAGGGCGAGGTGGTTGACCCAGTGAGCGTGGCCGGCTAGTGTGCTGACAAGTCTGCCAGTCGCAGCATCCCATACTTTGATCGTCTTGTCGTGTGAAGACGTGTATATGCGTCCGGTGCCACCCCATTTCACGCACGTCACACTGCCCTTGTGTCCGGACAGCGCATAGTCGATCTTGCCTCCCACTGCATCCCAGACTCGTACTGTGCCATCCTTAGAAGACGACGCCACTCTTGGGCGACCCGGTTCTTGTAAATGGAACGGCTCCCACGAGAGCGAAGTGATGAAGTTTGTGTGGCCTTTCAGAGGACCTCCAATCTGCTTTCCAGTGCTCGGGTCCCATATCCTTACTTCGTTGTCGTAGCCTCCAGATGCTAGTAGCGAGCCGTCGGGCGAGTAGCTCACGGCCAACACCCACCTCGAGTGGCCCTTCATCGTGTGTACGGGTGTTCCGGTGTCGCAGTCCCATATCCTCACTGTCTTGTCTCCGCTTCCACTTGCCATTCTGCTCGAGCTTACTGGGGAAAAATTCACAGCTAGAATGTTGTCTCCATGACCTGAGATGGCTGCAGCGCATCTTGACACTGCTTTGACTCGGAAAATAGCTTGCGGCGCATACTGCAGCACAATCTCACTTTCGGCTGAAGCCTTCCCTGGCTTCACCAAGGCATTGTACAGGTCGTCCTTGTCTGCAAGCGCCTCGGTAGCGCCATCGGGGAAGAAGCGGTACGGTATTCGGTCGTCGCCTTGGTCTTTCAGCTCGTTGAGCAGGATCTCGAGGTTCTTAGTCGTCGCTTGCGATAATTGCACCGTGAGAACCGGGAGGCTGCCACTTTCGCCTGTGGCCTGGTCTACGAAGCGCACTCGTACTGTGCCATCAGGTATCGTGCTGTCGATATCTTGTTGGAGGCGCGCAATTTCTCCCTGTGCTCGCTTCTGTCGTTTTGACGGGGGCGGGTATTGAGTAGCCATGTTTTATTCCTGCTACTGACGAGAAGTAGCAACAAGCGAGATACGAACAGCAAAGAGAAGTGTTCAATGTTCTGTTGCTGAAAACTTCCCCGCTGCCGAAATCCCAAAAACTTTCTGGATGTGTTATCGATAAGAAGCCCGCTAGCAGGGGTGGCGCGCTAGCGATTTACTCTCCCCGACGCGTCTTCCCGTCTGGACATTCACCCACCACACTGCACCCTCTGAAGCCTGAGGGTTGCAACAAAGACACGTGATCAAAGACTAACTCACAGCATTAACGTTCATGTCTCAGCGATTCAGACCCTCCACGTCCTACAGCACCTCTGCGTCGACATCGTACGGCTACGGATATGGTGACTATAATACGACTACAACCTCACGTCCAGGAACCCGTCGAGGTACCGGCAGACCTTCGACTGCTCGCCCAAGGACCGGTGCATCTACAATTGCCAGGATCGAAGCTCAGCATGTCGTCTGTGCTGTTGCCGAGTCTCGTGGCATCTCACCTACAGTCGGCTTAGCCTTCGTCAACCTCGACACGGCAGAAGCAGTGCTTTGCCAGATCTGTGACAGCCAGACTTATGTTCGAACAGTCCACAAGTTGAAAGTGTATGCGCCTTCAGAGATCCTAATCGTCTCAACCGCAGCCAGCCCGAAGTCGAAGCTCTTCTCTATCATTGAAGAAAATCTTGAAGATATCGATAGCAAGCTGACCTTGCTCGACCGCCGTTACTGGGCTGAATCTACAGCATACGAGTACATACAATCTCTCGCCTTCAAAGAAGATGTTGAAGCCATCAAGATCTCGGTCACTGGCAACTACTACGCAGTGTGCTGCATTGCAGCTGTGAGTAGTACTCCCAGCCTCATAGAAACCGACTAAGAAGAAGGCAGGCCCTCAAGTACATTGATTTGGGTTTGGGAATGGTATTTTCCTTCCACTCTCTAAGAATGAGATATGAACCTTCAGAAGGGTCGATGATGATCGATGTGTCCACCATCTACTCGCTTGAACTCGTCCAGAACCTGCAGAACTCCAGATCAAGGGATTGCTTATTTGGACTTCTCAATGAAACCCTCACCCCAATGGGAGCGCGCCTTCTTCGAAACAACGTCTTACAGCCGCTCACTGACCCAGAAGTGCTAAACATACGCTATGCTGCCGTGGATGACTTGACTAAGAAAGAGGAGCTGTTCTTCGCAACTCGGGCAGGTCAGTGGTCCACCTTGAGCTGCATCATGCTTTTCTTATTAACATTCAATAGCATTGAAAAACTTCCTCGACGCTGACAGAATTCTTACTGCGGTATGCATCTTAATCACGTAGAAACTGGTTGTACTAATCTGAGTGCAGCTGATCGTCACACCGAGCAAGTCCACTCTACAAACGACCGAGCAGGCTATAAACCAAGTCATCATGCTGAAGCAGTTTGTGAGCTCCGTGAATCCCGTCTTCAAGGCTCTCACTGGAACAGCATCGACTATGCTGAACAACATTCGTGAGGTTCGTCTGCACATATGCTACCTATGCCTCTTACTAACGGTATTTGTTAGCTGTGTGCTCCTGTGAACGTGGCACCTATTCAAGAATTCATCAATCGCGTTATCAACGAAGACACCACCTACGCTAGGCAGCCTCTTGAGCTCAGAAACCAACGCACCTATGCCGTCAAGTCCGGTGTCAACGGCCTCCTCGATGTCGCCCGCACCACGTATAAAGAAGCAACAGAAGATGCGTATCAGCACTGTACCGAACTGGGCCGTAAGCGGCCACCGGAAATCCATTCCGAGTATTGTCGCTAACTTCACAAAGAGGAGTACGGCATTCAGCTTGACATGAAGTATGACAATGCCCGACAGTTTTACATCAAGATTTCGAAATCCGAGCTTGAAGGAAGAATACTGCCACCCATCTTCACTAATATCCTTCGTCGCAAAAACCACATTGAGTGTCAGACACTTGAGCTGATGAAGCGCAATCAAAAGGTACATAAATTACCTGAGCAACTAGTGAGCTCTCGCTGAACCCTCGTAGATCAACGTGTCTCATCAGGAAGTGATCTTAATGAGTGAGTCCATCTGCTTAACATCGGTTCAAGCCATCCCTGATAGCATTAGGCGACCAAGCTGTCGAGACTCTCATTGAGGAAGTCCGCAGCCACATGTCAGTCATGTTCAAGATTTCCGAAGCGATCGCTTTGCTAGACATGGTAGCGTTACGTGTGTTCGGACCGGTTGACCATACTCACCCATGTTAGATCTCTTCCTTTGCGCACCTTGTTACAGTGAACAACTACAGTAAGTGAACATTTCATTATCCTACTAATATCTAGCTACTTACTCACGTTTGTAGTTCAACCACAACTCACTGATACACTTGGCATCGAGGCTGGACGTCATCCGGTCAAAGAGAAAATTATGCAAACCAAGTTCGTCCCCAATGACGTCTACGCTACTCAGCAGACGCGGTTCCAGATTATCACTGGCTGCAATATGAGTGGAAAGAGTACCTACATTCGCTCTATTGCATTGATGGCTATCATGGCTCAGATCGGCTGCTAGAATGACTCTCTTCAACCAGGCACATGGTCACATCCGTTCTAACTGTCCTCAGTGTTCCTGCTACCTACGCGTCATTTCCGATCCTGCACCAGCTATTTGCGAGACTCGGTATGGATGACAACATTGAGACGAACGTATCCACCTTTGCGGCAGAGATGAAGGAGATTGCCTTCATATTGCGCAATGTCGATCGGCGCAGCCTGTACGTCCTTGACCCAGGTCTTCCGTATACCATGGTTTAACCTTAGTCTAGGGTCATTATCGATGAGCTAGGTCGGGGCACTAGTACGAGAGACGGTTTAGCCATCGCTATGGCAATTGCGGAAGCTCTCGTCTCAAGCAGAGTGAGTAATGCGTCCGTAATATCGCCCACAACTAAATGGTTGTTAGGCTCTAGTCTGGTTTGTAACGCATTTCAAAGATCTTGCAACCATGATGAGTGCGCGTGCCGGAGTGCAAAATCTACATTTGGCTGTCGAGGTTAGTGTCAACTGTATCAGATGAGCCTGTCTGATGCGTGAATCCAGATGGAGAATGAGAAAAGCATGACGATGCTCTACAGAGCAATCCTAGGTGTTGTCAAACAGTCTCACTATGGCCTAACACTGGCTCGCGTAGTCCCACTTCCACCAGGCGTAATCGAACACGCTACATACGTCGCAGAAAAGCTCGAACGTCACATGCTACGAAGGAAAAAGGCATCAGAGACTGTGCTTAGGGAGAAGCGCCGCAAGCTCATACTTAACCTCAAGGAGCATCTTGTCCAAGCGCACAACGGTGTGCTAGAAGGTGGAGTCCTCACCGCATGGCTCAAAGAGCTACAGAAGGAGTTCATCAACCGTATGACCGCTCTGGAGGTCGAGGCAGCAAGTGCACGTCAGGAGAGCGACAGTGAAGATGATGGAATAGCAGATGGAAGCGAGCACGACGAAGAACGATTAAGCACGTCTGCTAGTCAGCCTTCAGTCATAACGATCGATTCGCACATCACTTCGTCCGAGTCCGAGTCCACCATTCGAACCATGTCAGAGGCCTCTACGGTCCGAGCGGTGTCTGACAATGAGCGGTAGGGGGGCTCTACAATGGAAATATCACAACACCGTGGGCACACCTTAACGCAAATTTTCGTTTCGCTTCATGAGCATTTTCGGGCAAATGTGAGGAGAGGAAATGTTCTGGTTTCCATCTTGCGATGGACTCATGTTGCTTTCCATGCATTTGCAATATGCCTAGGCGAAGCAACCCGCCACTTGGTGGATGTAGAGGAGACCTGCACACTATGCAGCAAGTGTTTAGTCACTTAGTATAAATAGTCGAACTTTATCGAATATAGCTCTCCTGACATTGAAGTTTGCAACCAAAGCAATGTCCTTACAAATTCCGGCTACGCTCACTGGTTCGCTGTTCTAGCCGAGGAGATGCAACATCACGGAAGGGCTAGCGGAGTAATGATCACCAATGATCCACCGTATGCTCAGAATCTTACTCTACCATCACATTGACATGCGCCCTAAACGCGCTTAGAGTAACCGTAACCGAAGCCTTCTACTTATGTAAAGTTGCTTTCTCTAAACTTGGGTTTTCTTAGAAGCATACGGAACCACAGTCCCGAAAGCAGTAACAAAATGGACCAAGTTCAAAGACTGAAAAAGGATTATCCATGGATTCAAACACCGCTGATAGTAGGAGCGCCAATGCGACTCATCGCGTTAGCAGACCTAGCCGTGGAGATAACAAAAGCCGGTAATACCTATGTCCATTTTCTTCACGCTCTCTACTTCCATTACATCAAGCCACACCACGCAAACATCATCAGACTTACATCTTCTACAGGCGGCATCGGCTTCATAGGCGCTGGAACAGACATATCTGATCTCACCACCCATCTCCAATCTGCCCAGACCCAACTGGGATCCACATCATCAACAGCCCTCCTACCCATTGGCATCGGCTTCATCAACTGGGGCGCTGACCTAGACGCCAGCATCCCTATCATCGCCCAGTACCGCCCCGCAGCAGTATGGTTCTTCGCACCCTCTTCCACTTCATCGCTCGTCGAGTGGACGCAGAGAACACGCGAAGTAAGTCCCAAAACGAAAGTATGGGTACAAGTAGGCAGCGTGCTCGAAGCGCTCGAAGCAGTAAGGAACGCAAAGCCCGACGTACTCGTCGTGCAGGGTACCGACGCAGGAGGCCACGGCCTAGCGCAGGGAGCAGGTATAATCAGCCTACTACCCGAAGTCTCTGATGCCGTGCAGCAAGAAGTCGCTTCTCCAGCGGAAGAAGAAGAAGAAGAAGAAGAAGAAGAAGAAGAAGGAGGAGGAGGAGGAGGAGGTAAAAAGGAGGCCTACGCGCCGGTTCTACTCGCAGCTGGCGGCATCGTCGAATCCCGCGGCGCTGCAGCAGCACTCGCACTCGGCGCGGGGGGCATCGTCCTCGGCACGCGCTTCCTAGCTAGTCGTGAAGCGAATATCTCGCGCGGATACCAGGCTGAAGTCCTGCGTGCCGTGGATGGCGGGCAGACGACTGTGCGGACTAAAGTGTACGATGACTTGCGGCGCACGAGGTGGGCGGACACGCATAATGCTCGGGGGGTGATTAATAAGAGCTATGTTGATGCGATGAGGGGAATGGATGAAGAGGAGAATAGGAGGTTGTATAATGAGGAGATGGAGAAAGGGGATGCGGGCTGGGGGGTCGAGAATAGGATGACTACGTATGCTGGGAGTGCGGTTGGACTGGTGAAGCAGGTTATGGGGGCGGGAGAGATTGTTAGGGAGGTTAGAGAGGGTGTGAAGGGCGTGCTTGAGGGCGTTAGAGAGAGACTCTAGCGGGTTTTGAACGCATGGGACCGGTGCGGTTCAGAGGAGCGAGGAATGGATGGAGTCAATCTCAAGTTGATGATAAATCTAACAAGCCAAGCCTAGACTTTTGATGAAGCGGGGAATCATTATTACTATGTTCGTCGATATTACCTATTACATATTCCAAAGTCTATCGCATCTGGCCAAAAGCTATGCGCCAGGATGCTTTTGAAGCGAATCGTATCTACAGAAAGCGCGGTCAAGTCCATCACTGTCTACGTCATAACTATAGTTGCTTCTCTCTCCTTTCCCACTCAACAAAAGACTTGGCTAACGGTCTCGAGAACAAACTCGAAAAATCAGTACCGGCAATATTTTTGCTCCCGCCAACATTCTGCATCTTAAACTCCCTGACAAAAGCCACGAGAATCGTTTGCAGATGCAAATACGCGAACTGCTCACCAATACACCTATGCCTCCCCGCACCGAAGGGCAAATACGGACTCTTTGTGCCCTTTGATACGACACCCCAGCCGTAGTCGATTTTGTCCTCGTCTTTCTCCTCGGCCTCTTCGTAATTATGTTGGCCTGCGTCCCAGCGGTGCGGGTCCCAGTGGGCGGGGTTGGCGAAATACGTGTCTAGTTGAGCAGAGAAGCCGGGCGAGGACATCAAAGTATGAGAGGGATTCACAACGTAGTTGGTTCCATCTATGACGAGGGTGTTCTTGACTTTGCGCATGATGGAGTGAATAGGAGCGTGGAGACGGAGTGTCTCCTTGACGGTCTGGGCGTGGAGGGGCAGCCTCTGGAGATCTTCGTAAGTGAGGGCTGGAAGGTCTTCGCCTAGGACAGCCTTCTGCTCTGCATAAAGCTCTTCGACGAGGTGCGAGTTCTGGGCCAGACGGAGCAAGATCCAGGAGATAGTAGAGGACGACGAGTGCTGGCCAGCCATGAGTAGTGCAATCATGATACCAGCGATCTCGTGCTCGGGAACTGGCGTGCCATCCTTGTATTTGCAATCCATCAAATGCCAGATCATGTCGTGCTCGCCGTCTTTCCTCGCTGCACCTGCTCTCCTCTTACGAACAATATCAGAGTATAGTTTGATCATCTTCTCTCGCGCGTTGTCGCGTGCGCGGTTATGCGGAAGTGGGGCCCATGACAGCATGAAATTAATGGGGGAGAAACCCATGTCTAGATCGTGGTATAGTTGGGCGACTTCCGCGTCGAAAGAGTTGCGGATTTCCTCGCCCTGGAGAGAGCGGGACGCGGTATAGATGGTGAGCTCAGCCATAATCTGGGGCACGTCAAAAATTCCCTTTTGTCCCTTGAAAGTCTTGTGGCGCTTGAAGAAGTCGTCGACTTCGCGTGTAATGAGGGTCACGTAGGAGCGGAGGGCTTCTTGTGTGAGACCAAACTTGACGAACTATTCGTGTATTAGTCAAAAAGCTCGATCTGAGGCGATTGGTTGTGTGTGCGCACCTTCTTCTGCTCCATGAGCTTCGAGTTGGGGCAGTCGTAGACGACGTCCTTGCCAAAAACAGGTGTTGTGAGCGGGGCGTAGATTTCCTCGGCATTGACATCCTTGAGCTTTCCGTTCAAGATGAAGTTGTTTCCCGTGGTGTCCAGGCACACAGTCATCTTGCGACCGAGGAGAATGAAGGTGAAGACGTTGCCGTACTGTTCGAGGTCAGTCTGTTGTTCGCTTGCCACGACGTCTCGTACACACCTTCTTCTGGTTCTTGAAGAAGAACTCATACGGTTCCATGCCATAGGTAACGGTATTTCCGATGATGGGAAACCAGTGAAAGACCATAGGCGGCTCGTTAGGCTTCTTGAACAGTAGCTGCTTCAAGACATTGAGGACCACGGCCAGCAGGATAAAGGAGGCGAAACCGGCGGCGACGACGACGGGCTTGGACGAGTTGGACGTAAAGTCGCCCAGTGGGCCAGCGACGTGAGCGAGGACACCCATACTTGACGATAGAAGGCAGAGTAAGGACTGCTCGAGGCTTGAGAGAGCGCAACGGCAGAAGGGGGACACGCCTAGTAGATAAATTTCCCAGCGGTCGAGGCAGCGCTCGGGCCACGGTGCATGCATGGGGCGTTCCGTTCAGGGCGGCTCAGGGCGGTCTGCGCAAGGGCTTGGCAGGGCCGGAGGGGCCCCACCCGTCAAAGGAGAGCATCGCACCACTAACGGCCGACGTAATACAACTGACGCTTAATCAAACTCCCCTCAGCCTCTGCAGACACGCCATCGCCATCGTACAGAGCCTCCCCCTATTGGCCGACAAGACATCAGCTCATCAATTTCCCCAAAGAGACCATGGAAAGTTGCTACAAGCTAGAGATTCTTTGACAAAGCGTACCGTGTGCTCCCCAGATTGGCCCTCACAGCACAACACACGCTTGCCCAATGTCAATTGATACCCATGATTATTTTACAGTGCCTATACTGGCCGACACGATGGAACGCCAGCCAACCAAAACACCCAGAGTACGCCGGACGCGCAGCTCAAAAGACGAGACTAGACCCACCCCTACTCCTTCTCAACCATCCCTCTGCTCTGCAATGACGCAAGACTTTGGTCAGTTGCGTACCGAGAGCCGTCTTCTTGTTCCGAGTACAGTGTCTGGTCGCCCTTGCCGCCCATCTCGATGAACTCGTTGGGGTGTCGCTTTTCATCGGGTTGCGCTTCCTTGACGCCGGCCTTGTTCATCTTTGTGCCATTCTGGAGTCCGTTCTTCTCGTACACCCTGACTGCCTCCTGCCCAGCGCCGCCTTGAATCACGCGAGACACTCTCACATCGTTGATGCTACTGAGCATAGTTCGTTCTCGTTGAATCTTGCGCTTCGAAAAGTCGAGTTTGGAGATTGCGCCTGTCAGCCCATCTGTGCTGTCATTGACGTTGATGGTGGCCAGTGTCGTCCAAGGATGCTCTAAGCATTCATCAATGCTGATCCTTGACTCGACATCCACGGTAAGCATGCGGTCAATCAAATCGAGCGCAGAATCGCCAACAGAGTCCCAGTACGGCGACGGGTAGTCGAACCGGCCCATCTTGATCTGTTGCGATAGCGTGTAAGGATTCTCACTGCTGTAGAGTTCGTCTGAGAATGGAGGAAAGCCACACAGGCAGATGTACAACACCACGCCTAGTGACCAAACATCGACTGCACGTGTGTAGCGGCGATGGTTAGAGTTTTCGAGTATTTCGGGTGCGACATCTTTCGAAGGGTTAGCTTGAATCACCAGAATAAAGGCTGCCTAACATACATGATGGCGTGCCGCATCTATTCCGAGTTAGCATACGTAGCATTCATCCAGGCGTTGATTGACTTACAGGGTAGTAGTGAAAGACTCCTCGCCAATGATCTTCGCAAGCCCAAAGTCAGCTAACTTGACGGATAGGTTCTTGTCGGTAAGCAGGATATTCTCTGGTTTGATGTCGCGATGGACAATGTTACGTTCGTGCTGGAGCTGGTTAGCTACATCAGATACTAAAGATATCATACATACCAGATATTTCACACCCTGAAACAACTGTACGAAGACTTTGCGCGCCTCCGCTTCAGTCAATTTCTGTTTCATGACGATCCAGTTGAATAGCTCGCCCTCGGCTGCTAACTCAAGGACAAGATAGGTACCGTCGTCTTCGTTGAATGTGTCCTTGAGGCAAAGCAAAGTTGGGTGATTAACCCCCATGAGGACAGCAATTTCTTGCTGCAGACCATCGATCTTTGACTTCTCCCCGGGTCCCGAGCGCTTTTCGAACTTCTTGACCGCGTAGCGTAGCCCAGTTGTCTTCTCGATACACAGATACACCGAAGCGAAGTGGCCCTTGCCCAATTGCTCCTGTATTGTGTACTGCTGGCGAAACCTGTGTGTATTCCGCCTGAGCGCATACCTGAAGACGAAGCGGGCTTGGTCAAGGATGGCAATCTCATCGCCCTCTTGTAGTTCACGGCGCTTGTTCCGTCCGACAAAGGCATCGTTAACGAATGTTCCGTTACCCGACAGATCTTCAAGTACGGCGGTAACGTCTCCGCCCTTCTTCTCCGTAAACAAAAGGCAGTGTCGGTTTGAGACGGTTGGGGAGTCCAAGATGCGATCTGGGCCGTGTCAGAATCAATTTAATGACATTCAAACTCGCGCTCCGAAACCTACCGCACTCTCGATGACGGCCGATGAGATAGCCACCGGCTACAACACCATGGTTCTCCTTCTTATTTTCGTAGCCCTCTTCCTGGTCCTTGTATTCGCCTTTGGATACTTTTTCTTTTCCGGTTGTCCTACCCACCAGATCCGCAGGGACTGGACAGGCCTCTCGACGTTTCAAAACAAGGACATCCCCCGCAGGATCGTCCATAGGTACTAGATAACCCCATACCTCCTGGCCCTCTTCATCGTCAACGGCATATGTTCGGGTCTCTGACGGGTATGAAAACTGGGTGAATGGCTGTGTGTCTGAGGGGGGCGAGGATAGGCCGTTGGCGATACGCTTTGCCTGGGAGCCTATTGCCTGACTAGGTCGTGTGTCTGGAGGGGTGGCGGTGCCCTCTTTGTAGTCATCCGATACCGTGGACTCCTTGTTAGTTACGGGCGAAGGCAGCGGACCTTGCTTGAGACGGCTCTGGGGGTTTGGCGACAGGCGGGAGTGGCGGGCTTTCTTAGGTTCGACTTGCTCTCCTTGAGATTGCTACATCAATTGAACCGTCAGCACACAGAGTCTCGTAGGCATACGCCCGTTTCCAATAGCTTGTCACCTACGCGGCCTCGCTTGAGCTGGCTTTTCTCGGTTTGCGCCGGCATCTTGTCAATGAATGATTTGCTATGCGGTCGAGGCGGAGGAAGATCAGTGCTGCCGCGTGTTAGGGAATGGTGGCAGTCAACAGCATAGGGATGTAAAGCACAGAGGCGTGTAACGAAGCGGGAGAGTCTGGACGCTAGACTCGAAAGTTGAGGCTGCCTTGAGGTTCCAGGCAGCCAAGGCTGGGGAGCTGCACCTGCGCCCGCCGCGATCTCCGCATCCATGTCTGGGGGGCAACCTGACCCACCACTCTACTGCCGGAGCTTTTTTTGGGGGGCGTCCCTTGCTTCAGGGCTCATTCATTCATTCACTGACAACAATTACACGAAGATAGGAAGCACACAAGTTAATCGTTGCACTACCATTCGTACGCCCCAAGTGTGCCATGTCGTCAGACCAGCAATGTGCATGACAGCCAAGACACACAAGCTGCCGGAAAAGGGAGCATCCAGAGAGATCTTCTTATCCTAGTCCATTTACTTTTCAAGTGGGAAAAAAATCTCCGTGTCGGGATATGCTGTCTTCGTTTCCACGTCTAGCCGCATCAGACTTTGACGAAGCGTGCAACAGTCTCCTCGGGAGATATCGCCGGGCCGGTCAGAAGCAGGAAGAATGGTTATCGATTGAGACAGTCTATCATTATGATATGACATATCTCAGCATCACTAAAGCGCTTCCCGATGCAGTGTATATTCCCAAAGACTCGAATGATGACGACGAGGTAGACGAAGTGGAGGAGGATGACGAAGAAGTAATCGCAAAATCCTCAGTACCCCAGGCAATCATCAACTACGACATCGTCCTCTCGCCAACATATCAAGTGCCCGTCCTATACATTAGCATCTCGGACCCCCAACACCGTTTCCCACCAACAATGGCCACACTCTATGAGCATCTGATCCCGCTGCACTTCAAAACTCAAACGGAGCATGCTGGAGTTATTGGAGGTATCACGGTTACTGTAGGTTCCATTCTGGATGCTAAAAGGTGTTGGGATTGACCAAGCATAGGATCACCCAGCTACCAACAGGCCGGTATTCTTCATCCATCCATGTCAGACGGCTGGCGTCATAGAGGCTAGTGTCGGAGCGAGAGACGTGACCGCTGAAGAGTATTTGATGGTATGGATAGGGGCTTTGGGTAAGTGCGTGGGTTTGAATATACCCTTGGCGCTTGTCAGAGAAGAGGAAGACGATTTAGTTTAAAGGAGACCAGGAGTGAATGTACACAAGAGCCACCAGCTAGATGCGGTAGATACACTTGTTATACATACTCTACAAAATGTATACATCCGAATATGGTACAGATCCACTATAGCCTCAACCGTACACTCGCCTTCTCCAACTCTCCAATGTTTCCCATGCCCGCCAGGCTCCACTTCTCGTTCACAAATCTGTCATTGATTTGATGTCTTAACATGCCGCTCTCAGCGTAATACTCCATAATCGCCCTCGCCTCCTCTTTACTCAGGCCACCCACCTTGATGACATCGAAATCGCTCTTTTCGCTGTTCAGGTCTTTCAAAGCCTCCATGACCCTCACATCAACTTTCTTGTACGGATTCCACTGGGGCACATTATCAGGTGTTTTCTGCTGCGCTTCTGCAACCCCGACGCAGAAGTCGAGAGCTGGGGAGGTGGGCGCGTTAGATTGCGATGTCGCGCCGAGGACGATACCACCATTAGGGAGCTGCTTTTGGCCGGAAAGGTGGTCGATGAACAGCCGAATTATGGTGAGGTCGTAAGCATGGACGGGTTTTACGTCTGCGGACATGTACTTGGAGTCACCCATCATGTGGGATAGTCCGTCGACGGCGAGGAGAATTGGCGGTCGGCCGGGTTGAGATAGCTCATTCCACAGAGCGACAAAGACAGGCCACGAGACTTCGGGGTTGGCTATTCCCAAGGCGACGAGCTCTTTCAGTGTAGCTTTCGCGGACAGCGGCAAGGGAAGGTCAGGCTTCGTGATCAGTTTGGCAGACTCGAGAAAGCTTCCGTTTGATTTCAAAATCTGTTGGAGGAGGTTTGCTGTATACGTGTCTTGGGTGTACTGCATCGGTTCCGACTTTGGAAGAGGTGCGTAGTCAGTATGAGCATTGACAATGTCCTGGGCTGCAACAAGTCAGCATGTTATGCGATTCCTTGAATCTCAGTCCTTACCTTCTGGAAGACTGATAACAAACCAGTCTCGCAAGAAGCCGATGGTCAAGCCTTGGAGCAGCAATGTGCTCTTGCCACTCATCCTCTCTCCCGAGAGAATCCGTCGCAGCGTCTTTTTCTGCTGCCCACTTGCCGAGTCTTCCACCTCTTTGAAGAGTTTTGCAACCTGAATAGCCTCCTTCCTCATCAGAACAGCCGGTCTGCGGAACAGACTCCACCCTTGGGTTGTCTTGAAGGCTTCGACGGCTCTCAGCGCATCCACCACGTGCTCTGGTAGTCCCATGACTTGTCCTTCATTCTGCTCGCTAAAGGCACTCTCCTTGCTCAGATCCTTCAGGGACGAAACCTCGAGTGCGTTGTTATTGCTCAGGACGATGCGTTTCCGCAGCGCTTTCCTCTCTCCCTGTGCTGGTCGTTTGCCCGAATCTCCTCCCGACGCCTGCTTGCCCTTCTTGGTGTTTAATGACTTGACGCCCTTTTTCGGAGCAGCCGTTGTGCCTTTCTTCTTCGGTGCTTGGGCATAGTGCGTGGCCGACGTGGAAAAGCAGGCTACTCGAGGGTGTAGCAGTCGCGGTACAATCGAGCGGTGGGTACTGGCATCGAGGGATAGCTGCGACAAGCTCCGCAAACATGTTGAAGGCGGCATGATGGATCTAATGAGGCTCAGGGCCTCCGCAATGGCGAACTACTTGCGCTCGTCGATGAAGTCTGCAGCGCAGCCAAAAGTTCGGAGGTCCGCTAGCGCCTTCCGTCCGTGCTCACAGCCCCAAAAATTATTCTGCACCTTGAACTAACTGCACCTGCACCAGAACTTGCAAGGACAAATACCTCTCCACACGCTCAAAATGTCAGACACTGAAATGAACGGCGGTGTCGCACTGGACGCAGCTTCCCCTACGCACTCGCAGCTTGCCGACAAAATCAACGGAGGCGCAATGGACGTCAAATCGCCCAACTTGAACGCGGCACTTTCAATCGCAGACTCGACTGCGACAAGTCGACTGTATGTGCTAACCTCAGTTTATCCCAGCCTACTCACCCACTGATTACTGACTATCCATAGACCGATCACCGTTGACAAGCCTACACCTTTTACGTTCGACCTGGGAAATCTTCTCGCCAACGATCCAAATCCTGTTTCCGCCGAGGCAGACGAAAAAACACTCGCCGCCACAGCCCGCGATGCAGCCCAAGCCCTGATAAACCAACTCCTCTCGACCTGCGAAATCAAGTCCACCTCCGAAGGTGTCCACCTCGTTCTGCCCGCGCCAACCACTCAACTACCCCGCGAGAAGCCTATTCCCGCCGCAAAGGAGCCGACCACTTGGGAGCGCTTTGCCGCGAAGAAGGGTATCAAAGACAAGAGGCGTGACGGCAAGATGGTCTACGACGATGCGACCGGAGAATGGGTACCCAAGTGGGGTTACAAGGGCAAGAACAAGGATGGCGACAACCAGTGGCTTGTGGAGGTCGATGAGAAGAAAGAGGCAGAGACGGGTGAGGCTCATGACCAGCGGGCGGATGGCAGGAGAGAGAGGAAAGAGAGGATCAGGCGGAACGAGAGGAAGCAGCGCGCGAACGACTCCAAGTCCCGAAAGACTGGTGCCTAAGGTGGAGCGATTGAGGCGGTGGAGATTTTACAGATGAACTAGGCTTTCATGATTTGCATTGGGCGGCGTTAAAATCTTAGGATGTGTCCACGTCTAGCGGCGTTCGAGGTCAAAAGTAAGGGTACATATCCGTTTCGAGTCTACGGGTGCGGTCAGAGACAAACAATTCAGTCAAGCACCATGTCGAGAACATAAAATCTTCAAATGTTAAAGTGTCATGGTATTGATGGCCTCAAATGCTGATTTGGGTGCCTTTTGCTGCTACTGCCGATGGCTCTTGGCTACAGCACTACGGGGCTAGACAAGTGACTGGAGATAGAGGAAATTAAGTAACTGTGTTGTAGTAAGTAGAGAAACAAAAAAGTGGATATCAAATATCCGAGAGCAAAGTGCATAGTGTGACAGGTGATTAAGGAAGATGGGGTAACAACATCGTATCTGACTTTGTCTCAAGTTTCGAGCAGCTGAAAGCTAAATGTAGGTGGGTTCAACACCTCATGCAACCTTGCAGAGAGTCTTGTAGAGGCAATTAATTTATCTAGGTCCGTCTCGTCTAAGCTTACGCTATGTGCATAGTATAAAGTTCTAAAAGGCCGTTAAACATCGTGCTAGGGTTTTAAGTCAGTCGGTTCCAATTTACTCCTCAAAACCAGGTCCCAACTCTTAGAAAGTAAGACGAGTTCAAGTCCTCAAGTATAATGATACACTTGGTTACAACATAATCCATCTTCACACAGAAGGTTTCATAATACGTCAAACGTATATACAGCTTAAGTTAATACTTCCGGTTGGGCTGTGGCGGTGCGAAATATCATTGTTCCGACTACCTACAGCTCCCGTCGACCATGCAAAGTCCTATCCGAACTCCAACCCACCTCTTCCTTATATGCGAGTAATTGCCGAATCACCTCGATCACTCCACAAACTGGCAATGATGTTCAAGTAAGCACGTCACAAGACACCCTTGTTGAGAAGCTTAGCATTCGGACCGCTTGCCATTGGCCACACCGACTCTTCCCCGCAAAGGTTTCCGAAACACTCAAGCCTTGTTCCTCGGCGTCATTACGTTTGGCCATTGAACCGCGAGATGTCCTGTTGATCGAGGTTCTCAAGACAGCAGATAACGAGAGGGGCTTTTTCTTTGCGCGTGGCAGCTAATGGCTACCAGTCGTTCAGATAAACGACAGCGGATTTGTCAACGATATTGATCGGCATATACGTAGTCAAGGGTGGTGGGGAAACGTGGGATTGGAATGGAGACACTCGTCATCGAGAACAGGGTGTGTTTGAATCATGATAGGTAGTCGCTAGCCTCGGGACGATGATACTCCAGTAGTTCGTAAGTTCCTGGGGTCGGCTCAAGGGGCGAGCCGTTGGAAGGACATTAAAAGATGCTGGCTGCGCTGGTTCGTATGCGAGACGTGTTGAACGTGCAATTTTCTCATATCAAGGGTATTCAATAGTGGGTACCAGAGTTTTTGCTCAGCAATCGCGACAGACGATCCGATACCTGGATATATTTTGCAGGTGAACTCGAAAGTTGTTACTCTTGGACATCCACCACACCTGGTGTAAATAGCGGGAAAATGGCGTCCGCGACGGAGCGAAACAGCGACAGCGTCCTGAACGAAGAGAAGATAATCGGCGATGAACATGTCGAACAAGAACGCGGGCATCGCCACACAATCGAAAATCTCCCTGACCCAGACGCCGGCCTCAGCGAAGAAGAGCGCGCTGATCATGTAATTATCTCCCAGCTCTCCCCTTCTATTATCAGCAGCCCACCTAATACCATCTTAATCAGGACCGTAAACTCCTCCGTAAACTCGACTTCCAGCTAATCCCCTGGCTGTCGTTCCTATACCTGATCTCCTTCCTCGACCGCACAAACATTGGCAATGCCAAAGTCGACGGCTTGCAAGAAGACCTCAAAATGACAGACTCGCAGTACAACAACAGTCTCACCATCTTCTTTATAAGCTATTCGGTGTTTGAGCCGCTGACGAATGTAATGCTAAAGCGGTTAAGGCCCAGCGTGTTCTTGCCCATCATCATGTTGTGGTGGGGAATTTGCATGACATGTATGGGCTTAGTCCACAATTACGCGGGATTAATGACTGCTGTAAGTTCTCTGTTGGACTTGACGTTGGCGTAACGGTATGCTAACAGGGACAGCGCTGGTGGCTCGGTGTTGCTGAAGCTGGCCTTTTTCCGGGCGTCAACTACTATCTCTCTTGCTGGTACCGACGTTCAGAGTTTGGTATCAGAGCCGCAATATTCTTCTCCGCAGCAGCGCTGGCAGGATCCTTCGGTGGCCTCTTAGCTGCCGGAATAGCAAAGATGGGTGGAGTTGGAGGCAAACCAGGTTGGGCGTGGATCTTCGTATGCTTCGCAGACCCTCTCAGGGTTCGCTCATTGTGCTGACTGAACGATAGATTCTTGAAGGCCTGGCAACCATCCTCGTCGGAATAGCGAGCTATTGGATGGTGCACGATTTCCCAGCGGAGGCCACCTTCCTGACTCCCGATGACCGAGCACGCGTGCTGCGCCGCCTCCGAGCCGACAAGCAAGCGTCGGCCGCACACGAAGACTTCCAGATGAAGTACTTCTGGCAATCAGTCAAAGACTGGAAGACTCTGATGTTCGCCATCATATATATGGGGGCTGACGGGGCTCTATATGCGTTCAGCCTGTTTTTACCAACAATCTTGAAGCAACTCGGCTACACTGCCACGAAGGCAAACTTGCTTTCCGTCCCACCTTATGCAGTAGCAGCAGTTATGACTGTTCTGATTGGGTGGATTGCGGATAGGACCAAACAGCGAGGACTGTGCAACATCTTCGTCTGCATCTTCGGCATCATAGGCTTTTCCATGCTCCTAGGTTCCGGAAAACCAAACGTTCAATACGCAGGCACGTTCCTCGGGGCGATGGGAATCTATCCATGCATTGCGAATACTATCTCCTGGGCTTCCAACAACCTTGAAAACCTGTATAAGCGTGGCGTTACTCTTGGTTTCGTTATCGGATGGGGGAACTTGAACGGTGTGGTGAGCTCAAATATCTACCGAAACAAAGACAAGCCGAGGTTCTTCCTCGGCCATGGTGTTGTGTTGGTTTATTTGACAGTTTTCCTGTTTGGTGGTAGTATCGCGACACGGACACTGTTGGCATGGGAAAACAAGAAAAGGAAGAGTGGCGCTCGCGATGTGTGGATTGAGGGGAAGAGTGAGCAAGAGATTCACGAGCTTGGTGACAAGCGGCCAGATTTTATCTATACGCTATGAGGATGCGTCAGTCGCAGTCGATGTGAAAGTAGAATGTGAACGAAGTTGTGGCGAGGACTAGCATCTGATGAACAAAATGGATTAAATTCGAGAGAAGCGAAGCGTAGATTATTAAAATGTCGATCATCCAAGTTTCTTGCTCTCGCCAGGTCCCACTGTCAATATATCGTCCGAATTGTGCTCAACTTGCGTGGATTGGACTGCAGCAAAATCCGCCGGTCCTTCCTTGTTCCTGCCTTTGGCCTCTTCACTACTCTGCTTCTCCGCAGCTTTCATGAACTCATTTCCTTCTTTCCTTTCGGGTATGACGCCAAACAGACCCATCCTCTTCCTAGCAAGAGCCAAGAGAATGGCAACGATGATGTTCAGTCCCGTGAATGCTAACATTATATGAAACTGTCTGTTATAGCTGCCGCCAAAGGTGCGTCCGATCCGATTTCGAACGTCGTCGGGCAGATGTGCGATGGAAGTGCGCGATCCTTGTACGGCCAGGACTTGTTCCGGTGTTAAGAAATTGGGGAGATGATCGTTCAAATACCCTCGGTGAATAGCAGTGCATATTGCCACAGCAACCGCACCACCTAAAGTACGCACCATGTTTAACGCGCCAGTGCCGACCGAGATATCCTTCTCCGGGATTGAAGTGGCGACGAGCATGAAATAGGGAGGACTTGCAAGCCCTAACCCGAGACCCGTGATGATTTCAAAGCCGTATACTCCAGGCCACACCTGTGAGTACGTCGGAAGGCTACTCATCAGTCCTATGCCGACACATACTATAACGGTTGAGCAGATCAGGATAAATTCGGCTGGTATTCTTTTCGCCGCCAGACCGGCAACCATGGCTCCTACGGGGGAGACAACAGTGGCCGGAAGGAGAAGAATTCCGGCCCGTTCTGCACTAGTGAAGTTGACGACCTGGAAACGCTGCGGGAGTTGGACAAAGATGGAATAGAAGGGCATGCCAAGAAGAAACATACTCCTAGCAATCGATTAGTATGTGTCCTACCAAGAGCGTATCATTGAACTTACAAAAGGATGAGTGCCATGGAAGGGTTGCGGAGGAAATGTATCGGAAAGATGGGGTCTTTCTTCGTCCGATGTGTGACCCATGTTTCGTACATTACGAAGGCAAGAAGAAGAACAATACCACCCACTAGTGGTCCTATGATGGTACCGCTACTCCACGGGTGAGACCCACCAGCTTCTTGTAGTGCGAATATTAATGGGATAGGCCAGCACACAGATAGTAATCCCCCGGTACCGTCGAGACTGCGAACTCGCTCTGAGTTGGTTTTGCCGTCCTTTAAAGAAGGCATCGAGAAGAAGAGCAAGGCTATTGCAACAGAGACGATAGGGCCACTAAAAATTGGTCAGCCTGTGCCACACCAACAGCTTTTGACTCACTTGATGAAGAATATCCATCTCCATGTCGTCCGATCGGAAATGGTGCCTCCAAGTAACGGGCCCAGAAGGTTCGCTACGGCGAAGACCGAGCTGATAACGCCAGAATAGAACCCAATCTTTTCGGGACTGATGAGTTTCATAATAGCAACAAAGGTAAGCGAATAGAGTCCAGAACCTCCGATGCCCTGAAATGCCCGAAACACGATGCTATACGGTCAGTTCGATACGCAACACGTGTGCAAAATGCTGACGTACAGTTGAACCATAGTTTGCGCTCCTCCACATGCCATCGAGAAGATCAAAAACATGACAGCGCAAGAGATCATGAGAATCTTGAGCCCCCAAATATCACTAAGCTTTGCCGTGATCATCAAGAACGCTTCATGTGTGAGCTTGACAACGTTCATCATCCATTCATTATGTACTTACAATTGTATGTCAATAGGTAGGCAGTCACAAGCCATGGCGCCTGCTCCAAGGCATTGAAGCCACTTGAGATCTTAATCAGGGCGGTGGTAACGATCGTGGTGTCCAGAGCAGAAATGAATAAGCAAAACCATAGTCCGGCAATGATGATATACAGCCTCGTCGGGCTGATATCTGGAGTAGCTGAGCTTGCCATGGTAGCAGCTTCACCAATGGCGTTGGTCTTCTTGTCTTCAGCCATGAAGATGCAATCGAAGTTGAAAGAGGGGTGTTTGCCCTACGCCTCAATATGCATTGACAGCTGCAAGTAATATCCGATAGGTTTGTGGCACGATTCCTTTCACGGCTGTGAAATCATTTTCCGTTTCATAGGCGAATTCGTTCTTCGGACGGTGACAGTCAAAATCCGATAAGAGTGTACGTTGCATGCTGGCGTGGCATACGTCCGTAAGTATATGAAAAGTGGCTTGATGCAGGATCTTAGACCCGCAGTAGACACGGACTGGCATAAGCGAGTCTAAAGGATCGAGGCCCTCGCATAGATTGCTTGATGTACACTTTCATCGTTGATTGTCCAAGTATTCGTTTCTGAACGTGTCATCATTGCTAATGCTACTGCAATAGAGGTGATGGCGACAGCTGTCTGGAATCATGGTCGATGCACAGTCGTCGGCTGGACGCGCTACAGTAGCCGGCGTGTCATGCCCTCTTCCTCGACGCTCTAACTAAACATCGTCAAAAGGATCTTCATCTCCTCCATAGCACAGGATTCTATCATGACGGCGAGAGTGGAAGGTATCCATTGAGCGGTCGAAGACCTCGTAGTACAACAAGGGAGCCCCCACGAAGCCCCGCTAGCATGCCGAGGGATGTCGACTATCGGCGCTGCACTCGTAGTAGGTTCAGGTGGGATTTCATCTGTTTGCATCTCTTCTTCTCCATTCGCATCGCTGGCTAGATGTATTCATTTAGTATTTCTCGAACGTACTGGTGGTGTGGTCCTCGAGGCCAGGGAGGGCAACCTTGTCGCGAAACTATCGCGTACCTTCCTGCTTGACGTCAACCGTCAAAATGGCCGTCGCGCAGTCCTTACTAGCAAAACCACGCCCTCACCTTCCTTCCACGCTTCTCAACATACTTTCAATTGCAACGTCTATCCAACACACCTCGGCTGGAATGACCTCTCACTCGCACTATTTCGTCTACAGCGCTCGCAATGACTTCGCAGGCACTTGAAGCTGCGCTGAGCGAGCTAGACAACGACGCGTCGCATTTGCGCCTTTCCGAGCTTATTGCTGCCCGGAAATTCGACGGACCAACGCTTCCTGCCATTGCTGAACTTTTTTTGCGCGCATTTTGCGACATTGCCTCCTCTTCCACACGGAGAAGATGGGTCGGAATTGCGCTTGCCCGTATGATTGACGCGTCACTCGACGTTGTCGACCACCTCAAGCAGTTGCGACAGGAATCGCAAAGACTCGGCACGATTATACTAAGCAACACCGAGCTTGAGGAAACCAGAATCGTCGCGGGTATCATCATCCGGCAAGGCTTAGAAAAGGGCATCGAGTATAGCAACTTCTGGGTGTCGGACAAAGTCATGAACAGCGCACCCAATTTCCCCAAGGCCCCCGGCCCCAGGTGGATGGCCGAGTTTCAGAGCTTCCTCGACACTTTGGGCGATTTGGCTCTGGCTAACCCGAATACTGATCCCTCCATTATCTACCCCATCTCGCTTCTCGCTTCGGATGGCTTCAAATGGCGGGAATCCAACGACGGGTTTCCCATTGCGCTCATCCAAGCAGGAATGTTAACAGTCGTTGCGCCAGACGGACTTCTTCGAGATATACAATTCGTGGACATCCCAATTAGTCACGTTTGCAGAATGGATACTCGGCGCTCCACTCTTCACGATAGTCAAGCGCAATCGACAGGGCACGAGCCGTGGGACCTTGTCCTCATACTCAAAGCTGAGCCATGGAGCTATCGTCTAGACGCATCGCTCCGCGCGGGAACCGAGGTTACGCTCTTGTTCCAGCACTCGGCGGACGCAAAAGAATGGGAGAAGTGCATCATGGAGCATCAAAAAGGAGAAACAGACACCACCACCTATATGCCTCCAGCGGCCCATCCTTTAATGTCGAGCAGCTCCCCGATCGATCTCCGCCCTTCGCCATCACCAACAACGGACGGAATTATGCACCAAGATGGGCAGAAGATAACCACACAATCCCATTCGTCTAGTCAATCTAATCGTTCGCGGCCAGTTGTGTCGGTTCCATGGTCGCCTTTAAATGAACAACATCTAGAACAACTAAGGACATCATCAGATCAACTTAGTGAGAGTCTACAGACACATCGAGAGAGATCAAGCAGAGCGGCCTCCAAGAGAACACAAGTACGCGCAGAACAACAGCAGGACACCACCAAGCCAGCGCAACAACAAGACAGATCGAAACGGCCGAAACAGCAGGACAAAATGAATACGGACCAGGGACATACTAGTTTACCGCGAGTGCAAGAATCGAAAGCCTCAAGCTCGGAAGATATGCCCGATGGCCTGAATCCATTGGAGCAGACTGAGCCAGTACGCCCGATACCAAATCGAACGACATACAGCAAAGGAAAGCTACCAAAAGTCTCACAGGCCGCAAAACTGAAAGCTTCTAAGCAACTTCAACCACAAGCTGACGTTTTCGATATACCGAACGAGAAGCCCGCACGGGCGAAGGGAAGGAAGAAAGCTGACCAGAACAACGTTTCGAGCTCTGGACTGGCATCGCAGAATCAACCACAGAGATTGAAGGTTGTTGACCATACGACTACCGGCAACGCGAAAGAAAAACGATCGCAAGCAAAGCGCAAAGCAGACGATGATGACGATGACTTTGTTCCGGAGAAGAAGAGACCTAAGACAAGAGCAACTACTAAGCGAAAATCCGCATTAATCATGGCCAATGGTGCTGAGCAGTCAAGGGAGGAAGCCCCTGTTGAACCTAGCGAAGATACCCGAGTTGCTACTTCTGGGGCGAACCCAATAAAGGCAAAGACAGTGGCCCAGCATCTTGCACCAGCGGCGTCAGATAGGGCCACAAAGGTGTCGAAGCCGCGAGCGACCAAGTCAAAACCAAAACCAATCGAAAAGCCTTCCTCGTCTATTGCTTCATCACGCTACTCCTTAATTGGAGGCCTGTTAGGCTCTCAGCTTCCACCAAAGTCTTCCACCATGGCGTTCAAAAAACCAGAGCTTCCAGTTCGAGCTCCCCAAGCCCCATCAACACCGACCCCGCCTAAAACTCGGTCTGGCAATCCACATATACGACCACAGACACCGATGGATGCGCGAAGGCAACTTAATGACGAGCCTTTGTCTTCCGTTTTCTCGTCACCGCCACTAGGCAACGCAAGCCAAAGAGGGAGTAATTGGAGACATCAGACTGCAGCCGATACAGAGATGCTTTCCAGCAACAGCAAACCCGTGCCTGCGTCACCAACTGCAGAGTCTACGGCCATCTCTGGTCACGCAGATTATGATGAAATAGATTTTGAGAAAAGACGAGGCGATGCACAAACGGCTGAGAGTGACCCGTTCAGGCGGCGTCGTGAGGGTCAGAAAGCGACGTCTTTTACACGCCGTCTAACAGGAGAAGGTTTGGCGGTCGGAAACCCCTCACCGAATGTAGGTCTATCGCATAGCACACCAATTGACGTCGCTCGGCTCGATAGTTCGGACATTGACGACGTCCTTATTACGGCAGTGACTCAGCCCCTTTTACAGCATGTGTCATGGCGACAAAAGATGCTTAGTCCTACAAACCTAAAATCTCCTTTTAGGGGAAACCTTGCCCAAGTTCCAGAATCGCACAAGCCGGTAACATATGTGAAGGCGAAGCAGAACGAGATGGTGAGCAATCCGGAGCAAGGTGTTCTACCACAAAGACTCATCGATGCGCAACCTTCGCAGTCATCAAAGCAAAGAGCAGCAACGCAGACGCAAAGTACTGTCGGAATCGGTCCAGAGACTACCCACAATGCTACCAGGCGAGTCGCTACAGAGGTTGCTCCGAACGAGGCATCAACATTACATGAAGACGAGGCACAAGATGGCGAGATCCAAAATCCTATCTTGACCGCTTCACGACAATCCATCGACAACACTCTAGTGGATCAGCTAGTGCAGACTTATGAAGATGTGGATATGGACGGCGACGCTACCCTCGTCAACTATGAGGAAGATGAGCGGCCCATATCTAATCTCAAGGCTTCACCCGTTCATTTCCGCTCCTCGCCACCCATCCCAGGTTCTCCAAGTAGCCACAGCTCTACGTCTGCCGAACCCGAACCGTCGTCTCAGTCAGCGCTGCCTACATCAGAAGCAGAAGAAATCGAGTGGGAGGCGAGCCTCCAGCCTCATCAACGTGCAATCCATGATCTCCTCATCCGCACATCCAAGCGAGTCTTGCGCCACATCATCGACAATGAGACGGCTGTGACTGACATTGCGGAAATTTTTGTTCGGGATGGCGAGCACGTACTCAATGCTTTGCTCCAGCGGCATGATCGTGATTACGATCACGTCTTTCATGACATGGAAAACAAGACGAAGGGTCTAAAGAAGGAGCTAGAACGTGCCGCGAAGAATCTTTTGAAGGAGAGGAAGCGTGTTGATGCAATAGGATAGACGTGCATGATTATTTTGACGAGACCGCTACACAGTGTATGATGGTGCTCGCGTTGTAGTATAGGTATTAGGTCATGATATTACGACCCTAATGATTATACAAGACCATGACTTACGAAGAGAGGTTAGCAAGAGCATAGCATTGACTGCATAGTGTAGACGATGTACCGATAGTCATAGCGTGTATTCAAATATGTACCAACTACTTCAACTTGATCTATGTGCATGGACATAGTATAGCGACACATCACATTGCATCATACATGAGCGTCTGCTCTAAGTCTTCAAAAGACACTGTTGTTCCTTCCCCGCTCGTTTTCCTCGACCATATCCAATCCAGTGACTTGACTACCCAGTATCCCCTTTTCCTAGAAACCGCCCGTCAAGAATTATCCCCTGTTTCCAACTCCTTGAAGTTGAACGTAGGCTAACGACTGAACACAAACCTCCACTCCATCCCCGAAGCAACCTGTTCCTGCCGGTCCAATGTAGCGACGAAGCTTTCTTCAAGTGGTGTGCCCACGTCTTCAAACGTCTCTCGCACAACATCACTACTAATCATGCGCTTCCCCATGGCCTCGACACTCTCCCTTATACTCTGCATCAACCGGTCACTTTTGGAAAACCACCATGTAGGTCGCACAGTAACCTGCAGAGACTGAAGACTGGGCGTATCGAAGTGGTTAAGGGGACCAAGGACTATATCAATAGGACCGGAATTCTCTGTTTCCCCCCAAGTAGTCGGGATCAGGACTAAAGAGAGGTGTCTGAGTGTCGTCGTTCCGGCTAGGGCCGATCGCATAGCTGTTAGGAGTGAAATCGTGGTGTGGTAGAATATGATGCTGTTCTGTGGTCGTTCATTCGAGCCTATCTCGCTGTAGAGAAACAGCTCCAAGTCAACGGACAGGTCGATCGAAGATGCGCCATGCAGCGACAGTAGGATGGGACTTTGACGAGTGGGTCGGGTCCTGGCTTTGGGCGGCCTCCAGACGGCGGGTTGGCGGTCCTTGAAGTTGGAGTGGAAGGCGATGAACTTCCATGTCGCCTGGTGGTTAAACTGCTCCATGACTTCTGAGAGCATTCGTTTACTAGCTAGGTACCATGGCTTAGTCTTTTTCTGAGCTAGCACTGCCGAACTTGGTTTAACCTCTGGCTCATGTTGAGGTCTGGCGGAACTTTCGTAAACGACCTTGAAAATATAGGCCTCGACGTCCTCGATGCTGTTGTGTCCCAATGTAACTTCGAACGGAGGTTTGGTCTTCCATATCTCGTGGTATATCTTGTCGCGCAATTCCCTAGGAAGGGTTGCAAAGAAAGCAGCTGGAGTCGGGGCACTGCGAGTCCGCTTTGGGGCTGGATCTGGATCTGGATCTGGAGCTAGGGCGGTTGCTGAGGCTTGGTGACGCTTCCGACGCATTGTAGAGTACAGCTACAGCGATTAAATAGCGAAGGCAAATCTCAGTGGGTCGCAAACCTTAAATACAAGGCTATTGTTATGATTCCAAGGTGTACTTGCTTATTCCGTGGCACAAACCCCCACACGTGATTAAAGCGGGGCCCACCACCTCAACATCTGATTTGGACTGCTCCAAGTTTCCCTCCCAGCAGACTTGGGAAAAGAAAAACCCAAAAGCCTCTCAAGGTCCGCAGGTGGAGTGCAAAACATGGGGAATGTCATGTGGAGATCGATTAAGTGGGGTTGAGCTTCATGAATAGTTTAGCGGCTAAGAATCCTACCAATATTCGCATCCCCCATCAAATAACCAACGCCGAATCCGTAAAACAATACACACAACAAGAATCCAAAGGTATAGACATATGAGCTTTTGAGAATCACAGTCATACCTCCATCGCCGGTGGCGCCCATATCCACGCGATGCTCAAACGCCGCCCAAAGTAGAAAAATATCGTGATGACCAATATAACAAACGCCAAGGAAAAGCACCTAGCCCAGGTGAACAAAAACGTTGCCCGGTACTATAGCATGTGATGCGACGAAAGACCGAGTACTGTATTGGACATGGTATTCGTGGGAGGATCTTGCGAACTAGAGTATCGACGCTAGTAGTAGACTCCCAGTGCATGGACAAGAACAGTTGAAAACCGAAAGCTCTACTTGTCCTACTTGTCGTAATCGCTAGACGGATCTTTTTCATCTTCTTCTTTGGTTCCCGCAGAAAGCGGTGCTTTTACGCCTAGTAGTAGTGCTTGCCGTTGTGGGCTTAATATATCCTTTCCTATACCTCGTCAGCATCGAACTCGGCTTGATTGCTCAAATTCTTCGGTCCATCTTTACGAATTGGTATCTTGATGCCCTGTCCTGCAAAGCACTTGCTGAGTGGGGTACTCTCAATGACACCAGGGAACTTTTTGGCTGAATAGACTGTGAAGGGCGCCGAGAAGCTGGTGGCTAGAACGGGGCTTTTGCCGGTAGAAACGACAGCATTGGTGCCTTGGCCGATACCGATATCGCACATGCTCAGCTTCAGTCTAGGCTTGTTAATAAAAGTCAACTACGTGTACGAGGAAGAAGATAGAATGTACCTAAAGTTCCCCTCCGTTCTCACCGACAGGTCCTGCAGAACGAACCAGAAGCCAGTCTTGCCATCTGGATCGTTAAGCCGACAGGCGTTCACTGCATTCATTCCAATAAGGTTTCGCGTGTGGTTCTGGTTGATTGGCGGAGCTGCAATAGCAACGGGCATTTGCACTGGATTCTGGTAGGCACTCGAGCCTCCATAGGTTGGGTAGCCTGCGCTTCCCGGTACTGCACCGTAGTAACTCGTAGGCATTCCAGGGTGGCCATAGGCGTCGACTGGCGGTCGCATCGGCTGGCCAAATTGGTTGTACTGGAGGGGCGCTGGCATCATGGGCGTTGGCATGTACATGGGCCGCTCCGGCGGCGGTGGATAGGATGTCACGGTACTGCTGGATATTGAGACGGTTGGAGCAGCACTACTATGTCGCACCAGATTGACAGCGCGCGTAGCATCCTCGTGCCAGAGATCGACCATGAGGACGAAGAAGGTACTATCCACATCGTTGAAATCAATCTCCTGCCCCGTCTTGGAGTCGCACACGATCAGGCGAATGCAAGGAGGTGGAGTGATGGGCCGGCGATCCTGTCCATTGTCTCAAATTCTGTATCAAAGCCATGCTGGGAGAGCCGTCTTACCTTGTCGCCAAAACCGCACATTCGGGCTCGAACAGGCTGCTGCTCGACACGTAGCCTGTAGGTGCGGCCGTCTCTTTGGCCCACATAGTCGCCCGGATTGTCACCTTGCGAGTACATCAAGTTTCTTTGAGGTTGCGGCTGCGGGGCAGGGACCGGTTGGCTTGTTTGGCGAGGATGGGAATACATGCCGGGCGAGAAAGATGCTGAACGGGAGGCGTAGCTGCAATGGGTGTTGGCTATATAAAGGGCACTGGGAGCGCAGAATACCGTAAAACAATAGAGCCGTTCCAAGGTTCTTTTGTTCTCAATTCTGGTCGAATCGGGCACTAGACACCGCACGGGGCCCAAGCGCCAACCCAGTCCGTTTCGGGTTAGGCGTGTGCTTGGGCCAAGAGTCTGATTGCCGCTGCGCTTCAACGGTCGAGGTGGCTGGATAACTTTTATGGCGCATTCTTGCGGAGGGCTATTTCGCAGTGGCAAACCATCTCTAAAGCTCTCTATACGTCTTATCTACGGCAATTCTCTGCAAAGACGATTGGCTACCAACTACCCACGTCGCGTCTTCGTCCCATGTTCGTTCCTCCGCGCACCCGCTACCTACCTATCCACACCAAGCACGGTCGCGGGAGCTAGCGCGAGCCTCCCGCCGCTTTGGTCCATGGCGCAGCCGGCCGGGCGTTCCATCTGACGAGACTACAACTTTTATTTACATCTACCAACGCTGGCCACTCTTGTCAACCGTGATTCAAACTCAGCACCAAGGCCGCCATCCATCAGACCAGGCCCTGCCGCTAGCCATCCCTGTTCCCCGATAGCAGCTCCAGGCACACAATCTGCCTGATTGTACTCACACTTTCAAACCACCCATGCTCTGTACATGTTCTCCTTCCGTCCATATGGCGGCAGTCACCTTGGACTAGCCCCATTGAAAGAGCGTCTGTTTCTTGTTCTTGTTGCCCTTCTTCTTGCCCGTTGCGCCATCCTCCTCTACGGCCGGCGTCGTTGTGCCGCTGTTTGCTCCAGAAGCCCCTCCCCATGCGTTGCCCACAGGTGTGCTGCGACCACTGTGATCTCGTCGAAGCCCAAGGCCAGTGTAGCCAGGGCTGAAGATGGTGCTGGTCGGTTTGGCCGCCGCAGGAAGCGCTGGAAAGCCATCGGCCACATTAGCCTTCTTGCCCCCATTAGTCGATGGAACCGCGCGGGAAGGCGTAGGTGCCGCTCGTGCGCTTGCTGTCGTAGACGAAGAAGCCCAAGGCGTCTGGCCTGGTTTCGCTCCGATTCGATTCGAAGACGGGGCTGGCAGGGCAGGGAAGGCGGTACTCGATGACGCTGAAGACCAGCTGGCTTGCCGGTTGGCTGAAGACCGTGATGACTGCACCGTTGAGCTCTTCAACTTCAGCACTCTTGATCCTCCATGAGCTGCACCACCATTGTTCAACGGCTGTCCTGTCGCAGAGCCTGGGAGGGATGGATAATCCTCGTTGATAGCCTTCCAATCGTTCCACGCCTTCAGGAGACTTTCACGCTTCGCGGGAATCTCAAAAATATCCGCCAACTCCTTGACAAGCTTTCCAAGCTCCTTGGAACTAGTCTCAAACAAGGTAAAAAACCCGTCGATAAGCTGAGTTGCAGATAGTTTCGAGGTACGGTATGCCGATATCTGCGTCCGGAACTCGGCCAGTTTGGGTTCGTCGTTGCGCAGCATATTTGAGGCTCGCTCAATCACAGCGTTATGTCGCAGCAGCCGGGCCTGCTCCTGAGGCGTCTGCGGTGTGGTACTCGCTGCTTGTGGACTGATGTTCAGCTGGGCCACACCATTCGTGACCCTGTTTGCGGATGTGTTGTTCGGGCGTGAGGCGGTCACAGTTGCGGGTTCTGAGGCACTGGGTGATGGCCTGGCAGCAAATGCTTCACCCGGAGTAGGTGCAGTGAGCTGACCGCCAAAGGCTCGACCCGTTGCTGACCGCGAATTCTGAGCCTCCATCTGTCGCTGGAATGCAAGCTCGGCTCTACTCAGCGGCTGAGCAGATGAGGCAGGTAGAGGCTCCGCGTTCGGATCCCGTCCTCTGCCACGACCCCTGCCACCTTCTCGTCTTCGATCATCCCGTCTAGTCTCTTGTTCGTGTGGCGCTCGAAATTGGAACCCAGACATATCTACTCTTCGAGCATCTCGCAAAGCGTCTTTGGAAAGGCCGTTAGGATGAGTTTCTAACTGATGCGCCTTCAGGTCCATCTCAGAATCGAATACTACGAACTTCTTGTCCAAGCAATCCCGATCTGGACACAGAAAATGATCTTTGCGGAAGTGCACCTCGAGGGAATCATAGTTGACGAAATACTGTTGCTTCCTACTACCCCCATCACGACGGTCGCAAATGTGGCAGCGTTCGTGTTTGTCCCTACAATGTGTATATAGCTCGTCATCTCCGTAAAATCGCTCCCGGCAGAATCCGCATTCTGGATGTCCCTTGAACCCGCTTTGGTCGATGGCACCGGGGTTGTCGTCGCCAAACTTCTGATGCTTTCTAAGCTCGGGCTGCGTGAAGAGCTCATGTTCATGAGTAAAGACTTTCTTGTTTCTAGTACAAAGGTCGCTATATTTTGTCAGTATGCGTTTATTACAAGGGTGCCAATGAAGGTAAGCGTTCAAACAAGCATGTTCCACTTAAAGGTATTGAAGCTAGCACATACCACATAACTTCGCCGTGCGCCGTTTTGACATGGCGATGCAAGTCCGGCCAGCCCAAGCAAGCAACGTCACACTCGCCGTCTGGGCAATTATACTGCAACAATAATCGTGTATCGTCGAAGACACCTGCGTTCTCAAAGTGTATGCCCAGGTTGTCGTCGGTCTTGAAATAGTCGGCTACAGAAAAGTCCTCGTAATTTTTCTCGGGGCGGTCCGTAAGGATAACATGGGCCGACTCAGTCCTACAGTGCGCGCATGCTTTGGTTTTGTAGAGTGCTCTCATGCGAATAGAGCAAATATGGCAGGTTCGGTGGTTGCAGGGAGCGATTGCGGTGTGCTGAACGGGTGAAGCGCAAATGAAGCAGACTTCGGCGTCTTCGTCTTCAATGTCTGATTGTTGAAGGTTTGGTTTTGCGAATGCTAGTGGGACTTGGCCTGCTTCTTGTGTCTCTGCTAAAGGCGCCTTGCCTTTCTCTGGAGCATGCCCACCACGGCCGCCTGCGCCCTCTCTGTTTCCGCGACCACGTCCACGAGGTTGAGAGCCGCCTCGGCCTCGCCCCCTCACACCATAGGGCTCATGTCCGTCTTCAGGACCAGTATGCGCTCCTCTTCCGCGGCCCCGTCCTCGTCCTCCACGGCGTTGTGGGCTCGCCGGCACTGGTCGGCTTTCTAGAGCCCCAGTCGCAGTGCCAAGATCACCAGTTGAAGCCATCGCGGGGTATTGGAAATTCTCCTTCGAGGGCAATATGGATGGAAGGTCGGGATTATTGGTGGTGGGAGGAATTGCTAGAGTATTTACAGTCGGCTAGCTGGCGGGGGTGCAATGCGCAGGCCGGCGAGGCCTTTTATTACAGGAGGTGTCCGGCGGCCGTTTGTGAAAGATGGGCGATATGACGCTGTTCCGGAAGCAAATAGCTACCCCCAGTGGGTCCAAGCGTAAGCCACCAGAGGCTCAAAGCTGCAGGCATAGTACGCAACACAGTCATCACATCGTGACTCAGGTATCTTTTGCCAGTGTACAGGAGGTGGCTGAGCATATGATTCGAAATGACAACTATGGTACTGCTACTGCTCTCTTTTTGGTGGGACGAATCAGCCCTGCCCGCTTAGATTGCTTTTGGACGATCTGTGTGACTTTGGCTACACTGGCTGTACTTCCCACACTACATATTAACAGCTCCAACTTCTTCTCACGGTAAATCTCCTGCCACAGATCCGCCTGAACGTCTTCTCGTCGCTCATCAGAGCTCACGCAGCCCCTGCTCCTCCTCATCGAACTCGTCTTCGTAGAGCATCTTCAGCATGGGCATCATCGCCTCCTTGTCGCAACCCATCTGTGCCTTGAGCCAACCTTCCATAGTGAGGATCTGGTCAGAGTACTTCTCGGCATCGATCCGGGACTGCTGTGTTTCAGCAGCCTTCTTCTCCATCTCGACAGGATCTTGCTCGCTATAGGCGGCTAGCTCGGCTCGAAGCTTCTCAAGTTCCTTAATCAAGTCCGCATGCTTCGTAATGAGCGTCTTGCGATCACCGCCTTTGTTGTGTTAGTACAAGGCGCTTGACTATAGCAGCGTGCTCACCCGTCTCTATGAGCATCTCCTCGCCCTCGCCGCGTGCCGCTCCTGCCTCATCTACCTTTGCTTGAAGCTCCATGGCCATGCTATCGGCCTTGCGGTGCTCTTCCCGTGTCTTCTCGAGTGCAGCCTCTTTGGACTTCTTCTCGTCGCTCGGGAAGCTCCAGTACCAATTGCCGCTACCAATCTTCTCGACGCGAATCTTGCTGTCGTCTGAGAGTGACTGCAGGTAGTCCTTTACTTGCATGCCACTGACCCCAGAGACCTGTGGCAATGTCTTCTCTAGATCTTTGATACTATGTGCCTGCGCAGTTCTGTGGAACCAGGCAAGAATTGTCGCTGCCTTTTGAGGGTTGGGCTGAGTTTTTGGTGCCTGAGGTTTCGTCAGTGACTACTCAAGCGGCGACTGCAGCGAGCCTACCATGTTTTTTGGATGCAGCGAGAAGTGTGTTGCCAGCAAGATTTGATGATTTAGAGCAGTGAGGGCCGTGAGGAGGTTTAATAAATGAGAAGATGCGTCCAGCAGAGGTCCATGGGTGTTGGTTGAGGTACTCGCCAGTTGTCCCTTCCTCAACAGGTACACGCTTGGCCAGCACCTCTCAGAAGGTAATCGCGCAACTCAAACTACGAACCATTCAAGTTTGAAGACCATCAAGAACGAATGCCATCTTGCTCGTGCTCAGGGCTCAGTCCGACTCTTCCGTCGCATACTGCGAGCCATCATCAGAGGATGACCATGGATCCTCGCGCTCATCTTTATTTCTCGCACCTTTCGAAGACCCTCTCGCCTCCGCTCCATCCTGCCCATCTCCCGCGAGAGCTGGTCCCTCCTCCTCTTCTTCAGCCGCTTCAGTGAATGCCAGGTCACCAGTCTCACCCAAGACTTCTCTCGCCGTCTCTTCCATCAAGATACCAAAAGCGATGAGCGCGGTCTCGTCCATGCATCTCCATGCTTTCTGGGTTCCAGGCTCTCCAGTTCTCGAGTACAGCTTGGAGATATAGGCGTGCAATGCTGTCAAGAGATCGCCACTAGGCAGCTGCTGGTCCGCGGGCAGGTTGGCGTGAGCGTAGTAGTAGTCAGTCTCTTCATACCGGATTGGTGCGTTGGCTTGCTTGAAGAGAACCTCATCTGGGCGGAGTGGTTGCCTGGAACTCTTGACATCCATAACATTTCCAATTAGACCCGCTTGAGTGACCCTTCCTTCGGCGACGTTAGTTCAAATCTTTGACATGGTTGCTCAAATGTGCTGTACCTGTTACGGCATCGTAAACGGTAGCTTTTCGCTTCCCGCGGTTTTCGAGGACTGTGTCTCCATCGCTATTAGATGATTCTGACGCCGGCTTCTTGAAGTACTGTCTCTGGTCAATCATTGTTTAAATGGTCGCTTGTTTTATGTTGGATTCTACTCTTTTTTTTGGAGCACTGCAAAGTGAATGTCTTATGTAAACATGGTCATAGCGTCGCGGCCTCAAACGTCATACCTCTTACTTCCACTTGTACGCCTTCAGAACACATATCGAAGCATGTAGTCGCATATGCACACCCAACACCTGCTCGACCGCGCTTACGGCCTCATCCCAAATAATGTCCTCAAACGCGCGACTGCGTCCCGCCTCATCTATGCGCTGCAACCCTCCGCCCTGAACTTCAGCCAGCATCTGCCCTCCGCAGATGATCCGCATGAGCGCATCCCCGCGCATGTATCGGGCGTGAACGCGATTACTATAGACAAGTTTGAGGGACGATATTTGCTTTCAGGTGGGGCAGACTCGTCCATTGCGATATGGGATCTTGAAGCGCAGTTGCACGCAACTGAAGGAGGGGAAACATATTTGCCACTGGAGAGGGTGATCAAGACGAGTGAAGAGCATAAATTGGGCATTACTCAGATTCATTTCTACCCGTTTGACTCGCTGGCATTCCTTACATCTTCCTACGACCACACGGTCAAGGTGTACTCGAGCGAAACGCTTGCGCCCTCCGCATCCTTTGACCTTGACTCTGTTGTATACAACATCGCATTGTCGCCTATCGCCTCGCATCTCCTCGTCGCATGCGCTACCCAGCATCCGAATGTACGGCTGGTAGACCTCCGCTCCGGCGCAAATACACACAGTCTAGCAGGCCACTCGGGTGCAATCCTCTCAACCGCATGGAGTCCAGTCCGCGAGCACATCCTCGTGAGCGGTGCTACCGATGGCAGTGTACGTTTCTGGGATGTACGGCGTAGCGTCGGTGAATTGGGCATGCTTGATCTCGAAGACACGGTCGGCGTACTCGACAACTCCACGTCCTCGTTCTCCCGCAACTCGACGCGCGGACAAGCGCACAGAGGCCCGGTCAACGGCCTCGTCTGGACCGAAGACGGTCGTCATCTAGTCTCATGCGGCCACGATCAACGCATCCGTGTCTGGAACACAGACACGGGCGCCAACACGCTCGCAAACTTCGGGCCCATGGTCAAGAACTCGGGACTCGCTTCGTGCATCCCCGTTCTCCCACCTGTGCAAAGTCTCCAGCCAGGTGCAGACATTATTTTTTACCCCAACGAGCACGAGATCCTCGCCTACGAGCTCTTTGACGGCAAACTGTTTCGCCGCCTCAAGCGCCCACAATTTCAGAAGCAAAACCACGCTCCCAGTTCCGCTCCGGCACAGGGTCAGCGCAACTCCAAAGACCGGATTACCTCCTTAGCTTGGCGACCGCATAATTTGGAAATGTACTCGGCGCACGCAGATGGAAGTATAGCGGCGTGGGAACCGCGGACGGAGGAGGATGCCGAGTTGGATGAAGAAGAGGAGCAAGAAAAGCTGGACAAGGAGGAAGGGAAAAAAAGGAAGAGGGGAGTATTGGATGAGATCTATCAGGGGTTGACGAAAAAACCGATTACTTTTGGAAATATGGGGCTGTAAAGTACATGCGAGATAGCAATTGAGGCTGCATGATTCCTATATAACCAGGAAGCGTTCCTCGCTCCTATACTAATAGTTGATTTACATATCGCTAAATTTCACGCTGAACAGCGCTCAACTCGTTACAGTCATCCTCATTACCGCGTCCAACATAACAGAGACCTAGCAAACACCTAATAATACAATCATGAACAGAACTTCGCCTCGGGTTTACATTCTCAAACGCTGCACGCTCTTCCATAACTCCATCAGATAGTATGCAACCGTAGCGTATGTACTGAGCGTTAAATATGCGAGGTTTAGATACCGTTACATATGGACATGGTGACTAGGTACTCAGCCAAAATGCGGTAGTCGAGCAGGAACAAAGTCGGCATCGTCCTGTGGAATATCCCTAGGTTGGTTTTTCAACGACAGGGGCCTGTTTGGAGTAGGTGCCAGGCTAGAATAATCAGAGTCGTCAACGTGAAAAGAACTGCTGTCCGGCATTGTTTGTGCATCCACAAAGCTTGGGAATGGTATCGCTTCGAAAGGTACCGCAGTCTCACTAGCGATCGATGGTGCGATAGGTGATACACTTGATTGGACCGTAGTCATTTGTGGAGGTGGCCGAGGGGAGGGTGAGCGAGCGCTGGAGGTCCTCGATGATGTTTGTAGCTGATGCTCAGAGGCTAGACCGCGTTTCACAGCCAACTGTTGCGCTCCCTGTCGCTTTCTCTGTACTTCTGCTTCTTCTTCCAGTCGCAAGTGTTCCTCTTCATTCTCGAGTTCATCCAGTGTGAGTACTTCGTCGATCGTTGCTGATGCAGAGCGCTGCAACACCTTGTCTTCATTACTTCTGTTCCTTGAAGAGGCTGTCCGCGAAGACACGCGTGATCCTGACGGCCTCTTACTTTTGCTCGAGCGCACTTTGTTGTTGTTGATATGGTCATCATTCCATTGCCCGGTTGTGCGCCGTTCGAGCGATATGGTGAACTCGTCGTCCAGCGGCACCGCATCTTCCAGTTCGTCCTCGCTCGGGAATATATCACCTCTCGAGCTTAATGAATCCGTCGTATGACCCGAGGTGTGAGTGTCGCTTCTCTGCCTGCGATGCCCTTTATTCTCACTCCCAACTTGCGCATCCTCGTCGCTGTCCTCAATCAACGGCTGTTCTTCCTCAACGCTCCTTCTTATTGCTCCAGGATGCTCCGTCAAATCAGCCGCCGAGGGCTTGTACCGTAAGCCCTTGCCTCCAATATTGAACGGCAGCCTCCCCAGGAATCCAAAGTAGGACGAACTTGGTATAATGGTGGGATCCGGCCCAGCATCCCGTGGCATCGTATTGCTCTTCCGTCTCGAAGCATCATATCTCGAATCGCGATTACGCTGCCCGTAGCTCATAACGCGCTGCCTCCCAGGCTGAGCCGTGGCACCATAGTTGTTTGCGCCACCAATCAACCTGTCCAGATTATCGCTCCCCCATCCTAGTAAGCCATCACTCTCGTCATTCTCCCAGTCATCATAGAAGTCAAAGCTGAGCTCCGCCCTACCCCGCGACCGTCCTCGATGACGCCGACGGTCGTTGTGCGCTGGGAAGCACGGCGCGGTGCAGGCGTTGAGACAGTGAGTGATGGAGGAGAAGCAAGGATTGATGTAGCGTTGGGTGAAGCCGTAGATGTTTTCTTGCGCGGATTCGTTTGCGTGCTCAATGTTCTCGGTGATGTGCTGGATTGTGCGATTCCATCGAGGATCACCGCGTCTATACATTGCGGCGGCGATTGCCAATCACCAAGGTGGCTGGGCGGGATGTAATGACAGATAGCAGGCGTCGCAGCGTAGACGCGCTCCGATGCGATAGCGCATGGAGCTTACGATGGAAGGAATTGCATGGGTTCTTTCTAGCAGAGTCTGAGGTATGACGATGCGGTTCAGTCGGGTGCTAAGGATGAGGCTTGGAGCTCGGAGCGTTGGTGTTGAAACCGTACCCCAGCCCGTGCTGGTGCACCCCACATTCACCTACCGTATTGGAAGCCGGCAACGGAGCCTAGCTTCCCATCAACCCCCACGTCATTCGCTGGTTTGGGGCAACCAAATACACAGAAGTTCCTATTCGCTCTCTGGCCGCATCTTCCAATTGACAGATGCTCAGATGCGATATATTCGCTTTCTCAAGACTCCCCGAGTCGTCACAGAGAAAAGTTCGTCGAAAAGCGAGATTCAATGCCTGGTTACCATCACATCAGACTTGGGAGATTCTTTTCTCCCATATGATGTTCGACTATCCGCAGAATTGCTGTCGTCCCAAGCTCCCGAGCAAGTCCTGGTATGGACGACGGTACGATGGACCAGTGGCATGAGAACTGTGCCTATTGTGTTTCCCTTGCCTAAATCTCGCGCTTCTTCAAAGATGCGAGTAAGAGTTGGGGTCGAGCCCAAGGCTACGTACGATGAGTATGACAAGCTATCCGATAATCAACAAGGCATATTCTCTGCATGGAGCGCGGATTTCCAGCTTTCGTCAGAAGCCGTAAAACTCGTCGAGAGACGCTTCACGCTGTCACCAAAAGGACCCGTAGTCAGCATTTGGGAAGAGACTGGCGAGAGTATAGCGCGGCATCTATGGTAAACACATCCACATATCCGTCTAGTCAGCCACTGAACCAATTAGGGACGCCGGCATCACACTCTCCTGCCACCTCAAGGAGCTTTTGGACAATAAGAGCGACTCTACGAAAACCTTATTACCATCCCAGCGCAGCGCTAGGCTTCACGTCCTAGAGCTTGGAGCCGGCTGTGGCGTAGTGGGCATATCTCTTGCCCAGATATTTCAAGGGGCGCAAGTGCTTCTTACAGATCTTCCGGAAGCCCAAGAGATTGTTGAGCGGAATCTTGGAGAAGTCAAAACGGCGGAGGGCTCCTCACTTCGGTTTCAAGAGCTGGATTGGGATGCTGATTTACCCGACAACCTCAAGTCTCCACCCTTTCTACTAGATCTAGTACTGGCGGCAGATTGCACGTACAACTCTGACAGCAGGTATGCTACAGCCTTATTATCTATTGGTATGACTGAGTACTCACCGGACTACAGCCCAGCACTTGTCGATACCCTCGTTCGACTAGCCAAGATATCTCCCAAGGTTGTGGTCGCTATTGCGATGAAAATGCGACATTCTAGTGAAGAAGTGTTCTTCAACCTCATGGCTGCAGCTGGGTTTCAGGCGACGAAGAGAATAGATTACCCCTTACCAGGAGATGTTGAGGTGGGGGAAGAGACTGTGCACTTGCATTTGTATGAGTACAACACTGATCCTCAGGGAGGGCCCGAAAGAACAAAGTGATATCCAGATAAGTACGAGTATGTCAACCAGTCTCCTACCATGACAAATAAACGCTCTCGCGATGACGGTGGATTCCCTGCTACAAACTGGGGAAATCAGTGGGACCAAGAAGTGCAACGACACCCAGCGGCCCCATCATATCGATGGTCAAGAGCAACACTATTTGGTATACGTTAGCATCACGAACACTGGACGCCTCACAAAACATCATCTCGCCCTCACTGCTCCCGCACGATCATTTCAGATTCACAGTCGAAGAAAGTGAGGAACGTGTCGTAGCTGCTAAATCAATAGCAGCAAATTTTGGTTCCCTTTCTGACCGTGGTATAATAAGTTGTAGATAGTAGAAGGATACTGGAACTATGTATAGAAACACCCGGCACGGTACCCGTGAGGTAGTACGATACATTACAGGGCAGAAGTTTACACGTAAATTTCTAGGCAGTTAGTGACGAGCTGGCAGGCAATGAAAAAGGGCTCACTTACACACATCAGATGCCCACCTCGTCTTCTCTGCTTTACCCACTCTTCCACTCACCATCAGGACCACGCCTCCGTCATCAAATAAACTTGAAGTGCGGTTGACACGCTTTGAATCAAAACTTTATAACCGCCACCTACAAAGGGAGCCGCCCACAGCATTGTGTGTGTGGAACTGCACAAGGAATGCAGATTTGCACGCAATTGGCTGCAAGTCCAGCACTTCACGACCAGTAGCTCACGAGCTCTACTATACGACCACAACACTATATACCAGGGGAACCTGTACCTGCTAGATCCCTGAAAGACGAGCATAGCAGCAGCAGAGGAAGGCTAGACCCAACCAACACAGCCACAATTGCGCACCCTCTTCTCCCGAGAGCGCACAGTCCCTCATGGACAAAGTCCAAAATCGCATGTTTGACACACGCTGATGCGAATTTGTGCAGGGGCTTGGTTATACTAGACTCAATGACTTTGGGGCTGGCCCTGGGCCCGTGGTACAAAATATGCATAATGACTACATATATATTTGTGTGCTGTATACATGGGAGTGAGTGAGTGAGCGAGTTCAAGGGAGGCTGCCTGGTGGGCGAGGAATCTCGCGGGAATACAGCACATGCTGCATGTATATGTGCTGCGTTGGCGGTCAGGAGAGCGCAGATTTCGAGATAGCCTCGTGGACGCTCGGTTTTTGCATGCGAGACTTTGGTGGGTCCGCATGATGGGTGGTGGGAGGGAGACATTGTCGATCTGCTCCTGATAGGGGAGTTGCTCGATGGGCGAGCGTTTGTGGGCACTAGACGTGGTGTGGGCGCAAGGACACGTGGAGGGTCTCACTCAAAAGGGTCCCTATGGGCTTCAGGGCATGGGGAAAACATGTCGTGATGTTTTTTCCCCTCCTTTCTGCGTTTGTAGGTGGAGAAAGATGAGGCGGATTGGCACTAACGGTGTCATGACGTATTCATGTCCAATTTCAAACAATCTACTTCCAGGTAGGGACTTGAAGGTCACAACAGGCAGTTGATGATGGCCGCTGCGAATGCCGTGCGCTCTCTACTCTTCTAATGGATTGAATACTGATTGGCTCCGGCGAAACATGCCCGTAGCTTGGGGGTCATGTTTGACGCTCAGGGGTGGAGCCCAGCTAGCAGGCAAGGCCAGGCGCAAGCTAGCAAACCTTGTGCAGGTGGGGAGATAAACGCAATCAAAATTACTTTGAGGGAGGATTAGACAGTAAAAAGAACACTTTGTAAAAAATATGCAAAAGATAGACGCGCGGAGGGGATCTGAAAGATGTCCATGGCCACCCACGATGCGATTACTATTACAGGACACGTGCATAACGAGAACCCCGAAAAGGTACCATGCATCAATATGTTACATTAAAGATGAACCGAAGGGTGCGCAGACGCTAGAAAGTGACAAAGAGTAACAAGGAAATGATACTCAATTACGCTAGTTCCATCTCTTCGTCATCTCGTCTCCCGACTAATCGTTGCTTCGTCGACCGGTCATTCCGAAGAGAAGAAAGTAATCAGCGAGCTGAACCTGCCCGGCAGGGACAGCCAGGCTGTTATTCGTGAAGGCAAAACTGTTTGTTCAATTCGAGAAACCCCCGAGTTCGAACGCGAAACAATGCAATACACGAACACCAGGTGCTATGCAATAAGCCAACCAAGCGAGCAAATACCTAGAATGGTCGCATTTGAGGTACGACAGGTCCACCAAGCGCGGAGCCTGGCAGCATGGGGGCTCCCGCGGTCGAAGGTCCCAGACGGTGGAACATCTGGATCAGGCGCTCCCCGACACTAGGTTCAAGCTCAGTACCGTCTCGTGCAATCTTGACTTCGCGATTGGCATTCCACGGGTTGCGCAGCCCGCGCGTGCGATAGAATGGCAGACGGTTCGTGGACACCCATTCAATTCTGAACGGCTTGCCCCAGCTCTGAGCAGTAATCTCAGTGTCTCCATCAGCTTGAGGGGTCTCCTCTTTCTCGGTATTGTCATCCTCGCCTTCTGACTCTGATATTTCTGCCTCCCAGAAGATTGTTCCCCGAGCCGAATCGTCAATGATCCTTCCTCGCGGAGCCCATTCCGTTGCTAGTGTGGGGATAGACTTGGGTACATCTGGAGCGTCAACGATATTTTCGGTCTTCGGTGCCGAGCCTGTAAACTTAGAACCATCCTCGAGGATGGGTGACGCCATGCGAGCGTAGCCAAAGTACTCGCCAGATTTGTTCGCGGAGAAGATGAGATACACATTCTCTGTCGACTGCTTCGCGTCAGTGCTTGCCACATTAAAACGGGTTCGATTGACAACTTACCCCGAAAGCTTTGTTCAATACGTCCTCGTTGTGAGACTGAGTAGCCCAGATGCCGTTTCGCACGCTGAGTTCCAAGTCTTGTAGAGTGAGACTCTTGACGATGAAGTATTTATTAGACGTATCCGCTGTCGCCCTGTTATCTACTTTGCTCTTATGAATTGGAGAGTCGGCGCCACCTTGTATAGGATCTGTGACGCTATCTTGCATCGGTGTAGCCGGTCGAGAGATATTCTGCTGCTGACTGCCCACCATGGCTGAAGGGCCCGTGGGGATTCCAGATGCTGGAGCTGAACTACGTCGCAGTCGACATACTAAACGAACACCGTTGAAGCGAGAATCGTGAAATCGGTGCATTGCAGCTGTGCAAGAAGCTTCTGTGCGGTAATTAACAAAAGCACAGTTGCTCTTGGAGATTAGAAATAAGCTCTCAATGTCCTTTGTGGCCTCGCGCGAGAAATGGTCCTTGAGCGCGATGACAGTTGTACCAGGAGGAAGGTTTCCGACCCAAAGAGCGTGCCCAGATTGCTTCGGCTTTCGAGGCGGTCCGCGAGGAATCGAGCTGACAGGCCCCGAGCGTGGCATACCTGCGAAAATGTTAGTCGTAATTTGGGTGGCATGTACATTAGCACGATCCCGCTAGGATTGATGTTCCTTACCTTGAGCCTGTGCGAAGGGTAGACCATAAGAAGATCCAAATGAGCTAGCTTCGCCCTGTAGATTTCCTGGGGCCGCGCGAGCGCCAGGAAACCCACCTTCAATGTGAGAGAAATCCGTGGGCTGTCCCATCATACCAATAGATGTGTTCGATAAGCTTGGTCTTCTCCCATACATTGCATGCCCCTGTGCGGCTTGCGCTGCGAACTGAGGAACGAACTGTCCTTGAGCTCCGTATGGCGTTGGGTAGTACATGTATTGTGAAGCTTGGGGATAACTCTGGTATTGCGCTTGCATCGATGTTGCACCAGCTAGACGCGGTTGATTTGCTCCAAAGTGAGGGTAGCCACCGTGCTGGGGGCCCTGCGATGGCATAAAGTTTTGCTGATATGGGTTCGGGGCATATCCGGGTCCGTAAGAATGGTGAACAGGCATATTGCCAGATGCATGTGTCGGCATCTGAAGGTTTTGTCCTAGTTGGTATGCGACAGCAGATGCTGATGCGCCAGAGAGCGAGCGTGGTACGGATTGTGGATTCCCCGAACCATCGTCGAAAGAGTTGTATTCTGGTAAGGCTCCAGACATTGAGCCCATGTTCAATGGGGATGGGCCATGCTCTTGGGGCTGATACTGTGCGCCTGGTTGGGTTGAAGAGCGAAAGTCTGGTCGAAGTTGGCCTTGAGAAATGGCGCTTAGCTGGGAGTAGAATGGTGCACCTTTGTCTGGGGTTTTGTAGGGTGAAGATGCGGAAGGGTTTCCATCACGCGCAAAGCCGGTTGTCGCGTTGTCCAAAGCCTGAGGCCGGGAGCCAGGAGGTAAATCGCCCATCTGTTGCTCGTAGACGATAGGAAGCGGAACCCACTGCTGGACCCAAACAAAAGACATGTTAGCCCATGTTACTTGTGATTAAATGAGTGCTATGAAAACGAATGTGTAAGAGTACCAAGCAAGTTGCAACCCACAAGATGATGGAGGATACAAAACGTACCTAGTCCTATATCAAGGTGCCTTGGACTAGAGTGGCAAGACGGAACCACTGGGTACCGAAAGTACGTCGCTTCAAGGGAGAGGGGATAGTCGAAGTATGCCAATGAAAGAAAGGAGGCTGTGAGAAGATTGTGTGTAAAAAAAGATGCGTGGAGTAGTGGAAACCGTTTGAGGGAAGATGAACGGCTTCGGTAGAGGTACACCTGGCAGCAGCAGCTCGCTTAAGGCGGAACGAAGATGATGGTCAGAATTGCACGGCCACTCAGACGGCAGAAGCGATGTTTTCAAGCCTTATGAGGGCGGATAGCGTAACGGCAGGGACCGCAATGAGGGCAAGCGTACGTGCGGCAGATGATTAGTCGATGACGGACTCGACGAGCAAGTCGACTGGCTGGCCCAACGAGTGCGGGAATGCCGCACAAGGTTTTTTGCGAGTCTCTGCCTCACTTGCCTCTGGATCGAGTGGCTTTCCCGGCGTGTTATTGGACGCGGGCTTGCGAGCCTGTGGCTGTTAGGATGGCTGTGGAGCGACAGGGCCCAAACCGATGCTCTGGAGGCGAAAAGATCATCAGTGTCCAGGATGTGCAAGGTAATTGGGTGCCCCGAGTCAAGGGGGGAATAGAAAACAGGTGTCGCGGAAGATGGACATGGTGCAGTGTGGCGAGTGATGTCGTTTCTAGATTTCCATGGCCCGCTGGCGCTGATCCTAGATGGCCTTGCAAGAGCCTAGCGGGCCCTTCCTAGCATTGATTCAGCAGGCACGGAAACCAACTGTGGCTTGGTACAAAAATGGAGAAGTCGGCCCATAAATGTTTAGTTTTGGCCCTTGGGGCTTTATTAGCCTGGTGTCGTTCTTCTAGCAAGTTCAAGCGGGACTTGGACCGGGGAGGCGCGAAAGCACCGGCAAGAAGGTCAACGTGGGTTTAGACCTGGTTGCTAGAAATCGGCTACTACAGCACTCAGGTTTGGTTCAAGGTGGTGAAGTACATCAGAGCGACTGCTGTCCTGTCCTTCCAAATAAGCCCCCACAGAGACAGCAAGGGAGGGGCCAATTGACGAAGCTACAACAAACTTGGGACGAAACATGCACACACATACTGAGCTGACCTAGAGAGGAGAAGGCTCCATGGCGCTGAGGATTTATTAGTGACGAGGCCGTAGGCGCCGCGTGGGCGTGTTAGGGCCTCACGAGAATGGCATAGCAGAGGGGACCAGCGCCAGAAAGTGACAAGGGAAAACCGGCAAAGAACAAGGCCGAGCAAATCTGGCGAAGGGGAGCGGACCTGTCTGGGGGCGGTGCATTTTCGTAACCCTGGGCCCTGTGGCGCGAGGGCGTAGAGGGAGAGGAGGATGAAGCGAGTTGGAAACATGCAGTGGAGAGAGCTCTGGGACCAAGTCCTCGGACCAACGCCACATGCTTGGGCCGAAGCGACGAGTGTGCAAGTGGGCCACGCAACTCCACCACGAAGCGTATGATTTGCGCAAATTGGCTGCAGAGACGGGCAGCTCCACAGCACTCGGTAGGGCACTCGGTAGGGCACTCGGCGGCCGCTGTGCTCGACAAGCCCGCAACCGTTACTCCAAAACGCGCGAGTGAGCCGTCGACACCAATCGCAGCGCTCTAGAGCCTTTCGCCACACTTCGGCCTGACCGCCTCACGAGAGACGTGCCGTGACAGGTCTCGGGATCGACAAGAAAGGCGCCGCCGAGCACAGCCGCAGTTCCTTCTCGCGGGGGGTGAAGATCTTCGCACTGGAGAGCAGCGCCGAATGCTTTTGACCGTCTGCCGCCGACAAAGGATGCAGGGGAGGGGGACATGTGCATGTTGGCATGGGAATAGACTGTGGGAGGGCAAGGGCATCACCACTGAGCAACGCTTTCTTTCCTGCGCCACCGTGTCAGCATAGTGTCACTGGATGAGTAAATTGCATGCGAGGATTCCCATGTTGTCCATGATGGTTGAATCCAACTTTGCCGGTCAATAGCAACATGGGAAACGTAAAGCTTCGACACCGACGTAATATCAGTGTGGCGTCAGGGTCCAGCCCTGGAGGGAGGCCCCATCACCTTTTCGCTCGCTTTCCACGCTCCGAATACGACGGTTCGCGCCACAAACACCAAAAGAGCCTCCGTTGCGTTGGTAGCGGCCTGGCTGGAACCTTGTGGAGTCTTGCATCTTGGGGCTGTCGCAAACTCTCTCATGGCCATGCTCCGCTAGCAGCCGGACATAGGCCCTCCCGGTCATCCGCATCCTTTTCCTCTCTCTTCGCATCGCGTGCGAAATATAGTACGATGGAGCAAGCGAGGGTGGCGGTCTTGTACCATGTCATTCACGCGCTCGTCCAAGATAAGCGGGCTTACGACATGTCTACTGTAGTTGTAGTGTTGTACGTGCCCGCGCCCCTGGCGATCGGTACCTTGGAGACACCCACGACTCAGAGGCCTGCACGTGTTGTGGCCTGGACCCTGGTAACCCAAACATGGCATGTGTCGTCATGGCGAACAGGAGTTCAGAGCAAAGTAGACGTTGATAGGGTCTTGAATTCAATTCTGCGACCGCCTCAAGGCATGAGTGCAGTATTGGTGCACTATGCTATGGCGATCAGGTCATTTTTAGACGCTGCAGGTAGGCCCCCGCAACGCCTAGCTGTTTCAGTGGGACCTATTGCCACCTCGATTACTTTCCTCGCAGCCACTGACGCCCCGTTATTCGTTGGCCTCTCCAGTCAACACCTGTGGAGTGCTCGTTGGAGGTCAATCTTCCCAGAGCGCTGATGCCGACAGAACATCAGAGGGAATTAGGCGGGTGAATGACTCTGTGATATAACTATTCGCAACACCGTGGCTATACGCTTCAACGCGCCACAAACTCGCTCAAAAACTCCTCAATGTACTGAAAGTAGCGGGGCTCTGCGACCGAGTCGTTGTGACTTCCATTAGGTAGTTCCTTCCACACTTTATCGGGGGACCTGCACACTTGGAACAACTTGACCATGTGTGAGGGTCTGTGAGAAGAGTCAGCGGTCAGAGCGAGATTGGCATGGTTCAAAATGTCATATCAAACCTAGATGGTTGTTACTCACGGAATTATTTCGTCCTTCAGTCCACTCAGAAACAGTATGGGTATCGTGATCTGGGGCAACGTCTCCTCACTTGGCCAGACCTGATGACAGAGCGGAGCCAAAAATCGAGCAGGAGGAAACGCCCTTTCCACAAGTCAGCGCAATCTTTGATACTCGTGGAATAATTTACTTACGTTGGGATGAGTTTTCTGATCGAGGTGAACGTATTCTCGAGCACGAGCGCAGCAATGTCGTCCTGCTTCTGGTTTCTAGCCACCAATCCAATTGCAACCGCGCCTCCAATGCTTTGTCCATACACGACAATCTTCGTGCCGCGAAGCTCGTGCCGTTGACGAATGTATTCCAAGCCAGTCTGCGCATCGATCATGAGCCCCTTCTCGTTCGGATTGCCTGATGATAAGCCATAGCCTCGGTATTGCAGCATGAGGACATTGCACCGTAGCTCGTTGACCAATATCTTTGCAATTGGCAACCGATAGCCAATATTCCCAGCATTTCCGTGAAACATGAGCACCGTCACGTTGCGCGCATGTTGCTTGTTCGCCCTGATAAAGAAGGCACTGAGTGATTCTCCGTCAGGTGTAGGAATGAAGAGCTCTTCAAAGTCGGTGATGCCGAATTGCGATGGCCGAGGGACATTTGTACGAGCGTCAGGGGGAAAGCCTCGTGGGTATATGATTTCACTATGGCTGTCAGTGACGGGCTTCGTACAGTCATGCAAGAAATGTACTTTTGCTTGAAATATAGGAGGCCACTGAGTAGAGCTGCGACTCCAGACGAGGCAATGAGCGGCAGTTTTAGGTAGGACATGAACGTATCGAGTGTTGACGCCATGTTGCTCGCGCGATCCTGCTCTTTTCCGGGGTAGGACGACAGGGAGGGAATCATGTAGCGTAGACGATGCTGAAGACGGTGGCTTGGATCAACGAGTGGCACGTCTGATCCTTCGAGGAGCACGGTATCAACTAATAAACAAAGACCCAGAAATGCGATCGTAGCCTCTCCAAACCTAGTTCAGGGTGGTTACCTGGTCCAGCGGGTGCTTCAGCCCTACGTAGTATAGCGCGACGCCAAGCTTGTCGAGCCGCGTTGCTCGCGTTGCCTTCTAACACGACCATCTACAACGACGACATCACCCCGCAGCTTCCCCGATCTTTCCCATACGAATTTCTGGGCTCCATTCCCATAGAATTCCCCGCTTCTCACTCTACGTCAGCCCGTACCGCCAGGATGATGTCTACTGGCATGCTAGGAGAAGGTACATTTACCGCTATATGCACCCAAGCTCGGAGCTCACACTCACACAGATGGCATTCATATCGACATGAACCACCTCAAGAAAGGCGAAGTCAAGTAAGGTGTTCCAACGGTAGAATCCTGTTTCACACATTACTAACCAGCTCTACAGCCTAGGCACATCGATGTTTGTCCCACCCGCGCACCATTCCTTCGCATCCTCTGACACATGAATAGCATGGCGATCAACTTCAAAGATGGTGTAATACTAGCCGCAGACAGTCGGACAACAACGGGAGCATACATTGCAAATCGAGTCACGGACAAGCTCACACAAGTCCACGACACCATCTGGTGTTGCAGATCCGGCTCAGCAGCGGACACGCAGGCTGTGGCTGACATTGTTCACTATCACCTGGGCATGTACGGCACCACAAACGACGAGCCGCCGACTACACAGACCGCAGCAGCGATATTCCAGGAGCTCTGCTATTCCAACAAGGATCAGCTATCGTGAGTCAAAAGAACGCCGACAGTGTCGACGTAACTGACGTCTTGTTAGCGCTGGATTGATCATCGCCGGATGGGACCATCGACATGGTGGCCAGGTATACTCGATTCCACTTGGAGGTTCTTTGCACAAGCAGTCGTACGCAATTGGCGGTTCAGGGTCAACGTACATCTACGGTTACTGCGACGCAAACTGGAGGGAGAACATGACCGAGGAGGAGGGCATCAAGTTCGTCAAGGGTGCGCTCTCGGAAGCCATCAAGTGGGACGGCAGCTCTGGCGGTGTGATCCGCATGGTGGTGCTCACAGGCACAGGCGCACAACGACATCTATATCTACCAGACCAGAACTACGAAGGGCCTGGTACACAGTAATTCGGCAGTGAAATTGGTGGCAGATACATGGGGGGACATGTATGATATGGCTGTCAGAGGTCGAGGTGGACGTGAAGACGCCGCCGAACGAGCGACGACACGAGATAGAGCTCGGCCAATGGACGGAGCATTGATCAAGCTCTCATGACCCACGTCCACGCAACAGCTTATTAGAGTGGCATTCGTTAGTAGCATGCACTAGACACGAATGTTAGGCAGTTGATGTGGCATTTCTCCGAATCGCCAGCCCAATCACAAACGAGCATTTGCCCATACTTTTTTGTCCCGCTTTGTGTTGCACACGTGGGGACGACCAGCGTTGATTGATGAGGCATGCGTTGAAGTTGTGTCGGGCGATGAAAAGGAAAGCAGCCATGTCGGTTTTTTTCTGCGAGGACTAAAGAATAGAAGGCACAGAGATGCGCGGTGTCGTCACGCAGGGCTTCAGACTGTGCTATCGGGCTGCGACCAGCATCGGCCCAGGGTCTGTTGCAGCGCCATTAACTGGTCTGTGGTATGACGACCCGGGCGTTTCCCCACGCACCCTCAGACAACAACTCCCTTCACCTCAACACCGCCCAGCTCTCCCTCCTGCGGCCCCCCTTCCTCCCTTCGCCCTTTACCCTTCCTCGACGCGGCGCCGTCCAATTCGCTTTGGTTACGGCAGGAAAGAGCAGGACATGCCATCTTGTGCTCGCCGGTGAGCTGTGTCTAAACCTCTGCGCTTCTGCGATAAGAGCTTGTGTCCGCGCGACCACTGCGCTCAGCAGCAGCCCAGACACTGCCCACGTCTTCGCCGCGTACTCCATCCACGCGCCTTACTCGAGAGCAATACCATCACCGTGTCGCGCTCACCCAGCTTGTCCCTCGTCTACCATCTAATCTAGTCCTCTTCGCACAGCCTGCTATCGCGGAATGGGATCGATAGTGGTAAACGACTTTGGTGGAAACCACTTTCACAGTAACATGTTTGGCGGCAGCAGCACGCACCAACGGCCGCAAGAGTCCACCGCCGTGCAACATACTCCCGTGCGACCATCGCCTTCAGCAAACGCCAATGCATCGCGCGTAGTTCCTCTCCCTGATGACGTTCCCATGGCCGATGCGGCAACCCCACCATCGAGCTCAACACCAGGCCAGCGGTCGCAGCAGCAGCACCCCTCAGAGCCTGATCAACCACGGGCCCCTACACCACCTAGCCCCCACTTTCGTCCCCGCTCGCAGCAGCCCACGCCGTCAGGCACAAACCCTGCCTCACTCTCGCGACCTGTCCCCACAGCAGGGCCTGCTCCCTCGCAATCACCGTCTCTACAATCTCCTACAGACTCGTCGTCAGCGTCGTCGCCCCAGCGCATCAAGGTCAAGAGCCTATCTCATATCCAGAGCTTCGCCATTGATGAATCGAGCCCCTTCTCTCAGACACGCTCTTTGTCACGGCGGCAGCGAAGAGACCCTGCAGATGTTGGTCCACAGTACGAGATCAGCGATATGCCGGTTTCGGATATCATCGAGATGGTTGCTGGTCTATTGACCAAGATCACGACCACAAATGACCGGCAACACGACCATCTACATCGACAGATACCACCACCAGAAGGCACATCAGGCCTCAGCCAGCAGACAACCAGTGTTCTAGCCTTCCACGGCAAGAATGTGCCCAGCATCTCCATCCTCAGTTATCTCAGCCGCATTCACAAGTACTGTCCTACTACCTACGAAGTCTTTCTCAGCCTTCTCGTATACTTTGATAGAATGACCGAAAGGGTAAATGCAGGCCCTCTATCCGGTCTTCGCCAGGCTAACCAACAGTCTCTGGAACGCTCCAACTCTTCAGCATCCGCGAATGCACCCGCTGTCGAAGCGTCGCAACCTCCTCCAGCTACTCCAGCCCAAGCTGCCACACCGCCACCGTCTGGATCCCTAGGCCAGCCATCGAGGGGCCCAGTACAGGGTTCCCAGCCGCCTTCACCACCTCAGCAAGAACTAGACGCCGACACACTCAATCTATCGCACTTTTTCGTTGTTGATAGTTACAACATCCATCGCCTTGTAATAGCTGGTGTTACGTGTGCGAGCAAATTTTTCTCGGACGTATTCTATACCAATTCTAGATACGCCAAGGTACGTTATATGCAGGCGCCCAGAATGAATGTAACTAACGTCCTGTAGGTTGGTGGTCTGCCATTGGTCGAACTAAATCACCTAGAGCTACAGTTCCTACTGCTAAACGACTTCCGCCTAGCCGTCCCATTGGAAGAAATGGAGGCTTATGGAACCATGTTGGTCGAGTTCTACGCACGAGAAGTGGCAGAGCAACACGAACGACAGAACGGAGCTAAATACTAATACTATTAGCATGAAACGGAGTTCTGCGGCGGGTAGTGCTCACATAGAGTACGGGGATAAATTCAAGGGCGGAAATGGCTAGTGGAGGTCCATGTCCGAAGGCAGGAGCTCTCCCTCTCTGGTTTACGATTGCTGGACGATACCCATTCTAGTGCGATCACGGCAGAGCCCACACGTTGAACAAGGCTATGGCATTGTTTTCCATCTTTGAGATTCTCTTCACCCCGAAGTTCTGTAGGTGGAGCAGGTAGACATTTGGCTCCCGGAGTTCTATGTTCAACTTCGGTCGATTTGAGCCTTTTGATTTGAGCTGAGTCAGTCAGCGAGCGTACTTCTTAACTGTGCTTAGACTGGGATACCAACGGTGCTTGAGTTGATGCTTCCATTTATTGGGAAGTTTGCGAGTTATGAGACTACGATGGCTTTCTTGAGATTTGAATCTGCCTTTTCCAGCTTTTCACCACCTTCTGCAAGACCCTTAGGGCGGCGTTCATAGAGTCGTGCTGGGTGGTATGCCTTTTAATATTATGCAATGCATGAGTAATCTTGAATTGTGGTCCGATTTATTGCCCCTTCACAGACGCTCTTGGAATCAATCTTGACGTTGAATAATGACGCTGACGACCGCACATGGCGTCTTGCAGTATCCAAGAGTATTATTTGTGATATAGTAAATCTTTGGTGTAAATAATAATTACGTGAATATGAGGGGCACAGCGTGAATAGCCCCTCAGTTCTAGAATTATTTTTCCCAGTTCCAATATCCCCTTAACCAGGTAACAACATCCTTGGCCCGAAGTTACCTAAGCCAGGGGTAAATCGACCCCAGTAGTACATCGCAGGTGCTACCCGCACCTACCACCCGGTGAACTTTAAAAATGGCAATCTTATCGTATATTACACGTGACGCATCGGGGCTAGAACTTTTGGACCCACAATTTCCTTTCCTTTCAAGTCCAGCCCTCCTAATTGCTTTTTTTTTTTTTGCTTTTCAGTAAACCGCACTCCTTTTTTTTGCGTTTCCCTCGTTTTAATCAATTGATTGTATCTTTTTTGAAAGGGGGGGCCCACAGCTATGCCTTCTTCCTCTTTATTTCCCTTTTCGTTCCTATCACTTGTACAATATGCATTTTTGGGAGTGATTTTATATATTTTAGCCGGCGCTCCCTTGCTTTCCCTAGTCGATCTGTCAGGGTCCTCGTACTCGTATTCCACGAGTGCTAGCGGCGGCAGCAATGCTGGTGGTGGTGGGATTGTGGGGGAAAAGTTGGATACTTTAGTCATTCCCGAGGCAAATTTGACCTGTCAAGCGCATAGTTATAAGGGTGTATATGTACTGAGTAGGGAGCCATTGGTGGTGTACATTGAGGGATTCGTGAGTGCGGAGGAGTGCGAACGGGTTGTGAGGGTGAGGTGAGTTTAATCCTATGGGAGTGCGACGAAACATGGCACTGTGGAGTTTTCCAGGCTTTTCTCGTGGTGTATGGATTGTCTTTCAGGTGCCTAAGCTGACGAGACCAGCGAACCCCATTTCACACCCTCTACCGTCTGGAATGCCGGCCAGGAACGCCTAGACACCACCGTCCGCCACTCTGAGAAAACGCTTACTCCGCGTGATCACACAGTCAAGTGCATTGAGGAGCGGGCGCGTACATTTCAGGGCTGGCGTCCGTATACCTTTGTCGAAAAGCTATGGACTCAACGGTACGGTGCAGGTGGCCACTACACGTACCATTTCGACTGGAATACAGCAACCAGGACGAGCGGACGCGTGAGCAGTTTCATGGTCTATCTTGAAGCGAATTGCACAGGAGGCGGCACTCATTTCCCACGTCTCCAGAAACCCATTGAAAAATCCTGGTGCAAGTTCATCGAATGCGGAGAGCAAGCCGGGCCCAACGTGGGAAGAGGGAGTGAGGGGCCGAGTCTAAGCGAGGGCGTGATTTTCCGGCCCATCAAGGGCAATGCAGTGTACTGGGAGAACATGCGCAGTGGTGGAGAGGGGTACCTCGAGACTTGGCATGCTGGATTGCCGGTAACGAATGGGACGAAGATTGGGCTGAATATCTGGAGCTGGTTCCAGGCGGGTTATGTGCCGCCGGTTCAGTAGGTGGAGTAATACAGATGTTTTGTGAAGAACTAGACGGCGAGTGTTGGAGTTTACGTCAACCACTACGCACCCAAGGGAGGAATTTATAACATATGGTGAGACCCAATGATCTTCCGATAGTTTATGATCTCTGGGAAATTTTGGTGCGAATTTACAAAACAACAATTCGGAGCTATGTGTCGGGACGACATTGCAGGCGCTGATGCTGACCATCCTGTCGATCCTTGCCGTGAACAGGATGGAGTAAACTCCTCGTAGCAAGCGGACACCTGACTCGGATCCTTTTACACTCCATCATCAAACCGTTAATTGAAAATGGTTAGCCAGGCGCAACTGATTTGTCGGTGTGGACATCACCTCTTTTGCAGTAGGGTAACCCTTTGTTAATGTTGCCGTACGCGAAAGAAGACTTCTTACTATTGTTCTCAACACCGCCGTTTTGGCCACCACGGCAACAGCAGACTTCCCAATACGAAGGCTAAGCGACGTCGATTTTCATATAAAGCAGAGGATGGAGCACTATGTATGTGACTATCTCTATTCCAAAGATTCTTTATCAGCCGGCCCTTTCAATTTTCAAAGTTTTGCCTCCAGTCGAGTAAGCCTTTCTCCTCGTCGTCGATCCGCCTTCAAACATGCCAGCTCTCGTAGACGCGTCAGGTCTTCTTCCATTCCAGCCTTTATATGCCGACTTCAGGCGATATCGCGCGCTACATCATAACTGCATACTTGCTCCAATTGACAACCCTAAGAGGAGCACCATAACTCGGGTGATGCTGGGAGTACACGCAACCCCCAACGAGTCGTCATCCAGCACACAATTGCTAAGCACTGTTTCGACTGCAGCGAGCAGTTCTGATGAGGCCAGCTCTTCATCATCCAAGCCGGGCACTCCTCCTTCACCACTCGACGCGCCTCTCATAGGTCCCGGCGCAGATGCAAAGCTACAACTACAGCCAAAAGGCCCAGTTGCCCCAAATCCAGCAGTAGACGCGCGCGCTCCCTAAAAATTCCCTGGGTCTTTTTGAGTAGCAACTGCTTTTGGGAAAAAAGTGGTACACGGAGGTATGAAGCTTGTGTTGCAGTACGCAGCAGGCGCTCACGATGTCCGCCACGTGGAGTTATGTCTCTGTACAAGAGTACGAAGTGATACCTGCGTCATAGAGATGCTGGGCCCTTTTCCGATCGATACTGAAGGAAAGAACGGCCCCGAAGAAGCATCTCGCTTATCGCTATGGTCTTGCATCGACAAACACCTCCAAACTCTCTCATCCGTGTCAGGTAGCCGGCGTATGCACACTATGCATCCTGGGCTACCGATAGCTGCGCCCGCCCGCGCTCGACCAAGTACATCTAGGCTGCGAACGAACTCCGTACCAAGCTCCCACTCACGCCCAGCTGCAGGCTCGCCTGGACAGTTACAGCAGACAGAAGACATCGATTCTCGTATCAGCACCGACGTCCCTCGTGTCAGCACCACTTCAAGAAGAACGCTAGTACATCACCCTCGCCCCGGCGACCTTGACGTTGGTTCCAATCATACGAATAAATCAGCCACCATCCCTTGGGATGTTCTACATCACTTCCTCTGCGTCGAGGTTGGAGAATGGTTCTGGGACCAAGGCATGGATCCTGAGAACGTGTTGGACAAGGTGAGTACTCTCTGTGGACCACTCTCCCAGCTCTTCGCAGGCTAAAGGGATATAGTACAATACCGACGGGACGCTCAAAGAGAATGAAGATTTCACCAAGCCAACACTGTGGCAAAAGTGGGTATCGAAGCGAAAACGTTCAGCTACAGAATGGCAAAATAGATGGAAGAAGTCGCAACTGCTGAGGAAGTTCGAATACGACGGCGTCCGTATCGATGAGTTGCTGGTCTTCTTGATCAAAACCCAGCGGGAACAGTATCGCTCGAACCCGTACAATCTCAGCTCGAACTACTACATCCTCATATTCCTCAGCCTGGCTGCGTGGGCCATCGGGAGCATCGTGTGCGGCCACCATGAAGCTCGAGCGAAAATTGAAGTAGGCGCCACTGGAGTTCTCGCGACCTTGTGCAGGGGCTTGATCGGTGCTATACCAGCGGTGACACAGATTACGCTCTTCCTGTTCCCTCCGCTGTATGTGTCATACTGAAAATCCCCTTGAAGACCATTGGGGATTTGATGGGCGTGTATTGACCATCTATAGTGTTGCCGGGGACTAGTGCGATGATAGTTGGAGGGTGCCGATGTGCCAGTAATAATAATGATGTTGTACCTACAACTTCACTCCGCGCATGTCTTAATATCCAAAGTAAATATGTTCTCAGCACCACCATCAATTAGCCAGATAGAACGCCCTGATGGCCCTATATGTTTATGAATTTGATTCACCACATTTCCTATTCTCATTCAGCCAGCTGTTATCGACTATCAGTTGTGCATCACCACTCCCTCGATATCACATGTCGCACGATCCGACAAACAGGTACCGTTAGAATCACCATTCTTTTGATGTTTGGGAGTCTTTCAAACTGACAAGGATCACACTCTCAAAAGTATCTCGAGTAGCAATCAATAACCATATGGACTGGCTGAACGAGTAACCAGTGTTCATTGACATTTGCATATATTCATTCTCATTGAATTAAATTAGATACCATTCCCTTACAGTTTCAGCTCCCTGCTCCCCTCAAGGTCTAGCGTGACCACACTCTCAATATCCGCCGTCGACTGGCCAAAAGAGAAGTCATACTGTCCTCTATCAACCTTCCACGACTTGGATGCCTCATCAAAGTAGGCAAAGTCCTTGAGCGCGAGCGATAGCTCAACAGTTTGCTCTTGACCAGGCTGTAGGAAGACCTTCTTGAACGCTGCAAGGGTCTTGATCGGGTGCTCTGGTGATTGGTGTTTTCTTCCCACGTACAGCTGAACCACAGTCGAGCCAGCGACGTTGCCGGTATTCTTAAGGGCGGCAGTGGCGCTAAATGCCTCTGCAGATGTCCGCGAGACTTTACTGTTGCTTATAGCAAAGGTGGAGTACGATAGGCCGAAACCAAAGGGGAATTGCACCTTTTCCTTTGCAACGCGGTCGTAGTGTCGATATCCGACGAAGACGCCCTCTTCGTACTTGACGGTGAGCTGGCCGTCCTTGACCTCGCCGGGGAAGTTGCCGTACGCAGGGGCATCTTCGATGCGCTTTGGCCATGACACTGGTAGTCTGCCCGAGGGATTTACTGCCCCGGAAATGATGTCCGCAATGGCATTGCCGGCTTCCTGGCCAGGGAACCACGCCTGAACCAGAGCAGAGACTTTGCTAAGCCAGGGTAGCGCGACAGCCACTCCGGTGGAGTTTACGACGATGGTGCGCGAGTTGACGGATGCGATGGTCTCGACGAGCTTATCCTGCGATCCATCCCGCGGTAGGTGGAAACTAAGTTGGTCCTGGCCTTCTGTCTCCCACGCTGGAGTATGGCCTGTGAAGACGATAGCGATATCACACTCTTTGGCCACCTCTTTGGCTTGGATGACTAAATCCACATCGTGCTCCTGCTGCGTCATGAAGCCCATTCTGAAACCAGGTAGACCGGCGAGAATGCCCCAGTCGGTCCCGCCAACTGGGGGCTTCGTGTGGATCTGAATCTTGTACGACTCGCCCTTTGTGAAACTAACAGTGAACTCTTTCTCTGGGTTACCACCGAGAAGAAATCCCATGGGATCTGGTGAGTTATCCTTCTGCTCGAAGACTACTTTGTCGTTGACAGTGACGACAGTCGGTCCGATGCCTGAGCAGCCGAGGTAGTGAGAGCCACTTTCTGTAGGGGTGAAAGTTGCGCTGAAGCGTACTTCCTTGTCCTTTGCTTCGTTGTCGAGAATCGGGCTGAAGGAGGAGTCCTTGAGCTCGTTGGTCGTCTTGATTGCCTTGTCTGTCTGGCCAGGCTTGAAGAGCTCCATGGTCCACCCCGCATTGCCTTTGGCATCTTTGCAGCTCTTCGCCAGCGGTGGCAGGAGGCGATATGTGTGGGCTCCCTTGGAGTACTTGAACTCCACATCATCTCCATATGCGGCTTTCAAGCCCTCCTCGGGGCTGACACGGTAGTGAGCGTTCAAGGACGCACTTCCACCGCCATGGATCAGAGCCTCTTTCGCCAGACCGAAGAGACCGATCTTCTTGCCTTTCACCGCCTCTTTCTTCAGAGGAAGAATGTTGTCATCGTTTTTGAGCAGGGTGATACCTTGACCAGCAGCTTCCCGGATGAGTTTGCTATGTTTCGGATCGACGATAGACTGCTCGGGTGGAATCTCGGGATTCTCAAACCCACCAACCTTCTCGATGAGGTTTAAGACGTTCTTGGCTCGCTCGGTAATAGTCGCCTCTGTTATTTCCCCCTTTTGCACGGCTTCAGTGACGGCTTCCACGGTGCGCCATCTTGTGGGTCCTGGCATCTCCAAGTCCAATCCCGCGTTCAAAGAGTCTGCCGTGGAGTTGACACCTCCCCAATCGCTCATCACCAAGCCCTCCCAGCCCCATTCGCCACGCAGGACCTGCTTGAGTAGGAAAGTATGTGAGTCCGCATGTGTACCGTTGAGCTTGTTATATGCGGTCATAACAGCCAGAGGATTGGCCTCCTTGATGGTGATCTCAAAAGGTTTTAAGTAAATCTCCCTCAATGCTCGCTCAGAAACGATGGTGTCGACAGCCAGACGGTCCGTTTCTTGCTCGTTTGCTGCAAAGTGTTTGATAGTGGCAGCGATACCATTTTCCTGCAAGCCTTTGACAACGTTGGCGGCCATTTTTCCAGCTAGATAGGGATCCTCGGAGAATGACTCAAAGTTTCGACCACCAAGAGGGTGTCTGTGGTTGCACATAGTGGGAGCGAGACTGAGAAGAAGTCAGCCCCAGTCATTCATGTTTCAGATGTCTCATCATACAGCACTCGCGCGCTCTTTGTTTTCGTCTCTTCTGCCAATGCACCCCCTATCCGCTTGGAGAATTCGGGGTCAAAGGTTGCAGCTGAGCAGACAGCGGCCGGAAAGCATGCTGCCCTTGTTCCTCCAGAGAAGACTTCTCCGCGCGCTCCATTTGGTCCATCACTTGTCTGGCCAAAATTAGCAAAAGTCACATACAGTTCCTGCTTGAAAAGTGATGTACCTTGATGGCAGGCACACCCTTCCCCGGTATCGGAACAGTCTCCCAGAAGTCTTTCCCGGCAAGGAGAGAGATCTTCTCCTCCAAGGTCAGAGACTGGAGGATAGTCTCGATCTTCGAGCTCATGGTTGCGATCCAGTCCTCAACAAAAAAACCAAGATGACAATGCGAAGTATATTAAACCTGCAAACGATATGGAAAGTATGGAATGACACAAAACGCGCTTTTCGAAACAAATATCAGCGCTCAATATGCCTTTCCCCACATGAGCGCCGACAGTTCTTATAAGTCCTCCCCTCTCTTCCCAAATCGGATACCCTTGCCGCCCCTCCGGTCTCACTCCAGTCTCCATGATATCGAACTGCCTCGTGGGTCCAATGTGGAGAACAAAAGACCTGTGCCATTGGCTAATCACAAGAGCTATCGAAAAGTTAGCACTAAACATGCCGAGGTTCTGCCATGGTCATTCCTGCCTTGTCTCCGGAAGGCGCTCTTATCCGAAGAATAGCCAGAAAGATGGGACATACACCCACTCGGAGTCAGATGATGCGAGAGACTTGTGTACCTTGACTCGTATCTTGGGGTTGGGCGGAGAGGGGATTGTGAAGGATGTGGGGCCAAGAAACTTAGTCAGCCGCGTAAACCGCGAACCTCCGAGGTTCAGTGATGTACCCACGTGGTTAGCCTCTGCGGACTTGTTAATACACGTCATCCATCATATAGATTTCGTTTCTGTGTAGTTCAATTCGTTACTTCTGAGCCAGATTGCATCTTCTTTGAGGGGTTGTGGCTGTTACCCGGAATCTCGTCCAAAATGAGCGGAACAGGAAATTTAAGCCGGCGGCATCCGCTACAGCGGTTTGCGTCACCGTCGAAGGGATTTTCAGGCGCTTTACATGTAAGTAATCGTGTCGAAGGCGTAGACCAAGACTCGAGAGCTGAGATTGACTACAGGTCGCTGGTCTTATCAGCTTCTACCATTCATTTAAATTGTGCGTTTGATGAAACTCTACTCCAGTCATATACATAAGCACCTATTGACATCAACTGAAGTTTGGCGGATAACCCCAATGCCATCGTAAGTTGACTTTTAACTGAAAACTCCAGCAACATCATCAATTAGATTGCTAACAAACACACAGAACGAATCCTTCGGGTGGCATTTCCAGTTCCTCACCATCATCGGCATATCAATCAGCACAGCATGCTTTACCTCGGGCTTGCTAGCGGACATTACAAACTCGCACACCTTTTACACAGTAAAGAATTATCTCGCTCTTGTCGCCGCGCCCATCGAGATCGTTATCAGTCTGCTCTACTGGGGTTTGCGCGCCATCGATGACGGCTTAGTAGTACCACCGGACCTACCGATGCCGCCCGTTCTGTATGATCTGGGCTTTCACCTGGTTCCTGCTGTCGTGTTGACGCTCGATGCGATACTACTAAGTCCACCATGGCCGACGATGCCTATGAATCCTCAAGCGCCAACCATTATGCTCGTTACTTCGACCGCAATTGCATTTGCATACTGGTGGTGGATTGAGCTGTGCTACTCGTACAATGGGTTTTACCCGTATCCGTTGTTCGGAATGCTGACAACGGCTCAACGCGTGGGTCTGTTTGCAATAAGTGGCGCCACCATGTGGGTGGTGGGGGGAGCGTTGAGAGTGCTGTACGCGTGGGTGAATGGGTATGAGTCGGTTGAGGAGCTGGATAAGACCAAGAGGGCGTACAAGATGAGGGTAGAAGGGAAACGGGACTGATTCATACATCTATCAGAGTTGATAGCATCAGTTATCTCATGGAGAGCCAGGAGACTTCGATGATCAAAAGCATGAAGCGTCGAGGTCAAGCGTTGTGTATAGATGGCTGGAGTTTGATTGGTTACGAGCGTCATGACGCAGAGTCTTTTTGAATGTAAACATAGAAGCTTTTGTAAGGGGAAGATGCCTTCAGGGGCACGCGCTATGCTAAAAATGCGCTCGATTGACAGGAGCGACGACTTTGACGTCCAGAATTGTATGGATGCACTCGTTTCTATCACATTCCTTGTATTAAAACACGCATATTGAAATCAGCGATACTGTACAAGCCACAAGCATCCCACCACAACCCATGCTTGCGAAGAAATCGATAGGAAAAGAAAAACTATAAAGTAAAGAACATGACGGTAGCATCAGTGCAACGATCCCCAGAGCCTGCTCTTCATTTGTGATACTCATAATATATTATACCGAATGTCATCAGTCGTAAGTCATATCGCATAAAAACATGTCGAGTCGTGTATAGAAAATTAAAAAGGCTAGTCGCACGCGTAAATTGGTCGCTCTCGCTTGCATGGACTGAGGAAAACCAAAAGAGATGGAGCGAGAGTCGAACAGCTGGGTATTTGTTGCGGCATACTTGCTGCTGGCTGGTAAGCGTCGCGTTCGGGAAGTTCAACAGGATGAGTTAGTTAGTCATGACTGCGTAAAGACTTGAGTGTGAATGTGTGACACGCTTAGCTCGTAGACGGTGATGGCGGAGCCGTGATTGTGCGTTGATCATCGTCATCCTGGTTCTGCTGCTGATATGCGGAATTGCTATTGTACAAGTGACCATTGTACTGGGAGCCATACTGTTCATGGCCTAGACCGTATGAATTGGTATGATAGTGGTAGCTAGTGCCATGGTGGTTATGGAAGTTGCCATATGCCGTTTGATTGAACGGAGGCAAACCATTCTCCTTATTTTCAAACAGGAACGGGTCGTTGTACGGCTTGTAAGGGGCGAATGTGGGTGCTGGGGACGGCGAGTGTTGACGAGTAAAACCCGAGGTGAGATAGGTTAAGCCGGCTGGCTGAGAGAATGGAATGTCGTCGTCGTCATCGTCGTCTTGGAAGACGTTGAATGCTGCTCGGTTCCGCTTCGAGGCACGGTCGCTGTGGGTATATTCATAGCTGGGGCGGCCGCGATCTTCGTCGTACTGGTTGCGAGACAAGTAAGAAAGCATGGGAGGACGGTTAAGTTGCCTGGGGCGACGAGGAGCATTAACGTCCATGTTGGCAAGCGCGGGGCGCCGTCGAATTGGCTGTGGACTTTCGACTTTGATCTCAATGCCGTCGTCATCATCAGAGTCTGAACATGAAATCCTGCGAAGCCGCTTGAAGGAGCCATGTGGCGTGAATATGAGCTCCGTAGCCTCGACTTCTTGTGAATTGAGCTCGAGCTGCTCTACTACAGAGCTATCCTTTTTCTGGTTTCTCTTGCGCCGCATCTCAGGTGTAGCCGAGTCGAAGATGTCCATGCCAGGCCAGTACACGCCCTTCAGCTTGGTTGACTCGCTGACTGCCATTGGGTCTGTATCAACAGGGTCCTCCTCAATGGCACAGGAATCTGCCGCAGTGTACCGATAGCGTCGCCGCTCGCTTGGATCCGAGTACTCACTCGACGTCTCGTAGTCTGGGTTGGTGTAACTGCGAGAGCTAGCACACGACTCGGTAGCCCAATACTGCATATGTGGTGCGAAGCTATTGCGGTGACGCAGGACTGGGCCAGTAGGCTGGGGTGTTGGTGTAGGAGTAACCGAGTGTTCTAACTTGATCGTCGGTTGCTGCTCAGAAAGACGTGGATCGAGGAGGTTGCCGGCGGTGGCGCGACGAGCGGGGCGTGGCACTGGAGCTGCAATCTTAGGAGCTGGAGTGGGCCGGGCTAACAGAGGGTGAATGTCAGTAACGGCCCTGGGCCCATACAGTAGTGCGGTGCCGTAGAGGAGGTGAAGGCGTACCAGCTGGTCTAGCCCGCGTGCGGCGTTTGTCCTTCTGGCTCATGCGTTCTGACATGAGCTCCTCGACATTCCACTCGGCATACCAACAGTCGTAGGCGTCAATCAGCAAGCGAGATGTAGTTTCGTGTGACGAACGAACTTTGACCTTGTAGTAGTTGGATAAGTGGCCTTTGCTGGCAATGTGCGTAAGCAGATGCGAAACATCGCTGAAGTTTGGCTTCTTGGGGCAGATGTCGCAGTGCAGCGGAATGGCGTTGGCCGCCATTGCAGCACAGCGTCTGTGAGAACCGAAGTGAAAAGAACAAGCTCAATGTGAATGTACTGTGCTTGCAGCGTGAGTGAACAGGACGGCTTTGCGAAAGGAGCGGGCGGAATGCGAAGAAGGCGGAGAGGTGACGGCGGGAAGCCTGCAGAGATGAGAACTGGTGCACAGGAACAGCTACCAGTCACTTCCGCAACTCCTAGGCCATTGCTTGACCTCCAGATGAAAGGAAGTGGGAGAGGGATACAGATACCTCGCAATGAAAGAAGAGAGGAAGGAAGCACGAAATGCAGAGAAGGAGGAAATTTGTACGTGATAGTCTCGCAGGCAGCGCACGTGGGGGAACACTCGGCCTGGACGAAAGAGGCAACCACGGTTACTTTTCTCTGGCTTTGTATCTCACGCCTCATGAAGAGGAGGCGTGAGGTATTAGATAGCCAGAGGGTGAGACACAGAAGATTTCAATGAGCGTACAGCCCAGAAGAGCGTCTCTGTGAAGGGGATAAAGAGAGAGCATAGGATGTAACCACTAGTGAGGAACTCTAACCCGGCAAATTTCACGATGCGCACTCAAGATGATAAAGTTTAGCTTTCTTCGCGAATGATCTGCTCAATCAACCTATCGGAATGCCAGCTCTCACTTACCCAAGCACCTGCGCGTCACAGACCGTGGCATGCAACTAAACATTGATTAGCCCCTTGAATGATGATAGCAGGGCGTTCACCTACTAGACTGGATCTACCTCGTCTAGACCTGGGTATTTCAGAAGACTCAGACCAGCAATCCCGAAGACAGTATGGAAGACATCGACCATATCTCCTGGTCGGTCTGCAAGTCCACCCAGCTCCGGGTCCTGCATCAATTAGAATCTAATGGCGGCACTTCTTACGAACCAACAAAAAACATACCTGGCACTGTAGGATGAAGCTCGTCAACTTGTCGCCATCTATCCAATGCAGCCTGTCCAGCATGGCCATGCTGCTCATGACCCACCAGCTGTAGCAGACGTCTTCCTTCTTCTCTGGCCGCCCGTTCAAGCCACCATTCTTGAGTTGACGTTCGCTAAGCCAGGCGCCCAGCTTCTCTTGGTCCACCAGATCGAGCCTTCCCGCGATGGTCAGTGCTCCGAGACACGTGAACACCTGACCTGAGTGGGATTCAGCGCCAGGGCTGGTGCCATATCCACCGTCAAAGTTAGCGCAGGCGTGGACGTGTTGAACGGCTTTGTCAACGTCGACCAGGTGGAGAAGCCCCATGAGCGACAGGGCGTTTAGCGCTCCATATAGGAAGCGCGTGTCTTGCTCCCCCCACTCATCACCTGCAAACGTGCCTGTTTGGGGGTCCTGCAAGCCAGCGATAACTGTGAACCGTGAGCATGGCCATATGTTGAGGTCTTGGCCAGACAGACGCACACTTTCCGATCTTCTGGCGGCCGCCCTGGACGCGGGCTTCAAGGTCGTCGAAAGCGTCGAGCGTGGCTAATAGTTGCACTCCACTGACGGTGTACAACATGTGGGCATCGTGGCCCGGGGCAGCACCAAAGCCGCCGCTCTCGTGCAGACACGAGAAGACGAAGTCGAGTAACTCTTTGCGCGGGAGAGCATCGGCATGTCGTAGCAGATGCAGCGCCGTCAACCCCCAGTACAAGCCGTTGAGGCGCAGGTGCTCAGTGAGCCAGTACTCGAGCTCGTCTTTGCGCTGGAGCGGGTCAGCGCGGAAATGGATCGCTGGACGCTTGCGCGGCCATGCAGCAGCAGCAGCAGCAGCTACATACTGTGTCGAGGCTCTGGATGTAGCGGACGTGCTTGTCGACCAAGAGCTGCATCTCGTCCGGCACCTTGGGCATGCTGCCGCGCCCTGGTCCAGACACTAGAGACATTTTCGAACGGGGGGGAGGGGCGGGGGCGGAGAAGGAAGGCTGCTGCTGCTCAGGGTTCCATGACTGTTACTGTACTGATATTGAGAGACGCATTGATGTCTGAGTTGGGTCGGCTGGCTGGGGTGGAGCCCTGATACGACGGGGGGGTTCTGAAGCGGTGGTCTTGGCACACCCTGCCCATGGCCCATGGCACCCTCATATGAGTGACGATCCTGCGGCGACCAGCAGCCCAACCAGCATCGGACGCACTGGCTGCTCCCACCATGGCTTTGGCTCAGGCTTCAGGAGTCTCCAGCTTCCTTGACCGCTTTTGCTGTTCTCCGCTGCGCGGCATTCGCTGCGGGCGCTTTCCGGAGCACCATCCGTTCAGTCCAGTTTCTTAGTAGCGGCGCGCGCTCGTACCTGGGGACGTGCACCGTCACGGATTCCCACAATCAAGCATCGTTGCCGCCGCCGCCGTCTCTCTCCTGCGCCCTTTGTATCGTTGCAGGTCGGTCGCAGCAGCACAGTAGTATGGTCTTGCGTTGAAGAGAGATCCCCCTTCCCCCTCCTCTTCTCCCTCCTCCTCCCCCCACTTCTGCTCCTTGTACCGTTTTGCCGCCTCCTGGCATTTACAGCACAGAACACAGTCCTTTCGGCAGCGCGTAATCGTGTAGTGCGCAAACCGTCGGCCGCATTCACTACTACTACCCTACAACGGCCCTCGCTCTTGTAACGGGCGACTAAGACTACCATAGTATAGTCAGGAACGCACGCCGCTGATGAGCCACAAATAGCTCCACACTCGGTCCCACGATCTATTGAATTGGTCTCCGCTGCCCATCCGCGCCCAGCACCTTTGTACCGCACACTGTGTCTGCCTGGTCTTTGTCCCTCTCTCCGGCTTCAGACAACCTCGCCGTGTCGGCGGCCTGCGCATGGGTAAGTAAAGCCTTGAACAACCCTCCCTCTTTGTTCCAGTGTCGTGGCCGCGCTTCAATGTTGTACAACAGTCGCCTATAGCGCCGGCCCCTTTCACGTTCCGCAACTCGTTGCTGACTGTCGCCCAGGCCCTCGCTTGACTTTCTTCCCGTCCTCGACCACGATACTCGAATAAACTTGAAGTTGCAGCTAGAGCTAGGGCGATAGTGGGAACAAAAGTAAAGGCAGTTCCAGGTCGCACGCGCATACTCTCCGTCCTCTCGGGCTCCTGCATGCCAGCCATCGCCCTACTACCTGTCGTCGGTAGACTCGACTCGACTCCTCGACGCATCGGTGCACACCTGCAGACAGTGCTGGCTAGGGGGACACACCCACTTGACTAGGGCTCTCACAGTTCGTACTACCTTGCACGCCTTCTAATACTCTTCATCTGGGAGAAAGGCCCCTCCATGTCCTGAATCCGCTGACGGCCATGGGCAAAAGCAGACTCCTCGACCGCGTACCCGCAGCACCCGCAACACATGTGCTGTATCCACTAAAGCTACCGACACCCCGTCCACCTGCCCCGCGTCACCTACTTGAACAAACACCCACCTACCCCCAGATCGACGCAGTCCTAGACGCACCCAAAGAGGTATTTCGGCCCACAGCTTGCAGGCGCCTGGCGCGGAACACGGGACAAGCACTTGTTTGTCGATAGAGCTGTGCTAAGCGATTAGTAGCCCTGGGACCTGCCGCGAAAGACACTGAGGAAAATGCCCAAGTCGTCAACACTGTCCCTCACCATGCGGGGGAAAGCAGGCAAAGAGAATATGAATAGCCAGCCCATGAGCCCGAAGAGCCCTACATCTCCAGCCATGGCTGAAGACGGCCATTTCGCCCAGAATGCCGCGTTTCACAACATGCCACAGTCTCCGGCCTCGCCCAAACCTCGCAAAGATTCGAAGCACATCTTCTCCAACTTCTCTGCAAACAAATCGTCATCACGACTGAATAGCCACGACAATACCACACGCCAGGTTCGTGACCAGCAACATTCGCCTAGCCTATACTCCAACGGACGGAGTGGCTCGTCCACCCCAGACCTTGGCCGTCCTGTGCGGACTCCCAATTCTGATGGTAAGTCAGTAGTGTCCCGTGGGGTAACCAAGGTTCGCTAACCTTTGCAGACAATCGCTCCGAGGTCGTACGCCTAGATCAGCGAACCGAATCAGGCTTGTCCAACGAATTAGCTCATGCACTCGGGGATTCGTCAACGCCCAACACAGTAAAACCAAAAAAGCAAGGCTTGCTGGCGAGGTCGAGATCCATCAAAGGAGACGAAAGTCATGGGTCCCGAACCAAACTAAACAAAGCTCCTCCGCCGCAGCTATCGCCCGACATTGTAGGATCGTGGACGACCGGTGAAGACGGGATGCCGCTCAGGACAGCACCAATGGAAAAAGGTCAAACTTGGCGACAGAACATGGGCATTGGCAAGCTGAGGACACATTCCGCCGACCGGCAAGACGGGTCGAAGCATACCATGTCACATCGGGACGAAGACCACGGGTTAAGGAGGGATAGGGCAGAGCAGATGTCCCTCACATCCAATTCTTACAACGAAAGTCGAGGTGCTACACTCATGTCCAGCCTCGGTTCGGGCGCTCGTAAAATGGGAGAGAAGATGGACTCCGCCCGGAAAGGCGTGTTTGGCAAACTGGGACGCAGCTCCAGCTCCCACGAAACCCAGGTATCGATATCGAACGAGCCATATGTGTGCAAAATCATCCACAAGCCTCTCGTCGAGCAGACAAGATTGACCAGAATATCAACTCGCCTGGAGCAGTCGAGGGACAAGACCGAGTTCTGGATGCCTGCACTTCCCTGGCGCTGCATAGAGTAAGGTCAGCTCATTGGGACTATTGACTATGGCTAACCTTGTGCTTGTAGTTACTTGAACATGAGGGGCTGTGAAGAGGAGGGCCTATATCGAGTCCCGGGATCCGCCCAACAAGTTCGATATTACGAGCGCAAGTTCGATACAGGTAAGGAGATGAAAAATCGCTTTTTTTAATGCTGGTTTGCTAACGGTTCGTAGACGGAGACATTGATTTGATCAGCGACCCCAACCTAAACGACCCCAACGTAATCGGATCGCTGTTCAAGAATTGGCTACGGCAACTGCCCGATGAAATCTTTCCCAAAGCGATCCAAGCCGCAATTCAACATGAATGTCAGGGGGCCAAGACGACGCCCCAAATGCTCAAGGATGAGCTTTCCAAGCTGCCTCCGTTCAACTACTACCTGTTGTTTGCGATTACGTGCCATATCAGCTTGTTGCACTCCTGCTCCGAATTCAACAAGATGAACTACAACAATTTGTGCATCTGCTTTCAACCAGCGATCAAGATCGACGCCTTTTGCTTCCAATTCCTCATCCTGGACTGGCGAAACTGCTGGCAAGGCTGCTGGACAGAAAAGGACTTTCTCACCGAGGAGCTCGATTTCCTGCATACCCTGGAGATTGAGAGGCAGCAGCCGCCACCCTCTCGGAATGGCCCACCGCCCCAACACTCGGGCAAGAGTAAGGGCTCCCAACAGTTGTCACATATTGGCCAGTCTCAAAAGCCCACCTCGACCAGAAGCAACTCAACAGACCAAAACAAGACATCTACGCGAGCCCTCTCGTTGGACAGCAACGGGCGGGCTACGCCACCGAACCCTTCGCTTGTATTACCGGAACCGTCTGTTGCGCCCGCTAATGCTACAAGTTCGCGCGGTGGGCATGGCGAACGCGAAACCTCGACCGAACGAACCATTTCGTCTTCAGAGAGTCGAGACGGCCTTCCTATACGCGGGACACCTAAACTTGCCCCGCCGCCAGTGAGCACTGGGGTTCCAACTGAGATGGACGACGGCGCAACGCCTACGCAAGCCCAACATGGCCGCGGGCCTTCAGACACGACACAATTTCGACTGGACCTGCGCGATCCACCCGGCTCCCCTTTCAATATCAAGTTCTAGTGCACGAGTGGGATGAGAAAGGATGGGTTGGATTCGGCAATGGAGCTTCGCATTTTCGGTTCGTCATGTAAGCTGCTACGGGGTTGCGATAGCTGCTCATGGAATTCTTCTGGTCTCGTGGCAGCGGGTTGGGTTGTGTGCTTTTCAGTATCAGCGGAGGAGTTTGGCTATGCATTACTATTTGCTCGTTTGTGTATCATGTTGCATTTAGGCGTTGATTTTGCAAGGGTTGGAAGAACTAGCATTTGAGCGGGCGGGTAGGATAGAGGTGGACTTGTACGATGTGAGGCAGGAGTGAAATGATTTTTTTCCGCGGTTCGTTGTCGAACAATTTCAGCCCTCAGTACCACTCCAGCTTGGTGTGATTCGGATGGCATGTCTCGATTCCACCCGCACTATGTTGAAACTGGACTCGAGGTCCGCCCAGGAACCGGTGTTAAGCTTTGGGCAATGACGTCGGCACGCGAGTCGGTCGCACTTGCGGCTCTGGCCTGGTGCGCGACCCCCCACGGCCGATCTCACATCTCAAGCGCCTGCTCGTCTCTTCACTGTTGAGGGCAATCGACCCTCTCGCTCTTGCTCAGACGGCCGCTGAGCTGTACATATAACCTCAGCTGAGTCTCGGAAAGCATCCTCAACTCCTCCAATCTCTCCTCCCAACACCCTCTACCTGAACATCGTTATCGTTGGTTGTTTCTTCACCGCTGAAATCAATCCCTACCAAGCCTCAAACACAATGTTACAAAATTTCGCCCACGAGACCAGCTCAGCTCTGCGTCGCTCAATGGCAAACATGACCATGTCTGCACCACAGCAAGACCCTCAGGCCGTCTACCTACTACCATTGACGGACGCTGGCGCACCAGACGTCCCGGGAACGTACATCTACCTGCCGCCGCCAACGGACCCTGCCTACGTGGTCCGCTTCCAGATCCAGGGTACGAGCTCGATATGTCGTCAAGGCAGTCTCTGGGTGAATATCCCCGCAAAGGGCGACAAGTTCGAGCGGAGTCAGTATCGCGAGTACAAGTGAGTTTCCTGGCCCACTCTTCTTCCCCATAACCCACTTTGCTTCCCCATTCCCCATAGCCAGCCCACTCTACTTCCCCATAGCCCAGTTGGCTGACCATCACCGCAGACTCCAGCCAGACTTCAACGGCATTACGGAGATTGATGTCCCCATCTACAACGCCAACGCTTATTCTTTTTACACAACCTACACCCCACTGCCACAGTGGTCCTTCACAGACGTCGCCTCGCCCGAGCCCACGCGGACGCCCACATACTACATTGATGTTTGCCCGCGCCTCACACTGCACGGCCAACAGCTGCCGGTCGAAGCCGTCATCGTCTTCTCCTGCCTCTCCAAGTTCATGGGTGACTACCCTACCGACTGGGACAGCCACCTTCGGGGCATCAGCCAGCGCGGCTACAACATGGTGCATTTCACCCCGCTTATGATGCGCGGTGCCTCCAACTCGCCATACAGTATATACGACCAACTAGCCTTTGACGAGGCCGTCTTCACAAATGGGGAGACAGACGTACGCAATTTGGTCGAGAAGATGCAGTCAGAGTTCAACCTGCTGGCCATGACGGACGTCGTCTGGAATCACACGGCGAACAACAGCAAGTGGCTCGAGGCGCATCCAGAGGCCGGCTACAATGTCGACACGGCGCCATGGTTGCGGCCTGCGCTCGATCTGGACACGGCCCTGATCAAGTTCGGCAAAGAACTTCAGGTGCGCGGACTGCCGACAACGTTCAACAGTGTGGATGATCTTCTGAAAGTCATGGAAGGCGTCAAGACGCACGTTCTCGGAACCTGCAAGCTTTGGGAATACTATGTCATCGACGTGGAAAGAGACACCAAGGCCGTTGTGCAAGCGTGGATGGCCGGCCAAGCCAAGTTCCCCGAAGAAAGCTTTAGTGAAGCAGGTCTTCGTGGGCTCGACGCTGTCAAGGACTGGTCGCTGAAGCAGAAAGCCGACTGGCTGATCGACCACGCTCTGAGCGGCGGTGATCGGATGGGCGAGCGCTACCGCCGCACTATTGATCCCGCCGTTGGTGCTGGCCTTCTCTGCGCCCTATTTGGTCGCTACGACAGCCGTACTAGCATTACGCCAGACGAGCGAGCAGCCCACGGCGCCCTTACCCGTATTCTACAGGAGTGCAACCTCCCATTCTATCGTGAGTATGATGGGGATTCGGCGGAAATCATGGAGCAGCTCTTCAACCGGATCAAGTATGTCCGGATAGACGAACACGGCCCAAAGCTGGGCGAGGTCAACGATGCGAATCCACTGATCGAGCCCTACTTCACTCGCCTACCGCTCAACGAGACAACCAAGAAGCACAACCCAGAAGCCCTGGCACTGGTGAACAACGGCTGGGTCTGGGCTGCCGATGCTATGAGGGACAATGCTGGGCCCAAGTCGCGAGCATACCTAAGGAGAGAAGTCATCGTCTGGGGAGATTGTGTCAAGCTCCGCTACGGCGACGGCCCGCAGGACAACCCATATCTCTGGGAGCACATGGCCAAGTATACGCGCCTGATGGCGAAGTACTTCCAAGGTTTCCGAATCGACAATTGCCACTCCACGCCGATTCATCTCGCCGAATATATGCTGGACCAGGCGCGAAGCGTCAATCCCAACGTCTTTGTCTGCGCTGAACTGTTCTCTGGCTCCGAGGAGATGGACTTCAAGTTCGTCATGCGTCTTGGCATTAGCGCCCTCATTCGAGAGGGTATGCAAGCATGGAGCACTCAAGAGCTGAGCAGATTGATTCACCGTCATGGCGGGGTTCCCATTGGCACCTTCGAGACGGACGAAGTACTCAACGCCGAGCACGCTCTTGGTGCCCCCAACGACGGGTCTTCCCCGGTCAAGCCAAATGCGCTCATCAAGAAGATCAAGCGCAGCCCTGTTCACGCGCTGTTCATGGACTGCACGCACGACAATGAAACACCAGCTCAGAAGCGAGACGCCCGCGACACGCTTCCTAGCGCTGCTCTCGTCGCCATGTGCTCTTGCGCAACGGGTAGCGTCTTCGGCTTCGACGAAGTCTATCCCGAACTGATCGAGCTTGTTCACGAGAAGAGACTCTATTCCTCGGTCAACTCAACCGGAGGCCCAATCAAGGCACAGGCTGGCGAGGGCGGCATTGGTGGCATCCGCAAGATCATCAATGAAATCCACGTCAAAATGGGTAAAGAGGAGTACGATGAAACATATATTCATCATGACGAGGAGTATATCACAGTCCATCGTGTCAACCCTCATACCAGGAAAGGCTACTTCTTGATTGCCCATACCGCCTTCCCCGGCTATGGTAATGGCAACGGAGGTTTCGGCCAGACCAAGCTGCCAGGTACGAAAGCGAAACTCATCGGCAGCTGGAACCTTGAGGTCGACAACAGTAAGGAGACAAGAGCCCGCATTATTGGCGACAAGACAACGTTGCGGGGCCTGCCGAGTCAGACGAACAACCTCCAAGGCGTGATCGTCGAGTCCGATGGCGATAACACCACGATTAGCATCCCCGACAAATTCCCTCCAGGCAGTATCGCTCTCTTCGAAACATGGGTACCGAGTGCTGAGCATGCCGATGGTCTTGACAAGTTTGTCACCAGTGGCGCCCACGCGGCATTCCGCGATGTCAACCTGACCGATCTGAACTTCATTCTATACAGATGTGAAGCCGAGGAGAAGGATGCGTCAGACGACAGGGACGGTGCCTACAACATCCCTGGTCATGGCAGCCTGGTATACGCCGGCTTACAAGGTTGGTGGAGTGTATTGCGAGACATAGTAAATGACAACAACCTTGGCCATCCGCTCTGCAATCACCTTCGAGAAGGACAATGGGCGCTTGACTACTGCGTTGGTCGGCTTGAACGCATTTCCGAGAAGGAGAAGTATCACCGGATCAAGGGCCCTGCGACGTGGCTGAAGGAAAAATGCGATGCTATTCGCAAGGTGCCCAGCTTCCTGCTTCCGCGCTACTTTGCACTTGTCATTCAGACTGCCTACAATGCCGCAGTTGATAGGGCTATTGAACTCATGGGCGACAATGTTCGGAACGGCAATCAATTCTTGAAGAGTCTCGCACTTGTCAGCGTGCAAGTCACCGGCTACATGAACAGCGCTTCTCTCTGGCCAGATAAGAGCGTACCAAGCATGGCTGCTGGTTTGCCCCATTTTGCTTACGACTGGGCGCGATGCTGGGGTCGTGACATCACCATCTCTGCGCGCGGTCTTTACATGGGAACCGGCAGGTATGCGGACGCCAAGGAGCACATCTTTGCCTTTGCTAGTGTCCTCAAGCATGGTATGGTACCGAACCTCCTAGGCGGTGGCAAGAACCCTCGCTACAACTCTCGAGACTCGATCTGGTGGTGCCTTCAAAACATCCAGGATTACACCAAAATTGTGCCGAATGGCTTGGATCTTCTCCAGGACAATGTCAGGCGACGCTTTCTACCGTACGATGACACATGGTTTCCTCATGACGACGAGCAGGCCTATTCTGTGTCGTCAACTATCGAAGATGTCATTCAAGAAGCGCTGCAGCGACATGCATCCGGAATAAAGTTCCGCGAGTACGACGCTGGGCCCAACATTGACAGCCAGATGAAGTCGGAAGGCTTCAATATTGAGATCTGGACAGACTGGGATACTGGTCTAATATTTGGTGGCAATCAATGGAACTGCGGCACATGGATGGACAAGATGGGTGAAAGCGAAAAGGCCGGCAGCAAGGGCGTTCCCGGAACACCTAGAGATGGCGCCCCCGTCGAAATCATCGGCATGCTGTACAGCACAGTACGCTGGTGCGCAGAGCTGTATGAGCAAGGAAAGTTCAAGTACGAAGGAGTGACACTGCCCGATGGCGAGAAGACCATCACTTACAAGGCATGGGCGGACAAGATCAAGGCCAACTTTGAGCGAACGTTCTACGTGCCGCGCACACCAGAGCAAGATGGCAGCTACGACGTCAATCCAGACATCATCAATCGCCGTGGTATCTACAAGGACTTGTACCGGTCCGGAAAGGAATACGAAGACTACCAGCTTCGGCCTAACTTCCCTGTTGCGATGACGGTCGCGCCAGATCTATTCGATCCTGAGCATGCCCTATATGCCCTCCAAGTGGCTGACAGAGCTCTCCTCGGACCGCAGGGTATGAAGACATTGGACCCCTCTGACCTCAATTATCGCGGATACTACATCAACAGCGAGGACTCGACCGACTTCCACACCTCAAAGGGCAGGAACTATCACCAAGGCCCTGAATGGCTATGGCCAACCGGGTTCTTCTTGCGCGCGCTTCTCAAATTCGATCTCAAGCGCCGAAAGTCTCCCGAGGAGCGCATCGAGAGCTATCAACAGGTCACACGTCGTTTAGCCGGTTGTATGAAGGCGATCCAGGAGAGTCCGTGGGCTGGTCTGACGGAACTGACTCAGAAAGATGGTGCTTTCTGCGGCGATTCTTCCCCCACACAGTCGTGGTCTGCTAGTTGCATCATCGACTTATTCCAGGATGCGCGGGAGTACGAGCTAGAAGAGACGTCATAGACTTGATGAGATGGTTTGCTTAGTCCCGTTGTTTGTTTGTTGTGAGCGTAGCCTGTGCGGTGCGCTGGGTTGTTTTAGACAGACATGTGTAAAAAGGGGTGATAGACCTTCTGTAGATACCTAGTAGTCGAAGACATAAACCATCCTTTTCCTACCTTGACTCAGAATACTTTTGCAGTAGTCACCCTAATTGGTGACATCACAGGACTGCGCGTCTTAGCGCGTTCCTGACTAGCGAAACGGCTTATCGATCTCTCCCCATATGCTCCCCCACAGCGCTACAACCGGAGTGTCCACGAAAGACGTCATTATCATATTGCCTATTGCGCACAGCTTGTCTCTATCTACTTCTAGCGCCGTAACATGCCACCTCGCAAGCGTCCCGCAGAGGTAATCGACCTCTCTAGCGACAACGAGCCATCGCAAGCGTCCTCATCGCAGGCCTACCCGTCCCAACGTCACCTTCTTCCAGCATCATCGTCGTCGTCACAAAGCTATGCGAATGCCTCCTCGCCACCTCACCAACGCGCGCCAAAGCAGGCACGCACAGCTGCATACAGCCAGCGCAATACATCCGGCTCCTCGCAAAACGACGCCATCTACATTGACGAGGAAGAGGAAGACGCGTCGCAGGATGCGCCGGGTGCGACACAGGGGTACAATGAGCGCGAGTACAGCTATGCGTTGTATGGTGCTATGCATGGCAAGATTGTCGGGGTTAGATATTATAACGGGTATGTTGTTAATGTCTGCGGCTGAATTGCCCCCTGTTACATTTGCTGACTGCGTGCCTCTGTAGGTACGCGACCGTGGGGGAGATGGTAGTCTGTAGGAGAGAGCCGACCAATCCTTATGACCGTAAGTCGATCCCTTGTGATGAGACCTCGCACGAAGTAGCTTGCATAGCCTCGCCTCAACTTGGCGCAGAGGTAACTAACACATGATAGGAAACGCGATTCGAGTGCTCAACGTTCAGGGCGAGCAAATCGGACATCTGCCCAGGACCTTGGCGGCCAGTTTGGCAAAGTATATGGACAATCGCAGTCTTCTTGTCGAATCGACGATTATCGGACCAAAGGGTGCTTTCGAGTGTCCCATTGAGCTCAAACTTTACGGGACAATTGAGCCAGTTGAACGAAATAATCTCCTGGCTCAGATGCAAGCAGATAGACTTCCAGTAGGACAGGCCGCTGAAGCCAAGCGCAGGGAAGCCGCAGCCGATAAGGAGAGACTGAGGCTTGCTAAACAGGCTGCAAGGCAGGCGCAAAAGAAAAAGGCCGTTGTTGTTGATGTCGGGGCGGGACAAAACTCCCAAGATGGGATGTCCGAGTTCCTAGCGGGTTCGTCGCAAGGCTTCGGTCCTGGGCCTAGTCTTGAAGACATCATTGGAAGTAGCGAGCGCTTCAACCCGAGGAATGTCGAGCAGATGGTTGAAGAATTTGGAGTCAAGGAGAAGGACCTGGTAAGTGGTAGAGTGTATCTTTTGTATTATCTTCTGACAATATACAGGCGGCAATGCCCAAAGCCACTCAGCCAGCGGCGCTTCAGACCGAACTACATTCATTTCAACTGCAAGGCCTGCAGTGGATGCTAGATAAGGAGAGCCCCCAACTGCCAGCACAAGGCACGAAAGACGTGGTCCAGCTCTGGAGGCGTCATTCAAAGATGCCAAATGCCTTTACAAATCTTGCCACAAAGTTTTCTGTCACCAATCCAGCGCTTGCTTCGGGTGGAATACTCGCGGACGATATGGGCTTAGGCAAAACCATCCAGACTATTGCGTTGATCATGGCCGACAGAGCTCTCGGCCGGAGAGCTGGTGATGCTTGCGGTGCTACGCTAATCCTTGCGCCTGTGTCGGTTATGTCAAATTGGAGCACACAAATGAAGAAGCACATCAAAGAAGAGCATGCACTCCGCGTCATGTTCTGGCACGGGACGCGAAAGGAGACCATTACACCCAAACAGATCGAAAACTATGATGTAGTCATCAGCACGTACGAGTCTGTTTCTTCCGACTGGTTCTCCCAGAAGTCCACAGTTCTCCCACGGAAGTCGGGTCCCTACTCCGTTAAATGGCGGCGTGTAATATTGGATGAAGGCCACAACGTGAGGAATCCGAAGGCTAAGAAAACTATCGCTATCACGAACCTCATGGCACAGTCCCGCTGGACTTTAACCGGTACACCGATCATTAACAACCTCAAAGATCTCTACAGTCAAGTCCGCTTCCTGCGCCTTTCTGGTGGTATTGACTCTTTCGAGATATTTCATGGTGCCATTATGCGCCCCGTTCTCCAGGGCGATGTACAGGGTAACAGAGTGCTGCAGATGCTCATGTCTAGTATTTGTTTACGTAGGAAGAAAGAGATGGGCTTTATTGACCTACGGCTTCCTGAGCTCAGTGAGTATGTGCATAAGATCAAGCTGCATGCGCATGAGCAGGAGAAGTACGATGCGCTGGAGGCTCAGGCCAAGGGCACGCTGGATATCTATAAAAGCAACATTGGGGGACAGAACGCCATGGATACATATCGACATCTCCTGGAGGTTTTGCTGAGAATGAGACAGCTTTGGTACGTTTCCCATCTCCGGGATCATGCATGTAGCACTGACAATATGATAGCAACCATTGGCAACTCGTAGGAGAAGAGCGACTTGACTCTATCATGAAGCAGCTCGAAGCAGAAGGAGTGGTCGACCTCACCGAAGAGAACAGGAGCGCTCTCCAGAAGATGCTGCAGCTGTCCATTGAGTCACAGGAAGACTGCCCGATCTGTCTGGATACCCTCAAGGAACCCGTCATCACCAAGTGTGCACACATATTCTGCACCACCTGTCTCGAGCGCGTAATTGACACGCAACACAAGTGCCCAATGTGCCGCGCTGAACTCGAATCTTTCAACACCACTACCGTCAAGCCCGCAAAGGAGGCCTCTGCTCAAGTGCCCCTTACACAAGAACAAATTGCTGACAAAACATCCATCGAGAGGAACACATCTACTAAAGTCGAAGCCCTCCTACATATTCTGAACGCATCCAGCCATGACCCGACTAACAAAACCATCATCTTCAGCCAGTGGACCTCCTTCCTGGATATCCTTCAGCCACACCTTACATTTCATGGAATCAAGTACACACGCATCGACGGGTCCATGAGCGCAACACAGCGCGACACAGCCCTAGAAGCCCTCGAATCTGACCCCTCAACCACCGTCATGCTCGCCTCCCTTTCCGTCTGCAGCGTCGGCCTCAACCTCGTGGCCGCCAATCAAGTCATCATGGCAGACAGTTGGTGGGCTCCTGCCATCGAAGACCAAGCTGTTGATCGCGTGCATCGCTTGGGCCAGAAGCGCGAGACGAAGGTGTTCAGACTCGTGGTCGAGGGCAGTGTCGAGGAGCGTGTACTGGGGATCCAGGAGGAGAAGAGGAGGTTGATGGGGTTGGCGTTTGCGGAGAAGGATGGTGGGAAGAAGAGGAAGAGGGGTGCTGGGGCGGGGTTGGGCGATTTGATGAGGTTGCTCGGGCAGGGTCAGAGTCAGGGGCAGACACAGGGACAACAAGGATAAAGGGTCAAGTCCAAAACAAAAGCAGAAAAGGTAGGTGGAGTCTTTGGCGTCATGTGTTCGGAAAGATCTCATAGAACGTCTCGCGACGGAACGGCTACGACCTTCCAGGAAGTTACAAACTTTACATAGGACGGGTATCGTGTAGTATTTTCCTTCCCAGGGGTAGGGGAGTTGGAGTTTATGTACAAAACGCAAATATGGGGTATCACAAAAAGCGTTTCTCAACTGGGCTTCAATTCCGGAAATAATCCCAATTGTTACAAAAGTTAACCGGATGAGTAGAGAGCCGAAGGTGAAAATTCCGACTTCTCTGCGTGATTTTCAAGTAACTTGGTCTATACAGGGCTGCCTGCGACGTCCAACGCGTCTCCAAGACTCCCCCGCCAGTCTATCTCCCTTGTCCCAAAATCCTGCGAATTACAAAAGTCCTTAAAGCTCTATGTTATGATGATCATTGTCCAACGCCCAGTCCTCTTATTTAGGCCTCGCCTTCCCTCTAGTCTGTCCTTGAGTTTTCAATCTTGGTCACGATGAGGTCGCTGGCTCCGATGACTGTCAGTTTATCCATGGCAATGGCAATGTCTTTTCGCAGGACCATGGCCTGGACGGCGACCCAGCCATCCTCTTCCAACGCATTGACGGTAGGAGCACGGCGTCCAGGCGTGATTTTGCGGGCGCCTTCGAGTTTGGATCGTTCGATATTGTATGTGCAAAGAACATACTTTTGCGCCGCTATACGTTGTTAGACGGTTTTTGAGCGCAGTTTATGCATGGGGTAAACGTACTGATGACACCCTTTATCCTGGCCGTGATCAATTCAACGAGCTTGGGGTCTGACGGCCGCTTTGATTTGATGAGGATAGCGCTCGACGAGACGACGGTGGAAATCGCCTTCAGACCTGCAGCGCGCATCGTCTCGCCCGATTCAACAAGATCGACGATACCGTCTGCGACGCCTAGTGCGCATGCTGCCTCGACACTTCCTCCGACGTACTTGATGACCGTTTTCAGCTTCGTGTCGCCGTTCACTTCTCCGGCCGGAGTGCCTGCTTGCTCCGCTTCCAGCCTCCGAAAGTACTGCTCGGCAAGGTTTGTAAAGCTCGTCACCACGTTCTTGCCAATGAGGTCTTCTGGCGTGGCCAAGTCGCCTTTCGCCGGGACTTGGACTTGCAACGCGCACTTGCCGAATTCGAGGTCGAGGACTTCCTCCACGCCTGTGGTCGCGGAAGGGGGTACTACGCACTCATGCTCAGCTACTTGGTCGCGCCCCGTTATGCCCAGGTCGACACGGCCTTCTCCTACGAAGGTTGGAATATCGGCAGCGGGGAGGAAGACCAGCGCGAGGGGTAGGTTCTTGACGAGGGCGATATCGAGGCGCGAGTGGCGGTGGAATTGGATATCTGAGCCCTGGAGGAGGTCAAGGCAGACTTGGTGAAGGCGGCCCTCTGTGCCATGATTAGCTTTCGAAAGTAGTCAAGAAGTGAGGGACATACTCTTAGGCACCGCGAAGAGTAACCGATCGTTTAGGCTGTTTCCCAAGAGGTCAGTCAAGAACGGAAGACTTCTGCTGCCCTGGCGCTGGCGAGTCACAATTTCTTCGGCGCCGTTCGCACCATTGACACCGTTGGTATAGCCCATGGTGATACAAAGTTGATGCAGGAAGAGAATGAGGAGCGGAGAATATGCACATACGAGTTGACTAGATCCATCTTCTTATTCAAGCACGCAATAACCTAGGCTTTGTGGTATGCAAGTGTATGCGACCAGGTCCGCTAGTTTTGATGATGCGGGCCACAGGCTATAGTAAGTGCCCCCGTTAGAAAACGCAATTGGGTAGTGACGCGTTGTGTGGCGGGTACAGATGTGCCGTGTGTACAAGCGTGTGGGTTATCTGTCGGTACGTGTGTCGTTTTGTGGTGTACAGCTTTGCTGAGGCAAAATGAAGCGCGTTGGCTGCGGGTGAGTCAAGGAGGGGTAATGCCACACGTGTAACGAGCCAATGGCTGTTGGGGCCTTACAGACGTTAGTTTACTTTACGTGGCATGTGTACTGGGATCTTATGCAACTTACCAGTAGTGAGTTTAGGGTATGGTGGGTGAATTGAAAGGTCCGATATGCGGCTTCAATTTTTTGTTGTATGACGTCCAATGAATGATCGGCCCTCGAAGCATGCGGCGAGCCCCGCATCTGGATCTGGATCCTCTGGAAATAGGCGAAGGCGGTATGTCATGGCACAATATGCATTTGAAGCTTTGGAGACTGTTACCCCTTTAACGCTCATGGCTTCCATATCCATACCGTTGTCTCAACTCAAGTCGTGACTGGCCTGAAGTAAATCATGGTAGTAACGTAGGTGAATTCGGGTGGAATGAAGATTGACATAGGGGATTCGGAAGTCATTCACACCTTGGACAGTGCGTGACAATAACACTACCTGCTAGTTAGTCAGGAAATGAAGTAGAAGGCCGACGATAACAGGGCATTCCAAAGAATGCTAGTATTAAATAAATAGTGTCGAATAATATGGAGAGCAAGGATTGCTTGCATTGGCCAACCACGCTCTACATCGAACTACGCTTTTGCCATGGTGCAAATAGCTTGAATTGACTATCGGAGAAAGCCATTGGTAATCTTATGCAGCTCCAAGCGCAGGAGCTCTCTACTAGACGATATGCGCACGTGCACTGAGACGGTGAATCACGTGACGGACCTGAAACAAGGCTCTGCAGCATGCCCCACCGTGATAAAAATGGGACTCTGCCACGTAGCTTCTCCCTGAGCTTCAGCCGTACGTATGCAGCTCTGTAAATTGAATATTTTCCGGCCTAGGCACTCCGATTCGGCTCTTGAGGTGTCAGCGTCAAGTTTTTATAACTCCACCATTTTCTAAAATACACATCTTCCAATTCTGGTCTCTGAATCAGCATTCTTGGTCCAACGGTAGGATAATTGCCTTCCAAGCAATTGGCCCGGGTTCGACTCCCGGAGGATGCACAACATCCTTCTTTCGATTGCGCGTTGTGAGAATTTTTTTGCATTTTTCCCCCAAAGTTTCCGGTCATGGTGGCGGCTGTCACTCGCCGTGTTCATTTAACACTCATCGCACTATCACTGTCGTTATTAAATACCTCGATTCCAGACGCTAAAAAGCTAGGAGTCGCCGCCATGTGTTCCTAAGTTGGATGGTCTTCGGTGTCTTTTGATTTTCCATTCCTCGTCCTTTGCACTACAGATACGGCTTGGGTCCGGCTAGCTCAAGCTATCCATGCTACACAAGACACAGACGGCCTTCAAGAGCTTAACAGTAGTTTTGGCTATATCTATCATTTTTCCATCTCAACTAGCCTTCAATTCTATCAGAGATTCGCCTGTTTTCAAGCCTTTGGCTTGGAAAATGCACTAGACTAGAGAAGACTTTCTTGAACAGTTATTTCAATACCACAGACAAACTATCTTGCCATTATGCGTGGTCGGTCATGCAAACAAACTTTACCATTCTGGACCCTGCAAAACACGTGTACATTCAGTCCCACATGAGTCCTACAAGTCCCGCCACATCCACATCGTCGTGGGACTTAATTCTGCTGCTGGGCAAGGAAAAGTCGGTTAACGTTTTCGCAATGTTGTCTTTAATTCACGAAAGCTATCTCAACGTTACAGTGCAGGCGGTTGTAAGTGCGACTTATCGTCTTCATTATGCGTCTAGAGGTATCGTCGATCATGCTCCTTGAACGGCTACATATGCAAGCTATGCCGCACTGACCCAAAAACAAAAGAACAATCAAGTAGCAATGCTAGAGAAACCAATGACCCTTCATCGGTACGTCGATCGAGTAAAATGTCCACACAGGAACAGCCCCCGACCTTGGCTGTTGAGAACCGATTGGACTGGCCGGTGGCTGGGTTTGCAGATCGCAGACACGGTAAAGATGTGATGGCAGAATAAATGGCCACCCTTCACATGAAGTCATCACTGTAGGCTCGTTAGCGCTCATTTCCGAATCCTAGTTTGAGCTCACTTACTCTCCAAAATCGTCATCGTACGTCTCCATATCGGCACGGGTGCCCACATCTCGCGAAGCGTTCAGCGTCGTCTTCGTCTTTGCAGCCTTTGTCTTCTTGCCGCCCTTGTCCGCAGTCTTCTCTTCCTTCATCCGCTCGTTGCTTAGAGTAGTCAAGCCACTAGCAATCTTCTTGATTTGGTCGCTCGGCAGGTCCTTTGCGATCTGCTTGGTGAACTCCTGCAGGAAGAGCGAGTACTGCCCCTTCTTAGAGTTGGCAGCGATGAGAGGTGTAAGGGTCTCGCGGAGCTTGGTGAACTGGTCCTTGGTGTTGGGATTGAAAATGGGCAGCGAGCTGAGGTCAATTGCGTTGCCGGGATCTTTCGCGTCTGCCACAGTGACGGCCTTGGGAGCGCGCTTCTTGGCGACACTGGCAGCGACACCGAGGTCGCCAAAGAGCTCTGCAGCCTGATGTAGTGAGCCATCCAACTCCTGTTGCTTGAGCCTGGCGCGTTTCTCTGCTTCGGTTTCCTCTTCGTCAGATGACATGTCGTCGTTCTCTTGTCGTCGACGTAGGGCTGCTTGTCTGTGCTCCTCGACCCGTTGCGCCTTGGACTTGTGGTTTGCCTTTGCTTCAGCGTCGGCCTTTGCCTTTGCCTCGGCGGCCTTCTTCGCTTTTTCGCGCTCGACTTCCGAGTCCTCCGCGGCGTCCCATGACTCTAGGACCTATGCTTGCATGTCAGTATATAGACATTTTGTGCGTGGCGGGGCGGGGCGCAACATGTGCAAACGCGGGGCAGGGTGGGCTGACGCACATCGTCGTCGTCTTCCTCGTCGTCAAACTTGCTGCGGCGAGCGATGGGCGCTACTACGGGAGAAGTGGGAGGCGTGCTCTCCTCATCCTCATCATCTATTGTCGGCTTGTCAGTTGCTGGCTGCGATAGGCAGCGAAGATGACGTACCCCATTTCCCAGGCGCCATGTCTGCGGTTGTGCGTGTACGTCGCGATGGGCCGTCGATGCTGTTGAGAGTGTTCCTAGGCCGAGCGTGTCTACAGTTGCGCAGACTTTTGTGTTCGAGGGTTGGTGTGGGTGGAAGAAAGGAAAGTGGGAGGCTCCGAATTACGGATCTGGTTGACTGCCTCTGCAGAACAATGGTTGGGCACGGCCAAAACCTGGCTCGCTTCCGGTCTGCGTAAAAATTGTCTGTACTTGCGGCCCAATCAACGAATACGACTCCTTGACCGAGTCGTTTCTCTCTGGATCAATTCCTGCCATATATAGCGAAACTAGAAAAAGTGTGTGAATATCATTTTCCATGTAGCACGGTTTATGCAAGCGTCACAAGGCCATTTTGCCAAACTTGGTGATTTGCACTGGCCTTCACAGCCAGGGTATTAGATTATACAAGTCCGCCGCGGAGACTACATAGATACCAGATGGAATACTTACAAAGAACAATGGACTTGCTGACTGTACCAGAAGCAGCGACTTACGTCCTAGGTCTCTTACCCCCTCTATCCTTCCTAAGCCCTACTATATAATACACACTCCTGAACCGGATAAAATCGAATAGAAGGTAATTACGCTGTAGTCCAAACCAGAGAGTTGAAATAAATCCTCAAAAATCATCGGACTATGACTCAGGCGTCTCCCAGGGTCTCCAGAACTTCCAACCCTCCCTCACTTCCCTAACCACTTTCCTCCTCGAACTGACCACACCCACCAATCTTTCAATACCAATGGTGCCCTCTGCCTTCATGAACTTGTCCTGATCAATCTCCTCTCCGCCCTCCTCTTCATTCCCATTGTGCAGTACAGCTGGCCAGAGCACGCCGACACCGTCACCGGCCAATGTCGTCTCGAACTTCTCGAATCCTTCGTGCTCAAGCTTGACCTCGAGCGAATCGAGAATCTTGTACTTGAGCTTCGTACCGTTCGATATTATCGATGCGCTGCAGTCGGGGTCGGCTTCGGAGGAAGTGTCGGAGTCGTCAGAGGAAGAGTCGTGGTGGTGTGTACCATTGCCGTGCCCGTTCGTGAGCGCTGGAGGCTGCGGTTTGAGTATGGTAATGGCACAGCCTCCGCCACCAGCGCCCGTGAGCTTCGTCCAGCCAATTCCGGTGTGGTCAATGAGCTCGCGAATGCGCTCGAGTTTCGGATGCGACACGCCTAACGAGACGAGCAAGCCATGATTGATGGTTATAAGCTCGCCGAGGTGTTTGAGCGAGGCGTGTGAGGTGGGGTCGAAATCTGGGGTAGTGAGTAGTTTGTGTGCGGATTCGGTGACGAGGCCGATGGCATTGAGAATATTCTCAGTAATGGCAGGATGGACTGATCTCAAGTGTCCAACTTTAGCGACTTCGGTGGCGGTGCTGCGCGATTGGCGCGTATTTACGAGAAGCAGCGGAAGCTCTGGGAAATTGTATAGTGGGACGACGAGAGGCGGCTTGTCTTCTCTCCGCTGGAAAAGGACGGCCTTGCCACCAGAGGACACTGTATTGTCGACACCCGAGGGGTTGCCGTGTATGCACATCTCGCCTACAAACGCCCAGCGATTGATGCGCTCTATGTTCAGTTCACACTCTTGCGGTGGCTGATCCTGGTGTGGCCCGCTCAATGCGCGAATCTGGAGGAGCAACGCCGTACTGATGCAGACAGAGATACTGGCGCTGCTGCCCAGGCCTGCGCCAATGGGTATGGTGGAGCGTAATGTATATACACACGGGGGCACCTTGCGCGATGCGAGGGAGAGGAATAGGTATAGGAAGGAACATGCAGAGGCGTGGTGTATCTTGCGCATTGACTCGGGAGCCTTGGGGGAGACTTGGTCGATGAAGGGTTGGATGGCGGCCATGAGGTCTACGTCTAACGAGGTAACGAGGTCGTAGTAGTACTTCTTCTTGCCCGTCTTGGAAAAGGCGTCCCATGGCAGGTCGTCGATGTTCCAGGTGTGCTCCATTTGTATGTCGGGGAAGCGCAGTTTGACCGTTCGGTTCGACTTGGACTGGAACGAGACGTGGAGATAGGAGCGGAGCGCTATAGCGGCCGCGATGGCAGCCTGAGAGGGTTAGCCACGGGCTGGATGGTTCCACGACGGATCATGTACCTTGCCGTGGACGACGGCATGTTCGCCATAGACTATGACCTTGCCCGGCGCAGAGACCATGAAGGGAGGCATCATGGGCGACGACTGCTTCCTAGGCAGGGTAGGAGTAGCCTTTGCCATGGGGATAGCAGCGGTGGTAGAGGGCATCTTGGAGGCAAATTGCGCGGGCATCGTGTCTATGGGCGAGGGCTCGGGTGTCTGGGTGGCATGCGACGATGTGGTGCGCGGCTGAAGACTGGCTGCAATTCACAGGTCAGTTAGCCATGATTCCAGTCAACAGTGGTCCTCTACATGGTCTCACCCGGCGCGTCAGTGGTCTTTCTACGCATGCTTCCGTTCGCCGCCATTCCCAAAAGTGTGAAGAGTGCGAGTGAAGGGGATAGGGCGCCGTGTAGAGAGCTATGTCGTCAGGAGGCCTTTGTCCCATGGGGGAGGGATCAAGTTGGGCGCGGTCATAATCATAATCCCATGGGGGCTAAACCGGCGGCGGACTAGTGCCCTCAGCGATCAATTTCATGTCTTAAAGGCTCAAGCCGCCATGCAAGGCACGTACGCACGCCGACTGGCATGGCTCCACAACCCCGGGAATTCTGGAAACGCCCTATGGCTGCTCTGCCGTTTCCAAGACTTTTCACTGCCCTCTGCCGCGTCAACGTGCCTGCTCCTCGTCGCGCATGTTGCCGGCTAGCTAGTGTACTGTTGCGCAACAATTCGGATGCTCTGTAAGCGTACGACAACATTGCCACCCTCGGCCTCGTTCGCATGCCGCCAGCCTCATGGCCACGCATGCAACGCAAATATCTGTCTTCATGCTACACTCAGCTTCACGTAGTTAGCTATGCCGTTTGGATGAAACCTGGTCCATTCTACAAGTCTATTTGATGATGGGTACAATTAAGCCGCCTTAACGACACGGTCATCTGTATGCGCATATCCCAAACGCCTCGCTATGCAGACACGATGATCTGGATTCAATGCCAATGTTATGATGGAGTCTTGATCATGAAAATCTGCAGAAACGTCAGTGTCGTATCCGTGTGATGAAATAAGATTACAGCATACCTCTCTCATCGCCTGTGCACTCATAGTAGCAGCCTTCTTCTGGCGGATGTGTCTCTGCCTCACCGCATGCATTCCCCTTGCGTTGGCACCGCTAAATGTTAAGCCGGCCGACGTGAGCATAGGTGTAGAGGTACCAGTCGCGGGTGCGGACGATGGCGTGGAAGCATTCGGCGTATTCTCTTCTTCCTCGCTTTCAGAGCTGCTGTCTTCGGCATCTCCTTTCGACTTCGCAGCCCGCTTAGCAGCCTTTTTGAGAGCCTTCTTAAGCTTCTTCTCCTCCTTGCGCACCCTCTTCTCCGCTTTCCGTTTGGCCTTGTCTGTGAGCGGTTCTGGGTCGGACGAGGGTGTGGGAGGATCCGAGGTCCCTGGTTCGACCGAGGAGGAGGCCGATCTTTTCGTCTTCTTAGACTTCTTCTCTTTCTTTTCCTTTTTTTCCTTCTTCTCCTTCTTAGCCTTGGACGGCGCGCTGTCAACCTCTTTCCTGCCCTCCTCTCGTAGATCCATACTCTTCTTCTTGCGCTTTAGTGTTGGCTCCTCTGCAGTCCGCTCCTCTCGTTTCCGCTTCTTGGTCGACTTGTCCACCTTTCCATCGTCGCTTTCGGGCTCAGACTTGATTTCGGTTTTGATCTCTGGCTCCTTCTTGATGTCGGACTTTTTTGTAATCTTGTCGCCTACCAAGAAACCTCCGCTAATAAAGTTCATCATTCCATACTTGCGGTACACAAACGCCCTCTTCTCAATCTCCTCGCGCCGCTCCTCTTCTTTCTTGACCTCTGCTTCTTTGCCATTTAGACGCCCCAATATGCTTTCTAACCCTGCAAGACCAAAGTTCTCGGCGCGTTCGCTGCCGCGCTTCGCACCCAAGCCCAGGTTATCGTCCTTTAGAAAGACTCGAATATGCGACTGCGAGGCGACGGTGTAGTGGGCAGCATGTGAAGCGTCTTTTGCCCCCAGAGAGTCACCCTGTTGCCAGCCCTGCGCGGCTAGGATACGGTGGCCGAACCCCGTTGTGTTGTTCGCCCAGTTGGTGTTTTGAGGGTCATTAGAGATTTTGCTCCGGCTGTACAAACGTCAATATTGCACTAGAACTCTAGCTACTAACACTGTGGGGTATAAGCGTACTTCTTCGGCGCTGCGAGACCCATTTTCGATGTCGAGTCGCTCTACACGAAATTCACGGATTGAAGGGTGAGCGGGAGTCCGAACTTTGAGTCCCAAAAATTTGTGGATTCGGCGCTAGCCGCGAACTCTTGGCGGCGATGTGGGGAAGGGACGACCTTGCGCCTCTTCACCAATTCCCATAGACAGTCACATAGTTCACAAAGACGTCGACTTCATTGATCAAGGCACAAATCATAACACTAACGTCCCGTACTTACCAACAGTAGCCATGGCACCGCCACGAGCTACCAAGATATCAAGCCTCACCTCAGTCTCGCAGGCCACCACTCGCCGAGGACTACAACAAGTACGGAGGCAGATCGTCGAGGAGGTAGAAGACCTAGACAGCTTCGATGATCCTTCCGCCCTAGAGATCGATGATAGCGAAGAGCAGGAGCCAGCAGAGTCGCATGCTACCAATGATGGCCCATTGGAACAGCTACTAGCGGACATGGTTGACGGCGTATGTGACAGCCAACCAGCTCACCATTGATATGATGAAGCATAGAACCAAGAAAAACAAGCCATGCTAAACTTTCCTTAGCAACGCAAGCGCCACACGAAGCGCAAGGAAGCCGTGAACAAGGAATACGACACCAGCTACAAGACGGCCCAGGACTCCATCCGTGCCGTATTTGACGCACACGAGGAAAAGGCGTGAGTGGTCAACACCCTATCAGGATCCACAATAGCCCCCCATGGAACACCCTCTTTTGCTGTGCTTATACACACACCTGTGCCGTCTTATCCGAACATGCCACTGTCACCCCAAATCTTACGACTGACAATATCTAGATCATCAGCTCACGAGGCCCAGTTGAAGCGACTTCAAGAGCTACTCGGTCAGAAAGCACAGATCGAAGCCGCCATGTCCGACATGCTAGCCAGCCTACGAGCTGACTACAATGCTCACTCTCGCGACTTGGAAGCCGTCATCAATCGCAGAACCAAGGAACTGAAATGAGCTCTGGTTGAGTTTCTTCGATCCGGGAGACTCATCAAACATCTGCTAGTCTCAAACTGGATCTAGGAAGTATTGATAGCGTGAGACTGCAGATGGTGAAGGAGCTGAGGCATGCAAGCCCGGAGAAAGTCTGTCCGATAAATGTCAAGCTCGGTGGAAGTTTTCCCGCTAATTGTCGAGACCGTGAACGAATGGACTTAGCTAGGCTAAACTCTGTGTTGGCATATCAGGCAGTGGTTCAAACCATGGGGCATTTACGGTGGTCATACATGGACGAGGTTGTCAATAAAACAGTTGAACTAACGAGACAAGCATATTGTTAATCAGTCAAAAAATGTCATTCAAGGTATCATAAGTCTAAACACATCCAAGTGTTGAATCTCCAAAACATGGTGCCATATCCAGCCGGTCAAGCAAAGAACGATAATCAAGAGCCCGTGGCTTCATCAGAATGCAAGGCTAAAACGTCCCAGCAACATACGCCACAAAACGCCTACTTCACCGAGGTCACCTTTTGTACTCGGGTAAAGCTTCACTGAGCCTCCTGTCTTCTGGAGCACTGGTCTGTGTACTCCTACCTGGTCTCACGGCACCGACCAAGCCCTCATCATCATCATCCAGTCTCGGTGCTGACGGAGCTAGATCGACAATCTGCCCATGGTTGACCGGTGGTGCGGAGGGTCTGTGTGACGACTCTCCTTCTTCCTCATAATCTCCAGGAGGAGCACTCCTCTCCATCTCTAGCCTCCGCCTTTGCAATTCGACTTTATCATCCGTTGCCTGAACATGGGAAGCCGACGAAGCGAAGTATTCTGGTGCTAGACCTGAAGCTCCTTGGGGCGACTGTTGCGGTAGCAGAGGTAGAGGCTTCGATTGTTCAGAACCACCGCCATTAACGTTTTGAGGGCTAGGCAAATCTTGGTGGTGGCCGTTGATAGTGAGCGAGGAGCCAGTGGTAGTTACCCTTGTTTCATTATCAAGGGGTTCTCGTTGTCGTGGCTGGGTTGTCGTAGTATCTGATGTCAACGAGCGGAACGGTGCGACAGGGAAAGGCGGAGGTGGATGTGCGGGCGTTGCTGTTGCTGATCCAGCTGCGACGTAGGGCGGATTCGGATCGTCATCCTCTGGTAATATTGGAGCGGAGGGTGGCACACCCCGCTGAACGGTGCTTGGCGGCGATGCAGGTCCAGTGGTGTCTGGAGGTTGGGATGGTAACAAGCGCGCTTCTGCACGTCGCATACGCTCCTTTTCGGATAGACCTTGTTCCTCTTCTAAAGGAGCTGGAGTGATGTGAGCTGAAGCACCCAATCCGGCGTTATGCTGCTCGTATCCAGGAACGTCGTAGTATGCAGGGTCGTAGTTGTAGTCGTAGTATTGCCCGTTCTCGTCGTATCCATAGTAGTCCTGATCATAGCTATCTTCTGGATTTGTGCCATCATACGGAATTTCATGCGCGCCAATCTGGGCGTATGGCTGTGGCTCTTGTATCTGTTTCCGCTTCCCATTCCTTTCGCTATCCTTGGTACCAATGACAACCTCGAATAGAGAGGATATTATGCCCTTTTCCCGTCGGATCTGATCTGTATCGACGAAATTGCCGCCCCATGTCGAAAACATATTGCTAGTAGTGTCGTCTCGCGCTGTCCCTGACGGGCCTCCGCTGGCAGAGGGGACGTTCACAAGTCCGGCATTGGCGACCATACGATCAAGTCCAGTTAACTTGCCTTGTATGTCCACGACGACTTCGACATAGTACTTGAAGGATATCATGGCTCCAGGCACGTTTGAGATGGTGGGAAAGGCCTCATCTGGTACCCGCACAGCGCATTTGATCTCTGCAGTTAGGGTCCTGGGGTCAACGAAGAGCGGTGCGAAAGACTGGCATAGGTCCTTGCGAAAGAGGTGACTCGAACCAGCCGATGACAGCGATAAGCCACCCAGACCTGTCATAGACCTGGGATAGTAGTCTTCAGACTTGGTCTTGTCGGCTTTGCTGTTCGGTACAACTGGTAAAGCAGGATGCATATCTACTCTTGCCTGTCGATACAGCGTAATAATAATCCCTTTGAGACTCCGAACGTGTTTTGTGTGATTTACTGTGACTTTGATAGGTATTTGATCACCTCTGAGGAAGCCGCCTTTCAGCACGTCGACAGTGGCTGTAATTGTCTTCTTTTTCAAAGTTGTCCGACTTCCGTTCTGGGAGGAGAGTCCATCTGTGGCAGTGTGTACGGAACGCACGCCATATTCCGTTCCTGACGCGGTGCCACTACTCATCTGACTTTCGAAACTCACGTCGCTAGGGGATGGGCTCCGTGGGGACCCATTCTCATCGGGAAGGCCATTCGCCTCTGATGTTGATCCAAGCTGCGGAGCATCCGATCCATTGGGCGTCTGGGGGACTCCATCTGTTGGACTGGTGACTGGTCGCTTTCGCGACGATTTTGCTCGTGCTCTTCTTGATATGGGCTCCAAGGAGACAATGCGGGGCTTGGGGTCTGGTATGGGCGCAATGTCGATTGTGTCCATGAGATATACTTTTGTGTCGCATGACGCTGTCGGCGAGATGGTCGTGGGGCGCGTCATCGTGGCAGTAAGCATGTATGATACTGTACCACGCTCAAACTGAATTCATGTATCAGCAGGAGAGTAAATGGGTAAGTCACGGGGCGACCTACGTCAATACTACTGGGTAAGCCTTCGGAGGGGAACTCCAGCTCGAAATTGAAATGATACACGCCTTCCGATAACCTGCCCTCGCCACATAATACTACCTCATCCTCGAAAAGGGAAACGAACCCATTACCAAAGTAGCTCCCCGCCTTCTTGCCCTTGCCCGAGCCGACTGTTGTACAGTAGTTCTTGTATCCATCTCCCGGAGCATTCGGATTCTTGAATACCTGCGCATAGCCATGCAGAGATACCACAAGATGTGTGATCCTCAATGGCTTTATAATTTTGATGATGACCGTCCCGCTTATTATGTCCCCGGGCGAGTACTGGCGGTGTGGGTCGTCGGACTGTATGAAGAATTCGGTATAATTGCGAGATTTCGAGGACAAGGGCGACTTTAACCTGGACAAAAACGATCTGCGCGTCTGTGACGACGGCGGAGAAACGGTTGCACGCGTCTGACTGGAAGTCATACTCTTTGTATCGCGCACATTATGCGGCTAGCCGCGCTCAGTCTTCTATTCCTCGCCAGCCACACACGTCTCGATGGCGCCGAGGACAAAATATGCGGTCCTTGCGCACAGGGACACGCTTGGGAGCACCGCGGAATTGCAAGCTGCTCGATGCTTGACGGGTCGGGTCGAGTCGAAGAGGTGGGCGCAGCGCAGCGCAAAAGGGTCACAGGACGAGTCTCGCAGGGATGCGCGAGGGTGCGGATGTGAAGCGTTCGTGAGCGGTAGGATTGCGAGAGAGAGCCAAGTAGTTCGAGATTGGTGTCGAGGTCCGTCGACGGCTTGCTATCTGGCGCGCGACGAGTGTTATCGACGGTGACGCGCAACTGTCTCAGGTCTACTGGGGCTGTGAAAAGACACACAACACAACAGACTTGGAAAAGGGACTGGATTGCGCAAACCCGCAGTCAGCATTGCGGAAAGCAAAAAAGCGCAGTAGTGGCAAGCTGCGAGGGTGTCGCGCGGGTCCCACGCGGGGATGATGGGTAGTGAAAGTGGCAGTGCTTCTTTAGCGGGAGGGAACGACGGACGATCCCAGGCTGTCCCAGACTGCACGACACCATGCCAGGAGCTGGCATGGATTTCAGGAATCTTCTGCACTGCCGCGGGGAATCGCGCGGAAGATGATCTCTACGTACCACTTGACGTCGGCAGGGAGCAACAAGGCTTGTCCGAGAGCCGCACTGATCTTGGCTGCCAAGTCGACTTTCGGCAACACAGCGTCTGCGCTTCCGAGCTGAATTTGATGAACGAGCCTGCGTGTATGCACTATCTTGGATGCGAACACCGAGGTGGCTAAGTGTAACTTTCGAGCGGGCCAGTGCCTGGCACAGTGTGAGAAGTCAGGATGACGGACGAAGTCTGGGGACAAGAAGTGGAGGAGAGCAGGCCAAACAGCCAAGGTGATCGTCGATAGTCTGTTGGAAGAAGGCCGCCCGAAAGAGACGCCGGGCGCGAACTGGGGACATGGAGGAGACAGGGTCTGGAATACGGGCGGCTGAACAATCGGCTACCAGCATCGATACCGGTGGCACGGAATGCATCCTTGGTGGCTAATCGAGGATAAGTGGCTCCCAAAGGAGTTGGGTTTCGAAACTTTCGATCCGCTGCGCCGCATGAGGGCAATGCTGCGGCCTGCAACAGACTGGTGGAATCAAGTCAAGCGTTTGACGTCGCACGCATTGCAGCTAGGTAGAATCTGCGAAAAAAGATTGCGTGTCCTGTTAAAGGCTGGTTGACTACGGTCTGTAGTGTGGTCTCGATTCCTTTGTCAGGCTTCCCGCGGTGGAGCGCGCGTCACCCTGGCGCAACATTGCTGCTAAGCTTCTGTGCCAAGTGCTTCACAAATGCTTGTCTATGGGTTTAGTGTGACACGTTTGCTTAGTGGCACGCGGGCGTTCTGCAACAACAGATATTACAGGACGTGCAGTGGGTTCGACGCAAGGAGTGATGCGCTAGCACCTTCGCTCGCATGTGTGGTAGCCAGCTCTGCGTGAGTTTCCACCAAGAATGTGTCGACATACTTGTCTGACATCTTTGCTTGACAAGAACCGCATCGATGTGAGACTAGACTAGACAAGCGGCTATAGGCCAGGTGGTAGGCAACCAAACGATTTCAATGACTAGCTTGACTGCCTCATAGTCTCCCCGTTTCTTGTCGCGAGGTCACACCCCAACGCACGCTATCCCTACACGAGGAGAAGCAGCAGACGGCTAACACCAAAGGCTGGAAAGTAGGCCCACCTGGCATCCTCCAGGAATCCTCGCGGCATGCACATCCGTACTCAGCCACTCATACTGTCCACGTTGCGGCCCGCCTCGAGATCGGACAGAAACTTGGCCATGTCTACGGACTCCTCCCTGCTCGTCTGCGAGTATTCACTTGCGGTTTCTTGTTCCATAAACTCTCCCCTTTGCCGCGTTTGCTTTCGAACAACTGCCTCGAGAGCGACAAGGACAGCGCGTAGCTCTGCAGGTTCATCGACCAAGTATTTATATCGGGCATGCGTAACTAGTCCCTTCAGTTTCCGTCCAGACAGACCTTTCGCCAACATCGCAATTCTGTATAACTCGGATACCGCAGTGGTTGCTCTCGATGGCCAATGACTGCTTGCCCATTGCCAGCTTGGAATCAAGGTTGCCTCCTGACAGTGTGAGGAGCCCAATTGAGGCGATGCGTCCGGGAGTCGAGAGAAAGCGGATGATGTGTCAGAGAAGCTATCGCCGGACAGGTCAGAAAATCCTTCGTAGATCATGCTTTCGGAAACGATGAAGCCACGCTCTATTGATCCATTGATCTCCATCCTGAGAATGTCGAACACACAATCTGTGGCCGGAGCACAGATTTCTTCTTCAAGGCAGCATCGGTCAACAAAGGCAGAGTCTAGACTGCCAATAAGGTTGCTCGTAAAGACGAAAATTACGTTGCTGTACCTTCGAAACTTGTCCAGGCCACGCAGAATTTCATTGGTAGCCTTTGCAATCGTCAGCTAACTGTGCGCGATTCTGTACCAGTAAGCCTACCTTTATAGATTCTCCAGGCTCGTTTTTCTGGGTAGCTTTCTCGCGAGAGCCTGCGACTGTTTCCACTTCATCGAACACCACGATGGTCAGTTGGCACACGTCCAAAGCCATTTCGGATATTGATTCGAACAATTTGCCGATTCTCTTTGATGTATCTCCAAACAAATGGCTGAAGAGCATATGCGCGTTGATTTGTAGTAGTCTAGTGACCGAGAAAACATTTGACAGTCGGATCGAGAGACGCTGTGCTAATGCCTGAGCCAATGTCGTCTTACCTGAACCTGGTGGCCCGTGGAACAGAACTGTGTTTTGCCAGAAGCCTGTTCGCCAGATTGTTGGATCGCTTCTTCCCTTTTGTATAGCGCGTGTGAGGGCGCGAAGGGTGAGTTCGCCTATCGGCTCATCATAGACCAAGGACTCCCACAACCCGTCGAAAGCTCGGTTTGGTAGTTCTAAAGCATCAAAATGGTATGACGTGGTGTTCGTATCCTCATCCTCGTCACCACCATCGTGAGATTGACCGTCATCGTTCGAAAGAATGGAGTAGACTAGAACTTCGAGGTCGCTCTCAACGAGCGCGTAGAAGGTTTCGTCGGGAAATTCCTTGGACTTGCTATGTCCGGTGATGTCCACTCTATCAACCACATCTGCAAATGGTGGCCCTACATGTGTGAGACAGGGCTTGACGCAAGTAATAACAAGATAATAGAGCATAGTCAGAGGAACCCACCCAATTGCACTCTTGTGCCAACTTTGATTTCAGTGTGGTTTCGACGGATCCATGATCCAACTTCAGCTCTTATCTCCTCTTCTCTGAAGCCAGGGGACGCGCTGTCTTTCAGTCTGACCTCCACATATAAGATACCTGGCGTTTGGGCGGCGTGATAGGCTTGCCCTGTCATTTCCATCGAGAGTGATACATGGTGCATGTCAGTGGGTGCTGTGGTTAGTGAACTGGATAAAGTTTGACTGGGCACTAGAGTATGTGACCAGGCCTCTGTGCGTTTGATGTGAATTGAGGTGAGATAAGTACCTAGGTAGAACGTGATGACGGTGAGGCTAGACGCTGCAGAAGGCGCTAATTCCGTGCACAGTCCAACGGTCCAACGGCCAAACACGATGACATCGCCGACGCGACATCGATTCCATCATTCCTCACGCGTTACACAGAATTTCCCCCGCGACACGCCCTTTACATGGCGGACAGATACAGCTTTTGGCAATGATAGAGGGCAACAACAATACTTGCAGGGCCGGCCGGGACGACATCTGGGGGAAATCACATCCGCGCGACCTCCGTCTTCAGATCTACATTTCGCTCACCCTCGGTTTAGGAGCTTTTCTTACCTTCTGCGTAAGGATTGAGTACCCCAAAAGAAACAACTTTATACTGACTGTCCACTGCAGTTCCTACGTCCACGATGGAAAGGTCTCTACGCTGCACGCAAGAAGCAGAACGATCTTGCGACAGCGCTACCCGAGCTCCCCGATAGCTTCTTTGGGTGGATCATACCGCTATGGAAGATCACGGATGAGCAGGTACTGGCTTCAGCAGGCCTGGATGCCTACGTATACCTCGCCTTCTTCAAAATGGCTATCAAGTTCCTCCTCGTTACGCTTTTCTTCGCTCTCGCCGTCATAAAGCCCGTGCATGACACACACCCGGAAGGCAAGAAATCACCACTACCTGACGATCCTAACGACCACCGCATCCAAGCTCGCTCTACCTTCTCGACGCTAGCGGCCGAATACGAATACTATACCGATTACCTTTGGATGTACATCGTCTTCGTATACCTATTCACTGGGCTCATACTGTATTTAATCGTCTCAGAGACAAGGAGAATCATCGACATCCGCCAGGAGTATCTTGGTAGTCAGACTACCATCACCGATCGAACCATCAGACTGTCAGGCATCCCCATCAAACTTCGGTCTGAAGATAAGATCAAGGAGTTTATCGAAGATCTAGAAATCGGAAAGGTCGAGAGCGTGACCCTTTGCAAAAATTGGAAAGAGTTAGATGAGCGGGTGGTTCAAAGAGAAACCATCTTGAGGAAGCTTGAGGAAGCTTGGACTGTTCACCTTGGCAGTAAAAGGGTGGAGCGAAGCTTGGAAACTCTCCCCATAGTCCAGCCAACCCCACCAGAGTCGGAGGGCCATGACCGTGGAAATGAAAGTGAAGCAAGCCACCTGCTGGGCGACGTAGACAGAGATCCGGACTACGTCATTCCGTATGCCCAGCAACGTCCAACAGCGAAAATCTGGTACGGCCGCTGGAAGCTGAGATACAAGAACGTGGACGCCATTGATTACTACGAGGAGAAGCTGCATAAGATTGACGAGGAGATCAAGGTCCTTCGGAAGAAAGACTTTGAACCGACTCCGTTGGCTTTTGTGACGATGGACAGCGTTGCAAGCGCTCAAATGGCGATTCAGGCTGTGCTTGATCCGTCACCGTTGCAGCTTCTGGCGAACAACAGCCCTGCACCCTCCGACGTGGTATGGTCCAACACCTATCTCTCTCGCGCCCAAAGAATTACCCGCTCTTGGTCAATCACCTTCATCATTGGGATATTGAGTATTTTCTGGACCGTTCTACTCGTCCCTATCGCTGGCGCCTTGAACACATGCTCAATTCATGAGGTATTTCCCGGACTAGCGGACGCGTTGGACAGGCATCCAGTTCTTCAATCCCTCGTCAATACTCAATTGCCAACATTAGCACTTACTTTGATCAATGTAGCCGTGCCTTTCCTTTACGATTGTAAGTAGCCCACTCACTCTGCGCGCAAAACCTCAACATATGCTAATGCCTGACAGGGATGGCGAACAAACAAGGCATGATCTCGCAAGGCGACGTTGAGCTTTCTGTGATCTCGAAGAACTTCTTCTTCACTTTCTTCAACTTCTTCATACTTTTTACCCTCCTTGGAACTGCATCCGGTCTTGTGGACATGTTCACTCGCTTTGGCAAGAACCTCAACAGCGCCACCCAAATCGCGTATGCTTTAGCCAAATCTTTGTCTGATCTGCTAGGCTTTTACACGAATTTCATCATCTTACAGGGCTTTGGCTTGTTTCCGTTCCGCCTCCTGGAATTTGGTGCCCTCTCCTTGTACCCTGTCTACCTAATTGGAGCAAAAACACCTCGAGGTAAGCGAAATTGATGCCCTTGAAATTATAAATCCTTCTAACACCATGATAGATTATGCAGAACTAGTTCAGCCTCCGGTGTTCAGCTACGGTTTCTTCTTGCCGCAGACAATTCTCATCTTCATCATCTGTACGGTTTATAGTGTGTTGAGGGACTCCTGGCAAGTCCTACTTACCGGTCTTGCGTATTTCATGATTGGTCACTTTGTCCACAAGTACCAATTGCTATATGCCATGGAACACCGTCAACACTCGACTGGTAGAGGTTGGACTATGATGTGCGATCGTGTCATCGTGGGTGTCGTACTCTTCCAAATCACCGTTGCTGGCGAATTGGCTTTGAAGAAGGCATTCAAGCGCGCCATTATCGTGGCACCACTGATTATCGGCACCCTCTGGTTCCTCTTTGTGTTTTCTCGGACATATCGCCCATTGATGAAGTTCATTGCCTTGCGAAGCCTTCGAAATCCAGAGCAGTCGGATCTTGGACGCGATATCCAGGAAGAAGCCGTCGCATCTGGACGAGAAGGACGGAGGATGCGAGGAGGAAGACTCACTGTAGACGAAGCAAGAGAGAGCGGGCTACGGTTTGCTAACCCGAGTCTGATAATGCCGTAAGTGTATTGCCATCTACTAGGAAGCACAATCACTAATTCCGTAAAGTCTGAATGACGTCTGGATCCTCAATAGCTCCGCGCGATCCCAGAACGGATCTGGCGTGCATAGTGCGACCGACGAGTGGGAGTGAGCGAGGCGCGCTTTCCCCTCCGCACAGAGCACGTGGAGCACTTTCTTGTATATTGCAGTCATACCTTCCTGGGTTTTCTCTGGTTCCTCCTCGTTTTTATCTATTGATACCCATGATGTAATTGACATCGTTATTCGATCTCAGCGTTATACTTCGCACCCTCATCCGATCAACACAGCATTGCTTCTCTGTTTAACTTCACTCCGCATTAACACATCCTACATACACTAATGCCCGATAATTCATTCTTCTGGTCCATCATTCTTAGCCGTACATCAATTCCGAGGCGGAAGAGACGCCTTGAACCGGCGACACGCTACTGTTTTTACTGACTTTGTTCACGAGTCACTGCGCAACGACATCGCACCTCCAACGGGGGTGCTGCAGCAACGTCTTCACAAATATACCTCTCTCGGGGGGTAGCCGGAACAAAATCCGAACCAGCTTTGCCTGTGCTCGATCTACAACCCATTCAACGCGCGTCGTATTTCACAGCACCGACCGCTCGAAAGCTGTCTCTTAGTCCGTACCGACTTTCCAACGAACGCATGTCGCACATACTAGAACACCCTGCTCCAACTCCGCGAGTTGCCAACTCAAGACGGTTATCGGCGAGTGAGCAATCACCAGTTTCCTCCAACTACCCTGAACACACTCCAACATATCCTACAAAACGATCAGAGGTTTTGCGCCATGTCTTCCCACGTCCATCGCGCAGTCGTGCTCCACAAGGCCGGGAAGTTACATGTCGTGTCACGAAGCCGGATCACTACCACATTGCAAGTTCGTCCAGGATGCAATCAAGACCTCGAGTAGCGTTTCACAGATACATGACCTCTATTTTCGGCAATAGCTGGGAGCGTAACGTACACGCAAGCAGCCCTCAGAACAGATCCAGAGCCTCAAGCTTTGGTTCCAGGCCAGGGTCATCCAATCATGGATCAGTGCCCAGTCTAGACTTGGTGTCACCCGGTACGTTTGTGTTCAGTGGGCCAAGTCTTCGGTCTGAGGATTCCATCAATGATTCAACTTCCCGTCTCCCAAGTCTTGCCGCAAGCAGCGACATCCAACGACTGGTCCGAAATCGAACAGACTCTTTCTCCATGCTTGACAGTTCCAGTGTTATTGATGTGGGAATACTTGAGCCTGTCGTGGAACGAGGCATTACTCGCACTGTGTCAGACGTTCTACTTGGTATCAGCACACCGATTGAGGAAGCGGAGAGTTTCTCGCTCAGCGAGTTGGAACAGGATGCTATCCTCGATGACACAACATGCAATCAAAATTGTACGGCACTGGAAGAGGTCAGCACCTTTAATTCTATAGCGGCATCTACAGCCAGATGTGCTGTCTCTACTTTCGCGACTTTGCTAGTGCCGTATCTAGACACTTCCGCATAGAAAGCGCTGAGATTGTCAAACCGAGTATGGTACCGCGCTCTTGCTGCAGCGGCGCCTCCCATATTTCCTGCATCATACCGCCTACCTGTCGAGGTCGTGCAACAAGTCTACGATTACCTTGGTCCCAAGGATTTCAACGCTGCTCGGCATACTTGCCGAGGCTGGATGAGGGCCAGCCTTACCAAGAGCCTGCTAAGCACGATGTTGACAAGAGGTGGATGGCTGAGCAGCGCTGAAAGCGCCCTTCACGCCACACGTCATGCAGCAAACCATCATCCTTCGAGCATCCCACCAACTAGAGAGTGGTTGCTCAGCCGGCATCTTTCACGACAATGTGCGTTAGCATCCGGCTGGACTGGGAACGGGCTAGACAGTCGACCCGCCATCGTAGAGAGCTCTCAAGTTGACTTTGCAGAACTGTGCAATGGTTACACTGGCTCAAGCCGTCGTGAAAGTAGTAACCTGATCTTTGCGACAAGTGTATGTGGTCGGTTCTTATGCGTCGCACGGGACACTTTGATCTACATTTACGAAGTTCAAAATGGCTTGCTCACGCCTGCAACGAGCGTAGTGTGTCCGAGAAGGGTTCTTTCAATGAGTATGGATGTCTCTTCAGGTCGACACGCCATCGCCGCGCTCCTTGAAGGTAGAATGGGTATGGTTTGCGAGCTCTGCTATGGCCGCAAACCCGGAGATGAGAGCCCACTCGAAGTTCGTGTCGAAAACCCACATCGAACGACGACCAAGAATGCAAGCATGGCCAGTCACGCCAGTGAGTCCAAGGACGGCCTGGGTTTTGCGGAGTGTGCCTCACCCCAAGTACCTCCCGACCTTCCCTGCGTTCAAGAGAGTGATTTTGAAACTTTCAATGCAATTAATGTGCAATCGAATTACCAAGACGTCAGCCTTCGAGGGACGGATGATCAGCGGACGTTTGATCGAAATCTTATCAATCACACGTGGAACTTGAACCTGCATGGTCCTTTGACGACCAAGTTTAGCCCAAGTTCACTTCGTCAGAGTATACCCATTGAGAGTGGCACGTCCACATTCTACCGACACCTTTGCTCTGAAGACGACCCGCCACGCAGTGTTTCGATTTGTCCACAACGGCGTTGTGTTGCCTTTGGCTGTTCTGCGGGAATTGAGCTACACTGGATTGACGCGCTTACCGGGCAAAGCTTGGGGCGCTGGTTTCCACTCACTGCACCAAGCGATTACCTGTACTTCTTGTCTCCTCGTCCTGGTTTCGAGTCTGCCAAGAAACTGCGTCTCATATCCAGTGCGGCGCATCCCGATCATCGCCCCGCCATCATCCGCAGGTTCTTCTCTAGTCGACCGACTGTAAGCTCCTTCTGGGATTCGTTTGGACTCGAGTCAAGCTCTCGTCGTCCAACGTTACCGAGTTGCGACCATTATCATGCCGTTCCGCTAAGTGATGGCCATCATGTCTTGTTCATTGATCCGTCAACTAGCAAATTGACATTGGGCTGTGATGCACCCCTCGGTAGGCCCACAAAGCTCTTGCGCAAAATTGTATTCATTCCACCAGAGGAGAAGGTGGTTCCCAGACTCTACACTGCAGCCGCAGATATGTCGCAGGGCTGCCGGGTTTTAGTGGCCTATGGTGATACTATCATGTTATACAGCATCCCGCCTGATATCTGCAACCTTTCTCGACTCGAACAGAAGACAGAAAGCTGGGATGTATACACCGCGCTTCCGTTCTCCACCGAAGGGCGCGTGGAAAACCACTGGCTTAGTTGGTGGGACGAGCCCTTTGTCTTCGATCCCGCCAACCGCGATAATAGCAACTCCATATGGCCAATTGCCATACGGGGTACAGAGATTGGCCAACTTTCAGGCGTATGCGAACTTGCAGTCCAGACGCAACCCGAAATATTAATGTGGGCTTTCACACATTCTTCGCAATGTAAAACTTGGCGTCTTCACAACCATGCCGACCCGATCGTTCGCTCGAAAAGGTATATTTGTCGAAGCGGTCTCGTGCACGATTCCTACTCCATCGATGACACTGGCGATGTCATCATGGAGGATACTCCACCTATCGACCTACATCACGAGGAGAACGAGTCAGAGACGCCTCAAGCTGAGGGATCCGTCATTGTAGGGTTTGATGGAAATGCGTCTGGTGTGGTGAAGAGAATCCCCAAAGCACTTGCCATCGAGAACGATGAGTGGGTGGATCTGTTAGATGTGAGAGGTGCTTCGCATGCGTGGTTTGACAGAGACGGGGATGTCGTCATCTGTTATGGAAGTTGAGCCACGTGTGGTCGTAACGGGGAGTGAACACAGGTGCTTTTAATAAAAGAGTGTAAGATTGGGGGTTATTGACGCCGGTGGTGGGATCGACTTACCTATGCACAGCCTTGACTATTTCTACAAACTTACGACCTAATGAAATATCTGTTCTCTACAACCCTCCACGCTCATAATAAGGGGATGAAATTTCCTCGCATCCCTACTTCCAGCTCGAGACTCGTATCCCATGTCCTCACGTCCTACACGCCCGCCCACCACAGCTCGAAAGCGTATGAACATACCTCAACTTCCCGCCCTCAAGCCTGAACTCATGACTATCCGGCATACCCCCCGAGCCCCCAGGCGTGCCCCCAAAATCCATCTGAATATCCACGGTCCCGTACTCCTCATCGATCACATACTGCCTATTAACCAGCTTAACCCCACTCGGCACACCAACATCACACCGATCACTCGCCTGTCCCTTGCCCGTATACGCTCCGCCTTCAAGACGAGCGCACGGCTGGCCCCACGGCACTTTGACGCTCTTGTCATTGAAAAGATCGCAGTAGGCGTCTCCTGCTGCTTTGATAGCGGCGCGCGTGTCGCGTTTATCCGCGGGGATGGCGTCCCATTTCTCCTGCGAGGCCCAGTGATACGTACCCGTTATATTGAACAGCCAATCCCCCTTAGTCGTAACGATGCTATCAAACTGCGCTACTTTGTTCGTGGCATTGTCCACGCGCAGCTGCGATGCGATGACGTACGGCGCGGCTGAATTGGTCACGATGAACTCTGTAAAAGCGGCGCATTGGGGCACGTCGTGCTGTGCACGGGCGTGGTCGACTTTCAGGGCTTTGGAGAGGACGCCGGACTTGATGTCGACTTTTTTGCGGTTCTCCGTGTAGGTCACTGTGCTGGAGAGGGAGGTGAAGTTTGTCTGGCCTGCGGTTTGGGCGGCGAGGACTTGGTCGGTTATGGCCTTGAGGGTCTCGCGGGTACATTCTGCGGATGCGCGAGCTGCGAGCAGGCCGAGGAAGGTGGGGAGGAGGAGGAGGAGGTTATGCATGGCCACAGGTTGTCGATTTCTTTTACTATTCTCCAACGCTCGAAAAGAAGAGTGCTACCATTCTATCATTAGGTCTCACTCTAGCCTACTGATATGTTGATGGCCGAAGCCCCCGCATTCATAAATTGCCATATGGCGTAAATGGGGCTTTGCCGTCCCCTAAATGATGCGAGTAACACTGTTACACGGTTGGGCTGTTTACATTCGGCAGTTGGGTTTAGTATAGAGTAGCAATCTATCTCATTTTCCGAGTGGAGCGAGAGGGGAACATGAAATCTACGCTTGATTAGACAGGCACGAAGTGGGGAGGATATAGAGCTGGAAGCTTGCCTGAATATCCATGTACGCTCGATCGGCAGTTCGCCTTGTGTAGTAGAGGCTATAACGCGGGCCAAACTGAATTCTGGTCTGTAATAGGCCGGTGCTGACAACTTTCTGAAGTATTTCATTCTTGCACATCCATCGCCCTTTTATCTTGGCATTGTTGTTCATGGTCAATCCACGCTTTTCTCTACAGGATTGCGCATGAACATGTGTAATCGCCTCGGTCTCGCATGATTGCATGTGCTCTGTTTAGCGGAAGATGCCGGATCTTCAGCACCTAGACGTGCAGCGAGAGAAGAAGAGATTTGGAATTGGCGGAAGTAGACAGGAAGAATTGACGGAGATCGATTGCTCTCACCTATAATCATGATGACTTACACAGGGCCCCATGCGTGAGACGTGGTGCATTACGAACACGAGAGATGCGCTGAGAAACGACCATGTAGTTATCAAGTAGCCATTTTCGTTCTTAGGTCGCGTTTATATTGAATGCAGCAAGTGAAACATAGTGATAGAGCGATAAGGAAAGTATGGAAAGAGTGTAGGAATGACGAAACGTAGAGGAAGGTATTTCACTAGATCGCGATGCTACAATAATCGCTTCGAGGTCATTGTCATAAGCATGGTTCGGTGTATTAAGACACGGGGTGGAGATACAGCTGAGCGCAATGTTCTCCGCAGTTTACGAACAAACTAGTTACAAGACAGTAGATGAAGAGAATGGAAAGGAACTAGGAACGCAGCGCAGCATCAGAGTTTGGGTCCCGATAATACCGCCGGTTGTGGCGTGGGGCTTCGATGATGCTAATGCAGCTCCCTACGGCCGTGAGAAGAAGAAAACTGGAGCTGGGCAAGATGAGTGAGCCGAGAAAGGACCGATCTCGATGCACCCGCATGTTGAGATGCACAGGGAGGATGCTTCGTTGACCATGTCCGAAGGCCGCAGAGGATTACGCGTTCGCAGCGGGGAAAGAGCAAGCAGCAATGGAGCAGAGCAACCGAGAGGTTGGAGAGTGAGGGGCGGGAGAGCTAATGATGAGGGCGTGATGGCCTGCAGCTGTAGTGCATCCACCCACGATGGATCTAGCCAACGTGTAGCGCCAACGAAAGCTCGGGAGGCTGGAGAACCGAACCGATCTGACATGCAACTACGGACTGAAGTAATGGACTAATGAAATAATGAACTAAGAGAATATTTGGAAACCCCTTTATTCTGCTCAACTAGCCTGTGGGCGGCCGTCGATATGCGGGGGGAGGTATTGTGGAGTCTCGACCCGTGTTTGTTAGAATGCGTACAAGTATCGCGCCCATGGCTGTCAGGCTGACGCGGTCAACAAGTCTTGTTGGATCGTGGGTGATGGTTTTTTTGTGTTTATAATCCTGTCTGTCCATGAGGCTTAATTACCCAATGGTGTAGCCTCATGGAGAATTAACGGCCGCGTCTGTGCATCTCACCAATGCGGCTATGGCCCAGGCAGGCTGGGCGGGCTTGACCCGAGTCTGGCAGAGGCGTAGCGCTACGTTGCAACTTGGCAGTGATTTTGTGTAATTCCGTCAGAAGTGCGAACAGGGCCGTGACGAACGGCTTCTATTTCTCTAAGCGTTGGTGTTAAGACAGGCATGCGGCATGGGCGATGACAGGAACCAGCCCGTGTCGGCTGAGGACATGGCCCCCGGGAGCTGGGGAGCTGGGACGAGAAGAGAAAGGACCCTAGCGATGGCGTCTTGCAAACTATCGCCCTCGGAGTGTGCAGGCTGAATCGAGTCGAGGATGCGCTTCGACACAATAATGGACGCTGATTATTATTGCTGTTGGTATGTATTGTATTTGCTTCTGCAGTGCAGGCCGTGTCTTGAAGCGTAGCCACTCAAAGCCACACGCCGCTCGCCCCCTCCCTTCCATCTAAAGCGGGTCTTCTGTGAAGTCGGCCTATGGAGGGAGGATGGGCCTGAGACAGCAGCTTTGAGGGAGACGGTGTTCAACAAAGTCGCTCTCCGTGACGCCATGTGTCGAGGGCCAACCAGCAGCTTTTGAGGGTTTGTCGGAAAAGCAGGGCCATGGTGGTGGAGGCGTGCGTCGTCTAAGTTTAGACAGACGGTGGACCACGGACATGGATCGTGGCTATATGCTAATCAGGGTGTGTGTGCAGCAGAGGAGGCAAATGGCTAGTAGCTCCCTTTCCAAGACAAAAGCTCCTGGCCGCTCCGACACACGCTATGCCCCGTAAGGTCGGCATTAAATGGGCAAAAAAGATCAAAAGTGAAGATGATGCGGCGGCGGCGTGCTCCTTACTACTACTACTACTACTACTATCCATGGCCATTGTGACCCGCGCGCGCACTGTGCACATGCAATCCGCCTCTCGCTGATGAGCTACTGCCGCACCCTCCTCCCCATCGCCTACCGACGTCGTCATCGCTTTGTGAAAGCTGAATGAAAGGTGAAAAGTCTCTTGTAGACTCGGTCGCTCGCTGAAGCCCTACTACCTACGTGCTTGTACCCTACTGCGCTCTAGGTGTCTGGTAAGTCGCACACCCCCACCCTGGGACCCTCTCCCCCCCGATTGCCTCGGAAGGATTAGACGACGTGCATGTCGCAACGCAACGCAGCGAGTGTGCAAGACATGGCGCGCTGGAGAGGCTGGCAGGCGATCTATTAGCGCATACACGGCGGCCAGATCGATGGCCTCTGGAGGTTGACACGCAGCGCAGTGTGCGAGGTGAAGCGGCGTCGACGACAACGACGACGACGACGACTCCTCCAGCTCCAGCTTCATCTGCACCGCTCCCGTCCCTGCCTGCGCCTGCGCCTGCTCACCTCATCCATTCACGATCAAATAGCACCCGGCCACACACTTGCATGGCCCAATGGCTCTCTGGCTTGCGCTCTAGCTAACGGTGATTGTCCCATAGGCCCAACCCATACCCACATTCGTTCCTTCCTTCACGTTTCATCTTCCTCTCGCTGGCTGTCTGCGCCTCAGCAACACCAAGCAGCAACAACACCACCACCACCAGCAGTAGCAACCGTCGCTCCTTGTTCAATCGCTCGCCCATCCACTCCACGCCTCGCACCTTCTTCTGCGTGCATGATTCCATCCCACATCTCGAGATAGCCGATCCAGGCTTCGAAGCGCCCCTTCCCTCTCCCGCTCGCCCCCCCCCCCCCAGCGGGCTCACTACAGCGACACAATGGGCAAGCCAGGGCTGGGCATCTTCACCGCCCGCCGCAAGTCCCAGGGCAATGCCTTTGACCAGGTCGACGTCACCGCCAGTCCGAGCCCCGACACTGCGGCATCTGCCCACGCGGATCCAGGCGGCTTTCGCCTCTTGAGCAGGACCGAGGTCGACAAGGCCAACGAACGCAGGAAGACACAGGAGAAGGAGTCCAAGTCATCCAAGTTCCCGCGCTTCAGCAGCTTCGGCGCTGCTGCGCACAAGGGCCGCAATCATTCTTTCGACGACGAATCTCCAGGCTCCTCAAAGCGGTAAGCTTCAATCTGCTAGCAATAGCGCCGCAGGGCTAAACCCTGGAAACCAAACTAACCCTTTAATTAGCGATAGCAAGTCCAGCAGTGGAACTCAGTTTTCTACGTCGCGGCCTTACACAAACGGCCAGCATGGATCGACGTCGACCCTCCCGTCCTCTACCGACACCAGCTCTGACGACAATCTCTTCGCCAACCTCCCCCGGCCCCAAATACCCCAAAATAACAGCTCGTCGAGCTCGTATTCAATCAAGAGCATGCGCAAGACCCTCCCCTCGGTGCCCAAGCCTAGTTCAGGGGTATCCTACCAGGACCAATTGCCATCCGACTCCAACACCAGGCATCGTGCATTGACGACATCGAGCTACGCAAGCACCGCCGTCCCGCCCAAGCTCAACGACGATCTCGACTTTGGCGGTTCGTCCTTCGGGGACGACATGTTTAGCGGTCTGAACCGCAAGTCGCCCGAGTTGCCAAGAGACGTTGCCGGCCGCTCGCTGCTTTCGGAAAAGCGCACATTCCAGGCAGAGCCCATCAAGATCCACCCCCATCTTCAAGTCGAGGCACCTTTAAAGAGCTGGGACAGCCATGGTTCTGCTGACAACCTGATGTCTCCCCCACGCTCCGACGACGACTCGCCCCCTCCGCCTCCGCCCCTGCACAAGTACAACCCCTACGCGCCCGTCGCTTCCGAGAGCCCTACCCTGCACTCGTCCGCCACCTTTCAAGACGCCGATGCCCAACACGTACGCAAATCTTTCATGGAAAGAAAGACGTACCGGGAAAGCTCGCCTGAGCCACAACCAATTTCCATCTCGTCATCCGCAAACTCGTACGAAACACCTCTCTCGTCCCGGTCGGCCTCGAGTAGGACAAACAACACAACACCGCGGGCTGCATTCCCACCAAAAGCCCCCGTATACCCAGACACCGACGAGGATGACTTGTTTACCCCGGTCAAGGTTACACCCAGGCCCCAGCCTAGGCCCACGCCGAGTCCTACAGCCCCAACCATAACCGAGTATAATCCTGCACCTACACCTGCACCTGTATCAGCACCAACACGAGCACCTTCAGCTACCTCTGCGGGAAATGCAAATGGGCGTGTGATGACACAAGCAGAATTTCGCGAGTACCAAAAACGGCAAATGTCGAAGCCCTCTGCAGATGAGAGCTCGGATGAGGAAGACTACGAAGACGAAGAGGAGGCCATCAAGAAGCGGGAGGAAGAAGAGATTATGAGGCGCAAGAACCAACAAATGCACTTTGCACGAGAAGCTATGCGTCGCTCCACTACAGCGCCCGGGAATCCAGGCGGCTCTGGGAGTGTAGCAGACGGCTTCAGCATGGGCTTCCCTTCAGAAACATCAATCAAGGCAGACGAATGGGAAGACGAAGACATACCACTCGGCATTCTTGCGCAGCATGGGTTCCCCAGTCAAGCACGCAGTCGATTCCCAACTCAACCAGCTAACCCGACGCCCTCGTACTTCCCAGAGCGTCCGGCTTCTGCTGGTGTCATGAGCTACCGTGCCTCACAGGCAAACCTGCCTGCCTTTGCGAGGAATCTGCCCGCGGATCCCTATATCGGAGGCGGATTGGTCCGACCCTTGAACCGAGAATCGATGGGTTTCAACAGCTTTGGCCAAGGCCCTGCGTCTATTGCTGGCGATTCTGTTGCGAGTGGCATGGGCATGGGCTCCCCTTTGGTGTATCAGGATGCTGGCATGTCGCAGCCGTCTCTAGTGGACCAGATTCAGATGCGGGATATGACGAAGCAAAAGTATATGGGCGGTGCATCCGCCAAGAAGCCACAGGGCGGACCCTTCACTGGCATGCTAGGACAGCAGATGAACTCATCTGGCCAGCCACAAAACCCCATGCGCGTGTCGCCGATGCCAAATAATCCCATGATGAATATGATGGGAGGCCAAATGCCCATGATGGGCATGGGCATGAATATGAACCCGATGGGGTACCCGCAGGATCAATACTCACAAATGCAGCAATTCCAGCAGATGCAGCAAATGATCGCCATGCAGCAAATGCAGCTCCAGCAGATGCAGCAAATGCAGCAAGACCCACGCATGTCCACGTCTTCGCCCAGTAACGGCTTCCAGGGCAACATGATGGGCAATGGAAGTTTCCTGGGCGTACCCGGGCAGCAAAATCGCGCCATGTCGTTCATGTCCAGCAACGGAAATCAGCAACAGCGTTCCATGTCTGGCTTTGCGGGTGCTGGCTATACGCCCTCGATTGCACCGTCGGAACGATCCAATATCGGTCTTTCTGCTAGATATCGCCCCGTAGTGAATCACTCGGATTCGATATCCAACGGCACTTCAATGACACTCCAAGCCACGGGTGGGGCGAACCAGGGCAAGCCTGCTGTGATTAAGGGCATTTTGAAGAAGGGCAGCCCACAACCGAACGCGCACGACGAGGAGGAGGATTGGGGCAAGATGGCAGCAAGAAAAACAACGTCTGCAAAGGGAAAGGAGAATGAGGGATCCGGCCTCGAGGAGCTCACCCGTGGTCTAAGACTTTAGAGCGTACACGCATTCATATTCCTTGGAAGACGCAATACTACGGAACGAGGATGATCTATAGCGAGCGATTTGGGCAGAGTGTTGCATTTACAAGCGGCGTTTTTGATTTGAGAAGACTTGTTGTACGCTTTTGCTTGTTTGGGAAAAATCTGGCGCGCGACTACCCCTGATCTTGATCTACTGATAATCTATGGTATTACCGGGGTGGATATTCAAAGACCATCACTTGCATATGAAAGCCAGGTTGGCTTGAATTTATTGATTGAAAGACGGGATATGGGCTTGGTGTTTTTTCTAGGGGGACGGTGGGCAAACAAAGATTCTCTTGTAATTATAATATAATACATTCGGCTCCTCGCTGGTCAAACGTCCTCATTCTTCGTCGCACACAAAAGTCACTCTTGGACTGGTTCATGGAAACTTTGTCAGACGTTTTGTGATTTGGAAAGTATTCAAATGGTATCTATTGACCTGACTGACTAATGGCGGCGATATGAGCCGATCATGTCCTTCCTATGTCGCACCCCGTGACGCCCAACGCCCTTTTGCATTCGCCCTTCTTCTCCATGTCTTAATTACCATCTCGGTCCAACAATTCCCTTGCCGCAATGACCTCGGCCTCGTCAAAGCCTCTCCAGCCTTTGTTTCCGGCCTTGTAGTGCCTTACAATCTCAGCCAGTTTGCTTGTTGCTATTTCCTCGAGCTTCTTCACTGTCGCGAGCGCAGGGATAGGCACATCTTCATCATCTTGGCTGTTATTATTGTTATTGCGTTTGCTGGAAGTCGACTGTGTCTCGGAGAGGAGGGGGAGAAGTTTCGTAGTGACGAGTTTAAGGCCGTAGTAGCCACGGAGGTACGCGTCGTTGAGTTCAATGGAGCGGCAGAAGTGCTTCAGCGACAGGGCGAGAGCGCTCAGGCTTGGTGGGTTGTTGGAGGCGATGGAGAGGTAGTGTAGCGTCGCAACGTGTGCATGTGCCTATTACTGTTGTCAGATGAATCCAATGGACCAATGCGTCTTGAAACTCACACTCCAAGCGTTCGGCGTGATAAGCAACACCTCCTCCGCGCAATAAATCGCCTGGCCCCACGCCGCCTGACTTGCATACAGCTCACTCGCCTCGGCCCAAGCCTCTACATCCGTCGGGCTATTCTGCAACAGCACCGTGACAGCCGTAATGGCATCCTGCGGTCTGCCCAGCGCTTTCAGTACGGCGACGCGCCTCTTCCGTATACTCATATTGGTTGGGTCCTCCCTCAATATTTTCTCATAGCCGTCGAATACCTTCTCCAGATCGCCATTAGATTGCGCCGTGGCTTCGTTGTATATGCCGCGCAGCGTGATGATGCGCTCGTTGTGTTGACCGAACCGGGCTTCGAGACGGTCGAGCAGGGCACGAGCCGAGGTTTCGTCGCCGGTGCGGAGCGCCGAGAGGAAGAGGTTCTCGTGGATGGTCCATGATTCGGGTGTCTCGCGGGAAAAGAGGAGAGAGAGGGGCCACGGCAGTGACGACGTGGGCGAGGTGGAGAGTATGACGGGAGCCTTTTGGGAGAGGGCGAGGGCGGTTTGCGGTGATATTTGGGATGGCGGTGAGAGGAGATTTGCGTGCGCCATCTTTTCTGAATTCTGGGTAGGAGCACCAGAGAAAGGAATTGAATGCTGTAGGTTTGTGTCGTGAAATGCGGAGATGTAATGTAATGCGGATATGGGTGAACGTCTAAAACTCCTGGCCCAAGCTCCGACCAGCATTCGGCGAAACCAACGCCGGCGGGCAGCAGATGCACGTCGATGGCTTGAACAGACTTCGTCTTCACTCCCCACCTCGGAACGACCAGTGACACCCAGATCCATAGCTATCCTATGACGACGCTGTCCCAACGATGATGCCTGCTGGCTCTCCCTCTACACGTTCCCGCCAAACTGCCCCTCCTTGTGTGCTAAGATACCCGTACACGCGACTGCGGGAAGCCACCTGAGAAGCCGACAACATGTACAAGACTCCAGATTAAAGCCTCTGAGAGCTAGCAAATTCTGACGTGTAGACAGGTTCGAGAAATCCTTGTACGACCTCATTCGAGGCCTCCGAAACCACAAAGGCCGCGAGAAGGAATATATCGCCGAGAGCATAAAAGAATGTCGCAAAGAGATTCGGTCCAACGATATGGACCTCAAGGCCACGGCCCTCATGAAGCTCACGTACCTTGAGATGTTCGGGCACGACATGTCGTGGGCGAGCTTCAATGTCCTCGAAGTCATGTCGAGCTCCAAATTCAAGCAGAAGCGCACGGCATACCTGGCTGCTGTCCAGAGCTTCCGCCGGGATACAGAAGTTCTGGTGCTGGCGGAGAATCAGCTCAAGAAAGACATTACGAGTTCAAGTCCACAGTACATTGCGCTCCCACTAGGCGCTATTCCGCACGTCATCAATCCCAGCATGGCCAACTCACTCCTGTCAGATCTGATACCGAGATTGACGCACTCGCACGCCATGGTCCGAAAGAAGACAGTCGTCACACTCTATAGACTGGCGCTGGTATACCCGGAGACGCTGCGACCCGCATGGCCCAAGATCAAGGAGCGCTTGCTGGATGATGATGAGGATCCAACCGTCACAGCCGCCATTGTCAACGTTGTCTGCGAGCTAGGATGGAGACGCCCGCAGGATTTCCTGCCTCTAGCACCCAGATTGTTTGATCTCTTGGTGCAGGGAAATAACAACTGGATGGCTATCAAGTTAATCAAGCTTGTAAGTGTCAAGTAGTGCTGAGAACGAATTCGTCTGACCCCATGCAGTTTGCGACCCTGACCCCTCTTGAACCTCGGTTGATCAAGAAGCTACTTCCGCCATTGACGAAGATTATCCGAGAGACATCCGCTATGTCGTTACTGTACGAATGTATCAGTGGCATTATCCAGGGTGGTATCTTGGAAGCGGCTGAGGGTACCACTGAGGGCGAGGAAGTAGCAAAGCTCTGTGTTGGCAAACTACGAGGAATGATGGTGATAGAAGGCGATGCAAACCGTAAGCTAAAGAATACAACAATTCACATCGTTCATTTCTCATCGATCTGCAGTAAAATATGTCGCATTGCTCGCTTTCGACAAGATCGTCAAGCTGCACCCATACCTAGTTTCTCAGCAGCAAGATGTCATCTTGAACTGTATCGACGATCTAGATATATCAATACGAATGCGCGCTCTGGACCTCGTAGTTGGCATGGTCAACGCGGACAACCTCACTGCCATTGTTGGACGGCTAATGCGACAGCTTCGAAATGCACCAATCGCTACAGCAGCGAATGATGCAGGTATCGACCGCGCTCGGATGACTACAGTCACACCATACGCCGACGAAGACGACTCTGATGCCGAGGAGACGCTTCGACATCAGGACGAAAAATCCGATCAGCCACCGCCTCTCCCTGATGATTATCGAGTCAATGTCATTAAGCGAATACTAGACATGTGTTCGCGCGATACCTACAGCAACATTACTGACTTTGAATGGTACATTGATGTACTTGTGCAGCTGGTTCGGGTTTCGCCAGCAACCAAAGCATCTGCTGTGGAAGAGAAGGACGATCTAGAACAAGTAGATGACATTGGTGGTAGCATTGGGCAAGAGCTGCGGAACGTTGCTATTCGAGTAAAAAGTGTTCGATCAGAAGCTATAGACGCCGCACAGTCCCTCGTACTCGTCGACCGAAGAGACCAAATGTTCCCGGCCTCCGGAAACGGCGGTCAGGGCGTACTCGAGTGCGCCGGCTGGCTTGTCGGAGAGTACGCAAGTTACCTCACTCGACCGGAACCCGTCATGACATCGCTCCTACACCCTGCATCCCTCCAACTTCCATCACGGACCCTCGCCGTATACCTACAAGCCGTCCCCAAGGTCTTCTCTAGCATGGCGGGGAATGACCAAATGTCGTGGACTCCAGAACGGAAAACTCTTATGTCTCTTCTCATGGCTCGAATCATCCACTTCTTAGAGCCACTTTCCACCCACCCTAGTCTTGAAGTACAAGAACGTGCAGTGGAGTACCTAGAGCTTATGAGGCTCGCTGCTGAAGCTGCCTCTGGTACTGCAACTGGCGTAGGCCATGAGGAGTTTACTGACCCTCCACTGCTACTAACCCAAGCCATACCTGCCCTGTTCTCTGGTGCTGAGTTGAACCCAGTTGCACCTGGCGCACAACGGAAGGTTCCTGTACCTGAAGATCTAGACCTCGATACACCGATCAACGCGAACTTGCAGCATCTGCTTTCGCAGGCCGATAACGAAGGGTATGAAACAGAAGAAGACGACGTGTATGCGGCATACGCAGAGCCTATACCTGCTTACACGGAAGGGCCAGTGGTTGCCACTCCAGCAGCAGATCGTCTCGACGTGCCGCATAAGGAGCCCACCTCATATCAAAATGCCGTGGAGGAGGAATATCTTGATCCTGACATCATTGCGCGGAGGAAGGCAGAGCGCAGGGAACGCCACAGGGACGATCCATTCTACATTGACCCCGATGCGGACAGAAGCAGTGGAGCGGTCACACCGCTTAGTAGAATTGTCCGCGACGGCAACCAGGAAAATAACGACCTGGACATCGATTCGATCCCTATCATGGATCTCAATCTAGAAAGCAAGGTGTCGTCATCCGAGAACCTCCCTCGATCACGAAGCCCCCGCAAGCCGATACGGAGAGTGGAGATCATGGGCGATGAAACATTGGGCCCTTCTGCGCCAGATTCTTCAAGAGAAGACATCATTCAACCGCGCCCGGGTAAAGCAAAGAAATCGCTGCTTGAAGTAGACAGCTCGGGCCTCGGTTCACTTAGCTTGGACGACGAGGGCGTATCTGGCCGCAAGCTTACGCAGCTCGAGATCGAGAGGAAAGAACAGGAAGAAGCCGAGATGAAGAAAGCACTGCAAGATATAGAAAGATTAAGACTTGAGATGCAACGCGCGAGCGAAAGAGTACACGTCAAGGAGGAAGTCGCAGTCAAGAAGAAGAAGAAGAGGAAGGTTCGGAAGGTTATTGTGGAGGGAGATGAGCCTGCAGAGACTCCACCGGCAGAAGTCGAGGGACAGCCCGAGGCAGAGGACAATGCGCCAACGAAGAAGAAGAAAAAGAAGAAGGCTAGGCCTGAGGTGGATGCGGAGAAGGGCGCAGACGCAGGTGCCGAAGGGGAGGTCAAGAAAAAGAAAAAGAAGAGACGGACAGTGGCAATGGACGAAGGCGAAGGTGCACCCTCTGAATAGTCTCTGGCTTTGTAGGCCGTCAGACCAAGTCGACCTCTGGACAGTTAAATAAGTTCGGGGATCGCAATTTTGACAAATGAGATTCGAATTGCAATGGCAAATATGACCAAATATGACCAAATGTCGCGCGGCTCAGCTCCAGCTCCTGCATGCCTGTACCCTATGATGAACGCCATGGCCTATGTAATTGATATAAAAGAAGAAGATGCCCCTGTCTCTCGCTCCCTCCCCCTTGTCGCCAATGCATCCCGCTCACATTCTCAGCATCCGGTATGTGCCCCATTTCACGAACGCCCCTTTCAGTGGGTGGGTGGATGACATAGGAAACCGAGTCGGATTGGTCGAGGTGGGTCGTGGTGCTGAAGGGCCAGGGGATATAAGATGAAGACTCCGAAATCGCAGGAGTTGAAAAGGCTTAAAAGAACAGCTTCACGAGCTCGAAGAGAACGCCACCGCAGAGTACGAAGCCGAGGAGAACTACACGCGCATGTTAGCGTCTGAATCTGTTTTAAAACTCCATCATGCTCCCTCTCCCCTCTCGCTCGTCAACAACGCAAAGGGACCATTGCGCAGCCTCTCGTGTGCGAAGCCTGTACCTCTTCAAGGGAATCGGAAGAAGACGTACTAATCCAGATCTTGCTAATTGGTGACTTCTGCGGGCCCTGCTTCTTGGTGATGATTTGCTCGGGTCGTCCCATCTTCTTCTCCTGCGCTTTCGCGAAGCGCATGTTCGCCTGGCGTTGTTGGGGTGTTTGTGCCTGCACGAGCATATCAGCAACCTAGCTCTCGAACGCTCTTGTATTGTATTGATTGTACGCCACGGCTCGGGTGAGAGCGGTGGCCAGGGGCGTAGGGAACTCGCGCTCACGTACCATTGTGTAGGGTGGATATGGCGGTGTTGATTGAAACGGGGACGTTTGAGCTTGGCGTTTGGTATGAATCCAATTCCCTAGTTTTAGTTTGTAGAAGGCGCCGAACGTTGGATCGAAAGAAAGTTGGGGATCGGCGGTGATTGATAGGCAAGCGTTCAAGGTGATGCAAGGTGTTCCTTTGGCAAAAGGTTGCGCACGGGCCCGTCGCGCTAAGAGTAGCTCTGGTATGCGGAGTTTGGAGCGGAGGTTTGCTGCTTTTGAATCGTGGGTAGCTTGCTTTCCCCTCCTCGTTACTTTATACTTGCTTAGATAAAGGCTTCAAACTTGACACATTGCGCCAATCTCGTCATTGACTCATCTCACGTCCTTCCAGTTCCTTCTGCAAAATTCGAAAGCATTATCTGGCCTCGATACAGCTGGCAAACCCCCCAAACGCAAACGTAAAGCTGGTGCCTTGGTGTCTCTCCCAGGCGGCAAAGATGAACCATGTCCGGACAGCAACGTCAATAGCATCAAGGAGACCCGTCGCGCGAAGAATAGCACACGTGTCACGGAGAACGTACGCAACTGAGCCTCCTCCTCCACCGCCGCCACCGAACTCCACTTCACAACAACTCAAAGAGCCGTCGCGGGTGGTACGTCACCCACCCAGAATCCCCACCCTCTCGATTACTCCAAACTAACAGTATCGCCAGGGCGCATACTACAAAACTTTTGGTAGCCCCCTACTGAAATGCTTCCTCGGTGCCCTGTTCACATATCAAATCGCATACTATGCGTGGTTCAAGCTCGAGACCATCGAGGAGCAACACGATAAGCATACAGAGATCAAGGAACTACAATACGAGCTTATGGAGGCGATAGCACAGCAAAAGCAGAGTGCGCAGGAGACGCTAAGTCATGCTGTGGATGCTGTAGAGGAGGCGACGGACAGAATAGTCGAAAGCGTCAAGGAAGGTGCAGACGAGACGGTCAGGGCGACTAGTGCTGTGGGGAAGGTGGCGAAGGGGGGTTGGTGGCCTTGGTGAATATGTGGGAGGGAGTTCTTGTGGGAGGGGACGTAGAAGAGGATATGCCTCCCAAGACTTCATCTGTCAAACTGGTATATGTACAGTACCTGCCCTTATACACATGTAGGGGACATATAAAGATACCCAAGCTGAACTTTTCTTTACAATACCTGCTAATGTTCGCTTTCAAAATGCTGCACTTTCACAAGTTCGGATCGTCGATGTGCTCGTTCCCCTGTCAATAATTCCTCGCGCTCTTCCGTCGTATCATCTTCTTCTCACTCTTCTCAGTCATATCGACGGCTCAGCTTGTTGGTTGCACGTTGTCTGGCTACTTCCTTGTTATCTCCGTGATGATCGATGGAAAGCAAAATGGCAAGTAGATCAGCTAGCCACGGTGTCTTCGTTGCTTTGGCTCGTGCTGCGAGCTTGTGGTGCATCTGGAAAGATCGCCTGATGCTATAAGGCGATGTTATGTTGATAGGTATTATCAGTTGGCCTTCGGCTACTTCTAGCTGTTGCTCCTCAGCCAAAGAACTCGCCCGAAACAAGCGACTCCCAGGGCTTTCCGGTATCCCAGACACTCTGCACGAGGATACTGATCTTTGGGACCTTTTGTCAAGGTTAGCGTATGCGGTATCAACGCGCGATAGCGTGTCTACTAACGTGGTTCAATCCGAATCCCTCCACCCCCCTCAATCGATCCATGATTTTCTCCCTCTGCCCTTCGTCTTGCGCATCGCATCCTGCTGCAAACATGGGGAAGAGAAGACAAGCCTCTGCTGTACTACCCCTACGGATCTTGTAGAGCAGACCTACAATCTCGCGCACCGCGTATTGGACCTCAATGTCCAATGCGGGCTTACCTAGTACGCGGCGGTAGAGGTGTATCAGACCAGCCCAATGGAACATCTCATTGGTAGCATATATCTCGGTGGCATCCCAAGTACCCTCGGATTCAGAAGCGGCACTAGCTCGATGATTGCATCCCTTGCGAATGTTGCGATCCAAAAGACCCTCTTCTAGCTCTTGTTGTATCTGCACGGCTTGCTTGACCACCTCTGAGTTAGGGGCCCAGTCCTCGCGTACGTTGCCCTCATCATCAATGCGCTGCGATTCGCAGAGTTTAGCCAGCTCGGAAATTCGGGCTAAGCTACCGAAGCAGCGAGTCGTAAAGCCCATAAGGCAGTCGATTTCAAACTCTTCATCGGCGGTCGCGTTCTCGCTCGACCAGTAGAAGGAGCCCAGCGGCACATCATTTTTGCCACCACTGAGGGAGCCGAGGACATCGAGATAGGCAAACCACCGGGAAAGGAAGTAAGCGACGCGATCTTGACGAGCCATACCTCTTGATTCACCTCGAGCCAGGATCATCTGACGTGCCATAGTCAAATGGTTTTGCCAAGAGATTGGTACCTCGAACGTTCCGGATGAGATGATCTCGAGACTCGCCATCATAATAACGGCCGCCAGGGTGTTGTCGGAAACGTCCTCCGGGTTGTCGATCAGCGTTTGGCGCAACTTGGGGAACACATCCTGTACCCAAACGGCAATGCGGTTTGAAGGTTCAGGATGATTGAGCATGCGTGCGCGGTGAGCAGCGCTATAAGCAAGGAGGAGGTACATGATATTCTCGTCACGGACGGCCACTGCTGGACTTAGTAATAACTCGGGAAGATGGCAATATACATACTCTCTGGCAAGACCTGCCGGAAGGGGTTCCTCTCGCAATCATGAGGGACCAGAATCCGTGCAGTGTGGTTCAGAAAATGATGAAAATAAAGGAGGTTCATTTGATTTTCCACGAGCAGCGGTGGTAGTGGTTCCAGGGACTTTGAGATTCTAATCGCTACGGGTTTTGCATAATACCCTCCGCTTTCGAACGCCATGTCCTTGCCTCGAGGGTCTGCGCTGCCATATGGTGTATCGTCATCCAGATCCATGGTGCCGCTTTGCGGACTGAAGATAGCTATAGCAGAGAAGTCATCGTTGCTTGGCGTGTCCAGATCAGGGAGGCCTCGATCGTAGCCATACGTAGTCGAGGCAGAATCAGCAATCGGATATTGCCTTCCATGCTCAACTTCGGGGCTATACCGAAGGGCATTATCGCCAGGCAATCCATTAATCAGCGATTGTACTGACACGCGGCGTAGATCTGGTGGAGAATACACCGAGGAAGAGGATTGCTTTGATGCAGTCCGCAGAACGGCTTCTTCGGAACCAACTGAAGAGTTGGGTGTCAACGGCATTGCCACATAAGGATAGGGGCTATAGGGTGATGGCGGACCTGTGTTTGGCGAATACGTATCTAACGTTGTCGTCGCAGGCGATTCCATCGAGTAGCTAGACTTATGCCGCTTGGGTAAGGAGTCTAAAGATGCTCGGGGTGGAGGCATCTCCGCGTTTGTGGGAGTGAAGCCAGCATTGCTATAAGCAAAAGTTTCGAAGCCAGCTGCCGAGTGTGGGGGGTAATCGAATGTGCCCCGAAAATGAGTTTGAGCAGATGGCGCCGACGTAGGCAGCCTATTCGTACTCGAAAAGTAAGAGGTCTGGTCGAATAAACCAGCACTGGTTACGGATGGGGTTGCTTGCGTATGGTTCATTTGCATGAGCTCCGGATCCATCAGGAATTGGGAAGATGTAGGGGGGGAAATGTTTGAAGATGAGCGTGCATGCTGTGGACGCACTGGCGGTTCTGGAGTGGATGGGAACAAGGGTGAGGCTTCCACTTCGAATGAGAAGGTCGACTGATACGGGCTGCCCGAGCCCGAAGCTGCGCTTGAGGCTTCGGAACCTGTACCAATCTTTTCCCGCCTGGTGCGTCCTCCCCAGTTGAGTCTGATACTGTAGTCGCATTTCTCGCCTTGGCGTTCACAGTTGCCGCATTGTGGTTTCTCTTCCCCACTAATATACGGTTACCAACGAGTTGTGTCAACCAGGGTGATAATTACCACTTGACTTTGCGCGCCTTGCAGGGCCTATTTAATGATCAGTACAGATTTCTTTGCAACAGTGGAAATGGTAAATGCTACCAGCAGCCGTTGCGCGATCTCCTCTTTGTCTCAACACCGGGCTTCTTTGGTCGAGGCATGCTTCTCCAGTCGAATGGCTATGGGCCGGTATGTATAGCAGGTCCACTGTAAGTGGCGATCTCCGACAGGAAGATGGATGCGAGATTTATAATCGCAGGGGATGGGCGAGGGTTCTGAATACTACATGCGAATGCTAGGCGTATTAATTGCATGCATGGATTATAGCGTACTACAGCCGCTTGGCGCGTCGTTGAGTAAAAGAGGCGGAGTAGTCTACATGATACTGTCTGCCGGCTGTCAGCTTTTGCTTGCATGCTGTCATGATGGGTGATGGGTGATGGGTGAGGAGAAGGAGGAGCGATAAGCTCCGCATCATTCGGCCTACGCGCCAATCACAACCCTGTTGCTATCATTCTTAGCGGGGCAGCCGGTATCGTACGTCGCCTTCTCTATGACCTGCTGGGTTTCTTAACACCTCCTTTAACGAACCCGCTTCATCTTCGCTCCGAATCCTCACCTGTCTATGCCCCAGAGTCGATGTTCCACATCTTCCCGCCCCTGATGCCTACCTACGATGAAATCGTTTCCTGCACTGATGCATTTGCTTCAGCCCTACATTATTACTGACACCCTCCCACGAGCTGTCAGTGTGTCACAACGCAGCTGAACCCCAAAAATATCCACCAGCCTCAAGGCATTTCGTGTGGGTAGGGCGTACCTGATCAACACGACCTTTCCCCCCACCTTTTAGGAGAGGCCATGCGAAACTGTGGCGGAGGCAGCGACTTTATGCAGCCCACTTGCGTTATTGCTTCCAGAATGCTTCTTTTAGGTCGAATTATCCCTTCGTTTTTCATGATCAAGATGAAGGCTGAGGAGAGCTGGAAAGCCGATCTGGTCAACCAGGATGATTGGGCACGACTGAACCGAGTAGAGCTAGTGATCGGAAACCCCGACCATACCCAAGAGCTATTTGCATGCTTGATTCGAACCTCACCCCCCATTCCCTAGCCATTCTTCAAATCACAAGCAAGTATAAATTTGCTGGTTTGCCGAACACTGTCTTGTGGGCATCGCAGTTAGACTCCAATCGGTTGGAAATCACATTCCCTGCTTCTGTGCGATGAAGAGATACCTACATACTGCATGCCCAAACGATCCATGTAAGTAAGCATCTTGGGCAATCCAATCAATACAAGTACGCTACACGACTTGGCGCCATTGTCACATGGGCAACCGAGAATAAGGCCTCCATCATGATGCGAGACTAACCAAAAATGTCTGTAATAGGGAAGCCGTACTCAATTCGTTGCGCAATTTACATGGCACCTAGGGTACGGCCACATGGAGAGGTAGGGTCTGCAAATGTTACCTCTCATCGTCGCAGTGGCGTGAACATGTCATGTTGATTTGCTTCTCAATTATAGAACATTGAAGGAGACATGACATATAACTCGCCGCGTTCACTACGCGCATGACAATTATCATCCTTCGCTACGTGGCGAGAACCACCCTGTAACGACATGAGTTTCACTATTTAGTATGGCTCGTATAATCGCGTTCTTCAGCCAATTTTGCACCTGGCATCAGCCTGCTACTAGAAGATACCGTGCCGTTGGCTGTACTGTCCATGAGTTCGTCATGGCGTCCAGGTCCGCTTTGACCGTGTAGCCTTGTCCGACTAGAGATTTCAGTCATAGTGTGGTGGTCGTATCAAGAAGGCCTGAGGTTGATTCCCAGATTCGTTGAACAGTCCACCAATCACAGACGAACGCTACCTTACAAAAGCCTAGAAAAATGAGCCCTCCAGTGGCCCTAGCCAGCTACTGGCTTAGCTCCCCAATAACGCCATACCCACACATATATATACCTGGGTACGGCGTTACCCACTTGCTATTCTCGCGCATGTTTTACTTTCCTGCACAACTCCTCGTTTGCCTGACTTGACTTACCACTGCCTCACTATATTCATCATCTTTTGAAGCACCATGGCCGATATTAGCCGCCTCAGTAGCCTCTTCCGACCATTCTGGTTCATCTGGCTTTCCATCCAATGTAACTCTCCCCCCTCATTCCCACATATACCAGCATACTAATTCCGAAAAAGCGCACTATGGCGCTTTCAAAGATGCCCTTCGCAAAGATGGCCTCGCCTCACTTGCACATCCCCAGCGAATTCGAGACGCCGCCACGGCCAATTTCTTCATCTCACATTGTAACTTGCCTGCCCTCAACTTATCCAGATGCATAATAACCCCTGTGCATAGCCGCCGGTTTCATCGCCTATGAAAACACCACTGTCGTCCCTTCCCTTTTCCACTCCGCTCAAGGCAAAATTCTAGAACTCGGCCCCGGACCAGGCAACCAACTTCAACGCTTCGATCCATCCCTCGTAGAGTTCATATACGCCGTTGACCCCAACTCCAACTATGTGGATAACATTGCCGCAAAGGTCAAGAAGCTTGATCTCCAGGATAAGTACAAGCTTTTAGCGTGCGGTGTTGAAGATAGCGAGATTTTGAGAAGGGAGGGGATTACAGAGGGGAGTATGGATACTGTGCTGAGTATTCAGGTATTGTGTTCGGTGGGGGATGTGAAGACTGTGATGAGAGAGGTGTGGAAATTGTTAAAGCCAGGGGGCAGCTTTGTGTTCTGGGAGCATGAGAAAAACAAGGATACTGTTGCGGCTTTGGCGCAAGGTACGCATTGATTATCACATTACGGTTGTGCCTTGGAAGCTGCGTGGAGGGGCTAATATGAGAATAGGTTTTTGGAATCCTGCTTGGAGCGCACTCGTAGGGTGTTGTTTGAATCGGAATATCAAGGCCGAAATCCTTGCTGCTGGAGAGTGGGAGAACCCTGGTGATATACAGGTGGCCGATGAGCCGAATAGTTGCTTGCCTAGGATCTGGGGCGTGCTTAAGAAGAAGGCTTGACTGGGAAACAGTTTTTCTTCTGATTATCGCATGCAAAGCAGAGCTTATGTTACGATTTAAAGGGTCAATTCACTAGGAGGTACTAAGTAGGGGTGCCATAGTTGGCGTAAGATAGATGAAGGCATGTGCACGATTTAGAGAATGCGTTTGTGCAGGAAGAAATTGACACTGATTTCGCAAGTCGTTACATTAGAAACCTCGCTATCCTACCAGAGACTGTTTATAATATGGATGAGGCTGGTATTGTGCCAAGTATGCTAAACTCTGCCAGTAGCCTTGTTAGTAAGGCCGAAGCGCAATCCTATAGAGGCGGTCACTATGGTAACATGGAGTCTCAATGCCTATAGTTTTGCTCATCACAATGTGATCCTCGCCACATAGTGAGGGATATTACTGAATAAGAAAATATCCAAAGATTTACATCAAGGCGGTAGCGTAATTCGTACGATACGTATCAAAGAGGGATACCCATTGTCCCATAAAGGTCCGCCAACGCCATGCTCATGATGGGCCTAAAGGCACAAACTAACAAGAGTCCAGGCCGCGCCAAAACGCCAAGATGATCGTTGTGATGATGTCCCGTTGGAAACAAGGATGGTGTTCACTTGAAGTGGACTTCTATTCCATCCATATCCTCAATCTCGGAGTCTGCTACTATGTCCAAAGGCGAAAGCCGGTCGCCATCAAATGTAAGAGTAAGTGGCTGGTTTTTATCGATCTCGCGCTTGGATTTGTAGGCTTGTGCGATGTCGGCGAACGTGGTGTTCTGGGTACCGTGGTCAGTCAAGGCATCAGATGCCAGAATGGAGGGCAGGAGAGGACTGGAGGCAAATATGGAGCAAATGGGGTAATAAGTGACATACCGGGTTGACCGATAAGCGAAAGTCCTCCTTTCCCTTTGCTTTCAGGAAGAGACGAATTTTCGTCACTTGAGGCACGGGTTCTGGGGTCGGCTCCCTCTCCTCGGCCTCATGTGGCTGCTCCGTGGCTTTTTTCTTCGCTGCCGCATCTGCAGCATCCTCTTTCTTCCGCTGCCGGAAAAGCTCTTCAGTCCAAGCTTCGACAAATACCTTTGGCAGATTTACATCGTCATAGATGTTGGGGTCTCCTTTCACAGACACATTTCCATTCTGATCTACTTTCATGCCTAGCCGCTTTATTGTTGTGCTGTCATATATGCGCGTGTCCTTCCACGTGAAGAAGACATTCTTTGTCATGTCGGCGGAAAACCCTTGCCTCTCACACCATGCTTGTCGTAGCTTATCAATTGTGCTGTCTATACGAACCTTGACCAGCAGAGGATCTGCGTCTGGGATTTGGGGTTTGATGAAGAGCTGTGCAATTAGATCCTTGGACGGCTCGCCGTCTGCTGTTGGAGTCGTAGTGGATTGCGCTGTCTGTGCGGCTCGCTGTCGCGCCTTTGCTTGTAGTGCTGCAAGTGTGGGGTCAAGAATCTCCTCTACTTCGTCGTCTTCCACAGGAGGGCGCTTCGATAACAAAACAGGCATTTGCTTGCGATGCACATTCCAAGTTGCATAATCTAGGGTCAAATTGTTGTCGTTGAAGGCTTTGGGGTTGTAGGGCGCATCGTGCTCGTCGTCTAGGTCAATGACGACCGATTCCTTAGGGGTCTGGGTGTGGCTCGAGGATGCGGACTTGAGCAGCGAGTCGTAGCGCGCTGCGAGTGAGTCTGTCAGAGGACAGGATGGTACTGGTGAGTGTGGTGTTCTGCTGCGTCTATTTGTCTGTCAGCGCCAGTTGCATGTATGCCGTATGTACAGTGTATGCACACGCTTTGCTGCCCGTTCTTTTTCTCTTTCCAGACCCGCTCCCCGATACAATAGACTCCTCGCTCTCAAGCGAAACCTTCCGCCGCTTGCCCTGACGCTGTCCTGCCTGCTTGTGATGTCGTTCGCTCTCCGCCTTGCGCTCCACCTCTTCTCTATGCCTGTCTTGCTCGGCGACCATGTCTTTGAACTCGTTGGCGTGGCTGAACATGTCCTCCCCCTCTTTCTTCGCTGCATCCTGCCAAGCTGCGCGCTTGAAGAAGGAGCGCTTCTTTGGCGCCGGTACGTCCTGGGTGGTGTCTGCCATCTTGATCGCGACTACATCAAGGCGGGCTTTGCTTGAAGAATAGTGGGGTCAGCGATAGAGTTGGCGAGCAGTGAGGGAAGCTGGAATGGGTGGGGCTCAACGCGCAGTCACGCTTTTCGCGATGGGATATGTGGTCTGTGCGTTGATCGACTTTCACACTCATATCACCGAACAGCGACACCTACCTCGACACAACACGATACGATACTGTAGCCAGCGAAAATTTTCGACCATTGACAACTACAGCGAAGCCATGTAACCTTATACTACCCTCGTTCGATGCTAGAACTAATTCTTTGTTCACAGAATCATCAACCATACCAAGCTGCAATGTCCACCAACGGCGAGAGTCCAGCACCTGAGGCCGCGGGCGACTCGAGAGATCCCAGCGGCTTCCTCAGCGAAATCATCGGTGCTCCAGTCACCGTCAAGCTGAACTCTGGCATCATTTACAGGGGTATGTATCACGTGTAATCTCGACAGCTTAGTCTAATACGTAGACAGGCAATCTTCAGTCAGTCGACGGGTACATGAACATTGCCCTCGAACGGTGCAAGGAAGTATCAGATGGCCAAGTAACTCGCAACTGGGGGGATGCCTTCGTTCGCGGCAACAACGGTATGTTATGTATTGCTCCTGCATGCACTTTGCTAATTCACTGGGTAGTCACATACATTTGCGCAGACAACGCATGATTAGGTAGAACTACTTCATAAAATTGAGTAATGATTTATGATTTCCAGACTACTCGTAGTCAAGTGCCGATATAGCTTGAGTGAGTGTCATTGAAAAGCTTATCTACCATTCCCCAATCAATATACTGCTTCACCCATCCAGATATCTACGTCAGAGATCCTAAAGTTCGGCCTGTGGTGAATTCCACGAGAGAACCAAACTAGTCCAATGCTCTGTCTCCGACGCCATTACCATCCATCTCTCTCAACATCCTCTTATGCGAACAGCGTCCTGTTCCGACATATCCTGCATCTTTCACGTACCTTGTTCCCGTCGTGCCATTTCACTTCTTAGTTTCACTATGTCGGCTATTTACGCTGGAAGTCTGGTACTTTCCCTCGAAAGTGATTCACCCGTGCGTACGTAGCCCCGTCGCTGCGTACATTGACCGCTACCTTTCTTTCACTGCTAGCCATCCCCCATAACAACTTTCTGTGTATGACGACGTCTTAGTCCGCGACTTGAAGCCCGTGATCCCATTTTCACACGAGCAGGTCTTTCAGAGCTTACTACAATCACAGGTACCTTTCCTCGCAACCTCATAACCAGCTCTCCTCGAAGCTCTACTTCAGGTCAACTGCTTTCGTCAAAAAGGCTGCTCAACGACCACATCTAGTTCCAACATCACCCCGATACACCATGGCTATCCATACGTCAAGATCCCGTGTCAAGTTCCTACACACCAAACAAGGTGGCAAGAAGGAAAAGCAGCTGGTAGATGTTGCAAAGCGAAAGCAGGTAAAGGTCGCCGCGGACAACACGGCGGAAGGGACTGAGGGTCTACGGAAATCAACCAAAGCAAGTGAGCGGGTGAAAGCGTTTCCAGTCTTCGCTGAGAACGACTCAGATACCACCATTGAAGAGGTCACTGAAGATGTACCACCATTCTCGAAGCAACGGATTCCATCTACAGACGAAATCGCATGCAGTTCTCCGTTCAAGAGCGAGCTTCGCGCCGCGATTACGGGTTCATATGTCTCTGCTGTTGAAGACAATGCGACTAGTCCACCTCACCCTCCGATAGAACAAGACGCGACCGACTCTCCGACCGACTCACTCGTAATGCAAGCGCCGCTTTTTGAACCAACCGAGCAAGAACTTCAATCAGAGTCGCAGGTCCAGGCCCCTCAACCTATAGCTCGAGAGCGCAGCTCTCCATCTCCATCGATCTTACAGAAGATTTTCAATCTGTTCACTGGGCGTAAGAAGGCTCCAGAGGCCCAGGAGTATAAGAAGCACAGCAAGCCCAACCCTACATTCAGATGCACGGCGCAGGAACCAGTACTTGAACCCGACGAGCGAAAGACTACACCCGAGGAAAGTCGCCCTCCCCCTAGGCTCACACACGCGCAAACTATCCCTCCAGTCCGCGTTCCGGGAATAGAACATCTTTCCCACCGCCCAGGCTATACAGAGGTATTACCAGCACCCGAACACAGGTACACGGGCTTCGCTGCCGTGGCGCAAGATACATTCAAGCCTACAGTTGTCCAGCGAGGCTTTGAGGTGGGCCACGGATCACCACCGCAACCACTCCAAAATCGACGCAATAACTCTGCGGGCAATCTGTTAGATCGGAACGGTGATACGTGGTCTAACTGGCATTCGAAGAACCCTAGCCCGGAGAAGTCCCCTTTTGCTCGTACGCATTAAGTCGGGGAGGGTCTATACCAGCAGCCTGCATCAGTGAACAAGAGTAGGGCGGATGTGGAGGGAGTGAGCGCATCGAGAGTACGTCGCGAAATTCTTCTCCTGGTCTCGATGATGCTGGCCAACATCACAACATAACATAGTAATCATAGAGTTCCATGAATGCCCAGCCCCACGTGGGGCATGATGAGGGAGAGGGTAAAGGGTGGGAGCGTTCCGGAATGATATTAACATTATTGATTCCTACTTTATTCGAGCTTTGAGACTGTTCTATCTGTAGCCACTAACGCCTATAGAGGATTCCAGCTCCAAGTTGTATACCGTCTTATGCCTCTGTTTCAATTCCCGCTCCACTCCTCTCATGATGATGGAACAATCCGCCGACCTTGGCCTTTCCCCGATCACCCACATGCTTCATCCAGGCCAGAGTCCTTGGCCCTTTCCACTGCATAACACCTCTGTTCTTCCGATGCAGTTGCTTAGCAGAATCCTTGTACTCCTTCAGTTGATCTAGTGTTCCCCGCTTCCCATCCTCACTAAGATTCGACTCGCGCTTCTTATCCTTTTGGAGGAAGTCTGGTAGGAATTTGCTGTCATGATCGTCGTCTTCCGATTCTGATGCTGATGATGAACTGTCGTCATCATTGCTCTTGTTCGTGTCGATGCCGGGTTTCTCAGAGTCGGACTCGTCCCAGTCTGACCATTCCTGATCGTTACATACATCAAGAACTTCCATTACTTGGCGGAGGTTTTCGTCTTTCTTTGCGAGTTTATCATGGTAGCCTGATAGACCGGACCAAAATGTCAGTGTTACTTCGATGTCACCAACCTTCTCCCCATAAGAGTCGAGCATATTATTCTCTGCGCGCTTTAAGTCCCCTTTCCATATTGGTACTTGCAAAGTTTGTTCCTCGTTATCGGGGATATCCTTGAGCCAGAGGATGCCGAATGCGGGGGTGTGGTCTTTCAAGGTAGCGTCTTGCCTAAACTCGACAATCATTGGCGTAGAATAGCGTCCGCGCACTGGTAAACGTATGTTTTTATCACCCTTCGTTGTCCATATGGTTTGTCCATCTTCCTCGCTGACCCTCCCATTTCTCGCCCGTGAGTGTAGCTTCCCACGACTGAACTTGATGCGAATCTTCATCCTAAGGGGTTGAAGATCCTTTGGAACATCAATGGCTTTGACTTTTGATTTGATATCGAGGGTTCCGTAGTCCCAACCCAGCATGTTCCGTGGCACCTGGACTTGCACGCTCCGGAAAACTAGAGAAACACGAGCACGTCCATAGCCTACGCCACCCGAGAGCGGGAAGACGGTATTGATTTGACTTCGCTTATGGAACAGCCTCTCGAGCGGGAGGTAGACGATGCCGAGTAGCGGGTCATCCTCATGGACGCGGGCGTCGCGGACCGCAATATGGACTTCCGTATTGCGTACATCTCGGATGAAGCGTTCGCAGCCGGCATTGAAGAAGGGCTTGGAGTTCTTCGGCTTTGTGCGCGTCTTGAAGACCTTCTTATGGTTAAGAATAATGGTGCAGTAGGACGATGGGAGGTCATCGCCTTCTTCATCCTCGCTTGCTTCCTCGTTATCGGTTGCCTTGTTTTTGTTCAGCATTTCTAGTTCTAGGCCAGTGATCTGATGAATCTGAATGCTGAGGATACCAGAGGGATAATCCTCAGATGGCGGTGCAGCAATAATGAGGTCATCTTGGCGATGTTTGAAGTCATCAGCTTTTTGTTGCTCGACTTCAGCCTGGTGGTCGATGCTCGCCTCCCGAAGTTTATGCTCTGCTTCCGTATAGACTATCTTCTTCAGCTGGTCCATACTGTTTACATCCGGGTCCTCCTCTTGCGCCTTGAACTGATCGTCGGTGATTCTCGTCTTCGAAAAGTACCCAACACTCCAGCTCAGCTTGCCCGGCATACCATCGCCGGCTTTGAGAGCTTTGAACCCATCTTCTCTGTCGTGCATCTTGTTGTTAGTCTCTTCACTCTTCATCAATTCCTTGAGGTCCAGCTCAATTCGACCAAGGTCATCATCAGCAGTCGTGCGATCCGAATCCCAGAGCTGAACCCTGAGCCTCTCATCGACATTGAGCTCTGCAGGCGTGACGCAGACGAAGCAAGTTTCGTCCCAGTGTGGTTCCATATTGTCTTGCAACACGCGAGTAGACCAAACCGGCTTCCCGAACTTGGCCCAACCTACAGTTACATACGGATCTGAGGAGCCCTTCGAAAAGGGACCAAAGCCTGCATCGCCTTCTTTGAAATCGTAAGCGTACTTGATCCTAACGAGTATGATACCTTGAGCAATCGTATCCTTCTTGAAGTCGTCGCCCATCATCATGTCCTTGAGGTCCAACGTCAGGGACTTTGGTGCAACATACTCGGCCAGGGCAGCATCCATGGATGACTGGACGAAACTCGAGATAAGAGGTACGTCCATAAGGTTAGGCCCTTTCTTGATGAGTGGTACGCATGAGAGAGTGACCTTCGGTTGTCCTAAGAAGGACATGGTGCAGATCGAGAAGAAGGGGGGATCAGGGCAGAGCTGCAATCGAAGACGCATCACACCCACCATGCCCGTCAGTTCCACCCAAATAGCTGCAGCATGTTAGTAAAAGAACTTGCTGCGAATAATGGAGAACATACGTAGCTTGATCTTTCCTGGTAAGTAGAACGCGAGATAAAGGTGCGCATGCTTTGCGCGTGATTTCATGCCCCTTCCAGTGGAGGGCCGATATGCGAATGCGATTTCCACATTGACAAAATCACCTTCTTCAGCTTCCATAGTGTCGTGTCCCGGCTCTTCACTTTGACCTTCACCATCGTCTTGGACCTTTCGATCACCTTTTTCCTCGTGCGGAGACTTTAGCTTCCCATCAGAGCTCACCGACCTGGCGGCTGCGCCTGTAGGAAGCCATCGAACACCGAGAATGCGGAGCGCTTCACTACCTTGGCCGAGATCCTCGACGGCGACCATACGGACCATGCTGGGTAAAGAGGCTTGCATAACATCCTGAAAGTGTTAGCTGAGTACCATAATCCATTTTTATGAGAGGAGATCTAACTTCAAGTGTATCGGCAATACTAGTAAACAGATCAGGATTGATCAATGGCCACACCGAGGCGAACAGCGAGTTGAGCCATTGCGCACTCTCAGCTGTCTGGCTCTTCGCAAGCTTCTGACCGCGCTTCCTTTCTGCCTGCCAAACTTCAACATCCCAAACATTCTTAATCCTGTTCTCTGACCATTTTCGCATAAAAAGTATGATGGCCGCCGAGACACCTAGCATAGTACTGAGTTCAGCAACTTTGTACAGCTGCCTAGTCCAACCAGTTGAGTGGCGTGTCGCCCAAAAAAGAGTGTTTACTACCATCAAGCTCACAGCAACGACTCCCAGGCCCACTGTTACCGCATGCATGTACACGGTAGTAATCTCAGTTCGCGTCGCGTCAAATTCAGGAGGCGGGAAGAGGACTTCCATGGCTGTGTGCGAATCCCTCGAATGCTGTTCCTCGTTGCGTAGGTGCTCGTCACTCTTGTTGATAGCATCCATGCCCGTCATCGTGCTAGGTTCTGATCCCACTGGTGGGGGATTCTTCGCCGTATTCTTCAAATCCGTCTTGGTGAAGTCATGGATCTTGACGGGGAGATGGGTAACCGGATCTGTGACTTCCCGTTCTGTCCCATCTGCAGTGAACTTTTTCATCTCTTTCCGGGCCGTTTTGGGATCGGATGACTGCAGACCGTGCTCCGTGGTGTCTTCCATTCCATCCTGAGAGCCCTCGTCCTGCGGCGCAGGCTTCTCCTTTTTCGCGGGTTGTGTCCGCCCAGCATGATCATCTGCCTCGTCTTCGTCTTGCACTATGTTCTTGTTCGTGGCCATGTAAGGGCCATCTTGATTTGAGAATTCGCCAGTATCTCTGCCATGTTTAAAGACATCGTAGGCCTCGCTGAGGCGGGCCCGCTTGTCACCGTCGTCTGTCCCCTCGTCTGCGCCCTGGGCTGGTTGGCCATAGTCCTCCTGTCTCTTTTGCTTCTCTTCGCGATATCCCTTGATGGTCGGGATTGGGTTGTGGGCGTTGCGCGGTTTTTTGTACGACTTGCGCTGATTTTCTACATCGTCGACGCCCGACATGACGAATTGCGCGTGCGGAAGTCGGAATTATGGGGCTGAAAACGGGTCGAGTAGGTAAAGGTCGGTCGATCTGCTCAATGAACTGTTCGTCGCGTCGTTTCGTCGTCTCGTCGTAGCTCGTGAAAATCCCCGCTCATTGATGGTCAGAGTTAGAAAACCAAGGGAAGGGCAGAAACGAGGTGGGAGCGTGAAAACAGGACCCAAACGCCAAAAGGTAAGGGAATTACTTGTTGTCAAGGTCTACAATTGACGTATGTACAGGCGTGCGGGCGGGACAGGTTTCAAGAGGATTAAATCGGCAATTATTGCCCACTTGGCACTCAGCGCCGCATCCATTCGTGGCTTGTGAGCCGTAGTGCCGTTTTCTGAAGCTTACGCTCGTGCGAGATGACGTCGGATTGCCCGCTTTTGACGCGTTCGTACAGGCGATCAACACGAACTTGGCGTTGGTTTGCGGGGGATCCTGACGCTTACTTGGAGCCCCTCCAGTGGCGGTGGCGGTGGCACACCAGGAACAGCCCACGGTTCAACCTCCACCAGAAAACCTGTTGTATGCCATATTTATTGCTGATTGAACCGATGAGAGCGAATGCGACAGCCATTCTCTCGCATATCGTAGGCGCTGTCGGCTCGTTAGGCTGTTCACTCCTGAAGACCGTCTGGAATGAACATGCCATAACCAGATGCCTCGACGCACCCTTGGACACATCAAGGCATCTTCTATACCCCTTCACAACGTGTCATGTTATGCGATTTGAATGACTTTAGCCGCACAGCAAGAAGCCCAGCTCTTCTATAGAATCTGAAACATCTTCGGTATAACAAAGGTTTCTCCGTCATACCTTCTGTTCCCAACCAACTCCGGCCAGTGTCGACTAGACCTCAGCAAGCCCTCTTACTTCTAGCTGGCCAATTGACTACATTGTCTGCGCCCTTCATGTCATTCTGTTCGAACGCCGCGGACGCGCTACTCATCCATCATCCCCCGCCCTACCTAGTATCGGCATAAAATCTATCCCGAACCTGACAAACCCACCTCAAACAATCAGGCTTGCGCATACCCGCTCGAATTTACAAGAGGGATTTCTTTAGAAGCTTTAGAAGCTTAGTCGGTGTAAGATGCAACCTGTTCCAAGTCCGACAGGCATTTAGAATTGACCGGTGCTCGCTCATGGCTAAACGTCGGGCGTTGGGCGCCTGACTATGTAGTGTCTTCGGAATAATGTAGTTGCTGAGCAATACATCGTATCAGTAAGAAGATAAGTCCGAACTAGCACTATTGCCTAGCACGAGTCTTAGTGGCTTCATGAGGATGGTGGGTAGTTGGAGAGTTAGGAGTCACAATGTGATTCCGAGACCCAATGGGGAAAGAGATCGATGATGCGATGTGCCATGTTTGCTGCTAGGTCTTGCAATGCGAGAATATATAACATGGAGGAATGGCGCCTGTAGGGCATCAAAGCAAGACACTTCCATCAACCTGTCCAACGGCCTCAATATCCCATTATCGTAGCCTCCGTCGTTATCTACTCAAAAACCTCGCTACACCGATTCCCACAATGTCTACCTCGAACACCACCTCATCGCGTTTCTCAACGACTACCGCGCCCCCACCTTACACATCATCAGATGCCTACTCGGTAACATCGGGAAAATCCACCTCCAAGAGTCTTCTGAACAAGGTCTTCAACCGGAAATGTAGATAACACCCGTACCATTGGCCCCTGAATGCACATTGACACGCTATATAGCCTCAGAGACTTCATCGAGAACCAGCGACCGAACGAGAACGGATAAGGCGTACGAGGAGAAGGAAGTGTTACATGCTGCGCGCGCGACTTACTTTTCTACACTCTAGAGTCTTGGACTTAGAGAATATGTCAAGAATGTACGCGGGCGAGGGATAGGGTCGTGTATGATGAGAAGAGAGTGATAGCAGCATAGTCCATCGAGATGGCCGTGCTACCGATAGTGGAGAGGGCCGATATTCGACCAAATTATGACTGGAACTGGCGTTTGCGTTCGGAGCTTTCTCTCTCCTTTGGGATAGTTTGATATCGACGTCAAGTAATCCAACGGGTTTGCACACAGTCACTCTGTCGTTCCTGGATATTGCTCGTGATGTGTTATAGATAGCCTTCATGAGACATCCTTTCATGTGGTTCAGAAGAGATCCTGGATTCCTGTCAGTACGTGTCCCTCACATGTACATTGATAGAAAAGAATTACTGTGCTGTTCCAAGTAGCATCGTCCAACCAGTTTAAGAAGTCCGCTGCTTCCGTCGGAATTGGATCTAATCCATCGATCATCGGCATGTTGAAGAACCCCTGCCCAGACCCAGTCACCTCTTCTCCATTCTCCTGGACACCATTTGTAGGGGGTTCATAGTTGAGTACCTCGTCCAGTACTAGTGTTAGCATCTTGTTCAACTCGCTACAGAGCTTGTGATTTCCATCGCCGGGTACAATAATCCACTCAAGACAGGAAGTAAGCACGGAGAGGGTGCGGATAACATCGGCGCGCGAAATGGTGTCGGGAAGAGGTACCCCTTCGATCGTGCACCGTCTAAGCTCCAGGGCTAGAACGCCAGCAGCAGGGAAGCAGTAGAATAAAGTGACGGTGGGAAAGTGTCGTCTCGTTTCATAGACCCTATTGTTAGGCTTCGTAGAGACCAGAGTTGTGGAGAGCAAGTTCAGCGACACCTCCAGCAAAGCTGGGAGTGCTTGTTGTGTTTGTCGATGAAGAAGTCTCTGTGTCTGGAAATGTAGGTGCAGATAATCTAGATACGTGGTGATCAAGTGTAATGTCAAACCTGCGCCTAGGCCGATCCAGGCATCCTCTTCAGTGTACGTTTCGTATCGAAGGTGCCTAGGGAGAGTTGCCCACCACTGGATGCATTCCGTTGATATCGCTCTTCTGTCTTTTAGCAAGATCTAGGGAAGATCTGTAGATAATAACTTACTGTAAGTTGCCGACTAAATCGCTGTCCTTTTCTCCAGCAAGGCTTTGTTCTAATAGCCTCTCTTTGAAGACGGCGATCTGGCACCGTAGTCTGAGGAAGGAAGCTGGATGAAGTTGGCCTTCAACATTCCATCCTGTGCTGCCTATCTTCGATAGTTCTGCATTGAGGAAACTAGGGTCGTCAGAAGCAACAGCCCTATCACTGATATCGAGTAGCTGTCTACGATCGGAGTACCTCCAGTTCATCATAGGCGGGCGGCCGAAGAATACTGCGAGTGTTTTGTCCGAGCGGTATACTGCGGAATAGAGTCTCCTCCTCGCCTCACGGAGAAAGAGTGGTTCCCCGGTGGCGCCGCCTGAGAACTCGCCTTCGCAGTGCATGCCCGTCGCATATAGAGCGGAGACACTGTCGCCCATGCGTCGCCAGGTCCCATGATCTGGGAGTAGTCAGCATCTACATGATTGACGAGAATATATAAATACACGTACAATTATCTCCATAAAAATTGCTTATTACCATCATGTTAGCATAGACGAGCCATACCATGACTAAAATTAGAAGGTATCAAATTAGTTCATGTCTCGCATGCATCCCATGCCCGGGCATTACGTACTGTCATTAACTGCTCCGTGTGTTTGACATATGTTGATACATTCGTTAGTTGCATTAATTATATCCTCGATGAAGTCATCTTTCTCCAGCTTCCTCCCATCATCGAGTGTGAAGAGGGGATCGTGAGGCGAAGTGAACTGGGCGTTAGACACGGCGATAGCTAGAACTAGACCCAACGTCTCCCAGCGTAGGTTTCTCCCGGTGAAGAGAGTGTGGAACTCGGACGGAAGCATGGTCGAAGGGACTTTTAAAGGCCGTGCGGTATTTTTGATCATCTCTGCGTATAGGGGGTGTGCATCATTGCCAGCAGCGACGAGCTGTGCAAGATCCAGGCGAAGCCGAGGAAGAGCCGATAGAATGAGCGGCCCGATGAAAGCAGACGCTTTCTGATTTTCGAAGTACATGTTTAATGACTTCTCAAAGAAGACAAACGGTGTTAGAGTAGACACTATGGTGTAAGCCGCCCCAATTTGACAGTGACGGCTTCCCATGCTCCGACTCGATGCTGAGCGTGTCACGTTTACCCTTTCGGATGGTTGTTCATGCACCGTGTCCGGCAATGGGCGCTCTTCGGTGAAGACAGCTGCATAGCTAGTTGAACCCAAATAGAAGCTCCGGGCTGGATCTGAGCCTGTTTGTGTTGTTCTTGTTGCAGACTCGGGCGGCGTTGGCCACGAGTTAGGCACAGGAACAGTGCCAATGTCATCCCTAAGTGTTGGAGGACTAAGAGTCAGCGACGTCAACCGCCCATGACCACGTGATGAACGCGTATCAACAGGGCGACCGTCTGCTTTACGACGACGTGGCTCAGGCTTCTTGCGAGGAGTGCCAGCAGGCTTAGTCATCGGATTCGGGTGGTAGAAGCACTTTGGTGGGTGTCAATAGCAGAATGGCGGGCAAACGGCTGGTATGTGCTCACTTGTTCAGCGACACCGCGAGTCTGGCATTTTTGGCACGTCGGCGTCGCGTGGTCACACTTGATTTTCGATATTCGACATGGTTCGCATGATCTGGAACATGGTCAGCTTACGAATAACGACGTCTTGGAGGTCGCCACAGACCTTGGCTTTCCGTTTCTCCGCAGCATGTTGAAGTCTATCCGGAGTCTGAGAAAAGAGGCAATGGATGGGAGGACATGTGTCGCTGGTGTTGCCTATTGCTATCACCAAACCGCGGAGTCGTGACTCGCATCGTTGCTCCGGGGGTGGAGCTGATGGAGGTATCCAAAACTCCGAGCCAGCAGTGTGTCATTATGATTGGTTGGAGTGCGGGTCCGGAGTTCTCGGAGTAAGCGTCCTCAAAAGCGTCATGATAACAGCGCGGACAGGTTCCAACGTTGCCTATGGAGCATACATTGTCACTAGACAGATTCTTTTGCTGCTGCCTGGTACTTGCTGAGTCTTGTTCCTGTGTAGCTGACAAGCTTATGCCGAGGCTCTTGCAAGGCAGAACTGGAAGTTGCGGTCATGGAACACAGCCATCATCTCCGTACGCCTCTCACAAACCACCAGCACAATTATATTACACCAGCTTCTGACACGAAATATCACCGCCTCCATCTATGGCTGGAATCACGATTGTGGCCTTGAGCAGCTTCATCGATTGCCGCGCGACGCCCACTTCGTCGTCGTCGCGATTGGACCTTGCCCCCAGTATGCGCTGGCATTGGAGAAGCTTCTCTATTTAGCACTACGGGTGGTACACCATTCTCTGATACGGGCGCCTGCCGATGATTGAACACACTGTTGGGCAAACGATTGGTTTGAGCATTTCCACCAGCTACTGCCGCAGAGTGAGTTGTCGTCCTTTCCAACCGGTCAATGATGCAGCAGAGCCGCAATGAATTCTCGTAACCCTCCACCAGCAGCATGTGCGACTCGCCATTCGTTTCACAGAGACCGCCTTGATGAGGTTCGGCTTAGCGAGCGAGGCGCAGCACATTCTCGATGCCTGAGGCTCCCCTCGTCTCTTTAGCATGTCGCAGGACTTTGCGCCATCACCGAGTGGAAAACGCGACCAAAAAGCCAGAGTTGCTGCAACGAACCACCTGCGTCTTTGTTTCTCCATGTCAAACATTCGGGCATCTGCACCATCATCCTCCGCCGCGGTATGCGGTTTGGTGCGATCTTAATGCTGTGCATGTGTATGCAGCTATTGGTCTAGCTGCATGTGCCGGGGATCTGTTCACCGGTTCTCGCGGGGCAGAGTAAGATACGCTCGAATGCCCCCAAACTAATCGCCATTTGAACTCCCTACTTTCAGCCGCTCTGAGACAGACTTTTCTCGCGCGTCCATCCTCGAGTCGTGCTGGACGTTCCTCACTTTGGTCGGACCCTTCCGTGCGTTGTTTATTGTTCCCAATCTCCGTGGTCTGTCCTGGGGGATCCGAGCTGTACGAGCTGTTTGTCTTTGCGACCCCACGGCCACCAGCCCGTGAATCCAACGCTGGCGCATCATCCCGCAAGGATTTGACAAGCCGTCTGATGTGCACGGTCTAAGAAGTTCGATATCCTACCCGGCCGCCCCCAGCGGCCACTTGTGCATCATGTCCACGTTCTCCCAGCACTACCCGCAGTTCCAGGATCAACCACTATTCATCGACCCGCATACGTTTATTTTTGGGCAACATGATACGCAACGGTCAAAGACGCCTACGGATTCTCTGATCAATCATACTGGGCTGTCTCCCATACCCCTCACCACCACGCCGCCTTTGAGTCGAAATCCTTCGCAACCGCCAGAGCCATCTCGCAATCAACTGCCTGACCAGATGCTATGGGACAATGGTAGTCCCTCAAATTCTCCCACGTCTGTAAGGACACCAGACGGCGACTCTTTCGAAGTGGAGATGCTCGACTCTGAATCGATACGCAATTTCTATCACCAGAGCGGAAACACCATGTCTACCCAGAGCTCCCACAACGCCATACCGGCAGTGGATTCGAACATGTTCTTCACTGCTAATGGCACCATTAGCGATCAAGGTATGTTGGTCTGTCAGCTCTTTCTTCTTCGTGTTCACACAGACAGCACTACACGCAGCACTAAATGCTACAATGGCTTCCGACTCGCAGCAGTACCAACAACAATACCATACACAAGCCCAACAGCCATATCATATATCGGCGGGACAGCCCCAGAGTAGTGTGTATAATCAGAACTACACCACCCAACCGTCGCGCCATGATCCCTGGAACGGTCAAGGACCTTCCAGGTCTTCGATGGTCCCCCGATCAGGCCATGTTATCTTCGACCCGGTGACCGACCCCGTAAACTATTCGGAATTTCTGAACGACGTAGACACATGGACGATGAACTACACCGACCCATCATATTTAATCTCACCCAGCGAACCTACATTACCACCTCATGACAATCCTTTTTCCATGGCAGCACAAAGTCTCACCCATCGCCCGCATAATCACGTTCCTCGGGCACATATTCAAAGTCAGACCCCGGTAGAGATGCATTTCACTAGAGCATCGCCCCGTCCGGATCAGCAAAATTTTGTCAACTATGATGCATCCTCCACTCTATTTACAGACAATTACATCACTGGACACCAATATTCTCCAACATCACCAGCGTCATCATCAATCGGGCAATACCCACGAGAACCTTGTCAACCAGCCATCAGCCCTACTGCTGCCAGCCCTGGTAGCTCAGATGGCATGTTCTCATCTTATCAACATTCAGACTCTGGGGTGATGCTCGATCCATTCCCGGCACATCAGTTTAACAACATGCTACTACCCCAAGTCCCTTCCATGAAGGTAGATTTTCCGCCTACTGCACGTGTACCAGAAACGAGTTTTGAAGCTTCTCCGGAGCCTGAGTCGTCTCGATCAAGTGCGGCATCGAAAGCCTTGAAACAATCTGGAGGACGAGCACTTGGTACTCATTTGGAGCCCACGGTGGCGAAAGCGGCACATGATATGCGAAAGATTGTAGCCTGTTGGCACTGCGTCCTACAAAGAGACAAATGTGGACCCGGCGACATTTGCGAGCGGTGTCTGAAACGTTCTCAGCGCCCGAATGCTGATTGTGGCCTTGGATGCACGCGCATCAAGCTCATTGATCTATCATCGTACTTTCTTCCAGCCTTAGTGACGCAGATGCACGAGGACTCGAACCTGACACATTTCGTTACTCAACACATACACCAGTGGGGTAATGTGGAGTTAACGGTCTGGATGACTTGTGGTCAAAGCCACATGCCCAGAATCCCTGTCAAGGTGTACGAGTTTATCCCACGAGGAAATGCCTTGTTGGTGCAAATACAGTATGGAACTGATCCTATCACGCACGAAAGAGTCGCAGTGACCAAGCAAAGCCCAGCATTGGGAATGGTACACATCAACCACAATGAGGAGAAGAAATATGACAAGTACCTCTCAGACATCGTCGACAACCACCTTGATGCCTTCGGCGAGCTTTGCTGGAAGGAGGATGACAACGACTTTCAACAAAATTTGTTCAAGCTGATGACGAGGGTTAAACCAAAGGGCGATGATGAGGCGAAACTGCTGCGCGAAGTCTATCGTCTCATCGTTGTAACCTACATCATGTCACATACTCTTACCATTGCCGAAGAAACCAAGGTCGCCACGCTCTCACGGATGCATTCCTACGGCGGTCACAACTCTTATACCGACAAGTTCACATCCCCGCGCATGACCAACCGTCAACTCAAGTACTTCTTCTCTCGGCTTCAACGCTCGATCCAGGCCATCATCCTAAATAAGTTGCAGCAAATGTTCAAGTCATCTAAAGGCTGTGACAAGTGGCTTCCAGCGTTCGTTGCAGTATTGGGCATGTGCATGGCGCTCGAAGACCAGCAGAAGACGATCCATGTCGTCATGTCGACGAAGTCTGCAACCGATGGTATCGACCAACGAGATGCGCAAGGCCAAGCAGACATTGCGTGTCGGGAAATTGATGCAAGGATGCACTTTGTTCAGCAAATCTTCCGGTTAAAGTATAACCGCAAGTGTAACCCGTTGCGCAACGCGGAACTTGATTGGGATAAAGAGGTTGGGTTTGGTGACGCTTCAAGCGTCCACTTTGTGAGGCAGGTTGCGCAATTAGTCAAGGACAACAGTACGTCTTATATCTAAAATGATATATACATATGCTAACGATAATGATAGCCGACTTCCTGCAACAGCGCCAGCAAGTCAGTATTTCGCCTACCAACCAAACCAAGTACACGTCGCGTCTTGTGGGCCAGTTTCTACTTTCTTTCTGGCTTCCGAACGCATAGTTGCATTTTGTTACGACCCCTCCTATCATTCGTCCTTGAGTCCTTGTCCTGGCTGGACTCGGACACTTCCTCGCATCGCTGTTTTATCTTTCCTTCTCATTACGATCTCACGTCCTTCTCATGATCCTGCGCCTTTCGGTAGCGAGGAGCCTGGTGTATCAGGCGTGCGGATCCTGGGCCTTCATCACAAAATACGTTGGAAGACCTGCCGTGGAGACGGCAGGCCTAAACGAATTATGACTCTGCTACTTTCAAAGCGGTTCATCACACTACAGCCTTTCTTTTGGAAATGTGTTTATACCCTCTCTTTTCTTCTCATGGTTGTCTTATTCTAAATGTAGCGTATGGAAAGAGTAAGCAATGTATGTTTTTATGATAGCGAGTGTCTCGTTACGTAGAATGTCATCACTTTATTTGAGAAATTGCTTTAGCGAGATTTGTAAACTTGCGACGGCTCCCATTACGTCTAACAGGCCTTGGAACTACCTTCCCCCCATGCTCAATATTGACTTCTGCCACAAGCCCTCGTACCTTTTTGAAATGCATTAAGCCCATACCATCCGCTAGTTGCTGCGAGCCTTATGGACGAGGCGAACGCCACGATAAGTTTTAAAACAGGCAATCAAGAGAGGCTTTGATTATCAGCTGTTCATCAGCTTGGAAAAGCCTTTCTCGTTTTGTCCATGAACCCTATTTCTTTCGCTTGTACAGCGAGAAAAGCAATAGCGCCAAGGTGGAGCCCTGACCGGTCAAGTTGGGCACACTTGCGGCACATCACCCCACTTCACTATGAAAAGCGCCTTAGCTAGCCTGCAATGCGATGCACTGATACCTTAATTTTACCGGATGAGCCCGCATCAAAGATTCTGTAAGGTGGAGTGAATTCGTCGAGTAAACACAATACACTGTAGTATGGGCACCTGGGCTTTATGGCATGCCACAATGAGGTAACACGAGGACTTCACTCCCATAGAAAGTTATTCTTTGAACTCAGACAGCAGATTCAAATGTTGAAATTGTGTTGATATAAGGGACCTAGGTACGAGAGAGAAAAACGGCCAAACTCCACCCATGCACGCTTTGACACTCAATCATCCAGGTGTCTATGGTCCGTTTTTCACTTATTAGAGCACGCTACATCAGCATCCATACACGGTCGTATCATGAGATCGTGGGTTGGTGTTATGGTTCGTGGAAGAACCTCGTCGACTTCAGCTAATTGCTCGTCTTTAGAGACTTTGAAGAAGGTGCCTCACTAGCACTATGAAGAAGTGTGGATCTTGGCAAGTTTGGCGAGGGCGCTTAGGAGACCTTTACTGCGTGTGAGCTGGTTGTTGATAACATGTGATAAGTGGAAAACTCACCAGTTGTGCCGTTGGTAAGAGTAGACAGCGCAACAGAGTTACGATCACCAACAGTAACTGTCTGAACGTTCGTCACGGTGCCCTTATCCTTCAATTGTTTAGCCCAACGAAATACGCCCTCGTCACTACGATCGTTACCGGCAACGAAAAGGAAATCCGGACGAGCCGACTCAGGATATCTGCTAAAGATGTGTTGTGCCGCGGTGCCCTTGTCAAAGTCGACTGGTTCGATAATGACCGAGTCTTTGGAAGGGATAGCTTTCACGCGCTGCTGCTCACAAGCATCATTAATGTGGTTGGCGCAGTCGCCGGCGTGGCGGCTCGATGACTCGTTGTCGTGGGTCCTCTCGTAGTGGAATATCAGGGAGCAATGGCGCTCTTCGACCCAGCTACCCTCCACGCGCTCGACGTAGTACTGAAGGATTGGCTTGACGGACTCCTTCCACTTGACCGTCTTCTCTTCATCTGGAAATTGGGTCCAATCGTCCGAGTAACCTTCACGGTAGAAGCATCCATTTTCAGCGATAAGACCAAGACCACGTATGCGGTCGAAGACTAGCTCTGTGCCTTGGACAGTAAGACCGCTCATAACATACACGGCATTCTTCTCGTCAGCAACAAGATCGTTGAGGACATCAACCACGCGCTCGGTATTGGTAAGGATCGTATTGCTAACCGATCCAAATGCTGCAAGGGTGCCTTCGTAATCGAGGATGAACAGACGCTTCCCAGAATTTTCGTAGGCGCGAGCTAGGTTATTAGAAGAAAGTCTGGGTATTGACATGGTGTCGCGCTTGAACTGTTCTTCATGTACCTTGGCAAGATGGTTGCTCAGGTTGCTCACCCAGAAGTCACCAGTATGATGCATCACCATATTGCGCAGCTTTGCGTATCGTCGCTCCTTCTCTTCATCAGTCATTTCCAACGCGATCCTGAAAGCTTCGGCGATGTTGTTATAATCCCACGGGTTTACAGCTAGGTCAGCACCCTCGAAGATAGAAGCGCTGCCGGTGAACTCGCTCAGGATGACAGGGCTATGCTTCTTGGTGCTCGCTCTACCATCTTGGCAGATAACAAACTCGTGGCAAGTGAGATTCATGCCCTCGCGGAGGCTCGTAATCGCAAGGGCGTCGGCAATGGAGAGTAGGGCAAGGTATTGTGAAAACGCAATGTCCTGTCTTAGGAAGACGAGTGGATTATGCGTCAAGGTCGAGTGAACCGCGTCGATACGTGTGACAATCTCGGAGACGGTCGCAGCCAGCTCTGTGTCTTCAGTCGTTGATGTGGCAACCTGGATCAAGACGACCTTGTCTTTCCACTGTGGGTTCTTGTTAAGGAATAGCTCGAAGGCCAGAAGTTTCTGTCGTACACCGCGGATACTATCGAGCTTGTCACGAGCGACAATGACCTTCTTACCCTCATATCGCTTCTGCATGGTCTGGATCCACTCGAGAACTTCGGGTTCTTCTCGCGCAAGAGCAAGTGCTCGAGGGTCGATACCAATAGGAGATGACCAAACATTGACGAAACGGTTCTCGAGTTGTACCCCGTCTTCGGTGGCCTCTACTGAAAGAATGCGACTGCAGGTCTGTAGGAAGTGGTGCGCGTACTCTGGGGTCTGGAAAGCAACAAGATTCGATCCGAGCATGCCGTCCAATAGCTCTTTGCGAGCTGCCAGGCAACGAAATACCTCAGATGAGGGGAAAGCCGTGTGGAGGAAAAAGCCAATTTGGGCATCTGGGAGTTTCTGGCGGATCATCTGAGGGACTAGACATAGGTGATAGTCGTGAATCCAGATTATATCGCCGCGCTTGTAGCCCTTGACGACCTTGTCCGCAAACGCCTGGTTGACCTTGACATAGAACACCCAAGAATGATCCAGGAAAGCCTTGCTCTTGGGGTGGTCAGGAATGATGTAGTGGAACACGGGCCATAGAATGGTCTTGCAGTAGTGCGCATAGTGGCCGTCAAAGTCCTTGTCGCTGACGAAGACAGTGAGGGCTTCATGCTCCTCCTCGAGCTTCTCATATATCTCGTTTTTCTTCTCTTCGTTTAAGCTGTCTGTGGGAAAGCCAATCAAACCGACGGTTAGGACATCCTTAATGCTCTTGTTATCGATTGCCGCACGGACAGCGTTGGAGAGCCCACCGTTGCCCTGAACGGCAGGGACGACGGTGTACTCTGTCGCCCATCGGGGATCTGTCGTTGGTTTTCCTGTCTGAGGGGCCTTCATCCGCTCCTTCTGAGCTTGCGCCCGCTCTTGTGCTTTCGCATACTCGAGTATTGTGTCGGGTGGGGTGGGTTCGGCCCTCGATTGTGGCTGGTTGAAAAAGAGCCCGCTGGCACCCCAGTCCGGAACATGGGCATCGCTACGGACCAAGCCTCGAGGGTCTGCTGGTTTGGGAAAGTGTGTGGCGGCGCTGGGCTGCCCGGGTGTGAAAATATCCTCAAGTTCCAACATCCTCATGGGCGTCTTGGGTAATTGAATGTGCGAAGGCGGCGCCCGCTTGAGAAGGCTGACCGGCTGCTCGTCATGCTTGCTGCGTATACTGCTACTGACGGAGGGTTTTCGGTCGAGATCAGCGAGCTTGGGGGGAGCGGGGCGCTGTGGACTGGTCTGGTTGGACTTTGACTCGTGAAAGTCGACCGTGTACGGAAGGAATCTGGACCGTTAGTTGAGCTGAACAAACAACGACCTTGACGACACGCCATTCACAGGTTATCTGTGCGGACGCAAACAAGAAAGAGGTCTCTTACAGGGAAACGACGTGGGTAGTCATGTTGGGCAACGGTTTGGCGTCCGCGCCGGTCAGAAAAAAGTCGGTTGTCTACTGATGCTATAAAAATACAGGTTGAGTACAGACGAGGGGCCGGGTCGAGGCAAACGGCTCGCGGGGAGCTGAGGTGATGTGATTTAGGAGCGGTGGGTGTTGTAAAGTTCCCGTAAGATGGATGGAGATGGAGGGGGCTTGTTGGGGTCGACCGCTTGGCAGGCTGCTTCTCGAAGCTCGAACAAGTTAATTTCGCAGGTCAAGTACACGGGGACGTGCTTGGGCTGAGCAAGAGAATGCTTTCTTGGTTCTTGAACAAGGCGTCCGGCGTGAGGCAAGGGGCAACATGATGTTTTTCCAACTTCTTCGCTTGCAAGATTTCCCCCGCGGTCTGACGGGTATGACGTACTAGGTACGCGAAGCCCGTTTCCATAACATCCATCTTCTTAACGTCAATGTGCCGCTCTACAACACGCCTCACCATGGATTGGGTCGTATCCGCTCATAATTCACCTGTACATGGATCTTCCAAGATTATAGCACCTTGGGCAGCATCCAAGTTGCCGGTAGTCCCTCGTTGCAGGGTCGCACGCCAATCATAACGCCCACGGCCGTAGGACTACGACTGCGTTCGCGAACACGCCGTGCCAATCCGGAGCCATTCATCCGTCCTCGACTTGGGCATGCATGCTGCTAACCTATTTCACATGCGAGGCTTGTCCAGATGAGGGGCGCTCTTCGGCATATGCCACCATGATGGCATTCCGGGAAAAGTCCATGTTCTGTGAAGAGTTCCATGTTCACCTACATGGAGGAACGGCCTTTTCTGACATTCTTCTACTGTACTGGGTCTCGCTACATGCTGAGGATCCCACCAATCTTCCATGTAGACAGTTCAAAGGAAACGCTCAAGTGAGAGCTCAGCACGTCACTTCGTCCATAGAGTTGATGGAGCCAGCCGGAACTCGCGTCAGGCCACAGCAACAGCTTTGACAGTATCCCAGCCCTAAGAGCCGACCGTCAGGTTGCCTCCGGTAGGGCAGACTGTTCTCCACAAACGGCGTCGTGAGAGCATTTCGCGACACGAGGGGGCATTAGGCGGTGTTATTCGGCCCGTTCAAGGCGAATTGAATGCTCCAGAGACACACGCATTCCTCCTTACATCCTCTTGAAAGATGACTTCAGATGCTCCTCATCGTTCGGTCAGCGGGGAAGGAGAGGCGGTAGCAAAGTAGCCCCGCATGGTCGATGTGAAGCTTGTTGTTTGCTCTATATGGGCGATCAACGAGAGGCCTTGAAGCAGAAACATAGGAAGCGCAGACGCGAGCTATTAATGTCTCAGCACCAGCGTCTCTACATCGGGAGATTAGGCGAGCATACATTCCACGTCTTACTGTAGCATCCATGCTTTCATCTCAGCGCTCGCCTCTTACGGACTACTACGAACGCAAGAACCGCCCACGTATGACAACATTAGCTCAATCTCTCTACTTACTCAAAAGCCATCTTCAATCGGCCCTACTGCCTGGTTGGAAGTGTATAAGAGCCGTAGCCTGATTCCAAAATAACGATGGTTGTGATGGTCTCAGCGGGTGGTTCCCGAATACCCCCGGACAGACACCCATACCACTTTTCCAACAGAGGAGAAGGCTTCCGCGTCGATATCAGTGGTCACGGTCCGCCAATAACATCCGAGGCACAAGCGCACCTGAGGCCTTGCACAGCATCTCACATTCGTTGTCGCACTCGTCGGCGAGCGCACCGCCTTACATCGACTGGCTACCTCCAACATATAACCATCGCGTCTACACCGTTTACCGTGTCGTTTACCGCGTCTACTCACTGGCTATCAAAATTGTAAGGACACTCCCAACGATAGGGTTCGTCAGCGAACCGCGCCAACCGCAGTTACCAGCCTTGCACTACACTGCCGGTGTCGCACAACCTTCCAGCAATGACACCTCCTAATATCCCCTTTTTCTATCGCCTCTGGCACCTCTATCTCGAACCCTTCGCCGCCCTCGGCGGTGTATACCACCTGCACGTTGTCCCGCGCGAATACATCTCCTTCATGCCGTCCACCTCCCAGTATCACCCAACAAGTCAGATCGTTTACGACCAGCTGGCGTCAACATACTTCCTCTTCGCGTTTATCGAGGGCATCCTCCTCCGCGTCGTTGATGATCTGAGGGTGTGGTGGTGGATAGTATTTGGCCTAGCACTTTGCGATGCAGGACACATATATGCAGCGTGGTCTGAGATGGGTACGGAGCTTATTCTGAGCCCGTGGTTGTGGTCGCAGAAGGATGTTGTAACAAACGTACTCAATGTCCTGCCTTTCGTTACGAGGGCTGCGTTCCTGCTTGGCTTGGGTGTCAAGAGTAACGCCAAGGGCACGAAGCAGGCTTGAACCGCGAAGTTTTTGATTTTAATGCCATACATTGATTGTATGGAGGAGTCTTGGGATTGGGATATACCCTCGTTTGTTACCGTAGCGTGTCGTAGCCTTTCATAGTGCTGAACTGTCTGGTGAAAATGTTTACTATCTCCTCCTCTTCATTTCACTCAAGTTGACGTGGTGCACATATATTTGCGTATATCCTCCCATCGACCCATCCGTTTGAATAGCGCATTTCAATCCTCCACCTTCTAAAACCATGTATTCCGGATCGTAACCCATGTGGATTCCTGAGCTCCAGGCTCCGTCGAACAAAAACTTTCGCACCACTTCCTCGTTCGCCCCCTGCAGACTCTGATATGTTCCTGTAATCTTGTGCGCATTGTCCATATATGTACTCTGTATATCCTCGATGACGTGGTATATAGTGTCGTCATTAGGCTGTTGAAAGGCCATGCAACGGTCGAGGGCATCGCGTAGCGCCGGCGGATACGTATTGACGTCACCGGGGATAGGGTCCTGAGTTTGTGCATAAGGCGGTGTAGGAGCATAAGGGTAGGGTTGATGGGCCGGTTCGTCGGGAGGTAGCGTGTGCGGCCAGGGCCCGACGTTGACCTGAGGCACAGGGCTGATTTGCCTTTGGCCATTCCTCTGATGTCCAAGTAGAAATTCGCGATGCTCGTCTAGTTGTGCTCTTAATGCTTCGCTCGTACGCTGGAAGAGCTTTTCTTGCACGCCTGGCCCCAAGTTCCGAGAGTATGATCGCAGGTCTGCGCTGCAGTCGAGTTTCAGAAGGCTTTGCTGGCGATCGAAGCTATGCGGTCTTACAATAGAGGTAGTGGCCATCGTTAATAGATTGTAGAGTGGCCAGACGACGGAGTGGTGCTTGTCATTAGGAAGTCGGGGAGGATGGCCATGACGCGGGTTTGTTAGTGCAGGTTTTCGATCGTCACGTCACCACGTGATGGCGTGTAACTCGTCGAATCGCTAACAACATCGAGGCGATGCTATTGATAGATATGAATTTATGGAGCACATAGCTGATGACATCTGACCAAATTATCAAGGATGGAGCGGTGTTTTGAGTTGTTTCCATTGAAAAGGAGTATCGTCCCTATCGATGCTGACGTGTATTCATGCGATCTACCTGTATGAACTCTCCCTCTGGTGTTTATGACACGTTGTCATCAGATAGATATCCCTAAACACCTTCATGGAGGTGTTCTAGCAATCCCGTCGCGGGGCTCTCGAGTAGACTGCTCCCAAACTCCTAAGCGCCCACAGCCGCCCACCAGCAACGCCGTAAAGCAAGGAAAGAAGAAAAAGCACTACCAGGACTCTGTGACCACCAGACCATATCACGCTAGCATGAGATGTGATGGCACATTGTTGTAAAGCATCTTGTTGTACACATCGCAATTCAGCGAAAGAGTGATTCAGCCAACAAACGATCCATTGTTGACGCACCAACAAGCATGGAGTGACCAAATCGAGGGCTGAGAATCGAAGAATTTAGACCAGTCTGCTGCTGCTAGACCTTACACGCGAAAGGTTTGCGACACATTCGAAGGCGACATCGCGATCCCGCTTGAGACGCTCATATCGATCGAGGAGGTCAGGGAAGGTCGCTAAGGCTTGCTGACACGGGAGCGGGATGTCGATAACCAGTTTCTCCGAGTCGTCGACGCGCTCGCAGGTGACTCGAATCATGGCCTCCATGCCGTTCAAGGCCTTTTCGCATATGTTGCGCGACCAAACAAGGTCAACAAGGCCGTCGGGGGACTTTAGGTTCTGCGTGTAAGGATTGATCAGTACCGGCCACTCATAGTTGAAGTAAGAAGGGGGCGCTGAAGCTGATAAAGCTGCTGAAGCTGATGAAGCTGCTGGAGTGTCTACAGGCTTGCCACCTTGTGTCTTTCCCAGGTTGTAGTACGTCGTCCATGCCTCTTCGAACTCCTTGGCAAACGGGTTGGATGGGATTCGATCAGCAGTAACGTGGTGGGCCTGCTGACCATGACGGAAAGCAAGCTCCTGAACTGTCAGAGCCTCAGGAATAGCAGTCAACGAGGATTCCTTGGGAGTCCACGCTGGGTTGAGCATCGTAGGCGTGGGGGGAGAGCTGAGCGACGGGTTTCCAGAGGAGCCGCGCGAGTGCTGAGAGGCTTGACTTGGGAGCGAATCGCGACGCTGCATCGCCTGTGCTCCACGAAGACCATCTGGGGCCTGGACTTGGCTGAGCCTGCGATTAGTCAATTTCTGATGAGCACCGTAGGCCTGTCCTTGAGCGGCCTGTATACGGAGATCACCTGGAGAGGTGGGAGACGACGATATGAGGCTCTCGTTGACGGGCACATGGTGGACGTCCTGCGGAGAATCTTCCGGAACAGTCTATATTCTAGTCAGTAAGGTGGACTGTCAAGATCAAAATCAAGGACGCATAAAACCATGCAGACTCACCTTGCTTGTTGACATAACGGCACGTTTAGTCATGGTTGAACAGGGTGATCGTGGCGCTGAAGGCGAGATGGTAGAATAAAATGCGTGTCGAGACGGTTTGTCGATTGTCGGCGGAAGGAGGTGGTGTGAAGGTGGAGACGAGGAGGGTAATTTGTAGTTGTAATCAATCCAAGGTCACTTGTACATAAACAAGGTGACTGCGAGTACGTAAACATGGTGAAGTCTAGTACATAAACCAGGTGACGTCCAGTACATAAACAGAGCGACTGCCTCCTCTGCTCTGATAAGGCCATATTTGAAGGCCATAGTGGGTCGTACCTTCCATTTTAGCCGTACCCATGGGATGAAAGGAACCTTAGAGTCTAGGAAGGTAAAGCAATAAGATTGCGAAAACAACAATTGACATCTTGAGAAAGGTCGCTAGCAGAAAGAGGCCATATGAAGGTGAAACAAAACGTTGCAAATGTATTGCATATTTGAAGGCCGACAAGGAAACTACTTGGCAGCTACAGAGAAGAACGCAGTAGAACTTGACACTAGTGCCAAATATAGGATGTGAAATTTCCTCTCTCTTAACATAAAGGTTGCTGTTGGACGTTACTTCAGAACAGAGACAACCGCAAAGCTTCGCAGATGGAAATAATGAAGATTTGAGCAGATGCTGTGATAAGACGGCTAGCAAAACATGACGGGGACATTACCCAAAGCGAATTGAAGCGACATGAGAAAGAAAGACCATAATAGATAGTAGGAGTAGGCATATACTGCCTTGTATTAGCGATAGGTTCAAGGCGACGCTTACTACAGGTGAATGTAGGCCTGTAGCTCGAGTGGTTCGATACAACACCACGTGAAGGCAGTCGAATCGAGTATTGCTGGACCGAAAGTACGTTGGCGATAGCCCAAAACTGGCAATTTCCGCCATACAAGACTAAGTATCTCGACCGACTATTTTGCGCAGGTCGTCACGCGAGCTCCTAAAGGCTCACAGGCTCCTGCCGAGAATACAGAATATGTGGGGACGGCTGGTTATCCGAGGGCATCCATCATCTCTCAGGATTATTTTCTGGTCGTGCAATAGTAACGAGCCTGTATCATAATGAGCCTTGGAATATTCGCGCAAGCCAAATGAGATTTAGAGCTAGAGTGTTGACGTTGTCAGCGATGATGTCGTAGCGTCGTCGGAATGGACGGGCTGGAGAAGCCGGGATCGTCCGAATCACTCGCTGATTTCACGCTGCGTGTGATTGGCGCGCTCGGTCGCACTTGCCACCAGATTCAAGCTCCCTCGGTAATAGACTTCGATGAACGCAACACTTTGAACCTCTACGGCATCCCGCACTCTCCACTCCACACACTCCGCAATGGCTTGCACACGCGCTTTCAGTCGTCTGGCTACGAGGCGGACAGGTACGCACACCTTTCTGCATCACCTTGAACCCAATTGAGCTCTGCTGACAATCCGCAACAGCCGTACGGCCCGCCGTCTTCTTCTCTCGTGGCTTCGCCTCCGTGAACGACGTCCACGCTCGCGAGCCCATCTCCAAGGTCGCCGAAAAGATCGTGCCCGCCCCTGCTACATCAACTATTCCAGAGAGCAAGACCTCGACCATCAAAGAGCCCGAACCTACCAAGGATGCAAGGAACAAAACGTTCCACATCTACCGCTGGAGTCCAGATGAGCCGTCCTCGAAGCCTAGAATGCAATCTTATACCCTCGATTTGAACAAGACTGGGCCCATGATGCTGGATGCGCTCATCAGGATCAAAAATGAAATTGACCCGACTTTGACATTTAGACGGAGTTGTCGCGAGGGAATTTGCGGAAGCTGTGCCATGAACATCGACGGTGTAAACACCCTGGCTTGCTTATGTATGTGGCCCTCGTATGTGGGGATTAGGACTTGGAAGCTAACAAACTGGAACAGGCCGTATTCCCACAGAGACAGCCAAGGAATCGCGCATCTATCCTCTCCCCCACATGTACATTGTCAAAGACCTCGTTCCCGACATGACGCTCTTCTACAAGCAATACCGCTCCGTTAAGCCCTACCTTCAGCGCGACACACCCGCGCCTGACGTATGTATCTCTCGCCCATGCTCCCACCTGCAGCAATCTAACTATTCCCCAGGGCCGTGAATACCGCCAATCCAAGGAAGATCGCAAGAAGCTCGACGGTCTTTACGAATGCATTCTCTGCGCCTGCTGCTCGACTTCCTGTCCATCATACTGGTGGAACCAGGAAGAATACCTCGGTCCTGCTGTTCTCCTCCAGTCATACCGCTGGATCGCCGATTCGCGAGACGAAAGGCGGGCCGAGCGCCAGGATGCTTTGAACAACAGCATGAGCCTGTACCGATGCCATACTATTCTCAATTGCTCAAGGACATGCCCGAAGGGCCTGAATCCAGCGCTAGCTATTGCAGAGATCAAGAAGGGCATGGCGTTTGCGTAAAGCAATAGGAAAATTTAAAGGAGCGAGAGGTGGAGGCTGATACCAGGTTAGCATTCAATGTATGTACATGTGACTGCGATTGATAGCTATTTTTCACTTAGTTAGGATTGTACTTTTTTGAAGATGTGTACGCGAATAAATAAAGCGAATCTTTACATGTTACTTCCAACATCTGCAATGTGTATCAAATGCAATCCAACATAAGTTGCAGGTTCCTTCCAAGGCATTGCTGTGTAGTGTTTTCATCCTGACACTTAAGAAACAACTGCAAACCAAAGCAGAGGCATCAAATAAAGCATGAAACAACTCTTACAAACGTGCACCAACAATGATGAACCTACGTCCAACACCCAACATCCTAATCTCTGTTCAGGAACCATCCCCCCTTGTGTCACTCTTCCGACTTCCTAAAATTTGCCTTCACCCTCACAGTGTCAGAAACACCAAGGAGAATCAGTAACTAACGTTGATTGATTGATTGGATGCACCAAAAAATTGATGGATTTCCAGGTTTCATATCCTATACCCATGTAACAAGAGTAAAAAAGAGCAAGATATAGTATTCCAAGACATTGGGAAAAGCCAAGACAACAAATACTTCCAGATCCCGGATTCGGAAAACATGCCAAACATGGGAAGGAGAAATCCAACATTACGTTTACAAAAATCAGATACAGGAAGGCCGTTTTCGTTACTTGATTATTTCTTAGATGTGGTTGAAGTGTAAGGGGAAGAAACAGGAGATACCAGGAGATACTGTATGTACGCCAACAGTGTTCACGTACAGAAACAGGTTGAAGTTGACGGCTGCTGCCCACTAAATCAAGCCGAGGCACTCGAGGACATGGATTCTCCATGAAATGGTAGGTAGCTCGGTAGTATACTGGCAGTCCCATGATCAAGATGAGAAACTCCCCGTCATCCACGGGGTAGGCGGCTGACCGAGTTGAGAAGAAGGCGGTCTACTCATCGGCGGAGAGGATACATTGCTCGTGCTAATACTCCACTGAGCATGAGGTCCGCTAAGATTCGAAGACGAGTCACCCCTAGACGAAGATCCGCATGGCAGCGACTCGCGCCGTGTGCCATGCTCGAGTCTTTCCTGCTGTCTCCGAACAGAACTCTCGGCGCGTTGGCGGGATAGGCTCGCGAATGCGTCGTGCGGGTTGCGCCGATACTCGTAGATGGGCCCGATCCAGAAATGAAGCCATGTGTTGTCAGCACGGTGGCCGCAGACGCATACGACGTTGGCGAATGTCATGTTCGATACTCGTTCGTTGGCGGCGGTGTCGACGGTGATCTGCACGCCTCGCGCTCGATGGGTTAAACCGCAGTTCGAACATATCTGACCGTAGGAGATTGGACCGGATACTTCGTGGTATTCGTAGGGTAAGACGGTGTCTCCTTCCATACGCGTCAAGACGGTCGTACTTTCGCAACGATGGCAGAGAATGTGCTCGCAGGTATTGCACCTCAAGCGTTTGAAAGGGTGTTCTCCCTTCCAGTGGATGAGTTCCTGCTCATGCCCTCGGCAGCACTTCCACAAGCCATCACCGTCAATCTTGTCGAGAAGATGGTGGAGATAGTCGCGGCTCGTCTCCGTATAGTCAATATATTCATAGTCCCCCTCGATCGAGAACCGTGGCGGAGGATGGGCACGATCTGCTGCGTCTAGCTTCCGTGCGAGGCTCTTCTCTGCGTTCTTGTTGATCTTCAAAGCCTTGCGGGCAAAGGCAGTCACTGGACGAAAGATCGAAGGCATCGTGGTAGGTTATGAACTAGAGATTGTCGTGGCGGTGGTGGCTATCGGTCCCACAAAGTGTGTGCGTGATTGTTTGTGATCAACTACTAGTAAAGTACGTGGTTACGTTCTCGATGGGCCTTCGTGTTCCAGCCTCGTGAGAGACTTCGAGGCATTGCGAACAGGTGAGGACTAGCAATTTCTTAACACTACGATCTAACACCGGCCAGTGAGAACATACCGAGATTCACAGCGTCGTCGTATGTACAACAACGATAGGACAGGTCCAGTTCAGTGATTGTATAGGAGCGATAGAGACGGCCACTGAGGTCAGGATAAGGTACCAGCGGGGTGCGCAAGTGCGAGGTACGGCACACGACACTACAGCTCGTTGGTGCGTAACTGGAGACTTGTTTTGACCAACTATTTTTAGAAGCCACTCAGCACTGCGTTATTATACCGGTTTGAAGATTTCCATGGTAGGGTGAGGAAATCAATATTTTGGTCTGTTTCGGAAACGATGGTACACTATCTGCTGCTTGGTAGCACAACGTCATCAGAAGTCCCTTTAGGCACCTTACCATTCTTACAAAACATGCGAAACTACTTAGAAGTACTTGTCTTAGCATGCTCAAGGTCGTCGAGGAAGCAAACTCTCGGTACACATGAAACGGCGCCGAGAAATTCCAATTTGGGTACAATCAGCTAATCATAATTAATGAAGCGGCATAAGGATGCCAACGGGACCATGATCTTAGGCGCAAGGGTTCAGAAGCCGGCTGGTAATGCCAATGTCTTGTGGCTGGAGTAGAGTGGTTCGAGGGCGGAAGACGGGTTGGCAACTTGGAGGAGTACATGAGTGATCATACGTAGTGAAAGGCCTCGCCTCCGCCATTGAGGTTCCGATAGTTTCTAAAGCTTTCAGAGCCGAAGTCGCGACTATAGTCATCATGTCCGGGTAGTTCTGGGTAGAAAAGCACACAGCGGTCGCCGGGTACGCTAATGTTGAATGTCTCCGACCGCCGACGGAATTACTGCAGCTTTACGGCAATGGCCCAATTTGCCCAGTTAATAATGTAGAGTCGTCGCTGTAAGAGTGATGTCAGTGAAGAGCACTTGGAATGGATTTCAATGTGTAGGTTCAGAAGGTACGCTAATCGATCGCGAGAACGCGCATGGGCTGACAAACCATCTTGGCACCCAGTGTCGTAACCGTCGTGCTAATGGTATGTGGATAATTGGCGGGAAGTTCGGAGCTCAGAAAGCTGACGCGCAGTCACGCAGCCTTACCATCGAGGCTACGGGAGATTACCGAAGGCCAGCGAATGCGACATCGCAGAGCTATGCGACAAAAGCACAACTTTTGCGAATGCATCCTAAACGATTTGAAGAGAGTGATGGGAAGATTTTTGTGAAGATTATGGCGTGAAAAGAAGAGGCGTGCTGGACATGGTAATTATTTTGTTAAATCGGTTACGACTGGTCGCGGTGACAACGGGGTAAGTAGGCTGGGAGACGAACTCGAGCAAGGCTCCTTGTGAAAGTCAGCGCCTGAGAAGTGCGGACAAGATGATTAATAATTGCTCATTGAGGTATCTTGACTGTTCATTATTACCACGAACCCTTCGTTCAGCGTCCGTTCCACAGTGCGATTCCGAAGGGAAGCCATAAACCCATACGTGATTGTTCAAACACATTATACACAAGCTCTTTCCCACCCAAAGTCAACCTTACAGCCTCTTATCGTTGTCACATTGCACCTCGCCGATGCCATCCCACCTCCAATCCACCTCATCTGTACTTTGCTTCGCTCCGACTCGATTCGGGGGTATCTTATTTGGTGACGACAACGGCGCCCTTGGCGGCTTGCCTCTGCAATTGCGCATTAGTACATGGCTGAAAGGAATGTGGTAATTCGCGGTGACATACCTTCTTGTTGATGAACATGGCAATGACAAGGATCGCAACAAGGAAGACAATGACGAAAACGACAATGACACCGGGCTCACGCTGAGCCCAGTTCTTCTTGCGCTTGACCAACTGGTGGAGAGCGTACTCGCTGCGGGCAACGAGGGACATGTCGAGGGCGGCCATTGTGTATATGGAGTTCTGCGTCGGCAATGTTAGTCAGGTCACTTTGGTGATAGTTGTGAGAGCCTTCAAGAGCTGAGGCGCAAGGCAAAACGTCGTCCGATGAGGCCCATTTCGCAAGCGAGGTTTGTTGAGAGGGATCCAGTTCCGCGGCCAAGCTTTGTCGCAATCCTGGAGAGGATGCAGGATGCAATTGCGAGCAGCTGCAAGCTTCCCAATGGCTCCAGAAAATCGGCATGAGGCTTACATTTACGAATTGAATCGGTCCTCTGACAGTTGTTGATGGTTCCGAGCTGATGGAAGCTGGCGAAGGAGTTGGCGGAGCTGTTGAGGAGGACTTAGCGCAGGCGGATCAACCCAGAGGACGGCGCGACGGTAGCAATGAACTCGGAGGACTCGATGGAAGAAGTCGACAGGGCATCAAGAGTGAGAAAGCCAAAAGCTCGAGGCAGCTCTCCGCTTTTAAATGCGCCGGGTTGCCGAAAAAATCTGCAGGTAATGAGGCATTTTGTTTGGTTCCTATTTGGCCGCCCGTGCCCGGTGGACTGTCCGGCAATAAAGCTAACATGGGGGGGGAGGTGCAAGCGATTGCAATCGGATGGTCTACTTACTCGGTCGCGAAGCTTTACAGAAGCGCTGAATGTGGATGTCGAGGTTGAGAATCGAGGCAAAGGGGAGCTGCGTGAGGAGTAGAAGAGGTTGGGACGGTATGCTGCAACGCGAGGGTGAGGAGAGCTAAGCTACCTCGATCGAAGCTACCGAGACGCAGCCAATGGCGCAAAGAGCGTCATCTTAGAGAGCAGGATCGGCAGAAGCCTCATTCGCTTGCATTGCACGTCACCGAGAAGCATGTAGAGATCAATTGCCTTCAGCATGTCTGGACAGACCCGGGGCTGCCACTGCTAGCCTCTCCTACATCTTCTATCCACCGTTGCCGTCGTTTGAGGAGCTTCTCCTGCCTCTCCACAGCTTGGTTGAATTGCTGCATGCCGCCGCTGACGCTACTGCCCGGCTCCACCATGGGATCCTTGTATGCCATTAACCCTTCTCGTGCTGCCAAAGCACAGAGTTATGTCATGGCCGCGGCTTATCTTTCCTGACTGATGATGCCCCGAGTCTCTGCCGCGAGCCTCCCCTTCATCTGCCTCACTGGCAATCGCCCAGAAGCCCGTGGGTCGCAGGGGAGACGCCTAGCGCCCGTGGCAGAAATGCCTCATTTGCGTCAAGCACGCCGCCGTCACAACAGCGCAAGGCGCTACGCAGATAGCGCGCGCAGAGTGACGGCCAAAATGCGTGGGATGGGCGCCTGATTAGCTTGCATTCGGGATCATCACCAAGCTTTATGCCAAGATCCGGGGCACAGACACAGCAGAGCGTTGGCAGCATTGGACATGCGAGTGGGCGTCGACTGACCTATACGCCATTCTCAGGTTGTGAACTCGTTATGAACGCCATCTTGATACTCGATACTTGATATGACCATGCCTCGTAGTGCCTCATCAAGACGCTACTTTTGGTGACTTTATGACTGATGCAAGCCCGGAAATTACCCTCAACGATCGCCCACAAGGCTCTAGCGTGCGGATAGCGAAGTCGGTTGTCTTGTCAACAACTCCTCGGTCATTTGGCGCACAGTCCTTTCATCCCATCATGACCACAGCAATGTGCAACCAACCGTCCAGATACGCCGTTGCCCGAATCAATTCCTCTACGCTCGCACTCAATGGTAAGACAGCGCCATGTAGCACTGCTTGAGCTAATAGGGCACTTCTTCTGCTTGGGAACAGAGTCGGCAAGATGGAATTCAACGCTGTGCCAATAGTCTGCGGTTGCCCTTTGCAATATCAGCCTCCATCATCTCTACATCTCTATAGTCCAACACTCACGTGAAGAAAGATTGGTGGGAACCAAACTCTGCACCACTCTCAGGCTCCCAGGACTCGCCTCTTCCTTCAAGCTGTCTGACGCTGCATGTGGAAGATAAAGACGGACAGGCAAGTGTCGCAGATTGACGCCCTGTGGATTCAACAGTTTTTGGTTGATCGGGTTGTATAACGCAAAGTCATGCTGCTTGACTGCTTCCCAGAGCTGCGTGCTGTCCTCTTTGCTCAAGAACATGACTGTTTTCCCCGTCCCGGTCCTCAAGTAGTCCGCCTCTTTTACGCTGTTCTTGAACAAGTCATGGAGAATGTTGTCCTCGTTATCCAGCTTCACTAGCTGCTCATTCGGGTAGTCTGAGAAGTGTACAGTCAGTCTCCATGGCAAATGTCGGCGTTCCTCTTCCGTTGATTCAGACTTCTGTGATGGTGACGAGGTGTCTGGTGGATATGCAGGTTCAGCGCCAGAGTACAAGTCGTAGAGTAGTCCCAAAGGATAGTGCCACTTTAGAGGCACGCCTTCGTAGGATAGCCATGTGTCTGAAGCTGCCACATCTGGATATATCAGGCTGCTTGAGAAGAAAGCGTGCAGCTTATGTATCAGTAATCCTAGGTACGATATTCGTGGGAACTGTATCTATAAAGATATCAGTCAGTATTCGATAGGTTAGGCAGCATGATGCTGCAGTATACGGTTACCAACTATATAAGGGTCGGATTCGTTGTAGGTCCGACAATCTCCTTTGTGAAGGCGGATTTCCAGCGGAAGACTCCCATTCCACACACTCTGCCGCAGTCTGCTCGTAGCATCTCGCGACATTGAAGTCAATATGCACGCCGAAGATCCCGTTTATGGTAAGCTGGGTTCGGTCGGTGGTGGGGTAGCAAGGCGGAAGGCGGGGTACGTTTCTGCACCTGCTGTCAAAGCTCCTTCCGACCCCTTGTGCATCTTGCTCGTGCGTCTCTGGAACAACCACTCAGGCTTCAGGCATTATGTAGCCACTCACGATACACGATACTTGCTTTCTGTCCCTCTATTTTATTTCTAAGAAGAATGTCATAGGTGTCCTGGAACATCGATGTTTGAACTCCTCGTTCCGCCTCGCGGGACCATGAATAAAGCCCTCAATCGCAAACGCTCGCGCCTCGCCCTCGAATCCGACGATGAAGTACAGCCGCGCAGGGAACCATCGCCCGCACTATCCACACTCAGCGATACCTTGAAGAGGTCGAAAACGCAATGCGAGCTAGATGAATTGGACATAACAAATCCCGAGGAAGCGTGGAAAATCGACGTGGATACTCTACTAGCCAGCAACACACTTGCTACTCCAACCACGGGGAGGTGGGAGGCGCGCAACAACCGGGAGAGATATAAGAAGGGAGAGTCGATGTTTGTACTTTGTGTGCAAGGAAATGTGCAGCTACATTACGACTTGCTCTGGTAAGCAACGTCAAGCATTTTGAAAGCGAACGAAGCATTGATCACACACTTCACAGCTCCGCGTTACCAGATCTCTATACCCTATCGCCCTCGCTCCAAGCCTTCGTCCTCTGTCACGACCCCTCGACACACATTATCTCATCGACCGCATCGTTGTCGCTCCCCATGATACAAGCTGTCACACCCTCAAACAATCATTTCGTCCGCTTAGGGCTCCTGCATCCTATCGGCGGCGGCAAGTTCCCGCTAGATGCGCTGGTTATCTTGGACAGGAAGGGCAGGCGGAGACTTGTGCTGCCGTTTGGGTGGGGTGCTGGCAAGCACGCAGATACACCCGCGGGGCGGAGTATACAAACAAGGTTGATGGGTTTGCTGAGGAGTGGTGTCGAGACACTGGAAGCGGAACAATGAAGGCCACGAGGACAAATTCGATAATGCCAACTTCTAGCATCCTAAATGCGGTAATTTGAAGAGAAGGATTGATGTATTGAGAAGCAATGATACCCCAAGCGAAGAGGAGCTCTGTCTCCATAATTATACTAAGGAGGACGAGAGGTAGTAGATTAATTCCAAAGAGCACACACAGGGACATGGAAGGCAGTATAGGAATGTATTCTGTTATTTCATGACTGTCATAATCGTAGTTTCATGACCAGTGGATCTCCTGTCCAATTGGCTCACGGCCCCATGGGTATCGCTATACCAGCGTTGAGTTCAGCTTGCAAACTCAAACACTAACCGAACCTAGTCTCCTTGTCCTTGATGGGGATGTCGGAGCCGGTCGTGCCCTTGTACTGCTTGCGAATGAAGTCGGAGATCTGCTCGTCCTTGGCTTGCTCGACAGCAGACTAGGAAGTACCGTGTTAGCATATAATCTCCCAAAAGTATATGATACATCGGGTTCAAGAATGACGACATACCTCGTTGTCCTGAGGACCTTGTCCGAGGAACTTCTCCTGCACGTAGTCGACACCTAATAGCCGTTAGTCACGCGAGTAAAAGGAAGGTGAGGTTGATGGGGTGGTTGTTTTACCCTTGTCGAGGTAATCCTCGTTCTTCTCGCTCTCCTTTCCGCCGCCAGCAGCAGAGTTCAGCTTATCACCGATGCCGCCTAGGAAGCCTCCGCCGGAGCTCTTGTCATTGGCGACTTGCTCGTTGACGCTCTGGCCGGTCTGGCCAGTCTGCTGCTGGTTGCTGTTGCTTCCACCGGTGAACTTGTTGAGGTAATCCATTGTGTAGGTGTGGTTGATGTTGTTTGTGAGACTTGAATTGAAGTGGTTGATGAGTGGGGGGAAGGCTTGTGGGAAGAGGTCAGGTATTTATGCAAGAAGCGGTAGGGGATAGATCTTGGATCTTTGAGTAGGCTGTGTAAATCAGGATCTAGCCCTGGAGGTTGCAGCAAGAGTCTTGGTAGCTTGCGTGATAGGTAAACACGCCGCGGGTGATGTACCTGATGATGCGTAGCTCCCCCCACTTTGGCAACGCCATACGTCATTCCCGACCCCGCGACATGGCAGGGGTTCGGAGCTGAAAATCGCAGTCGCAGCCGCGAACACGTGAGACGCCTTCCCGATTGTTTTTCGGAATTGGAGCCTTGTTTTTTCTTTGAACATTCGAGTTGAGGCTTGTCTATCGTCTGGCGTGAATACACTATTGTTGATGCTGCCGTTATGATACCAATTACCATCATTACGGGCTTTCTGGGCTCTGGAAAGACCAGTATGCATATTCCCTCCATTCCAAGTACCTTGCCAGCAATTCCGACTGTCGGAACACCTCCTTGAGTCTTGAGATGTCTCTCCACACGACGATGAGCAGAGCAACTGAGTCCTCAACCCCTCTGCTAACACGCTACCAGCGCTCATCTTAAACCTCATCCCCCAGCTCCCGAAAACCTACAAACTCGCACTCCTCAAAAACGAATACGGCGATGTAAAAGTTGACTCACAGCTCGCTTCTTCACAAGCTATATCAGGCGTCCAAGAACTTCTCAATGGCTGCATATGCTGCAACTTGGTCGGCCAGCTGTCGGACGCCCTTGAGACGCTATCGACCGACATCGAGCCTGACCGCATCGTCGTAGAGACCTCCGGGTCTGCATTCCCCGCGACATTGGCCATGGAGGTCAACAGACTTTCAAGAGAAACAGGCAAATACGTACTAGATGGTGTGATGAGTGTCATCGACGTGGAAAACTGGAAAGGCTATGAAGATACGAGTTATACGGCGAAGATGCAGGCGCGATATACAGACCTCATTGTCCTTAACAAACATGAACTGGTCAGCGAGCGAAGGTTAGAGGATGTAGAAGACGCGATTCTAGCGCTAGAAGTTGAGCCGCAGATTCCCAGGACGAAGAGTAGGAAGGGATGGGTGGATAAAGAGATTGTGTTTGGACTAGATGCTAGATTAGCAGGGATTGTAGAGGAGGAGAAACATAGGCATGAGCATAACCATGATCATTCGAGCGAAGTCGAAGTGCTCAGCGTTACGTTAAAAAGCCAAGACGGCAAGGGAAGCATAGACGTGGAGAAGCTCGCAGAGCTGCTGGAAGATCCAACAAAGGACGAGGTATACCGGATAAAAGGCATACTTTACTCTTCGACGCCCCCAAAATCCTCAGATACCACACCGGCGTCAAGTAGAGAGATACCAGCAGGCCGGGGCAGATATATACTCAATTGGGCGTTTGGGCGCTGGACGTTCACACCAGTACCTGCCACCGCTGCTGCAACATCAGACGAGGAGCCGGAATTACGGTTAACGGTCATCACTGCAAGATACGAGTCCAACAAGTGGAAGAAGCAGATCGAATCGAGCGGATTAATAGCACTCGAAGGGGGTCTTCAGGGAAATCTGGCGGTCAAGAAGATAGCATAGAGACCCAGGACAGAAAATAGAAGTAATAAAGATGATCATAGAATACACTCCTTGCTATCGCGTCTGCTTTTGTTACAGTCGTTGCGTTTTGGATACACATGCTCTAGCCTTCAGATTGGCGAACTTTACCTTATACATCCCGAATGCCAATTGTACACAGATATGGTACAAACCCTAAACAGCACATGAGCTCCTACAGCTGTTGAATCCCCTCAACAAGCTTATCAAGACCCTCCTGGTCGCCATCTGTCAACAAGCTTTTCATCATTCTCGACCTATCAATTAGTTAGTACAGCGCTCTCCTTCTCCAACTATATAGCAAACTTACAGATTTGCCAGCTTACAGGCTCCCATACTATCCTCCAGCTCCCTCGACTTCACCTCCGCAACATCAATAACCTTTTCTGGCACTCTCGCTAAGCGCGCCACATTAAGTCCGTAGGACCGATGGCTCGTGCCCTCTGCGGCTTCATATAAGAAGACAACCTCCTTGCCACCATCGCGCTCCTCGAACCGCATATGGACGTTCTTGAGCTCCTTGTTTGGGAAGCGATCCTGCAGTTTAGCGAGGTGCTGGTAGTGAGTGATGAAGAGGGTGAGCGATTTCAAATCAGAGAGTATGTACGAAAGGACTGCCTCGGCAATGGCGACACCATCGAATGTTGACGTTCCGCGGCCTAGTTCGTCGAGGATGACGAGGGAGCGTGGAGTGGCGGATTTGAGGATGTCTGATGTCTCATTTAGTTCCACCATGAATGTACTTTCGCCCTTTAGCATATTGTCGAATGCACCCATACGCGTAAACACCGCGTCTAGCATCCCGAGCCGAGCCTCCTCAGCGGGTACATAACTTCCAATTTGTCCCATGATTGCTATGAGAGCAGCGGAACGCACGTAAGATGATTTTCCACCCATGTTCGGCCCTGTGACAAGGAGGGCGCGGGTGGAGGAGTGCGAGAGATGCAAATCATTGGGGACATAGCTGTCCAGCAATAGTTGCTCAACCATAGGATGTCGACAGCCAGTGATGTTGAGCTCGATGTCATCCGTGAATGTAGGCTTCACATAGCCAGGCTGATTCGCCAAGATTGCGAGTGATAAGAGCGCGTCCAGCGTTGCAAGAGAGGATACGCAATCACGAAGCTGTTGGTATTTTGCGGAAATGTCTTCTAGTAGACGCATGAACGCTGCATCGCATGCTGCGGCCAATGACTCCTTGTACTGGTCACGCTCTTGGAGCATACGCTTGACTTCTGGTGTGTGGAAGCGAAGCATCGATTTAGTGGCGGAGATCTGCTGCCATGATGCTGGCACTTTCTTCTCCTCAGTCGACTTGCGCTTGACTTCAATCAAATACTCGATACCAGCAACAGTGACGTAGTCCACCTTTGACTTCCCAAGCTTCGTGGCTGCGTCATTCTTATGTGTATTCAGGTCATCTTCGACAGATGCAATGCTGAGCTTGAGGTCGTTGATGTCCTCGGCTTCGTGTTCCTCTCTAAAGAAGGAGTACTTGTCGTTGTCCTTGGCGGCTTTGGCATTGATCTTTTCGAGAAAGCCGTTCAAGTCCTCGTAGATCCTGGGCACACTTGAGACAGCTTCGCTCAGTAGCGATGAAGAGAAGCCGCTCTGTTCAGGTGCCTTCACCGACAGATAGTGGCTCGAGATATCCTGGAGTGTCTGAAGAGCCGCCAGTAACTCCGGTCGCGTGCACTTCTTGTAGTATATTCGAAGCAGAACCTTCTCGAGATCTGTCTTAATCCTGCCCAGCACGAACTTGAGCTTATCCACTGCAACAGTGTTTTCGGCTTCCTTCAACTCTTCAACAGCTGATATGCGCTCCTCCAATCTTACCTTGTCTATCAGTGGCCGACCAACCCACTTCCTCAGTAACCGTTGGCCAAACCGGGTCTTTGTGCGGTCCATGGTCCAGAACAAACTGCCCTTCGCGGTGAAGTCGGTCTGATTCTGATAAATCTCAAGACTAGAAAGTGTATTCCCGTTAAGCAGCATGTACGACCTAGCGCTGAATGGCTGAAAGTACTTGGTCAGATCGAATACATGCTCCAGCCCATACTCGCTAAGATAGGTGATCATTGCTGACAAGCAGATGGTGACGTGCGCAGATAGTTGATGGACCTTGTCTAGGATGGCGCCTTGCTTATCCGAACCACCTTCTTGACTGGACCTCATCTTTCCGGCGTAGAAGTTCGAAATGTGGCTGTATGCTTGTGCTTCCATCGTCTTCGGTTTTTCAACCCGCTCCACACGTGATCTGTCTCCGAAGACGTTCGTTTTGCTGGCCGACAGGTGTTGTATCAGCTTGTCTGTAGCCTTGGACAAGTCGCCGACGATCAGGAATTCTGCTGGAGCAATATGAAGTAGGCGAGTTTCAATCTCGCTTCGCATGAAGCCATCTTCAAAGTCGTCATAGATGATGTCGCCAGTTGCAGGCTGAACGGCAACTAGGCCGACCTGTACTTTCTCGTCTGTACCCCAGCCTTTCGCGTTCGCATTCGTCTCGGTGATGCAAAGCAGATAACCTGTCGATTGGGCGCCTGTACCAGAACCCTCGGTAGGCGTCTCGAGACCTTCCACATCATCCACGTAAGTGCCTTTAGTGTATAGGTTGGTGAGCTTCCGTACGAAAGGCGCGTTCCGGTTGTCTCCGGCTGCCTTGAGTGCTGCCGTCTCAAGCTGCCGTACCACACCAACTTTATGGTTTGCCTGTACCAGACGCTTTACGTGGACCTGTAGACGATGCGTTGGAAAACTCGCTGAGGCGAATCTGTCGAGATGGGCTTCCGAGACATGCTCATCATATCTGAACTTTCCCGGTATGCAGACGATTCCAAGCGCCTTGGACGCGGTTCTTGCATCTTCGCCGAAGAATCTGAACTTGTATCCGACCTCCATGACGATGACAGTATCAAGATGGTTCCGCTTGATGTCCAGATATTGCTTTTCCATGGGCGTTAGCTTATTGCCTGCCTTCTTCGTCGCAGCACCCTTCTTTCCCTTGACAGGCTTTGGGGCGGCCTCCTCTTCCTCCTCTTCCTCAGCTCCGCCATCCTCACCAGTGGCGTTCTCCTCAGAGATGGTCTTGTTTCGTCTTCTGAGCTCAACGAAGCTGTCCGGTCGCCCCAGCTTCTTGACGAACTTGTCGTGTAACTGCTCCCGCTGCTTTTGTGAAGCGGCGGTGTCTATTTCTTCTTCGTTCTCGTCTCGCACCGGTGGTGATGACGAAAATAGAAACTTGGAGGTTCTGTCGTTCATCTTTGGAAGCTTCGCGGCGTTCAGGTTTGCTTCAGAAGCCTGTCCCAACGACGGTCGCAGCGACTCGCCATGCGTGAACCGGACGCGCTTCGACGGCGATGGCCGCGCGTCATCCTCGTCTTCGCCATCCTCGTCTACTGTGCGTTTTCGGACTGATGCTGGGCGCGGAACGGGAAGGCTATCTTCGTCGTCGGAGTCGTGGGTCTCGCCGTTCGTTGCTGGCGGCGCCGTGACTTGTAGAACTGGTGTGGGTGCTTGCGACGGTTTGGGCGTCTGTGACGGTTTCGGTGCAAAGAAGCTCGAGATGGTCTGTTGCTTGCCCTTCTGCGAGGAGCCTGGCTGCGATTGACTGCTTCTCGGCGCCATTGGGTGGGTCCGCGGCGTGGAGACGAAAGGTCGATGATGGGTGTGGAGAGACGCGTGAGGCGAGCTTCGACGCGACGGTCGCCCTCACGCAGTCACATGGGCCTTTCATCGCATCAACCACGCCAGCCCACAGGCAGGCTGACTCGAATCGGCTGCGACTGCATTTCAAATTGTATCCAATTGCTATTGGCAAATTCACATTCACAACTGGTGACAACTACAAGTGCTCCCAGACGTCGCAGTCCATGGGAGAAGGCTCCCCTGTCACGCCGCAGCTTGCAGGCGACACCGCTTCGCACGCATATCTTGGTCTAGGACCCAGGAACAGGATTGGATATACGAACCAACATGTACCGTCTTGCGACCTCGTAAAGCGACGAGACAAGACGTAAACCTATACCGATCGATGATACCTCACAAGCGTTATCTTACCCCACCCATCTCGGCCCGCAAGCCGCATCCGTTATCTCCTCAAAGCCTTACTTTAACTACTGGTCAATGATGCAATTCACTTCAGCCTCACACGTAACCGGCACCCCATCCAGCTTCCCAAATCGTCCAGGCCGCTTACCGGTCGGGGCTATGGCGGCGACTATCACTCGTCGCACGCGATCCGCTAAGGCTAGGATCAATTAGAACCACGGGTCTACAGCTCCCATTGCGTGTGGAGCTTTTTTTCCTTTCTACCTTTCGTGACTTTGCTGAGACCATGGCGCGCGGTACTGCTGGTTTGGTAAAATGCTTAACAGGCCTGTTGGCACTGAAGACTGCGCTGGGCAATCCGGTCAAGACTGAGGAGCCATGTCCGCCACCTGCATTGGGAGATGGACAATTGGGTGCCGTGGCTTCAGAGAGTGGCATATGTAGTCACATTGGTATCGACTTGCTAAAACTGGGTGGAAATGCTGCGGATGCAATGGTCGGTACCGTCGCCTGTGTGGGCGTCGTTGGCATGTATCACTCTGGTAAGTCAGACAGCGAGAACCCCCCAGACACACTCCCCAAGATGTATTGACAATGCCAGGTCTGGGAGGCGGAGGCTTCATGTTAGTTCGAGCACCAAACGGAACATACGAGTTCATCGACTTTCGCGAAACAGCACCGGCCGCTGCGTTCGAGGACATGTACAAAAACAACGAAGATGCGAGTATCAACGGCGGCCTTGCGTCCGGCGTACCTGGTGAACTCCGCGGTCTCCAGCATTTGCATGAAAAGTACGGCGTCCTACCCTGGGCTACAGTCCTCAAACCCGCTGTCAAGGTTGCCAGGTATGGTTGGGTCGTGAACGAGGATCTGGTCAGGTACATGAACTCTGCCATCGCCACGGCAGGTCAGAACGCAACATCAAACTTCTTTACCAACGACCTGGAATTCGCAATCGACTTTGCACCCAAAGGCCGACTTCTCAAGCTCAACGAAACCATTACACGAAAGCGCTACGCTGATACACTCGAAAATGTTGCCGAAAATGGTCCGGATGCCTTCTACTCTGGTCCGATAGCAAAAGCCACGATTCGTGCGCTGCAAGCCAAAAACGGAACCATGACACTGCAAGATTTAGCGAACTATACGGTCGCTATTCGCAAGCCGTCAACTATTACATACCGCGACTACAAGCTCACAGCCTGTAGTGCCCCCAGCGGCGGCGAAGTCGCACTTGCAACCCTCAAGTTCATGGAAGGCTATTCCAACGTAGGAGATCCGGAGAACCTAAATGCAACCACGCACCGTCTAGACGAGAGCATGCGTTTCGCTTACGGCATGCGCGCCAATTTGGGTGACCCCCTCTTCCTCAAAGGCATCGACGAGTATCAGGAGCAAATGATTTCCGAAGCGACCGCGAAAGAAGTACGATCGAAAATCAGCGATACCAAGACCTTCAACGTAGCATACTACGACCCACAAGGCCTCGAATCGCTCGAAACCCCAGGAACAAGCCACATTGTCACCGCCGACCATACAGGCTTAGCCGTCACACTGACAACCACGGTAAACTTGCTCTTCGGCAGTAAGCTCGTCGTTCCCGAAACAGGTGTCATCATGAACAACGAAATGAACGACTTCTCCATCCCCAACACGACAAACGCGTTCGGCTACATCCCCAGCGCTGCCAACTTCATTCGGCCCGGAAAACGACCGTTGTCAAGCATTAGCCCTGTGATAGTCGAACATCTTAACGCCACATTAGCCAATGCTTTCTACGTCGCCATAGGCGCAGCAGGCGGCTCCCGCATCATAACTGCCACCATTCAAAACCTCATACACATCCTAGATGGGAAACTGACCACTGTGGAGGCTTTAGCGGAGCCGAGGATACATGATCAACTTGTACCGGCGCAGGTCAGCTTCGAATACGCGTTTGACAATTCCACCACGGCCTATCTCAAGGGGTTGGGCGCCAATGTAACGTGGACTGCACCGGGGGGTAGCACCGCCCAGGGCTTACGCCGATTGACGAACGGGACTTTTGAAGCGGCTGGTGAGCCGAGGCAGAAGAACAGCGGGGGATTCGTCGTGTAGTCGGAGCGAGTATATATGGAGGAGAACGAATCTAATGATAACTACAAGTACTGTGCATGTTATGTAATGCATGCCTCAAAACCTTGCACATCCTAAAGACTTATTATCATCGTCTGTGCTCCTTTGTGCTCTTCTCTGACTGCGGAACTTGTGTGTTGAGCCTTGTGAAGTTTGCGGGCTGGCAGCTACAAAGAGGGCATTGAATTTGAACTGGTATATCATTGGAGCTTTTCTACATGTTACGCTACAAAATCGTTGGTTAGGCGAGTTCCCTGCTTCAAGTAAAGCAGGCAAAAACGCCTTCATCGAGTATCAAGCAGTACCTCCCAGACCTTAATCAGAAAGAAAGGACCGCTAAACATGGCAGAAGCGTACATTATGACAGAGGAGAAAGGGGATGGGGGCTGTTTTACCTATCGCAAAGGGGTGGCGGCGACGAGAGGATGTAGGGACGTCTAGACATAGGAGTCTTTGATGCATGTGGCGCTTAGTCCACGAGTGGTCTACGCGATCGCATGCCCACCGATGTCGCCATCGTGTTCGAATCGAGAGGCGTCTTATGCTTCGGTTGTTGACGGGGTTGAGCAGGTCGTATGAATTAGATATCATCTTGAGAGAAGAGATCAAACATGGCGAGAAGAGACAACCTTCTTTGTGGGGTAGGGCAAACCTCGTCTAAGATTTCAAGTCAGCCACTGGTTAATGGGAGACTAAACGCAGACTTGGGGGATAGCGAACCATTTTGCCTGTCACGCTCCTAGTAACGAGTTCGATGACCTGGCTTTGCAGGAGTAACGGGCGCTGCAGTGACTACTTCTTCGATCTGTTTGGCACTGGGGAAAGGAATTCATGTCAGCAAGCTCCACAAAGAGTTGAGAATGTGGTGCATTACGTTTTGCTCGCGGATGTGCAAGTGCAGAAATTACTATTGAACAAAGCTTGTGAAGTAAGAACGCAAGGGGAGGGACGTTACGACGACCAGACAGTCGGACTACATCCTCGAAGCTAGTAGACTAACGAAGTCTAGTGCACGCTATTTGCGTTGACGCTTGTTTGCTGTGTTGTGAGGCTGTCCTTTTCGTTTCTGGGGGAGGGATTGGGAGGGATCGCTCTTAGCAGATGATACATACCCGTTGACAATCTGATCCAACTGCATGTACTCCTCGGCAGCATCCTTGCCTCCGCGGTCCAGTAAATATGCCATGTAGGAGTGCGAAAGTTCCTTTGAAACTTCTGCGGAGAACCGGCCTTTGGTGCGCATCAATTCATGAACGGCCTTGATCCGGCTATGGGATTCTTCGTGATCAGGAGAGGGTTGTGCAACTTCGAATTGAAGGTACTTGACCCAGAAATCTCGGGAGTCGGGGAACCGCTCATGCTTGTTCTTAAATACTTCGCGAGCCTCGTCGATGGCGCCTTTACATTGCCACAGGATTCGCGCTTGCTCCGCAGCTAGTACGCCGCCAATCTGATTATTGGAGCGTCCAATGTGCTCCTCCAACAAACGTACTGCTGCATCGTTGCCTTCGTGTCGTCGCTCTAGACCAGCCAAAGAAATGAGGGTCTCGGTTTGCTCAGGTGCCTGCTCGAGCATAGCCAAGTAAATATCGCGGGCCACCGAGATCCGGCCGAGCTTCTCTTCGAATCGTGCCCAGTTGAGACGTATTGTGGGCGCAGAGATGGGAACGAAGATGCAACTAGCCCTCATATAGATAATCCTCGTGTTTTCCTCTTTGCCTTGCGAAAACATCCAACGCGCATATCGCAGCCAGAACTCATCGTAAAGTGCACAGGCGACCAAGCAGCGCTCGTACAGGAATGAGGTACGCTCGAAGTCGCCCTCCTTCTCCTCGTACTCCAGATACTTTCGCCAGTTGTCGAGTTCGGCGTCTTCGAGCTCTGTAACGTGGAAATAGGCCCTCTTGATAGCCTGTTCGTAATTCCAGCGGCTTGTCACTTCCTGTTGGGTCTTCGAGTACGAAGTGTAATAGTACTCATGGACCTTCTGACGCAGTTGTCGCTCGATCTCAAGCGGTGGCTTTTCTGGCCCTCCCTGGTTCTCAAGTTGTACTGCATTCTTCAGCTCCTCAAGGGTATCGGCATCAGCTAGTTCCTCGATTGGGCGCGAGCCAAGGAGGACCGAAAACTTCTCGTAGTATCGGGAGAATTGGTAGATAGGAATTTGAAGAACGCGGCTGTAGATCTTGGTAACATTGGCGGGTTCCTGGATACGTTCTTCGAACTCGATGTACTTGTCCCAGAACGGATGGCTTTGAAAGTCAAGACCGACGAAGTGAGCGCCGCGCTCGAAAAGTCTGTTGTGTCAGTATGGCTAGGAGGAATGGAAGTGATGGGAGAGGGAGGGGAAGGGGGAGGGGGAGGGGGAGGGGAGGATTTGATCTTGCAGAGAACTCCAGTATCCCAACATTATGGAGATAGACCAACGGCTTCCGATTTCTCAGATGACGCGAAGTAGATCTTCGCGGTGTAGAGGGTACGGTGGGGAATACGAAGAGGCGGACGAATGGTTTCAAGCGGCACTAGGTCATATCTGAAAATGCATCGCTAGGCCATTAGGTGCGCGCCGCTGGCTACGGCGCGATTTGAGTCTCTGAATCGAGGAGGAGGAAAGGCAGAACTTACTCTCGAATGACATCATTATCGTGGGATGTATCCATCTTGAAGGTGCAATAATTCGCCCACAAGTCGACCGATGGAGTGACGCAGGATACACCGCGCTCGTACACCATCTCCGCGGTCTCAGTGCCCCCAATGGAGAATTCAAGATCCGCGTACTTCTTCCAGTATCCAAAAAAGAGAGGGAATTTGGTGAGGAAGCAGTCGTAAAGGTTGCGCACGAGTTCGATGGCCGACGGGCTGGAGTTGCGGGTGACGCCGCCCTCGAGTTCAGAGGCGCGAGTGACAAGCGTTTCCCACTTTTCGAAATCATCTTCGTTCTCAACCTACAATCGCGTTAGCTTCGTCTTGAATTGAGAGTAAGTGGGGAAAGAGAGCTTACAACAATGTCGAGGAGCTTCCTGATCTCGCCTGCAGCCTCTTCGCCTGTGTAGTGCACATGTGCGATACTGCCGCGGCCGGTGCCTAGCATTTTGTCGCGTAATATGAGCGTATATCGGGATGGAGTATGTTACTATAGGAAAGGAAAGCAAGTGTGAGGCGGGCGGCAATGAGAGGCGGGTGGTGAGAGCTTTGCGATGTGGAGCTGTAGATGTTGCGAACGGAGCTCGTGTCGGAGGGTTCCGCTTTCGTTAGCCACGCTAGGCAAACAACAGGCACGTGATGTTGATGCTCACGCGGGCTGTCAGCACTTGCTTCGAAATTGCTGTTGAGTCTAGTGTGTAAATGCTCTCCCGACAAGAGGCATAAACCCTTCAAGGGCTTGAGTGAGGGACAAAGCAAAGCATCATCGACATCGAATATCAGAATCATCACAATATTGAGCTTGGATTCTGCTACCTGTCGATTTTGAGAAAAGATAGTGATTGATATGTTCATCTCAACGTCCTAATAGGGTCTCTTCTATCAAGCGGCGAGCCGCCTAGGTATCATTCATCAACAAAGCAGACGACCGCCCATCCAAGCTCCAAACTAAATAAAATTCTCCGGCTATCATAAAAATCCAGGGGCTAACGAAAGTCATATGAAACCCTCAAACGGCACTCTCCTCCTTCAAAAACTTGCTTGTATCACCCCCAGCGAACGAAAATGGACTCTTTCCCACCTCTGGACTACGGGGACTAATCGGCAATGCGAACAGCCCCTCATCCGTATCGTCATCATTTGCGGTCGACAAGGAAGGACCTCGAGACTGAAATACCGGAGCGGGAGCCGACAGCGCGTTCAATGAGCCCATCATACCGGAAGTTGATTGTTGCTGTGTGACGAATGAGGGGGGCGATATTGGCGCGGCGACTTTTCGAGGCACAGGTGCGCTTATTTGTGGTGGCTGAGGGTGAGAATTGGATTGAAATTGGGACTGAGGCTGGGACTGGGGCTGCTGCGGGGGCTTTGCGGCGAGCGCGGAGAGGTTAGGGTTTGCCCCTTTGAAGACGGCAAAGGAGGAAATGGCAATATCTGAGGATTCGGGGGATAGGGGGTTTGAGAACGGCTGTGTGCTGCCGCTGGGCGTGAGGTCTCTGTCGCTGGTACCCAAGCGAAGGCCAGCGAGCTTGTCCATCAATCGTCCTCCGCCTGGCGATCGTGGACTGGCGGGGCCGTTCAGTGGTGCTACTGTTGGCTCTGCGAGCGAGATGCTGAGACCGGTTGGTTTGGCATGGACACCAAAGGTTCCCTCGATCCACTCCTTCTCTTGCACAACCATCAGTAGGCCGATACCCTCAACGTTGTTCCGCGACTCTGCCTCGATCTCTTTTTGGAGCACTTGCAGCCGCTTCTTGGCCCATATTGTGTGCAGGACGCCTTTCTTGCCCGCCGCGCGCGCCGATGCTCCTAGTTCAGGGGGAAACAGGGCAGGTAGCGGGTTGGTGTGCCATACGACAGGTGCTTTGCCAGCATCCTGTGGCCGGAGCGTGAGCGTGACACTAGTCGGCACTGCAACACCGGGGGGAAGCAAGAAATACATGCGGTTGACATCGTTAGCAGGCTGGTCGTTGGCCGGCAAGACCCGGGTGCTGCCATCCCACGAGATATGCCAGTCGCCCCGCACTCCTCTTGTCGTGTCATCGTCTTCCCATTCTACCATGAGGATCTTAGTGCCTTCTGTAGCATTCGCATGGCCGGCCTCGTACTCGTAGCGGGCGAGCGCATTCGTGCTCGATATGCTTGGGGATTCGACCTCATCCTTGGCCGGCAACCTCGTAGTCGTGTCTACAGAGGTGAACGGGATTGCGGCCGGAGACGCCATTGGGGAGTCGAGTGCGGAAAGTCGAAAGCGCGATCGAGACGGGGTGGCGTATACAGATGGGTGGGGGCGAAATACGAGTTGTAGGTGCTACGTTAATAACGGAGGCGGCAAATTGGCATCGTACGCGGCCCGTATGCGACGTCGTGATATGAAACAGATGCAGCAGCAAGGCTAGGCACACCGGCGAAACTTTCTTCTGACTTCGAGAAGCAGACAGGATCCGTCTTACCAGGCAAACTATTCTTCACGCGTAGACGTGCAGCTTCGGAATCCGTCTAATGTTCCTCGCGACTAAAATTAGAACTACGGGCCCTCATTAGCGACTCGTGGCAGCTTCGACCTGGGGCAACCAATCACATTTGCATAGGGACAAAGGAGGCTTTTGTATGGTGCTGAGCAATAAGCTCGTTGTCTTCGATTCTTCTTCGTCTGTGAAGCTCAGCACTGAGCTGAGCCTCCTACTACTACTATACATGCGAGCCTGGGTGCTGCACTAGCTTCCCAAGCGATGTGTGCCCCTTTCCAAGTTCCATATGCCGTAATATCGTCAGCCGTGAATTCCCTGCAACGCCATCCAACTGATGCTTGCTGCGCCGTAGATGCTGTCGAAATTACAAAGTGGGTATAATGCGTGGTAAAAAAAAATATATGCAAGAAATAGGCAAATGCTTTTGGCGCAAGTAGCGTGTTGGGCCGGAGAGAAAAGGAGAGTAATCGCGAAGTTGCAATCAGACCAGGATGCTTTCCAGCAGATGGGTCGGATCTTCTAGATGAGCAAGAAGTCCCAGCCCTTCTGTCGCATCATGTCCCGCCAGTGGACACTCTGAGTGTTACCCTTCGCAAGGTTGTCGTCGTTGACCCGCCATACTGCGTTCAGCAGTTCCGTCACTCTTCCAAAAGAACCGAAGTTCGCGGCTGCACCGAGTGCATTGGCGCGCTCAGCGAACATGTTGCGGAAGCCAGAGTCTGGCAAAGAGATAGATCCGGCGACCAGGAGTGGCCACACAAGAGAGCGGTCGAATCCTTCTTGACCGGCAGGAATGTACTCCATTGCCTTGCAAAGTGCGCTCACCAGGTTGACGAAGGAATGGGAGGTGCGGTCAAAGTCTGGTACGAGGCTGCAAAGATAGATGCGAGCGGCTAAGCGGTAGACTGCAGTCATGTTCCTGCGAAGCTGCCTTGGTAGAATCTCGCCAGTCGATGAGTACGCGCTGTTGAGTGATCCTTGGGGTGGCTCGGTCAAGCTGATCTGTTCACCGAGAAGCTTGATGTGCGCGCACAGCTGCACAATGTCCATGTTCTCGTTCTTCAGCGCCTCGAGGCAAGCGATCTCTGAGATCAAGTACATGATCCTGTCTTCGCAACCCATGAGCTCCGCAAGACCGGATGATGCATCGGCAATGAGCTTCTCGCGGTAGGTATCAGCAAAGGAAGGAGTCCTGCCCAACATGGTAGCACCAAGAATGTCGATCCAGGAAGCGAGGGTCATGTTGAAAGGAGGCTGTGAGTGGGCCTGCCCATTCAATGCGACCATTTGCGCAGGGAGGTCAAGCTTATGGACAAGGCTCTGGACCGCCTGGAAGTGCTGATGCCACGGAATGTCAACGAGGCCATCATCGAATCGACCGACAGAGCATGGAAAGAAGATCATGCCGAGAGTTGCTTCAAGAGTCTGCGCATGGTCACTGTCACCGAAGAGTGACTGGGTGAGCTGCTGGACGGTGGCATAGCGGTTTCGGTAGATGTCCTGGTCGATCTCGTCTCCTTGTAGTCCTTGAGTCGTCTTCATATGCAGCGCCGAGACGCTCATGCAGCAGTGCAGGTAAGCCTTGTTGGATTCCAGCGCTGGGATGATGACATCTGCGCGTGCTGCGCCGGGTTGGTTGGTCTCCAAGACAGGATAGACTGAAGGCATAACGTTTTCGAGAAAATGGCTCAAGAGGTGCTGATCGCACTCGTCAACCTGGATCGTAGGCTGATGAGACGGGCTGAAGCCGCCGTGTGTGGGGAAATCAAAGATGGGAAAGTCGAGTGGCTCCTCGGTGAAGGATTCGCGGCGACTCTCGAAGTAGTCCTGTTGGACCCAGTTGTCAGTTGGGTAGATGTGGCCAACAGCTGGTGGTGTTTGATAGTGGCTAAAGGTAGAGATTGTCGAGTCGCGTCGAGTTGGGATGTCGTTGATGAACATCTGGCTCTCAGTCTTGATATCAATCTCGTACGGCGCAAAATGCCCGGGGTGAGCGAAGGAAGGAGCGAACATTGGCGGAGGCATGGATGAGTTGTAGAAGTCGGGTGTGGCTGTGTTGAAGTTGTAGTCCAGGGAGTTCTGCGAATCAACAGATGGTGCGCGAGTGCATGAGATGCCATCTGAGAAGGTATCCGCAGTCTGCATGGAGTGGCAGAGACTTGGTGGAGTGTTGGTGCCCATTGCGACGCCCTGTGCAGTCTTCTCATTAAGCTTGGTGCGCTTGATGATGTTCTTGATGACTTCTTTCTGATTCCGCCTTTGCTCGTTGTTGCTCCACCACATTGGCCTCTTGTATTCGCACTTGAGACCGAGGTGTTTGCAGGCGCGGCAAGCTGACTTTCCCTCGTCACACTTCTTCCGTCGCAGACGGCATGTGAAGCACCCTGCACAACTCCCGTTAGCTACATGTCCAAGCGCGGAATCCCTGCACAATGTGGGTAAGAAGCAGGCTTACCAGTCCGTGAGCGACGGTGCATTTTCGCGGCAGCTTGCTTTGCTGAATTGGCAGCGTTTGTTGTGCCTACCATGGTTGCGGACTGTTTGGTAGAAGATGTGGGTGCGGTGGAGGAGGACATGGTCAATAGATGTACTGGGGCCCAGTACTGTGGTATATGAAAAAAAAAAAGCTAGTAAACAATGCGGCAATAGCGACTAATGCGCGACGGGACGATTCGTAAGGGACAGGATGGCAGGGCTCGACCGGGCTGCTCGTAATTAAAAGATGGGTATTCAAAGCTCGACCAGCGGGCTTGATGTGAAGGAAGGGGCGGTACCAAATTATGTTGCGTGGAGGGATATGAGTGAGAGGTATGTACCTTATATCTACCACAAACGGGACAATCTTAGCAAATGTTAGCAAATATTGCTCGATCTATTCTTGGACCCCCTGCTATCAGACCAGGCGGCCGGCCAACGAGACGGGCATGCGAACGCCATGGTGCACGTTGAGAGAGCAAAGTGATTGGCTAGACTAGTCTTAGCCTGCAGGTTGACATGAACATTTAGGGTCATTCTACATTGCACCTATTTTGGGGCTCACTTACCCGCCGCGCTAAGACCAGCTGCAGCAACTGGCATGAAGGAGCTGCATATGTGGACGGCTATCGATCGGCTGGATGGCCCCCGCAACGACTTTAGCAAGTTAAATGACCCATTTAGTACTAGAGACAGATTACCATGTCGACTTGTGAGCTTTGCGGACCGGGGTGACGTGCGCTGGCCTCCTCTTGTCCCAACCTCCTCGCGGGGCAGAATCGTGCTGCATCCGGGAGCAGCCTAGGAAACACTTGCAGCGGCTGCGATAACTGTCCGTCCCGAACGTTGCTGAGGGCCTTAGCCAAATGTGCAGATCATTGACTGCAATCTGCCTTGAAGAATAGCACATTTGGGTGCGTAGATAGCCGGAGCTTCTGCGGTACGATAGCGGTGCCTGGCCTCGGTGTCGTTACCGATGGATGCACAGTGACTCGTAGCACCGCAATATGCGGCTGTTTCTCGAATCTATTCGCTTGTGCCACGTTAGCCCAGAACGTTCGGGCGTTGGTGAGGGTCACGCAGACTGGAGCTGGTCCAATTCCCGTTCACGTTTATCGTAGTCATTTCCACTGCGGGACCTGGACGACGAGCTAGCTGGGCAAGACCAAGAGATAATCCGCGTGGTTGACCAAAGGGGGCAGGTCGGTCGATGATGTTTTCCGAGTTACGCGGGGGGGGCAGCTTCCGTGTGACGCGACGGGCTGGCATGGCACGACATGCAGAAGCGATGGGTCGAAGGCGTGATGGGCTGCCTCCGCGTGGGAGAGGACGCTGAGTGGTGCAGGTGCATGTCGTTGGAGTTGGTTTCTGCATGACAAGCTTTTGTTAGTGTTGCGGGACATCCAATAGTGATGCCTATGCACGTAGCGTACATTGCGGGGCAAGCCATCTGACAGGGGCATTTCGGATGATTGCACGCAGTGAATGCTGCTAAGTATAGGCCGTTAATTAGCTTTGTGCGGTCGAGTAAACCCCCATAATTAGTCCTGCGCCGATCGAGGCTGCCACACGGGAAGAGCAACTCCCCTTTTGGACGTGATACGTCGACTGCGGCCTGCGATTGGTTACCGACTATTTCAATCAATACTTGGTAGTCCACGAATTGTCCTCGAGTAACAGGTACTTCCTCGGCTGTAGGATTGCTCACCTGATAGCGTCGAATTCATGCTCATATGGCCTTCTACCCGCAACAAGCCGTAATTAATTCCCTGGTCCTCGGGAGGTCTCCTCTACCATGCGTGGGATTCCGTTGGGCCTCCCAGGTAGAATTCGATGAGGAGGTTTAGATTGCGAGGCCGCGAATGCCAGCCTCTGACCAGCGATCAAGTACAAGCAACCAAGTGGATGCGGTGCGCCATTGGCAGGAGCTTCTCGTAGTCGGCTGCACGCCTTGACGGATTGCCATGTTCGACTGTTGAATGCGGGACAGCAAGCGTTCTGGTAGTGTCGTGGTCGCCGAAACTGCACCATGTAGCACGTCAAGTGGACTCTGGCTCCCCCTTGGCGACACTTGTTGAAGTGGGCTCGGGTTAATGCCTGCTCGGGTTGCGGTCTGGTAGTCTGGTGGTTGGAGGCCACCTTTGCAAGCTGATTCGCCTCTGGCTGCAACGCTTCAACAGGTCTATCGTGGTTGCAGACCACGAGGGAGAGAAGAATTCGGCGGGCCGCATAACTTTCTAGTCACGGGCTCATGGTGGAGCAGCGTTCAGCAAGCTCGTTGGTTGTCAGGTTGATGAGTGTTCCATCGCAAGCTCTCACAAGCACAGGTCTTGGTGCCGTTGTCGAGGTGGTGACAGGTAACGGGCGGAAGAGCGGTCTGCGTCGCAACCCAAGCCTCATCAGCAGTGGAGTCGAGCAAGTCCTGTCCTGGGACAGCTCGTGGAATGAGTCAAAGAAGCGTCCGCTATCGGTACCGGCAAGCCCAAGTCGCACAGCAGCGAAGCGTGTTTGATGTGGGTTCGTCACAGTTGAAATGTAACTTTTGGTAGACTGCGACGCATTGAGTAATGATCATGACGCCAACGACCTGTCGAGTCGTCCGACCGTGTGTGGCGTGCAGGCCTGCAAGCAGCCGTCGAGAAGCACGAAATCGCGGCCGTATTCCATGTAACTAACTTGTTTCCAATATCGCATTTCGCATGATGGCTTGGATGAGGCTGTCCGATGGCCGCTTGGCGCGGAAACAGTGATGGATCTGATCTCCAGCCACCCATCCCGCCCCATTCTCCAACACGGCCAACAGCTTCATTGGAGCCCAAGCAAGAGTCACTTGACCGCGGACGGGGCGGCGGTGTCAATGCGACTCGACTAGGAGCTTCGGGCCCCGAGATACGTACCCCGAGGGGCTGCGCAGGCACGGGAAAAGGACCAAACAGCGTGCGTGCCACAGCAGAGCCAACTCGCATCTTAGCTGCATCTGTCCTCGAGGAGCGGCGACAACGATGATCGCCTTGGAAGGGCTCAAAATCAGAGGGCAGGCTGTGGACTGTGCCGTTGCTGGTGGGCCCGCTGCCGTCGTGCCGAAGCGAACCCAAATTCACTCTGGACCCTGGCCTAGCTTGCGTCTCTGGCGTGTGATGCGAGGTATTAATGGCAATTCCGTGTCCCGATCGGGCACATTAGCCCAGTAGTCAATCTGCAGCGCAGCGAATGGGGGCGCCTCGATGCCCTCTCAACGCCCTTGTGTAAGCGCTGGCTTGCCTCGACCAGCATGTGGGCGCCAGTGCTCCAGAGGTCGGATTGGTCGACGAGCGCTGGCCTGTCTTGGACTCGACTCGCCTCACTGGACGGTAAAGCCAGTATGTGTGCTGGTTCTGCTGTTTCTGCAGCAGCTCGATTGTGATAATATCGCACCCCAAGCCCCCACCATCAACGGCGCCTCCAGCAGTCTCTACAAAATCTCCCAAGCGCCGTCCACCCAAAGGGTCCTTTCTCCGTTTCCTCGATAGTTGTCCTGCTACAGTATACGTGCCATGCTCAAGACATTGCCTGCGAATCGTTGCTAGACTGCCTCTGAACCACCGAAACCCTCGCTTCTGAGCGTGTGCGCACCACAGCCGTGATCATGGTAAGCTACAGTCCAACGCCTATCGATAACTCAATTCTGACCCTCCTCCAGCAGGCCATGATGACACCCATTACCCCCCTAGAGCCGGGCGTGGAGATGTTTGAGAGGGGGAAGACACAATCCTTCTTTTCTTCAACTCTTGCGATCCGCTCATCGTTGGAGCGCCCGCTTTCGCATGTCAGCGTTGCATATACCGACATTGAAGATATCGAAGATGATTCAAGTGAATTCGAAGAATACAGTGGCTCTTCCGTACGTTCAAGCAATACTACCACGTAACCCCCTTCCACTGACAGCCTGTAGAGCGACAATAGGCGCAGCCAGACGACCATATCAACATTCGAGGAGGTCCGAACCCCAGGCGATGAGCTACGGCCACAATTTGCAAACTGGTACATGTCCAAGTCGGTCGAAGGCCCCAAAGGCCCACATCTGTTTCGCGCTTCACAGTGTTCCAACGACTTCCAATACGACTACGCTCTACAAATGTCGCCTCTTCTGCCGAAAGAACCCCCGTCCCGACTTCACACCTCGTTCAGAGAAGCCACCCCAGAAACCGTGGTCCCCCAAAGAGAATACAACAACATCGCCTTGGCGGTAGCCCACCTCGACAATGCTGAAGTGCGTGCCTGGACTTCCCGCGACGTTGCCACATGGATGTACCAGAACGGCTTTGAGGATGAAGTCATTGACAAGTTCGTCGATCATGATATCACTGGAGCCGTTCTTCTTGATCTCCAGTTCGACGACTTGAAAGAGCTGGAAATCCAATCCTTTGGCAAACGGCATCAACTGTGGAATCAGATTGATTCGTTGCGCACGGCTGAGGGCCTCATGTCTCCAGTCGCTCCTGCAGCCATCCCAACACCTTTTGAAGACATCGAACGCCCTTGTACAGAGGCAATGGATAGGTCGAAGAGCAAGAACCGGAAAGGAGGTCGACGGGACAAGTCCCGAGGTCGCAACTTGATTGATGATATTATCACTCCCGCACAATCCGTCTCAATCGTGGCTATCGAGCAGTTGCTGCCAAAACCGCACACTTGCGCTAAAGGAGAGCGATGTGCCAAGTGGAAGAAGCAGCAACGTCAGCTCGCCAGACTTCAGCAAGAGCATGGATTTCCAATTTCTCCTGAGAAAGGTGGCCACATCTTCATGGCTGGGGATCCGGGCAACGCACAAACAGCAAATCGTGCCGTCGAGAACGTCCATCGTCCCACATCAGAGGGTGCCCCTTCTCTCGTGGGGCCGTCCGTCGTAGCCTCATCTGATGTGATGGGACCTGGCCAGCTTCCCGACTTCACCATGCAAGAGCTACGAAAGCTGGAGAAACGCGATCCACAAGATAACGTGCGCCAATTCCTTTCTCTCCAGGGTATGGACCAACCGTACGCCAGTGCCACGCCTATTGAAGCTCCTCCAACACCGCCAATGGAACTGTTCCCACCTCGTCCCTTTTTGGTGATCCCACAGCAACAGCACTACCCAGAGGTTTCAGCTTTCTCCGCATCAACATCAGCAAATACGATGAGGACATTTGATATCCCAACCCCCGTCCTGCATGCCCCGGAATACGTACCCGTCCCGCATACCAATCTCAAGAGCCTCCCAAAGCTCACTATCCCCACAGCACGTTCAATGTCTGCCCAGCCTTATGGTAACCCACGCAACGCCGTCCCAGTGAACCAGTTCGTTGCACCCGACACCACCTTTTCGCCATGTAGGACAGCTGTGGAGTCTCCGGGTGCCGTTTACCGATTCGGCACACCTTTCTCCGAAATGGACGTTCCCGTTACATCTGTACCACTGGAGCCACTCAGCCGCGACACAAGCCAGTCTGTGCCCCCGAACATGCAGTACAAGATACAGGTCCAGAGATCTGGTTCGCGCACTGAATGGCGCCGCCCCTCCTTGCCCATGCCGGCGCTAAACGAGGACCGCGTGTTCAGCCCAACGGCCCACTCAGACGACGCCACCCTACATGATCGTGAAACACAGTTCTTCGACACGAACAGTGCTGACTCGTCGCCGACAAAGGTGTCCAGGTCTTTTGACAGCGAAGCTGCTGATACTGTCGCTCCTCTGCCCAAGGGAGGCTTCACCTACAAGGGTGTGAACCACCACGGCTGGATGAAGAAGCGCCACACCCGCCTTTTGCGTCACGAATGGCAAGACCACCACTTTCGTCTCAACGGCACCATGCTAGCAATGCATCCCAATGAGCTTCCTTCTTCGTCCGCATTGCAGACGATCGACGTAGACGACTACGCTGTGGCTTGCTCGTCTCTCGCCTCCAGCAAGCTCTCCGCTAGACTTAAGGCTCTGAAGCTCTCGTCGAGCCACTACAAGGAGAAGGATGTTACTGCACAACCTGCCTTTGAGTTCCAACTCGTGCCTACAGCACCCGGCAAGGGTGAAGTCAGAAGGGTCATGCCCCATGGCAAGGCTCATCACTTCGCTACCAACACTCAAGACAATAGAATTGATTGGATGAGGGAGCTTATGCTGGCCAAGGCTCTCAAGGCTAGGAGCGACGGTTACGAGGTCAATGTCAACGGTGCTGACATGTGAACGTTTTCCTTACTTTTGTCATTTGTTTTTCTTCGCGATTCACCAAGCGAGCGAGCCGGCGTTCTGATTATTTGCTACTTTTGCGTTGCTTTTCTTCGCCCTTTCCTACTACGCTCATTGGAGTGCCTGATCATGACCGCTATTATACCCTTCGCGCCCTTTCTTTACTTAGTTTGCATTTGCATTTTAGCACATCATCTCTTCACTCCATAGCATTACTTTCACTACACTTAAAGACTTGGACGCTTAGCAAGACCGCAAGGTCGGGGAATACATGGACACACGTTTGTTGGGTAGTTAATGGCATGGAATTGGAGCGTAGGCATGGTTATTTCCTTCCTCGTTTCACGGTTTGGGGCGGGCATCTGAATACCAAAAGTAGTTGTAGCGTTGGTTGAGGGATGAGGTGAGATGGATAGGACGGCGAGGAGCTGGAAAGGGGAGTTATAGGTACTACAATGAATGAAATGAGATTACACGAACTCTGCTCTCACACCGCGCTCTTTGTGTCTGATTTTAAAATTGTCAAATTCTTGTCTTCGTTGTCACAGAGCTCACCCGCTAGATCAGCAGTGCCTCTCGACCAGGGCCGGTCAGGGCCGGCATCATTTGACTGTCACCCGGAAAGACCCCAAATTAGTCGCGATTACGTGCATGTCTATTATATTAATGTCTCGGGCCTTAGTGCATGAAAGTGCTACCTCGCTCGCCCTCGCATGAAGCGTTCCCGCCCTCACTTCCCCCGCATGAATGATTCGTTCCGGTTGGAAACGGCGGGATCTACTCCGCATCTGAAATACTTTGCATTAAGTCGCTGCTGAATCCACCACGAACCGATCTTCGCACTGAAAAGAGTGCCTCGCGGTTAGCCTTTTGGATCATGCCTTGGGAAAAAGTATAGCGTGACAAATACCCATATTGTGGTTTCCGGGGGTTGGTTCGGTGACACCCGTTAATGTGTGTTGAGTTTTGAAGAACAGAAATTGGATGTGACGTCTGTGTAGAACATGTGTTGTAAATGTCTACCCTTTCTTCTAGAGAGTAGTTTGACCTTGGGGAAATATGTCATGTCGAATTTAATGAGCTATGTTTTCGTCCTTTCTTCACGTGCTTCTCATCTCCTATCCACCAGATGAGTAACACAAAAGCTAAATTTCCCTCCGAAACTTTAGAATCGCACCGACCCCACGCACCACGAGGAAGGTGTACGAGCCCTCGACTCGGGTCTGATTCAATTCTCTCGTTAACCACAAACATGTGCATGACAGCGGGTACTTGCAGAGAATATATTTTCGTGGATTCCCGAGGGTACTACGAGCTGTCAAGATAGAGCGGCATGTCCTGGGCGCCGGGAGTGATGAAATTAGTGTTAGTTCTGTAACCGTGAACTTGCCAATGTGATGGTACTGTCGTAGCCTAACTGTGAAGCAAGCACATGCGAAGTAACATGAATCTAAGTGAGTCATCTTGTCCAAGTAGTAGGGTAAATGAGCACGATCACGCGTGGTTGCTCATAACAACACACACTATCACGTATTCCGCTGCGCTAGGTAACAATCGTTTCAAGCTGAAACTTCACGACGTGAATTAAATACCACATTGGCAAGATAGCAGACGAGGAGAGGCAAGAGAAAACTATAGTTCGTTCCAAAGTGAGATAAATAAATCATAAAATTCTTCAAGGAGATGAGTAAATACAAAAGGCACCGGCTATCCACCCATCATCATGCAAACATCCTCTGTACGCAGATGCTATCCAATGATGAGAAACCGAGCCTACTCTATGGTACCCTGCGCTGGTGCTGGGACTTGTGCCTCAGAGCAACAGTAATTCAAGAGTCTTTGAGTGAAATGAACAAGCCCGTCGGATTCGTTGTAATCATAGATGGTTGAAATCCGTCGAGTGTTCAGAGTCGAAGTGAAGAAGTGAATAGAGGACGGGAGTATGCCAGTCCGTTGAAGAGGAGCCGACGAGTCGTAGAGAGAGGTGAAGTGGAACTAGTTCTTAGCCTCGGGTTGAGCTTCAGGAGCCGCCTCAGCTTCTGGCTGAGCCTCTGCCTCGGGCATGGCTTCTGGGAAACGCTTGCCGATGGGAAGACCGTACGGCCTCCACGGTGTCCAGTTCCAACCTGCCTCTGCCGCTGCCTCTGCCTCGCGCTTGCCGATGGGAAGGCCATATGGGCGCCATGGAGTCCACTTCCAGCCTGCTTCTGCCTCTGCCTCCGCATCGCGTTTGCCAATGGGAAGGCCATATGGGCGCCATGGAGTCCACTTCCAGCCTGCTTCTGCTTCTGCCTCCGCATCACGTTTTCCGATAGGAAGGCCGTACGGGCGCCATGGAGTCCACTTCCAGCCTGCCTCTGCCTCGGCATCGCGCTTTCCAATGGGAAGACCGTACGGCCTCCATGGAGTCCACTTCCAACCTGGCTCTGCTGCAGCCTCTGCATCGCGTTTGCCAATGGGAAGGCCGTACGGGCGCCAGGGGGTCCATTTCCAGCCTGCCTCAGCGTCGCGCTTCTCGTAGAAGGGACCGTGGGGGCCGTAGTAGAACTCCTCAGGGAAGCCTTCCGGAAAGCCCTCCGGGACTTCAGGCTCGACCTCGGCGGTAGTGGCGGGAGCGTCTGCCTCAGTAGGTACTGGGAGGGCAGCACCAGAGGCGGTTGCCACGAGGATGGTGGCGGCGATGATGGCGTTGATCCTCATGATGAAGAATCAGATGGGTTCGTAAAATGAGTGGTATAAGTTGGAGAATCGTATGTTGACTGTGACCAGATGCTTGCCTATGGTCGCTGAGCTTGTAGTCAGTGGTGAGAGAAATTCAGTGTTGAGAAGGGAAGTATTTAACTTCGAAGGTCAAACAAGTAAATAGATCAGGCGTTCGAGGCCGCTCGCCTCCCCGCTGCTGTCAATAAGGTCAATAAAGAGTAAAAAATGTCAATAGGCCTATTCATCCAATAGAGGAGCAGCGCGCCGAAGTGAAGGTGAAGCCTTCAAAGGGATCACTCTTAATAGAAGTAGATTAGAGCCGAGATCAAGGTTCTATTCGGGCGAACAAGGTCATCTAGACCTTGGTATGCCTAGACGGCGACGACCACCGTTGTTCCAAGATATTCCTGATACTCATATCGATCAGCGGGCTCGTAAATATACAAAGAGCATGTATATTCTTTAGCAATTTAACAAGGGATTGCTACAGTTATGAAAGGGGGGTGAAGGGAGGGCGTGGTGGTGAGGTTTCCCTATTTGGGTCTGAATAGAACTCAATAGGCATTGAGGCTTGGCGCTCTATTGAGCCCACACCGAACATTACTCCGCTAATCCGTCACCTCTTCCGCGGCTCAGACACTACTCGGGGGGAATGTGCCATCTGGAGCAATGATTGGTGGGCATTCTCAGTATACATGGCGATTGCGGAGGCTGTTCGTACGCGATGGACACGTGGGCGTGTGGAAGCATGAGGCGTATTGCCTACCTTGTCTACCATGATTGCAGGCATTATGTAACCATATTTCCAACTTGAGTCACCCAGGACATTCATTAACTTCCGCTGTGATCTCTAGCTCTTCCATATAATACTGTGTACTACATTGTCGAGCTATAATGTAAGAGTGAGGTGCCGGAAAGAAGAAGGGATCCGTACTGACAGGCCAGTCTCTATGATGATGATATTGCGAAGTAAGACAGACTCTGGCCATTGGGCCAGTTGGACAGTGGTCCATGATCGACCGTCCATTCCTGCGGTATTGCAAGTTTTACACAAGTTGCTCGGATGCAGTAGATTGGTTAATAGCGCCTTGTTGGCCTGGTGGCCGGTGCATAAGGGCAGAAATTACTTTCAGAGTGTTCAGAATGCGTGATATATATCGGAGGGACACAAGCTATCCAATTGATGTTGCAGGTGTTGGTAGTAGAGAAGTCCCTCGGGTGCTGCCAAGAAGTGTAGTCTATGCTTATTCAGCTGCTGCACGGCCTCGCGCCACAAATCGGAGCTCATCGCGAGAGCTTGTCGCGATCCGCGATGTGACGCCATTGCGAAAGATGTATGCTCAATTAGCCAATGTGACTGCTCCCACCTTTCGACGAACTCTTTCAAGCTTCAAAAGAAACTCGACATGGATCTGCACATCGTGTCAAGCTCATAGCATCCGCAACCGACGATATATATCGACGCAACTATCTCCCGAGAAGCCCTACTACATCACCACGCCGATATTCTACGTGAACGCCGCCCCTCATGTCGGACATTTATATACCATGGTCCTTACGGACATTGTCAAGCGATGGCATGTCTTGAAGGGGGAAACTGCGCTATTATGTACGGGAACAGACGAGCATGGGTTGAAGGTACGACTATAGTATAAAGCGAAGACTAGCTGGACTTGACTAAGAGATGGATAGGTTCAAAGGGCAGCTTCAAAGGCTGGAGTCGAGCCCAAACTCTTCTGTGACAAAGGCGCAGAGATCTTCAAAGTACGCAAGAGGACGTCCTCCAGATCATCGCAACCGCTCACACATGGAAGGAACTTGCGCGAAAGGCAGAGATCACGAATGATCACTTCGTGCGGACCACGGATAGGGAGCATAAAGACGCTGTAGAATATGCATGGGTATACAACTTCGAGAGAACGTGATAATCCGTTGTGGCTAACGGTAGACAGTTTTTGCTGCAGGAGAAGGGTCTCATCTACGAGCAGCAGCATGAGGGATGGTACTCTGTCACAGATGAATGCTTTTACCCACAATCTGGTGTACGACCCTACCTCGACCCGCCCACAGGAAGAAAGATGATGGTACAGTTTCCGACAGATGATGGTCGATCGGCTGGCTAACTGGCTCGCAGACATCGATAGAAACGGGGAGCGAGGTTGAATGGTCTTCCGAAGAGAATTACCACTTCCGTCTCTCAGCATTTCGCGACCACTTGCTAGAGTTCTACAACGCAAATCCCGAATGGATAACCCCCCAAAACCGCATGAAAGATGTTGTGCGCGCCGTAGAGTCTGGACTGGAAGATTTGTCAATATCTAGGCCATCCGACCGTCTCACATGGGGTGTCCCAGTTCCGGGAGATGACTCGCAAACAATCTATGTCTGGCTTGATGCCCTCATGAACTACGCTTCAAAGGCAGGCTATCCTTGGGCTCCCGGCCGTGAGCATGCAGGAGGCTGGCCGGCAGATTGCCACGTGATTGGCAAAGATATTGTTCGGTTCCATTGCATCTACTGGCCAGCATTCCTTATGGCACTTGGTCTTCCGCTTCCTAAGAAGATCCTTACTCATGCGCACTGGACACTTGGAGGGTCCAAGATGTCCAAGTCGACTGGTCGCGTCGTAGATCCCTTCCATGCGCTTGATAGGTTTGGATCGGATGTCATGCGTTTTTACATGGCTCACGATGGCGGCATACAGGACGACTCGAGTTACGACAACTTTCGCATTCTTGAGTTATACAACAAGTTCTTAAACAAGCAGTTGGGTAACCTTGCGTCTCGCGTCACTAGAGGCAAGAAATGGAGTGTGCGGGGAGCAGTTGAACGTATCGGTGACAGGACAAGGGAAAACTGGCAAGACGGTCCAGGTTCCAAGTTCTATAACAACAGTCTTAGCACAATTGCGTCGAACATAAATGCTTCATTCGATGCATACGATCCTCGAAAAGCGGCATTCCAGATTACAGAATTCGTGCGATCAGCGAACCAGTTCTTCCAGTTGTCTCAACCCTGGGACAAGATTATCCCATTCGGCCCAGGCGAGCCCGGCGAGGACGTGGACAAGATCATATACCTTGGGGCTGAAGCACTTCGCATAACTGGTATTTTGCTACTACCGTACATGCCGAACAAGGCGAGTACATTGCTTGATCAACTTGGCGTTCACAACGATCGCAGGACATTCGATTACTGCGAACCTGGAGCTGATCTGGATTATGGAGAGCCAATGGTCGAGCTGGGTGTGGCACACAAGGGTACACTATTCCCGCCTTTACCGAGCGAAGGGTGATTGAGCATGTATGTTGTTGTTGTTGTTGTAGCATATGTAAAGTAGCATAGGGCGCTGTAGAATACCAATACGTCTTAAACAGTACATTCAATTCAGAAGGAACCGGAAACAATCATATCTTATGTATGAAGACCAAAACCGCTCAGGCAGACTCAACAATGGAACGACATACTATGTACAGTAAAATCCACGTGTCCATGCCAGCTTGGAACAAAAACGGTAACTGCAGTATGTTGCGGGCTGGTCGTTGTTTCAACTCTAGTAAGTACGCGATGTACTCAGTTCATGAAAGGACTATAAGTTCATCCTATCGTCTTGAACAATGACTAAATGATTATTTTAAAGGTATATTTCCCCCTCGGCGAGGAGGGAGAGCTTTACGAGGGGGCAATACTATAAGGTATATCTGACAGCTTCCAAAGACAAAGGAGGGCAAGCGGGCAGAGGGCAGAGGGCAGAGGGCAGAGGGCAGAGGGCAGAGGGCAAGCGCAAGCGCGAAAGATCGTGCGCTTGGTGAGTCGTGAACTCACCCGTGGAAGTTCTGCGGTAGTGATTTGGTGGTAGCGAATTCTCGGCGCACAGTATATAAGACAGCGCAGGGAGAATCATCATCTACCTCAAGCAGCAATCATCTTAACCTCCACCTCCTAACTATCTTGCACAGCTGCCGCGATCGGCAGGCAAGTGCAGCCGAGGCTCGCTAACAACTTCCACCACAGCTCCGATAGTTTCTCATCTTTATACACATCCCCACCATCGCAAGCGTAACTGCGCACTCACCTACATGTTTCTCGATATTGCTTAACCATCACTAACCGGAATTTCCTTTCCTCTGGAGTAACCGCTCCTGAGTCTGTGCAACCGCCACCATGGCTTTCAACAGCTGGGACAAGCTCGCCAAGGCTCAGCGTGACTACTCGAAACCAAAATTTGCGGTCGCGGTAGTAGATAAAGCGCTCAAGAAGAATCCAAAAAATCCCTTCCTTTCCGTATGTCCCCTTCAAGCAGATACTTCATCCTTACTCTAATTCTCGCACAGGCGTGGAAAGCGGATCTTTCGCTTCGAACGAACCTTAGCCCGAAGGGTATCTTAATCGGCTTGCAAACCACCTGCCAGCTGCCAGGCTTGACAGATACTCGATTGCTCTCCTACTTGTACAGACTTTGCGTGGAGGCATCGCGAGGAGCTCTTGGAACCCAGGCCAACTCTCTCGGTACAGAGTTTCTCAAACCCTGGCAGAACGCTGCAAAAGCCTTAGATCGCAAGAACGACAGACTGGATTTATGGGGCACGCTATTCAACGTAGCAATGCGCGAGAACTGCTGGGAGGACGCTCGCTTTGTATGTCGCCTCCATCTAGTCCCTAGTCCTTTGAACGCTGATGATTGATGACTTGCAGGCAGTCGTTAATTATAATAAAGAAGGGCCACCTTCCAAGAAGATCGCTCACTATACGCACATCCTCGCCGTTCAACTTGCCGCTGAGCAGAAGAATGACCCGTCGAATCCTAATGCGCAGATGTCTCAAATACAATATGGCGTAGCACGTAAGCTGATGAAGCAAGCATTCGAAGCGTCTTCAGTATGGCTTCCGCATTGGGTAAAACCTAACCCGTTGTTACACTATACTAACTTGGTACAGGATGATCCCATAGCAGTCAAAGATATACGAGATCTACGATTCATGGCCGACATCTTCAGGTGGCAAGATCGATGTGCCGAACTCTTCGCTCTTTGGGACAATCCACCCGCTAGGTTAAGGAGCCTCATGAAGACACACCGAGACGACTTGATTAGCCTTAAAACACGGTTTCTCTTGCAACAAGAAGACTGGCTGCTTCTCGAGAGCCATTGTTACAATAGCATCGAAGAAGTCATATCACAGTTGAACCTGGGCCAGGACTCCAAGTCCCTTTGGGAACTTTGTGCGTGGAGATGGGATCTATGGGGTGCTTTGTTACAAGCAACTAAGGCCATACGCCCGGGTCAAGAGTAGGTACTCGTATAAACAATTCCATCGTTCATGCTAACGGTACAGGGGAATTGATAAGATATCTGACATGATGGACCGCTGCTTCGCAGGATTTGAGGCGAAAGACCGCCCTCTGCGTCTAACGTACATGAAGTTGCGCCAATTTATTGGCACTCCAATGCTCTCCGACTGCAAGGAGTACTGGGACAATCATTCGGAACTTTCTAGTTGTTTTGCAGACCTCCGTCCATTTGTTGAACGACTGCGTGTCGAAGACCAGAAAGATTTCAGTATGTTCATCACGAACCAAACGAAGGGTGTCAAAGCTCAACTAGGTCTCGCCGAGGTGTGTATTTCTGTCAATTTTGAAACTTGAACTCGGCCCTATTAACAACTGTATAGGATACATTCGAGCGATGGCAACAAGCCGAGCAGAACGTCCTGAAGTTCGACTATTTGCTGACAATATCGTTGCCCACGATGCCTTCTTATGACGCTCTGGAGAAGTTCATCACCAAGGCAATTGGATTTTGTGTAGCATGCCCCACAAGTCCGGACGGTGGCTTTTTGGTCATCTATGCTCTCTTACGCCTACACCACCAAATTATGTGCGGAGAGGAGGGAAAGGCCCCTTTCGAAATCACACAAAATTCACGTGTTCTCCTACAGGCTGCGATGCTTGCGCGTCACTTAGTCGCTCAAGATAAGAACAAGCAGAACAGAACACTGTCTCTACTTGCTGCTCGTTTACATCTAAACCTAGGCCTCGGAAAATGTGCGTTTCAACTGTACAGTTACACGAAATGTAAGGAGATGCTCTTGGACACATTATCGCCGTACATTCTCTCCCGAATCTCTTCAACACATCCATTCGATATCTCGGGCTATCAAAGCTTTTCGGCAGATGAAGAACTTGCGAAAGTCATTAGTACAATTGAGAGAATGGAGCAAAAGACGGACGGATACCTTTATACTGACATGCAATCCTTTGCCTGGGACCGGGCGGTAGACGTGGTGAATCTCAAGCGAAAGCTAAAATCAAGCTTGACGAAACAAATTTGCATAACAGAACGCCGTCGCATATCACGATTAAGGGGAGAGTCAACCGATAGTCTGCCAACCCTACACATCGATGGTAAGTTAACCTCATTCTGAATACTACAGGGGCTGAAGCGTTTCGCGCTCATCATAGTGAAAGTCTTCGCTAACCATTATAGCGTACAATGGCACGTCAGACAATGTCGATAGGTCGGTCTTGCCGAACTTTGATGGCACCGATTCTGTTGGCCCACTTCCAGTTGTAATGCCCGCCGGAATTCCCGACGAGATTTGGCTAGCTGAGAGTTATGGCACATGGGATTGTGCGAGCAGGTTTTTCTACCAAGAGGGACCGTATCTGAACCCTAACTACTGGAACCCAAAATCTGCACGCGACACGGATGAGGTGGACCCGAATTGGGCGAGCAGGACACGAGCGGACTCACTCGTCCTAAGCCTGTGGGTCAATATCGACTTTTACACCCTCCAGGCACTATATGTGGTCGAGAAGGAGGGGATATACGACACACGTTGCCAGGAGTTCATAGGTAATGTCCATTCGATAAGAAAGGCCATGGAGAAGCTGCGCATGCCTGGGGCCACAACGCTGAAGCCCGAAGACGAGCCAGTAATGTTTCACGAGAACATGCTCATATCCTGCTACACGAAGCTAGAAGCTCTTCGGGCGCTCAACAAGCTCATCGAGCACCTGCGCGAAAAGATTCTGAACGCCAAGAGCACCCATCAAATGAAAAGGAGTTTGCCGAAGGACTGGGTCAACAACTTGGCCAGCGAGATGCAGATATGCTACGAGGCGATACGCGACATAGCGCAAAGCTATATCAACCTAATCAGGAAGAAGGGAGAGGCTGCAATCAAAGCACAAATAAGGTGGGGCAAGATAGGCAACCTCCTGGGGGCTTTGCTTAATGATGGGGATGTGCATTACTATGCGAGCGAGTATATCGAGAGTGCACTGGAGGCTTGGAATGGTGTGCTAAAGGTTAAGCTTAAGTAGCAGGATTAGATAAAGGATACGCGCTATACACATAGGGTGAAAGGCCAGTAGGTAGTGCATGGCAAGATTGTTAAGCGCTTCTCAAAGGACGGTTTCACCGTGACTTGTGCGTTCAAGTTGCAAGGAAGAGGTTCAAGCTCGCTAGACTATCAGTCAATCGTAGAGACTGTGTTGCAATACGAACCACTGTTGCTGAACCAATTATACCCAACATAAATCGAAGGACGAAAGCCTATCAGACCAGACCAAGCAGTATGAAGCTTCTTTTCTTTCTTTGGATAGTCCCTATTGAACCTCCAAGTCCCTGCCCACCATACATCATGCGTCTCAGCCGATTTACGCTGCTGATCTAAGTTTAACGATAGACCAAAAGCTAGGTGCAGTGTTATTGGTTCTTCGATTGCGTCGCGGTGAATCGAACGCGAAGGGCCAGGCTTCTTTTTCACTCAGAGTAACCTCAAAGTGAAAGGCGCAAACGGGGCTGCTACACAGGCAAGGAACTTCATCCTACCAACCGCTAGCTGCACCATAGTTACTCATCTTTGTAGGCTTCGAAACTTACCATCCATTTGGCGCTGTCGCTCGACAGCCATCAACCCGTCGCGCACGACTCTGCATACGCTATGCATTTTACAATTCAACCAAAAGCGCCAAAAATACCTCGACCGTCTCCTCGCAGTCAATCCGAGTCTAGCGACCCACCTAAACACATTACTGAAGCATCGCGCCCACCGCGAAAGTCGTCTCTCCCAAGGCTACCTGATCGCAGCATCATGCACTTGCCGAACATTTCGATCAGCAGCACAACACAGTGCGACCCAGAAAATGATCCTGAGACTAGCCCTAGCAGTTTTGGGAATACACCAAGCATCTCCGCAGGACCTTTGGGCCGTTCCCATAGCATCAATGTCCAAGCAATGTCGAAGAAGAGTGGCTCTAGGCATGCTGCGTTGGGTCGCGGAAAGAGCTTCAAGAAGACTATGGAATCAATCCTCAACGGTGATACTGTCACCGATGGGATGCCATCCCAGCCGATTGGTATATGGCGCTGCTGTAAATGTCACAAGGGCCACGACATATACAACTTTGAAAAAGGCGCCCACCTAACCAGTATCCTGAACTGCGTGTGCACCCACCGAAGCTGCTCCAACTGCACGCTGGACGGGTTGATCAAGAAATTCCAGCCCATGAACGAGCCGGAAGTGGTCCAGCTCCCCGAAGATGGATCGAAGCAGGTACGGTTCGGCGTGTTCTGCGATGGATGCGGACTGTCCTGGAGGGCACAGGGTGTTGGCAAAGATCTGTCAAAGAAGTCAGCACTGCATCGGATCTCTGCCCTCCCTAAGCTTCTTGCAAAGCGGGGAGCACATCCTTTAGAGAAACTCAGGCATGTGAAATCCATGACCAATCTCTCATACCCGGAGTCAGATATTCCGCCGTCCGCCTCCCGATCGACGCTCAATCTACGAGTGCTCTCAAACGAGATGACAAAGGGGCATGGCAAGCAAGCCGAGTTTGCAACAGTTATGTTCGTCGGCATCCAGTGCACCTGCGGTCTTGTCACGGACCCTTCTTCCCTCTGTTTCCAGCTAGTGGATCCACCTAGGGACCTGCCTGAAGCAAGGAGCGCGAAGACCGTGGCCGAGAGTACAGTCCCAACCTTCAATAGCACACCAGAAGACCTAGCAAGGGGTCATGGGACACCGATGCTCAGTCTAAAGGGTCGCCAGCATGTCAACCCACTCATGAGCAACCCGATCACGGAGGGTGCCTGATATGTAGCGTTGGCCAGCGGTCCCCGGGCGATTTGGAGGAACGATATGTATGGAGCTCTGTTCGAGTACTACGAGTTGGTGATACTAACAGCCTCCGGTTTTAGGAAGATGACAACCGTAGCAGATTGATTTCGAACCGGATTTGCTACAGCATGGGGGATCGGGATGACTGCGAACCTTGATACTTTTATAGAATTTGCGCAACTCCTTCAGGATGGTCAGCATATGTTGGCGCAAGGTGAAGTGAAGTAGAAATATATCTGTCGATCCTAAGCAGTTCACAAGCCATGGTTCCTTCACTGCACCTGCTCCAGATTCTCCCCTCGTGGTAGTGCTTGTGGCTGCTCTCGGCCTCATCTGGTGTAAGGATGCGCTCTCAGGCAATGAGCATCGTAACTGGTAGGCAGCAGAAACTAGAAAGGTTGTGAGTGACATCAAGTCTTCAACAGACGTACAGAGCGGGATCCGTGATCCTAAGATCTGCCGTCATGCTGATGGGACGGCCGAAAACGAGGCCACCCTGGACCTGGCGGTGTGCGTTCTTGCCTCAGGCTGCCATACGAACCCGTGCACCAATACAGGAGAAGACACTGTGGATCATGACTATTTTCAGTGATGCCTACAATTGCTGGTCCACTTCTTGCTCGACAATTAGCGTAAGTCAATGAATGAGATATCCCAGAAAGACTCGACCCCTTCGCAGGCGCGCGCTTAGTTCTCTCGTCAGCTGTCACCTTCCCTTCACAATAGCTCTTTCGGGGCTCTCCGATGACCCGCAGCCAGCAAAGTCGACATATGTCAAACACATGTCCCCTTGTACTATTTTCATCGCGTTTCGCTATTCTCGTTGATGTGAACAAAGTGCATTCAGGTACTGCCTCAGGAGAACAGCCCTACAGACAGCCTCACGACAAGCACTAGGGGGCTTAAAGAGATCGAAAGTCTCACCAGCCACAGTCAATCAGAATGTACGAATCTAGCGTCTAGGCATCGTCAAAGGGGGTGAGTCGGTGTAGACTCCGTGCTATAGGCACGCGGAATATGTACAGTGGCCGTGCAGCACGCCACGAGGCTGAGCAAAGAACTGCTGTTTGGCTACTGTTGCCTCAACGTAGCGTGTAACATGACCAACGAGAGTGAATAGTATAGATAAAACGCGAGATGTCGTGCGCACAAAGAAATGCTTGTACAGTATTCCAGTTGTTTGTTTCATAGTTCAGACGTCAAGCAATCTGATTGTTGCCAATATTGTCCGTTTGCGTTCAGGGCTCACCAACACCAAGACCGCCGCAATCAGGGCGCACGCCATGCCATTGGTTAAGTATGACACCCCACCCGGTTCTGAATAGACGCTGTACTGACTTCCACACTCAGCTTCCAGCCACTGCACTCTTACACCACTTTTGCGCGATCTGCTACTTTTCCAAAGTCGACGGTTGTTGTTGCGCGGGAACGAGTGCGACAGGTTGCTGGCCATTTGGCGAGATCCAACACGATGGCGTCCATGTGCTCCAAGGAGGAGGTACACGAGTCCGAACCACCAAAGACAACGACTGCATCGCAAAAACAGGCTGCAAACACAGACTCGGAAAAGAAGACTGCAGCGAAAAAATGCCCGACCTGCGACGGCTCAGGATCTATAGAAGCCCAAGAGCCCACAACACAACCTGCTCCCAAAGGCGCAGCCGTGGACATCGACCAAGAGGTCAAGGACATATACAACCAACTCCCACCACTCCCTTCCCCGCTACCAAAGGCTCATCCAGAGTTCGTCCACGCCCTGCCCCCAGTAGCTCCCATATACCGGAAATTCTCCGTATTCACCGCCGGCAGCATAGAAATGGGCGCGGCAGTCCAATGGCAAAGACAACTAGCCACCGTACTGTCCCCTTTGCCCATTACTGTCTGCAACCCCCGCAGAGGCCACTGGGATCCAACAGTAACGCCGGAAGCCAAGGACGAGTCGTTTCGGCAACAGGTCGAGTGGGAGCTTGGCGCGCTCGAGCAGGCCGATGTCATCTGCTTCTTCTTTGACGTCAACACCAAGAGTCCTGTGACGCTTCTTGAACTGGGTCTCTGGGCTGCGTCGGAGAAGGTCATTGTGTGCTGTGACAAGAGGTATTGGCGCGCGGGTAACGTGCATATTGTATGCGGCCGCTACAAAGTCCCTTTTGTCGAGTCGTTTGCGGATTTGGCTCCGGCGATTGAGGCTATGCTGAAGAAGAAGGGGATGCAACTTGATGGCAATGGGGACCTGATTGGGCCGAATGAGCACGTGCCAAAAACGGTCAAGAAGACGGTGTTAGGGGGTTGATTTCTCGAGATGCGTTGGCGGCGGTTTGTACAGGAGTTGGCGGGTCATTTGAGCATTGTCTTTGGGTTATGTTTTTTTTTATTGTTTGTCGTTATTGTCATTTTTGTTGTCTTTTGATTTATGGTTATTGCGTATATGCACCTGCTTAGAGCGATGCTAGGCATCTTTCCCTGTGCGACTCGAGGTGCGAATGGAAGCCATGACGATGAATGCTCTTCCCTCTGTGAATACATTTATCTCTCAATCTTCACCGCTTTTACAAACGCGCGCCCACAGCATACGCCTTCGACTGCAAAGCTCCCTACTCCACCCCGCGCTCAATCTATATTGTACTCAACCCAGCACAGGCAACTCTACGCCCAAGACATATTCGCTGTATAACCTTGCGACTACACCTCCTTTCCACTTTTGGTCCTCGAAATGGCCACGCAAATGGCCACTCAATCACAAACCCCAGCCCCTACATACCCGTTCCTTACCGCTGCTCTCGACGGTACTTTGACATACTGCTCTACAGCGGCAGGTGATCTCGGCTTACTCTTCAACGCCATATACGCCCACCCACAGCTCTCTCTAGTGCTGAGGCGGGTAGAACTCTCACTCGCATTCGACAACGCCCGCCACTCTGGGGTGCTAGAGTTCGTGCAAGAAGTTGTTGAGAGGACTGGGCTAGAGATGAAACTAGCGCCACTTGGAGGAGATGTACGTATGGACTTTTTGGAGAGGGATTGCACGAGATTAACACTCGCTGACTTGAGATAGGACTGGGAGAGGGACGAAGAGGACATGGAGTTACAAGAGGAAGACGAAGAGTTAGTAGAAGCTGGTCTTGACAAAGACAACATCGATACCGCCATTGATGCTGATGTCGTTATGAGCGTTGTTGACTCCAAGGCAAAAGCCTCGATCGCAGTACAAGCCAACAGCAAAGACGAAGAAGACAAAGGCTCGGATAAGCACACCACACACGCGAGGCAAACATACGCATCCCTCACCGACTCATCCATCACATCCACGGGCCCCTCCATCTCAGCATCTGGCCCTCCTTCCAGCGATTCTACAGGCAATAACGACGACCTTCTCCACACCTCGGACGAATCTATCCGCGACCAAATCAAGACCACCATCGAAGACTTTGAACTACTCAAGGCCATGTCTCAAATCACGTCGCTCGACGAAGTAACCGAGCAGATGCATCGGCAACTGCTCTTAGCGCTATTGAGCGTGTGCGAAAACGTCGAGATCATTGAGCTCCCGCAGCCTGTGGAAATATTGGAGTCATGTTAAGATTTGAAGGAAGCTCGACTACGTTTGATAAGAGGGAGGTGGCTTGAAGTAGGTGTAATACACTGTCAAGGTGGGATATATTAGATATCCCTGTGCTATTATATGCTTGAACAAGGCTCTTATAGACAGCCACAATCAAGTTGTTGTAAATATTGTTTGTCGGCTTCTTCGCTACGTCTGCCTTCCTACGGTAAATTTAAATACCCCCTGCGGTTCATCCCAGGTTCATGGAAGAATTAGGCATCTTCTATAATGCCTCCTCATTGCGTCCTTGAAATAGGCCAGACATCTGTTATGACAAACTCGGTGAGTCTATCGCAAGTACATCGAGGATGGACGTCTATAACTGTGTTGAGCGACATCGAAGCGCGACTGGGACACGGGTGGAGAAAGTATGCGTCGCGAACTATCTAGAGCCAGCGAAAATGTCCCGAAGCTGCTGACACCGTGGTAACAATGGACATATGTCGCAAGACCCAACCGTCCCAAGGCAAACAACAGACCAACGAACCTTGACCGCAGTCTGCAAAACCAGCACCCAATACTCAAATCCTTTGCCTATGGAGGCCTTGTAGCTCTTCTCGACGTGACGTGTGCACTGCATCTCGACTCTTATTCCAACCTCACCCCTCCTCGACATCAAACGCGACCCTCAGCCACAAACTGCACCCCTCACAGCCCACCAGCACCTCTTTCTCGCCCCTCGTCTCCGCATCTTCGAGCTCTTCCTCCAGTATCCTGAACCCCTTGTCCGCACCACAGCGACACGGTCTTGTCCACTCCATGGCCCCAGTACCCTCTTCGGTCGAAGGGGTAGTAGTCGTGCCCGTCGTCTCGACGACATCAAAGTCGCTAAGATCGAGCAATTCGAGGCCGAGGATAAAGTCGGTACTGGGTTCTCGTAGATGTGACGACGTTGACAAAGGCAGCGAGGAGTGCAGCGTATCGCCGTTATGAAGCAGCCAGTTGTCGTACTCTGCTTTTCGAGTACGGTCTGCTAGTACCATGTATGCCTCCTTTACATCGTCTACCGTGTATGCGGCTTTCGTCTTGGGAGTAGCGGCGCGCGTCTTGTCCGGATGCGCCGTCAGCAGCGCAATTTTGTATGCTCTGCGTACCTCGACCGCAGGGCCTTGATCTTTGGTGCCCCAGCTTGGCGCCTCAAGGCCTAGGATATGGTAGTAATTCTTTGTGTAAGAAAAAGCCATCTTTTCCTACTCTCTCATGCGTGCTCCATTTGTCGTTCTGCGCGGCGTTCGATAGCGGGTTGGGAAATATGATCGATGACCGTCGTGTCTCTCGCTTTCGATGTGTTTACGCAAAAGGACGCAGAGTGCTTCGTGCCAGCCTGGGGCTTACACCCTCAAACGGGTTTGTTCTGTTTTGAGACGCGACGCGCGACGTGAGTCGAGAAAAAGTTTAGCGGGGTGAGTTCGGCTGTGGAGGGGCAAACCCATGTTTGGGACCATCTGCATGTGCGAGACAGCACAACACATGGCAAAGGGCCGATACACGAGTATGGAACATGTGAGACTATTGAGTTCAAGGTACCAATTCATTCACGTAGATCATTGGCTACTGGAGTGGTGTTGAAGGGGGTAGCAGATTTGAAGTAACGATTCCTTTGGCCTAGCTAAGAGTGCAGTATGATGACATTAGGCCCATGAGAGCATTTCGAACCAGCTTCATGGCCCATCGAAAGAGATGTCCTGACTCAAAAGATACCGCCAAGAGGAGCTCAAACATCCCAGTCCACCGTAGGGTTGCGGTGTTCATGTACTACCAAAACGAAAACAGGGGGAATTGAGGATCGCGTACGAGGAACCATGCACCAATCCTCCATCTTTGCCGAAAGCAGCCCGAAATCCTTCGTGAGAAGGAAGATCAGTGAGATATGCAGGGTCGCATATGGTACGCACCTGCAACACACTGCGTGCTCGATGGGGATAGCGCGAGTGGTGGAGAGAGGAAAGGGAAAATACATCAGTCATGGGGAATTCGACCGTCCGACCCGCTTGCTGCCAAAGCCAATTTTTGAAATCACAGAACACACACAACTCCGTGGGACGCTCGCTGCCGGCCTCGGCCGTCTGTTCGAGAACAGATGACGGTGGCTGAGGATACACAAGGTCGAGAGAGAGGCGGGGTGTGCTTAAGCGGCCGGGGCGGGGGCAGGGGCAGCAGCCGGTGGCTGCTCCTCGGTCTTTGGCTCAGATGCAGCTGGTACGTCCTCAGTGGCCTTGGCCTCCTCCTTGGGGGCATCAGTGGTGGAGGGCTCAGCCTCGTTGCCGTCCGATGATGTCCAGAGGGTAAGGTTGTCACGGAGAAGCTGCATGATGAGGGTGCTGTCGCGGTAGGACTCCTCAGAGAGAGAATCGAGCTCAGCGATGGCGTCGTCAAAGGCCTGCTTGGCAAGGTGGCAGGCACGGTCGGGGGAGTTCAAGATCTCGTAGTAGAAGACCGAGAAGTTCAACGCCAGACCCAGGCGGATGGGGTGAGTAGGTGTGAGCTCAGTCTGGGCAACGTCGGTAGCCGTCTGGGTGGTGGGGTTAGCTGTTTGTTGTTCTGCCGGCTTGCGTGTTGTGATTGCGTCATACCTTGTAGGCCTCGTGTGCGGCCGTCGCAGCGACCTTGCGCTTCTCACCAGAAGCAAACTCGGCAAGATAACGGTGATAATCACCCTTCCTGTGCATGGTTAGCCTTGTGGTTTGGCCTCACGAGGCTACAGGTACGCACATCTTGTGGTAGAAGACCTTGGACTCGCCAGACTCGGCCTTGGGGATAAGGGAGTCATCGAGGACGTTGAGGACATCCTGGCAGACCTTCTCGAGCTCGGTCTCGATCTTCTGTCGGTAGTCGCGGATGGTGCCCACGTGCTTCTCAGAGCCCTTGGACTCCTCCTTCTGCTCGATCGAGGAGATGATGCGCCACGAAGCGCGTCGTGTACCGACAACGTTCTTGTAGGCGACGGAGAGAAGGTTGCGCTCGTCAACGGTCAATTCACCGCCAATCTGCAGTGTGTTAGATCATGTCCTGCGGGGGGCGCCTGCCGTCACAGGCGGCTGCTCGCACTGCGGGCGGATAAGGTCGGCATACCTTGGCAACTTCCTGCGAAACGATCAGTATGTGAGCGCGAAGGATGGCAGATTGCAGTATATCGACTGACCTTCATGTACGTGACCATCTCTGTGAGAGCAACACGGTTAGCATGCGCGGGCGACGCTGGGGGCACTCGGCGGGACTTACCATCGTAGCGCTCAGCCTGTTCGCAAAGCCGGGCGAGGAAAGTCTTGCTGTTGCCGCGTCAATTACTCTGTTGTGCTGCTTCGACAGCAGGAAACACGGTACCTCTCGCGCTGTTTGGGGCATTCATGTTAGCCTGTGTTGCTGTTTATCGCAGTGCGAGTGAGAGGGTCTGAGGGGTATCCCGCCGCCGGCCAGCAACGGCGGGGGGGGAGGGACAGCAGCGTAGATAGAGGGCCACGTACCTCAGTCGCCATTGTGATAGTAGAGTGATGTGCGGGATGGGGTGTCGGTGTGTTGTGGGGGTTGGGTGCAGAAGCGTGCAAAAGGATACAAGGGCGAGCGGCTGTTGTTGAGGTGTTTGAGTCTGTGGGGTCAACGGAGGATCGAAGTTGTTTTGGAGGAAGCGAGCGTCGCTGCCTCTTTGGATCCAGCGGGCCCGTGCACGACGACGACGGATGGCCAGCACCACCCCGTCCTCTGCGCCTTCCCCCAAACGGGGGGGCCGGCGTGACTGTGACGGCGGATTCACATGGCCATGGCCTGCCTCTATCTACAACTAGAGGGAGGGTACAATAATGGATGCCCTCCTTCTTTTCCCTTCCTTCTGCCTCACCATGGCACCACTGCGCCCTCTGTCGCTGTCTCAGCTCCTGACAATGAGGGGTACGTCAGCACGTGAGAGCAGCTCAGTATCCCTCTTCGCCTCGTCATGAGAGAGAGGGAGACATCAGATTTATTATTACATAGTCTCCCACGACATGTTGCCATGGCCCTATTATGCTCGTTTCTCCCAGTTTGCTTGCTCCCCCTCCCGTCCTCTGTCCATTTGGGCGGTCACGCTTCAAAGCGCGGCCGCCAGCAAGAGTCGTGGGGGCCAATCAGGGCAGCTTGGAAAGAGCTAGAAAACCTGCCCAACGTCTAGCATGGGACCCTCTTTGGGGGCTATGATTCGTGTCACTTTGTGATAGACTTGACTACGCCCATTTGCTCGTGTTTCAGACTGTTCGTCCACGGCCTCTTTGTCTACTTGAGACAAACAAACAGACCAGCATCTCGGTTATAATCTACCACTCTGAAGGGGAGGGGGGGTTATACCGTCCCTTCATGTCAGCGCGCATGTTATGAATTGCCTGAATAGCGCATGCTTTCTGCACATGGAACATAGTTATGCATGCCGCATCTCCGAGCCACAATCATCCAAATGTCTTGCTTGTACCACACTCTGCACCATCTTCTCGTTTGGGACTGAATCTAGCATGCAGCGCGTCTCCCTCTCATCGCTATCCTCCTAGGAGCGATCCGACCCTCTTCACGTCTCTACTAACGAATACACATGACAACCCTCACATCAGCAAACGCCAAACACCGAGCATGAGCGCCGCGGTACCCGTGCAAACACCCCTATCAATACGTTAGCCGTGTACCACCCAAGCATCAATCGCCCTGGAGCAACATACATCAACCACTGCAGTGTCGAGAACTTGACCGCCTCCAGCCTTTCCCTCAACTGTGCCGTCTCCTGCTCGATCCTCGTATCCGTCTCCTTCAACTTCAACTCCTGCACATTCGCCTCCTCCCGTATGCGGCCCTTCTCCAGGTTCAAATCCAACCGCACGCTGGCCTGGGTCCGCTGTATCTCATCTCTCAGCCGCGAGTTAAGTTTCGCCAGTTCATTGGTGAGGCGCTCGTGCGACGCGCGGGTAAGCGACGATTCCGTCGAGTCGGCCGTCATGAGCTCGGAGCGGAGTTTGGCAAAGTCGACTTTCTGTGTGTACGTCGCTTTCTCTTGGTCCTGGCGGAGGACCATGGTGCGCGTGAGGTTTTGGATGCTACATACATGCATTAGTTTAGTAGATTTCTGCAATGCTGCTGTGGGATGCTGACCTCTCCTCAATCACGTCGCTAAGAACCTTCATCATACCCTCTGCTTGTTCCTCTGTGAAACCCTCATCTTTCAGCCGTTGAACAAACTTGAGTGTGTCGAAATGGTGGTCCTTTGATTGCGGTGCGCTTGCGCTGAAGTTGCGCCTAAACTCTAGAGCAGAGGCATAGCCAGAAGCGTATTGTGGTGGTGACCTCTTTTGCCATTGTCGTATTGCGTGTGCTTGAAGTAACGAGGGTTGAAGGGTCGTAGCGCGTCCTTCAGAAGCCGCACAGGATCGATGCCGCCTGCCTTCCAGTGCGCCTCGTGCTGCTGGCCGAGCTGCCTTTGCGGACCACGAAAGTTGGGGTAGGAGGAATCGCGGTATCGCCGTCGCTTGTCTCGACGAAGCTGCCATTGTGTTCGCGTGGTTGTTCCCGCAATGTCTGCCCGTCAAGAATCTAAAAGTACCGCGGTTAGCCAAGCCTTGCAGATGTCATCTCGCCGAATTCGGCAAACTATTCCACTCGCCATAGCCCACGAGCTTTTAAGAACTTCGGTAATATACAAAGTGAGCAGAGGGGTAAATGTACGTGTAAGTAATGCAAACAAAGGTATGAACAGGATTGTATTATTGTTTCATGGTATCGTCCAAAGAGCTCGCCCACTGTACCCCCGGGGATTGAAAGCAACGCTCGCTATGCATGACCACCGCTCAAACGCACGTATACAAAAAGTGCGTTAAGCCACATCCCTATCTATCGCCCATACTCCAAGCTCGGTACTATAACTGGTCCATACTTCATTGGCGCGCTGTACCCGCCATCGTTCTGCACCATAAAGTCTACCGCCAGACTTAGCTTCCCACTGCCATGACCCGGCACAGCTTGGCCAAATGTCCCGTTGACTATCTCAGGATCATAGATTACACAAGCGACATAGTTTCTTCGACCCATGAGCCTCTTGTACTCTCGTGGCTGGCCGTTTACATCTTGGGTGAAGATCTCCATCATATCCTCCTTTGTGTCTGTCGCTTGCTGGCTGCTACGCTGGCCGTTCTGTGGAACATAAAGCGCGCGATTGTTGTGGAGGAGTCGTAGGACATAGTTGCCTGGTGGTCCGTTTACTATTGACGACGAGATGATTTGATACATCGTCTTATGATCCTGAGGTCGTGAAGGATCGTGGACGAGCCCAGCACCACAGCAGTCGACGGCTCCTGAAAAGAACGTCATTCGTAATGACTTGTTGTGTGCAATGCCTTGCAATGTTCTTATCAGGTAGGTTCGCTCAAGGTCCTGTTGCCCGTTAGTAAATTGGCCGTAAGCTACATACATGCAGTATTTACCTTTGAATCGTGTGTCCACTGATCTCTCAGTTCATCGAGCAGGTCAATCTCTCCAAACGGACTCAAAACACCACTCATCAAACCCGATTTGCCAATGGCCTTCTTGACCGAACTGAACCCATCACCAACAATGCTCTTAGCGCCAACAACACCAGCGACAGAGCTGGTTAGTTTTCCAACCATATTGAAAGTACCTGTGACGGCTTTCTTCCCTGTTGCCATTGAATGCGCGAGGTGCTCGACGGATTCAAGGCGAGGATACACTATTGGTACTGGTACCATCCAGATGCAGTGCTGGACACTAGGAGGTAACGTCGCAACTTTGGGGAAGATGCCCTGGTAAGTTGGCCCGGCTATGACTTGGTGCGGGTTTCGCTCAGAGCGGCAATCTGGGCCCACAACCGTAACGCAAGGGCCAAGATACTTGATGAAGTGCCATCCTGTTCCAGTAATGGTAAAGAGATCCATGTCATTGCTGACATTGCGAAGGATCTCGAGCGTTGTATGATGCTGGAAGAGCAGATACATCTCAATGCCCAGCCTTCCTATGTTCTTGAACATGTTGGAGAATTGCATGTATTCGGGATACGAGCCGAAGCCGTCAAAGCTGCTTGTGATTAGCAATGCAGTATTTTCATCTCGTAAGTAGACTTACATGTCATGGTCATCGAGGGCGAGAATGTGTGGTATCTGGGCAAATGCTTCTCTCAGATGTGGTTGATCGAAATGGCTGGTGTAGTAATGGAAGTAAGCGTGGCAGACATCTTCTTCATGTTTCGCGGTCCATGGTGCGTTCTTGCGAATCTCCTTGCCACTCGTTGCTGTCCATTGTTTTAGCAAAGGAAGCTCCTTCCACAAACGATCCGCGTAGATCTGGCCACCCAAGCCCAGTTGCACGTGGAAGCCACCGCACTCGTCGTTCTTTTGCAAGATATCCTTCCACATGAGGCCTACACCACCGAGTTTAGTCCTTTCGTTGGCGGTGACATTGAGGGCAAAGTCATTGCCAGAATGAGCAATAAAGCGCCAGCTGGTCTCACGGCGTCCTGCAACCAAGAACTCGAATCGTGTGCAGCCCAAATGTGAAGTGATGGCGTACGTCCACTTGGCGGCATGCTCTTCCTCCATTCTCAAATCGATGTCGTATCGGTAGAAGATCCATGTCTGATGTGTGTAGATGGGGTTTGCCTTGAGTTGACGTGGGTTTGGCGACAAATCTGCGCTTTGATGGATATGGATTGTCGGAGGATGGGGAGTGTTTGTGACGAGAAGAATTGAGCCCAGCCACAATCCTCGCTCGACATCCATATTTGTGTACCTCAAATACGGCCCAAAATACACGCCATTAGTAGGCGCAACTTTGTACTGGTCCACGCCCGCAGCTGGGGGTGGCCCAGTAAAACCTGCCGCCGTTGGAGTCGCGAGCGGTGCCATGCCAAAGTCTCCCGCGAAGCTAGCTGTCTGGGTTGGGAATCCAGGAGATGCCAGAGGAGCCTTGCCGAAAGATGGAGAAGCTAGAGGACCCCCTACGAACGTACCTGTCGGGGACAGGGGCTCGTTAAGATTCAGAGGTGTAGGACCTTTGGGGAACTCCCACTGTGTAGATTGTGTAGGGAGATGTATGTAGTAATACTGACCCGAGCTGGGGTCCAAGTGTGCTATCCAGCCTTCAGGTAGGGGCGGAGGTGAAGCTGGCCCTGGCCCCGGTGCTGGACTTGGCGTATGAGCTGGTTGTGATGTTTGTATCTGCAATGGGAACTGGCTTGCTGTCGGGGTTGGCGCGATGACTGCAGCAGGCTGCTGTGATGGACCTGCCTGCTGGCGGGGATCATTCGCGAACGCAGGGTGGCCTTGATTTGGATCCGTCAGCGACACACCACCCTGTGCAACGGGTTGCTGTCCTTTCTCATTGGGGTAGCTCTGGCCCTGCGTCGTTGGTGCATGCGGGATGCTCGAGTAGGCTGGCGGTGGTTCCTCATTCAGATTCATACGTCCCATCTCTTGGTGCATGGGATGTTCTGGGGGCACATTTGTGGGAGGTGGGGAGAAGGTTGGAGCTTGCGGAAGAGGACCCTGTGGAGGACTACTCGAGGGAGGAACCTGATCCATGCCTTGATATACAGTTGGCGGACCATGTGGGGTACTCCCTGGTTGCTCAGTTGGCGTCCATGGTCTCCGTGCCGGCTGTTGTTGTTGTTGCTGTTGCTGTTGCTGTTGCTGCTGCTGTGGCGCTGGCGATATGATTCCTGGTCGAGGCTGCTGGTTTGCATACACTTGATTGCGCTGAGCAGCTGCAGCATTCTGGGCGTTTTGCGCCTGGAGGTTGGTGAGTGTCGATGTTCCTGCAATGCCGGCCGCGGCAAAGCGTGCTTCGATGCCACCGCCGGGAGGAGGGATGATGGGAGTTTCAGGGGGTGGAGGAGAGCCCCGCTGCGCTCTCACAGTCGAAGTAGATGCTGTGGAGCTCAAGCGGTTGACGCCGCCTGGGTTGGGTATCTTGAGTACTGGCTCATCTTGCTTGGGGCCAGTCGTGGCCACTGGAGGAGGGAAGTACTGCTGGTGGTATTCTGGGAATGGGTTGTTTGCGTTCCCGTCCGAACTGCCCTTCCTCAGCGGCGCCTTCTGGAATAGACCCTCCTTGTCTGGTGCTTCTGGGCCTGGCGAGTCTGGGAGCGGCTTGGGCGCTGTCCCTCGTCGCTCTGCCAGCCTCGAGGGCTGTACAGAGCCGTCTGGATTTCTTGCTCCATAACCTCCCACTGACGGTCTGTTCGGGTCGTTCGCTTCGAATCGAGCGCGCTGGCTCGGAGAGGTTGGACTCGGGCCTGTGGGATTCGAGCCTCGTCTCCAGCCATCTGATTCGGGGGGAGTTGCGTTCTTCGTTTGGCGCTCTCGCTCACTAAGCGGCGTATATCTCCCCTGGCCCAGCGTGTGTTGCTTAGGCGGTCGGTCGTCTGGGTATGGGAGAGGAGCCGTGGGAGGAGCCGTGGGCGGGGCAGGGAACGAGGGCATAGGCGGAGGGCGCGAGAAGGCGGGCTGGTTCGAGCTGCCAGCCGAGTCTGTTCGTGGAGGCGGACTCTTGCCATCATGCTCCTTGCGTATCCTGAGGGGCCCAATCGTAGGGGTATCTCCATTCTCCGACGGCCGCAGGAACAGCTCCTCGTCTGGGCGGCCTTGCTTTCGAGGATCCATGGTTGCGAGGCGCGGATTATGTATAGGTACGGGTGTGTGCTCCTGGATCGCCAGCGATGACAGGCGTCGACTTATTTTTGGCTACGGGCGGGTCGGTCGATGTGCGCAGGAAGGCCGTGGGCTGCTGGTGGGAGGGCTGCTGGTGGGGTAGCAGGCTGCTTGATATGACGCTGACGACACGGGCGTGCAAGTGCAAGTGCATGTGCATGTGCCTCTGGTAATGCCTGCGCAATCTCCAGCGACCGGTCAGTCCGTCTATAAGTAGGGCGACAAGAAGAGCGTCTGTTTTCCTGCTTCGCCGTCGCAGGCGATTGCTGCTGACTTTACGTCGCCTCTCTGCCATTGCTAGGTACTCCTCGTCCAGGTTGGGCTGCTGCCGGTCTTCCTCTCGAGCAGGGTCGTTGGCCTTGTGATTGGATGCAACCACCCTCTACGCGCCTGCGGCCGAAATGGAGACCAGCCGTCACACTTGGCGGGCGCATGGCAGCAGAGTCTCGTACCTGAGTACAAGCGCTACGCGTATCCATGGACGGTCCAACGACTCAGAAGACATCGTCAAGGCCCTCCGGTGTGGCTGATAGCCGCTCCCTAACCTCACTGGGGCACCACCCAGGTAATGCACCCCATAATACCATGATAAATATCCCTTTGAGAACCCAGTCAGTTGCAAGGTAGCCAATGCGCTATAGCGTGCATACTTCCAGGCCGCTCCAAACCCAACGGCCCGTTTTCCTCTTCTCAGTCGATGCCCATGGGCGATACTTCTGCAACTCTTTTCGTCCAAGGTTTGGTGCCACTTCGATATGGCGGCGGTACTCAAGGGGAGTGCTCACGACAACCTCGAACGCAAGTGTCAGCCTGAGCTTTCGAATCCAACATGTCGCAGACTTGCAGCGCGCAGAGGGTGGGCCGATTTGGGACAACGGTTCGCTTCGTAGCACCGGAAGAAGTAAGTAGGGAGCCACAATCAGGGTGCCTGAGGTTCAGCCGCAGCCCCAGATACGGGCTATGTCAACCTTCTTTGGACCCCGCCAGGTATCTTATTTTTGTTCTGGTCCATTTTCTCCGTCGTGAATCTTCCACACTCTTCTGCTTTGATACTCTTCTCCTATCTCTCAGTCAGTTTTTATCAGTGCCACTTCGTCCCACCACACGAAGACACTGAATGTCACTCAGCCTCGTCCAAGGACTCGAAATCCAGGAGACACAAGGACAACTCATTGGATAGTGATATTCTGTTGGCATCGGGGAAATCAACTTGGAAAAGAATAAAAGAGAAGAAAGTCAAGATGCCTTTTGTAAAGCAACCACCGCCAGTCGCAACCTTTGACCCAAGTTCACCGGCACCACCACCACCCCCATATACAGTCGGACCAGTACAACTTCCTACGCCGACACCACCACCACAACCCAAGACCGCCTTCGCACCCCCTATGCAACCAGGCAACTTCCCGCAAGGTCAAATACAGTCCCAGATGCAGCAACAACAACAGTTCCAGCCGCAGCAGGCCCAATTCGTCCAGTCACCGCAAGGTCAAAACTCACAACCGCCATTCGCACAGAATCCAGCAATGCAACAACAGTTTCCAATGGCCCAACAGCCATACCAAGGAGTACCGAACATGACTCCTCAGCAAGTGCAGCAAGTTCAACAAGTGATACAAAATATGCCTCCTGAGAAACTCCACATGGTCCAGCAACAGGTCCAGCAAATACTACCTCCACAGCAAATGATGAGTCCGCAACCACAAGGCATGATGATGTCGCCTCAGCCCATGCAACAACAGCCACCTCCAGCCCAGAGACCGCAATTTACAACCACCGCCCCATCAGGGCTCTTCGGGTCCAAACACACCCCCAGCCCTGGCAGCGGCCCCCAGGATGCGCAAAAGTCAGATGGCGTAAAGCGTTTCTTTGGCGACACGCTTTTCGGCCGCGTAGCACGCTCTTCGGTTCAAACCGCCACTTCCATGGCAAAGATGCCAACCGCCCTGAGTCCCTGGGGAGATAACAACCCCGTTACGCTCCCCAACGTCCGCTACCGCGACGCTGTGCTCTTCACGACTTTCGCCTTTGTCGGTGGTCCGCTTGTCGACGGAATCGCAGACGGCGTAACCAGCACCTTTGGAGCCGACAGCTTCATCTCTGAGATTATCAGTTCTGGCGCTGGCGCCATCGCTGCGTCCACTGTGCTCAAGTACTCGGTCTTTCAGATCGTAGAGCAGGCTATTGACAAGGGCATCATCGAGCACATGCTTCCCGAAGAGGAGAAGATGCTGCAGACGACCAATGTGAAGAGTCTGCAAGTGGGCATCAAGCATAAGCTCATGGGTGTGGACGCGGATCTGAGGTTTGTGGGCATGTACCCGACGAGGAATACGCAGGCGTGCGAGAAGGGCTGGTTCTGTCCGTATCTGTTTTCGAGTGCGCGGACACCTTCTGTTCCAAGAGCAAATGAATTCGCCATTGCACAGTCTTTTGGCCCGTTCCTCGGTGGTACGTCAAGGTTTTCCCCTCAGCCCTCTTTCAAGACATGTCGCTGATAGTTATACACAATAGGGGACTACCTGCTCGCTCACAAACTCCTCTCCGAATCTGCCACTACGCTCAGCATGTGTGAAGCCAACCCCCAAATCGACATTGGCACAAATCGCCTCCTCATCCTCTTCACCGCCATCTCTCCCTTTCGCGCAAACATGGTACGTCCTCTAATCTCCCAACACTCCACATTTCCCCTCAACAAAGCTCACCGCTCTGGGCAAACAATTTGTCTAATCTTTCGCATAGTGGAGTACATCGCGCCGCCCAGGCTGCGGCACAATCGTCTTCCACCTCCTCGACGGCTGTCCCGCCCTAGTCATCCCCGTTACGAAACGCTCGCCCATTACCGCATGGTCGCCATGGACGTTGAGCCAAATGCGCCAAGCTCAGTACTCTGCACAACCTCCTACACCGGGAAGTGGCATGTATAGTGCCGAATGGCAGCGTACGTTCTTATCCTTTTTCTTCGTTCTCGCCAAAGACTCTAATAGCTGACGTTCTTCACAGACGAGCAGATTTGCGAGTGGCTCGATACTATCATCAGTGTGCCGCATGTAAATCCTTCATTGAGAGACCGCTACGTCGATGTTTTGGGTAGAAGTGTGAGTCTGGTCATCAACGGCGCTTTAGCGCTGGATAAGTGTCAGCCGCTGTTGGGGAAGCTGGATCCCGAGAGAGCCGGTATTTGTATGTTCCGGTACTGAGATTAGAGAATGGTGGATAGGCGTCGTGGTCGAAGATTTGATACCCTTGGAACGTTATTTCGTTTTACTTATCATGTGAATTGCAAGCAGGTTGCAAGGGCACAGGCAGATCAAATACTGAATTCAAGTAAAGGAAACAGTTCATTTTTATATTAAACAAAACGTGAAACAACAAACACAAGTATGTATTGATTGTCATATGCACAAAATTTTGAGGCTATGGAACAGGGAACGTCTATCAAATCTATCAAAACTTTTGTAAGAAAACCGCCTAGTCTTGCTGTCACATGCTCGCTTTTAGCAATTGTAACCACCCTCGATGCTAACACCAACTATTTACATGCCCATCAAGGCACTAGCACCCGGCTCGCTGCAGACGTACACGACGTCATGGCTATCGGTGAAGCCATTGAAGCGCGTAGCAGAGCACTTCGTGTACGCGCCCATGTCCTCAAAGTAGAGCCAATCACCCACATCGAGCAGCTCAGGGAACGTGCAAGAGGACGAGATGATATCAATGCCATCACAGGTCGGACCCCAGATGGAGTACTCAACTTGGGAAGGCGTGTCGTATCCGGAAGGACGGGTATCGTACAAAACGTCGTCACCGTTCGTCAAGACGCGCGGCACTGGGTGCTGGTGATCGAAGATGATGCTGGAGAAGTTGCCGTAAACTCCATCATTGAGGTACAGCATATACGAAGTCGTTCCCAGGGTGGCATCATTGACAGTGCGGCGGGCAATGATGTGGCATGCGATGGTAAAGGCGGTGGACACGTAGTAGCGCCCAGGCTCTCCAATGACGCGAATGTGGGGCGGGAAGTACTCGTCCAGAGAAGCGGACAGCACTGCGGCCATGGGCTCGAACGAATCGTCGCCAGTGAAGCCGCCGCCAACATCCAGGGTATGCATGTTAAAGCCGAGGTCAGCCGCCTGGTCAAAAACGAAGCGGGCATCCTGCACAGCCTTGATAAAAGCCTTCGGGTCTGAAGCACCCGAGCCGACGTGGAAAGCCACACCGACAACATTGAGCTCTAGCTTCTTCGCAAGCTCCAAGAGCTCGGCAGTGGTGTCCAAACAGGCACCAAACTTCTGGCTCAGACGGCACAAGCTAGCCGAATCGTCCGTCAAGATGCGCAGGTACAGCTCAGCGTCTGGGAAGAGCTGCTTCGTCTTGTAGAGCTCGTCGGCGTTGTCAAAAGTCATCTGCTTGACGCCAGAGTGAGCGGCGTAGCGGACGTATGACTTTGTCTTGCAGGGCTGCGCATAGATGATGCGAGAGGGGTCGACGCCTAGCTTCAGGACCATTTCAATCTCGTTCTTGGAGGCGCAATCGAAACCGAGCCCCAATTCGGTCATGAGACGGAGAACTTGGGGGTCCGGGTTGCACTTGACCGCTATTCTCGGGTTAGTGGCAGATTTCTGCGTTTTTTGCTTGGTATGGAGACTCACCATAGTGCGGCTTGACACGGCCTAGGTTCTGCTTCCAGCGCAGATGCTGGCGGTAGACCTCGCCCAGGTCAGCAATGAAGAAGGCATCTTCATCGCCAACGGTGCAGGTATCATGATCAATAGCCTCAACTCGGCTCTTCAGAGCCTCTCCAATCAACTGCTTTGATTTCCAGCCGCCATGATTGTCATTATTACCAACGGCGTATTTGTCGATCGACTGTAAAGAGCCTTTCAACAAAAGCTGGTATTCTTCGGTGGTTGTGATAGCCGAAGGTGCCATGCCCTGGATAGTAGTTTCTGGCGGCTGCCTTTTTGAATGTAGTGTTTGGTGGAGCGTGAGCCGATATTAAGGTGGCTTGAAGAGCGTGAAGCCGAGGCTTGTTGATGGGCGAGGTCTCCCCGACTCTTCCTCGACGAGAGGAAGAACCACTGAGAGCGTCCTATGCGGCAGCTGAAGTTCGGGTTGATCGAGGGTCTGGGTGGGCGACAAAAAGAGAAGACGCTCCAGCTGTTTCTTAGACGGCGACAAGATGAGGAGGCGGGATGTTGTTGAAGACGTGTGGAGCGGGTCGAGCAGAGACAATTTGAAGGTTGAGAAGGATCACGGGCGAAACCGTGGCGAAATGGAGCCTTTGACGCGACCAAAGGCAGTCGAGCAGTGAAAGGTGCGCTGCAGCGAGAGGCAGGCAGCCACGGACGCTTTATAGAATCCAGCGACTGGTGAAAGCGAGCAGAGGGTGCGGTGAGAGGAGAAGAGAAGAGAAGAGAGGAGAGGAGAGGAGGAGGCGATGGCAGGCAGATGGCGGGGATGGGAATTTTCGCGCAGCCGAGTGTGGTGCCCCTGCCATGGCCCTGCTCTGCCCCTGCGCGGCTACATCACTGCGGCTCGTTCGCGACCCACGCCCGGCGGAAAACACCTCAGCTGCCTTGATTATTGGCAATCCATTCCATCTGCAACCTGAGAGGCTGAACGCATAATAAGCTGGCCGAAATAGCGCATCTACACTTCTTCCTAGCAGCCCCGACGGCAGTTTTCCCATTGATTACAACCGGTCGATGCGCGAGCACACCACAAATACCTTTTTTTTTTCACCGCAACGTTGGACGACATACGGTAACTTGGCGAGCACTGTACGCAGCTTGTCATGTTTGCATGTGCAACCGCAGCAGCTGCATGGGCGGAATTGCCGAATGGTTGCTTGATTCGTGGGCATCTAGGTACCGCTATGCACAATGTACTGAAAGAGGCCCAACGCCCGTATCCCCCGATGCCTGAAAATGCCGCTATGTGTACGTTGGGTATGTGTGTAAATGCTGGGACAATCATAAAATGCAACATTGGTGCGTGCATGCAACGCTGCCCAAGCAGCTTATCAAGAAAAATAGAGAAGAAAAAAACGGTCGCCTTACCTACACCCTCTGAAGCATGACAGGCACATCAGACAGGTCCACGCCATATTGATGTCTCCAAGGTAGGCTCTTGTTGCTTGCTGCGCTGTGCTGCGATCGCGTCCCGGCTGAGCCACCGATGCCGACCCCACGGCCTTCGTAGCCGTAGCTTAAGCCGCCGCTATAGCGTCCCCAGCTCGCCATGTCCTCCGTCGTGGGAGCAGCCTTCGCACGTAAACCCTCGCCTATAGACTTGCGACGCTGCCTCCAGGTTTGGGCGTGCGCTTCCCAATCAACCTCGTGTTGAGAAGAGCGTGGTCTGTCATCGTCACACTTCTCCACCACTTGGGGCACTATTTGACCTCGTTCGCGAGACTGGGCGCTGGAGCTCATGTCTGGTTTGGTCTCCTCTTGCTCTTGGCCGCCCTTTTCTAATCGAGGCCTGGCGCACTGCGGAGGCGAAAGCCTAGAGGCATTAATAGCCGGCACTGGAGGGATATCAAAGCTTTGTGGACGTCGCTTGGAAGCTTTAGCCTCACCCGCGTCCATCTTCAGGTTGTGGTAGCTTCGCCGTCGTTGCTGAGATAATTCTTGTGGAACAGAGGCCCGGTCCTTACTGCGCAGGCGCGCAAATTCTGCAGCTGCCTCAGAGTCCATGTTTACCATGGACTTCGCTCGAGGTAGTGCCTTGCCGAGTTGGTGTGGGTGAGTACGAGCTGTTGTGGGGTTCCTCTGGAGACCAGACATCGCAGCATCATAAGGAGAACTACCAAGTGCTGATGCAATTGTGCCTAGATCGACAACACCGAGTGAACTGTCATCAGCTTCCCCCTCGACCTCTTTATCCTCCACGGTCGACTTCCTGCGAAACATAGAAAAGCTCATTCGACGGCCATGGGCAGGAGGCGTCGGGGGTCGGTCTGGTTCAAGTTCAGCGAGCTGATTGTGTATAGTCGAGACTGTGAAAGGACCATCGGAAGCGGGCTCATTTGCGAGGATGTGGTCTTTGGTAGGATAGGTATGCGTTAGACACTCCATCCCTGGAGTGTGGGACAAGCGTCGAACAAACTTGGCTCGCACGTTGTCTGGAACATCCGGAATCGTTCCTTCTGGGATAGGTTGACAAGACTGGACTACGGGAGGTTCTGCGTGTGACTGGCCTCTCCTTTGCGACCGCTTGTGGCTTGTCGAAGACGTGCTGTCAAACGACGTCTTCGAGGTAATTGATTGTGGCGTCTGAGGTGAGAGGATACTCTCTGATGCTGAGGACCTAACTGAAGATCTTGCGGAGTGATTCAGAATCTTCAAGGATAGTGGCCGTCGTCGTGCCTGGGAAGTCTGTATAGTCGGTGATAGAGGTTGTTCAGAAGTCACGGCTTGAGACATATCAGAGGTTTCCGGTTGCTCGACTTTTGCACTATCTCCTTTTAGCGGCGAGTCACTGCGCTGCTTTGATTTTGGCAAGGCGTCCTTGTGTTGTTCCCGATTGACTAGTCGAAGACTGCCACCAGATGAGTACCCTGAATCGGATGTGCGTGGTGGTGGGCGTTGAGGTGCTCTAGGTCTCTGTTGGGCTGGTGCGAGTACATGTGGAGTTTTAGAAGAAGTTACTGGATCTGACACCTCAACTGTAGATGTAGGCTTGCCGATGATAGTACTATCGAGCATTCCGACTCCTTCTTCGCCGAATGTAGGACTGCCTGACACAAATCCCTCGTCCTGGTCCATCCTATGGTCCTCGGCTTGTTTTCCGAATGGGCTAGTGGGAATCTCTGCCTGATAGCTTTGAGCAAGCCGGTTTGCGTCATGTGCAAGAGTGTCTACGCTGTTGTTTGTGATACGTAGAGCTTTAGCAGTCCCTGTTCCCGGTCGAATATCGGATGGCTGATTGTTGTGAAGTGGAACGGTTGTAGGAAGCACGGACGACTTGCTCTTCACGTGCCCACGTCTTCTTGTGGTCTTCATCATCAGAGGGCTGGAGTCGGCCTCTACCGCCGAAAAGTAGTCATCCTGTCCAGCAAGACGAGAGCTTTGCTTCGAGAACTTCGCACTGGGTGCGGGCGACGGGGCTCCATTAGTCACCACGAGGGAGCCTAGCTTTAAACTTCCCAAGTGTGAGTAATCCATCTCACTGGGAGTCTGCGCTCGAGGCGTTGGGGTGTCGCCGCTGTCCTTAGCCGCTGCCAGGCGGTTCAAGGGGAAAGCTGCCTTTGAATTGGACCTCCACCTTGCTTCCTCGGCAGGTTCAATTTTTGGAGTCTTCCATGAATTCCATGTACTGCGACGACCATCAACAGAAGAGTTCCGCGTTGCCATCCCTGGAGTCTGGATCAAGGACCGCCGCCTTGTTAGTGACGATGACGATCTGTTCATCACCGAATTCCTTCGGCCGAGCCCGTGTTCTTCTACCGGTACAGTATGTGTATCCAAGGGCGCTAATGCTTCATCTAATGACTGTCAGCAGAATTCAAATGTACATTGCCAAGTGCGAAGTGAGGGCAAGTGAGGTTGTGATCTCATCTTTCGATAACTAAAACTACCTGGGCTGAGCCTCGCGAGTATGTATACCCGATGGAACGGAATGTGTACGCTACGAAAAAAAGCCAGAGAATACTTACGGAGAGCTGCAAGATCTTCCGGGGATCCATACCGTTTGACTTCTTGCAGTACCCTGATAGTCGCCTCTAGATCCACGGGTGCGGGTGAAGCCAAAGAAACTTTGGAGTCGGACAAGCCAGCAAGCCTGGTGGACGAGCCATGTTTGCTTCCAAAGCACGATAGGGAATTGGACCTGGAGTTGGTCCTCGAATTTGATCTTGATATCACCGATAACGGTCGTCCCCGTGTATTTGTAGCCGTCTCATCGATGCCATCGTTCTTGTTCGACCGGAAAGCTGCAGCTATCCGAGACCCAAACTCCGTATCAGCAGGCGACAGTAGGGTCTCTCGAATCTGATGTCGGTCCTTCACACTCAGGTCCGCATATCGTGAGGATACCGAAACTGGCGAATCCACTTTGAAAGATTGGCTGGGAGAATTCGTATTCGTCTTCGGTTTCGACAACCGGTTGGGGTTGGCGGTGCTCTGGTGGTTGCCCATGTTGTTGAGGCGGCGGTATCCTACGACGAGCTCCGACGCTCAACGCAAGTGGGAGGGAGACATTGAAGTATCTCTTCAGCTAAAGAGCTGTGGTCAGTCAGAGTGTATTCAAGTGCGGGGAATGTCTTAGGCTGGGAGCTTACCTATATAATGCGTTCGAAGTCGTCAACTTCCAACGTGGGGGCTGGGACCTTGTTCAACGTGAGGCTTCGCGCGACTTGGACATGGGCTGGACTTTGTTTAAGAGTGAGCTAATTTGCCCCATGGAAGCGCCTAAGACGGTTAAATCGATATCGGTTACAGGTATTTTGGACGCTGAGCCTGCGATTATCACGAGTCTCGCACGTAGCAAAGCGGAGAGTGCATCAAGGTAAACAACAAACTTGGAAGAGGCTCGACATGAAACCGGACGATGCGCTGCATCGAGGATTACACGTTATCTGCCAATCAAATGGGCTGAAGGTACGAGCTTCCAGGCCAATCGAGGCGTAGCGACGCGGTGCATGCGCGGCTCGAGGCTGGATCCCAGCCGTGAATCTGGACACATCGAGACGTCTAACGGCTGATCGGACCTTTTTGGAGCATCACACCATGGCAAACTGGAACCGGTCGCCTCCAGCAATCTTGGAAGTTCATGTTAGATCCTCACCTACATGGAAGAATTCCTCTGGGGTGCCCCCGCCGTTGCAAAAGGCTGTTGTATGAGAGCATCGCGGTCTTTAGAACCCTCATGCCTGCCATGAACCACGCTTGCCCCCCATGTCGTCACTTGGCCTGCAAGTATGTGGTGCCATCACCGCATGAAGTTGCACCGTGTCCTTCCCCTCCTTCTCGACTCTGCTTCAGATACCCTAGCTGAAGACTGGCAGATGACCCTAGCTATGAATATCAGTCGCAGCATGTTGCAGACGGCAATTTCGGCTCCGGCTTGCATGCTTTTACGTGCGTGTCATCGCGATCTGTCCGTCCATCACTCCTCGGCCTCGGACACTTTAGTACATATAGTCGCTGGCGTCGCCAACCGCTTGTGGCCTGAAGCATGTCCGTCGTTGCAGCCGCATCCGAAGACTACCGCGAGAGGATTCTTTGCGTTATGTCGACGCTCGTGTCGATGAGACAGGAAGGTGACCAACGCGTTAGGTATCAGGTGCATTCGCTACCTCAGATTGCGGATAAAGCGTGCACTTCGCCCTCTGCTTCCCAAGCGAGATTGGACGCTGAAGCACGACGTGGTGATCGATCGAGCATTGATATGGTTTCAAGGGTAGGCAAGGGTTCATTGCAGGTTTGAAGCCTCACCAGAGATTGCGAACAACGGTCGTACCTTGTCGTCGAGGCGGACCTGTCTTCGGTGCTGATGCAGATGGTTCGTACAATGAAGATTGCCATCCATGATGCTCCACGTAAGCCATCAGCCACACCCGGCGCAGAGATCATCATCGCCTCAACAAACCACTTCGAAAATTTCATAAACATCCGGGAACACCGCGGCCTTAACTCCACACGCTCGCTCCTAAAATCTCGGTGTCCGTCTGCTGCCTTTGTGACGTGGAGACTAATGATCGTCTCGGACCGCGCGCTTGCTAAGACCGGGGCTCACGCAAGGCTATGATGAAGGTGACATCATAGCTTGTCTGTCTTTCAAATTCAAATTATAGCCTAGACGAAACTTCAGTCGCGTGTGCATTTTTCCATTGCCTCTGAGTGAGGCTCTTCATTAATATCACACCCCTCGCTTGTTAATCAGAGGCTCCTTTCCCTCTGCGTTTTATCTCTGTCAAGTTGGATCTTGATCGTGTGCTTCCCTGGCATCCGCCGCTTCCGTAAATAGAGCGCATCGAGTGTCATTTGTACACCGCAACAGAGACCACTCGTCCTCCACACCCTAATTCTCCAAAAAACAACATTTGGGCAACATCAGTCAAGATGTTGGGGATTTCCTACTGGATCGTTCCCATCTTTTCGGCCGTAGTATGGACGGCAATGTTAATCACTATGCTAGTGTACTGGGCAGCAACAGGACGACCACACTACGTATCCATGTCCGAGGGGCAACATATTCCCTACATCTCTGGTAAGACACGGTATCTATCAATCGTGTTAATCAAAACTATACTGACTTTCTCTAGATATTGGCGCGGACGTACTCAAGCCAATGTTCATCGCCATGTCCGCTATAACAGTGGTGACCTTCGACCTCGCCTTCATCTTTGAGCGCTGGCTACGGCACGCAGGTAGACTTACACCAAATACCTCGGTCTGGCAGAAGGTTTATTCAACCTTGGCCACCATCGCCGCAGTTGTCGGTGCAGCGGGTCTCATTCTTCTGAGTATCTTCGATGCAAAACGCCACAACAAACTACACAACATTTTCCTGGGTGTCTTCATCCTCGGTTATATCGTAAGCGCCATCTTCATATGCTTGGAATACCAACGCCTGGGAATCCACTACCGCCAGCATTCCGTCCTCCGAATCTCCTTCTGGATCAAACTCTTCTTCATCATCGCCGAGATATTCCTCGCGATTGCCTTTGGAGTTACCTCGAAAAAGCACATTTACAATGTTGCTGCGATTCTAGAGTGGATCGTATCCTTCATCTTCTGCTTCTACGTCCTGAGCTACTTTGTCGACTTCCTCCCCGCGCTCCGCACCAAGAACCACCAATCTAAGCAAACGGAAATGCAGTTGTTAGAAGAAGGCGGACGGACAAACATGGGTGATGGAGCGGCAGAGAGCCAGCAGTACTACCGTGGAAATGCGGCGACGGCGGCGCCATATGCCAATGGAGCAACGAACGGATATACCAACGGTACCAACGGTTACACCAACGGCAATGGATACTCGAACGGCCATACCAACGGATACACCAACGGCAATGTATCACACAACAACAATGGTTACCCCATGCCCGCTGAACCAGCTCCTCTGGCCTCGAGGAACTTCTAAACGTCCGAGATTAAATACCTTTGTTTCTTTTGTACATATTCCTGTTCGAATTTCACGCCTAGAACGACCGATACCTTTAGTCTTGTCAGCTAAGTTGTATGGAAATGGTTGCATAATGAGGTGTTTTGGGAGGAACACGTGAGCGCATATTATCATGTATGGATAACTGCATTAGATGTAATATATTCATAATATTCATCACATTGCCAATGAATGCGAGTCTGCGAGCACAATGTCCTACGAGGGCAGAGCAAGTATTTTATGTGGAAGCCTCTCTCAAAAAAAAGGTGGTATGAAGGTCGAATTGGTATCATATCTATCTACTCCTTTACAACGCTGATGCAAATGTCTGATTATCTATTTCCCTGAGCAAGTCCATAACTACTTGTAGTACTTCTCATCCTTGTACCTCCTCTTCCTGTCCTCTCGATCATCGTCGTAGCCATAGTCTTTGTCTCTCCTGCGCTTTCGCCGCTCGTCAGATTCTCGACTTTTACTCCGATCGCGACGGTCGCGCTTCGAATCCCGGCTTCTGCTGCGGTAACGGTCACGCCGTTTCTCCCTTTTGTCGTCGGGGCTACGGCTGCGATTTCGTCGTTTTTCCTTCCGACGCTCGCTATCGTAGTCATCGCCTCGGTCCCGTTCTCTGCGCGAGTCTTTCCGACGCTCACTATCGTAATAGTCGTCCTTGTCCCGTCGACGATCGTCTTTTCGATCTCTGTCCTTCCTCCTCTCGCTATCATAGTCATCGTCGCGTCGTCGGTCTCGTTTACGGTCGCTATCGTCTCTCCTTTCTCTCCGCTTCTCCCGCCTGCTATTGTCCTCCTCCGCCGGATCATCATATCTGCTTTTCCCCTTCTCCGGCTTCTCTTTTACCAAATCCTGGCTCTCAAGTTTTGCTTTCAATTCCTCCTCGGTGAGCATTTCGCCCGTAACCTTGTTCCGCAGCGTGACAGGGTTATAGCTTTGAGCAACTTTCTTGCCTTTGCCCTTGCCCGTCCCACCCCATTCACCCAGCTCAATGCCTACAGCGGCTTCCTCTTTGGCGCCAATCCCGAGTAGGGCAGGGCGTCGTTTGGCTTCTTTTGGTTTATCAAGGATGCCGTTTTTGCCAATTGGTTCTCCGTCTTTCCAGCCCATACCCCGGAGCAACGCGGCGCCGAATCCTTCGACTGGCACTGCTTCATAGATTTCGAGCGTGGGTGCCTCCGGCGCGTTATTCAAGTCGTAGAGCAAGGCTTCCTCTTCAGTCTGCACAGGGATGACAAGATCCTCATCAGTGGATTTTCCGTTTAGAAGCGCGTCGAGTGCTTGCTTCTCGAGCCGTTGTTCTTTCGTAAGGTTGTCCTTTGTATCTTCCATAGACTCTGGCGCAACTGTTTCTGCTGCGCCATTGTCTTGCGGCTCATCCTTCTTGAGAATGGTAAGTCCATATTCCATTTTCCGCTCCTCTATCTTGTCCACGACAACTCCGTTTTGCGCCTGTTGATGTGGTGCGTTCGTAAGCTGTTTCCGCACTACTTCTGCGCGCCAGTCGCGGTTGGGTTGAACCGGAATGATTCGCGGTCCTTCCTTTTCTTTCTTGCCGTTGGCATCAAGCGCGCCGCCTTCGGCAGCATCCCAGCCTAAGATCTCTTGCTGTTTGTTAGAGTCATCGGGTTCGTCGTCGTCAAGCGCAAGGCGAGGTCTTTTGGCGAACTTCTGCGCGGGAGAAGATTTGAGTCCGGTTTTCGCTTTCAGTCCCCCTAGCGACATCTTGAAGCCGCCCTCCTTTGGGGCGGCCATTTTGACTGGATTTATGTAGGACAAGGTCTCTGCGGGAGCAATGCGTGAGCTCGTTTCGCGAGTCTTCGATACGAGGGAGGAAGCGTAGATCTGATTGCCGTAGGACTCGGCGGGGAGGTTGTCGATAAAGACAGTGGTGTTGCAGTGTGAAAGCAGACGGGGAAATGTTCACTGGAAATCTGGAGTTCGCTATGACATCGGCCTTGGCGCCGATCCTAAGGCAGCCAGGTGCAACTTCTATTAAACTGCAGAAAGCGATCTGACTTATTGCTCCATCTAGGCAACAGTTTGCTCATGATTCATAATTGAGTTGGATCACGACCGTTATTTCTCTCGCGAATAACGAATCAAGATGGCTATTGCGCGAATGATAGGGACTCAAGATGGCTCTCACCACGTTGGTTATTCCCTTCCATAATCAACTTTAATCAAGCCTTCAATTAAAGGGAAGAACGCACACAAACAGTCCACAAGGCAAGCTATTACCAGAGTCGAAGACTGAATCAATTAAAAGGACCACGATGAATGGAACGAACTTGCTAGTGAGTGAACGTAGTAAAAACATAGGAAATGGGATCGCGAATCTCCCTCGAATCTCCGACCTAACCGCTATACACACTATGAAAAACCAGCCCTAGCTCGACAAACTTCTACGAATGACCAAAGGTCTATCAGATCACGCCCCCAATGCAAAATGATCATGCACGCTCATCAATGCCTAACGCTTCAAACCAAATAAACAACCTCCAAACCCCTCAGTACACGGAGCAGCTCGTCTGCGCCCTTGCCAAAGCCGACGTGAACATTGTCTGCATAGCCATGTAATGGAAGATAATACCTCCCAGAACAGCAACATGCCAGATATTGTGGGAGCAGCCTACGTAATCGAAGAATCCCGGGAAGAAGCGCTCCGGTGTCTTGCTGGCGTATAGTACTGCGCCAGTGATGTAGACAACAAGACTCTTGGTAACAGGGGCGTAGAAGTACTGTGCCCATTCGATGCCGCGGGTGTATGCGAGCTGGCCAAAAGGAAGGAAGCCAGTTAGCGCGAGAGAGACGTAGAACAGGACGCGTAGCCAGGCCATGTCTGCGCGGTTGAAGGTTGGGTGCCAAGGGAGGATGATACCACCAACTCCTAGAATGGCTGTGACACTCATATAAGACCAACGGGATACAGGTTCGCAGTAGAAAGCGGCATATTCCGTGGTCATGATCGATGCAGCGACGAGGAGAGAGATGCCAGTATAATCAACGCAAGCGAAGCGCTCGAGGAGCGTTTGGTGCGAAATGCTGTTCATGGTGTGCCAGATGGTGGAGCAGGCGAGGCACTTGCAAGCAGCAAAGAAGAAGACTGCTGCGATGAAGATGTCGGCTTTGGTCGACATGCTGAAATTGTTGCTCGAGGGGTAGAAGTAAAAGGCCAGAGCGAGGACCATCAGGAAGCCGAGAAGGTGGGTCCATATATTGATGAGTTCGTTATGTATGCTAACCACGGAGCGGACGCATGCCCATTTGCCCTCGGAGAAACGGTAGCCCTTGTGGATGTGTGGGTTGACTCTCCAGGGTTCTGGTAGGTCGTCGTAGTGGATGAGGCCGTGCTCCTTTGCGCGAGCGAGGGCTCGTTGTACTCCATGCTCTATTGTCAGTTCGATGGTTTCTCGCGCTCTCCGTGCTTTGTCTAATCCTCCGTCCACGACGCCCTTGGCAATCTCGAAGCCCTCGTCCATTTTTCTTCGGCCACCCTCGTAGAAGTCGTGCGCATACGAGCTGATGGACCCATCTCGCAAAGCATATGCGCGAGCCTCAAACTCGGTCAAGTACGAGTCCATTAGCTTTATGCCTTCCAACACCTTCTCCCCCAAGGTTTCTTTTCGCTCCAATGCTTCTTTGTAGCGCTCCTCAAGCGTCTCGACAAAAACGGCTGCTTGCCGACGTCCTGCCTCGATTGCGCCATCGGAGATGATCGAGCACGATTCGCGAACAGCAAGGAGTGTGTTGTATGCGTATTCGACGCCGGCGTCGTACCCAGAGTGTCCATAGGATTCGAGGAAGTCTAATCTGCAGTTGAGCTCTGTGATGAAATTGCGAAGCTACATCAAAGTCAGCTCGAATGTCGAAGCGCATAACCATGGTGGGTACGCACAAGTACTTGGAAGTTTTCAGCCTCTTGCACGCATGGCTTTGTATGCCATGAGTGCCGTCGCTGCTGTGGAGGGAAGGTTCCATAGCCGCGGTATGAAGGGCGAACAGGCTCTTCCTGCGAAGTCATGACCGCCGTACTGACGCCAACATTCGACTTGGAGCGCGGCATGAGGGGCATTGATATATCCATTACGCGGGGCGGCCGTTGGAGGCGTGGCGAGGTCCCTGGCTGAAAATCGGCCAATCGATAACGAATCGCAGTCTATCAGGGTCTCCGATATCCGCGGAAGGGTGAGACGATTGGCTCAATTCGGCATGTGCGCAGGAGGTGGCTCTGGCTGGATGACTTGGTCGAAGCTGTTGGGGAGAGTATGTACAACTACGGAGGAGTAGGTGGGTCTTTTTCCTCTGCGAATCGTGTTGGCGCGAGGCGGGCGTGCTTTCCGAATGCGGTTCGGATTGGCCAACAGAGTACTTGGGCGGCGGAATATCGGGATACCCACCTAGGTACAGTAGCAACGTGATATGTATGTACCGCGATATGTCCAGGAGGGCGAGCGAAAGGCACAGATGCGACAAAAGCCAATGGAGGGGGCTTATAGAGGGTGAAGGGGGGGATGAGCGGCACCTTCGTCATTCAACCACCCGTTCAACCAGCCGTTCGACTGAATTTGGCCTTCGCCGCTACCGAGCTTTGCGATGGCGGCATCCCATGCCACCGATGGCCCCGGTTCCTTGCAGCGCCCTGCTTTTGTGCTGCCTCGGCAGGGCTGGGGAAGCTCGAGGACACCGCTTACCAGACAGCAGAGACGATTGTTCTTCAAGTGCCTTCCTCTGCTACTTGTGTAACGGCTGTGACACTCGACTCTTGTGGTGTCGTTCTTAGCGGCCCCAGAGACGACGCCCCATGATCAGCAAGCACCTGCCAAAAGCGGCTGCGCACCTGAGCGGCCTTGATCCGTAGCAACTAGGGCCTAGGCTTCATCTGCTACCCAGGTACCTAAGGCTGTTGTATAGTGGCTTTAACACTTGATCTAATATTCTTGGTATTGATATCGCCATGCCTTCCAACCACTCTCCTAATCATCACGTCGGATTCATCATTATTGTAAATGGTTTGGACGTATGAATGGAGGCTCCAAGTCAATGGCTTCGTCCATGGTGGTTTGGGCAGCATGGCGAGCAGGCTACAAATGCTTTACACACGCATTCAAATCTGGTAAGTGAGTAAGTGGGATATAGTGGGCGCCCAAAGAATAGTATGTTACTTCAGAAGATGGATTACGCCAAGGCTAGTACAGTACGGTAGAAACGTTGGGCGGTGGCCTCGTGCTAATCAATCGGGTTACAGTGTGTTGGCAAAGTAGCTCGTGCGTCTTGGGCTCAGGTCTTCCCACATCACACGCAAACCTCCAACACGCAATAACAAGTCACAGACGTTGTATTTCCTTAGTACGTACACCCCGATGGATTGGCTATGGTACCTGGTCCCCAAAATCCTCCTTCCTACCTTTACCTGGCCTCATCGCATCCTCGGGTCTGTCGATATAGCGTCGTCGATTCCACCAACACCACGACTTGCTCCTCGAATTGTTCGTCGAGTCTTTGGATTTCTCCACCCGTACTTTCGCTCCTTATCCTATCGCTACTGCAACTGGTGTGGCATCCCTTTCAACAACCAACTCGCGCAACTTCCATTCGGACTGGTGTTGAAATGGTCAGACGGCACGCGGCTCGAAGAGGTCGCGGCAACGATGCTTGCGAGGTCGGCTGGGTTTCCAGTGCCAAAGATCATCTCATACGGAGAGCATCCCGACACGCCTCATGCACCGGTCTCAATTCTAATGACGCGCGTACCTGGCAGTGACTTGGGCAATCCCGAGATATATGAGCAAATGAGCAATGACGAGCGCGAGACCATTTACACTGAGCTACAGTACATGCTACAAGTAATGCGAAACTGGTCTCATCCATGGGGAGGAGAGCGCATCTGTTCAGTTTTAGGGACGGCAATTAGAAGCGTGCGCATCCCCAATCACGCAGTCGGGCCATGTGAGTCTGAATCTGAGTTCAACAATCACCTCTTTAGTTCTCTCTCAGGTCACAGTTTCCTAACGCAGGATATATTCGAGGAGAAGGTGGCAGTCGCCAAAAGACTACAGTCAGTACGCCATGCGGTTGTCTTCACGCATGGTGACTTCAAGCATCATAACATTATAGTATACAATAGTCATATCTCGGGATTCCTGGACTGGGAGTCTGCAGGGTGGTATCCTGATTACTGGGAGTTTACAACACCTCTTCGATTCGGTCCAAAGGACTGTTGGTGGAATGCTCTTGTTTTAAAGCTTGGCGGTTCGAAGTATCTAGCAGAACTGGAGAGCGAAAAGGCTCTGGTGCCCCTTACGGTTGATGCTTGGGCATGGTAGCAAGTAGCTAAACGACACCAGCTTGTCGAAATCAACGAGAGGGTTTACTAAGTCTGTATTTGAATATAATACTGGCCTTCCTAATTTATGTCACATCGTGTGCGCCTACCGTTATTCACGGGTTAGACCCAACTTCCTTGCATGGCAGCTCTCTACTAAGCGACCTTGTTCCGTAGCGACCGGGCATTGGTATTCATACCACGTGTCTACCATTATAGTTGATCACCACTAATCTGAAGTAGCGGCCACTGCTCGCTGCCCAGGTGTTAGGCCGGTTGTAGAAGAAGCTAGAGCTTGTATTGGAGGTTTCTCTGCACCCAATGCTAGAATTGTTCAGAGCCCGCACCCCACGTGCCGCGTAGCGTTACAGGGTCCAATTTGGGCAATTGCGACCCAGCTCTCACCATCTTGAAATTTTCTGCCATACCTTGAACTAATCCACCAACCCACCAGTCTCACAAGATGGTGCTCCAAGCAATAAAGTACTCGCGCGGCCAGCTCGAAATTCTAGATCAGCTGAAATTACCCCACGCCGAAGAATATGACCACATCTACTCTAGCACCGATGCATGGCACGCCATCAAGGAAATGCGGACGCGCGGAGCTCCCGCAATCGCCATCGTCGCTGCCCTGGCCCTGGCTGTCGAGCTTACCAATATGAAGCTATCGTCCATAGCGGAAGAGGTCAACTTGTTCATTAGGGAAAAGCTGGACTATCTGGTCACGAGTCGGCCAACAGCTGTCAACTTGGCGGATGCGGCGGGTAAATTGAAGAAGATTACCGAAGAAGCTGCTGCAAAAGAGGGGGCGAATGGCGATGGGGTGCGGGAGGCGTATGTGAGTGCGGCAGAGAAGATGTTGATTGATGATGTGAGCGATAATGAGAATATTGGTCGATATGGTGCAGAGTGGATAGTGAAGAACACAGAGGCGGGGAAGAAAGGGCCAGTGAGCATGTTGACGCATTGCAATACTGGGTACGTCACATGTGCCGCGTATATTTCAACTTGCTAAGCATGCCAGGTCTCTGGCAACCGCAGGATACGGAACAGCCCTCGGGGTGATCCGATCATTACATTCCAGCGGATCTCTGAAACACGCCTTCTGCTCCGAAACCCGGCCATACAACCAAGGCTCCAGGTTAACAGCCTTCGAGTTAGTCCACGACAAAATACCGGCCACCCTGTTCACCGACTCCATGGCTGCAGCTTTACTTCATCTACGAGGAGAGAGTGAAAACATAGCAGGCATCGTCGTAGGTGCAGACCGTGTAGCTGCAAATGGAGACACCGCCAACAAGATTGGAACCTACTCACTAGCCATCCTCGCGAAGGCCCATGGCGTAAAGTTCCTGGTTGCTGCGCCGAGAACAACCATCGACCTGAACACCAAGTCTGGCGTAGACATTGTCATCGAGGAACGACCAGGCAAGGAAGTGACCTTCGTCAAGGGACCAAGACATGACGGCGTCAGTCTGGATCTTGGGGTTGTCGAGACTGTCAGCATTGCTGCGAATGGTATCAATGTGTGGAACCCGGCTTTTGATGTTACTCCTGCAGAGCTCATTGACGGTATCATCACTGAGGTGGGCGTGGTGGAGAAGGACGGTGCCGGAGTGTTCAATCTACGAGATGTGTTCAAAGCGGACGGGTCCGAGGTGAAGCCTTCGACAATTGGAGGATGTTGATATGGCTACTTCGGAAAATCTCATGTACCCACACGTTCAGTCGCAAATCGTGAATCACTGTTTCACAGGTCTGACATACAATGGCGCCAGTTTCATGAGACATTTATGTTACTGCGCGAGCAATATGCTAGCTCCAGAGGTAATCCGCTCTGTCCATTTATCCCCTTGTTTGTAGTTCATGACGGTCGTGGAGCTCGTGAGAGTTGATGTTATTACAAAGACCCGTCGACTTTGACTACGAGCTCTTGCCCTCGGCTTTCGATAAACTGTCGGGTGCTGATGATGGGTGATCCTTCATTTCTTGCTCAGCCTTTTCTGCTTGCGCCAAGAGCTCCTCAATCTTCTTTTCAAGCGAATCGAGGTGATTTTCGAGGGCCGCTGCGGTGTGTTCGCCTCGTTGAAGCTCCTTGAAAGCCTACCATAGATATGAGATTGCGTTCATAGAACCGGCTGATAGACTTGCCTGGGCGAGATCAGCGTCTGGATTCGACGCTGGCGTGTCCCCGCTCGTCTCGTTCGACATGGTAGGGGTGTTGTGAGCAACGTCGTGGTTCTGGTGGCTTAGTCTGCGAGCTCCCATGTTCCGAACGCTGGATGACGACTAAGCTCCAATTAGCGCGCTTTCACACATGGACATGGAGCAGCAGCACAGACACGTCCAACCTCACCACCTCTCCCACCATTGCCGCTCGTGTGCGCTTCTTGTAAATTTTCCAGAATTCCCCCGCATGCGCACCACCTGAGCGAGGCAAACGACCCGTGACACCTCCCTCACCATGTTCTCAGGGTCGAACTCATACTTAGGGGGCGGAAACAGTGCCCGACCTGGGCAGCCTCAGTATGGCCAACAGCAGCAGTCATTCCAGCAACCGGGAGGTTTCCAGGGCGGAGTGGCTCCTCAGCCGACAGGCTTTGGGGGAGCTCCAATGCAACCACAGTTCACGGGCTTTCCGGGCCAGCCGCAGCCGCAGGGTTTTGGACAGCAGCAACCCCAGCAACCTCAGCAGCCCATGTATACGGGTTATCCAGGCCAGCAGAACCAGCAGTTCCAACAGCAAGCTCCACAGCAGCAGCCCTTCCAAACTGGCGCGCCGCCGCAGCAGCAACAGCAACAGCAGCCTCCTCCCCCTCAACCGCAACGGCCGCAGCCCACGGGTATGACTTCAGCGCAAATGGCTGATTCGTTTAGAGGCTCCTCGTCGGCCTCATCTGTACCACCGCCTGTACCCGCGAAGACGAGCAAGATCCCGAATATAAGGCTGTCGTTCATCACGGCGCAAGATCAGGCCAAGTTCGAGCAGCTGTTCAAATCTGCTGTAGGGAATGCGCAAGCGCTGTCCGGCGATCAGGCGCGGGATCTTTTGATGCGATCCAAGCTACCCGGAGATGCTCTATCTGATATCTGGTAGGTACAAATATTAAGCCTGTGGAATTGTTACTAATAAAGTCAGGACACTGTGCGATACCACCAAGTCCGGCCAGCTACTGTTCCCCGAATTCGCGCTCGCTATGTATCTTTGCAATCTCAAGTTGACTGGCAAAGATCTACCGAGCGCATTGCCCGAGCGTGTCAAAAACGAAGTGTCGAGCATGGTGGACATCATTTCATTCGGTGTTGGCGCAGATGAACAGTCTAGTCGCTCCACTCCGGCTAGCAATGCTCCTAGGTTCGATGAGCCCCCTACGATACAGCAACCCCAGCCCCAGCAATCGAATAGTCAGTTACTTAACACCATGGTATCTCAACCTACCGGATTTGGTCAACCAACGATGGGGATGCAACCTCAGCCTACTGGGTTTGGACAAGTTCCGGGAGGCTACAATGGGCCCCGACCGCCTATGCCTCCCATGCCAACGGGTTATGGTTCCAATCTGACCCCAAATCAGACCGGCATGGCCCCTCTAAATGCTCAGCCCACAGGTATACCTGGCCAATGGGGCTTGGTGAACACACCTGCCACTGGACTTCCTAATATCGAGTCTCTGGCAGCTCGAATGATGCCTCAAACTGGACGCGAGGGTGGCGCCCATACCACGGCTGGGCTGACTGGCAATGCAACCATTCCTTGGGCTATAACGAAAGGTGAGAAGAAGCTGTATGACGATACATTTAGAGCTTGGGACGGTATGAGCAAAGGCTATATTAGCGGAGAGCAAGCTCTTGAGATTCTCGGGCAAAGTGGACTGCCAAAGCCTGACCTTGAACGAGTGTGGACACTTGCCGATTCCGCTGACCGTGGTCGTCTTAACCTGGACGAGTTTGCGGTTGCGATGCATCTCATCTACCGCAAGCTGAACGGATACCCTATTCCCGCTCGCCTACCTCCTGAACTAGTGCCGCCGTCTACACGTAACATCAACGACTCTATTGGCGCCATGAAATCTCTGCTGCGCGGGGACGCTGAGGACAGAAAAAATTCTGGCGCATTCCTCCAGCCTCAACGCACTGGTGTCAGTTACCTCAAGTCCCACTCCTTCCGAGCTGGAAGTCCACAAGCTGGTGGTAGAAAAGACGCAACTGTTTTCCGAAACAATGACGATAATATCGGGTACAAGTCAAGCGCCAGACGCCGTCTTGGTGCGGGTGGTCGCTCGCCATCTCCCGCACAGCCGTCATCTCCTGTATCCGAGCGATCGGATGAGATGTCCCTGGACCAGCTGAGGAAGTCAGTCAAAGAGAAGCAGATTCTCCTAGATGCTATGGACACCCAGGACGAAAATGCGGCAGATGAGGAGGATGCACTCGATCGCCGTGACCGTCGAGAAGCGGAAGAACTCTACCGCCGCATTCGTAGGATACAGGAAGACATCGATGCTCATCCCAAGGCATCCCTGAGATCTACTGATTCTGATGCGGAGCGCCGCGCCCTCAAACGCCAGCTCCAGAACCTGACAGATCGCCTACCTGAACTTGCATCCAACGTGCGCCGAACTGAGCGAGAGATCGCAGACGCTCAACTAGAGCTCTTCAGACTTAAGGATGCCAAAGAACATCCAGGATCCGCCTCGACGATTGTTGGTACTGGTCCTGGAGGCGCTGTAACCGAATCAGATCGTTTGAAGGCTCGAGCCAAGGCCATGATGCAGGCACGTTCTGCCGCCTTGACCGGAAGGCCTGCCCCTGCTAGTGATGATACCGGTGCAGCGACAGAGCGCCTGGAGAAAGAAAACTCACGCATTCGAGCTGAGAGGGAGAATAACGAGCGTATGATCCGTGATGTGGAGGATAGTGTAAACGAATACACAAAGGGACTAGAGTCAAGCTTGAAGGAGGGAGGGCATGACAACACTAGTGAGCATGAACGCCGGAGGTGGGAGGAGGCTCTTGGAGTAGAGGATGATGTCAAAGACTTCATCTTTGATCTTCAGCGGAGTGGTCGAGCTTCTCGTGTCCGCAAAGAAGATTCCTCGCGCGACAACTATAGGTCATCGGCTCGATCTGAGGAAAAGCGTCCCGCAACCGCTTCCAGGTATGACAGCCCTGGCTCTAGTACTGAGCCTACAGCTCGCCCCGCCTCGACTCCTGCCGCTGGCGGCTCTTATTCTTCCTACAAAACACCTGAAGAGCGTGCGGCCTTCATTAAGCAGCAAGCCGAGGCGCGAATGGCTGAACGACTGGCTGCCTTGGGTATCCGAGCACCAGCTAAAGCTGGGGAGTCTTCTCAGCAGCGGGCCGAGCGCGAAAAGAAAGAACGTGAGGAGAAGCTTCGCCAGGCTGAGGAGGAAGATGCCCGCCGCGAAGAGGAGCGCCAACGACGTCTCAACGACGAATCCATTGCACCCCCTGTCACGACTAAAGGTAGCGGCAAGAAGCCCGCCCCGCCTCCACCAGCGTCACGTAAAAACAAGGCCGACGTCGCTCAACATGACATCAAGCAGGCTGAAGCGGAATCGAAGAGAGTAGAAAACGAGGTGGCTGAACAGGCTATCCGTGAGCAACAAGAGGCTCAGGAGGCGGAAACGAGGCGCATGCAGTATGTATAGTTATAATTCTCTATCTAGTTGACACTAACATGAATAACAGGGAGGAAGAGCGTAGACAAGAAGATGAGTTAGCCAAGGAGCGTGAAGCTTCCCAAGCTAGACTCCGCGCTTTGGAAGAACAGGTGCAGCAAGGCAAGCTCAAGAAGGCCGAAGAGCGGAAGCGCAGGGATGCGGCCCAGAAGGGTGCAAAGGAGAAGGAAGGTCGATTAGCTGCGCAGCGTGCCGAAATTGAAGCTGCCCGTGAGCGTGAACGACAGCTGCAGTTGCAGCTCGAAGCTTTGGATGATGAGGAGTCTTCCGACGACGATGGTCCTCAGAACATCACTCCTCAAGACACTACACCTACCGCTAGTCAAGAGCTACCACGCGACTCAGCGCCACCGCCGGCACCGCCAATGCCACATATTACACATCAACAGAACACACCACCGTCGTCCGTTGCTAGCCCACCTGCATCTTCTTTGACCAGTCCTCATCCCGGACATGGTGACACGGAGACCAAGAATCCCTTCCTAAAGAAGATGGCATTGTCTAGTCAGGAGAACAATGCTGCTTCTACGCCGCCACCTCCACCCAGCAATACCAGCGAGGTGTCTACGAACCCATTTCATCGCTTGACGCAGGAGAATGCCAACAAGGCCGCTGTACCTACCTTCAACGAACCTTCCGGCCCTCCAGCCCGCAGACTAGGAGGACGCCAGGACGACGATGACTGGTCTGTCGTGGACTCGGACGATTCCTCTTCTGACGACGACGAACCCCCATCCCAAGGCGGCGCCAAACAACTAGCTTCCATCCTCTTCGGCACCATGGCACCTCCTCGCCCCCTTTCGTCGATGGACAACAAAAGCCCTCGCGCGGAGTCGCCTGCTGTGTCTTCTCCTGCTGCTATCCCGCCCCCGCCGCCAATGCCTAGTAGTTCGGCTCCTCCGCCTCCTCCAGGACCACCGCCTCCCCCGGGTGGTGCAGCACCTCCTCCCCCGCCAATGCCCAACATGAAAGCTCCCGGTGGACCGCCAGCTCGGGGGGCGCTACTCGGGGAGATTGTTGCGGGTAAGGGATTGAGGAAGGTAGAAACGAAGGATAGGAGTACGTCAAGTACTGCTGGAAGAGTCTTGTAGAGTTTTCTATTAGGGTGTGTGGTGGATAGTTGTTGTAGTATATTGCGCTGTGTACAGACTGAATTCGAGTGGTTCATACTATACGCATCTACATGAGGGATTCAAAATCCACAATATGTGACTTGTGGGAACATTTTCTTAAGTTGTGGCCTTATTGATTTGTGGACTACCTAGGGTGCATGGCCATTGTACCAGATGGTTGATATCTATCCAGGCCTGGAAGTTCGGGCGAAATCATTCCACACTTACAATGTCCAGATAACAACCCTTCCGTCCACACCTGTCGAGCTGATCTTAGTCACATTCCCACCGCTCTCCTCAAATCTGCGAATCGTGTTGATAGTATTCTGATGCACAGTCTTCAACTTGGTGTCATCCGAGCCGCCCTTGCCCTTTAGATCCATCTGCCTAAACATGTTCAACGCACTCTCCTCACGATGCTCAGTCAAACCAGGTCGACCCTTGTGCTCGAGCGATCCAGCAAGCTGCCATCCGGACTCAGAGCCCTGCAGGCGGTATGCCTCGCAGTTGTACCCCGCAGCGATGATCTCGTCCTCAGAACTCCAGACCAGCGACATGAAGGGTAGCACCTGGGTGCTGACGCTGAGGATAGCACGGGGGGCTTGTTCGGGGCCGTCAGGGTAGACGACGGTGAGCGTGCTGTCGTGGGATGCAAAAGCGAGGGCGTTACCGGACGGCGAGAAGGCAACGCTGTGTACCCATCCTGCGGTGTTGTTCAAAAACTCGCCGCATACAGTGTTGAAGGGGAGTCGCTCTCCCCAAGCTGATGCTTCCGGTCGCTCGTCAACACCCTTGACGAAGGAGGATAGGACGCGAGCGTGGCCGTCGGTGGAGCCGGCTGCCAGCAGGACCGAGTTTGGGTGCCAGGCTACACAGGTGACCGTGGAGCGGATGGGCTTCTTGATATGTTTTGAGACCCACCAGTTGTCTTCCTCTTCGAAGTAGCAGACGGGGATCAGGCGGGCACCCGATCCCACGGCGAACTTGGTCTCTGAAGGTGCCCAGCGGACACAGGTGGCAGCGCGATTAATACGGAGAAGCACCAGCGTAGGTTTCCATCCCTGGGGTGAAGGTTCCCAGACATAAGCATTTCGATCTACCACGTATTAGCTGCCTGCTCTCCCATCGTGCTAGATAGCTCGAGCCTACCTTGCGAGCATGTTACAATCTTGCCCGAAATGGGCGCGATGTCCACGCCCGTGACCGTCTTATCATGCCCTGTCAGCTCATCCTGCAGCTTATAGCCACTGCCGCTCTTCTGGAACAAGTCGACGTTGTTCTCGCGGGCTACGGCGAGTGTCTGGCGGTCGGCGGAGAAGGAGTGGTCAGCGATGGGGTGGTGGAAGAGGTGGTGGGCTTCGGGGCTGGCCATGATGAGTTTGGTTGCGGGTACAATAGGAGACTCTCTACTATTGTAATTGACTGGGGTTGGTGAGGATGGGTCCAAGTTGGAGCCGTGGTGGTGGGGCTATGGGCTCGATGCTTGGGATGGTGCACGGGCGCCGTTTCCTGGCTCCTCCGAAAAGTTCACCGAGACCGCAGAGCTCTAGACATCAACGTCGCAGTCGAGGTTTGGCCGTTCTAGAGTGTTGCATCTAGCTCTTGATTCTATTACACAGTAAGTGACCACTCTTCATAAACTGCTGTGCAATACTAAACCAACGCTCAGCAATCGCCAACATGATCCTTCGACGACCCCTTCTCAACGCGACTTCCGCTGTCTCGACAGCGAAAACATGCGTGCGAAACCTCCAACATTCGATTCCTATGCGACCCGTACCTCAGCCTATTCCATTCATTCCCGACCATACATCCTTCCTTAGCGCAATTGGCCGCGGCCTCTCCGCACACGCGACAAAGATTCCCTCCTGGGAAGCCCTTTTCACCCTCACATCGCCGCAATTGAAGGAACTAGGTGTGGAGCCCGCGCGATCAAGACGATATCTCCTCCATTGGCGTGAAAAGTACCGCAACGGAGAATATGGTATTGGAGGAGACTGTCAACACGTAACTGATGGGGTCGCCGAATTGAAAGTCGTAGAAGCGCCAGTCCCACTCAACCCCGAACTCGGCAACACAATCAGTCCTCGCTCCGCGGCAGCGACAGCAACGCATGACCCGGGTACGCGGAAATTCGTCGTCAATGTACCCACGGGTGGTGAGGCGCCTACCAAGTCACTAGACATACTGCCAAAGGTTCAAGGTGTGTTCGTCAAGGGCGCGAAGACGATCAAGGGAAGCTATGTGGAGCCGATCAAGGGTAGTGAAGGTCTAAGGGCGAGGATACGGCTGCAGGAAGGTATCTGGGAAGAGAGGAGGGGACACAAGGTCGATGGTGGTGAGAGGAGGAAGGCAGAGGTCAGGGCAAAGAGGAGGGCAGCTGAAAACAAGGAGAAAGCTAGGTAGCAGAATGCTTATTTGGAATCGGCTCGGAGTTTGCGAAGAGGCTTGTAATATCTGTACCATATGGTGTTTTTGTGTGCAAGTGTAGCATACCATATTGGAGTTGAACAAATGGCTGGTCATGACTTGAACCGACGTCGCATACAATGTGCTGGACTCACAATACCCTCGTGGCCTTATTATAACTGCCGTCTCCAACGTGTAGCAAAGATAAATCACTCTTGAAATAATCTAGTAGCTGTCCTCGAAAACTTGATATTACAACTTGGTACATGAACAAACCATTATTTCAGTTAAGCAATTTTTGCTGAACAAGTATACACGAATGTCAAGGATGTAATTCAACTTTCAGTAGAAGAAATGAATTGGTTCCCTCGCAAACTAAAGCGATAGTGGAGCTTCTAGCAAACCGGATATCAAAAAGCCTTAAAAAGACAGCATCTGACAAATCTAACAAGTCTAACAGATTCTCAAAGATGATCCATATTGTACAGCGTACCCTACCCAGGCATTCTCCTTGTTAACTCTTTCAATGCTGTCAACCAAACCCAGTGAACCCCTGCACATTGAATGCATCCAACGGCGGTGGTTGCGTTCCCACGGCTGGCGTCGTCGTTGATGTGTCGTTCAAGAACCAACTCCAGTCCTGATCGATATCCATGGGCATATGCTGCCAACTGAAATTATTCGTCGGCAGCGGGAAGTTGTTCATCGAGTCGTCGTTGATCTGAGTGTTGGTACCAGCAGCAGCACCGCTCGTTGAAGCATCGTCGGCGTTCAAATTGTTCCAGTTATAAAACCCATCATACGAGACGAAAGGCGATGGGTCGGTGAAGTTGAGAGCTGATGTACCTGTAGCGGTGGAAATGGACGTTTTTGGCGTGAGATTTAAGGATTGGGTGGGATGAGAGAACAGATCCGATCCCGTAGTTGACAGTTTCTCGGAGTACTGTGATTGTGACTGTGACTGTGACAGAGCTGGACTCCTTATCGACATACTCAAACTCGGTGAACGAGACGGCGGAGGTGGCCCCTCCTTAACCACCTGACCCCCTCTCTTAATCGAAATGGTCCCAAAATATGGAATCACAAAATTAGATTGGCCCTTGCAATCCTCATCTAATTTGTTGCTCGTTCCCTTGAACTTGGACATCATCTTCTCCAGCACCTCTGCAGACTGAAGCGCTACCTTTCCGCCCTTCTCACTTGAGGCGCGGCGGAAAATATCAATGCTGATCTCGATCAAGCGGACATCTTCTTCGACTTCCTTAGGGCTGGATGACGTGCCGCGAAGGCCAAAGTTGAGGAGGCCAATTTGTACGAGCACTGCGGCGGTGAAGCCGATGAAATCCACCGCCTTGCATTCGTAGAGAGGCTGCACGGTGCCAGCTCTAAGGGCTTGGTAAAGGCGCAATACTTCTCTGGAACCGTTGAGACATGCGGTGCGAGAGTACGTGAAGCGGGGGTTGGACGCGGACTTGAGCATGAATGGTAGGTGCAGGTATACACGGATCTGATGGAACACCATTTGGCCCATGAGGCGTTCTCGCAATTCCGCTGCATTGGCTACAGGATCGGAAAGTAGCTCAGAGTAGTCCACCCAAGCGGGGTCAAGTTTCTTCCATATATCTTCGAGTTCCTGGTCAAGTTGCAAAGCCCAGGCAAAGGATTGCTCAGCTACGCTTTGGTTACGATCGATGACTCGACCTGCAAGTTGTGAAAGCTTTGTCATAGCCGTGAGCGGGTGTATGTACTCGCCGTCGCCCAGCTCAGGCATAGTCAGATCGCAATGGGCGTCGCTGATACCGTATGGTAGACCAAGCAGCAGAGAGAGGAAGCGATCTCCATGGTACAGCGCCCACCATATACTTTCATGCGCTGGAGAGGAAGTGCGCTTACGATGCAGGCCCTATATCATGTTAATTGTGCATGTATGTCGAAGGACTATTCGACTTACCATAAGCTGAGCATACATCAACCCTTTTCGGTACGCAAGCCAAGCTCGTCGTGGTTGGCCAACATCCGCATACCACTTGGACTTCAAGATGAGACATTCCATACCCTCCAGGCTGGCGGCGTACTCGTCATCGGACAGCACCCATCTGTCGACAGCCTCTATGTAACGATCCACGTCGCCACTCTCGTCAGATGAGCAGATACCAACGGACAGAACAACGGTAGCAATGCCACCAACATTTCCGGTAGTCAAAGCATGTGCCGCAAATTGTGGTAGTGTCTGCTCTGTGCCAGATGTGCCGCTACACTTCCGTCGCCACGTCTGCCACCACTCACTATTGTTGTTCAAGAGCTTGGTAAGCTGATCATACGGTGGCAGCATGGCAATGAGAGCTTGCTTTGCTCTCTCCCTCTTTGCAGAGTGCGCGGTCGTATTGCCGGCCACTAGATCATCCCCGTGATTATTCTCGAGGGTATACCGCTCATTAGCCGCGACACTAGGTTTTGGCATCGATGCCTTCTGATGTGGGTCCAATCGGGCTTTAGCCTGCGCTTCAGCATCATTGAGCTAATATAGTAAGTACGGATAGGGGAATTCCAGCTGAAGATACTTACAGCATCTTCCAAGACCGACAGAATGGGAACGTGGTGACCTCTTTCAGAAGCTGCACGCTGATTGCTCGGCAGCTGGAAGACATTCGTCGAAGCCTCTGAAGACAGAGGAGTAGGCGGGAAGGTATCTCTATGGTAGAGGTTGGGTGCTTTTGGTGACGATGTGTCTGCTATACTCTGGGCCTGGCTGTGACTGTGACTCTCGGACTTGACCGTCTTATCCTCAAGCAACGTGTCAACAAGAGCCTCTAGCCGTGACACACGCTCGCGGAGATTTTTCCTATGGTCAACAACGACCTCCGGGTTGGCCTGTTCCTGGTCGATGCACCGGCTGCCTCGTGCAAAGCATTCTGAGCAGACGTCGGGGTTGTCGGCTTGGAATATACATCTAATCTTTCGACGCCGGCCTATACTACATCAGAAGAGGCACGGAGTATGAAGCAAATATGAGAAGCGAAGTAGTCCGGAAACGAAATCACGAATCGGAGTTAGACGGGATGGATATGAGACAGAACAGTGTAAAGCGACAATTAGGTGGAGATAGCAACTGGGTCGACATACATTCGAAGCAACTATGCGTTCCCTTACGCATCTTTTTTCGTGTTGGCAATGACTCCTCCTTTGGCATGATGGTTGTTGTGCCAATCTATTAACCAATGTGTTCCCTACTCTTGTGAGAATTCGTCCGGACTAGCTAGCATGCCTCACAGCGCATACGGACCAGATAGTGATGAAAACAACCCGCACCGCGTTTACGTTACGGAAATTGAAGCCCAAATAACAGAAGGACAAGAGTCAGCAGCAGGAAAAGACAGATAGTAAGCTCTCTGTCGTTTTCGTTGATGTCAGGAGGGCCGGACGAACTATCCGTCCGAGGTCCGAGGATTAGGTCAGCGCAAATTGCTGAGAACAAAGCCGCACGATAGCCGCGAAAGGACTACTGCTGACAATCGATCAGTGTGTGGGTCCAGTAGAATCATATAGACAGCCAGGTAATCCAGGCAGCAGTTGTTTGCGTTGCGGGAAGTCGCTCGACGCAATGCGCTGCGGCCCGTTCTGTTTTGAGTTCAGGTTGCGAGATTGAGGGCCGAATAGGGTTTCGTGGAGGCCGATCATGGAGTATGCATACAACTATATGGAAGGATGTCGCGGATGAGGCCGATTAGACTTCAGGTCTTGCTTCAACGGAGGCCGGGGCTCCCATCCTCCGAACGCCCGCTATACGCGTATTCCCTCACGAGTAGCCCCAGATCGGTTTTTTATGCTTGGAACGCGTACCAATGTTAATAGGAGCTTTGCTTAACTATAATGACCCAAGTTTCTTTCAAATTGAGGACCGGCATAAAATTGCTTTCAGCTCTTCTACGTGGAATGTGGGTCGCAGACCGACCGCAGCTGTCTTACTGCTGCGTCGGTGTTCCGCTGTCGTTCGCATACGATGTTCTCTGAGCAAGACTGACCTTACCAAACTCCATTTCCGCTTTCGAACCTGAACATACAAGGGTTTACAACTGAATAGTGACCAAGTAACCCGAGCTTATGGCTACAAGTGCGAGCAGATTTTGTCAGCCTAAGCAAGCTAAGTCTTGGCCGAGACTACCGACGTCCCAGATTCGTCCTCGAGAGATAAAACGAGTGTTGTATCTGTCTAAGATAGAGTAGATAGAATAAACGCAACAAATACACGAGGAGAGTTACATGTTAACCAGCACGTGACTCCATTTGACAAGAACCGCCATGCCGAGGGCGGGTGGAACCAGCCCTCCACCAGTCTTTCCATACCATAGACTACATTCGGAATTTTCAACCACCAAATAAAGGATTAGATCAGTCGCATGGCCCTGATAGTTGAAGTGCGGGGGCAGAGGCTATTTCTTTGGGCTAGCTAGTACTGTAATAGCCGGTTGTTGCAATTCAAATTGGCAATACCGACAGTCTTTGAGAAAGTAGAGAATGAAGAGTGTGGTTCGCTGGAGTTGCCATTGATCCTCGTCGCTCCTAGACTAGCTGCAGTAGTACCGTCTTGGACTATGTCTTAGTAGTCTGTACCATCAATAAGATCGCCAACACCACCTTTCCCTGTGGTATCTGCGAATTCCTGCCCCAACCCATGGAGCTCTTTATTCAACTCTGCTCCTGTAGCGTTCTGGTCCGCGAAATCGAAATCGATCAGCGTAACGCCATGTGGGTGAATGAGGAAGTTATGCTTATTCGTGTCCCCATGCTTGATCCCGAGTGTATGCAGCCTACGCAAAGCTTGTCGACAGATATTTATATCGTCCAGTGTCGCATGTCGAGCATTTTCAATCTTGCTCATCGCAAAACCAATCACTCGTCCATGTTCAGTCAAATGACCTAGGAAATTAGGTCCAATTTTGTGGCCATCAATCCACTTATATGCGGTTGTCTCGCGTTCTAGTCTTGTGATCTCGTAACCAAATCTGGCAAACTTGACAACGAATTGGCCCGGAAAGTTCGAAGATGTAGCCTCGTACACATTGCTACGAAGACGGCTGCCAATCTCCAACTCGAGATAGTCAATTTGAAGTGAATGCCATATCCCACGGATCCCAGGGAGCATTTGTGTTGAGGTTTCAACTTGCATTTCGACATCTCCATTAGAGGATTTTTCTGAAGAAGGCGCCTGAAAAATGCGGGCTTGATTCCAATCTCCAGCTGGTAGGAGAGGACGAAGGATATTGATTAAGGTGGGCTCGAAGATCAGATCCATGTCATCGAAGATGTAAGGGTCGATAGTGACATATTTGATGTGCTGGTGGTCTACGAGAAGACGAAACTCGCTTATGTCGTCAGGATCGGTACTGGCCTGCAGAAGTTTGATCTCGTGAACTTTTGACATGACTGCTGTCGATCAACGTTGGACTGCGTCAGGGAATGTGGCGGACATTCTGCTGATGTTGAAGGTCTTAGTCATCATGCTGCATTGCGCACAGAGCACCTCCACCAATGTAATCTGGTAGCTTCCGGCTTCTTAACACGTAACTTAGGAGCTTAATGAAACGCCATGAAGATGTACCCCAAATAAAAAGTGGACTGCCAGCCTTAAAACTTATTGTGAATTATAACCAGCCATTCGCCCGGCGTCCAGAAAAGAAGTCGAAGCTGCCTGACTCTCAGTCAGGACCTATCTCAAAGCCTATCCTAGAAGAATCAATGTAATCACAAACATCTCCGCACTCAAAGTACTTTCACAGAACCAGCAATAGCTCAACTAGGGCGTAGGCGCTTTGAAAATCCTCTCAGTCAGGACCTAGGCGCCACTCGGAACCACGGCGCTTACGAGCTACATGCTGCGCTTCGCCGCAGAGCAGCTCCAATAGAAAACACTGAAAAAGTGGGGGTTGAAGTGAGTTCGATTCTAGAATTAAACCTCAGCCTATAAATATCTGCATAGCTTCATCAACCCCCGTGGCGCCTGCTAAGCGCCTAATGGCATCATGCCCATGGTCGTAAAAGAAGCCTACTGCGGCGTCGCCAACAAAGTATGGACGGTGTATATAGACGTCAAACATGTTGTATTTGAGTAAAATTTCGGAATCATCTTTACTCAATCTCAAGCTTCTCCACGTAAGTGCTTTACCCTCCCGTTCTAGAGCCCAAACTAATATATCTAGGTTCACCAGTCTTTGCCCGTTACCAACTTGAAACAGAACATAGAGGTATAGTAGCATCGAAACCACAAACATCACCCTCATTAACTAATCGATTAGCATAACACAACCATGTGCGAAATACTTATCCGCAGATACACCTGCGGCTGCGTTAAGAACGAGGAGTTCAAGCAGTGTGCTACTAGAGCTGGGACCAACGTTCGATGCAATCCAACTCCAAAGCGACCTCTGCCCGATTCGAAGCACATGTGCTTTCGTCACATGGTCAAACCAGACACAGATGAGATGCGTCGTTGACCACGGGTGCGCACTGTGCGTCTTGCCAACTACCAGGCTGTTGAATGGTTGTTGTCAGAGGTGCGCTCGTACGCTTGCTGGGCGTTTAGAACCAGGGTTAGACCAGTGAATATCTCATGTATAGCAGGGTGAGAAAAGTCGCTAGACACTACTATATTATTGTTCAGGATATAGTACAATTTTCCATCCTCGGGCAAAACCCATACACGTTAAACTAATCGACTCTATAAACATGCCATTATGTCATACTACTAAGATTCAAGGGTACCTGATGTATCCCATTTTCTATGCGTCCACAGGCCAAGAGGTGCTGTTCAAATGTTTCCTCATCATATCTCACCCGCCAGTCGCGTGGCCACTCGTTGGCGTTTCGACAAGCTTTACAATAGAATCCCCAATCCACAACCTTAGACGACTTGTTGATGACAGGAAGCTCGATGACGGCCACAAAACGGCGCGGATTTGCCGATTTGCGGTCGTATGGGGAAAGACTTGCAGGCTTTCGTAAGCGAGGCAATCTCAAGTTTGCTTCAGTAGCTTCCTGAGTTCTTCGATGATACGCAGTCATGGATTCGGCATGGCTTTTCTCGATGTAGGTTTTGAGGTTGTCCCTAGAGCCGTGGTAGGTGACCGCAGCTTGTAGAGCAGACCAAGCATCGTACAAGACTACTGCTCTAGATACCTTGCATCCACCAGGTGAGTAAACCCCAGGTAAGCATTTCATATGAGGTAATGATTGAATTATGCTGTAGTTGAGACCGTATTTGCGTTTGATAAGATCAATTCCGAGGGGACAGTACTGATCAGCGTTCGACAAGCAGAGGAAGCAAACTCGCGCGCAGGTGATAAGGTACAGATATGGCGCGAAGTCTCCGCACTTCTCGCATGATTTCTTGAACAGCTGTTGATGTAACTTTTCCACGGTGATTGCCGCTGCAGTATTGATCGCAAGTGATCCACGAAGCGCGTTTTGGCCATAACGTGCGATAGCTTGGAGCTCCGGTAGCGAATCAGTGAGATCGGAACATCGCTTGTTGACATAACGAACGTTCAGTATGGATATGAGGTCCAGCTGGGCTAGGATCAAATGCAAAAGTTCGAGGGAGAGTGTTTCGAGAACGCCAGCGCTCCTCTCGGCCGGCTTGCGTTGAAGCGGTGTTGCACACTCTGGAAGGTTTTTGTCCAAAGTGTGGTCGTCCAGATTGAGCTGAGGATAGGTTAATTCTTTCCAATTTTCGGGTAACATGATGTCGTTTAATTTGCATATTGAGGTGTCATTAGAAACTTTAGTAGATCAAAAGACTCGCAATGAGGACAGGAGGCTTGGCACGGCAGCCTTAGTGGTGGCGGTGCAAACTAAGCAGCGGCTGAGCCGAAGCTAGGCCGGGCGTAATTTTGCTTCTAAAGGCAGGATACGGCGCTAATCAAAAGAGGAAATCAGATCGGGTTCGTCGGATAGCGATGTACCCAAGCACATTTACACCCAAGCTTCTAAACCGCTCGCTGCACCTGCAAACCCTGGCCAGCGACTTTAGCGAACCATTTCGCAGATGATCTGTTCTAGCTTGTAGTTGATCGTCGTTCCCTCCAAATGCTATTCGTTGAAGACGTTCAATGATCGAATATGGCTACGGCTACCTCACACGACCACCTCCAAGAACAGCACCTTCCCCTAAGCCCACCTCCATCACCACCGTCTACGAGACGTAGGCGTAAAAAAAGGTCAGACCCTTTCGAGGAGCTTGCCATCACCCCCATACCTTCTCCGCCATCGTCTCCGCCGAATGAGCTCGCAGAAGAAGACTCACTTCTCACCAAGGTCAGCTTCTAAAGCTCTTGATTGCCACATGGAGCTTAATTGACATTTCCAGATTATATTCACGCCGGTGCTGTTTATTTCCTTCATCTTCTCACTCTTTCTTGTGAGCTACCGAGACCGAGCGCGCCGCGCCCAGGCGCATTCCTCGCATTCCTTTCTCTCGTATCTCTACCCATCGACCTGGTTTGACCCAGAACCGTATCAAGATCCGAGCGACTCGACCTGGGGCTATCAAAGCTCCGCTGGGCATGTCGAGCCAAACGACGCAGTAGGCCCAAGGGAGAAGGAACAAAGCGAGGCTGGGAAGAGGAAGAAGAAGAAGTGTAATCAGAAAAAGTCATGGCATCTCAACAAAAAGATTAGGAAGGTAGCTAAGCTGCAGGTTAGTGATGCATTTGAGATGCGCGGAAGGGTCATCGCGGGTATTCTTGCAGTAACAATACTCAGCTCTATTGCGCTATGGATGGGCATGAAGTGGCTATTGACATCACTCTCCGCCTCGCTGTTTGGAGCAAAATAACAAACGCGAGCGTAGACCTTCACATGATACAAGCTCTGTGGGGAACATCGAGTGCATATGCGGAGTAACATATACGCTAGGTTGTCACAGGACACGAGATAACGATCTACACGACATCGACTCGCACGAATTACGTACACTGGGAAAGATACGATGAATGCATGAATATCATTAAGATCAGAGATGTATAGATCTATCTGGAAATGGCCGTACCGTTGATGAGTGACAATAACTCGTGAAACATGAGAATTCCAGACAATCTGTCTTATAGGGCCCCTCGGTAGCCGTCAATGGATTCATAGCATGGATCAGACCCTAACAAGACTTGGCTACGAATGCCCGCCGCGCCGGGCTTCCGATCCCCTTTTACACAAATCGGGCCTTTCGGGCTAGTTCAAATCTCTTGGCCTGCATACACGCACGTACGGGTCCTGCGTTGCCCAACTTGCCCATCATTCTTGATGAGGACCATGCCGGAAGTTAGCACATGCCGCTCCACACTTCAGTCCACTTCCATGTCCATATCTTTACCGCCATCAGTCGTGAGCGTCTTGAGTGCTTTCGTCAGAGCCGCGGACTTCTTGTCAGTTTTCGCTGCAGCCTTCTTCTGTACGCCATGCCTCGGCTTCCTCACTTTCTCTTTGCTGGGGCCCTTAGGTTTCGGAACTGAGGCCAGCAGATCCTGGTTTTGCTCCTTTAGGATCTTGCACATCTCCCAGAAGCTCGCGTACTCCTCTAACTGCATCAAGTCTACAAACTCCTCCTTCGCCGCATCAGTCCAGTGGTTCGCCTCTTGAGTAAGAGTGGCAACGGCAACAAGCTGCTGCAAGTAGCCTTGTTCGTCTTTACAGATTCGTGTAGCTGAGCCGAGAGGTGCAAAAGTTGCGTCGACGAGTTCTTTGAGATGCTGAGGGGTGAACCTATACGTCACCAGTTGGTAAAGCTTGGCGTGAGCGGCGGAGAGTAGAGCATCGTACTCGAGCTCCTCGGCCAGAGCGTACATGTGGAGGTGAAACATGTGGTTAGGAAGATTTGGGATACGGTAGGCCTCTGGAGAAGATGAATCCGGCGCATGGGTCGCATGCGGCAACGGCGCAGTTGTGGAGAAATTGTCGATACTATAACTCCCGCGATATAGGAAGCAAACGATGCGGTCAACAAGCATCGGGTGGAAGTGGGGCGGAAGATTAACGAGAGTTGGAGGACTCAGGTTCGGCGCCTGATATCAATCAGAACATATGCCATTACGCTAGAACCTAGTCAGAGTATGTGCGACGCGTAGACTTACACCACCAGGATAGAGACCCTCCTGCAACATCTTTGGACCGCCGATAAGCATCATGGAGTGAATCTTGAATTCTATACCAAGTGCCGTGACTAAGGCGAAGTCGCGACCGATAGGTGTTTCGAGGAGATATTTCTCGTGGCTACGAGCAGGTTAATCATTTTCAACTGCTCGCCTTGCTAGCGTTAACTTACTCTGTTCGGATCTGGTTCTGGCTCGGCAGCGACCCTGCGCTGAACCTGAAGGCTTTTCGCAGCAGGTTTCGAGCAGTCCGCGGGTCAACTTTCGGGATTGCTGGCGGCGTGACTGGCTTCATCTGTTCTTGTTGCGACAGCTTCGTCTGCGGTATTTGATCCATCTTTGCTCTACTTGGAAATGTCAGGTCGGGCGAAGGGATAGAGAAGAATAAAAGAAAGGGAGAGAATAAAGTGAGGGTAGCAGGCCGAAGTAAAATGTATGCTAAGCAGTTCGTGAAGCGAGTGAAAGAAAAAGGTCCGCGCGAAGGGTATCCTCGTGACATCTTTGCGCTCTCAAGTCAAGCCGGGGTCTGTGCTACATTCAAGTGTTTGCATGTGTGCTCCAGTCACGGTCCTAGGCAATGAGTCGTCCGATCCAGAAGGCGTAAACATTGAAGATACGTCCTCAGACGTGGTTACGTACAGACAGAACTCATGCATTACTCGTACAATCGTACAATCATGATCCGTAGAGCTGTTCCCAGCTTTTAGAATGTAGGCCTGGTCCTCTCCCCCTTCCAAAATCCCATAACCTCGCCCGTCTCGCCAACCCACTCTTTGACACCGGTAACAACGGCCTTCGCCATCCCCGCATTCGTTCCGCTTCGCGCTCTCCGCTTCCCCTCCATTGCACCTCCAACTCCCATACCCGAGCCGCTTCCAAACGCGTCGGGTGCTTTACCTGGCGTCATGTAACTGCTCCCTTCTCCTGTCGCGTATTCGGAGCCCATTGAGGGCAACACATTCTCGCCAGCGGACAAGGAGACGAACAAGGCGAAGGGGACAAGCCAGACACACAGGCCGAAATAAGATGCGATCTCGGTGAAGGAGGGAAGATTGGCATCGCGGGAATAGGGGTAGGAGGAGTAGGCCGAGTTTGGGGGCGGGGCGCTGAAGTGGCGGAACCAGAGGTAGTGGTTGACTATTACGAGTGCTAGAGTATATCAGCATTGTCTCATTCTGGCTTCACAGGTAGATGTTGGAGAGCTCTGTCAAGTGGGCGTACCGCAGGATAGCAAGAACAGCGGATCCGTAAGCTTAACGATGGGAAATCGCCTCAAGTTCTGCGCATAGATGGCATGCGAAACAACACTCAGCGCGCTCAATCCAAGCGGGAACTTGTCCACGACAAGGAGCAAGAACTGAACACCAACAACGCCATAGATCAACCGGTGGAGCAGTTTCTTTGCGAAAACAGTGTGCTCTTCGACGAGCTCGGAGAGGTAGTACAGTCCGGACGCTATGTGTTATATCGCATTAGCTCCCAAGCTCAGTTCTCCCTCTCCTTTATGATACTAATCACAAGAAGACAACTGGCTCAAATACCTATAGCAAGCGTCAAAAACGCGAACCCCAGAATCACTCCAACGTATCCAAGTATCGGTAATAGCCACATTGTGAATTTGAAGTTCGAAGAACTGAGGTCTGGGCGATGAGGTCAGTCAAAGGTGGCATTAACTTTTCGGGGAGCTTATGTAATCGGCGCGCGGGAAAGTGTGGGGTGAACGAACACCAAAAAGTTGTCGCATATCGAACTTTTGGAATTCTACAACTAGAGATATCCACGACCAACGCTGACCCCCTTTAGCCTAGAGGTACTCGAACCAGGCTTTTCTCTCATAGATTCGAGGCTCTGCCTGGAAAAACAATTACAAGAACCGCAACCATGTCGAGACCCGAAGACATACTGTACGTCTACTCTAGCACTTGCTTCCCTTTACATTCTCACTGCTAACGAAATCTCTTCAGACCTCCAGACCTCTTCTACAATGATAGCGAATCCCGGAAATACACCACGTCTTCCCGTATTCAAAAGATCCAATCCTCAATGACCCACCGCGCGCTCTCCCTCCTCTCTCTCACATCCCCCGGCCTTATCCTCGACGTCGGCTGCGGCTCTGGCCTTTCGGGCGAAATACTCTCAAATTCCGCCTCTGAAGGCACGCCAGGCGGCCCACACATATGGATTGGCTTCGACATCAGCGCGTCAATGCTAGGCGTCGCGCTCGAGAAAGAAGTTGAAGGGGATCTACTGCTCTCGGATGCGGGACAAGGTGTACCGTTTCGGCCAGGAACGTTCGATGCGGCCATCAGTATTAGTGCGGTGCAGTGGCTTTGTAATGCTGAGACGAGTGAGGAATCTCCCGCCGGAAGACTATCGAGATTCTTCAATCAGCTATATGCGAGTTTGAAGAGAGGTGGCAGGGCGGTGTGCCAATTCTACCCAAAGAACGATGAGCAGAAGAAGATGATCAGCCAGGCGGCGATCAAAGCCGGCTTTGGTGCGGGTTTGCTGGAAGACGATCCCGGGACAAAGAGTGCGAAAACGTATCTCGTTCTTACAGTTGGTGGAGGTGAGTTGGATGGCGATATCACGGGTGTCGTAAGGGGCATGGATGGGGTGGATGTTATGGATGCACGACGAAAGGCGAAAGGTATGAAGAGGGGTGAGGACAAGAAGGGCAGCAAGGCATGGATCATGAAGAAGAAAGATCAGATGGAGAAACAAGGCAAGGTGGTAAAGGCCTCGTCAAAGTACACTGGCAGGAAACGAAGGATCCAATTTTAGACATACCCACGACATTACGATGTTATGCATAGCGAGGCGTTTTGCGGGTCAGGGCAATTTCGAGAGAGTATAAGAATGTCAATTCAATCATGCAGCATGCTATATACCACCTACATGTACAACCCTATTCACGTCATCTGCCTTAGTGTACAAGTCCAAAGCGTCCAATCGTCAAGGAAATAGATGCAAGTCAGGGCTAAACCAGTTGAACCGCTGCCTAGATCTGGCGATTATCATCGCGCAGTAGAGCTTGGCAAATGAGGATGATGGTGATCGACTTTATGCCTTCTCCATTTGGTTCAGGATGGCACGGGTGAACTCGTGAGTGGTGGAGTTGCCTCCCATATCACGTGTGCGGGTTTTGCTGCCATGGTGTTAGTAAAACAGTATGCAACTTGTAAAAGGGTAGAACTTGCCCATCAGCAATAACCTTGTACACGGACTGCGAGATGCGGTTGGCGTGGTCATCGAGACCAATGTGTCGCAACATCATGGCAGCGGAGAGGATAAGAGCGGTCGGGTTGGCCTGGTCCTTGCCCTTGATATCAAGACCGACGTGGCGGCATCCGGGCTCAAAGACAGCGACGTTGCGGCCCATGTTGCATCCGGGAACGATACCAGGGCCACCGACAAGTCCGGCACCAATGTTAGACAAGATGCCTCCGTACAAGTTAGGCATGACCATGACATCGAACTGCTGTGGCCTCGAGACACACTGCATGGAGGCGTTGTCGACGATCATGTCGTCGGTCTTTAGAGTTGGGTAGTCTTCACCGACCCTCTTAACCGTGTTGCGGAAGAGACCATCGGCAAGCTTCATGATGTTGGCCTTGTGGATGCAAGTGACCTTCTTGCGGTTGTTGGCGAGCGCAAATGCAAAAGCAAACTTGGCAATGCGCTCCGACTTCTCACGGGTGATGATCTTAAGCGACTCAACAACGCCGCTGACCGACTGGTGCTCGAGACCAGAGTACTCGCCCTCGGTGTTCTCACGAATGATGCAGAAATCAATGTCCTTATGGCGCGTCTCGTAGCCGGGGATGTTCTTGAGCAGAACAATCGAGGCGTAGATATCGAGCTCCTGGCGAAGGGCGACATTGAAAGAGCGATGGCCGGATCGCTCGACGGGAGTATGTAGAATACCCTTAAGACCGAGCTTGTTGCGCTTGAGCGAGGCGATGGACTCGCGGAGGAGCTCTTCGGAGTGGATGTTACCTGTCTCTACACCAGAGACGTCGACCTGCTCCCACTCGACAGGCACATTGTCTGCCTTGAAGATCTGCTTGACCGATTCAGAGACCTCGGCACCGATACCGTCACCTGCGCAATGTTCAATATCATATCGTGGCTGGGGCGGCTATGGCGGCATACCAGGAATCAGGGTAACGGTGTATTTGCCGCCGAACTTGGTGGGCTTGAAGATGTCCTGACCAACCGTGGCCATTGCTATTCGCGCGTCAGATATTGCGTCTCCATGCGATCATGTTGAGGCAGGATTCGTACTTCGTGTAGCCATTGACGGGCCGCATCGTGATGCAGGCTTCGCGCCCCGCAGGAGCGTCTGAACATAGCGCATTAGCAGTCAAATTCCGTTCCAGAATCTTCAATTGGAGGTGTCGGGGCTTTTCCGTACCTGTGCCGTTCTTTGGGAGGTCCTCGACAGCATGGTGGGTTGCGGCGGCGTCAAGGCTGGTGGTGAGGGATTTGAGGTAGAGAATCAAGCTGAAGCCTCCCATCGGCGAAAAAGCAACCGAAGAAACCGCCCTTGGCGAATGACCGCATCCGTCTTCCGCCGCGGCATATGCGTTCTAATCTAATCTGATGCAGACTCTTCTCCGGCCATCAGTGCGGCCATCAGTGCTGTTTGTATCATCTTGGATATTATGTTGATAGTCTCGTTGTTTTATGCGGCTCAGCGGCTTCCTATCGTTTCTGCGAGCGCCCACGGCTTCTGAAATCTCCATCAATGTGTCTTCTTGGCACTGACATGTGACGCCGATGCCCAAGCGCCAGCTTTGGACCGTCTTCACTGATGTTCAGCGCAATGAACTCAGAAAGGAAGAGAAAAGAGCTCGCAAGCCTAGGACTTGATATCCTTATTTGTCTTTCCACACTGATTGCCTTCCTGGTTCCGCTATATGGTTCACACTACGAAACTACTTGAGCATTAACAACGAAACATAAGGATAGTTGGCCTTAATTACCCTTAGATATGTCTTCGCCTCTAGTTTAGCGATGGGAGGTTACTATCTAAAAGTATGTGGAGAATATAATTCACCTTCACCTTCACCTTCACCCCCACCCCTCTCTGGCGAGGTCCAATTATGTTCGTAACCTCATTTACCTCTTCTTCATCTCCCTTTTCGGTCTTTCACCTTTTTCTCTGCAGTGGAGAGTACTCCCTTTTCCTCAATCGTGGCTCACTCGAACCTACGCCAACCAAGTGGACCAATACTCCGATTCTAATATCCTATCAATCCATATTTACGACTTGACCGCCAGGATGAAGGTCGCCGAGAAAGCCACCGATCGGGGAGCGGAGGTGCACATGTACGTCGAGGGTAAATTGCAAGCCCTTGAGGAGTACGGACAGTACATCAGCGTTGAGGATCATGCAATATGCTGCTATGTCCCTGTCGATGAAGGCCACAAGATTAAGATTGGTGCCAAATTCTCGGGCACGGTATGTATCATTCCGGTCAATGATGCTCAAAAGCTGATTAGAGAGCAACAGACGTTGACCATAGCTTACGACGCCGTGGTAGATGGGGTCTTTCGCAAGGCCAACTTCTACGCCGCTAGAACAGTACACATCCAGAAGAAAAAGATTGATGTGGAGTCCTTCCTTTGCAAGACCGACAAAGGAATCATTGACACGCAAATGCTCGTCGCCCCAATTTCTGCAAGGATTACATCTCAAGGAGGACCGCAAGCAGAAACCATCGGCACCCTGGAGCTACGCCTCTATATCACCCGCCAACTCAATGTTTTTCACTCTGTTGAAAGTGCTGAGACGTACTATGCCCCGACTGGTATTCTCGAGGATGTAACTCAACAGACGGCAAGCTACAAGCAAATTGCCCCCACATTCCAGATGGAGTTCGAGCAGAATTGCGCGCCGCTGGGAAAGCTCAAGAGCACTCGTGAGCAGCGCAATATGAATGCACCACGTCCGGGCACAGAACCTTGGGCAATCTTTCGCTTCCATTATCGAAGCAAGGGTAAGTGGTACGTACAAGTTAAGGGGTTTCGCTAACCGTGCGGTGTAGATGCAATCATCGAAAAGAATCTGAAGTTGACTTTTGACCCTCTGAGCAAAGAGAAGACGAATCCCCATACCCTATTGATTGATCCTGTCCCCCCGCTTCTAGCTGGGACAAAGCCTCACAAGGACGATGGTGATAGCTCCACGCGAGCTTCATCGCCTATACCTCCTGACCTACCCCTCACCCCGGTTAAGGGCACACTGAAGAAGTCTGCTCTCAAGGTGAGAGAACTTATTGTCTTTACCTTGATTTTTCTGTGATAATCCTTTGTCACCTCGAATCTTCGTTCGCTCATGTTGTTGCCCGTTACTAACGCATACTTATAGTCAACCACTCCAGTCCCTACAACGACGCCTACCACTGAGAAGGAGCCATCTACGTCCCCCGATAGCTCTCCGAGCCCGGAAATGACTGATAGCATGAACGAAATCCGGGCTCGAGTCTTCTCCACGAAGGAGATGTTTGCGACTGAGGCTAAGAAGAGCACTTCTAACGGTAGGTCCGATGGCGTTATATCTTCCTCCACCGTAAGTAATCACGACGAAAAGGCCTTAGAGACCTCCAAAGACACCACTACCTATGACAAGACCACCGAAATAGTGTCCAAGAAGGCGGCTGGAAGCGCCAAGATCGCCAGCACACTCTTCGATAAGGCAGTTGAGAAGGAGGCAGTCACCGACAACGACACAATCCCCGTAGCGCTCCCCAAGGACAACCCCATCAAGTCGATTGAGGAGAGTGTTACGAAAGCCTCCAGTCTCACCAATACCGGCGCGAAACTCATAGATGGCACTACAGCGAGAAGGACTTCGGAGGACCCAAATACGCCTTGGAAGAAGCTGGTAGTCAAGCCTGCACCTATTCTAAAAACCATGCCGGTTTCTCAGAACCGACCCCCAACGCCCGTGACACCGGCGAAGCGTCCAGCTACCCTCGCTAACGGTGCCTCACACGAGTTGAAGCGCATGAAGACGGCCCCGTCCACAGTATCGCGAATCTCTCCTGGCTCATCCAGCCCGAAGCCGTTGTCCATCGAGCGCCAGTTTGCCGAGCAGCGCAAGAAGATCGAGACCTTACGCAGGAAGCGCAAGGAGATCGCCAAGAAGCAGTCTGCCGTTGACAAACAGATGGAGCCTTACAAAGAGCGCATGGCTGAGAAGTTGGAGCGCCTGAACCAGGAGATGATGGAGGAGGAAAAGGCCTATACGGAGGAAGAGCAACATTACTCTGCTAGCGTCGAGGTCCTGAAGGAGTTCAACAAGCTGGATGGCGGTCTCTAGGCACGCGTCACGGTGCTAGGTTATACAAATTGAGTAGCGTGCAGACTGTAATTGCCAATTACAAACAGTGGTCAACCAAACTGGCACGTGGTTATATGTACGTACAAAAGGGTATCAGTCAGCAAATTCCCTAACTTTCCGCTGCAATCTCTTTTCAGGCCACTTAACTTCTCTAAAACAATCTGCCCAAGCTTATTGGGTCCTTTCAACTACCACCTTGAGTGATCTAAGTACATGACGCTACCCGGCTTGATGGCGACAGTCTTACTGCTCCGTCGTTCTTTCTCGGGCTACTCTCAAGTTTGATTTGATACGCTCCAAAAGCTCAGCGGTTGTTGCGAGTGGTGAGGGATGTAAATTCCTCTAGTGAGTTTGTCAGCACGACCCGACCATAAAAGATCTATTCTAGAATAACAATAACGATGATCTGAGAAGGGAATGATAGGAAGGATCATCGAACCGTTAAATCATAACAAAAGAAGAAGAGGAAGAACTTACGTGGTTGAGCCAGGTAACACATTGGTCGTGGGTCCAGGTTTCAGGATCTAGAAGCCGTGGGTCAGTGAAGATCGTTCCAAATACGTACAGACAATCAGAGTCGCGACAATAAAGACGGGCAGTTTCTTAATGAATGAGGGTGGGAAAGCATACCACCAGTAGGGTCGGAACTAGGGAAAATGTCTTGCCCCCAGATACTCCATGCTGCGACACCAGCGACGATGGCGGCGAAGGCAAAGAATGGGCCCTAGGGCGCTGTTAGTATCTGATGGCTTTTGCAAATACCATACCCACTATATATAGCAGGTTCGAGGGCATCCATATATCACCTACACGCTGGGCTGTGGCACGGTCGAGTGGGGTCGGCATCTCGAAAGTTAATGTGACTTTTGCTTTGAGAAGCTCGAATAGAAGGATCTGTGTAGCTGGGGATATATACGTTTATGAATAGTAGGCAGACGTTTTGAAGTTGCAACGCATCCTTACGGCGGTGTCGCCACAGCCCATCATCACCCTTCACGCCCCACTATCCCCAACACGGTAACGCGTGCGACAACCCCCCGGGCTTTCGCTTAGCAGCGTCCACACCTAGGCTACGAAATTGCAGAAGCCGAACTTCACGTTGCGACCATCCATACCAACGATCAGCCGTCAAGATGCCTTCCGAAGTCTCCGATATCAAGCAGTTCATCGAGATCTGCAGGCGCAAGGATGCTAAGTGTACGTTTACCAATTCTGTTGGAGGTCGAGAAGGGAGCGGAAGCGCTATACAAAAGATGGGGAATTGGTGACGGAGTTCAGGACGAGCGGGAGTAGGAAACGACCCTGAATGAGACTGACATTGATACAGCTGCCCGCATAAAGAAGAACAAGAAGGTCAACAACATCAAGTTCAAGGTCCGATGCTCAAAGAACGTCTACACCCTCGTCCTCAAGGACAGCGATAAGGCCGAGAAGCTCAAGCAGAGTCTGCCCCCGGGTACGCAACCTCCATCCTCTCGAGAGGATCAAACTCCAGTTGAAAGCGACATGACACAACGAGACACGCATGCTAATCAATCTCCTACAGGTCTTGCCATCTCCGACGTCGGCAAGAAGAACCCCAAGGGCAAGCACTCCGCATAAACGAATAGCAACACAGCGAATGGCCGAGGTGTGAGCGCGTGGGAAGAAGTCCATGGACGACGCGCACGAGGATGATGGCATGGGCGGACGGCGTCTTAACGGATAACCTTTGTTCAATGGCATATTGAAAGCCTTCTACAGTGGGCAACCACCAGGAATGAAAAAAGTCAAACTTCATTTCGAACACTACAAATTTTCAAAGGAACTACAATGCGCTGGTCGTGAGATAACACCGTCATTAGCGAGCGCTAATATTATGTAGCACTCGGCAAGTCCTGCAGCGTCGCCACCATCTTCGGCTGCTGTTTGACATCAAACTAAACTGATGTTTCCGATCTAGGTACACCACCTTGCCATCTAGGAATGGTTGCGCCACCTAGATGAATCAACACCAGGTCGATATTTCGGTCCTGGTATCGTTCAGGGATCTCTTTGAGTTCGTTGATCATGAGGGTGTCACCGGAGATGTAGATTCTATAACAGTTTTCGAAGGACTCGGTTGTTGCGGAGCAGGCTCTGAGTAGTCGAGTTCGATCATTCAGCTATTCGTCGGTGGGACTGCTCTGAGTAAATCATTTGCTATGCAAAGTGGACCAGGAGGAATATGCTTTCTAGGCATGTCTGTGATCTTGATACTTGGCTTCGCTCCGATGCTACTCGTCTTCTCCGCCGCATCAACATCCAACACCAGGTTATCCCAGACCCAGAGATCGAGTGCATATACGTTCTTGAACGAATCATCTCCTTTGCTAGTCAGGCATTCGTGTGCATGTGGTGTCGTTATGATCGTAATCCCCCTGCTTAACTTGTCTTCAGCTTCCGTCAAAGTGGTCCTCATGATGTGGTCGCCTGCGTGTAGGAAGTTCGGGTCGGGTATGCCCTCCCATTCTAGGATTGTGGTTGCAGTTCCGACGAAGAAGAGGGATGCATTTTTCGAGTCCGAGGGAGCATTTGCTGGATGCAACTTTGTTTCTTTGGCGTTTGGTAAAGACGTGGGTACGGAATCTTGATCCTCCTCTCAAGGATCAAGATTCCGTACCCGTGTGTTTGTAAGCAGTCGGACAGGATCGGTCACTTTCTGTGTCGTCCTGACTTTGGCTTTGTGTTTGCAGCTCGTGACGTTGACTTTGAACTTGCAGCCGTTTTGTTTCGTTGGGTAGGGCGAGGGTTGACGCGATGATATAGCATAAAGCAAGGACACATAGCGAGGATTAGGAAGCACCCTTTATCCTTGGTAAATGCCATTATAGCCGATGAGAATTGTAGTGACGATAGAACACCGTAATGATCATATGCAGGGTGCGTGGGAGTAAGGTGCTTTGATGAAAACCAACTTAGACATGTTATGATAGATGAGTGAATAGACTGGAAAGAACTTTGGTTCATGGAATCATAGAGTTCGGGAACAGTCATCATCGACTCCATTGATTCTCACGGTTAAGGTTCTTTCCTAAGGTTGATCGTTGATGGATTAACGAAGCCTACCAATCCGAAGCACGCTATAAAGTAATCATTCAAAATTCTACCCTCAAAGTAAACTACACATTTTATTAAGAGGACCATCCAAGGGCTAGGGCTCGAATTGTTGTAAATCAAATGGAGACTGTGAGTAACCGGACTGTTCATTCAGACTAGCACAACAAAAGAGCTCAGATTTTGGGGGTTTGGCCTTTGGCGCATGGGGATGAATACTCCAACTCCAAGGAAATTCTGAGCTTATCTCATGCGATTGGAAGTGATGAGCTTGTGAGATACTGCGCAAAGAGGCTGTGAGGTGGAGCTCTTCCCCGTCGAGCTCCGCAACGGTGAAGTGTGGCTGATGGCGGACGGGCATGTCGCCAGAAGCTTGACCCCTGTCAAGGCCAAGCTATCTACATTAGGAGGGAGCAATGAACACCTGGCGAGTCAGTGAGATTTCGCTGACGCTTTTCCTGGAGTCGTTGCGGACCTCTAGAATGAAAGAAGCATAATGCTCCAACTCCTGAGGCTCCAAGAGTAAAAGAGTGATTTGAGGAGCCCAGCATCCGGACAAAAAAACGCGTTACGCCGTCCATGTACTCGACACGCGACCCATTCAACCTCCGCAATAAAGCATCATTAGCAGCACCTACAGCGTTTTCTCTCCTGCAAAACGCCGCGAATAGAACCGCCTCCCAAGCCGTCGAGTCGACGAAACAGGCAGTCGAGGCCACCAAGCAGGCGATCCACGACACCGACATGTCCTTCGCCATTCCACGCAACGTGCCCAACTTCGAGAACGCACAGCGCCGCTTCGAAGATAATGTCTGGAATAAAGTTACTGGGAACGAGAAGGGTTTGCCTATGTATAAGGACAAGCCCACGGGATATGGATATGGTGGCGGTGCGAAGGGCCGGAAAGGATTTATGAGGAGTAAGAGAGGCATGGGCTTGCTTGCGTTGGCGGTGTTGGGACTCTTTTACTGGTTTGGTTGGTCGAGAGGAGGTGAAGAAGTGAGATTAGAGGGCAAGAAGAAAGATGGCGCGAAGAGTGGGAAGGGCGGGAGTCCCATTACGAGCGGAGGTGCCGGGGGGAAGAAGGGTAACGTGGATTGGGAGAAGAGGAGACAAGATGTTAAGGATGCATTCTTGCTCAGTTGGAATGCGTATGAAGAGCACGGCTGGGGCTACGATGAGTACCATCCTGTCTCAAAGACTGGACGCTACATGGCAGAGCCCAATGGCATGGGCTGGATCATCGTCGATGCTCTGGACACCTTGATGATCATGAATCTTACCAAAGAAATCAAGCATGCGCGCGAGTGGGTATCGACAACTCTAAACTACGACAAGAAGCAGGACGTCAACACTTTCGAAACTACGATACGAATGCTCGGTGGTCTATTATCAGCACACTATCTCCAAGAAGCTCTACCTGGTCTCAAGCCCGAGAATGCCAACGAAGAAGATTTGTTTCTTGAGAAGGCAACAGATCTGGCAGATCGCCTTATGGGCGCCTACGAATCACCTTCAGGCGTCCCTTGGGCCAGCGTGATCTTGAAGGACAGCAAAGGCGAAGCCTCGCACGCTGATGGCGGCGCGTCGTCCACAGCCGAAGCAACAACCCTCCAACTCGAGATGAAGTACCTAGCTTTCCTTACAGGCGAGGCGCACTATTGGGAGAAAGCAGAAAAAGTGATGCAGGTCGTCGATAACAATGGCGCCAAAGACGGGCTTGTGCCTATATTCATCTACGCGGATAAGGGGACCTTCCGTGGCAATGAGATTCGATGGGGCAGTCGTGGCGACAGCTATTACGAGTACTTGATCAAGCAGTACCTCCAGACGCAGAAGCAGGAGCCTGTGTATCGGGATATGTGGGACGAGTCGCTTGCGGGCGCGAAGAAACACCTCCTCACCTACACGAAGAACAGCCATCTTACCGTCCTCGCGGAACGACCCGCTGGCTTGGAAGGTCATTTGCATCCAAAGATGGATCACTTGGTATGCTTCTTACCCGGTACGATTGCCTTGGCAACAACCAGCGGCGCAACACTCGCAGATGCACGATTGATGCGTGGATGGGGAAAACAGCAAGAAGAAGACATCCAGCTTGCCCGCGAACTAATGAAAACATGCATGGGCATGTACAAAGTCACAGCCACCGGTCTCGCTCCCGAAATCGCACACTTTGAACTCGACGACCCGCCAAAGATGTACCGCACCGAGATCCTGAAGTCGAAATCTAACCTCGAGCCCGACGTTCCGGAGGGCGAGGGCTGGAAGGCAGACTTCAACATCAAGCCTGCGGATGCGCACAACCTTCAGCGACCGGAGACTGTGGAGAGTTTGCTCTACATGTGGCGGATTACTGGCGATGATATCTACCGCGAATGGGGTTGGGAGATGTTTGAAGCCTTCACCAAGTATACTATTGTCGAGAACGGCGGTGGGTTTTCGTCTGTTGGTGATGTAAGGACTGTGCCTCCACCATCGAGAGACAATATGGAGAGCTTTTGGCTAGTACGTAACCCCCCAAAGTTCTGCTTCCTCACAGATAAAATCGTCGAATTCGACTAACAGGCTGCAGGCCGAAACACTCAAGTACATGTATCTCCTCTTCGGCCCTAACGACCTCCTGCCGCTCGATCAGATCGTATTGAATACCGAAGCTCATCCCTTCCCGAGGTTTGACGCGAGTAAGAAGCGCTTCAAAACGGGGTGGGAGAGGATCCCAAGGGATGACAAGGGGAACTTGGTGCAGAAGAAAGAGGCTACGGCTAAGACTGAAGAAAAAGCTCCAGTGCTCACGGTAAAGGGGACCACGTGAAAAGAAGGGTGAGTTGAGTTTTGCTCGACACTGTATTATTGATGCATCTATGGCGTTTGGGATACAGCATTCTGGAGCTGGTGAGACGCTGGAGGGCTAATCGTAAGAAAATCATGTTGGCATTCATCGCAACCTATATAACATTGCCATGAATATCTCGGCCAGCGCCGTGGCGTACCAATTAGCTGTGCATGTATGCAGTCATAATAGTAGATACACATGAAAGTTCATATAAAGACGGCATACCACTTCGATCCACTGGTGATATATCGGGATCCTAGTAATCGTAAAGCACGCGTACAAGTGGTAATCTTGACAGTACTCGCATTCTATTGATATAGTTGATTACCGTCCTGGTACTCCGTGCTAATGCCTCAATTCGTTCAGGGCAAAATTCATATCGACATGAAGTGCATAACTCATTATCCATCTAATAACCCGTGTTCATCGTTCACTTGTGAACATGGCCGTCCTTCCCGAATACAGGACTGACACGTCACTGCTCCTGCTGGTAATTATATGCTAAAGTTTTCGACAATATTCGACGTGAACATCTCTAGACCGAAGCTTGGAGAATACAGAACAGGGGCAGGGCAGCAATAAGTGCAAGGCCTGAGTTTAGGCCGTTGGAAATATCAGGAGGCGTGAGACTAAATCGCATATCGCCATGGTCAAGGCTCCGTCACTATACTTTTCCACTTTCTTGCTCTTGCTCATCGCCAATGCGTGGTGGGCTTCTTGACTGTGCGGAGTTTGGCCGAAATGGCGAATGACTACGTCTATCCGAAAGTTAGCTCGCCGTCACTATTTTCACTCACGTCCCTGCCTTGTGACTTGTAAGCACTTACGATCGTCTTCGTATACCCTCCTTCTTCCGTTCCTCTATAACCTTGAGCATCGTTTTCCGTCCATCCTTTGCATTGATATGCGAATCCTTCATGCTCATGCTAATCTTCTTACTCGCGTCTGCCCTTAGCAGCCTCTTGAGCAGCAAATGCCTCATCAGCACACACACAAACACGCCGCAATCACTCCCATTCTCCTGTTGTGGGGAATCATGCATGGGTATGAACCTCAGTCTCTTCCCAAGTAGTTGTTCTAGTTTCATCGTCGTGCTCCGCGCTTCCCGGTCGTTGCTATCGCTCATGGAGTCGTAGTGAAAGGAGACACCGTCGATGATGGAGACGAGGAGTAGAGACCAGTGTGATCCGCCTTCGGCCTGAGTCACATCGGTGGCGTCATTTATGGGAAGGAAGACGTGTGTTGTTGTGCTGAAGTTGGGTAGAACTTCTTTGAGGGAGAGAGGGTCGGCGGTTTGCATGAGCATGAAGGACATGCTGGGCCGGAGGAGGATTATAGAGGCTTTGGGGAAGGCATTGAGTTCTTCGCGTTCGAGGTACCTAGGAGAGTGAGTTGGGATGCGTAAGGCTGGGGTTTGGAGACTAACTCTTGCCAGAATGCGATCGCCTGTGATATACGTTAGCATGGGGTGCGACTGATTGAGGCATGGAAGGAATGGCGCACATTGTCTGTGAGCCAGTCATTCTTGATGCTGTCAATGTCTGCTCTCATTACTACATATCGTTAGTCTCGAGTACCTGGTTCGTATGCGCAAGACTCGCGCGGGTGGAAGAAGAGGCGAAGCATACACACCCCTCACATCATGATCTGTCTCAGTTAATACCTATGCTATCTCCAAAGCCTATCGATACTCACAAGAAAGGTAAGCCTCATCGGGACTTGGGTCGCCTAGATGTCTCCTCGCCCCATGCACTAGCCGCGAGAACGAGCCGGGCATGCCGCTGCAGGTTCTGCTATTTTTGAGCTGTTGTGAACGGTTCCTGGTGGCCGTGGTTTTGCGAGGTGTTCTTTGCGAGGCTGTGGAAGGCAGAAACGTTAATCAAGGGTTCAGGATACCTTGCAAGTGGGATTGTCAAATGTCTGCCTTGTCCACGATCGCCGACGCGCTTGACCTACTGCCGAGGGGCAAGCCACCGGGGATGACGTAGACGCCTTGCCTGATTGGTGGAAGCGTGGGAGAGTTTGGTGTCTCGAAGTCTGCGAGTGCGACAAAAGTTGCGTTTCAAAATACGGGCAAGTTGATAAAGTGCCCTGGAGTGGCGTGAGACCTCTTCAGGATACGATGTCGTCAGGCTGACAGGTTTATCATTGGTGGTCTATATCTACACTTGTTTCATGACAGCCGCTGGAGACTACTAAACCAAAGCAATCCTATACAGTTGCTGCATTGAATCTATTCTTCATGTACAGTTCGGCCGTACTCGTCTACTTGTGTGATCCAGATTTCTGTGTCTACCTTGCGCCATTTTGTTGTTGACACTTATGCCCGTGACGCCTGATGCCGAAGTTTTCCAACTTGTACCCTAATTGTGGTCATCATGCCTACTCAACTACATGTCTAGGGCAACTGTCCGACTGTCTGCGTACCGCCATTTGTCTCTTTCTTCCCGAACTGTTCGGGCCTCTCCACCTTGGTCAGCCAATTCTGCTTGTCCTCGATCTTGCCTTGCTGGATGCCCTTCAGGGTCGTGAGCAGCTTTATGCAGACTGGTCCGGGCTCTTTTGAGGCCGCGGGATAGGTGAACTTATCACCCTTGGACTCTAAGGTAATAGACTTGATGGGGACAAGAGCTGCTGCGGTGCCTGCGGCCAGGACTTCATCGAAAGACTTGATCTCGTCGTAAGGAATCTAGAGCAGGTTAGCAAACGCATTATCCCGAACCATGACCATCGTACCTCGCGTGACTCAGTCTCCCAACCGAACGATTCCGCAATTCTGAGGACAGTGTCGCCAGTAACACTTTGGATAACATTCTTACTGTTGGATGCAACTAGCTTGACCTTGTCGCCATCCTTCTTAACACCAATGAACGCTGAAGTCGAGAATTCATCGACTACACTTCGTGTTTTACTGTCCAAATGTAGTGTGATACCATAGCCTGCCTTGTACGCTTTCTCACTGTGTCGCAGGACTGGAGCGTAGTTGCCTCCTACTTTCGCGGATCCGGTACCCTCTGGTGCGGCACGATCAAAAGACTCGAGAATGACAGCATCCACGGGGTTCGATCCATGATATACGCCCGTTGGGATGCAGTAGACCACGAAAGTGTACTCTTGAGGAGGGTTTAGACCGAGCTGCGCCGAGCTACCGAACAGCAACGGCCGAACATACATGGCTGCACCGGTCTCGTGAGGTGGGACATATGCCGCATTCATTCCCACGGCGAGGTTGCAGCATGCAAGGAAGTGATCAGTTGGCACATCTGGGATGGAGATGAACGAAGCCGAATGCTGCATGCGCTCGGCATTCTTAGTCGGTCTGAAGATGTTGATCGTGTTGTTTGGCGCGCGGAAAGCTTTCAATCCCTCGTAGCATTGCATGCCGTAGTTCAAGGCTGGAGCCATGCCGTGTATGCGAAGGAACGGGTCTTCGACGAAGACCGGGGGTGTCCATTTCCCAGTCTCAACAGAATAATGTGATTCTACGTGGCCGGCAACTGTGGGCAGTCAGACAAAATGCCAACGCGACCAGCAATTGCTCAAAAACTGGACATGATGCTTGTGCGGAATAAACAAAGCCCAGCCACATAACTTCAGCTCTTTCTACATTTGTGCCAAGGATATTTCAGGGCCTTGTTCATCGTTTCTGCATAACATTCGCGCCTTACCTTCTCGGATTTTGAAACCCACGTTGCTCCAGTCTACAGTCTAGTCAGTTTTGGCTCCAACGTCGAGGTTTGATTGTGCCGCATTAGTAGCTGCAATTGACGTACCGATGGTATCGACTGGTGCAGGAGGAAAGTCTGCCATGATTTGTGTAGTTGGGAGAATATAAAATGTTGTGTGTTGGCAGAGAGCAATGTTCAAAGCTGAATAGATGGCAACTTCAAAGTTTTTGAAGCAAATGGATGTTCTGTGAGCTCAGCTTTCGGCTGCGATATCGGTGACGTAAATCCGGCAATATCCTTTAGCAGCCGTTGTTATATACCAAAAGATGCTCAGCTGCTATTGTCAGACTGCACACCGGTTGCAGCTTATTGTTATTACCCCTTCGTGGAAGTTGATAATGATATCTTTTCGGATTTCTCGGATCCGGCACCAGCCTTACTCTTACAAGTGGCGGCTTTACCCGCAGTGGTGCGTAGATAATCAGAGGACCTTACGAGCTTCAATGCTTGGCGTGGTCTGAGGCATCGAACGCTTAACACCTGTCCCAGACGTCGAGGCGTGGAACGAAAACCACGTTTTAATCGCTGTCTACCGCGTGCGCGTGCCCTTCTCCCTATTTCTTATCACAATATACTTAAGCCATGATTCGCATTACCGGCCTCAGAACTCGCTTCGTTGTCCTCGCCCTGCTTGTGTTTGCCTTCCTCTCGTTCTTCCTGCTGGGACCTTATCAAGTGAATCCAGGACACCTGTCAAGAACCGGACAAGCAGGGCAACAGCAGAGCCAATCCCTACTCACAGGGCATGCGATTGCGCCCAAACTAGCCAATGCGACTGTAAAGTAGGTCCTCCAAGGTCTCTCCGTCACTGCATAGGCACACGAACCTGGCTGATAGTCCCATCTTCGCAGGGCAGAACTCGGTCGCGCGGCGTGGAAAGTCCTCCACACGACGTTTGCTCGATTCCCCGAAAAGCCCACAGCCGAGGAGAAGGAAGCACTGCGGTCCTATGTGCACTTATTCCAGCGCTTGTACCCTTGGTATGTCGGGCGCCAGGTGGCGCTACGCGCTGAAGCCATGCGAGAGCTAATTACGGTCACAGCGGAGACTGCGCTGAACACTTCGGACAAGTACTCGCCAAGTATCCTCCCCAAGTATCGTCACGAACGGCAGCAGCAATGTGGGGGTGCTTTGTACACAACATTGTCAATAAGAGGCTGAGAAAGCCCGAGTTCGACTGCAAGGACATTGGGGATGCTTACGACTGCGGATGCGGAGACGAGGAGCCGAAAGCATCGGGCAAGGGCACAGCTGCATAACACCCTGGGATATACGGCGCTAAGGGAAAAGAAACATCACCAGGCATAGATGGCAGCGCTGGGGAAGGCGCATATCAAGGCACAGTGAAGAAAGTAGCCTTGCCCAACAACGCGACCCTTGGGCTGCAGACATGACGGCGCTGTTGGTATGACAGCGCCTCTGGTTGGATGGCGCAGCGGACTTTTGCACTTGAAGCATGTCGTCCAAGGCGTTATTCATGTGCTGCGCAGAGCATTCATGTCTCTACAGCAATAACAGGTTCAGGAGTTGAGCCCTAGGCCGAACTCACAAGCCCGAAGCAGACGAAGTGGGACTACGGACTACCTTGATACATTCTGGACGATGGTGGATTGACCCTCTCCGGTAGTGCCGGGTGATCACCATACGTTGGCGTCAGCGGGGTTTCACACAGAAATGTCTTGAATAGGCTTCGGTGATGGTGGGCAGAGCATGGCGGACTCGAGATTGCCCTAAGCACGCCTAGCGAATGACGGCTGATGTCCAGGGTTGCGCGTCCCAGTAGTGATGCGACACTCTGGCAGAAGCATATTCTTTGTCAATAAACTTGCGACTCTGTCGCGTTCCTCCCTGATGCTTGACTTGTTGATCGGTGGTGATACGAATGCGCCTTGCCTGGGGCGACATGGGAGCTTGGAGGAGTGCGCGGCCGCGAACCGGACAATGTTCATGTTCATTCAGCACCACCAGTTCTGTGACGTTTCCTGGGGGTGTGTGGCTTTGCGAACCGCAGGCCGTCGCAGGCGCTGATTGAGCGGTCGCGTGATAATTATAGAGGTTGCCGGCGCCGCGAGCGTGCATGGTGCAGGTGGGCGGCAGGCAATGTCAGGGGCCAGTTTCGCTAGCAGGAGGGAAGACTAACACACTAGCGCATAAACAAAGTGCAGAGGCGCTATGGCACCTCGAAAGAACCTGAAACCCTCCCGTCGACGACGAGGGGTGATAACGACACAAGCCCCCCCCCCCCCCTCACTCACCGACTCTTCCTCCATAGACGTCTTGCCAGCTGTTCACCGCTACTCTGCATATATCGAAACTGTTCAATCCGCACCGATGGTTAGCTTTTCGTGTGAGGTACGTCCCCAGTCCCCATGTTTACACCCCTCCGCCGCGGGCGCGCTTCAGCTGCTGGCATGTCGCGATTGGGCCTTTCGTCCCCTGGAGACGCATGCGTAGCTTACATTGACTTGCTAGGGCTGTGGGGATGTCCTTACGAAGAAGAAACTAGACAATCATCGCAACCAATGTTATGGAGCATCATACTCGGTCAGTAGACATGAACGACGTGCTTGTCAGACGTATACTAACTGGTTCAGTGCTTGGATTGCATGGTACACTTCCCAGGAACCACCTATAGAGCGCATACGGTAACTACCCTCACTCTCCAGCTCTCTTGACGTGTTGGAGAAACTTCGATTCGGCCTGCATCATCATAGCTAACCAATGACGCCTAGGCCTGCGTCACCGAAGACCAGAAGTATCAAGGCAAGCTCTACAAAGAGAAGAAGCCGAAGTGTCAAAATCAGAAGAAAGACAACGCCCAGCATGCTGTCTCGCAAGCCCTCACCCCGCGTAAAGCCTACGTCGAAGATGCGCATGACGGAGACAATGCCATCGCCATCGTCGACGCCCCACCCCGCGCACCCACTCCACCGCCTGCAGCGCATTCCTTGGGCTACCATGAGCAAGCTGCGCTCCCGGACGTCAATGTTTTTGACTTCCTTGACGGCTCTGCTACGCCGACTGTCTCCAAGACACACCTGCTCGTCGACGAGTCGCGCATGCTCGAAGACAGTCAGCCACCGGTGTACGAAGAAAAATACACGTACACTGAACAACATCACATGCCTTCAATCACAGACGTCATGAGTTTCCAGGTACAAGACGATGACAAGTCATTCGCGCAGAATGGCTTCACCTACGGGGACGAGCCTATTCGTCCTTCAAACGAGCAGTATGATTCGTATACCACTCCCGCTCCTAAGACGAAGCACTCGAGGACCAAGTCCCGTGATACCGATGTCGAGACCACAACCAAGAAGACGGATCGCAAGCGCAAGCGCAACTCGCCCGCTGAACTCGACATGTCGCTCGTTCGTGCCCACGAAGAGCGAGATGTTACCATGGCAGATGCGCCCCCCGTGCTTCACTCTGGCTTGACCGGCGGACTCAACAGATTGCTTGCCCGACCGGAATTTCCACCGTCGCCGGAAGACTCTGGTGATTATGCCAACTCACCACTCAGCCCCATGAAGCGCGCCAAGCAAGGCAATTCGAAGGCTCTTCTGCGCGCACAGAGGGAATGGGAGGTACAAGAGCAGAAGCAGCGAAAGAACGCTATCAAGGAAGAAAAAGCACGTGAACAAGAGGAGAAGAAGGAGAAGGAGAGGGGCCGAGATCGTGATCGAAAGGAGCGCAAAGCCAGCACTGCCCTCGTAAAGGTCAGGCCCAAGAAGAGACGCGATGAGTCTACAAAGGAGGTCCGCCGGCTGCGTCGCCGACAGTACTCGTCTTCTGTTTCACCAGCGCCGCGAGATCGTAAGCCCGTCAAGGCGATTGAGTATCATCGATCCGGGTCTGGCACGCCAGCACCAGACGGCAACGGCCAACTTATCGTACGCCCCAATGGAGACATTGCGCCTCTTGAGACGGAGCCTGACGCCCGTGCTGGGCTCTTCATGTCCTTCATCACAAAGGGTCCCGAGTCCGAGCGTGGCATGAGCGTCAACAAGGCTCTGAAGAGGTATCACCGAGAGCGTGTTGACCGCTGGGATCGCGAGCCCTCCAAGGCTGAGGAGGAGAAGGAGCTCTGGAAGAACATGCGCTTGAAGCGGAACGACAGAGGCGAGATTGTTCTCTTCTTTGCTGCGCCAGAGACTTCCTGACTCGACGAGGATCTTGATATCATCATCAGGATGCGAGGTTGGTCTTGTTCTGATCCATCGCCTAGCCAAGAGTCGAACGAAATGGAGGATATATGTGAAGCATTGGTATGAACACTTTCGGTGTTGGTTGGGTCGGCGGGTTTGGTGACAATACCCTTCTTCCGTACACTTTCTGTTCCTTCTTGGTTGATACCCGACTTGACGTCAAAACCTTCTTCGGGTGGGCTTGGTGCACGTGTTCCTGTACATGTTTTACGCTGGATCTCTTATGTCATCTCTACTGTCAGCATACTTACTGTAACGGCCTTGTTGCTTCTTCTGCGTTCTGCGTTTGGTATCTTTTGGCCAGACTACTTTGCCCTTAATAATCCTGGGCTGGACCCGCTCCCATCTTGCAGGCGCTGGGTTTCTGAATATGAATTACGTTACTGTAATCGTTCCTGTGCTTATGGCTTCGACCACTGTTGAATGAGGCGGTTAGGGTTCTATGCACGCTTTGACACCAAGAGGCGTGCACGCGAGCGACTGAAAGTGAGGCTCCTGGCTAGCTGCGTTCGGGGTAGAAATGGAGTGAATGCAGCAGCAGAGCACTTAGCGCAAGGACAAAGCTTCGTGCTTATGAAGGAGGGCACTCTGTCGTGTCGGCTACGAGATGAGATGATGCACGACTAGCAAGGCAGTTCGTCAGGCTGCTTTGTGCTTGGCTATGTTGTCATAGGGCGATGCTAATCTCAAGACATGCTTAGCTTTGACGCTTAACGGACATGCATGAGCGAGAACAGTTCAAGGGCGTGGGGAGGAATTTTTAGCATATACCGAGGTATTTTTGCACCTGTGCCCTACGGACAATTGGAGGACACCGCTGAGCTCCCGTCTACGTAACAGGTAGTAGTGCCCTTGACCACGTATCGCCGAGTCGATTACACATGTCGTTGGAGTTCGGCAAACGCAGGCTTAAGGTCCAGCCTGCTACTCGAGGCCGCCGCCGGTTACGAGTCACCCTTCGATATGCCTACACGATGACGTGCCGGGACGAGACAGCAACACCAATTGCTTGCGCCATGGTTCAGGATTTCGACAATGAAGGGTCCGTAACACGGCTGTGGTGTGGAGCAGAGATGGCCGGGATATAGTACTAGGTGCATCGCTCATAGCCACGATGAGATGAGGCGCAGCTTTCTAGAAGCCTGCCTCATGCGAGATGGCGTACCAAAATGCCGCAACCGCATCAAACCGACAACTTGGCTCTACGTAGCACAACGCCCTTCGCCCTCGTCTTGATTTGACCGCTTCAACGCCTTGACGCAGCGTAACCAGCGGGGAGACGAGCCGACATGCACCCCAACCCAGATTTGGTTGACCGGCTCACAGGTTGCAGCCGTGCATGGTCATCTGCAACTCCAATCTGTGCTGGGGACATCATAGCTGTCGACTCAGAATCCCCCGGCCCTGGAGAGCCTGCCGCTTTTTGACACGAGAAATTCAGTCATGGACTAATCAACTGCCGGAACGTGATAAGGCCGTGAGTGTCTACTCGTCAATTGCCCTGTCACCTCTTGATGCAAGCCAGCGAGCTTCGTCCTGTCAGCCGCACATCTCCAAACCCACCAGAAAATGGGGCCTGATATAACTTGACCCTCTCTCAGCCTGAAGGGACGTTGCAGCCATTTCTGCCTTCTACTTTTTCCCCTTGGTTTTTTTTTGGTCGTTATACTCCGTTCCATTGTTGTCTTTCCATGCCACCCTCCACGAGGGGGTCAGCCTTGGAGGTCTTCCAACAACGTACCCCGGCCTTCTCATCCATCGTACAACCAACTGAGCGTGTGAAGCTCACCAATGCAAACCATGTCGCACACCGGATACCATAACTCGCCGAACGAAGGCTGGCAAGACCTTGTTGCCTGGGATGACGAGTTCTACTTTCAAGACGACAGTGGTTTAACAGGAGCACAGTGCGATGGCTGCGATGGCTTCGCTGCCAGCTTCCACATACCAGAGAGCGTCACATCTGAGCAACCTTATCTGGCATCGGCACCTCCATCAATTCTTGACGACCCGCCATCACTCGAATACACCGTCTCCGCACCCCCTTCTATCCCCGAAGGCTCCTCTTCGTTTGGCCAGGTCTACAGTACCTCGCCGTTCTTTGACATCACTGCGACTTCTCCTCTGGTGGGTGGAGAGGATGGACAATACTTTGGGTCCTTTGGTGCCTGTGATCACTCCCCATCCGCCCTAGGTCACATCACGGAGTCGCCTGTACTGGACACGCGGTTCGAACGTATCGCGGACAGCTTCGAGGGATCAGCCGGCTCTTTTGAATCGACATCAGAGACAGTCTTCAATCCCTATGTTGCTGGCTCCTCTCACTCTTTCAGTGGCCTTGATATCCAAGTCTCCAATGTCTTCTCCAACGTCGGTACCTGGGCAGACCAGCCTCAGATCATCGAACCCATCGCGGAGTGTGACGAGAGCAAAGCAGAGGCTATGCCCATCTCTATCCCACGACCGCTCTCACAAAGCTTCAACTCCACATTCCCGTCCCAAATTCGATCCGAGGGACAGTATCCTCAGCAAGGTCGTAGCAGAGCTATAACGATCCCCGAAGCGACCCGCGGAACTGCAAGCTACAATCCCGAGGCCTCGTACTTGGCATGGTCGCAGAGAGTGCCTCCGATGCTCTCAGTGTCTCCTATCTCTCAACGCCGTCATCGCAGCGTTACCTTATCTAGGAGCACTTCACAATCTCGCCGCAAGCCGACCACACCTTCGCCTACCTCGGCTTCCTCAGACTCTTATGGGTGGGTATCATATCATCCAAATCCTTTGACAAATAGGCTAGCGCCTACGAGTACTGAAGGCCCACAAGGCCGCACGCCACGCGGACGAAAGAAAGGTCTCACTGCTGAGCAACGCAGTAACGCAGCACTGATGCGCATTGTCGGCGCTTGTTCCAATTGCCAACGGAGGAAGGAGAAGTGTGATCCAGGCACACCATGCAAATCTTGTCTCGAACATTATAAAGGAGATCTCGTCAACCACCCTTGCCGCGATCGTCTCCTCAGCGACCTCTCGAGCGCCTTTCTTTCAGATCGCTTCGGATGGCATCCTACAGCACGGTCTCTAGAGTCATTCGTTGCACCTAGACGCTTCAACATCCCGAGTGGCATTACCTACACGATTCCACTGAACTTTGGCTTCGGTCCGGCTTTACCTGTCTCTGTGCACGCCTTAGAGCTCGAAGATGTTCATCCCATGGTACACAAGCACATCATCTATTCCTGGCCGCCCGAGTCTTCCTCTGCGTCCGCGCATACACATGCTGTCCTCCCAGCTGTGCTGACGAAAGATGCCACTTCCAATCTCATGCATGTATTGGACTCTCACCTCTCGCTTCTGGTAACAAACCACTTCCGCGCATTCCCGTTATACTGCTCACCCCTCCGGATCCTGCGCGAGGTGTATGTATTCTCTCGGTCAATCCCTCCGAATGCTCCGCATGCCCGTACTCTCCACCAAGCGTTGAAACTTCTCGTCCTTGTTCACATTGGCGGTGACATCACGCTATCACCGCGCTCACAGGACCCAGTGCTAGCACAACTAGTCCGCAACACGATGGACTTATCCGAAGAACTGAACCCAACACCCTGCTTCATCCGCTCACAGTTTGGCTCCGTTATGCCAGAGCTAGCCCTCATCTTGATGAAGGATGTTCTTTCCTCGTTGGAGCAGCTCTTCCTGAACAGAGAATGTGGAGAATGGCCGGTTGCTCTTGCAGTCCTCATCACTGTCCTGATGACAGTCGAGTCCATCCACTACCACGCCGCGAAGCTGCCATACCACTACGACTTCAACAACATGCGCTCATCGAACCCCGAAGAGGAGCTCAAAGTCGATGACGAAGGTGTGAGAATGCTACTAGCCTTCTACAGCGCATGCTTTTCTGGATGTCATGCTAGGCTCAGACCAGATTGGGAGGGCGAGATCAGCCGTCCGCAACGTACCAGTAGGACATCTCCGAAAGATACCTTTATCGAGAGCGTGAGAGAAGCAATCAAGAATGCGAGTGGTGCTGGCTACCTAGGCATGAAGGCCAGCGAGAAGAGGAAGGGTGACGACATGGGTTTCTTCTTCGACCGGCTGGTGGCACGCCTGTTGCTTTTGAAGCTCTGATCTGGATTATTTCGTTTTTCGTATTTTCTTTTTTCGAGCACGCCTTTCTTCTTTTGTCTTCATTATTTGCTTCTTCACGCTCTACTGCTAGGGTGGATGTTTACTTATTAGGCGTTCAAAAATGCCTTGCACGGTTCTCATTCATCTCTTATGTCGCCGAGCATTATTAGACTTCTTAAAAGCGTTTGGGTTTGCTGCTGTTTTACATTTACGAAGAGACGACTGGAAGAGATGAGCCTCGTCATGATTTACGCTTGTATTCCTCCCCTTCACTAGACCCTGTTTCGTGGCTTCCGTTGTAAGTTAGTGTAAAGACCGAGTCTGTTGCATACTTTCTGGGCGGACTTTTTCTTATCGCGAACTTATTAGATAACGAACTATTACGACTGTTGTACATTGAATTTGACTTCTTGCCTTCTTCTCTGGTGACTTAATGCAATGAGGGAGTACTTGGACATCTCGTCTACTTCATTTTCAAGTCAAGATTCGAAACTAGCATAGCAACATTCATTCATAAGATACGACAAAGTACTTTTGTCTATGTCAGATGCGTCTAGAATCGTAGCTTCTAATCCCTTGCAGGTTCATGTCTCATAAACTGCTCTAGAAATTTCTACCCCAGCGACCTAGTCTACTGGAAGCTCTTCAACAGTTCCTGCAACTGCGCATACGTATCTTCCGGATTCTTAACCTTGTGCCCAATCGTCCTCTCATCACTGTAAATCTCCCAGTCATTGCCTCCCTCATACGCCTTGTCACCGAAGAAATGAATCTTATCATATACAACTCCCGTCCTGTCCTTCTCGCCCTCGATGTGTCGTAAGCAGTAGGTCTTGTCCCAGCCAGTGGGGAAGACGTCGAATGAGATTTGGCCGCCGATGGAGTAGGTGAGGCCGAAGTCGGGGAAGGTTTCCTTGAGCTTTGCGACCATGGTGGTGCGAATGTTATTAGCAAGGTCGAATTTTTGGTACTCGTTGCGCTCTTCGGTGGAGGCGTTACGGCCGATTGGGGAGACGTTTATCATGCCATTGCGGAATTCGACAAAAGTTCCGCGCTGGATGGGAATGTCGAGGTCGGCGATATAATGAAGGATCCTATAAACTCGCTGTTAGCTCTGGGTAATCCTTTCCCCTTGGACTTGAGCCATGACTTACCACTTGACCAGCTTCTTGTACTTCTCCTCCCCAATCCACCCAATGAAGCTCTGGCTAGCTAGCTCTTGTCCCAGCCGGTACGCAGTGAGGCCATTCTCGGCAAAGCAGAAGTCGAATAGGGAGGTGACGTTGACATCGGGAGTAGCGAGCTGCTCTTGCTGCTTTACGAGGTTTGAGCCACCTACGAATCCGACTGCGCACTTGTGGCGGAGCTCCGAGAGCAATTGGAGCATCTCCGGCCTGACGAGCTGGAGAAGTATTAGCGGAATGCTCGGAACCAAAGGCTACATTGCATGTACCTGGCGAGGCTTTGTGAGCGTGTCGTCGACATCGAAGAGGAGGACTGTGTTCTTGAAGGGACGCTTGTCGAGCGGAGGGTACACGGATGCGGCGAGAGCCATATTGATCAGACGTGTACTGTTGGATCGTTGCCGGTATCGTGTGCAAGTGGAGGATTATAAGAGTTGCAAATGTGTCTTGGAAGAAGGCAAGGGAACAATGGCGGACTTGAAATGGCGGCAGCTATATTTTGGAGGGGTTATGCAGGGATCAGATGGTTGATCCTCACCGCAGTTTCGCGACGTGGGGTCCAGGGCCTAGCTTGATTGGTATCGCTGGACCCTGAGAATGGTCACGATGGTACCTGAATCCAGTATAGGAACGCGAACTGTTGTAACGTGTTCTTTGGAGTTATGAGGGTTTGAGTCATTATGGGGTTGTTTAGGTGTTAGGATCCAAGAAATCGTCTAGGTGTTCTGATCCAAGTACGAGGCTTGACGCGTACGGCTGAGCCATTCATGCATCAAACCAGCAAAAGCGGAAAGGCTTCCGTATAAAATTGAACCCTTCGCAGTGATCCTACAGCTATAAAAAGAGGTTTGTGTCTCACTGACTCGTCAATTCGGAGTCGATCTGAAATATGCGTGTATCGATCGTGAAAAGAGAAAGACTGGATAGGGGTGGCAGCATCACAAGGGAACATTAATATTTCTTATAGAGTGGGATGAGATATGAGACCATATCCCTTTTAAACCCTGCTTCATCGCATTGCCTATGACACACTGTATACACCCCCTAGCCTCACACCGTAAACACATCCCCATCGTCCACAGATCTTGCACATTCAACCTAGGGCGCCAACTGTCTGTGCTAACCACTTCCACCGTCCTTTCCTCAAACCAGACGGCATCGCCATCATCACATCCTTCAATGCCTCCTTCTCATACTTCAGCCTCTCCAAACTTATCGCTTGCAGAATGTAGCTAGTCACAGTGCTGTGCGACAGCGGAGGGTCTCGTAAATGTTTGCCAATCTCGTCTAGCGATAGCTTTTGATGGTGCCATAAGTGGTAAGCACGGAGGTGTGGCACTGTTGCGCGGATGCGCGAGGGGACCGTGGACGTGGGCGAAGGAATGGTGGATGTAAGGTAGTTTTGCGCCCATGTTGTCGCGAGATGATACTCGGGTGTACGAGAAACTTCATCGGAAAGAGCCACGAGAGGCTTGAATGTAGGCGTCGTTGCTGTGTCTGCATCTTTTGTCTCCAAGCTGACTGGATTGAAATCTGATAGCTCAATGAACTCTGTTTTACCATGGTTCTTGACGCCTGTCGGAATTGCCTTGTCAACCTTAGTCGAAGGAATAGTATGAGCCATTTGTGCATCTCTTTCCGTCGTCATCTCCAAGATGGCCTCGACAGTATCGTTTGTTAGCTTCCCATCATCGCTGAGAACCAAGGCCTTGAGTGCCTCTTCGAGCTCTGGATCTGCGAACTCGTCATCCTCTGCGTCCACCTCTGATTCAGGCGGCCGGGTACTATGTAACTCCTCTTCTATCGAACTATCGGCGGGAGCAGTAGAGAAGTGATAAAAGGATTGGACGGAACTTGGTCTGCTGACATTCTCCATGACATCTTGGGGTAGAGCTGGATAGGCCGGATCAGGACCTCGCAGCTGGGAGAGATTCACCCGACCGACACGGTTGTACGTCTGAGCTGTTTCGCCATCGTACTCGGTTTCGGCATTCAGCCCTCCCTCCGGGGTTGGTGCAGCATCACTTGCGATGTCAACAGCCTCTCCGGAAGTGTTAGTTAACGGCTTTGGCGCGGGATCTTCCAGCTGATGACTATCCATGAACTCCTCCGGGGCCGTCTCATATCCTTCCTCATCTTCCCCTTCTTCCTGTGCCGGTTCTACCACCTCCACTGTTCGCCCAGTTACAGCTTCGGTGGTACCTTTAGGTTTGCTAACTATTTTCGTTTTCTTTCGGGGCTCTTTGGACCTGGGGGCAGGTTTTGAATCATAGTCGCATAGTTGGATGGCCGAAGGAATGGGTCTCAGTTGTTTGCGTTTCCATTCGAGTACATGATAAAGGCGGAACCCAGCGTACGCGTCGGCCGCTGCATAGTGGATTTGCTGCAAGTCCAAGGGTTGGCTCCAGTCACTTTCACGCACACTGGAGGTGTTGTCGGGCTCATCATCTAGTTGCCCGCCCTTGTACAATGGTAGCTGGAGGTGTTGAAGTACTTGTGCAGCCAGGCCCACGAGTCGGTTCGACACCTTGCTCGGATCGGTTTCATACCACTCCACAAGGTTATGAAGGCGGCTTAGCTCAAAAACGCCTTGAGCATGAATATCAAGATGCTTTTCCAGGCGCGTGAAGTCGCCTTTCACAGCCACTCCGACCTTCATAATTTCTGGTGACTCCAGAACCACTCTCAAGCTTGGGGGTATCAGTTGTTTTGCAGTTATGCCTGGAAAAAGAGAGATATGGAAAAGCGCGATTCGATCCCCACAGGCAAGTTGGATCAATGACGCGTTTTGTTTGATCGAAGACGCCCTAGCCCGCGGATTCCACTCGATGTCGAAACCCACGACCTTCTCTTTCAAGAAGTACTGCGCAACTCGTTCTGCCACCTCCATGGATCTGCAGTAGTGGATAGGCAATGTTTCGCCCAGAGGCCCTTTATAGAGTTTTGTACTCCAGTAGCTGGCGCGGGTATTTGGAGAAGCCAGCATGGTAGTCCGTAGTGTGTCTTCGGGAATCTGGTAGGCAAGAGGAACGTGCATCTCAGTCATATCCTCTCCAACCGATTGTATGTCGCTCTCTTGCTTGGGCACAATATCATTGTTATCGTTGGCCATAGAATCAGAGCCTTCCGAGTATTCTGTCGGTGCGAAGCGTAAAGGCTTGGACGGATCCCACAAGTGCATTTGCTTGACTGCGTCAATTGTAGACGATGCGACATCCTCACCTCGGGGAGATTCGACATGTCGTGTAGTAGATGTCTGCCGCGTCTGCCCTCCCCATAGCGTCGCGGAATTCATTACGACGAGCTGTTCTGGTAGCACTGGCATGCACAAACTCAAGCCCCGGTTTGTCTGACCGGCAGAACTGCTTCGTGCAGTAACAGGGCGCCCACGCTTCCACTTGTAGTCCGCGGTGGGGGATTTCGCAGGCGGAGGACGAGGAGAGGAAGTATGCATGGCTCGTGCCAATAGTAAGGCAGAGGGAGTAGAAAAGCTAACAACAGTACTGCTGCAAGTTAGAGGTGTGGTTATCTCGATGTTTGCGAGCGTACGGTACCTCAATACACGATGTTTTCCAGCTATATGTACGCTGTTTGCCGCTACCTCAGCGCGAACGCGTCGAGGCAGGTCTGACGCGCTTTGCAAAGAGGCGCGTCGTCTGAGAAGCATAACACTCCATGGTAGTGCTCTCGCTAGGCACCAAACAAGTAGACGGGGGCGACGTGTGTTTCCAAACCGTGCGACGTCTGCCTGGTGAATGGACCCTAGCGGTTCGCGATTGATTAGCGCGTCATTTGTGGGCCTTGCTGAGATCGCACCGGCGCCAAGATATCGAACACAACGACAATCTTACCTCTACCCGCATCCAACGCAGCTCCGACAGTCATAACCGGGGAATTGAACAAGGCCTAACAGTTTCGTCATGGCACTAGAAAATCTCCTTCCGCTCGGTACTGTGGCCGTACGTCTCACGTGTTCGCCCACTAACTCTTCACAGAACTCATCGATAAATGCGTGGGTTCACAGATCTGGGTCATCATGAACGGCGGCAAGGGTGCGTAGTAGGACATGTCAATTGGCAGCTGGAGCTCATGTGTATCAGAATTCACCGGAAAGCTGGTCGGCTTTGACGACTACGTCAGTGAGTAAGTCGCAGTCGTTGCGCAAATCTACTCTGACAAGATCACAGACATGGTTCTCGAGGATGTAACCGAGATGTAGGTCTCCATCTCTCAAATGGCACTGTAAAGGCAATCTAATGCAACGGACAGTGATGTTGCTGAAGGCAACGTGAAGCTGCCCAAGATTCTGCTGAACGGGAACAACATTTGCATGGTATTTCCAGAGCTGCCCGTGACGGAACAGAAAGTCATTCTAACGCGAATGCAGATGGTACCAGGCGGCGACGGTCAGACAGTTCTAGAGGATGAATAGACACAGAGCAATATTGACGATTGTCTGTCGTTCTGGTTGGCTTTGGGGTTTGCAGAGTATTGCAGAAGTATATTCGCGAATAGCGACGAGTACGACAACGAGGAGAGGCGATTATTGCTGCGGAGTGGCCGATATGTGCTAGAAAGATGTTGGTGCAAAGACTGCGCAACACGACTAGTTTCTCAAACGTTTGCCACAAAGAAATTCCTGCTGCGGACGTGCATACTTGATAAGGTTGCACCCGCTCAAAGAATCCAGTTGCTCTGCAATTTCAACATGACGCGGTCATAGCATGAAAACTCTGACTCGGATGCCTGAGTGTGAATGGTGACTACGCCAGCAGACGCCACCGTCAGACTCTTCTCAGCTTGAGGCGTTTCCAACCCACGTGCGAGATTGTTTATTACCAGAAGGATCAGAATCCAGCTGAGTAAGCCCCCGATACTATCGAATGACGCTTCCGCTTAGATGCTTCCGCCCCCAGGCCGCCTTGCTTCTTATTCGGTGCTTGGATTTGTAGTAGAGCGGAGGGGTTTGCCAAGCCTTCCTCTCCGCCGCCTCTTTAGGGGCCATCTCAGCTTCACCTGACGTGTGCACTATTTCGTGACGAGGCCCTTTCTAGGCCACATGGCATGGTCAGTTAGTTGTTAGTTGGTGGCAGTGTGAGTCTGGGGACGTTGCAACCACGTCTCGAGCACCGCTACTGTACTGCGTTTGATCGAAGATGGAGTGGTGGGCTGCGTCCGCCCTGTCTCGCTTAGGACTCCAACGACGGCTGATGATGTGAATTAGCACTCGACGTCAAGATGATGCTGAGGCTGCCCAAAACATGACAAGCAAACAAGGCGGCTCCTAGTGGTTCCGAGCATGTCCCATAATTTATGATGAGCAGACTACCTGTCATGCTCGCTGTCATGGGCGGCCCACATCACGCAAACATGGTCGTGACCAACGCAGCAGCCTGTATCTGCATGGCGATGCTTGCTTGCGGACGAGAGGCGTGAGGATGCCATGTGAATGATGTAGCAGCGCGACCAAAAACTGCCAGGGTGACGCCGGCAGAGCATTGGCCGGGATTGGGGACCATTGCCGGGGCTCATTGCGAACCGGCCCTTTTGTAGATACCACTCCGTATTAAATTTTCCTACCACCTCTGCCAACCGCCGATCCAGTCTTTGTCTGCGATGTTCTGCAAATTTCCCAACGTCACCCGTCCGCGCCGCCCTATCAGATACCGTCATCGCCCTGGAAAGAAACCCGCAGCTGTACCGCACACACGCTCTTTTCGGTTCGCGCACCGCCTTGGCCTCGCAAAGCGAAATCCCCTGTCCTCTTGCACACAGCACAGTCAAAGCCCCTAGCCGTCGTTGCCGATCGTTGCTCTGACACCTTGCACACCTTGCTGCTATCGCACCCCAACGGCCTTTGCCCTGCCCTGCCCTGCCCTGCCCTGCCCGTCCTCTCGAGCCCACAAATTCTGCCCTTCGTTCGGTTTCACGATGCCCACGACCTCTTCCTCCTCCTACTCCTCTTCCTGACGCTCCGCCCCGATAGCCCAGCCAGCCAGCCTCCAATTGCCCGCCATGCCAGCGTCGAAGCTGATTTCCTAGCCTGCCCCCCCAAAACTCCCTGGACGCGCAACGCCTGCCTGCAACTCTTGCTTCTCTGCCTCACCGTACCCCTCGTGCTCCGGCTCCATTACTCGCAACGCCTCCCTGGACGCGCCAAATGACCGCCGGCCGTTTAGCGACTTTCGTCGGCCACTGTCCTGGCCGTGCTTACACTAGGCTGCGTCCCCTTCCCATGGTAGTAGCTGATACTCACCTTCGTCGACTCTGCAGATAATCACACACCTCGTGTGCTTCCGTCTCTCGACCCACCTTCCCCAATATTCCAGTCACGTCCCACTTATGGATGCGTACTAGTCGTTGACTTTGTCCTCCCACCTCTTACTCTTCTTGCGCTCTGCGCCCTGCAACAATTGATCTCCACCACTCTGCTTTGCCCACCAATCAGAAGCATTCAGACCAGTCTTGACATTTCCTATTTCATATCCTTACCTGTAAACTATTTCCGCCACAGACCCATCTCGATCTGAGACCTGTCGCCACTGGTGGCCCAACTATAATCACAAGCACTCTTCTCCGTCTTGAGGAGCAAGGGTTCGTCGGCACCCGCCTTATCGATACCATTCTCCACGAGCAACACCCACACAACAACAACAACACCACTCACACCTTCCTACATGAGCGACCTGAGAGATCGTTTGGCGCGATTGGGACTGTCCCAATACTTTGAAGTACTCGTAGCTGAGGGGTTCGACACATGGGACACGGTACTGGACATTACAGAAACAGACTTGTGCGTCGTCTCACTTCCGTACCATGGAGATGCATGCTGACAACCAAGTAGAAGTCACCTCAACGTCAAGCTTGGACATCGAAGGGTATGTTGAATTCCCATATCACCGCGCAAAGTGCTTGCGACTAAGATGATCCAACAGAAAATCCAACGTGCCATCGCCGAATGGCGGGGACAGCCCGCTGATCGAGCATTACCTCCTGCGCTGGGAAGAACTGCAAGCGCGGCAGATTCGTATCGAAGCGAGGACTCTGGACCTGAAAGTAAAGGCAAACACGGAGATACGTCTACAGCTGTTACTAGTGCGCCAGGTACAAAGCGAAAGTACCGAAGACATCCCAAAGTCAGTATAATGCCCTCTCGCTTTCTTGGCGAGCAAACCCTTTTTGTTACCTTTAATGAATCGCTTCTTACCATGTCTAGCCTGACGAGCACGCACCGGAGCGACCTCCATCGGCCTATGTCATCTTTTCTAACCGTAAGTATCGGCTTTTTGCACCTTGGTATTGGGCTAACTAACTGGCTCTAGAAGTCAGAGAGTCTTTGAAGGGACAAGACCTAACTTTCACTGAGATCGCCAAAGTTGTAGGCGAGAGATGGCAAATCCTGCCAGCGGGGGAACGCGAAGCCTGCGAACGACAAGCTAATAGTGCGAAAGAAAAGTACTACGCGGAATTGGCAGAGTACAAAAAGACGCCGCAATTCGAAGCATACCAAAAATACTTGGAAGACTTCAGGGCAAAGCATGCTGCAGCTACGAAAGGTTCGTCTTTCCATTCATAACCCCGTTCTACGTCGTAATAACCGTATCAGAAGGCAAACGTTCGAAATTAGAGACCGAGACGAGTACGTCCACTCGAAGTGGCAGCCACGACCAGCACGAACGAGCAATGAACAGAAGAATGAGCTCCGCTCAGTCGGATTCTTTTGCAACAGGACAGCAACGATTAGATCAAAGTCCTCCAATAGGCCCCGCGCGTCTTCCCACGGGCCCATCGTATTCTTCAAAACCTACATCACCAATTACACAATCCCTCCCTGGGTTGCAGTCTCCTAGGCCCGGCGGTTATTACTCTGTATCTGCATCTCCGCGATCGGCGGCATTGCAAAAAGAAAATCACCTCGACATGAATACCATAGATCCAGCGCGAGACTTGAGAGGACCGATGGACACTAGCTTACCATATCATCCTTCCGCACACTATGAATCCCATCGCCAAACTACATCTACAACACCTCCGTCGTATCCTTACCAGACACAATACCAGACTCATATAGATGTTTCTTCTCGAAGGACATTGAGAGACTCTGCACGACTCCCTGGCCTCTCTCATGAAGATACGACCTTGTCCTCTGAAAGCAGTCATAGCGGGTACAGCTATCCCTTAGCGGCCATGCCTGAACAAGTCCTTCCTGTAGATCCAGGCAGAACATCGCGTATGCTCCCCCATCCCACGCCTAGCATCGGGCCAATCAAGCCATCGCCGTCACCTTTGGACCGTCCACCACCCGCGCGTGCCCAGGCACAAGAACCACTCCAGGACTACCGAACTCAAGGGCCCCTCGCAGCCTTAGTAATAGCTGGAGAACTAGCCTCAAGAGCAGCGGACAGTCAAGTAGGAGAAGAAAAGGGGTTTCCATGAGCTTTTGATCCAGAAGGAAAGTAGCTACCCTTCGCATGATGGTGTACCCAAGGACGCTCCACATGCTTTGCTTCGGTTCGGCTTGATTTTGCTCCAATTATGCAAATAGCAAGCCAAGTGCCACAACACTTTTCCAGTAGAGAACCGCATTCATGAGCTAGGCTCGAGGATACTGTCTGCCATTACTGGCTGGCAGGCTGTATGGCTCGCCTTCCGTTCCTGTCGACTCGCAATAACCCAGCAGACTCATAGGATATCAATTCCGGGTCAACCCCGTTTACAAGATTGGGTCATTACGTGGGCCTGAGTACGCGAGCGATTCCCCTGACTTGGGGGAACATGGAGGCTAACGAGGCATGATGATTAAGAGTGAGGAGATGGTCTGGACCGGCAGAGTACGCAACACTCGTTTGAATTTTCACTTCCGCTGGTAGTTTGCTGTTCTAAGTCGAAAGGAGATTGTACAGAACGGGCGCTACATAGAGAAGCGGCCGTTACGGCTAGTCTGATATTGCAAATTTACCCCTAATATCTCGCCTTCAAGGCTCTGAGATTCGCTCAACTGTCCAGTTCTGGGGCTGAGCGTAGTCTTCTGACGTTCCTGACGTTCTGGACGTTCTGGACCTTCACTGGCACCCAATGTGACAATTACTGCTGGACACATAACGTGTGGCAAGGCTTCTGTAAGCGCCATTTGAATTTGACCTAGATTTGCCAGCGTTGAGATTGCGTGTGCGCGGCTATCAAGACTCGTCTCCATTGCGCGCTCATTTTATTACTGAGTCAGTAACTTACACGAAGATCGAAGCCAGGCACAAGATTGAATCACGTGTCCTATCAAGATCGCTTCCTGTAGGATGGAATCTTGAGCCGGAAGCACGAGGTACGAGAGGCCCACTTAACAAGCTCCGGCAATAAGGCCTAGGCAAATCTTCGAGTGGGACATTTTGAATGGTGCATCGGCTTTTCCGCTTCGGTGCTGGTGAAATGCAAGGCTGGTGAAAAAGGAGCGGGCATGGGATTTAGAGAAAGCCCATGTTTGGAGGCACAACCGCATGGAAGTCTAGACCACGGGTATGCACGTTTGCGGATCGTCCATGTGGCACTTTGGGTATGGGCGGCAGGTCGCAGACGTGCAGTAGTCTCCGCGGCCGCTGGGGGGCGGGACGGAGGCGAATCGTTTGTAGGAGAGGTCATACTTGGCAAATCAAGGGTGAGGAGACATTGCACAAGCCCTTGTGAGACAGGAAGGAAAGCAGATGCTACATGATATTATTGGCTCGGATTGATTGCTCGTATCTTTTGCCCCCCGAGTCAAACTTCAAGGTTGATAAGTGGAGTTGTTAGCTTGCTCTTTGCAAACCTCATAGCGAACAGCGACTTTTCCAGAATCAAAATGAATTCAATCTGCCTTGTCCGCTCTTGTCAGCTCTTGCCTTGATGCAAATCGCACCAGCACACACCTGGGCACTAGCCAGCCATCATCTCGCGCTTTCCCCTATCCCGCTAGCACCCTGTTTCGGATTGTAGATGCGCACTTCATCGCATCGCATTCGCACTTGGTGCTACAACTACATGCTATCATCTACTCGCCTATCGGTTCATCCTGCATGGACGTGTCCTTCGTAGCACCCGATATTGTTCCGTCCAGGCTTCCTTTAGCAATCTTTCGGCCCAATTCCGCTACACTGATCGCTATCCGTATCAGACCCACATATCACTCAAGCACTCGTCGTAACGGCAGTGTCTAATACACTACTCTTGTTGGTCAGTGTCGTCTAGAACCTGACCACTGCTAATTTTACCACGGCTAGAATCCACCGTACCTCAGGCTCGTTCCCTAGCTCGTTGTGTTGTCGGTAGTCTAGACCGTCGATTTCTTTGCTGTTAGCCGTAAGACGCGCTCAATAGTTGCGCACGCATTTCCTCTTACGGTCCGCTGCATACAAGTCCAAGACTTCCGCTCCACTGTACCGAAGCCATGGCGGAAATCAACGACAGAGGCTCCGGACCAATGCATATGCGTGATACTCCTATCGCCAGCATAGAGGACCACCCTCGAATACGCCAATACCTTTCTTTGCAACGCCTGAGTTTAAATGAGCTTCCACCGCATCCCGAGTTTCCAGCTTCGCACAACGCGGACAGAGCGAGCCTGCCGCAATTTCTCAACATCATCTTAGCCGAAGCTGGTAAGGTCGACTTCGATAATGGGTGGACAAGCCACGGAAAATGGCACCCTCAAGGCACTCACATCCAGATGCCGGTGCTTGCCAATGAAGGCGCTCAAAGTTTGGTTGCAGACGCTGGAAATTGCACCAGGAAACCCGTGCCAATTTCGGTTGACCAACGTGTCAGGGTTACGGACAAGGCCACTTGGGTGGCCAGAACATCGTATCACCTTCAGACCGATGTGAACTACTCAGAGCTGGACGAGCTTCTGTCCCAAGATCATGGTCGTAATGAAGCTCGATACACGCCGAGCGTGTACGACGCGAATGAGCTCCTGACTTGGAGTCGTCAAGATTTAGAGAAGGCGGTAGGTGACCTACGTGGCGAGTACAATACCGAGAGCGTGCAAATGTCGAGTAAGTCAGGATGCCTTCATAATGACCCAATTTTGCCAATCACGACGTCTAAGCTGACAGGTCGTAGTCTTCCAAATGTTTCACACCATGCCGGAAGTCGGTGGACTCAGCCTCCTGGAAGACCGCGTGTTCCACGTCCTGATCGTGACAGCCCATTCTACGTGCCCGCCGCATGCTAGTTCAGGGGGCCCTCGATCATTCACCGTTCAGATCCCCGTCGATATCGAGTCGTTGAGCGATGTCAATACCATTAGGCAAAGGAGCCATGTCACAAAGAAGGGATCCTCTCGACGCTACCATCTCCCGTCGGATGCACTAAATGAAACGTTACCACCAACCGAAGCTCAGAAAAAGAAAATTGGAAAGAAGCTTACTGAAGGCAATTACGTCTCTTTAGAGCGGCTGTGTAAAGCTTCGAAGGAGTTGCTCACTAACGAAAGGGTTACACTTGAGGAGGCGCTCACTCAGTTCGATTACCATCATCGGTGGGACATGAGTACGTAACGTTTATGTACGAAGTGCATGTAAGACATATACTGACTTCGTACCTCCACCTCTAGTGACGCTGAGCATGGCTGGGGGGATAACAGCTTTCGCCCCAAAGCGAATGGAGCAGAAAGGAACTCTCAATGCTATCGCAGCAGACGTACAATACGTCATAAAGCACATCGCAGAGGCACGGGAGGAGAGGAATAGGGCGAGAAACCAGAGGCTCTCGAATTCAAACTCGAGGAACAATCATGCAGGTGATGGCGGCTAGAAGACGCAGACCAGGATTAGACTAAGCCACATGCGCAAGATCTTTAGTCGATAGCGACTACAGAGCATCGGGACAGGTATGCTTGTTTCTGAAGAAGATTAAATTGGTAAAGGAGCGGGCGATATGTGACGTGCATGAGCGATAGACAGTTGAGGAAAGGCGGGTGAGGCTTGGCTAGAGACCATGCCATTTCGGATGGTTAGAGCTTCAGCCCTCGGCCCTCAGCCTTGCGGCGGATGGACACGAAGCGTTGTGACTTACATCGGCCTCCTGTATCTATTCTTCAATACACTATTCTTATTCTCCTTGTACTTGATTATTACTTTGTGACTTGCCTGGAGCGTTCGCCGTGCCTTCGCGTGCTACATGTCAGGATCCTATTAATATTCCTGAACAGCCCAGCTAGCTACCGGTAGCCTCCCGAACACGAGCGAGCAGTTGTGGCGGGACTTGACGGTCGCGATACATGAATTGAGCGAGCAAGAGGAACCACAGCAATGCATAGCTACGGACAGCCACCAGGGTATCAGAGGCCCGCGAGCACATCGAGCTTTGCGGGGCAGCAGGCCGCTCCACCACCTGTACCGCCGCCGCCGCCGGGTTATGGAGGTATGGGCAGTTTTCGTCATCAGCCGTACACGACACTGATAGAGCGGATACAGCGTCGCAAGGATATCAATCTGCTGCTCCCCAAGCACAGAACCAATGGGCTGCGCAGACGCCAACTCAGACGTCGACTCCACAATGGTCGCAACCGCAGCAAGCAGCGGGAGGCTACCACCCGAGCACATATGGAGTAATGTCCGGAGCGTATACCCAAGGGCAGCAGGTAGGATTACCGGAGAACAAACTCTAAGTTGGGACCTTTACGCTGACCGAGTCCATATATGCAGCAGGCTTCGAACCAACCCTCGTATCCACCACAACAGTACGATAAACCACCTCCCCCGCCGCCCAAACCGTACGGCTTCTCAGGGGCAGTCCAACATCAGCAGCGACTACAGCAACATCAAAACACACAGGATTGGTCTCAGCAAGCGCAGCAGAATACGGGCTTTACACCTCAGGCTCAGCAGGGAGGATATCCAGTGCAAGGAACACCTCAACAGCCTTACAGTAATGCAGCTCCTCCGCCTCCCTCAGCTACACCTGGGGGGTCATATTTCCCTCCCAGCCAAGGGGGTCGACCAGGCTCGGTGTATGGCGCGAGTCAAGTTGGCGCGTACCCGAATCCTTCATCCACCGGACCACAGCAACCCTCCTCAGTCGTGAGTCCGAACGAGCAACAACCAGCATACATACCACCTTCCTTGAGTGGTCAAGGTGTACAAGCATATATGCCCTCGAATACGAACCCGGCACCTGGAATCTATGTGCCTCCTCCACCAGACGTCCCTGCATGGCAGCAGGCACAGCACGCCCCGCTTCAGGGAGGCGTGAAGAAGTTCAGATATACGAAACCGACCGTAGACCCGAGCTTTTACGCTCAAGGGTATCAGGGCATACAACCCATGCAGCAGCAACCATCTCAGCCTCAAGCACAATTTGGTCAGCCGGCTACTCAACCTCAACATCCCCAGCAGCCGTACGCACAACCTGGGCAGAACCAGTTCGGATCGCAAGGGCAGACGCAACAGCCGATGCAAGGTCAATACTCTCAACAGCAGCAGCAACCCTTTGGACAGCCAGTACAACCACAAGGTCAATTCCAGCAACAGCCTACACAGCAATCGCAGTACAACCAGACTCCGCAAGGGCAACATGTTCAACAACCTACACAGTACCCCCAACAACAGAGTCAATGGCAATCGCCGGCGCCCGTAGATCAAGGTATCAACGTACATCAGAAAGACACCCAAACGCCGTATGGGGGTCAGCAACCCACCCAACAGCCGCAGTGGCAGCCCGGACATCAAGCCCATGGTTCAATGCCAGGACAGCAGTATTCTCAAGTCCAAGATCAAAGCATTCAAGCCCCAAAGCCTCTCAGTCGCACTGACACGGCTTCATCAACGTTCTACGAATCTAGTCCTCAAAGTCAGCCCGTCTCCCCCATAAACAACCGTCAAAGCATGAGCTTCGCTTCTGGACAGCCAGCAGGCACTGGACGTACAGGTTCTGTCAGCTCCATTGCTTTGGCTAACCTGCACTCGCAGCGAGCGGACAATAGGACGAGTTCACCTAGGCCAGCTCCGCCAAAACTTCCCACGCCGCCTCCTCCCCGTGACGATAAATCAAAGTTTAGTGCTTTGGGTGCTGGTGGTCCATCTGACTGGGAGCGTTTCGGTGAAGGTGACGAGGTCGATGACGAGGAACTTTTTGTGAAGAAGGATGAGACGCAAAACGAGCCCACTAAGTCTGATAGCGTCGAGCTGCCAGCTCACGTCCCTTCACCTCCTTCGACTCATGGTTGGCCTAGTCCAGCTACACAACCAGTGCTGAGTTTGGGCGACAGGAATGACACCTACGCACCTACTCCGCCACTTCCCACAGTTAGTCCCGCTCCACACGATCCCTCGCAACCTCCACAGCAGAGCTTTGTAATGGGGGATGCGCCTGTAATGCCTTCAAAAACGTCACCAAAACCGATGCAAAGCACTCAGCCGCCTCCTATCCACCAGAGCTTTGTCATGGATGACGGTGGTTGGGCTGCACCGAAACAGAGTACCCCGGCACAACAGGAGTCTCAACAGGGGTTCGTTATGGATGACGGAGGCTGGGCAACTGAGTCGGCCCCTTCGCAAGTGCGACAACATACGCCTGCCCAACAGCACCAACAACCACCTCCAGTACAAACAGGGTTCATTGTGAGCGATGGTGGATGGGCTGCATCTCAACAAACGCCGACCCAAGCCTCAGGTTCCTGGGGAGCTCAATCGAGCAAAAACCATGCTACGGAGTTGAAGGCAAGGGACGAGGCATTTGAGCGCCTTCGAACGGACTCTGAAAAGGAAAAGGCGGATCTGCGAGCTGAGATCAAGAGGGAAACCACAGAGATCCGTTCTGAGATGGAGAGGGAAAGGGCAAATCTAAGTGCTGAGATTGAGAAGCTCAAAGCCGATGTCGAGACTGCTGGAAATCATGCGGCTACTGAGGTTAACATCTTACAAAAACAAATTGAAGTGATGAACGCTGCGACAGAGCAAGCAAAGACTAAGGCCGATGCTTCGATCAAGGAAAAGGACATGACGATTGAAAGACTGGAGGAAGACGTGGAAGGTAAAGAGCATAATATCGAAGAGCGAGATGATATCATATCAGAATTAAGGCGTCAACTCGAGGCAGAGAAGACGAAGGAAATGCCGAAGCCTACACCTGCAGATTTGATCCCAGACATTGATCCTTGGTACGCCGGTTCGCTGGAGAGGTACATCGCCATGCTTCGTGGAGAAGCACGCGAGACGGAGATTGAGAACAAAATCAGGACATTCAAAGCCTTTTTGAGGGCTGAGTCAGGTGTCAGAGGCATCGAGTACTACGATGCTCCACCTCTAGCACCAGTGCAACAACCTCCAACATCTCACCAGCCTGAGCAATACGATCTTCCCCGGGACCCTCAGAATAGTTCCACTCGCAACCACAACTTGAACATTCACGTACCGCAAGACTTACCAGACGAGGAAGAATACGACTATAGTCCTGGGGGACGACCTATGCTTAAGCAGAATACACTTGCATCAACCGAGAGTGTTCAGCAACACTTCAACCCTCCTGGACAGTCAACCACAATCCTTACCCCTACGAGTTCTGTCGATGATGGTTCGAACAAGACGCCGGTTCAGTCGCCGCCAGAAGACCAACCACAGCGGCAGTACAAAGCTTATGTGCCGCCTGCTGCGGCTCTTCCGAAAGACTCCGCTCCGCTGGCTCATAGATCAACGATGTCGTTCTCGAACGTCTCTGCTATAGCTACACCGACAGGTCCCAGTAAGAGTCATGATGAGATTTTCTTCGAATCAGAGGCGTCGAAGGCCGCAAGCAGGCCAACCAGTACTGATAGTACTGATAGCACAGCGGCTGATGTTCCAATACCCGCCCCTCTAAGCTTCTCGTCAAACCGCCCAGTCTCGACAGGGGGGCTATCGAGGGCAACTCCGATCAATAGACTGGTAGATCTACTACCTACTCGGACTGCACCTGCTGGACCCAACGACTCTATAGAAAAGCTCCAGACACAGATCGCAAGCATCAAGCCTGACCCAAATGACCTTGAAGGCCTCACGAAGACCTGGGAGAAATCCGCTTCTTTATCCCGCAGAAAAAAGGACGATGCACGCCGTAAGCGCCAAGAAGAGAACGAAGAGCACAACGACGACTTGTTCAACAGCGATGAGATCTCGTATGCTGAGATGAATCAACTCGAGGATGAATTCAAGCAGAAAGAAGGCGAGCTGAAGGCACAGGAAGACCGTGATGAGTACAAGAGCTATGTAGAAGCAGTATTTGACCCAGTCTATGACGGCCTACAGACAGATATCAAACCCCTTACGGATCTTTATGCCGAGGCTGAACATTTACTTCAGTCTTCTGTATCTGGGGTAAAGAGCTTAGAAGGTGGTGACACACCGAGTACAAAGGACTGCCTCGAGTTGCTCAAAGGTTTGCACGAACAGATCGAAAAAAGGCATGAGGGAGTTGTTCGTGTTGTGGCAGAACGAGATAAGCGCTACAAGAAGACACAGATCCAGCCACTTTACGCAGCTGGCGATATCGCGAAGATGAAGTCAGTTGAACGTCACTTCGAAGATGCAGAGAAACAATCTGAGCTGCGGGCCAAGCGCGAAAAAGCAGAGCGCATAGGTCAGCTCGTCAACATCGCCGAAGACATCATGGTTCGCACCGTAGGCGTCGAGCGAAGTGAAATCGACCGCATCATCGCAGCTATTAAGGAATTAGACGATGGAAAAGGTGACGAAGCGTTACTCAGCCGCGCATACAGCACCGTTTTATCCCTAAAATCTTCTTCCAAAACCCTACTTAGTATATTCAACTCGCTGGAAATTCAACTGAACGACTCTGTCCTGGACGCTGAGATCGCGGAAGCTAAAGCTGGGGGAGGTGACGCTATAAAGATACAGGAGCTGGAGAATGAGAAGATGGCGGGAATGAAGAAGTTGACGGACGAATTCGAGAGGAGGGTTGGGGTGTTGCAGCAAGATGAAGAGGAGATTGCAGAGTTGGTGCAGCGCAAGGGTGGGAAAGTGGAATTGAGTGAGGAGCAGGAGAAGAATAGGCGGTTGAAAGCCGCACTTGAAGAGGCAAAGAGGAGGAATGGGCATGCCTAAGAAGAGGGATAGTGTGCATGCCTGCTCATAGGGAGTATGGCATCAGGTTGAATCTGTTTCAAAATTGCGGATATCCATTTGTAATTTTATTCAGTTTCTGTCATTTCATGAGACGGTCTTGTGCTTTTAGCTTTGTCCTGCAATACTCATTACATACCCACGCATATCCATAAATTCACTCTAGCCATACAACTATCCAGCGAATTAATACCCCGATCTCTTGATCCCACCATTTTTCCCATCCTCCCCATCCAAATGCGTCGTGCGATCAATATCCAATCTCTTCTGAAAATACTCGCCCACAACAAACTCGTCATACTTCTCGCCTTCCTTCCTCAAATGCTGTACAACACTCACCTTTGCATCTTCATTCGGGCTAAAGAAGAAGGGCATACTGTACCTCTGCTCGCCTCCAGTATTCCTCACTCTATGCACAGTACTCTGCCACGTACCGCCCGTGACTAACTTGAGAAAATCTGCAATATTGACGACAAATGTGTTGGGTTCCGGGTGGACGGGGACCCAGAGGCCATTCGCATTGAGGACTTCGAGGGCAGGATAAGCAGTGCGCGATTGGCAGACGAGCGTGAACCAGCAGAAGTCCGTGTGTGCGCCGATGCCCACGTCTGTCTGCCTTTCTTGCGGCGGGTAGTGCACGGCGCGGACGTTGGTCATGGGATGGGTGGTTATGGCGTCAAAGTACGTCTCTGGCAGGTCGAGGGCGAGGGCGAAGATGTGCAGCATGCGTTTACTGAAGGCTTCCATGGCGTTGTAGTAGCGGTAGATTGCTGGGCGCCAGAAGAGCGCGGAGGGGTGAGTGGGCCATTGGTTGCGGGCCGTGGAGGTGCTCGGGGTGATGGGACGGTGTTGTTCTGGGTCGGTGGCGTCTTCGCCCATTAGGAAGCCTTCTTTCAGATCTGGAGTTGTTGTAAGTATACTTCAAGTCGTCTTTTAGATACAAAGAATGTTGGAAAGCAATCGACTTACCTCCACGCGTACTGGGATCCAACTTTCCCTCTAGAAACGCCTCGTACCCCCTAAATTTCTCCGTCTTCTGGTTATGTGTCTCCATCTTAACGTCGGTTGGCAATGCAAAGTACCGCTTCAGCGCGTCAAACGTGTCGTTCAGCAACCCCTCATCCACACCATGGTTCACCGCGTAGAAGAATCCAACATCTCGACACGCAGCTCCCACTTCTTTGGCTAGCTCTTTCCGGTCTGAGAGATTATCGGAGTAAATGCGACGGAAGTCAATTTTTGGGAGGGCGTTGAATGTGTCTTTGGCGGCAGTACCTGTGAGTACTCGTCGACGACCGGGAATGCCACCGTCATGGTAATGAACCCAAGTTGCGGTCTCGGTCTGCGTTTCGGTAGCGGACATTGGCGTTGTGGTGCGGCCTTCTCTAGACCTTTACAGCAGAAGTATTTGGGACGCCAACAGGAATAATAGTGAATAACAAAGCACCAAAGAGCTACCACAGCCGAAGAACGGAGCGTTCCGCAACCTTAATACCCGTACCCAGTTCTGTCTAGTTTGTGTCGGTGAGATCATTCGATGGCACACGACCCTAGACCTAAGATACCTCTCTCAAACCAATGATATGTCCCCACGTCGTAGGACGGGGCATACAGTGCATGGAAGCGAAGCCACATTGCGTGTAAGGCGTATAGTCTTTAATTTTGGGGTGCGGAAAAGAGCGCAGGTGGGTAGATCCGTGGCTGATCGCAGATATGCATGGTGGAATCAGGGACATGGGGTAGCAGAGTACGACCGTATGGATGTGGAGTCGAATGGATATTTGGTACGCACGAGGGTAAAGATCTTCATGCGAACTACTCGAGCACAGCCGTAGCTTGACAAGTAGGGAAATAATCTGGTCTATGAGGACTTGGCGTTGGGGTGCAATGACAGTTCCGCGTACTTTTACCATGCTTCTGCTATACGCTCCTAGTATGGATCATCGCAGAGCCACCTCTTTTGAAAACGGGCCTTTATGAAGGACAAATTTCTCAGGCAATACTCCACCGGGGGCAAATACTTGATTTGACGAACCAGTGTGTCGGGAAACGGAGTACAGCGCGTGCGGATACATAGTGTGAACCCACCGCATGTATAGCGTGATGTGCATGGATTGACCTCGGCAGTTGGACATCGGCATACTCGTTTTCGCGACCTGACTGATGGAGTACCGGCGCGACTACGGAAGTCTTCTGGTTTTGATGGATCGTCCGGCCTTATTCGAGTTTCGAGCATGTGCAGTTTGCCCCACCGTAGATGGCGATGCATAGCATTTAGGAACCCCGCGTTGCGCTTGCTTGCTGACAAAGGACCCTGAATGTGGACGCTGGAGCTATCGGACCCTGCAGCTTGCGACTTGCAGCCCTAGATATACGTAATACCAGTAAAAGTTCGTGGCCTAGTCAGTGTATACGGAAAACTGATATCTTCAACCAGTGATGTGTTGTGCTTGTAAATAGTTGCCACTGAAGAACACGCATGCTTGAAATGGTTGTGAGAATCGCTACTCGGGTGGCCGAAGACACAAGTTTTGAGAAAGGCAAATGGGATAGTGGTATGCGAGTCCTCCACTTGGAAGATCCAAGGCCTGAGAATGGTAGTAGATAACTCGAAAGAAGAAAACCCCACCAACTCCACTGCCCACCTAAAGTTAAAGCTTCCAAAACCTGGGGATATCATAAACCATAGCAAAGAAACCTCAAATCACTTCAGCTCCCATTATCTAGCCTTGACAATAGTCAATCGCTGGCTAGGAGCGACTAACCCACGAATCTGGAGCAGAACCATGTGTAGTTTCTGGTGACTGCACGAGCAAGCTGGCCTAGGACTCATTTCTTGCCCAGCTTGTGCAACATCTCCTTGCCTTTCGCAAGCAGACCTTTGCCAGCACCCTCGTCGCGCTTGACTTCCTCGCTCTTGCGCTTGACCTCTGCGCTCTTTCGCGGCTGATTGTCTGACCCAATGATGTTGGCAGCTCCACCTCGTCCGTAGTGCGTGGGACCTTGAGCTTCTGGCTGAGGGGGGCTATCGACGTCTTGCGCTGCGCGGGCAAGTTCAGGGTGCTGGGGATCGTTGTGTGCCATGTTTCCAGTCCCACCACGGCCAGTTGTGTAGGTGTTGGACTTGAGCGTGGGAGTGACGAGGTCTTCTGGTTTCGGGTAGTTGGTAGGATCGTCCTTTCCGATGTTGCCTAGTACGAGTCAGTGTAGTCCGCGCAACAAAGTAGAAAACCGCTTCGATTGGTTGCTGTGCGTGCGAGGTAGATTCGAGTGCACTATTACTAGTACTTCTTGCCGGTGGTGTGCCTGGCTGGTAATTGCCGCGCCGCAAGCGTGGTCAAGACGAGCTTGCGCGGGTGCGGGCGTGTGTAGCTGTCAAAGGCACCTCTAGCAAAGGACTGCTTACCTGCTCCACCACGGCCATGAGAAGCCACACGTTCGCGCTCTGCGCGCTCTGCGGAAGTGGTCATTTTGCCGAGGGGTATGTATGTGTGTGAGAGTGAGTGTCTAAGGACAGGTTTGTAAAGCTGGGATGCCGCAAAGTTGCTTCGCTAAAACCGTAAGCGGTCCTTGGGCGAACGGTACTGATTTAGCGAGTCGCAGAGGTGCGAGAAGCTGGACAAAGACTGAAGCGATGACGCGATGGTCAGATAACAGCACCTCTTATATTGAACCTGTTCTTGGCTTTCGCCGCGAGCAGCAGGCCAGACGCAAGCACAAGACTTTTCAAGGACTGTGCCCCGGCGCGCCCCCGGTGAATCATCTTTTCCTGAGCTCCATCGTGATCAACAAGTGTTGCCTATTCGCGTCTGGGCACGATACGCCGGCCGTGCAAGTCGCTTTTGGACGGTTTAGAGGGCTCGTTGCCTTTTGACCCGTCCCGTCCCTTTCATCGTGTTGTGTGCGTGCCTAAGTCTGATTGAGAATTCAATTAGTCACTTTCGTGCCCTTCGGCGGGGTTCACCAAGTTGCGTCATCTTCAGAACTTCGTGTAAGATATGTGGGTTGCCAGAGATCGTAATGAGGCCGATGCGGTGTGACGATAGTTCTTGGAGAGTATTGAAGCAGATTTTCAATGCGACGCAGCTGAGATCATATATCGTCGTCACAACCTCGGGAGGGAGAAGAAGCAAACAAGCATGTAATGCTCTTATCTATGCCAAGGCTCTCCGCCGTGGGGGGAAGCCTAGGTAACCACCCTCAGCTTCCACGATCAGAACTCTTGCAAAGCCTGCTCATGAACAACTTCTGCTACATGATACTCCTTTATTCAGCGCTTCGTAACTTCACAAGATGCATGCAGCATTTATTACTTTCACGTACGAGCTTCAGATCTGGTATGGAACCTGAATCATTATTCAATTGCGTCTTCCAAGTATCTCAATCTACCATCCCCCCGCCGCCGCATGATCCAAGTTCTTATGATACAAGTGTGGCAATCCATTCAAAGCCATCCCAATCCAAAGTATTCGATCCTACTAATGTCGAAGCATAGTCCAACAGCCAGAGGTAACCCGTGCTTCTTTAAAAAAAAACGCCGTCTATGGTGTCAACGATAAATAAGTACGCCCAAAATGCTTTCTACCTTACAACTATCCTAATGTTGTACACTAATCAAAATTCCCAAACTCCTAAGATGCTTCCCAATGTGTAGTACGCCGCAAAGAACCTAATCGTGCACAAAGGCCAAAAAAACCGCGACCAAGGTCGGGGAAAGTCGAGCGATGTGAAGCCCCGAAGCCGAGAGGGAGTATAGAGGAGTCTGTGAATTACAAACTTCTCGCGACCGATTAACACCATGATCGTCCAAAGATAGGATTGCCACGAAGGTGCCGCCGGCCCCATCCAGGTATGACTGCCGTGGATGAAATACTTCGACTTGTTAGCTCACGTTGAGTAATAAGAGGAGCAATTGACCTACTTGGAAATGGCACAGCTTGTATTAGCCTCCATCGCGAGGCTGGGCTTCGTTTCCGGCCATTGATAGCATTATGGAAGATGATGATCTGGATTTGGCACCTGGGTTTGGCGCTCCACCGTCACGCGGGTCGGCGTAGGCGAGGTTGAGATTGAGAGTGGGAAGTCGCATGGTGGTGGTGGTGTGAATGATTTAAGGTCTTCGGTGGTTGTCTCGGTTGTTGAGGGTGGTGGCTGTACGTTGCGGTGTCGTATATCGATATAGAGGCAGACTCGGGGTTGCTGTTTAAATGTAGATGTCTCACTCTTGGAGGCGCTCGAGGTTTATAAGTTCCTGACATCCTGAGGCCTGTCGTAGGGTAGGCACCCCCTCAAGAGTGCCTTAGGAATTGGCATTCAGCTCTAGTCAGGTACAGGCAATGAGATGCCTTCTTTCAGGCTATGACACAGCATCTCGAGATTAATCCGCTCCGGGGACTCAATAGAAGCTCCAAAAAAGACCCAACGCTGAGCCACATCAAAGCAAAGCAGAATGATAATTGGCTGACAAGCTTGATTGACAAGGCGACAGGTAGGCTGCGACCTTCTAGCGTCCTTCTCGAAGGTCAAGGCCCCTGTCCAAACAGGTGGTGACTCCTTTAGTCCACCGCCCTCAAGGTCAGTCGGTGGGGCAAAGCCACAGGCCTAAAGCCTGGTTACGAGTCTGGCAACATTCTCAGGCAGAAGCGCGGTCGTTAAGTGGTGAACTCAGGTTCGCTGCCTAGTTTGGCTGAGTGAATTGCCGTGACCTGCACAGCCTCAAGCCGCCGGACGAGCCACAAGGCCTTGCGGTTACGGCAGACTTCAAGGCGCTCTCCAGGCGTGCTCGGTCAAGGGCTCTGTCGATAAGTAGTAGCCCGAGGTCCTCCAAACCACGTTGTGACTGGTATTCGATGGTTGCTGTGCAGCAGCCTTATTCACCGGACCAACACAGCCCTCCGCAAGGAGTGACTGTGATGTTGCTGGATGTTGACCTGCTGCTGCGCCTCGGGGTCTTATCGATTGGAGCCTCTCCAAACAGCTAGCGCAATTGGAGGCGCGGAATAAACGCCGAAGAGCGAGACAATACGAATGGCGTGCAATGTAGTGGGCGGAGTTGATAGTTGATGTCGTCGTGAAAAGAGCAATGTTGGTTCCCGAGACGAAACGTATGGCGCGCCGCGTCGATTGGAAGGAAGTCGTAATGGATGGATCGGATGAGATGGTTAGCCTAGGGAAGCATCCCCGTTTGGTCGCGGCTTTCCTATTACAGCATGTCAGCACCCGAACCATGGGTTTCAACTTGATAAATACTCACTGCCTCCATCAAGGGGATCGCCTCCAGGCGTTTTTGGCTTCTTGTAAATGGCGAGTTGCATGGTGTGGGAAGCAGAATGTAATAATATTCAAGGGGCGCCAATCAGAACGATGTGATTATGAACGGGTAGCTGTGAGACTGTATGACACTTGGAGATATAATCAAGTCCCGTTTACTGTATAGTAGCAGTATGATGAGATTGTCCGTACTGTGTGACAGTAGGTCGAGAAATAGGCTAGGTATTTATCTCTCTACAGAGTCCTTCAGAGCTTTGTCTACATCCACCTTGCCCTTCATTATTCACGGGGCAACGACCACGGACCAGACCACAGAGGGCAACCGAAAGTACGTGGCCCTGTCAGGTACGTACCCCAAGCACTGCTCAGGAAGTGAAGCTTGAGGACATCGCTACTCCTGAGTGACTCCACGACGGTGACTAAAAAGGGGATGGAACAAGACAAAGAGGGTTGATCCACATTTAACGATGCGTTACCCAATCGCGCTTCCGCCTCGTCAGCCGGTGTCTCTAAGAGACGTCGACAAGACTAGCATCCGTGCTTGATAACATAAACTATAGCACAACTGTGAGGATGGACGTGGAGGACCAGAGGCCAAAGTGGGTCCGCCCACTTGTTGCTTCACTTTGGCTATTGGCTGACGTCTGCTGTGGAGTATGTGGTCCTGGAGCTGCCACAACCCAAGCATTATCCTTCATCCGCGGGTTCTAGCCGCCTTCTCGCGGCTTCGCTGAACAGCCGGCGTGGCGACAGCGCGTCTCATGTGATTCATAGCCCACCAAAGCAGCCATCTGCTGGCCACAGACAGTCTCGCAAGGGCTCATTAAACACGCTGTCACGTTTCAAAAGGTCATACTATGCTTGCTGTGGATTGACCAGTCGGAACTGCACCCTGATTAGAAATGCAGGTACGCGTTTGTCGAGCTCCAGCATCCATCTCGACCAACTTCGTACGACTTATCGACCAGCGAGCCTTAGTTTCAGCCCTTTTCGACGTCACAGAGGGTGGCCCTGTGTGAGACAGGATGGCTTGCTCGTCCCTCACAGTTGCGCCCTCCCGATCGTTTGCCACCTGCGCCCCGACGCCCTCCCTCGGTCTCACTAGCACATGATTGTTTGACGGGCGAAGGACTTTGTTGTATACTCTGGAAGCATGCTGGAGAGCCGTGCAATCCGCCCCACACTGCCCGTTCAACGAAGGACGTTGTGGCGTCCGTTTGCCTTTTGATAGATTGCCCACAGGCAAGAAGGCAGATAGGGGCTGTAGAAGAGCGAGGGGCTGCGCACTCGGTGAGCGATCGAAGGCATTTTCGGTTGCTCTCCAGTGTCATCGCAGCTACCGTATCTTCTAGTATGGCTATGCTACATGCATGTGAGCTTATTGGCCCGGTGTCAAAGCTGAAGTGCAGAGACATTTTCCAGTTGTTGAAACTCCTGATGCAATAACTGGATTTGAATGTCGTCCCGCCTTTCACAGCTAAATGATGGCGTTTTCTATATGCTCGAGACAATCATATCTTCATACTCCGTTCGTACGTAGCACGTACCGGACATTTGTGCTTTCCACGAGTATCTTGCATGTAGCTGATTACACACGAAGTCGACCATGAACCCGATCCAGCCGAGCGCTACCATACCGACATGGCTTTCGTTAAGATCGAGAAATTGCCATCAAATACATCGAATCTCCTTTCGCCAGTGTTACTCGCGAGTTGTGGGGTTCCTTATCCCGCACTCGAAGGCGGAGGCCAATGGAGAAGAGTGTCGTGCAAACTCAACACTATCCAGGCTAGTCTCAGTGGGGGGCTGGATTGATTGCCTTGTAGTGTTCGGATGCTCCATTGATGTGTGGACATGGGAGCGTAGCAACAATATTCGACTTGCTTTGATTAGAATGGATGGGCTCAGAACCAATGTCAGTCTGACTTGTGGTAGGCCGTTGAATCAGTCGACAAATATACATTGCGATCTTTGATTATATCAGACGAAGGTCGCCTTCTCGTCACCTGCTTTCTCTTCAGTATGGATGTGATCGTACGCTAAAGTGAGCGCAACAACCATGCAACTTTAAAAGTACACGTCCATTCTTGCCATTTTTCGGGCAGTGAAATACTATTTAGAACTTTTCAATATGTGATACCTTGATTTCGGGCTTTGCTGTATAGTTGAGTAAGACGTCTCGTTGCGGGCATGATCGTGTGCCCCTCGACCCACAGCTTCGCCAACCGCGCTCCACCACCAAACTACGCCTACACCGTGTCCCGCAACGACCACGCCAGATGTCGCTGGGTCCTGAATATGGAAGAACCATTTTGTGAAAGCTAAAAAGAGCCCTACATACCAACATAAGATCGAACAATGGCCACCAAATCCAATTTCAAGCGGTCGCTGCCGCAGAGGCAGCCGGCTGTCCTCGCGTCGCTGCGGACCACGCAGCTGGTGGGCGACTCGAAGGCCGTCCTGCCTGCAGGTGCGAGTCTCCAGGCACCTAGATATTCCAGTTACTAATCTTGACAGAGCTCATCAATACGATTCTCGACTACCTACCCGTTCCCGACATGTTCAGATTCGCGCGTACCTCGAAACGTATGCAAGAAATGGTATACGACGACACACGATGGATACAAAGACTCAAAAGCATGGGGTGCTGGAACGATGTTGAGGCAAAGCAAAGGTTCGAAGATTCTATGCGGAGGAAACTGGAGGCCCAGAAAGCGGAAGAGGCGCGGAGAACAGGCATTGCCAACGGGACACCCCTGGGAGTTGATACACAGCGGAAGACCAGCATGACTCTCTTCGACGCCAGTATAGAAGAGGATATGCTACGGAAGTCCGGAGAACACAAAGCCAGACCAAGGTCTACAACGCTGGACAAAGGCTTCAACGACATGACGATGTCGCCTTCGGGGACTTCAGCGCCGTCAAAAGCACATACAGTGGACCCACAAGATGCTCCCCAGGTCCTATCGCAGGTGCGCTCCATTCGAGGCATGGCGCGGCAAGAGTATGGGAAAATCTACGGAGCATTGGGCCCATATTACTTCGATCTTGAGAGATCGAGAAGTCACACGGATCCTGTACTATTCCGCACATACCGCGATCCTCAACAGCAGGCTCAAATGTTGGCACAACTTAAGACGTTCGCCAAAAGCGACTATTCGCAAGGATGGGCACAACGCGAGGAAAAACTGGATACGATGACCGGCATCTTTGAGAATGCTGTGCTTCGGGAATTCGAGCAGGGCTATCAAGAGAAGGATTTCGATGGTCGCATGAAGAGGTTTGCCTCTGTCTTGGTTGCTTTGAACGGAGGTGCAGCATGTTTAGATTCCTTCATTCACAACCATCCGTTGATGCTCGAGAAGGAGAAACTGGGGAACCCGACAGATTGTATATTGCAAAGTGGCCCCAGCCAGCTGACACTGCAACCCTCCCATGACTTCTTCCAAGGTTTAGCGATTGCGCTCAACGAGGAAGCAGCTATCATCGACCGTGTATTTCCACCCACTGTCGACGCACTGCGACCTTTCCTGGATCGTGTTGCGGAAGATGTCATATCCGAGTACCTCACATCTTTATTTGACGAGGCGCACGATGCCAATATCGAGGTGTATCTGAAAGCTGTTGCGGGCGTCTTTGACCAAGCACTCCAATTAGCAGTTTCCCTACATCCCACAAAGGGCTCGAGACCTGACTTTCGGGAAGAAACGATGCGCACTATATGCCACTGTTTTGAGCAGCACATCGACCTCTACCTACAGGAAGAGTTAGATTTCTTCAAACGAAAGTCGGCTGCCGAGGTTGACGTTTGGGAGAAGCGACTTTCGGATGAAGAGCAAAGCACAGAGACCTTCTACATGTCAAATGTCAACCGGAAGGCCGTAAAACAAGACTTCTTGTCGTCCTTCAAGAAAGTCGTCATGATGCCAGTCAACGTCCTTCCGACTATGGGCGGCTCTAGTGCCAGTAAACCCGCGGCGACCGTGGTCGTAAATGGTACTACCTTGGATCTACCATCGAGATCTGGTACACCTCTTTCTGGTGAGCGAGTGCCCTCACCAAGGCTGGAAGCTCCAACGACGGAGCTTGCTGCTAAGGCAGCCATAATGAACTCCCGGTTGGAGGGCATTCGGTCGCTCTTCAGCATTGAAGTGGCTTTGAAACTTACCCACATGGCCAAGTCTAGTTTAGAGCGAGCTGCACGATTTGTTCGGCTTGGTGGCCAGTCAGGTGAAGAGGCAAAGGAGCAATGTGAGCAAGTCTTTATCAACCTTGTGCAAATTCTTGGAAACCGTCACATGAAGCTAGGGTTCGACAAGGCCGTTAGTCATTTGGCAGACTATAAGCCGCGAGAAGTGGCGGATCACAGTACAGAGGGCGTCGCACCGCTTGTGGCTTTTCTGGAACTTGTCAATGTTGGAGACTTGATTCAACAGATGGTTGAAGTCTTCTATCTACAAGAACTCATCGCCGCCAATCTCACTGATCGTGATGATTTTCTCAGTCTCGCGGCAAAAGAGAAGAAGCGATTTGAGCAGATGCTCGACGAGCGAGTGGCTGCAGGTCTGAACAAAGGCATCGATGTGCTAATGGATGAAGTCGAGTACCTTTGCGGCACTACTCAGCTTCCATCAGACTTCAACCCCCCTGTCGGTCCTAAAGGAGTAGTAGAGGTATCTGACATCGGCCCCAGCCCCACAGCAACGAGAGTCGTGGACGTTATGTCGTCGCACACAAGCATGCTGGTTGGCAGCATAGACAAGAACGTGCTAGATGTGTTCAACCAGGAGGTCGGGGTGCGCTTGTTCACCGCGCTCTGCAAGCACTTGAAGCGGCAGAGGATCAGTATGGATGGCGCAATCAAGCTCATCAGGTATGGTCAAACAGTCACTCCTTTGCTATCTGTGTGATTTTGACCAACTTCAACAGCGACATGAACGCATACAACGCCTACATCGTCTCGTTGCGCAACAAGCCCCTCATGCAGTACTTTGCCGCTCTGCGCGAACTGTCGCAGATATACCTGATCGATCCCAAGGAGGCGAAAGAAATTGCGAACATCATAGCTGACACGGATCGCTATCATGGGATATTCAGGGCGGAGGAAGTCTATGAGTATGCAGAGAGGAGAGCGGACTGGTACCAGATTAAAGGTGCAGTGGAGAAGCAAATGTACGGAGTTGGATGTTTGGTCATGTAAAGCGCTCGATCAAGTGGCTCTGCGGGCTGCCAAACACAAAGAGGCAGCGTGCACTTCCGCTTTTGGAAGGATATGCAGGCTGCTGGAGGGAGCAAGCAACGCACCCAATACTGCATACTCTGAAGATGGGCAAGCATTTCAGCTTGCTATACACTCTCTGGCTTGATGCTATAGTGAAGACGCCTTCGCCTCTCCTCCCGTGCATGCTTTTGTTTTGAGTGGCTGACGGCTGGTGGTCTCAAGGTTCCCCAGCCTCCTCCACGCTCGGCCCGTACCTGAGCCCTAGGCCCGTGCATTCGAACTGGTGACCTCTCATACTCACTTCACCTCGTCGCTCGAGCGCATAGCATCAATTATACTTCAAGCGCGCGTCTTCCTGTGAAGCACATTTCCGCGATTGCTGCGCTACCAAGCTACAGCCCACAAGTCTCCAACAATTCAAGTGAGCGTTGAATCGCTGCAGAACTGCTCTGAATGGACCCCGCTACGTCGGCACTACCGTTTTAGACCGCCCGACTGATCGGCTGCTTGTGGCTGCTGTCTCTCACTTGTCTTTGACCTCTGACCACTTCGAAGACTGCCGATTCTTGGGAAAGAGACTCCAAGGATCCTACTACACGCGCAGCTTTTGCATATATCTTTGGGCTTTGCTCCACTTTTCCAACAATCCGCTTTCTTGGACTTCCTTTACCACCCACCCCCGATTGGTAGAAACCCATACCCAACGCCCCAGACTTCTCAGCTCCAACACTGCTGCTTTAGTTCACCAAGTCGCACCTGCATTGCGTACCGAAGCAGTCGATCCCCGGCCTTCTTGCATTCACTGGCCTCAAGCTATTCCAGAGGTGGATTGAAATAGCATCACCACCATGGCGGGTAAGCTCCTGCTTGATATATATCACGCGTTCTGAACACATGTTGATCTGATGGAGCAGAGCCACTACCCACAGAAGTCGAAGCCTCGTACTCGGCAATCATCGACGAGATCTTACGCGGTAGTGACCTCAACACGATTTCTGCAAAGCGCATACGGAAGGGACTGCAAGAACGAGTCGAATATGATACTACGCACCAAAAGGTACAGAGTAGCTAGACTGGATACCCTGTGGTATATACTAAGATTCGTAACAGGATCAAATCACCGCACTCATCATGCAGCGCTTCGACAAGTTCAACTCAGAACAGAACGGCAGTTCCGAACCCTCAGAGCCCATCCCCACCGTCGAGAATGGCGCCAAGGCCACCAATGGAGACATCTCGGACGCCTCAAACCACAAGCGATCACCCGACGACGAATCTGCTCTCTCAGAGCTCGAAGACTTCGTACCTCCGAAGAAGAAGGTCAAGAAAAGCAAAGTCGCCGAGGACGACGATGCAGCTTATGCAGCGAGACTACAGGCTGAAGAGAATGCGCGGATGCGGTCGACGCGTGGCGGGAACACTAAGCGGAAGGCACCTGCGCCAAAAAAGAAGACTAAGAAGAAGAGCTCGAACAAGGTCAAGGATGAGGATGACAGTGACATTGCGTCTGGTAGTGGAGGGGAGAAGAAGAGCCCGAGTCGGAAGGGAGGTTTTCACGTACGGTTTACCCATCCCAGCCCAACTGCCTACTTTTTGAATCACAACCTGACAATGAGCCCACAGAAACCGATGGCACTCTCTCCCGCACTTTCCGAACTCCTCGGCGAAACCCAGCTCTCGCGCCCTCAAACCGTCAAGAAGATATGGGAATACGTCAAGGAGCGTGAACTGCAAGATCCGAGCGACAAGCGACAGATCCGGTGCGACGACGCCATGCGTGCTGTCTTCAAGCAGGACCGCGTACATATGTTCACTATGAACAAAATCCTTAATCAGAATCTATATGCGGTGGACGAGGTGAATTAGGCTACATACAGACTCGGCGGCGGCGGCATGCGTGTAGTTCAGTCTCCTAGGCTTGCCACAGGCTGCACGTCCGACGACAAGCTTCCTTGTCGCGCCTTCCGGCACGGTTTACATCTACACGCAACGATATCGACCCTCTACTTACGACATTGCACAACTCCGCATCCGGCAGTGCATTGTCAACTTGTTTTGTTTGATCTTAGCAGCATGGCGCATTCTTGGTGTCTGGCAGCGCGCATTTCTGGTCTAGGGTATTGGCTGGCTCTCTTTTGGTGCTTGCAAAATTGGATAAAGGAAGGTCCTCGCGTGGACTTTGGGATGCGTGGTATTTTTTGGAACAGGCCTGCGCGAGAAACTCAAATAGCTCGCGTATGAGCTGGGGGCAGTTGCATGTGAGATACGCATCGCTTCTTCGGAACATTTACTCTGAAGCATTAAATAATTGCCAACTTAGTAGTGTCTTGAAATAATCTGAATGATTCAAGTATGATTTATTGTGTTTTACAAAGTAGTGACATACTAGCCATAACAGCTATATACTCTTTCCATGCTTAGCAAGAAGTAATGGAAGCCCGTCCTAACCAAAGGCTTGAGAGCAAAGAGAGGTATCAAATACATAACGCCAAAACTGTTAAAAACTTAGCAAATGGTGACAATCTGCCTCCCTCCATGTCAACCCATGCTGCAAGACTAAAAGCCCTCAGGGAGCTGGAACTGGAAGTTCTCTAGCTCCTCATCAAGAGGATCTCCATGTAGCTGGCTGTTGAAGCTGTTTGTCCACGCGTCATCGTTATCGCCCTCAAGCTGACGTGAAAGCATCAACAGCTCCATCTCGCGCTCTATCTCCTCAGCGGTGCGGTAGGTTTCCTCTTCCAGTGGAGGCGTGACGAGAGTAGCGTCGGTAGCAGTTGAGCTTGAGCGGGAGAAGGCCGAACGAGATCGAACAGTCGACTGATTGTGTGTAGATGAAGTGGTAGGTACCTGTCGAGAGGTGACAGAAAATGGTGCGGGCTTTGTGACGTTAGAGAGCGGTTTGCGTGCTGCTAGACCTGTACGTCCTGCGCGGCCTTGAGCGTAGCCGATGGTGCTCCTTGAGGCTGCTACGGCGGTTGCCTGATGAGATGCTGCTCGCTCTACAAGCGGCTTCGTTGGCTTCCGGCTCGAGATGAGCACAGTAGGAAGGCGCGATTTTACAGACGCAGTTGGGGCGGCATAGCTGGGCTTGGATGTAGGCGAGAGAGCTGTGGCGGCCATTCTTGCACTCATTGTTGACAGTCCAGGAGTCGTCCTTTTAGGTGCAATGGTGGGCTTTGGTGCCTCCTTCGGCTCCGCGATGCCCAAGTACCTCATCGCTTCAGCATCGTCCTTTGCCATCTGTGCCTCAAACACGTTTTCAAATTCCTCGTCGCGCTTCTTCCGCTCCCTCTGCACCTCGTCCTCAAACTCGCGTTGGTAGCGGGTCCGTCCATCGTCCTCGATTGGGTTGTGGTAAGCATCCCAGATCCCGCGTGTCATGCTCTCATGACTGATTTTGGGGACCTTCCAGTCCCTTGGCAAATAATCGTCCATGTCATCTTCCAGTGGAATCTCTTTTGGAGGCATGTATTCGACCTCTGGCACGTCATGTTCAGATTCTACGTCGACTTCGGGTTGGTGGACCTTGACTTTCGGACGGCGCAGGCGTGGGCTCACTTTCTGGGTCTTTGCGGAGGAAAGAGGTGCGGGGGTCTGGAACGCTCTGCTTTTGGCATTCGTCGTCTTCATGCCCAGGGGCGCGCGAGTTCGCGGGCCTAGTCGAGTTAGTCTTCATGGCTGCGTATTCATAATTCACTACTACTCACCAGCTGGCGTGACAAAGGCATTCTCGTCCAATTTTACAGCTTTAGCATTCGTCTTCAAGACGGACTTTCCAGCTTTATTCACGGCATTCTCGTCATTGAGCGGGAGCTTGAACGGCGTTTTCGGGCCCTTGTTTGCTGGTGTTTTGGCGTTGAATCCCTTCAAGCCGGCATTGAGCGACTTTCCAGCAGCGCCTGCGTGCAAGTGGCGGACAGCATTCTCTTGGTCGTTTGCGGCGAGGGTAGCCATGATGCGGATGAATTACATTGAGCGAGTCGTGGTGTCGTCGTGCGTGTGTCGAAAGCGCTGCGATTCGTCTGTTTACCTCCGGTTGCTATGGGCAAGCTCAAGAGGGTCCGGGCTTGGGGGCCAGTGGTTGGTGCTTGGCGTGTGAACAGGGGGTAGTCAGTTATCCCTTTCGGCAGCGGCGCCCATGGCCCATGCCCGCGCATTATCAGCCTGCCAACGAGACACAATTCTCAGACAACAACCACAAACACCCGCCGCAATCCGCCCCTACATAAGCCCTCATCCCCTTGTTTGAGCTCTGTAACCAAATACACCCACACTCTTCCTTACCCCACAGGCCACGCACATCCCACAATCATGGATCAGATCAAGAAGGTGAGTCTCTAGCTACCCCGCCACATCTCGTTCCCTTTCCTGCGGCACAGCGAGAAGCGTCCAATATATGCTAGCCATGCCGCAATGCACTCCTGGCGTACCAACCAGCTAACATGACTTGCCCTACAGCGCATGGAAGCTCTCCGCGTCGAGGCAGACGAGAGCAGCACCCGCGCCGAAGAGCTCAAGGTCAAGGTCAAGCAGCTGGAGTCGGAGACGACGCAGAAGGAGCAAGAGATTACATCCTTGTCACACAAGAACTCGGTGCTCGAGAGCGAGGTTGAAAAACTCGAAGCGCAAGTCAAGACCTACAAGGACGAAGCCGGTGCAGGCGCTCAGGCCGGTACCCAGGCCGAGAGCCTGCAGCGCAAGATCCAAGTTCTAGAGGAAGAAGCTGAGGAGTCGGACAGGACGATTCGTACGCTCAACGAGACGTGAGTGAACCTACCAATCCCATGCCCTTGTGCAGCACAAAAGAGCACATTGCTTGAGAGAATGACTTGCTGACGTGTCCTAGACTCCGCCAAACTGACGTCAAGTCCGGACACTACGAACGAAAAGTCCAAGCTCTCGAGCAGGCCCGTGACCAGTGGGAAACCAAGTACGAGGAGATGGCCAAGAAATACGACGACACCAAGAAGGAACTGGATGACTTTGTCAAGGAGATCGGTAACATCTGATCTCCAAGTCATGGTCCCTCCTTTGCGGTAGTTGACTGTATCTAGTGGAATATTGAGTCGAGCGTCACTTTCATCTAGTCGAGTCGAGTCGAGCGTACAATGACATGGATTCGCTGCGGCTTTGGCGGACACTCGAATAGATGGCAGAATCACACACCCTTCCATACACCTACCTGCATATTTTAGTCTCCTACTCTGTGCTGCTTGCTGGGCGGGCATGTACGCTTTAGATAATCCCTGAGCGAGGCGATTCACAGTTTGCGGTCTCCACTCCATATCTCATCCAAATAACCATTGTGTTGTTCCCCTTTCAGAATGAGTGGCTTCACATGAGTGCTTATCAAAGTGACAATACTATGCTTGCTCGACAGCAGTTCAATTCCTTGGTGGTCTAATCCACAGATTGGGTATCTTGAGTACACACCTACTTGGTGGCGGCGGCGCTGCTCTCTCGAGCCTCCTTCTGCTTCCTTTTCTTCGCTCCTTGCTTCGCACGTTCCGCTCTCCTTTCCATCTTGGTCTCATACCTAAACTTCTTTTTCTTCTTCTTTGGCTTATCGCTCTTCGGCCACTCCTTTGTCCATACTCGCTTCTTCTTTTCTTCATTGGCACCATCCTTTGCCTTCGCGGCGGCCTCTTTCTCTTCCTCTGTGGTCCCGCCCGGTGTCGTAAAGCCAGATCTGTCTATGCTAACCGTCTCGATTGTGACTGTCGTGTACTTGTCCTCGTCGATGTATTCGTCTTCCTGATTGATCGGTTCGGGTTCTTGGAATCCTGTAAACTCTTCCTCGTCATCGTCCTCGTCATCGTCCTCACTGTCTGATGCCCCAGCAAGCCCGCTGATGTCGCCATTTGCTTGCTTTACTAGTCTGTTGACTTCTTCGACGTGTTTCTCTAGGTCGACTTTACGTTGTTGTCGCAGCTACATTATCTGGTTAGCTACTAGGCTACTAGGCCACTAAACCTCGAAGTGAACGGCTTATGAGTAGCAGAGAAACTCAGTAGCGTACCTCTCTCCGAAACCTCAGTTTCTCCTCTTTCTCGCGCTTTGCATTCTCCTCCTGGGCATGTTTTATGCGCGCTACCTTGCGCTTGTGAAATCCTGTCAGGTATTCTTCGCGTGCGGCGGGGTCGAAGCTGATATTTTCGGGGGCTGTGACGGCGAGCTTGCGCTTCTTAGACGGCGGTGCCGATTTTTTGTCTTTCTGCATTGTTCCGCACTCCCGTAGCTTTCGTTCGTGGGTGATTGCGTGGTGAAGGTGTGTACTAGCAATGCTGAGCGGAAGAGGTTGCCAAGTTGGAAAATTGTTGCAGGGATCTGGTATCTCGGACAGAAAGGGCAGGATTAGCCGATGAATTGTCCTCATCACGATGCCCACAGTCATTTGTGAGTGTAACAGTGTCAGTTGCGGACATGGAAAGGCCTTCTATACTCTACAACAATGAGTCTAATAACTACATAAACGGACAATCAGTCTACCTGCATTCTGCCACCAGCGAGCCTTATGCTTTCATCCTGCAGATCAACATCACCGGTAATCTCCTTCCGCCACGGCAGCGATTCCAGATGTCTCTTCGCTCTATCGGTGATGCACAACGCTCCGTCAACAGACTGTAGCCCCGGTTCCGCAAACATAGCCAGGACCATCAAGCCCAAGAACGAGTGGTACATATCGGGTGGATCCCCGGTGATCTTGCCAAAGCCACCTACGAGGTGCTGTGTTTTATCGAGCAACCACTTTCGGATCGGGGCCTGGTTGATAATGTCGAGACGACCCAGAATCTGAAGAGGCGCGCAGGTCCAGTAAGCGTAGCAGGTGTCGGCCACCTTGTTGCATCGACCGTTCAAGCCGACCCACTGTAGCTCAAAGTGGCTGTGAGGTTGGCCTTTCGTAGTCGTCACTGCTTGTACCGACGGGTAGGTGCGCAGCTTGACGAAAGTATGTGCATCGTGACAGGTTTCTGATGTGTCTGTCTCGTCGTTGTAAGTGTCTAGGCCGTCGTCTTCGTCAAGTGTCGTCGTCTGGCGGGATGCTAGCCAATGCAGTGTCTGTGCAACATTCGTAACTCCGCGGAGACGGCCATCGGGTTTTTGGTCTGGCTTGAGTGGAAGGCGATCGAGAAATAGCAGGGCAGCGATTGCACAGCAGGTGAATCCACCGTGCGCCTCGTGGTACGGCGCCTCGGATATTCCTCCATCGTAACATTCTGCATCGCGGACGCAGCTCACAAAAGCGTCTACGTCGATGTCTGGTATGCCGTCGTAGGGCCCCTCGAGATCACCTCGTAGTATCCATCGAATAGCGGTGGCCATGAATCCAAATCTAGAATCGTTCCCTCCATACACAAACCCATCCTCCCCGAGCGTCTCCCCAAAGCTTCCCTCTGGTCTTTGCATCTTGGCCAACCATGCTAGAATCTCCCTTCTCTTCACCCTCTCCAAGTCGTCTCCCAGCACGACCAGGGTGAGGAGGGCAAAGAAAGTCCCGGGTATATGTGCAGGATCCCATCTCTTATTTCCGGCATTCCTCAGCTCTCCAAAGTTGGAGCCGGGCCACGGTCGGAAGCCTCCTTCAGACAGTTGACAGCTGTAGACCCAGTCGACATATCCTTGTCGCTCCTCGCCTGATAAAGCGGCGTCCAGGTCTCCTAGTATGTCGAGTGCGGAAACGGTGAAGAGGGCCAGCAGCATACGGTTGGAGTCATTGCTGGTGTAGAAGTGCGGAAGCAGCGTCTTCAAGTTCCGCCTCCAGTACTTGACATGGCGAGCATAGTTGAGTTGAGTCTCTGAGATGGCTGGCGCCATGATCCGTGAGAAGGGGGGTTCAGAGCGTGGGCACGGTCCCTTGTACCGAGCTTGCGGTGCCTCCAGAGGGCTTTGGAACGGATGGCGGGGTTATTCACCAAGGCTGGCTTCTGTAGGGAGAGTCAATGGATCATCAGCAACTAGCGTCTATACAGCCCATCCGTCGCCTATAGGACCTTTGATGCTGGTTGCACGTCGCGCGAACGGCGCAGACATACGGTGGGTGCTAGCTGTGGTATCGGCGTGTTTGAGCCTGGCTCGTACCCCCACGGAAGAATACCACGAAGCAGTCGTGTTCCGCGCTGGCGGTGATGGTGTTTATTACTCTGCTCCGCAACTGACCTGGGTCCACTATCGTGCCGGCCAAGGGGCTTGGTCGGTGGATTGAATTGACAGTGGTGGATAGATATTTATTTATATCGTCGCTAGCGAAGACACGCCGGGCAAGGCTTGCCTGACGAGTCCCTGTCACGACAAACGGTTGAAGCAGGGGTCCGTGAGACATTCAGCTCTGCCACAGCTGGGCTCTGCAGAAAGCACTCCTGAAGTGCCTCAGTCACCTCCAGACCCCTCGGACCTCGTCATCGACCCCTTGCGATCACCATCGACTGAGATACATCTATTGCGCCCTGCTAGCAAAGACGCCGAACGTGGGCCGCCGCACGACGCTACACCATCGCACACCCGCGCTTGCGTTCCCCAGACTACTACTACTACTGCTCCACGTCAACTACACCTGTCATACTACTACCCGCCCAATAGCGCCTTACTATACCCACTATCACCAACAGCCTACGTGGGCTGGCATCCAGGTGGCGTCATCACAATGTCTACGGGTTTCGCTGCGTCCTTCTGGTCCAGCGACTATGCGGGAGGTAGGATCCAACAACGCTACCTACAGCTCCCCTCCCCATGTACTGACTACCCCCAGGCCTAGGCGTGCTTTTCGGAAAGCTCCAGCAGGGAGTGCAGGAGAACCAGCAGATTCTCACTGTTGCCCGCATGCGAGCTGATGCCGAAGACTTGTACGGCAACAGCTTGTCGGGGATACCCTCAGCCACCGAGCGCATAACAGGAGGCTTCAACAGAGATGAGGGCGCAAGCGTCCGGAAGGTGCGTAGGGTACATGGAAATGGTAGACTCTACGGCTGACATATTATAGGCATACGAGGGCGTGCGCACCGAGATGGAGGCCGCTGCCTCGAACCACAAGAAGATCGCATCCAACATTCGGGAGCTCGTTGTGAACCCATTCGGTCGCTGGTGTGAGGCGCATGCTGCTCGCGTCCAGAACTCGCAAGATGATCTGCAATCGCGCATCAAGATCCACGACCGACAAGCTGACGCTGTACGCAAGTTCCGCTCGCAGTACTACAACAAGTGCAGATTGGTAGAAGACTTGGAAGAAGAGGACAAGCTGGCCTTCCAGGACCCACAGAGCGAGGCAGCGCAAAGCCCCAAGGCGAAAGTCCCTACCATCAAAATGACTGAGCCCGAGGACACGGACGATGAGCCCATCGACTTTGGCGACGAAACCTATCAGCCTGACCAGGTCAAGAAGATCCTGTCGCACATGTTGGACAACATCAAGGTTGGAGAGGTCAAGGTCCCAATCATCGGAACCTACCAGAACTGCTCGAGCGGCTCCGACATCACCGAGTACATCCAGAAGCACATGGCAGCTACCAGCGTAAGCTACGCTGAGCGAATTGGGCAGGACCTGGTCGGCCACGGCTTCTTGCGATTGATCGGCAACGTCGGCAACACGTTTGCAAACAGCTCCAGGATGAACTACCAGTGGAAGACCAAGGCATTCCAGCTCACTGGATTGCCTGAGAAGAAGCAGCCTTTGACTCGCTCATCTACCGCCATGTCCAATTCATCGTCCGACAACACAGTAGACTCTCCTGTCGGAACTGTGCAAGAGTACCTCCAAGGTTGGAACCCACTCAACAATCAATTCCCCAATGAAACCCCAGCAGAGAGGCTCAGACGCGAAGCCCATGAATCTGACGAGCGCTACAAGGCCTCTGTCAAGAAGCTCGACTCTTTACGCTGCAACTTGGAAGAGGCCATGGTGGATCATCTCAAGTTCATGGAGCGCTGTGAATTGGACAGGCTAAAGGCCATCAAGGCCGTCATCCTGGACTTCTCTGGCGCTATTAGTAACGTCATCCCTAGCCTACAAAGCACGGTGGATAAAATGATGCTGTTCCAGGAGACAGTTCAACCTTTGGGCGATCTTCGATACATGCTCGAGAACTACAGGACAGGGCCGTTTGTCCCGAGGGTTTTGACCTATGAAAATTACTATAATTCAGTGGATGGTAAGGCGCTCCTCACATGTGTGTGTGTTTCACCTATGCTGACATGGACACAGAACAAACCTTTGGTGTAGATCTGGAGGCTCGAGCTCGTTCGGACAAGAAGCGCGTCCCCGTCCTCATCACGACTATTCTCACATTCTTGGACAATCACTATCCCGATCTAGAGGGAGACGAGGCTCGTCGTGGTATATGGCTCGTTGACGTCCCCTTGGCGCAGACGCACACCCTGAGGACCGAGATCAACACGGGCAAGAGGTTCTCCGACGAAGTACTTGAGAAGTACGACGTACCCATCGTTGCTAGCGTCCTCAAATTGTACCTTTTGGAGCTACCCGGTATGTGTGTATCCGTTGGCATTCGAGGCTTTGACTAACGGTATCAGATTCACTCGTCTCATCGCACGTCTACGAAATTGTCAAGACCATCTACAGCACAACTGCCACGGATGTCTCGGAAGACACACGCGTTTCCGTCCTGCAGTCGACACTAGGTCAACTTCGTCTCGCTAACATCGCGACACTTGACGCCATCTGCACCCACTTCACTCGCCTCATCGAGCTGACTTCAGCTGATGACGCCTATGTTACGGCTCTGGCCAACGCACTTGCGCCATGCATCCTTCGTCCCAAGCAGGAGTCGAGTCTGACGATAAATGAGCGTTACAGCTACCGCCTTGTTCGAGACTTGTTTGCGCACAAAGATGCGATTTTTGGAGAATTGAAGCGTGCTAGCTCACTTACCCACTCAGCATCGGGCGCTCAGCGTCCGCGCGCCATCTCGACCGATGAGAGCAATCGTCGTGCGAATATGGAGGAGCGCCAGCGCGCGATTGCCGCTCAACGTTCGCCTCGAGCCACGTCGCCTGCACCTGGCCCTCGGGGTACCGGATCTCACCGCCGCGACAAGAGTCAGACTCGCTTCCCAGTCAATACTTCGTCACCCACAGAAACGCGAAGAAGCACTGGTAATCGTGGTTCTCTTGAGGTGCCTGGAAACCCCGATAGCCCTACTGGTGAGGGAGCCGGCGCAACAACGAATGGTACCACAGAGTCTTCTGCTCCTGCTGCCCCTGTTGAGCTCTCAACACCGACGAGTACCCGGGTGCCTTTCCCCAGAAAGCCTGCGGGTAGCATGGCGAGAGGCAACAGGGACTCTACTGGTAGTTTGAGAAGCGAGGAAGCGGCGCCTCGAGGTGTCACGCTTGAGGACAAACCCATGGATGATTAGTAGTGATCCTGGTTCTGGTATTACGGATTTCCTTGTATTACAGACAGTGCATCACAGCATTACTTGTCTTTGGAGATCTGCACACATGGCAATCCCGAATCTGCACATGCGTTGTGGACATGAACCCGTTCTCCTAGGTCATAACGTCGTGACGAGTACACACGATGGAATGAGGCAACGAGTCAGGAATTCACGGACGATAAGAAGACAACAGAGCAACAGAGTGCGGTGCTTAGGCACCGAAGGATTGACAGTATACGGAGACTATGGGAGAGCTGTATCTGACTGCTGTAAACATATTAAGCGGTAGCGTTTGGCAGATTCTTCTGTCTATGTAGCAGCAATGTGATGACGGGCATACATTACCAAGCAGACCTTTGGTTGCCTTTGCTACTTCTCTCATCTCACAACCTCCTCCCTGTACACTCCCCTGTGGTTTGTACCTGAAGCTAAAATGGCACGAGGAGACGCTAGGGCCCGATCAGTGAGGATGAGCCATGTCGTCAGCGGGCACATGGTCTATTCCAAGGCGGAGCAAATTGAACTCGACATGGGGGCCGAAAGTGTGGCTGGGCAGCTGCCGGCCCAACTTGTTTGGCTGCTGTCCATACCCTCCGCCTTCTCTTAACATCATCAGCAGTCGTTCATTTCGCGCGGAGTAGTCGAGGCTCTCTTTTAAAGCCATCTACAAGATCGCAGCGCTCGACTCTCGCCGTAGGCCCATCCGTTCCGTCCCTGAACGAACCCCCACGTGCGATCGTCCCACGAATCACATTGCGATCGCATTCGCAGTGTCTTAACAAACTTGAGCAAATCGCACGAGCTCACAAAAGGAATTATACCATGTGTCTTGTCAAAGTCAAGCAAGACGAAGAGGTCGTCGTCCCCTACCGCGTTGTCCAGCGCAACAACCACTCTCCGCCTCGGCGGCGCGCTTCCCACCAGTCGATCCGCCGCTACTCTCGCAACGAGATCGTGCGCGAGTCCTCTCCTCGACCCTCAGGCTCTTACATTGCCGTACCTACTCCCAAACCTCTTGCGATTCCCGCACCGCAGCCTGTCCCGGTCTTTGTGCAGCCGCCGCCAGAGCCGATGCCATACCCAGCCGCACCGCCGAGCCATATATCAAGCCACCACCAGCACCACCAGCACCAGCCTAACGCGCACTATGTCGAGGTTTCGCCGCGGTCTAGCGTGACGAGTAGGTCGTCGAGTCCGGGGAGAAGCGACTACGTGTATAGAGAGCGGGAGGTTAGGCGCGAGAGGGCGTATAGCCCGGAGAGCAATCCGCGATATGAGCATTTTAGATACGTGGAGCCTGCTCCGTCAGAGTCGGATCATTATGAAAGGTATCAGAGAAGGGATAGGAGTAGGAGTAGGCAGAGGAGTAGGTCGAGGGGTGGATATGAGGACCCGCGGGGGAGCTACAGGGAGACTAATACGAGGGTCACGATGGTGGAGGATGACGGGCGGAGGAGGAGGGAATACAGGTGATGAGTGTAGTGCATACAGTTTTAGTGGAGATGTTCCTTTGTTTTCGCTACACGATGTCATTTTGATCTGAGAGCGAACGGACGTTTGCATTTGGCTTGAATCTTCGTTAGCATGGCGTTGCATATCACAGTTATGAAATTTACGCAATCGAGTTTTATTGACGAGCATATTGAGAAGTTACCGTTTCAGCAATTTCATCCATGTTCATCTTAGACAATTATGAAGTCACTGCCTCTTCTTGAATGGACCTACCACTGGCGAATAAGAACTCAGCCGAGCATTCCGATTCTGAGACAGCTCTAAGGGTCATATAAGGTTCTTTGGATCATCCAATTCATCTCCGCATCGAGTAACCTTGATACCTTGATAAGCGTTTTGTCAGGGAAGCCCTGTGGTAGCTTGGGCACCAGTGGAGTGGTTTCGTCTCCAGCTTTCAGTTCAGGCCAACATTACTATTGAGCTGAGTGTGACCACCAGGGCACACGTGCTTACGTACCACGACTGTTGCACCTCACGCGAACTCCATAATTTTTGGAAACAAGTACGACAACGCCCCGGACATGGTTGAATCGTCCAGGAAGTCCAACCACGCCGTTGCCTACCGCTGACGATGTCCATCCGCGTTCTGATCAAAGAATACCCACACCGTGCAATCGCCCTCGCAACCTCGACCCACGCCCTCGTCCTACGACATAGCTCCTCGTCCACCGAGCTTACTGGGAACTTCAATGCCTCTTCAACATCGCTGGGTAGCAATGGCTCGGGCGCAACGCGCTGTATGGTCGAGTTTTCAAACTTGGAAGACGTGGACCTAAATGAGTACCGAGCACTACACTCCGTAAACGCACATGGCACCCTAGGACTCATTACCGTAAACGGCGACGTATTTCTCGTAGTGGTCAATGGCGCGAGCAAGGTCGCAACCGTGCGGCCGGGCGAGACGGTGCAGAGGATACACTCTGTAGGCTTCTACTGCCTGACCAGCTCGAGCTACGATACCCTCCTCAACGACGAAGTCAATCCGTATCCGACAGACACAATAGATGACGAGGGATATGAAATGGGCTTTGGAGGCAGAAAAGAACAGTCGCCGCTAGAACACCCGTGTTTGGCGTTGAAGAAGCTGTTGAGTAGCGGGACGTTTTACTACAGTTCGGACTTCGATCTCACGAGGCGGTTACAAGACCGGACAACGGACGCTGTGACAGTGTCTCTCGATAGTTTGGACGCTGGCTTCCTATGGAATTCGTACATGATTCAGCCGTTGGTAGACTTCAGGAGTAGGCTTGCGCCCAGGGAGAAGGAAGCGTTGGATGCGTCAGGAATCCTGACTTCTGCCATCCGAGGCTTTGCGCTCACGATCACGGTCCCCACGTCTTCTGCGCCTATAAAAGTTACAGGATCAGGGGCGCCGTCGTCAATGACACTCATTTCGAGATTGTCGTGTAGAAGAGCAGGCACGAGGTTCAACTCGCGAGGCATTGACGATGATGGAAATGTCGCCAACTTCGTGGAGACTGAGACCATCTATTGGGCACCGTCTGGGGCTTGCTTCTCATACGTGCAAGTGCGAGGAAGCGTCCCAATCTTCTGGGAACAGCAGTCCGGTCTTCTTCCTGGGCAACAAAAGATCACTATCACTCGGTCTCCAGAAGCCACGCAACCCGCCTTTGATAAACATTTTGAAAACCTGGAGCTGAGCTATGGCGCAATACATGTAGTAAACCTGCTTAGTAACGAGAAACCGAACGAGATCGAATTGACGGACAGATACCGAGGTCACGTTAGGAACAGCCCCTTGAATTACGGCAGCGAGAGGGGCGATAGAGATCACGAGCTAATCAAGCTTACGGAATATGACTTTCATGCCGAGACACGAGGACCTGGCGGGTATGAAATGGCTAGTATGATTGCACGATGGATTCAAGATTCTGCGGAAGGCTTCAACTACTATCTCTCTGAAGATATTGAGGAAGATGCTAGATCGAATGGACAAAGTTACGTCATCCGACGGCCAATGACGATATTACAGCAAGAAGGTGTATTTAGAACGAATTGCTTGGACTGCCTGGATCGGACGAATCTAGTCCAGACCATCATCAGTAAGATGGCTCTGGAGATATTCCTCAATCACAAAACCTTGAAGGCAACCCAAGATTTCTGGGCCAGACATTCAAGCATGTGGGCAGACAATGGCGATGCGTTATCTAGGATATACGCTGGAACGGGAGCGCTGAAGTCTTCGTTCACGCGACATGGAAAGATGTCTTTAGCTGGAGCGTTGGCAGATGCCCGCAAAAGCGCTACGCGTATGTACATCAACAACTTCGCCGACAAAGGGCGGCAGAACACTATCGATGTGCTTCTTGGGCGCATGATGGGCCAAGTCCCAGTCCATCTCTACGATCCAATCAACGATTACGTTGTTGCAGAGCTTGCAAGGCGTTCTGCAGAGTACTCGGAGACGGAGATGATCAACATGCTGGTAGGGACTTTCAATCTCAACGGTAAAACGAGCGGTATCAAGGAAGACCTATCATCATGGTTATGCCCGGATGTCGACCCCTCACAGCAATGCCCTGAGATAGTAGCTGTGGGCTTTCAGGAGATTGTTGATCTGAGTCCTCAGCAGATCATGTCGACAGACCCGGCTAGACGGGAGTTGTGGGAGAACGCGGTGAGGAACTGTTTGAACAATAATGCGGAGAAATTTGGGAAGGGCGAGTATGTGATCGTTCGCGGTGGACAACTCGTCGGTGCGAGTTTGTCCGTCTTCGTCAGATCTGACTGCCTCAAGCACATCAAAAACGTCGAGGGTAGTTTGAAGAAGGTAAGAGAATGTGATTGAGATCCTGCACAGCATAACACTAACTAGAGTGGTAGACTGGCATGTCCGGCATGGCTGGTAATAAGGGAGCAGTAGCTATCCGTTTTGAGTACGCCAACACCTCGATCTGCCTGGTCACCGCACATTTAGCCGCTGGTTTCGCCAACTATGAGGAAAGAAACCGCGACTATAAGACCATCAGCCATGGTCTGCGGTTCCAGAGGAATCGATCGATAGAAGATCATGAAACAGTGATCTGGCTGGGTGACTTCAACTACCGCATTGGCCTTGGTAATGAGAAGGTCCAAAGACTGTGCCACGTTAATGACCTCGAGACCTTGTACGACAACGATCAGGTGAGCATAGTCCTAGTGACTGTGAGAGATAATGCTAACATAGCCAGCTTAATCTACAAATGGTTGCCGGTCTGACCTTCCCCTACTACTCTGAAGCCCGAATCACCTTTCCACCCACCTACAAGTATGACCTCAACAGTGACCAATACGATACTTCTGAAAAAGCACGCATTCCGGCCTGGTGCGACCGTGTGTTGCGCAAAGGCGACAACATTAGGCAAATCCATTATGACGCAGCGCCGCTAAAGTTTTCCGATCATCGACCTGTCTATGCGACGTTTCAAGTCCTAGTTCAAAGAGTCGATGATAAGAAGAAGGACGCGTTGAAGGCGGCTCTGTACCGGCAACGAAGAGAAGTCGTAGGGGATACTAGAGCTGGAGGACAATTGGGCGAAGAAGAATCGGATGATGAGGATCTGATTGGGTATGATAGCATAGAACCAGGGCTGCCACCTGCAAGTTCGGATCGGCGGAAGTGGTGGATTGACAATGGTATATCACTCCTTGTTCCTCTGTTGGCATCCGTACTCATCCTTTCTACAAGGTTTACCGGCCAAAGCGCGCGTCCAACCACCGTCTAACGATCACATTCCCAACCCGAATCGACAGAGTAATCCGTTCACACCAAGTCCGGAACCTGATTGGGTGGATGTCAAGAAAATAACAAGTAACGGCAGGCCGGAGCCTCCACCAGCAAGAGGCTCGCAACGAGCACGTACAATCGACTTCAATGACACAAATACATCAGGTTCGACGTCACACTCGACAACGGGTTTGCGACAAGGCGGATCAACCGTTACACAAAACCCGATAGCTAGGAAGCTGAATGTTCCACTCTACCCTGGCCATGCAGCGCAGATCCTAAATAATGACAGCAGTCGCGACCCAATTGGCGATGTCAGACGCACCGCTTCAAACGCGTCTACACACTCTCTTCCAAGCCTTCCTTCCCGGCCTACGCAGCCTGGCACATTCACATCGTCTCAACCCCCACTGTCGAACCAACCACAAGTTCTCCGTAAACCTGCTCCACCACCGATACCCAACAAGAAGCCGTCGCTCCTCTCTCACCCTAGCTCGACCTCCGCGCAAAGGTATCGGGACGAGCCTTCGCCAGAAGCCGAACGGCGGCCACAAGCTCCTCCGCCGAGACGCTCGATGGCAACACCCAGTTCTACAGCAAGGAAACCAATTCAAAACTTAATCGACGGAGATGAAAAACCGCCGCTCCCACCAAGGACGGGCACAGGTCTGAGTATGGCGAGTAATGGAAGCAGTGGGAGAAGGGGAGGAGGCCGGAATTTAATGGATGATGAGCCTGAGGACATGCAGAGTTTGAGGGATTGGGAGGTTCTAAGACCTGGGCGATAGAAGGTACAATGTATAAAGATGGGGTGACTCGATGCTTTTTGTTTGGTGATGATTTTTAGCATGGAGTCCACGGGCTAGTTACGATGCTTTTGGGTTGTCTCTGACGTGAATAAAGGAAAGAAAGATTAGATGAACAAAGGTCACATAAAATGAAGGAACCAAAGCATGCAAGAGTACATCATTGCACTGCCACCTGTCGAGTCCAAGGTTGCGACAGAATACTCCCCCCACCACACCAATAAAGCTTTAATTCAGGATGGGCGAAAAAAGCTAAGAAGCGTCTGCGCTATAGAAGAATTTTTCAAATAGTCGCTAATCGAAAGTGTGATGTAGAGCTTAAATATCTAAATTACAGCGAAGGGTTTAGACAAAATTGGCCGAAGTTCTATACGATCAGAAATTAAAAGGTTTTTTTGAGAAGCGCCGAAGTCCGTGTATCACCCATGGAGCTATTGTCGGTCTGTAGATGTACTTTTAGAGCGGAGAGTTTGTTATTATTTGTGTATGTAGAAGATATCCATCATATTCCACTCAATCCATTACTCTCACTCGCGCCTACACCTTTTTCTCGATCCACCCCTTGCCCACTTACAGACTCCCACCCTGGGTATAATGGTAACTTGAAGTCTTCATCATCATCATTCTTACCAAACCACTTCACCACCCATGAGCTAGAAGCAAGCAGAGCAAACACCCTCACAACGACCTGGAACAGCCATATTTTCCATGCGGTCATTGGATGCGCCACCCCCGGAATAAAAGATGGAATAACCTGCACTTCCTCGACGAATGGGCGGAACTTCTTCTCATATGCCTCGAGCGCTTGAGCCGGATGTTCATTCTCGTCCAATTTGCTGAGTTCGCCCGCGAGAACGTATGCCCCGATAATCGCAAGGGATGTACCCATGCCTGTCAGCGGAGTGGGAGCAAAGGCGGTGTCTCCTAGACATATGACACGAGAGTTGGACCATGTTGTCATTTTGATCTGCTGGATGGCTTGGAAGTAGAAGTCGGGCGCTTGATCCATGGCGTCCAGCAGCCTATGCGCTTGCCATCCTGCATCTGCAAACTCCTTCTTCAGGAGGTCTTGCTGTGTCTGTCCGTCGCTCTTGGAAGCATCCTGCCATGCTTTCTTCTGCGCGGCGTTGCAGGGCATGCGAGAGACCATTGCTCTGATTGTGCCGTGGGGATCGGGTCTGGTGGTAACCATTCTCGATCCCAAAGCCTGGTAGATATTCCAATATTCATTGTCGACGGGCAGTCTCGGGATGGTCCAATACCCTACGTACATGTTCTTATCGATCACAGTGATGGCTTCGGGGGGGAAACACTGCTTTCGCACTTTCGACCACTGTCCATCTGCTGCGACTAGCAGGTCGTATTCTTGAGTTTGACCATTGCTAAATTCGACCTTGACGGACGTATTGTCGTTCGACACGACTTTGCTGATAGTGGTGCCGAACACGTACTCCACATTCGGAAAGTCTTTCGTAGCTTCATAAAACACCGAGGCCAGATCTCCCCTCAAGATCTCCCATTCAGAAGTCAGACTCGCTGCAGCACCACCCTCTCTGACTGGGAAAGATGCGAATGGCCTGCCGTCTGTATCGATGAACTGTGCTCCTTTCTCCGTCGTGTTGAGTTCTAGGATCTTGTCCCTAAGCCCCATCTTCTTGATTATAGTGCGCGCACTGCCACTTATATCGATATTCTGTCCATGTGAAAGGAGTGAGTGGGCTTTCTCGACGATAGTGATGCGTGCGCCAGTCTTTGCGAGCCACCAGGCCAGCGTGGGTCCCGCAATGCCCGCTCCGCTGATTAGGACGTGCATATGGTATTGGTGAAGCCTTGGAAAGAGAAGGACTCAAGGGGTGCCTAAACCGTAGGACTACCTGTGAACTAAAATGGCTAGTTTGTGGTTGTGGTGAAGCCGTAAACGTGCAGAATATAGTCAAAGCCTTAGGGATGAAGGGTATGAATACTCTGCTCTGAGAAGAGCACAGTTGTTGATATATAGTCTTCATTGCCGCTGCAGGAGCGACCTCGTGCATCCATGCGCGGTCCAAAAATGATACTGAGGCTTACCGAGGCTGATCAGCCGATGAACCATTTCAGCCGATGAACCACTTTTTACTAGTAAAAAAGCAAAAAATTAAATTTTTCTTTATTTAATAACTTAATAAATAATATATATATAAAAAAACTTTGTATATAAAAAATATATAAAAAAGTATTTTTTATAATTCTATAATTTTAGTTTAGTTTAATACTTTATATTAATAAAGTTATATTAAAAGTAAAAATAGAAAAAAGCTACTTTTAATACTTAATAACTCTATTAATATTATATATTAAACTATTTTAAAATTCTAAATTTATAAAAATAAGTTTTTTCT